CAAGAAACTCGGCTCAAGCATGTCCGGCGCATTTCTCATCTGAGATCCGCTACTTCTTGCATTTTGCCAGTCCGCCGTTATTCCGAGTTCGACACTTCTCGCGCATTTCACCGCAGCCATGAATAAGCCCTTGTCCGCCATGATCAGCACCGACATGGACCCAGTGCGAGAAGGCATGCACGACTGGGCCGTCCATATCTTGAGCTCCGAAACATGGCAGCAGCACCTCGCCTCAAACTCGGTCGAGAACACACTCACCACCTGCTTCTCAGCACCAACATACTGGAATCTTAGGATTGCAGAGGCGCTCTTGAAAGACGAAGACGTGCCGAACAGGGAGTCTTGGGTCGCTATCCTCGAGGCTGCACGCAATGAAGCTAGTGGTGAAGAGATGGAAGTTGATGTTGATGGGATTGAGCAAGCTGTGCCGGTGAGGCAGGGGAAGCCAAAGGAGAAGATCAAGGGCCCGACGAAGGTTGTTGGCATGTGGAAAGCTAGGCCGATTGGGTGGTTGCCAGAGGGGTATGAGGATGATGAGTAGTTATCCGGTACACGGTGTGATCATACAAGAGGCCTAAGGTCTGGCACGAGAGTAAGGTTGTCAATTCTGTAATGTCAACCGTTCTCACAGTTCCTTTCTTTCCTTGCTCTTGGTCCCTTCTTCGTCGATCATACCGCTTTTTCACAGCTCAGGATTGTTCGAGCATAACCTTTCCAGAATCCTACCCATTTAGGGAACGTTGCAAAGCACGATATGCCACCCTCTGAGTACACGGAATCAGACAGAGACGTGAAGCTGTTGCGCCTGTACTAAAAGGGCTAGTGTCTATCGGCGCATCCTCTCGCTTCTCCTCCGACGGCCTATCAACTCCCCGTGGCAGCGAAGCTACATACACATCACAAACATAGACATATAAATTGCAATGCCATTTTTCATCGAGTGTGAAATGATCTTCGTTGCCCCGCACGCGTGCTACTTTCGCCGGCATGAAGACACAACCACCCACCAAATCCTCCTCCCAAGACATCTGGCATAAACCACCACTCGCATCAAGCAGCAATGGCGAATATGTAATCTACATGCTGCCCGGAAACCCATGCATCATGACATACTACCAACCGTTTCTATCGACCCTCTTCACATCCATCAACGCCGCACTATCTCCCCGCCACATGTCAGCTCACGTCGGCGGATACACACCTCCGGGCTTCAGAGTGTCGCCCGGCCATATCTCAGAAGTCAAATTACCTGCGTCACTGCAAGATCAGATAGGATATGCCAAAAAGCTCATCGACGCCGCGATCAAACAACATATTAAAAGTGCTTCACGGCCAAAGCTAATCCTAGTCGCGCACTCAATTGGCACATACATGGCACTCGAGATATTGCGACGGTATAAAGATGGCCACAGTACTCTGGCTCATGCCGACATAATCGGAGCTGTATTGCTATGTCCGACCATCATTCAAATGGCAGATGCGGAGAACGAGGGAGTAGCTGATGTACGTTCTATATCCAAGATTGAAACCGCTACGGGCTAATGGGGATACAGTATTTCTTCCGAATCCCAGGATTTCCAACGATTTTGGGTGCGCTTGTAAAGATACCGACTTTCCCGCTTTCTTTATCGGTGATCTCTTGGATCGCGTGTAAGGTTGGGAACGCGCCGCATGTTGCGCAGGCGTTTGCGGAATTTGTCAAAGGGCCGCATGCGGTGAGGCAAACGATGCATTTGCTGAGAGACTCGTGTCAAGAGGTTGGAGAAGATAAGTGGACGGAGAAGATTTGGGGTGCGGCTAATCAAGCGGAGAATGAGGCTGTGCCGCTGAAGTTATACTTCGCTGAGAATGTGAGCTTCCACTACTTTTTAACGCGTGATCGAGACGACTGATATTTTTAGGATGGATGGGTGTCAAGGAGTGCTAGGGATGCTTTGATTGCGTCGAGAGGAAGGACAGAGGATTGTCCATGGAAGCCTGAGATGATTGTTGATGGGAATGGGATTGGTCATGGGTTTAATGAAGACCTCGGTGAATATTACTATCATGAGATGGTCAAGATTATGCTAATGGTGTTTAGATCATAGTCACCTAGTTGCCGAGAAGGTGGCTAGAATGATCGAGGAATTCATTGAGCACGACACTAACAAGAAGCATCATTGATTGGAGGAACCACAATCGAGTGTGTTGCCTCCTCTACTTATTTTCACACGACACAAAGCTATCGTAAGTTTCAAGAGAGCCATTATGCGTGGGCGCTGATTTGGTGGCCACGGGTGCAATCAAGACGGACATGATGCAGAAGCAATTCAACTCTGCGATGTGGGAGTTCTCTTTCACATAAGACAAGATACCGGCTATTCTCAACCGCGATATGGCCGAGCCGTGGGAAATTGCGGCTTCGATTGCTGTCCTGCTGGGGATGAGAGTAAGTATGTCACGAAAGCGGCGTGGTATCATGATGGAGGGTGGGTCGAGGGTTCGTATGGTATTTGATCAGGCTGCACGCCGAATTTGAGCGCCTTTCTAAAAGCTGTAGCACGGGTTTAGCAGCTTTGACTCCATGTAGCAATGCCAAATAAACGTGGGAAATTTCTCTGCAGATGTCGAAGTGACAAGTTTTATGTTAGTAACACTCGACGTCAGCCCCACGCGAAATATGCAGGGCTGTGCATTAGGTGGTGTTGCAGCCACTACAGGCTACCACCCACCTTCGTGCCAACTTCATTACCTCTACAACACCTTAACGCGCATTTTATCATTCAATATGCAACATTATCAATATGCACCGTTGGACAGAGAATCCGATACCATTCGGCTGCTCAGGCTCTTACCATCCGAAGTTGACAAGGCTGAGATTCGAGTCGAGCTGCTGGAGTACGATTTGCGACACTCCCAGCAGTCCCTTCATTCGTATGAAGCTTTTTCATACTTTTTGCGACACTCCCAGCAGTCCCGTCATTCGTATGAAGCTTTGTCATACGTCTGGGGCGGCTTGGAAACTACTCAATCAATCCTCATAGGCGATGAAGAGCTTAGGATCACATCAAATCTGCATGCTGCGTTATTGCGTCTCCGCGATGTTACTTTCCCACGGATTTTGTGGGTAGATGCTGTGTGTATCAATCAGAGCGATGACCCGGAGAAAGAACTTCAAATACAATCCATGGCCATGATCTATGGCTTCGCTAAACGCACAATCGTTTGGCTTGGAGAAGAGACAGAGGGTAGTGACATAGCGCTCGAAGCCATACGTTTTGCTGGAAATAAGCGTGATAGCATCTTCAACGATAATAATGGTAGCTCTGGAAGAGCTGGAGCAGACGAAGGATATGTTCGAAACGCCATCGCCTCTTTGCTACAGCGAGAATGGTTCGAGAGGATTTGGGTAAAGCAGCAGCAGTGTAACCCAAACAGTGTATAGGCTACTAACAACGCCTTTAGGTTTTGCAAGAGGTGGCTGCTGCTCGGCACATCGTGGTCGTCTGTGGCCCTACAGAAATTGATGGCTACGCGCTGTGCCTAGGCTTGGAGCAAATGGGGTCAACAGGCGATAATGCCACTTCGTATGCCCGAGCACGTCCAGTTTTGGCTCTGATACAGGGAGCGATTTTTCGGTCCCAAATCAGATCATGGGAGTCGGACATGGTAGCTTTGGACATTTGCTCTCTTGGAGAGCTGATTAGCATGTACAGCGCTCACCGCACTACGCACAGTCACGACAAAATATACGCCTTGCTTGGTATGTCGACCGGATGACATCACAAGAATTCTGGACTCCTTACCGGACTATAGTGTTCCGTGGGAAGAGCTGATGCGTCGACTTCTCACTTTCATCCTAGGCAAAGAGATATGTATCAAAAGCGGAACGCACCGTGAAGAGGTGGAAATTACAGGGAGACGCTGTATCATCGGCAGCGTGTCCAGTATAACGAGAAACTCCAACGGAAGTCAAAGGATCAATGTCAATTGGAATGACCGCATGGTGGATGCCATATACCCTAACGATCACTACATGGCTGTTCGAGCTACAGTTAACGATGTACAAGTGTACGATATTGTGTACCTGCTTCAAGAAGCATCGAGGGCCGCTGATCATCCGACCCGATGGATTGTTCTTTCGTATTGTTACGCTAGGCAGTAACACCTCCAATCGCTATTCGAAAGGGCATATTTCCCACATTGCCTTCATCTTACCTGGAGCTGGATGAGATACAGAGAGACGCCGAGAAAAGACCACTGGTTCTCATACTATATGAATGAGTCTCGAAGCTATTGGACAGCAGCTATGATCCTGCAGCTTACAGGGAAAAGCGGCCTCGGCGTCCCTATTCCTGCAAAAGCTGATGGAGCTTCAAATCATGCCATTTTCGGAAAGAGAAAAGACTTTAGCTAGTAGCGGGGAATTACCATCTGGATTTAGCGAGCCTACACAAGTGGAACTTGCGGAGATTGTTCAATCGTTGGATGCGAGCCACATCATGTTCTTTTTCAAAAGTATAGGCCATACAGTCAGCGTCACGGAGGAAGTTCTAATCGCGCTTGTACAACATCACAGGAGCCATGTTGTCTTTTCTGTGCTCAAAGCAGTGCGTAATCGGAATAATATCACGGCAAGAGTACTCAAAGCTGCGACAAGGAATGTGAACACCACGGTCAGCTACGTAACGGAAGCCCTACTTGAATGGCGCAAAGAAGAACCCCAAGATCTGCTTACAGAGGCTGTCCTCATAGCAGCATTCTTGAAACCAGGAGCTTTGAGAAGTGCTATACTGGAGACCTTGCTGAACCTATTTCAAGATTTACCTAAGGATCCAATCACAGAAGCTGTGCTTATAGCCGTAGCACAAAATCAAGAGGCTGTAGGAGGCGGCGTACTGAGCACATTACCGAACTGGTCAGATGAGCTTCCGAGCAAGCTGATATCAAACCGGGAGCGAATCCCCATAGCAGAAATGCGAAATCTAGCAACTGTGCTGAGTGATGAACCGGAGGCATTACCGTACCTGTTCAAATTACCACCTGACATCCAGGTTACCGACGCTGTGCTCATAGCTGTGATACAGGATAAAGAGGTCATAGAGCGCGGCATACTAAGGAAATTGCTGAGATGGCCTGACAAAGACATAAATGATCTGGACGAGAACACCGTGCCTTACACGGTGGCTTTACTTGCGGCATTTGCAACAAATCCGAGAGCTGCGAACAAAAATATAATGGAAGCCCTGCTGAGTCGGTCGACGAATCACTCTAGGACATTTGTCAAGCTTATAGAAGCGGCGGAAACTGAGCATACCATTCTCGAACTTTTCACAATCTTGTGGGATTCGCACTACGAACTGGCTGCCACAGAATCGGTACTTGCAGCTACGGTCAATAATTGTTTTTCGCGCGGCCAGCATCTTTTTTGCGCCCTTGTGCATTCACGCGGCGATCAAGGAAAATGTGAGCGCCTGATGATCGTATGTTGCAGTAACTTCAACCAGTTCAACCTGAACACATTGATTGAAACCATTCTGTTCATACGTTATCAAGGACACATTCCGGCGACTATATGGGCAGCAGCAGCGGCGAATCCGAAGTTTGGGGACGAGTATGTTTCGATTCTTGTAAGAAATACTTTACGAAGTCGAAAGGAGTGCTGTATTACAGAAGACATTCTTGTAGCAGCGGCGTCGAATGGTCACCGGGGATACACAGTGCTCAGATCGCTACTTCCAAGCAATAATAAGGCGATCAAATTTCCCGACGGTGTAGCCACACCACCAGTGTTAAAAGCCGCCGCAAGCAACCTTTCGGACGGACTCGCAGTCATGCAACTCCTGTTAGAACACAAGGAAAACAAAGCTATCATCACAGTTCACGCAGATATGATGTTAGCAGCAGCATTACAGGGGAATGCCAGCCTTCTGAGATATTTACTCTCGATTGATAAGAGAAAGGTCCATATGCCAGACGTTGTGAGCACATCCGAAATATTGGAAGCAGTAGCGAAAAACGATCGGTGGGACAAACGGACCCGAGATGAGATCAAGCGCTCTCTGTTGAAGTACGATGGAAAGCAAGATATTACACACGAAGCAGAAGAAGGCACGCTTTCCGGAACCAAGAAAAAACAAACGCGCTTTGCTAGTTTTCTCCGCGCAAATTCGCCATGGTAGAACCATGTGTCGTAGACCCAACTGAAAATTCAAGGTTGCGCTAAGAAGATAAAGATTCACAACCTATAGGCCGTAGAACGATTGCTACTATCGTATACAACGTACTAGTCTCTCCCTATCGCGCCCCTCCTCTCTGCACTCCTTACCCTGCACTCCTTACCCTGCACTCCTTACCCTGCACTCCTTACCCTGCACTCCTTACCGTTGTCCGAAATATCTTCCAACCCTCACCTAGCCCCCTTACAAACCCTACTGGCCTCCTCATACATATTCAATCATACATAAGCCATGTATATCTTACATCCAAGCACCTGTCTCATTCTTTCCCCGCCTCGCGACGTGAATGACACAGGGTTGCCTGTGTGGCAGAAACGTCCAGATCAAGGAACTGTCTCTGAAACGCATGAGACGCTGCGACCTAAATCTGCCATGTATCATAACTTCACTTGTTCAATCAAATATACGTGATTACAGCAGATTGACATTAGAGAGGGCAAAGTTGACTATTGTACGACTTAGTCGACGGAAGCAAGAAGAACGATGGCAAGCCGAGAAGGCTTGGAAGAAATTGATCCTGACATGGACGTGAGATGTGCCGTGTACCTGGCGCAACATGACACCGCTCTCGAGATGTTTCATCGATCGTAATGTGTTGATATTTTGCGTGCTTCATATGAGTTTTTTGGGCACATTGCAGGCCCGGACCACCCCAAGAATCTGTATCATAGCTAACCTACAGCGACGTCCGAAAATATGTCGTAGATCTTGCTCAACGAGCAATGAATGTTACAAGCTATGCGAGTTTGAAGAATGTATTTGTACATGAGCGAGAAAGACGATTTTGATTATATCTTAGCCTCGACTTCCGACGACAGTATCCGCGCTTCGAATTTCTTCATGAGCTTGATGGTTTGCTCCGCGAGGGTCAAGGTGAGGATCTATCACTGTCAGCACTCCAATCCCAGCCTCAAATTTTGCCTCATAACTTACAGTGTGTGGTAAGATTCGCGCCAGATGCGCAAAGTAACCCTTGTACACGGCCAGAATACCTTCCGTCTTCACCGTCCTGTACAAGCAGTCAAACTGCCGATGTGTACAGATTACCCGTCTGATTGTACATGCGCGACATGACGGTATCCGGCGGGTGCATGACACAGCACACGACAAAACCACTTGCCGTGCTACTCGCGATATGCAGCGGCATGCCCTCCTCTATGCCAAAGTGCTTCACTAATTGCCTCTTTGCGAAGAAGTACGTCGGAAGCTGCACCGAGCTGCCAAAACCAGTCCGTACCATTGCCGGTCCTACTCCTCTGTATAGTCCTTTTACGCCTTCACCCGAGTATATTTGCCGCATGCCGTCGACGGCGTTTTTGTAGTTGTGTTGTGTGCCAACGGGTAGGAAGGGGGAGTAGGACTGTAGGCGCGTTTTTACTAGGAAGAAAGGTGATCCTGCGGCTGCTCCGAGGATGCCGGATGCTGCACCGGAGAAGATGTTGACGCCGAAGGATTGGACTTTGTCGTCTTTGAAGATGGCTTGGGTGAGAGTTTTCCGTAGGGGTTCGTAGAAGCCTAATCGGCAGCCATTGAGGGTCATTTGGTAGACATACTTCGCTATGTCAGCCTGGGTTTCCTCCTTGTGGTATTTTGGTGTTCATACCGCGCAGCTCAGTCCTCGTAGTAAACCCTTGGGTCCTTCATTCTTCAAGATGACGCCCACGCCGTGGAATACACCCTTGTACAACCGCGGCGCATCTTTCCTAGCTTGGAGCTCTCCTTGTAATTGTAATCTGATACATCGTCAACTCAAGATCAATTACGCGCCGGATGTTTATGCGCACCGAATCTTGACCGTCTCAAATCCGTGGGTAACCGTCACAGCTCCGCATGCCGCAATTCCACCAGCTATGAAGGATCTGTTGTCGCATGTCAGTCGCGAAGCTCATGATGCCTGAGATGTACATACCCGAGGGTTGTGGACATGACGACACTTTTCGCGACAGCAGTTCAGCGAAGGTACAAACCCGAGCGCGGGTGTAAGCCAAATATTGCGGCTACGTAATGCACCCGCTACAACAAAAATCGCACAATCAAAGGAGACGGTTGAAGAGAAGAGGAAAAAGGAGAGGTGGTAGCGGCGCTGACGTTATACGATTCTATACAGGTCGGTGTTGGAGTCTCTGAATAATGTTGGCTGGATAATTGAATCCCGGCTCAAGATTCATGCCCCGAGGTCGGCGCTCCGGCGTGTTCCCGACATCAGCCAAGCTTTCCAGGGTCCAGCTATCTTTCTGCTGCCACTCGAGGCCAGACGTTTTGTGAGCATTGGTCGCGTGGCAACGCATCAACCACCGCTTACTCAACCAGGATAATTACCAACCGGAGATGATGCTGGCAGAAGTCGCGTAGAGTCAGCAGTTGTCATATCTAAATATGGCAGTTGGATCAGCAACTCCAGGCGCGCCGCCTCCGCCTGCTGGGCCTCCGACGCAGAAGGTTAGCGACGTCATAGCAAGCTTTCGGCCTTCACGAGTGAGCCCACATATATTCCTGGCCCTCTTGCATGTACGCTGACTATGTCTAGCGCTTCAAGCCTCCGAGTCCGGGTACAGCATCCGTCACATCCCTCGACTTCGACGACACGGGCGAACTAGCCATAGTAGCGCGCGACGACGACACCCTCCAGATCTACAACTGCAAGGAAGGAAAACATGCAAAAGAGCTGAAGAGTCAGAAATATGGCGTACATCTTGCGCGCTTTTCCCACCATGCGCAGAGCATCATCTACGCAAGTACAAAAGTCGACGATACAATTCGCTACCTCTCCACACACGACAACTCCTACATACGCTACTTCAAGGGCCACACCGACACCGTGACATCCATCTCGCTCTGTCCCTCCTCAGACACATTCCTCTCCTGCTCCCGCGACAACACTGTGCGCCTATGGAGTCTCTCATCACCCAACTACCACGGCCTGCTAAACCTCCAAGGCGCCTACCTCGCCGCCTACGACCCCTCCGCAACCGTCATGGCCATCGCCTCACCTTCGACACAAACCGTACTGCTCTACGACGTGCGCAACTTTGACAAGCCGCCGTTCGCGACGTGGGACATGCAGGAGCTTGAGCAGCGCTTCCTGGGCCGCGAGAAGGGCGAGTGGACGAAGATCGAGTTCTCGAACGATGGCAAGAATCTGCTGATCGCGACGAATGGAAGTGGCCATTTCATACTCGATGCGTTTTCGGGCGAAATCACGCACTTTTGTTACCGCAAGGCGGGTTCGTCGGGACGCTTGTCGGCTGGCGCGACGAGTCTGAGTCACATGGCGAATGGGCACGCGCCGGTGGTTGGGCAGGGCGATGTATGTCTGTCGCCGGATGGGCAGTACTTGATCGGTGGGAGTAGCGAGGATGGGCTGCTGGTATGGGATATTTCGAAACCGCCGTCGCCGAATAATAGTCTCGAGCCGATTGAGAAGTTACCGGGGCATGGGAAGAGCGCGATTGTGGGGTATAATCCGAGGACGAATTTGATTGCGAGTGCGGATAAGGATTTGTACTTGTGGCAGCCGGACTCGGATTTGATGGTTTGAGAGTGTCGGAGGTAATTCAGAAAGGAATTATGGTGCATGTTAGTGCTCGTTCATAAGGGTTAGAATCTGGCAGCATACGCGCAGATCCATTAGCGGAAGGGTGTCCGCTCCTTGACTACAGAGCGTGCGCCAGATTCAGTGGAGGTTCGATCCGGAGTGTTGAACTTGGGGTTCAAACCAAGGCAAGCGCACACACAGCTACATCACGTAGATGAGAAGGCTACGAAGGAAGAGAAGATGAACCGAAGTATGTAATTGGAAAATCTGAACACTTCGTACATGCTATTCTAAAAGAAAGGTCGTTCGATTTGTTCAATGAAGCCTATATCCTGCGTCCGGTCTTTCTTGCACCATGTCTAGCCGTAGAAAGAGATAAAGAACTGGGACGTGTCACGCCCTGAATCGTGACTTGTCCGGTTCCCTTCTGGTCTGATCTTCTTTTCCTTTGTTTGGTGATGACCCCGACCTGATTGTTCTCAAACATGATTGAGTTATGTGCCTCTCGTATGTGGTAAGGGGTCCTCTGAAGTTTCTGAATTTGACGAGCGTCAGGCAGAAGATTTTGTTGTTGTAGGATTGCGAGGATATGTAGCTTCGGTCTGGACTTTGTCGACAGCACGATTGCTTCCCTCTCACCTCCATTTTTCTTTAACGGCAAACGAAGAGTCCTTTGCGCCACAAATCTGGATAGAATGAAGTTCCTCAATGTCCAACTTATCCGGTTCCATGGCGGCGAGGTAGAGCAGCAAGAGATCCTCTGGATCCCAGCGCAGCCTAAAAAACTCTCCTTGTTCAATCTTGCTGTAATGTTCCGTCATGCGCGCCAAACCAACGATGGTGTATTGAGAAGAGCCCGAACTTCGTACAATCAATCCTGTCGAGTCCCAATACTTGGTGAACGTAGGACCCATAGTGATGACCCAATCTCCTGCAGTAGTTTGGGGTGGTGCCAGTACACATAGCATGTGATCGCCATCAACGAGCTCGACTTTTCCATTCTGAGTCTTGCTAGTCGAGCAGCACAGCCCCTCAAGGGATCGTGACGGTGCCTGGTCACCACGATCAATTATTGGGTCCCCAGACCAATAATATTCAAGAAACTGAGGGCGACGAGAGTTAGGGACACTCGGTTTGGAGGAGAGTGCATTGTTGCGTCGCATTCGCAATCGGTCCTTTATGGCTACATCCATGGGCGAGATCTCGAAAATCGTTGCTATATGCTGCGCCCATGATAGTGCTCCTCTTCCAGAAGGCATTGATTTGAGGGAGCCGAGAGCATCTACAGCAACATTGAAGGTGCTTTTTTGATAATCCGGAGTTGGTGTAAACCCGGATGACCAGTGAACCAAATTCAAAATGCCATATAGCTTGTCCCGCGCATCGGCACACTCAAATTCATTGATGTGGTCCATGACATTATAAAGGTCGTGTAGTCGACCTTCCAATCCTCGTGTGGCAAGGACCAAACAACCACGTCTGGGGTTGATCTCCCACCATGGTTCGAGTGTTGCATTGTTCTCTTCTCTGCAACTGATAGAATCGCATGATCGAGAAATTGAAAGAACTGCTTTCATATACTTCACCTTGATGGTATCATAAATTTTACCTTTACGGTTGCCGATATCAATGCGATTTTCACATCTGAGAAGAACGTCGAGAGCAAGAACATGGCTAGCCAAGATAAGGCTTGACCCACAACATACGACAACGTTGGTACCCATGCTTAGCTCTTGCAAGATCCAAACACGCCTAAAGTAGGGTCTCTTGAGGAAAGCTACCGAAGCCTTTCTTAGCCTGATTTTGGTTGACGTGCTCATACTGAGAAGGCATCTCGTTCCAAGCCAGACTCCAGCTTGTGGAAGAGAGAACCATGCGTCCCATGGGTACCAGTGGACAGCCGACAGAATATCTGCCAACAAGTTCTTCTTCTTTCTGCATATAATCTGCAGGAATTCGATGTCTTCCGCGTGGGGGCCCACACATGCGAAAACCTGAGCAGCTTTGCTGTACACCTTGCCCATGATGGCAACCTGATGACCTCGCTCTTGTATGTTGTTTTGGTCAATGCAGACAGCATCGACCCAGACGTACTTTTCCTTCTTCTTCTTCTCAATCGCGAACGTTTGTTGAAGTGCGTATTCGCAGTTCTGCCCCACAACCATGTTGCGCCCATCGATGGTGATGGTGGCTGTCAGCGCTGGGTCTCCCCAAGTGTATGAGATCGCCGAGTAAGGGGGTGCGCTATCCAGAGGCCATGCAGACATTACACAAACGACATGGTGCTCGAAGTTGCCCTGCAGGACTTCCAGTAGCCTGATGTGTGTCTCAGAGTCCGGGAGCGGGCTGTGTACGAAAGGTAAGGGTCGGGCCGGGGCGTTCGTCTCGATATCAGCCATCTTGAAGGAAGTATCGCAGTCGGAGTTATCCATAGACAGGAACGCGATGTCGCAAAAGTTGGTAGTGTAACGGGAAGGTTCAGCAGTATGCATACATAGTGGCAAGATTATCAGCCTGGTGAGGGGCTGTGTTGCTTACATGCTATCTTCAGCCTCGCGTTTGCCTGCAACATAGACCCGAGGACATGCACGATGGCTCTGTTATACGTAGAGTACGCTGTCTTAATTGACTGCAGCGCGATAGCAAGGCGGCGCAAAATTGGAAGACTGCAGGATAATGAGCGCAAGCCGATGCTTACGCAGCCTCTCAGCGTGCATAGCTAATGTCCCAATACAAGCCCAATAACATCCTTTGCAATGCATGACCAGTGACTTTGCACCTAATTGTTACCAATGCAAGCGTCGTTGAAGAGACTTACAACTTCAATGACCTTTTCGTGATGATAGACTTTCGAAGACGCTGCGAGGTACAGGGCGCCTGTTTGGCCACTCATTCCGCTGGTTCTAGCGAGTGGAAGGATGCAGACGCCACTGTCCGGGGTGGGATAACCTTCCCCTTCTCGGAGAATTGACGCTCATGCAAGACTCCTATCACGCCTGTCACCCGAGCAGAGAGTGTACATGAGCAAGCAGCTTTTGCCACTTTGAAAGTGAGAGACATTCTCTGCGGAAGAACAACCGTTACTGTTGTGAGGTCTGCGTGATGACTGGGGTAGACCTCGGTTCGTCGCCGAAGGATCGCTACACCATATTGCTTTTGCTGGTAATGCAGAGATTTTCTGGGAGCTGAGCCGCAACGTGCTGCAGGGTGTGACGAATGCAGACTTGGTGGAAATTCAAAAACAAGGTGCTTGCGAAGGAGTAATGAGATGTTCGCATGGTTGATGTTCACCGATCATGGTTTCAATAGTGACTTGAGAGTAATTGGTGTGAACTTCCTCAGCAATCCGTTCTTCAGCGATTGGAGGTCGCCGACATGCGCAGACAAAACGTAACGCTGTACGATCGAGTCCACTGTTTGACAACGACAACCAGCGATTGGATGAAAGGAAACAGGAGGCGGTCCAACCACCCAGGGTCAGAAGCGTGGTTGCCACTTTCACAGTGCGGAGTGCAGGAACGGATGCGGTGTAAAGCGGAGTGCATGTGGATGCAGACTGGAGGCGCAAGAGATGACACAAGCAGATGATGTGTTAAAAAAGCGCGCAAACCAAATGCAAGGAGTATCGATGTATGGGTGCGCCTCGTACTCTGTGGAACGCCATACAACCCCGGGTATCGTCTAGCAGACTCTTCTCCACAATTGCTAGCAAAAGAGCAGACAATCCTGCGATGCGGTCATGAGTCTCATTGGATGAATTCTGTCGCGTGCGTGAATGGTCGGGCATCAAGACTGGACGCTAGTCGAGCAGTCGTGAGCGAGGGACACAGATGCGTTGGATGGAATGCTTAGATGCGGTCTTGTTGGGTCCAGAAGTGTACAGTATATTTCAGAATGAAGCGTGCAGGTCCGCTTGATGTCGATCGCTCCGTTTGGTGTGGGAGTAGATGCCAGGATTACTCGGATCTTCGGGCGCAGGGCTTGTGGATCAAAAATGGGTCAGACGTACCCGTTGCACGGAGAGTCATGCCTGGATGAGTTCGGCAATGCTAGAGCAAGCGAAAGAGACATGCTGAAGTGGTGAGTGCGTGGACTGACCTACAGCCAAATTGATGAGTTGGTCGAGCTGGCTGTGATGTTGTGGTGAGGGGATTGCGCAGGGCCGACCGCACACATCAGTAAGCGAAGCTGTGGAAGGAGGCAGGCACGAGCAAGGGTGCAGGACAAAATCCCCTGCGAAGCCAAAGCCACAGCCTGGCAGAATCTTGTCTTGCATCTGGCCATGTCCCCCTGGAGATGTTCTCCGAGCGCTGTTATCCTGACCGCACCCGGCTGGCCGCCTGTTTGCCTCTGAACACAAATTCGGTCCATGCTAACCGGGCCGTCATCGTTGTCATTTCGGGCCCGGCGGCCTCACAGCGCAACCATGAGCAAATCGATTTTCTAGGAAAGCTCACCGTTCAAGATGCAAGAGGCGTGTCTCGACGCCGAGGTTTGCGTGCCTTTCGGGCCATGTCCAATGAGGTGGGCCCGCGTGCCTTCTAGACTAAGCACTGTGCGCCATGTGGAATGACTCCTGGGGCTGCTGGGATCCTTCTCCGCGTTTCCCAAAGCGACGGGTCATCTGGGCAATCTGTCTAGCGATATTATTAGGCCCCTCTTCATCACCCATTCCTCCACCTCTGACAGCTCGTTCTCTTCGACACCTGCAGCTCTCTGCACACGAATCGGCACCATCAATGGAAACGTCAGTTGGCGTACAGCAAACACGTCGTAAACGAACTTGGACCATCGCGCTGGAACATGGTCCCGTGATCACGAATGCTCTCCAACCCATCAGCCCAACACCGGCTCATATTGGATCCACTTAGCTCATACATCTGCAAGCCGTGTTCACGGCCTGGGCACGCAACATCATCGCGACAGCCCGAGCTCTTGCTGCAACAACAAAACCTGTCATTCTTACTCCGCCAAATTGCATTCGAAAGGTTACGCGAGTATGCCAGATCGTGGATTCAGCCTTCTGTCCCTGTACACACAGCATAGATCCGGTGACGGAGGATGATGCACGCTGGACAACATCGCGCATCATCGGGACCAACATCTACTCGACATTTCGAATTCAGCACTGCACATGGTGCTGTAAATTCACCCACTTTACCATTTCACCCACTACCCTTGCCCAGCATGGGTCTCACATTTCTCCCACGACCGCAGCCACAACCGCGGAAGCGTAGTCGAGCAATAGCAGACATTGATGGTGAACACTCTTGCTTGCAAAAGAAGAAGCGCCGACTCAGATTGTTTCTCATCACTTCAAGGCTATCTCCTCAGTTCTCACATCCTGCCACCAACATAGTCGATAGAGGCAGTTCCAAGATCGCAGTATGGGCGAAGCAGAAATCACTCGGACGGAACCTGTTACGGAAGGCGGCTATCTTGAACCACATACGACGAGGAGTTATATCTGCCGAGGAACGGGGCGTACAGCCCAGACAAGTGCTGGTCGAGCAAGAGAGGGAGCAGAACGAGCTCGCACTAGCGAAATTGGAGTTCAATTACGGCAGCATAGACACTTACACACGCCCGGTCACATCACGTATGCCGTCAGTGCCTCCGTCTGGTGCTGTCAGAACAAGAAATCGTTTTGTCGTGTCTGGGTCGCCAACCAGCTCACCTACTTCTTCCAGAAGTCCGTCGCCTACACCTTCCTCTCCACCTCTGGGTGCATCTCAGGATGACCATGTCTCAGACTATCGATCACCGAATGAAGCCTTTGCAAGCCTCTTGCCTCGTGCTCAAGTACCCAGAAAGGACTACCTACCGCTACCACCGTCGCCACTTGGTCTGTCCAACTACGACGCTTTCGACGCCGATGACGATCCATACTCCCACCTCGATGATGACGATGATGAGTCCTCTGTCAATCTGTTTGACGAAGATGAAGATGCCGACAGTGTCCCGTTCTCACCTTCTGCCGTCGCAGAGACGTCGATTTCCTCACACACAGGAGCCAGCCACCTTCTTAACACACCGCTACTTCTTGTACCACCAGACCTAGACATACTGGACCACAGCGAGCCCGTCTTCGGCGACTACGACCAAGTAGATGGCGGCGAACATGCCGCGTGGCCAAGCAACTCAGCAGAAACGACTACTAGGTCTGCCACAGGCTCCTCATCCCCAGACTTCCACGCCCTCTTCGCAACCGCACACGCGAAGCGAACAGACTCCTTCGCGACATCACCCAATTTTCGACCCGTCATATCGAAGAGCCCGTTATTGCGTACTTCCAGACCGGTCTCGAGGTCGCTGAACTTCTCAAGTGCTGCACCGTCGTCGCCGAATTTTGCGCCTACGTCGCTATCGGCTTGTGTATCACCAAACTTTGCTCCCGTGGCTGCGTCACCGAATTTTACTTCCACGGTAGCGTCGCCGAATTTCACTTCTACAGTTATGTCGCCCAACTTTGGCGCTGCGGCGGTATCGCCGAACCTCATCGCACTGGACACTCCTATACCCACGCCACGGCGAATGTCGACGCCATCGGCACCTCGACCAGAGTTCACACACAGCGCTGTCAATGCAGCGCGAAAACAGAAGAGAAATCCCAATTTCTCTGACGATGGATCGTGAGCTCTTCATCTTATCATTTGGCGGCATCTTTCTTTCCTGCATCAGCATCATTCTATCATTTCTGTGCATAAAACGTCTTGGGTGGAAAGGATTGTCTAAAGGGTAGGGAATTACAAAACATCTTGGGCGGGAGGGTCTGGCATTTCAGCGAAGTCTTATCACATCGGCTGAAGGATTTGTTGTACGAATATTCATGTATGTACCATCTCCATGGAAAGGAAAATGGATTGGGAGGGGGGCGTTTACAAAAAGCGGTGGATGTCTGATTATAGCGATTTCAATGTGACAAAAAGCATTTCACACCCATTCATAATGACCTAGTCCATCATCCTGCTTCCTGCTGGTTTTTGCCAACGTCGTACTGTGGTCCAGACATTGGGGAACGCGGTGTAACCCGCCCCGCATAATCTCCTTGCCATCTCAACCCAACACAGTAGATACATCACTACGATACTGCAACATCCCAGCATCTAGATCTCACGTCTGGGATTGTAGTTTTCCCGCGCGATCGGTGGCGATGGCGCACATTGCCTACGTTGTCCCTCAGCGTCAGTCCACAGCACGTGACTTGAGTGGAAGAAGGAAGTTGGAATTGGGAGAACTTACTTGTATAGCCTCGGTCCTCTCGGCCTCAATATCCCCCCGGTCAATCCTCTCGCGCATGTTCTGCATGATGACTGGGCGGGGGCGTGCATTCACAAAAACCCTACGCAGAAATAATCAGCAACTCATCCACACCCCCATCCCCATACTCTACTTACACATATCTCAGCCCCGGAAACTTCTCTTCATACTCCGCATTCAAACCCTCCAATACTTTCCCCTCCTCCTCTCCACCCTGCAATTGCGCCTGCTCTTTCCGACTCTGTTCGCTGTCGACTTTCTTCGCGCCCAGGCGCGGGTGGGAGCCTAATATCTCATCCAACTTCTGCGTATCGGTGGAGATGAGAGCAGTGAGTTGCGCGCCGATGGCGGTGATGAGCACATCGTAGCTGGGGAAAGCGGTGGAGCGCAGGACGGGGAGGGTGAGTGCGTGCAGGGCGGGGGAGGGCTCGAAGAGGAGGTCAAGGGTTTGGGTGATGGTGGTATCGGGGGAGTGCGAGAGGGTGGAGATTGGGGGGAGGGAGGGCATTTTGGGTGGATAGAATTGGAGTAGCGAGAGATGGTGGTGTTTGTGCAATTGATTCTCGGTGAATTTGGAAAGCGCAATGTTTCATGTACTATGGGATGATGTAGTTTGCGCGACTTGATACCAAGACCAGTGTAAGCGGGCGCTACCGAACGGCTATGACGGCCAGCGGGCTAGAAGGCATCGCGATTGGATCGAGACGCACGCTGCAAGGGGGAGGAGTCGATACGTCGTTCTGGGAATAATTTTTTATCGATAGACTGCGGGTGCGGGGCAAGTGTGCAGCGATAGCGGGTAATTCGAAACATGGACATGTTGTCAATCTGCGTGCAGGAACCCGTGGACATTCTGATGCCCCTCGTTGCCGATCCCACGTGCTAGTATCTTTTCTGAGATGGCGTATGCTAGGAGAGGATGTCGATGTTAAGTTCAGGGAGATGAGATGAGAAAGGGGTGGAAGATTCCGGTGCTAGTCACGGAATTCTGTCATGCTCGCGATTGAGTTCGATCCTTACAGCAGGGACCATGAATAGGGCGCAGAAGCGTGAGTCGAGGTGAAGTTTGTAGAAGGACAGGCCAGGACACCCTCCTCCTGCGGCACCAGGAGACCATGCCAGACGTGCACCTTATCTGCGTCTTCGCCACTCGACGAGACACTGTGACTAATATCCAGACATGTCGTGGTCGAGTCGGGCGCGATGCATTGTGATGGCGATGGTCTGTCACTCGCCTTGCGTCAGCGGCCTCGTGCGCGTTCCTGCATTGCTGTGGGGCCAACGTGCATCTTCACGCTCGGGCTGGTACACTAGGACAATCTACGGGGAGTAGTCTTGAGCGAAGCAAAGATAGCCGTGGCATGTGCAGCGATCCAGGAACGGCGGCGGGCTCGTGGTGAAGAGAAATATTCCGCTGCGATACAAGCAGCGCGGAACTCCTCCTGGCCGACACACGGGCTCAGGCACTTACCCCTGCGATTCGCCAGGGACGTGAAACACGTCGAGCCGTTTCCACCAACCTTCACCCTGGACCATCCAACCTTCGCCGTGAGTGCCGGGCGCAGAGCAAAGAGCCCGACTGCACGCAACAACCGTCTCTGCTGCGCGTCCCCAAGCAGAGCCAATGGCCCGCAACGGCAGCGTCTGACCCTGGACCGGAATCCCCAAATCCCCAAATCCCCACTCCCTGAACCCGCAAGTGCCCCTAGTCGCAAGCAGCCGTGACTTCTCCCTGGAAAACGTTCGACCCGCACACGACGAACCACACACCGCCGCCGACACGCGCAGCTCGACGACGACGCTGCACCTGGGCGCCGCTTTTTGGATGCCGCCGAGCACTGCAAAATGTCTCTCAACGGGCTCGACGATGCCAGCGTAACACAAGCATACCAGGGTGCCCTCGCCGAGGCTGGCGGATGGTAGAGCCCTCATTTACCTGCCGTACCGGGCTTCATGCTGACGTCGTGTGTGCAGGCTCCTCCTCAAGTACGCGTCCCGCGACGCCGTTGAAGTGCTCAAGCAGGGCACTGGCGGCGCCGGCGAGGTGCGCGCTGCTGTCGCCCAGTATGAAGAAAAGTCGCCGCTGTATGGCTTCATGCTGTACCGCCGGCGCAAGGTGCTCGTCAAATATCTGCCCGAGGGGACTTCGCGACTGCTGCAGGGTATGAAGGACTTCATTGTATACCCAAATCACTGCTAACACCCCCCAACAGCACGTGTCGCCGTCCACTTCATTACCGTGACGGAGCGCTTCTCGCCGCACGACTTCGTCCTCGCCGTCTCCACCCCGGACGAGCTGAGCGATGCCGCTCTCACTGCCGCCTGCACACTGCACACCGCCGCGCCCTCCAGCTCCTCCTCGTCAGGGTCGTCCCGCGCGCAGAAGCTGAGCTGGATACAAGAAGCCGCCGAGGAGGGCAGCATGCTCGGAGGAGATGACAGCGCGGCTGCAGGTGCTTCGCGGCCGGGCACTGCCAAGTCAGTCATACCAACTATAGTCGAGCCCATCGAGGAGGTACCCGAGATGCCGCCTACGAGGGTCGCCTCCATGATGTCAGACAGTGCAATGTCCGTTCCGCTGATGATGGAGGTGATGGAAGAAAAGGCACCGCCGGTGCCCAGAACACTGCCCGAGATCACCCATGTCACTATCGAGAAGGTTACGGAGACGCCACCAGCCGACCAGTCCGATCTCACAGACATGCAGGATACGCTGAAGAGCTACGACAAATTATTCGAAAACGGACCAGAGCCGCGCTCGTCGTCTCAGACTGCCCGCCCCAACTACGACGAGCTGTACGAGCACTACTATGCCCAATACTCAAAACCAAAGGTCAAGCTGGGCCCAAGACCGCGCCCGTCTATGGACGGCAAGAGGCCTTCGACGTCAGGAAGTGTACCGCAGGTCGGCTCGAGGCCAAAGTCATCGCTGCCCGCGGGGCTGCGCTCAGCAACTCGGAAGGCAGCTGATGAACGTGCCGTCAAAGCGTCGAAAGATTCTCAGACCGTCCCCAGTCTCGCCCTCCCACCGCCACCACCGATACCAGCAGCAAGCGAACCTCCGAGCTCTCCAATCTCACTGGCCTTCACCGCGAGATCCCCCGCTAGTGTTCGGTCAATGCCCGTGTCTTCATACAGCAGCCATCACAGGTCCACTGGGATGACTCAAGAAAAGACGAGGTTGATGAAGGCATTGGAGATGCGAAAGAAGCAGATGAAGGTGCAAATAGAAAGGCAGGAGAAGCTTGCAGAACAGGCGGTAGCAAACTCTCAGGCGGAGGCACGAGAAGCAGAATCAAAGGCGGCTGATGCTGCGTCAATTGCGTCCAAGCATGAGGATACAGCGGAAGACACCGAAGCTGAGAAGCAGTCAACGGCTGGAGACGATACAGCTTCTTCCCTAGGGCTTGACAACTCCGGCCTGGCATTTGCAAGCAGTCAGGCAGATGCAGACGATTTAAATTCGTCCATATCTGTATCTTCGCCAACATCCGCGCAAACTCAAGGGTCATCTGGCGCACCTTCGACTCGGCCATCATCCATGTCAGAAGACGATGCCCCGGTATCAAATAACACCTGCACACCCGAAGGACCGCCCGACTCGATAAGTGCAGATAGCATCGACGAGGAGCAATCCGTCGACAGCCTGCCAACCGTTGTGCCAGAGAGCAGAACACCGATTCCTTCAATGATCCACACTACCCCACCACCCACGGACGATGAGCAGACCTCGGAGGGAGCCGCCGATCTGCAAACAAGAGAGGTGGACATGGCACAATCGACAATATCAGACGCACAAGACGATTCGCAGGCACACAGGCGGTCCAAACGCGAGTCCATGCTCTTCGTACCCACCGGTGACGCGTCACCACTGGACGACTCGAAGTTCAAGAAGCGCAACAGGGAGTCCATCATCATGCCCACCCCCATTCAACAAACCCCCAACCATAAAAAGAGGCAGAGCTGGTATGAAACCAAAGGGAAGCGCCCCGCACCACTCGATGCTCTCCACGTCAGTGCAGAAAACTCGGAGGCCGAGTATCTATCAGATGACTCGTTCATGGAAGAGCTGCAGAGCGCAACCGTGCAGGAGGCCAAGCCCATGTCGGTCTCCAAGTCCCCCATCACTCCCTACTTTTCTCGGAAATCATTCACCCGCGGCAGTATGACGCCTGAGAGTTCATCGCCTTACATGAAGCCTTCACCAGAACCGATGCCACGGAAAATCTCTGGTCCCTGGCCACCGCAAGTCAACGTAGAGAAAGTTGCGGCAAAGAAGATCAATGTCTCTTCAGGCATCTCGCAGAGAATCAAGGCCCTGGCAGAGAAGACCAGCCGTGAGATGTTGCCACCAACAACACCTGGTGGAGGATTAGACTCGTCGAGTCACAGCAGCCTCGCGCAACGGAAATCCTCTTTCTTCGCAACGACGCCGATAGAGACCTCGCCGAACGGAAGGCCCGTCTCGCGTCTTGGCAATCCCGCCTTCCTAAACTCATCTTCAACAACGCCAGAAAAGAAGAGCATAGCAGCACCGAAACCTATCAAGGCTACGGTGTACAATGTGCAAAGAGGAAGCGAACAGCCCGAGTCAGTACAGGTCACTGCTCGAATTGTCCGAGATGAGCGGACCAAGCAGCCAACACTTGCTATGCCGAACGAGGGAGCACCTCTCGAACTTCACCAGAGCCCTCTAATCATAGATCATCAGAAGCCTCGGTTCACGCCACCTCCTACACGGGGCCGGACTGAGCCTACATCTCCCGTGGCATCTTCAATCGCACACTCGCGCGACCAGAGTCTTGCACCATCACGGACCTCGTCTGAGAGTGCCTGGAGACCATTTGGGCGCCGCATGAGCGAGTCCAGGTCAATCCACAGCCACGACGGCGACGAGAAGCGCGAGGACAAGAAAGACAAGAAGGAGTCACGCACAAGCAAGATGTTTAAACGCATGTCCTCGTCAATGTCCTCCATGCCGTGGAAGGCGTCAACCAGCAACCTGAGCTTCCCCGAGCACAACACAGCGCACACATCCCTCGCCTCGTTACGCGAGCCCCCCTCCCCCGTGCACATCGGCGACCTAAACATTCAATTCCCGGACACCCTGCTATGGAAGCGCCGCTATGTCGAGATCGACTCGATGGGCAACCTCGTCCTCAGCCCCTCCAAGTCCAACGAAAAGGGCATCGTCAAGCGCTTCCACCTCAGCGAGTTTCGCGCGCCGTACCCGCCGGACCAGGACCGTCAGGAGCTGCCGAATAGCGTTGTGCTCGACTTTGTGGATGGAAGATGCCTGCAGTGTGCGTGTGAGACGTACATGGCGCAGGCTCATGTGCTGCAGAGTAAGTGCTCCATATTTCTAGACCTTTGAAAGATATATTGGCTAATGATTATGTCTAGTTCTCCGCGAAGCCCACGACGCCTGGCTCGCTTACAACCAAACCCTATAATCGTCCTGACTCGGTTCATATTTCTTTGGCTTCAGCTCCTCATACCCACGGCAGTAATACCCGTCCAAATCTTTCCTTTGATAACAGCTCATGACGTACGACCACTTGCATCTGCCAATCATTTTCCTTTTTTTTTTCTGCCGTCTGCTATTTCAGGATATCGAAAAATGATACTTGCGTGTCGCTCCTTTTATCTTCTTTTATCGTAAAGTGTGCTTTGCTCTCATACCCCGAATTGCCGACGGAGAGGCGGAAGTGTGTGCTTTCTTGTATACAAACGAGTTGCAGGTAGATCTAGTGTAATATATAATGCTGCGGGGCGGCTGGAGTGGCTTTATCCAATGTGTGTTGCTTTTGCAGAGGAGTGAAGCGTGATTTGACGTGACATGAAATATCTATCGAGAGCAGTTTTTTTGCAAAGAAATGGTTTGAAGAAGCAGATGGCGAATCATCAAAGTCGTTTGGGTAAGAATTCCGTCAAAGATTATTCATTACCACGTTTTACGTGTTGAAACGATGCATGCGCTATGCAAATTAAATACTCCCGCCAACAAGCAACTTTCTTCACATGGCCACATCAACTCAAAACCAACCGCCCTAACATCCCCCTCAATGCCTCCGCACCCTCCCTCCCGCCCTCCCCCATCCCCGCCTCAATCCCCCCGACAAGCCCCTCCACCTTCCCCCTCAGCTCCGCAATCACACCCCTGCTATACTCAAAGCTGCCCTTGCTCTCCATGTACCTGAGCGCATAGCGCTTGACCTCCTCGTCATTCGTCTTCTGCTTGAGTATGTTTATCAAGATCTGGTTGCTAGGATCCGCGCGAATGGCGTGTATAACGGGGAAAGAGAATTTGCCCTCTGTGAGGTCTTCGCACAGGCCTTTGAGGGCAGGTGTAGTTTGAGGTTTGGGGAGAGGTTGAGGTGGTCGTCGAGGATTTGGAAGAGCAGGCCGATGGTGGATACTAGAGGGGCGCAGTCTCTGTAGCTTTTGTTAGCGAGGTTTGGAAGGTAGGGGGAAGGTGGATGGTATGGGGGTTAGAGAGAAAGGGACATACACATCCACTGCACTCTCCGCCTGCATGAGTTTGATCGCGAGCCTAAATAATCCGCCCGTTTTATTTCCCACCATCTCCAGATAATCCGCCTCGCTCGGACACGTCAGGCTATCGCGCCAGTACAAATCCATGCCCTGCCCGCGATGCAGGTTGAGCAGTTCTTCGGTGAAGATCTCGATGAGCTTGGGGTTGTTCATGCGCAGCAGGTCCTGCAGGGCTTTGAAGTAGACGTAGTTGGCGGTGTTGATGGTCTGGGGCGTGCCGAAGATGGAGTGTGCGACGGGGATGCCGCGGCGGAGGAGGGAGGAGTCTTCTACGTCGTCGACGCTGGGGTTGTTAGTATGGACAGATCTGTGAGGGTGGAAGGGGAGAGGTACAGTAACGACGCCGTGTGCAGCCATCCCAACTGACACGCGTTATGACTTCCAATCCGCTCTGGCGGGACTTTCAACCACAGATTGAATGCGGCGATGCATTGGCTGCGGATGTCTTTGCCCGGGTGGCCATAGAGGTAGTCGTACGGCCCCAGTAATATGCGCTCCTTCTCCTCCGTCCACGTCGCTCCATTGCCATATATCAAGTCCTCGCTCAGGTCTTTTGTTGGATCTGACGGCGGCGATATCGGCGTGGGGTAGTTTGTGCTGACCTCCAGACTCGCGCCGCCTTGTGTGTTATGCGCCATGGTGTGCGGCTGCGGTATGTGGCCCTCGTTGTTCTGCCCCAGCGCCTCCTCAGAATGGCTCGTCTTGCTCTTCTTGCTCTGGCCCATCCAATCGACCTCACTCAGCGGGCGCAAGACACTCGATCGCTGCTGTCTGATGCTGTTTCCGTTGAGGATACCGGTGGAGCTCGTGCGGGGCGGAATGGCGTTCGGCGAGGCGAAAGGGTGGGATGGGGATGTGGACGGCATGGTCGTGTTTGCAGACCGGCAACCGGTGGGAAGCTTATTGACACTAATGTGGGTGACCCTGCCCTACGTGTCTGCCTTGGGGAGAGAGCGCGTAAGCCGAGCGGCGTGTGACACTATGGTGACGGAGTCCACGCGCCCCGGTGGTGTGTAGTGCGGCTTGTGTGCTGCAACGGGCATGCAATGCGGGCCGAGTAGCTTCATAGACGATGTTGAGTGCAGATGGCGCACCGATGATGCTTTTGGGCGTGAATTAGAAGATGGGGGTTGTGGAAAGCGAGGAGTGGATCAGAACACGATTGCAAGGCCAAGAGGCATCTTTGGCGACTTCATTATTGGCTTCAGTCAATCAGAGCACAAAAGCGCCGCCACCCAGAGCATCCCAGCACCGTATGTGAGCTCTCCGCTATGCAGCGCAGTGTATGACGCCAGACATCGCATACAATCCCTGCGCCCAGATGCCGCTAGGCTGAGCGCGGATCGTGGTTCGTGCACAGTCTTGCATGTGATCAGAGACGCGGACAATCTTGCCCAACAAGCTGGCTATAGTCCAGGTCCTCATATTGCGCTGACCGCGTTAAGCTTTGTCGAATGCCAATTCGTTCAAGTCAACACTGCACAACCACGGGAGATTTTGAGTGCCATTTAGCCTGTAAATTTGCATGTTCGCGCCGAATATGGAATGTGTGTGCTATTCAATGCATGTCTTGCAGTCATATCTTGAACCTGCTAGGTAGGAAATTTCGACTGTCTATAATGGCCGCTCTCGGCATGAAAACATGCTGACTATGATCCGTGACAGGCCTTGTGAAGAAATTAAGGAAAACTAAAGTTACGGACTGCAATTGCGGTCATATGATATGCTCGTTCATGTCATCGTCAGTCGTCCTCACGCAACACTCCACACTCTGACCCCCTTCATCGTGCTCACGATATCCGCTGCCTTGCAAAGAAGCAACTTAAGCCTTCTTGCCTCTCTTTCCAAGAACCCCCATAACCCTCTTCTGCTGTGCCTGCAACAATTTTCGCAGAGCCGTCATGAATTCCGCGTGCTTGTCTTCAGGAGAAATGTTGCGCTGGGCACCTCGACACCTCCAGTAAACGTGATCGAATACATCGGGATCGATCTGCAACAATTCTACTCCAGCATCGAACTTTCCTTTCGCTGCTCCAACGGCCTCGAGCCAGGGAAATGCATCGCGATAGAATTTGGCCGCAGCTCCTCGTGAATGACCAGAGCGACCGGAGACTTGATCGATGTGAAGTGTTTTGAGGTTTGTGGCTTGGCCGAGGACTGCAAAGCAGGCGTTGTTGTACGCCGTCATCCCACGGCTATAGTTGAAGGACATGATGCGCAAGTGCTTGAGCTGCTTGGCACCAGCTGGACTGATGTTCAACATGAAGTGGTAGAGGACTGTCGTGTCGGCGAATCTGAACTCGTTGTTGTAGAGCACGTCGCGTCCCTCATGGTAAACCTGCTTGCTCACAGCAAGCAATGAAGGTACGAGTTCCACTGGATCTGCCGTGTCGTTCCGGTCTATGTAGTACTGCGATCTGGATCTGGAGTAGTAGCCCCCAGCAATCTGAGACATGAGCCCCGGAGATATGCGTTCTACGGTGCGGCGCCGATGCCTGAAAGAAGCGACGAGGTTGATACCTGACGGATCTTCGAGAGTGTAGCCGTAGATCATGTTCCGGATCTCTGCTGGCAGCTGCAGGAATGGGAAGATCTTGCTCTTTGGAAGTTTCTTCGGTGCGACGGCTTTGCGTTTCTGTCTGATGTTAGATGGGAAGCATCGACGACGAAGATTCGTCCAACCTTTGCCGGAACACTCTCCAAGTCAGACTCGGTATCCGAGACGTCCAGCTCGTCCATGTGGTATGTGACCTGAGTCCTCTTGCGCTTGGAGTAGCGTCCAGAGGCAAAGGTCTCCTCATTGACTGCGACGTCAGACATGGTGAATTGGTCAATTGGGGGAGAAGATGTATGATTTGGATTGAATGCAATTGCGAAGTGCGCAATGAGATAGCGACACGAAAGAACGCGTCCTGACGCGTCTTTAATAGAAAGTGGAAGTGAGTGTCGCGTGGTCAGGTGTTCCTTCCTTTGGGATTAGCGTAGGCAGCAATGTGGCGAAACCGGGATCATTTGAGGCATCAACTCGATAGCTTCACGCCTCGATGCGGTCCAATTACAGTAATTGGACAGTAGGCATCGCAAGAACGTAATGCGCATCCAGCATACGGATGTGATGTAAGACAGGTGGAGTGAAGTGGTTGCGCAAGAAGAGTGCGAGCGCTTACTCACCATGCACGCTAAAATCATACAGTGCGTCCCTGCCCTACAAGAAATGGTCGCCACTTCTCTGTGTAGTTCTGTAGGAGATTGGCGAGGTATTAGAGGTAGTTCACGAGAGAAAACCGAGTGATGATCTTTCCGAACAAAAACGCCTGATATGCTTCTATGAGACCGCTTAGCAGTGGCCAAGACACTCAAAGTAAAGTAGAGATATGCTAGATGCCCAAACGCCACGCTAAGATGCCAATATTAACAAGAAAATGGGTATCTTGAAAAGCAGCAAGGAAGAAAGGAAATATGCCTTGAAATCGATCATCTCTTCGCAGGCGGCGCAAGCATAGCACCTCCTGCGGCCACGCCGTTTGTCTGCGGCTGATTGAGTATCGCCTTCACGCGATCGATCCTGCTCACAGCCTTCTCGAGCCTGTCTAACCTGGCCATCTTGTCCTTGTCCTTCCTCTCCAGTATCTCGATCCTTTCTTCGAGCTTGGCGCGGGCCTTTCGTTCTGTCGCGACCATTTCATTTGCTTGGGAGAACAGCTGCACGCTGAGTTCCTCAATCTCCGAGTCGACCTTTTCGGCCCGTTCTTCGGCTTTGGCGCGGAGTGCTCGCTCGCGTTCAAGCTCGTTCAGCAGCTCGGTGTCTGCTTGTGCTGAGGACCTGTTGGGAGGTGGTTGTGAGGTGGAGTTGTTTGGCGATATGCGGCGGCCAGTCAGAAAGGAAAAGCGAGATGGCCGTGAAGCTGGTCCGCCAGCGGTGGCAGGGCGAGGCTCTTCGTTTGATTGTCTCGAGGTTTCTAGCGCGTCGGATGTGTTGGATCGCTGAGGGCGATCTCGTTCAGGCCGGACTTGGAGACTTCGTATTTGGTCCTCGTAGTCGGCGCATTTGTCCACTGTCATGTGTGAGTCCCTCTACTCTTTGTACTTGTTGTCGCGTTTGCAGCAACCTACCAGCAGCCGTAGCCTTCTCCTTCAAGAACTCCATCTGCGCTTCGAGCTCTACAATCTTTCTCCTTGCCATCTCCACCTCTCCTGTATCAAGTTGAATGCTAGTCCCGCATTCTGGGCAGTTGTGGACGTGCTTTGTCGGTATTGATGGAGCTGGCGGTGGTGGAAGTTCGACAGTCGCCGCCATTGCGTGAGCTTACTGCTGAGTCGTGGTATGAATGACCTAGTCAAAGTTTAACACTTCACAATGTTAGAGATACTGTTGGTGTGTGGGGTCGGCGTCATCACGGATGGCGGAGTGCATCAGAGGCGCTTGCTGGGTTTCATCATGCAGGTGGAATCCCTGCCAACGCTCAGGGTCCAAGCGGACGCTAATTTAGGATCATCTTGTGACCCCACCCCAGTCCCCAACTGAGCCTCATCTGCACACTTGCATGGGTATTTTCGCTTTCCTTGGTGCACATTCACAGTACCACGCGACGTGACAAGTCCGACGCAAACAGAGAAATGATAGGCCAGCGGGCCTGGGCCTAGATGGAGTTACCCAAGCTCTTTCAAGGTCAAATTCTACTTGATAGATTCTCCGTCTTTGAAAATGTGAAATAATGATCAAGTACGCACATGTTGATGACGGGAACGAAACGAATAATAGTCATAAGGGTACTATGAATAAGTTGGTAGGATCCATTGACCAAGTCCTTACATCTACGTACTCAGGCGGCACTCAAGCTATATGCCGTCTTCTTTCCTCTGTCACTACTTCTTCTCCCGCCTTGCCGCAAGTGTATAAAAGATACTCCCATCATAAACCCCCCGAATATCCTCCTTCATCATCCTCCCATCCTCTGGCCAAAGCATAATCCAGGTCGCCACCCACTCGAAGAACGCGCCTCCCCACCCAATCGGGTCAGCCACACACCTCTGGCCCTTCATAACATCTAGCAGATCCCAAATCGTCAGATAGTCCCGTCCCGGCGCATATTTTGCAAAAATATCCTCAAACTTCTGCGGCACGAAGCGGCCTTCGTGGTCGTAGGTGCCGGTGTCGCTGCCGTGCTTGTCTTTGTGTACGGCGCTGAGGTAGATGCGGAAGAAGGGGTCGGGGAGGTAGCCGGAAACGGTGGGGTAAGAGAAGTTGGCGTGTATTATTAGGGTGGCGAGGATGCAGAGGAGAAGGTTGAAGCCGAGGCGGTGGAAGCCGATGAAGGTGTCGTGGGGCCAGAGGATGCCTGGAGAGGGTCAATTGAAGAGCTTTTGGGATGTGGAGGCGGGAGATAATTACCATCTTGGTCGCGGTCGAAGAAGTCGCAGTGTTGTTGGAGGACGGTTTGGTGTGCGTGCTTTTTGTTCCAATCGCCGCTTGTCGTACCTTCGGGTTGCTCGTACGACGGTGCTAGATTCGCTCGACTTTCGCCCGCGTTTACGAGCCTAGAGCTCTTGGGGTTTACGAAAGGTTTGCGTTGAGTTGTTATCGGCACCGTGGAGATGGAACGTGTGATATCTTCTGGCTTAGTGCCATTTGCGAGGTCTACACTTGGAGCCATTGTTGCTGAAGGCCAGAAGAACGACTGATGTTGCTGCTAGGATGCTTTAAGCTTGAGAATGTTGGAAGGAGTATTGCTGAACTGTCTTTATCGCTGAACGATTTTACATTTTCACATGCAAATGTTCGATTGCTCAGAATGACGTCAGACCTTACCTGCCATTCGAACATCTAGTTCCTCAACGTGAAACATTGACTGGACCCGGCGGTGTTGCAGAGCCCACTGTTGCTAACAGAGCTAAGCTTTCGGCGTAGCCTACTGCAGGTGTGAGCCAATCGGAGCAAGCGGATACATCATATTGTACTTTGTGCTTGATGATATAAGATATGATGCGGGACCGCACGTTTAGGACGCAATGGCTTGCCAGCTGCATAAGTTATTGGTAAGACTAGATTGTTATTGAGCATGCTGCAGCTTCGTTTCTTCATATTTTTGGAAGCCAGAGCTGGACGTACTCGCCCGGGATTCGCCCACTTGCTACTCCCACTCCTTGAATGCTTTTTGTTTTTGTCTCGAATTCCATTGCAGCGTCCTTGAGATACTATCGATCCAATCCGTCCTCCTCCTTGTCATTGGTAGAACGCTTGGAAACGGAAATCGCGATGCGCTAATCGTCACATAATCGCCAGGCTTAAGCTCGACTCGTTCTCGGCCGTCGAAGCTCGCCCATGAACTTGTTCTCGCATCGTAGGGTACTCCAGCGCGGAGCACAATTGTGTCTGGTAGAATGATAGGTCGGAAGGATAATGTGTGGGCGCAAATCGCAGTGACAAGAATGACCGGATTATCCGGATGGCACAGGGAGCCTCCTGCTGCAAGATTGTATGCTGTGCTACCAGTCGGTGTAGACACACAAATGCCGTCTGCTTGAATCGTCGTGAAGTGCTCATCGTCGCCAAAGAGCTCAATGCTCGACATTGTCGGGTTCGGCCCGCGATCTACAACTACCTCGTTGAGTATGTTATACGTGCCATCTGGCTTGTGCGTGTGGTTGTCCTCAGCCTCCTCGCCTATCAATTCTTCGACCAAGTCACGACCTTTGCCCTCGCGCTCTTGTGATCGCATGACCGTGGCTTCGAAGCGGAGGCGGAGATTTACGGTAATTCCCTCGTCAAATGCACGAGATAAAGTTACAGGGAATTGGTCGAAGTCAAACTTGGTGAGGAAGCCAAGGGAGCCAAGGGAGAAGGCTAAAACGGGCGGCACAATGCGCTGGAAGAGCCACGATGCGTATAGAACGGTACCGTCGCCGCCGAGCTGTGCAACAATGAGCATTAGTGTCTTCAACAATATCTGGGTAATCTTACCGCAAGGACTATATCAAACGTCTGAGGCTTCTCGGCACAGAGCTCATTCGTCCAGTACTTTAATCGCCCTTGATATGATGGATTCTTCTTAAGTAGACCGGCAGCATCGAATGCCTTGTTCTCTTCCAAAGTCTGCTCGACATAGCTACTTTTTGTCAGCTCCAAGCATTCAAGAGTGCCAAGTAAGTTAGGACATACACTTTGTAGCGCTCGTTCTTGGTCAGGAGCCAATCTACAGTTTCCCGCGAATGCTTTATGAGCGTCTCGTCGTGTGCCTTGCCGAGAATAAAAATGTTCTTGACGTGTAGCTTGAGCCGTATCTGCGCGAGTTTCTTGGAAAGCTCGCGTATGCCGAATGCCATGTCCGATATTTGCTTCTTGGTCAACAGCCGGGAGTGCTGTGCGTTATCTGCGTGTGCATAAGGGTCTTTGTCTACAAGTCTCTCTTGCTTAAGGCCCTCGTAGGAGGCGTCGTGATCCTGCATCTTGACGCCATCGTGCTTTTCGAGTAATGAATGCACGATACATGCGGTCGACCGGCGATCATTGGGAGGACGACCCGACGAAGAACCATTGGGGGGCGCGAGGGAGGCTTTGCGACGGTGAGAGAAGTCGCCTTCGAAGACGACCTGTTGGTTGATTGTCAGCAGGGAGAAGCGAGAAGTGGGATACGGCACATACCTCAAGGGCTTCGTCGTTGTTACTGCTCATCCTTGAGAGGCTTTGTGTATCCTGGTCGGGTAACTCGAACTCAGAGAGGATGTTAGCATAACTACAGACGCGTCGTTATGACGTTTGTTGACCTGGGCATACCTCGGCAGCTTCCTTCATACCCGGGCTCAGATGATCGAAGTAGTCAGAAGCCATGGAATTGGCCATGGCAAAGAAATCACTATAGGCAAAAGCCGAGGAAAGTCTACCGCCTTGTATGTAGTTCGTGCGCAGAGTCCAAATAACAGGATCGGCGCGTTGCATTTTCCGCGGGGCACCTACGGGCGCCCCGCATCACCAATCATTGACCAACGGGCGATGATGTCAGCGTCCGGCATTCTTACTGATCCGACAACTTGCACCAGTTAAGGCAACGGTAATCGTGATGAAACCTTGTCAAAGTGGTACCTCGACTGATTGAAGCACCTCTTCGATTACATCCTCTTCTGTGACCCCGTCGAGAACCGCTTTCACAGCTTCGAGAGAGCTACCCCACTGCATACTTCGTTCGTCTTCTGGTTCGGTGATCAAAATGCGATGCGGATAAATTTTGCGCGCTGCGAGTGCGACCAGTGACGGAGATACGTATGTAAGACCATGGAGAGGCGCAAGAGCACTATGCGAGTTAGATTGCCACTGGCAGTGTTTAGCACGAATACGTACTGAGCTAGAGTGTTGAAATGTCTAGTTGCCATAGCCGATATGCCTCCAGCGACAGCTCGGTGCAGCCTCATAAATACTACAATATTGTGCAAATAAGCTCGTACCTCTGAGCTTATCTTGACATCAACCATACGTGAGGTCAATTGGAGAAGGTCCTGTCCATGTTAGCATACTGGCACGCCTCCAAGTACCCAACGCACCTCATTTGAGAACAAGGCTATCTGCGGAAGACGCTTTGCTTGAATGAATGGTGGCGTATGTACGACGGATGAGGTCGAGGCATTGTCTGGCTGCACCATCTCTCCTGCTGCGAGGTCTTCAAGGTTTGGTAAGGCATCTTCGTCTTGGTGTCTGTGAGAAATGAAGAACTGGTCATTCTGGACTATGTTAGTGATAATAGACAAGGCGTACCGAAGGTACAAACCAGATGCATAGTCAGACGCGGCGTTTTGCCTGAATTGAGTGCAATGAACAGGAAAGTTCTTGGAGCAGCGTAGACGGCCGTCCTAGAAAAGTTTCGTTTCCCTCGGATGAGCTACACACGCTTTAGTGTTTATGCTGTCGTAGTTCAGACAATGGGCCTACCTCAAGGGCTTGGATCTGAACTTGTGAGCTTGCCATATTCAGGTTCTTCGCGACAACGATGTTCGCTATCTTTCGTGTGTCCAGAGGACTGAACGGTCTCGGAGACTTTGAACCCCTCTTGTTCCCGGAACGTGGTGTTCCCATTCTGGACGACAGCTTGGGTATAAATTAGCCACATTCTCGTCACCAAATGTGCAAAGCATACGTCGTCGTTGATCTTCGCCATCTTGCTGGTGAAGTAATCGTCTCCATCTTCTCCAACAAGGATGCCATTTCCAAAATCATCGAGCGTGGTGAGTTCACTGCAACTCAAAACCGCGCACGTGAGCCCAAATACATCTCTTGCAATCTATTGACGTCAGGGAATGGCCCAAAACAGCAGCACACGCTCGACTCACAAGTCGCAACTCTTCCTCGACGTTGTTGCTCAAGTGCTGCTCCGTGTCGATGATGCAGTGCTGATCCGCAACGAGACAGATCAGTACCGCAAGCTCGAGATCGCTCAGAGCTTGAACTTTGATCGCGACCGGGTCCTCGATTTCTTCCATGATTGATCGCTACGAGCACTTCGATATGTATTCCATGTTGATGTGTGAGCGATGCAGCAATGATGGTTGGTTGCGGTGAGTTGTCACGCTAAAAGCACGGGCCGTGGCTTGGACGCGACTTCGATGCGGAAGCACATGACTTTTGATATCCGACAGATCCTGCATCTACACATGCATATCACAATCTTTGAGAGATTTGAAGTGCTTGATCCCTCCCGAAACTCGCTGAGCCTCTCGCAGTGCCGCTTTCCACGAGCTCTCCTATTTGGTGTGCTAGCTTGCAGAGGACTGAGAGCTTCCTGTGCGAACGTCCCTTTCCCAATCACCTCACCGGCGGCCCAATTAAGCCACAACTCACGCGCCCGCCGCGCTGTTAACTTTTAAATATAGCGACGACAGGGAATTCTCATCATTGAACGCCGCTATTCCCTAACCAAAGCCTCGGATTTGAGGAGCGACTTGACAAAGGCGACGATGGCCTTTACACCAATGGTAGCGACTTTATCGCCATCTCCCAAGTTGGGATTGAATGAACAGACTGTGAGGGATTTTGGGGTAGCTTTCTGCGGGACGAGATCCATACACTTTATCAAGTCATCCTCTTGCAAACCTCCTGGGCTCTCATAACCATTGACCTTCCCGATGCTTTCATCCAAAACATCAAGGTCAAGATGGACCAAAGCGGGCGAATAGTCCTTTGCACTCAGAGCTTCCGTGAGCCTACTCGCAAAGTCCACGTGTTTGCCTGGTTCTCCCCAGATGACCTCCGCTCCAGCCTCTCGCACAGTCTCCTTCTGACTATCCTCGATATCGCGAAGGCCGCAGTAGATCATCTTGTCGTACTTGTGCGGAGTGTATCCAGGAATAGTATTTGCCAACCGATGGAAGCTTTTCCCACCTAGCATTGACAGGCCCATCGCATCCAAGTATCCGTTCATGTTCGTTGATGGTGTGTCCATATCGTCGTGCGCATCAAAGTAGATCCAGCCAAGATCCTTGAGGCCCAGCCCACAAGCAACTCCAGCGCTTGCCATACAGTTTCCCGATAAAACAAGAGGAAAGGAACGATTGGCGCACACATCTGACACCACCTTAGACGTCCGCCGGAGTAACTCAAAGCTGCGACCTATCTCCCCTTCAAAATCATCAACCGGTGGCAGCTCAACAACGTGTATAGTTACGCCGAGCTTTTTCAATTCTTCGATGACACCCATTGCTCGAATGCGGTTCGGGCCGTCACCGACACGGTGATCACGAAGGCCAACATGATAGGGTGAAAAGATGACAGTGATAGAATTTGCGCTCATCGTAACTCAAGTAATTTCAGAGGTCGGAATAGATAGTGTTCTAGCGATGCACCAGCGCGAAAGCAGAGATTACTTCACCGCGATTCTGCGAATGCCGATCCTACGTCACAAGTTGGAGCATCCTCCAATTCAATAACAACAAAATGTTAAGAGTTCTTGTTAGCGCCTCGCTTAGCCGTTCATCGCTACTTGTCAATTTTTGTATTTGAAGTAGTCGTATGCATATTCTTTGATCTCACACATATATACTGCAAAGACTTGGCGCTGGTCCTGTATAATTGCGCTCATATGTATGCGCATGCCCAAATTTACATGGCGTCCAGAGCCATTCTTCCGAGCAATTCGCCGCGTCACGATCCGTAAACCATGGCCCACTGCGAAACGCCTTCACCACCCTCCTGTCTGCGGCCCTTACTGTTTACCCTTCCAACACCCAGCTTCAGCTCTCCAACATCCTTGAACCCCAGGCGCGCGTAGATGTCCCGCGAACGCGGGGATGTCGCCTCGAGGACGACTGGCCACCCACGCGAGGTCGCCATCTCCAGCATGGGCCTGATCACGTCGCTTGCACCCACTTTTCGGCCATCGCTGGGCACAGATTCCTTATCGTTGGCGATCAAAGCCAGATGCAGGAGCTTTTTTGGTGGTGTCAAAATACGCTTTCTTGCTACGTCTGCCTGCGCGTTCATTTCATTGAGCACCCGCGGCAAGTGTTCGTGATCTTCGTATGGCCCATCCTTCAGATCTTCGAGATACCTATTGATGGTCGCAATGAGCGCTGTGCAAATCGAGCAGCCTGATGAAATGATTGAGCCGAATTCCTTGACTTACCAGATAGACGTAACTCCGCTGCCAGGTACAGTCGCAAAGACTCCTCCTTCTTCTGACAACAACCCTTTCAGTGAGTTTTCGAACATTCGCGTGTTGAGCGGAATATCCAGATCCTGTGAATCAGGAATATCAAAAGTGTCGAACACCAGGTAGCGCTGAAATATGTCGTTGACGAAGCATTTCGACAATGTCTTTAATGTGTGCTCGTGAGTATCCTGAATAAGTCCTGCTGGAAGCTCCATGGTGATTGATATGCTGTATGATGCACGATACTCGATGTCGTTTATGTGTTGCGGAAGGCGGACCTGTCGATCTTGTCTGTCTCTAGATGGGAAGTCCAGCCGAAAATAGTGTTTCGAGCTCGGCGCTTGCATGAATCAACCCCACGCTTGTCACACAAGTTCACCCGCTTCACCCATACGGGCCGTCTACGGTGGCTCACCTTCGGCCGCGCTACGATATTCAACTTCGCAAATACTGGCAATTCCTCGAACGGTCCGATGCTTTATAAGCACTTTGCACGGCACTACTTTGCTGCGATTCTCATTCAAGCCTAGACTTTGCAGTCTTACTTGCAATGGTCTCAGCACTCAAACACCGCCGATCCGGGCACCTTGTACGGCAGTTGGTTATAAATACTGAAGACGACGTCCGTATCCTCGCTATCATATGACTCCGCGACGCTTATCAAATCATGCTCTGGAATCGTCTTGCCCTCACCACTGACTTGTAACGGATGACACCCAGGATGGAAATGCGCACCACCCTCACTGTATACAATATGAAGTGCGATCATCACATGGCGTACGAACTTCGATCCCAGCTGCGAGCACTCCGGAATCGCGTAATCCACGACATCATCTGGAGCGGTGATGAGTAGCGTGGCAGGTCACTGAATGCCCAGTGCTGCATCATCGCGTCAGAGATCTAAGCAATATTGTCTGCTGCCCGTGATTTTCAGTACCAGGATATCTCGCCATGCATTTCGGCACCCGTACTTGATGGCTTTCTAGCCACTGCGTCCATTTTATATGTACCACCGATTCTACGGGCGCTGGACCGTGTAGAATTGCGGGTTCAGTTCGGATGATGCCGCTAAAGTTTTTACCGCCACACTCGAGATTGATGAAGGAAACATTGTCGATGGGAAAATGCCCAAAATCGCACGAGAAATGCAGGCCGACTACAAACCTGGGCACGCGGTTATCGAACAGTATTGCGAAAGTATCGCTGGGCTCATATTAGGGGTTTTGGCAGGAATGAAAGAGAGGTCACTGTCGTGCAAGAAACGAGTAGGGCTGGAGTAGGCAAACGTGGTAGAACTGGTCGAGGTACTGACTGGATCATAGCCGCATCGCATTCTGCATGAAGCCACGAGCGGCAACAAAGGACATGTATGCAAGAGACGCTACGAAAATCTCTGCGACGTGAAGATCTGCTCTTATACACACCCACAGTCATGCTCCTCGAACATCTCTCCTGAGGATCGCCGATAACAAATTATCCGATGTCTCCGCGTATAAAGGTCGACCAAGAAGCATTATCTAAGCAGCAAGGCGCAGGTCAGTTCAGCCAAGGCATTGTCTCAGACTTGGCTGACACTCTGCTGATCAAGTCGCGAATGGTCATTGCACTGGCTCGAGAGGATGGGCGCTTGAAGATTTGGGGTTCATGGTGGCGTTCAAGCATCATTACGCAGACAATTGTGTGGTGAAAGAGGGTGAAGTTCGATAAGTGCCATTTCGATCCGCTTGACTTGGCAGGTGGAGCCGCGTCATCCCGAGGTCGTCACAGACCTCGTTCGCGACTTCGCCTCAATCGCCTCCAGCGACTGCGACGCCACGAACGGGAAATGTGGATCGCAAATGGTTTGATACGAAGAAGTCATGCTCGGCGTTGTCTGTGGGCTTGCCTATCCGCCCCAGGCATGACCTCTATAACAACACCTTGAGCCACTCTCACTCTACACCTTCTGACTTTCTTGTACATCGTTGGTGCGCCTTTGATAGTTGTCGCAAACATGCATTTCGCGTCTTTCATCGTCGCTGTAGCCGCAGCCATCCGCGTTGCGCATGCGGATTTCATGGTCTACACAGTGCCACCGATCCCGACTGATCAGATCCCGTCTTTCACAGATCCAGCAGAGGTAAGCCTGACGCAGTTTCAATCTCACAACTTGTATTGATGTATCATAGGCTTCAGGTTGGACCTTCAGCGTCCTCGTAAATGGAAACCGCGCCTACGATAGATTCACCAGCGGCCTCGGATCCACATACCAATCGTCGCGATCATCCGCTGCCTCCGAGATAGCCGCCTTCGCACGAAGCGCCTCGAACTACTCGATCCCCGCTGATGTGACCAACGATGGCACCACAACTACCTTCTTCTCGAAGCCGGACTGGTATACGGCACTGCCAAGCAGCGCACGAGCATTCAAGGAGCAGCAGGTCTCCGACCAGTTCAGTATCGTTAGATCAATCATCGGCCGAACGGCGGCGACTGCAAGCTCCACTGGTGCAGCTGTGCCAACGGCGCAAGCGTTCCTGGATGCGAAGTTCGGCGTCATGGCAGCTGCCGCTGCGGCGGTCTTCTTGTAGACGAGGGCTACGGAGGAAAAGGCTTGAAACAAAGCATGGGGAGAGCATCACGAACATTTTACGAAATGCGTACCAGTAATGAGAAGAACGAATATTGCCCACGCGAGATGTAATCCTCAATGGGCACGGATATCCACTGACATGTTCAAGACGAATACGAGCAAACCATGTTACCACACCGTAACGTATAAAAACCAATTAGTATTTCGTTTCGTGTCATGACTATTCAACACATGTTGCGTCGCGTCGCATGGCTGTTCCATTGCTCCATATATCACAAGCGTACCAATGGTGTGCTTCTCTATACGCCTTTCGGCCCGCTCGTGGCTACAAGTCTTGGCGACGATGGCTTGCCCAAACTGGTTTGAGCATATTGTAAGATCATAAACAGGAAGATGAGCATTTGCGTCGGAAAATACTCATCAGCATTATGGCTTCAAAACCTTTTGGCGTCACCGTCCACCCATTCACTTCTCCAACGCCTTCGGCCTGCGCGTACGAGCGCGGCAACACTTCCTCTCGCAATGCGTTGGTATACATCGATGGCTTGACTGGCGGTCCACATAGAGCTCGGCATCTCAATCCTCTTATCGAAGCTCTCCAGGCAGATTCAGAGTTGAGTTACTCATTCTGGGAGTTCCGCATGCGCAGCTCCTATACAGGCTTCGGATTTTCCAGTCTCGCGAACGATGTCGAAGACATCTCGGCACTTGTAACACATCTGCGAGAACTGGGCAAGGAGAATATTGTGTTATTGGGAAGCTCGACTGGTAGGTTCTCGAAACTAGAAGTTCCAGGCACGATACTCACCTTGGGTAGGATGCCAGGGTATTCTTACATACGTCTCGTCTGATGCATCCACACCCGTCAACGCATATATTCTTCAAGCACCAACCTCCGACCGCGAACTAGGCAGTCTTCTCATGCCAGCAGATTTCCTAGCACAGACTCTCAAACACGCAGAAGAAATGATCGCTCGTGGAGAGAAAGACGAGATCATGCCCAAGTCACTGATTCCGCCGATCTTCTCCTCGCCCGTCACAGCATACCGATGGCACTCACTTATCGCCAAGGGCGGAGATGATGACTTCTTCTCATCGGATCTTGCTGATGAAGCCCTCGTTGTGACGTTTGGGAAGTTGGACAAGCCCACGTTGATCATTCCTTCGGAGAACGATGAGATGGTTCCGCCAACTGTGGACAAGAAGACGTTGCTGCAGCGCTGGATTAAGGTGGCGCCAGAGGGTATGGTGAGTGAACTTTCGGGGCTCAATCCCGGTGCGGATCATCAATTGAGTGAGGAGGGTACGCAGTTGTGGTTCACGGATAGGGTGTTGAGGTTTTTAAAGACATTGAATTAGGCACCAGTTGATATTTTGATGTATACTGTTTTTGCCTGCAAATCGTACGCTACCTTGTAAGCCCTGGAATACAAAAGGCCCTCTGCATAAGCTCGTGACAAAATATGAGAAGATGTACCAATGAGATGGTGTGAAACTATATGAAGCAAATATAAAGAAAAGGAGTGAATGAAAAATCGAAACTGTCATGTGACTCGTTCGGTACTGCAAAGTATGTGACGCACAATCGGCTGCGGTGACATGAAAACAAGTGTTGGGAGAAGCTGACCATGGCTGTGTGGATATGCATCCAAGGTGATCACCATTTGCAAGCAAGAAGGCGGCGCCGTTTCCTGCTAGACCCCGATGTTTTCGTAAGGTTGTTCTCACACCACTCATCAGACTTCGGATCTGCAGCAAGTCAGCAAACTTTCTGATCCTCTATACTAGCATCGGGGCTTCTCACCATGGTGTTCCAAGTCGCCATTGCAATCGATCTTTCGATTACCCTTCCACAGTGCACCCGGGTTGCTACCGTCGTTGTTATAGGTAAACTGTTCCCCATACAAGTTGAACTTCCACTCCCCACGAGGCCACACAGGGTTTTCAAGTAGCTTAACATCGCCGACTGGACCCAGCTGATCTTGGTGAAAATCGATCAGCGTCGAGGTGCAGAGACTATCCACATCATCAACGCGGTCCAGTCGGTAGAAGAAATGCCGATACATGTAGTCGTGTGCCTCGGTGCAGATGGTGGTAGGCTTTGTATTAGTGCCTGATGGAGTGTAGGTTGTGCAGCGGGGAATGCCGACTTGTTCCAGACCTACCACGAACGTCTGGCGTTCGTTCTGCACCTGCGGTGGTGGCGGTGGTGAGTTTGACGCGCTATCACTGACGGACTTGTGTGCAGCTTCATCTGCGCCGTTCCAAATCTAGTTCGGTTAGCAAGGAGTATGCTATGCTTTTTGGCTTGTTACTTACCATGTTCACCTTCATGTTGGGCTTGTCAGGAAACTGGTTCTTGATACGCTCCCAGCTGGATTCCGGTGTCTGTATCCATCGCCTTATCTCTTTCACTCTTGCAAGGCCAGTGTTGTCTTTACCCCATGGTTGATAGTTCATGTGTACTGCAATGATGCCGGCAACCGCAGGAGCCGCCATCGATGTTCCCGTGGCCCGTGTCTCTTTGCCATCGATGTGGTCATGAACGACTACATCTACTCCCGGGGCATATATTGCGAGCTGTGTGCCATCTTGAGACCCTTGCCCTTGGGATTTTTCCCACGCTTTGCCTTCCACAGTAGTGGCTCCAACGTTGATGAGCGGGACATCATCGGTTGCTAAAACGGCTGGGAGCGTATCAATGACGTCTCGTTTGTCGATATCGCCAAAGTTCCCGGAAGCAAGAACAATAGGTACCCCTTCTTCATGTAATAGCTTTATCCACTTGGAGAACATTCGGCCAACGAACTGAGCCTCCGCTTCTTGGCGCGTCCAGCCACCCTGCGAAGGTACGACATGAACGCTACAGACTACGACCTGTGCCGAAGATGTTAGTTGCAAATGGTATGTACCAGTGAACAGACTGAGAGAGGAAATGCAACACCAGCGGACGTTGAGAGTACACAAAGCCATGAACTACATACCGCTTGAATGCTCTGTCCTCTGTTCTGCGCCTTTCTTCGACGGAGGTCTTTCCAAACTTGGTTGAAGCCATCTGGTAAGTCAGCAAACTCGTCAACCAGGACTTGTACTGGAACCAAGGTTGCGCCTTTTGCTGTGCCCCACTGACCCACGACCTTGGATGCGACTTTCGTCCCGTGACCGTCGGCATAATCTGTTCTTTTATCGTGCGCTGCGTTTTGATTGCTGAACGCCCGTGTCTCGAGGATTGTAAATCTGTCATTGACGTCCTCGAATCCGGAAAACAATTTGTTGCTTTTGTCCTTGTATGAAATTAGGAAAGTGGTATGGAGTAGTTGGAGGAAGGGGCGTACATCTCTGACGTCGACTTGAACACCTCTGTCAACAACATAGACAAGTGTTCCTTCCCCAGCTCTCTTTTCGAACACGAAATCTTTCCTATCATGCAAACTTTCGTTAGCCGATGACGTGATATGTATTGAAGATGTAGTTGCCATACAGATCATTGAGTTTGCCTCCCCTAAAGACGATGTTAGCCATGTTGCTTTTGTAACTAAGTTTCGCCTGAGACTCACTCATAATTACTATTTTGAGTCAAATCGCTGGCCGCATTCTCCTGCTTGGCCCAGTCGCCCCACTCAGCCTTGCGGGAGTGTAAGGACTCATGACTAGTGTGCTTGAGATCGCCAAGTGGGCTCATTCCCACGACTTTCAAATTCGATTCCAGCTCGATTGTCTCGATCCATTCTTTCTTGGCTTTTATCAGCTCGAATCCTGCTTGGTCCAGGATCAAATGCGACCATGCGTAAGGTTTCTCGTAGCTGTCTATTCCTTCGTCCCATCGTCCTTCATCGTACAGCTTTTGTAGTTCATCGTTGGGGACTTCTTCAGGCTCCCATGGGAAGCCTCTCCTCTCAAACAACTTCGATTTGTCTTTCACAATGCCTTCAAGCCACTTACGCGTTGCGGCCGTTTGTGTGTCGTTCTTCATGTCAGTCGCATACGCAATGTATGAATGAGTTTCTGCGGCTTGTTCGTCGCGTTTAGCTGCATTTGCTGATGTAACCGGCGTGTCTTTGAGCTCCGGCTGAGCGACGTTTCTGGTCATCATGGACGAATGACTTCTGCCTGTGATCCCATCATCGGCATTGATCTGAGAACGATCTAAAGCTTGCCGATCAGCATATGCATTTGAGAGAATGGCTTGGATTAGGAGGGACAAAGCGAAGATGCTCTTCATGGCTGAAAGGGGAATTCGTTGATGCGCGATGTTTGCTTTGAAAAAGAGTAGGAAGAGGTATGAGGTTGATAGTTGTAATGAGATTCCACGATCCGGAGGATTTTGCCATATTTATGCTCTCAATCAGGTGCCTACAGTCCCATGACAGTGGAAGCACTTGCATGCTATTCCAGAGAGGCACAGCATAGCCGCCCCAGCCTGAAGCATGCTGCAACGCCGTATAGCTCATTTCGAGTAAAAGAGAGGCGCAATGCAGCTCCAACATCGATGGCACAGTCGTCAAGTATGTTGGAGGCGTAATGCTCCGTGGTATGCAATGCGCGAATATGGCGGCGCCTGGAACTGCAATTGTTCGTAGTACAGAACATATCCTATCCCACAGGGCCAATGATACAGAACAAAAAGACAAGTAAAGGACAGGAAGATAAGTGCATCACTTGCCAGACTTAGCTGGGTGACTGGGTCAAAAAAACTCCGCAGCTGCTTGCAGGCAGCCTTGACTTACCGTCCATGATCGTCAAGCTACCTTCGAGAGGTTCAGGAGCGCAATGAATGGCTATGCTGCTGGCCCCAAATAAGGCGTGGTGATCGGTGGCGAGGTCGGCGTACGGTGACAGCTATCGTCTACGTTGACGCTCTCGTGATGTGGTTGCCTACACGGACTGGCGCGTACCTAGGTCCGAGTATCTCGCGGAATCAACAGTTTCAGGGTGAGTCAATCTGGTCAAGGAAATAGAGGACACGGTTAAGCGCCGTAGATGTTTGAAACGTCATTGCATGATGTCGTATGGAGCTTTCGGGGCTTATGCGGGGAACGAGTGCGGCGTAGCAAGGCTGCTCAGATGACCCCGCTGTGACAGCAGAATGCGGCAGCAAGAGTCTGGAACATAACCAATGGCTCAGCCCCATATACAGTGTATGGAACCGTGGCGAAGCGTTTCGTTCGAATACAGCCCCCAGAATATTGATCCGGCTCACATCAAGGATGTGATATCGAGAGTTGTAGAGCGCGACATCGCGAAACGCGGGCCATACAGCTCGACACTCGATTTGGATTGAGTTCTGAAGGCGTAATGTAAGAGGGACTCAAAGCACCGACGTACCAGTAGTCGCAGTTGAAAGCTTCCTGACACTTTGCTCTAAAATAATACTCTCACACTGACTCTGGTACGATACAGCACCAACATTAGCTTTTATCTCGCGTCATGCGAAGGCTGTCATAACTGACACTCTGCGCAAGATGATTTGAAGAGGTATCGATTCCGTAGTGCTGCCTGTGTCGCTAGCACAGTCGTTGAGCATGGCCCTCTTTTCGTACTTCGAAAATACCTGTTTCTTCAACTATATGTCCTAGCTAAATAAAGATTTTAGATTGCGTATGTGGCACATGAATTGGCATAAAGCTGTACCATTGGTAGTAAAGGTAATCGTACACGGGTTCTCGTTTGGGCGAAGATTTGCCGATGTGAAGTGCAGGCTCCAACATGACATCACGTCACGTGTAAGCACGTGCCTCTGGCTGCCTAGCTTCCACGCTAGCGGCGCTAGCGACGCACGCCCCTTCCTCCCAGTATATAAACTGCCCGCCTCTCCTCCCTTGACAAAATCATACTTACCTTCTTGCGATCACCCAGCTCAAAGATTGGGTTGATCTATTTGGCTCTCCTGCATTGCACAACGCGGTGAGGGCTGAATACTGTTCTCCTTCGGGGGCACAGGCGGGGCAATTTTTGCTGGACTGCTTTCGGAAAGCTGCTTTTCATTGATACCATTGCCGTTGGGCGATGATTTGAAGAAGAGCGCAGCTACACGTTGGCGCCTACACAGCCTATATCACTAACGTTTCTCGTCCGCCTACCAACCCACAGTCTTTGAACACAACCTTCGCGTCTCGAGGAAAATGATCACACCGACTATACGTGGTGTGGCCTTTACCCTAAGCTTCTCCAGCCTCGCGAAGTGAGCGCCTCTCACTACTCCACGCCATCTACAATCGGCCGCCCGGTTGCGCATAGCTACGCGGCTTTGAAAACGGTGCGTGCCGGACGATAATCGCTGGTCGCCTCGACGCAGTACGCTCGGCGACCGCTTTCATACATAAAAAACTGCACGTCAACCCCGTGGCTCCAACTCCAGCTTTCCCGCGTCACTATCGCTTGAGTTCGATGAAAGAGCCGACTCGATTCAGCGCATATTGCGCCCAATGTAGCATGATCCAATATCACAGTCTAGGCGTCCTAGGCACACCTGCAGCACACTGGAAGTGTAGAGGTGAACGTCGAATGCAAACACCCAGAGCGAAGTAGCGGTGGATGCAAGGGGCCTCATATTCAAGCTATACTATAGTAGATCTAGCGTTGCCTCGACAGGCAGCATGGAAAGCACTTTCAAATTTTCCACCGATCTTGTTATCAACAACATGATGGAGAAGCAACTTGACAACTTCCGCATGGCCTCGATAGGCTGCACAGTGAAGATCATTTCCAAGCCTGCCGCACTGTATGCCCGTAGTCATTTCGTTGGTTCCCAGTCGCAGTCAGCCGGCCAATCATGCTTTTCAAGCACACTCGAGAGTCCGTATACACAGATAGCAAACAGCGGGAAGCACTGTTCACTGCTGATGATCTCCATAGCCATTTTCTGAGCATGATCGAGCGGTAGAGAATGGTAAGCAGCTCGAACGTTGTCGATCCAGACCTTAGCTCCCAAAGATGGCTCGCCATCATCAAAGAGAAACTCGTGTACGTCTTGGATAAGAGAGAAGTCCTTGCTTAGAGATAGTGCTGCGGAGAAATGGTGGCCGCAGTAGAGAGCAGCACATTTGCAAAGCGACTCCGTGGGGCAGAACGCTGTAATTTTATCTTCTGGAAAGTCATTGCAGGTGGCTAGATAGCTATTTGCAAGCGAACGCTGGCCTTGACTCTGGTCTGTATGTATTTTATAGCGACATAAAATCTCGGACAGGAGCACATGAGCGAAACGAAAGACGTTCATGTTGCTGCATCCAGACACCACGAACCCAAGGCCATATGGCTAACCTACGGTATCAGTCGTCACATGCTCCAGATTGATTGTGGAAACGACAGCGCGGAGAAAAGTGTCCGCTTTCATGAGCTCTGGTGCATGTAGAAGCCAAGAAAAAACGAAGACGGCGATTTCATGAGAGACTTTACCAGCTTGCTGAATTCTCCGATAACCCGTTCGATATAGGTCATCCAGGGATGGGTTTAAACTCGAAGCCAGAGCAGATAAAACGTTTTTCTCGTGTTTGAACGAGCAGAGATGGAGAATTTGTAATTCGACCCATAGGAACATCTCTCCAGCACCAGAAACGAGGCCTTCGACCAGCCTAACCTTCAACGTTTCGGTCACATTCCCCATAAGAAGCTTAAGCTCCGATATGGCGCTGCTCACAGCGTGGACCGTGAATGATCGTATGTCAGTTCTGTTATACTCATTTGTAACGCGGATGTTATTGATCGTAGGCAGCATCGCAAAGACTCCAGGGTCGTCTCGAGTCGTCATGAACACTTTGAAGATGTTCCCGGATTTGCTAATGATAGCTTGAAGTGCATCCACGAGCTTTTTTGGTTCTTCAACCTCGTCTAAGGCGTCTATGACGATGGTAGCTGGATTATCCGCAAGAGCAGCTAAAATCAGCTCAACGCATTCAGAGATGCTGAATTTGGCTGGTCCGAAGCCATCAATCTTGATCTGCTGGATTGACTTCTGATGAAGTGTGATAACAGCGTTGTGAATTTGTCGGGATGGAAGCGAAGAAACTGTAAGTTGTCTTGCGAGGCTTCTCAGAACGCCCTCTGCTGATTGTCTCTCTGGCTCAGGATTGGAAGAATTGCAGTAAAAGTATGCGAGAGGCGCCATGGTTGGTGTCCTTCGAATATTTTCCAGATACTTCTCAATGACAGCTGTGCAGAGCGAAGTCTTCCCACAACCGGCAATCCCATGGAGCAGTAAAGATGTACATGAGCTGGTTGCTTCCCAATTGAGGAATTCTACATGTTGCACCAGCCACTTTCCCGTACCTTTAAGTCCTGCATCTCGATGACTGGCGAGGTGGCGACTGTAAGGAACGACAGAGAGCCAACTTTGAATGCTCAAGTACTCTTTTTCTTCCATAGCCTTTTTTGTGGCGATTGTGAGATCTGCCAAGCGAAGGACTTGTGATTCCAAGTTCAAAACTCTTTCCGAATCAATTAGGCAGGCAATCTTCAGGACTTCGGCTCCAGCCGCGAGGACATCTTTCATGTCTTCCTCGTGCAATGAGCGAAACGGAGCCTTCGTGACTCTCGCGACGGCCGACTAATCCAGAAACTTCACTACCCTAGCCAAAAGGTGCAAGATGACTGTATACGTCTTGACCAGGGCTTCACAGAGCTGGCCGTGAAGACCTGACGTCGTCGCTTTGTACAGCCTCTCAAATTCGAGAGACCTCGCCATGAGGCTAGCGATCTTCTCGAGGTCCTCTACCGTACTAATGTTGATTGTCGTGTTGTTGATAGCTGCCTGCAGGAGAAAGCGAAAGGCAGCCCAGGGCAGCGCAGCATGGCCTGGATCATACTAGACGATCTGATCCCCAACCTCTTTGAACCGACGAATCCAGTATATGACCTTCTCCATGACGTCTCGAAAGATGATATCGTCTTGACCCGAGGATCTTTTGATGCGCCATCGTTTCTTTATCGCCAGCTGACGCTTTGCTTCAGCCGTTTTGAGGCAGCTGAAGCAACGTCTATTTTTCCAGTCTTCGCCGGGCCAAAGACTTTAGCGACTGATGTGGGGAGAGTGTCTATGGCTCGTTGCCAGAGATTCGGCCTGTTGCTTGGCTGAGTTGTCATCACAGAAGTCACTATGACTATGCCCGGACTAGTCTAAACTGGGAGCTTTGATGTGGCACCGGTGAATGAGATCAGCAGCTCTGGAATGGATTCAACTTCGGAGAGATGCAACTTCAGTTATACTCCAACATGCACAAGGCTGAGCCTTAAGGTCCTTCATTTTTTACATACTAGGATGTGCTGCGCCTGAAATGCTGTGCGACCGTATGGTGGTAAACCTTGGAAGCTTATAGGGCCGAGTTGTCAAGACTTGATGAGATTGGATGCCAGTGCAGTGTTATGCGCCACATTACCCGCTGCAGGGGCCGAGCGAGTCGTGATGTGCATTTACAAAGGTTGCAACCGCATTGATAAGCCGCGCACATGCAAGCGACCGGTCAGGAAGCAACCTTCTATGGTTGGAAGGCTCCCGAGGTCCTGCGTTGCAACGCATGCACAGCGTCATGTAAGCCACGGGGATGGTTCTTGGCCATGCTGAAGTCGTTCTTGGTAACGGAGGTGTAAAGAAGATTGAAGTGGAGAGAACTCACTGGCTTGCGTGAAAATGATCGTCTGCTGAAACTACTTGTGTTGAATTTGAGCAAAATATCTGTTTATTTGTACCGTCCATATTTGGGTGAGGCTTGTCACTGGCATGAAGCTCATCGTACAAGACGAAAGCGTAGGACCCCCGTTCTTCATTTACCCATTCCTTTTCTTGTTTATAAGTTACCTCTTCGACGTCGAGTCCGTCATAAGCTTCCCAGGTCTGATTAGGTCTAAGAATCGAAGATCGCTCCATACGCTGGAATACCTCTTGCCTCCATATCAAATACTATCTGCTGCGTGAAGCGCTTGTTGCTGATGACCAACACAGCCTCTGCGCCACTTTCCTTGTACAATCTATAAGTCAGAAGACTCATATCAGGCTTTCCTGACTTTCGCGTGTTGTATATGATTGCTTGTGGGTCTCGCATACGGACTTCTTCGACCATTGAAGGCCCAAATGTGTTTTCGTGGTTGGGTGCCGTCCAAAGGATTCGCATGGCAATGTTCTTGTAAGGAAAGATGGATAGACATGGTCCGATACCAGAGCCTGTAGCCACAACCACCACGCTTCTGAAGAGTGTTGCAATGCGCAAGACACCGGAAGTGGGGATGCCTCGTCTCCAAATATGTGTCGGCGCGGTATCGATCATGCGTCCCGTAAAGTCTCCAGCTCGGCTGACTATCACCGAGTATCCCTTGCCTTTACCACTGGAACTGTTACTGTTCGTATTGAGAAACGTAGCAAATCCGTGCCAATCGCCTAGTGGATGCTGGGCAAGACGGACACCCTTGCCTGGAAATGCGTCGTAGTCAAAATGTAGTCGGACGGCATGCGATGAGAGAACTTCTGACCGAACAGCAACGCGGCGAAGAAACAACCAAGGGAATGCGATAGCAAAAGTAGCGACTACGAGAAGCCAAATTGAAGGATTGTGCAAATAGGCTTCCATGGTCGAAAAGTCTGAACCACGGCTAAGGTCTTTGGTCGATAGACCTATAAGTATCCAGAAGAGGATAAGTACCGCCCACCCGCCGAATCTATGGAGTCTCTCCCATAGATCATGGTATCTGTTACGTAGCACTGGTAGAGATGATAGGGCCATCGAGAGTAGCAAGACAGTAATGCAGTGTGACAGTACTACAACGCCCACCGACAACATACGTGCATTAGCATCTTTGGCGATTTCTAGAGTAGCACCAACAGTGAATATGATGAACCAAAAGATCGCAGATGTGGCACACCCTACATGTATACCGCCAATATGGTACACATTGGCGCAGATCCGCCGGAGGCCAAGTGGAGCTGATGTTGACACAGACGAGAATATTGTAAACAAAAGATTTATGACGGGCTCGGAACGTATCAGAATTGCAGCGCAAAGATTTGCCGCTGTGGCCGTCGCAGATGACGATAACGGGTATCCGGGGTGTCCGACGTCGCGGTGCAAGAGCCAACATGCGACTGCGATGTTCGTACAAATGGTAAAAAGGAGTAGGCATCGATAAGCAAAGAAGAGGCGATGACGTAGCCATGTCAGCATAGGGGAATGTTTGATTGCTGGCAGAGCGTTCGCTTCGTCATGCTCTTTGGGATTCAAATATGGCGTGTTGAGAAATGAGGATGGGGATTGATTTCCTTTTTCGAGGTCAACATCTCGCGCTACGATCCGCGAAATCTGTTGGGATATCACTGACATGGATCCTACGACCTTGTCGGGAGCGACCACGGGGCTGCAGGCTGAGTCTGAGCGACTCTGTTCTGGCTTGGCCGGCACAACTTCCACGCTGGGTATGTTTGATAGTAAAGCGAGTTCTTTGAGCTGCAACCGATCGACCTTTCCATTCATGTTCAAAGGTATTTCGTCCACGGGGATCCATTTCTCTGGTACAGAGTAGTACGGTAGCTGTTGCCGGACGAAAGCATCGAGCTCTTGCTCGTTGAGAGGTACGGCAGAAGTATAGAAGCCGTGGAGTATCCCGTCCATCACGAGAGAGGCGGCCTTGGTAATGCTGACAAAGTTCTGGAATTGTTAACAAAGTTGTTCAAACCTGTGTGGAAGAGCCATGCTTACTTCAGTAACGGCATTTACGCCATCTAGCTCGACACGGAAGCCCTGAAACTGTTAGCACGCCAAGCTGTATGCACGATGTCGAGCATACCTTGACCTTGACTTGATCGTCCATTCTTCCGAAAGATTCTAAAGAGCCATCTGCCCGCCAGCAAACGATGTTTCCAAAATTGTACATCTTGGATCTGCACCTTGATCAGTCTCGTTCCATCGGAAGATAGACAACGTACCCATCGTTTGCGAACCTATTAGGCCGGAACTTTTGGTTCGTTGTGAGCGGCAGGTTGATATAGCCTTTTGCCACGCCTGCGCCGCCAACCCACAGGGTTCCCTTTTGACCTACGGGCAAAGGCTCACCTTCATCGTCGAGAATGTAACAAATCGTGTTGGGTAGTGGTCGTCCGATCGTTAGAGGTTGACCTATGCTGTGGGTATGTGCGGAGAACAAGAAGACCTCGGTTGCTCCCAGCAAATTGTGGAAGCGCCTTCCTTGCGCCCAATCGTCAGCGAGCCTTTCAGTCCAAGTCAGCACATCGTCGAGCAAGCAATCAGAATCGGGATCATATTTACGACTGCGGGCAAGCTTCTCCTGCTACAGCAACTGTTTTGATATTCGGGAAGTCTCTTTGCGAATGTTTGGCGAGGATGGACGGTGTGCAGATCAAGGTATCGACCTACAAACTTGTCAATATCACTGTCACTGCCACTACCTTATGTCAAACACACCTGGGTCAACGTCGCGCTCCAGTCAGAAGTTCGAAGGTAGAGAGTTGCCCCATTGACCAATGAGCCAAGCATCTCCCATGCACCTACATTGTTTTGGTCATGAACGATACAGTCACATTGCGGTTCTAGGATACATACCCATGGCAAAAGAGATGCTCAAGACCTGAGCAACTTTAGTGCCGACGGTCATCCCTAACTTCCCAGGTTCTAGCAGAAGGGCATTTGTCATGGTGGTGTGTTTAACATCCACACCTTTTGGGACGCCAGTACTCCCTACTCATGGTGCTGATTAGACAAAAGTGTGGAAATCAGTTGGAGGAAACTCACCTGATGTATACATGGCATAAACACCGTCTTCCGGAGAGACTTTGATACCAGGTCTCGTGGGAGAGAAGAACGCTCCAGTTTCCATGCCTAGCTCTAAGACGATTGCATCTTGGCCCTTGAATTTGTTCACTCTGTCCCAAAATCTTGGCAGACACAAAATGAAGCGCGCGTCTGTATCCTCGAAAATGTGCCGCAAAGACTGATCTGAAGCGACTCCACCGTCGATGGGCACGTATTGACACCCAGCTTTCAGTATAGCCATCATGCCAACGAGCATATCCAGAGATCTCTGTACCACTAAGCACACTCGTTGACCTGGCAGGAGACCAGAGCCAACAAGGTAGTTTGCAAGACGGTTAGCAGAAATGTCGAGCTGTTTGTACGTTATCTTCTGCCCATCGTGTACAGCAGCCAAGACACCAGGATGAACATCTACAATGCTCTCAAAAGCTCCATGGATGGTATGATGGGGAGCTGAAGCCTGGACCCCGGATCCAAAGTCGAAGACGAGCTTCTGATCATCTTCTGAGAGGTTGGTCATGTTATCGAAACGACTTCGTTGGTCCATGATGCAAAATTATTGCTGGAATGTATGCAAAATGTTGACGAAGCTGGATGAGAACTCCGCTAATGCCTTACATATACTGAAAGAGTAGGCGATATACTATCAACGTCTGCTAGGAATAGAATAGAGACTCACATGCTTTTCAATAGCGCCGCCGTTGCCCGTGGCGCCTTGTTTGCTATATTAGTCAAGACACCCACACGACGGACATGGTTGATCATGCCCAACGCAACAATATCTCCTGGGTGACGGAATCGGATGGCCTCATAGCCGACCCGTTAGCGCCTTAAAGAAGGAAGATAACAGGATGCAGCTGGTCGTGGCCACCTGGAGGGTGTTTCTGCCGCGTGTTCAAGCCACCGGGCCCCATCCTGAAAACATATTTGTGGCTTTGTTCAAGACGGAGAGTGATTGCCGCATTATTTCCATACACAATCCCTTGCTTAACACTAACCCTTATGCAGTCTTTGTAAACGACAACGCCTAATCAGCCAGCTCGACCACAGTTAGACAACCAATCAAGCATCTAGGCGATTGCCTTTTGCACTCAAACAAGCATCTTAGCTTAATGTGCGGAGAAAAAGCATCTCGATATCAATTCCAAAGCCGTGGATCTGGATGGCAGCAATGGGGTGATCTCATGCATGGCGGAGCGCTTCATCAAAGCAGACGCGTCCGAACGACCAGCGCAGATTTTCTGCAGCAGCTTCAGACGATGGGTTTCAACCGCCCGTTCATGGCGGATTACATTCGACTCGATTGAATGGCCCGGCTAATAGATGCATTTCGGTGAGATGCGCGTGTGTGCGCCTATGTCATCTGGTACCATTTCTTTCTATAGCAACTGTGGGGCGTAGTTTGAGATTACACAACCCACCCATGCGATTCCACCTCGGCGATGATGAACGAGCAGGACGCCGCTGACTGTGCCGCCAGGAGGCTTGCTCGGCAGAGATTTTGTAGTCGATTACGTGAGATGCATCTGTTCAATCGCGCTACGGCACGGTCCGCCCAATGAAGACCCAAAGATTCGTAGAACTAGTCGAAATTTCCATATTTGAAGAAGGGAAGACCGAGTTTGTTGTCTTTTTGGAGTTGTTGGCACGTTGTCCTCGCTACCGCCGTGGCTTGGAAAGGATCGCGTGACAACCGAAATTCTTCTTGCATTATCCGCCAGGTGGGACTGACTCACTTTGCCATTGGTTAGCAGAGTAGGCGAAGTGAGCGGAACGGCTAAGAGCGGACGTTTTTCCAGCTGGAGGTGTAGTGTGTAAGCTTAACTTGGTTCGCGCATCTTTATAAACACCTCTTTGGCTTACTTCCTCGATTCTAACGATAGGCAAATTTACCTGGCGTCGATGTGTGAGAATAACAGCCCGTGATGAGTCCGCCAAACCCGACTTTGGACGGATAGGATCAAACACCAACTCATCATGTGAAGTAGAAACCGACTTGAGCTATGTTATTGATCAACTTTTTTTTTCAGTGGCATAAGTCTCTTGTGGATACGCACGTGTTGCAAGGATATCAGCGCATACAGTCACAAGTTTTCTTGTGCTCTGACACGGCGCCTTTACTGATGGGATCGATGGCGCAAGTGGGAAGACCGACCCATCTGGATCTTCTTGCCGTAACTTGAATGGAATTGGTGCGATGATGGGGAACTAACAATGACTAGAGTATCAGTAAGCTCGCTAAATGCGGCGCTATAATCCTATCGTCTCACTGACACAACTGATCGTGTATGAAGCATCGAGACGAAGTCGGGCAAAATGGTTTTGAGTAAATCAGAAGAATGATGCCGAATGCTTACACGGATGGCAACAAGAAAATTAGGGTATGAGATTCGAAGTCATCGCTGATTTATCGAGCTTGCGAAGATTCCACAATCTGCCGCCAGAAAATTGCTTTCATGCTGCGCATCCTTGCAAAGCCCATCACGCATCACATATTGTCGTTGGACCATACAGTTCCTCGTCGTTGATTTTGTCGATCGTGTGTCGGTTGCAAAATGAGATGTAAGTGATACACAGTAGACTCGTAAAGGTTTCGTAGAAGTAAAGCTGCCCAGGCGAGGTTGGCGTTTTTCTTTCACGTGAGAACGCGACGAGAAGGCGCGATCTGTTCGGGCCGTTGATCGCCCCAACATCGCGTACCACAATATTGTGTCAACTTCCACACCACGTCAGTCGCAAACAATGACTTCCTCTGCATCAGGTGGCAGTCTGAATACCACGGCTGCGTCGCAGCTGCCTTCATGGCTCTCACGACACTTCAACTTGGGGTTTAACGACGATGACGTAAGCGCTCTTATTGATTCCATCGATGCAAGCCAAAATCCGCCGGCCTCCGTCGCAAATCTTCCAGCTGAACTCCTTTTACACGTGCTGGAGTATGTTCCTGTCGACTACATCCTCGACTGGCGCCTGGTCTGCCGCGGCTTCCGTGACGCCATTGATGGGCGTACGCTGTACCACCATCTACGACGCACTCAGCTGATTGGTTTCGTGGGTCCACGAACCCATTGGCCTTTGCGAAACCTGACGGACGAGCAATATGACCGCATGCAATTCCTACATGCCACGTTCGATCATGTCGAAGACAGCTCTAGCTCTGCATACGCGCAACGGGAGTCTCGCCCGATTTGGGGTAGCACACACGCTGTCTTCAACATCGACATGAGCGAGTTTGTGACCGGCTCTAATACTGAGGGAGCAGGTTCGAAATATGACAGCACAATCGAATATGCTGACACCATTTGGAGGAATGCGGCATCTCGACTTGAACTCACTGGTGCTGAAGAGGGTTTTGGCACACTGCGATGGTGCATCAAAGTCGACCGCGCAGTGATTGATTTAGATCTCCCTCTTGAAGCAGGAAGACATTCATTCGAAGTCACGGTCGACATGAATAAGGGTACCGTTAAAGTAGCCTGGAAAGACATGCTGTTTCGCTTCTTGAAGACCGAGGCTGCTCTTCGCCGCATGCTTGATCAGGTGGGTCGGCCGGATTCCAAGGCCAAACGGACGCTGACATCGTCTCAGCGAAGATCTGGCCGTTTCACCTTTAACCACGCCGAAGATTGCTTACGAGAAGTCCGTCGCCAACGCTTGCACGCGTCCCTCGATCCAAACAACAAAGTAGATCGTCACCTGAAGTGGTCACTCCGGCTATTACGTCCGCTCTTCGGCAAGCCTTATCAGGATCATGCACCCCTCCAAGCAGCCGAGAATATTGCGATTGACGCCCTACTATTCCTCCGTCGCCAAGCAGCCATGAGTACAGACGAGATTGCACGTATGTACCAGTTGAGTGAAGATCTCAAAACCATGGACACAGAGTGGAAAGACCTAGAGCGAGAGTTTGATGAGTTCAGGGCCCATATGTTCCCAGGCTTCGCGTATAACATTCCGGTCTCGACGTCACAAGAAGAGCAGGTCCCCTACAATCCGATCGCATGGCCGGATGAGTTACGCGCGCAGATACACGAGCGAGTGAATAAGTGGAGAAGTCAAAAGAAAGTTATGGCCCAAATGTGCGCCTTACTTGCGTCCTCCAACCAAGTCCTTTCTGTTTCCGAGGATAGCTTCGATGACCTGAGTAGCGATATCTGATGGGCCAGGCGAGCTTGCTGGAAGCTCTACAGAGGGCGCTGTCCCTACTTTTTCCTGCGAAACATTCGACGCCGAGTCATTTGTTACAGACATTTGCAAGGGCTACAGATATGTAGACAGTACGATACGTACAAGCCGTAGTGGTGCTCCCGATAGCCGATTGGTTCACCCCGCATTGCTGTTGTCCCCGCCCCCGCAAAGCTAACGCCCGCACCAAATGTCAACTGGGCTGAACTACGATCAGGCGGTTCCGGTCAAGCGGACTTTCTTGGAGATTTTCGTCTTACGGTCTTGTACCCGACGTCAAGGGTGACGTACCCCTCTTGTGCGTCCTGTCAGACAATTGCGCCAAGGCCTGATACCCATGTACCCACACTTAAGGCCAGTGTCGCCGTAAACGTATGAGCGGCTCCTGTGGTGGGGTTCGATACAATCATCGATCAGCCGAGTGCGCAGTAGTTCCGTCACGCTCTCTTTAGGTTTAAGAGGGGAGGAGGATGTCTGCCATCGAGAGCGCGTTTGTGAACACCGTCATCATTCGAGAAAGAGACAAGGATACAAACTCAAGAGCTAGCACTGGAGGAACGAATACACCAACGTCATGCGAGCTGCAAGATACTATGGCAAAGAAGACATTCGCATCGAGACTGATGTGGATGAGCAGAAATGCGGCGCAGGACAGATCAGGGTACTTGGCGACGTTCATCATATGAGAAGACATTTTGGCTGATGTAATAGTAGATCGCCCCGGCGTACGTAGGGATCTGTGGAACCGATCTCCACGAATACCTGGGTGGACCGACATTCGCACCTACGAAACCACATCCTGTGACACACGACACGATCCCGATCACCCTGGGCCATGAGTTCTCCGGAACAGTCACTGAACTCGGCCCCAACGTGACCTCCTTCTCTGTGGGTCAACCCATTGTTGTACAACCAACCATCTACTGCGGCAAGTGCCATGCATGCAAAGCGGGCGTCGAGAACGTATGCTATAATGGCGGCTTCATCGGTCTCTCGGGTGGTGGCGGCGGCCTGAGTGACTCGGTTGTCGTACCAGAAAGCGCCGTACTCGCTCTGCCAGATAATGTACCCCTAGACATCGGAGCGCTCGTCGAACCACTCAGTGTAGCATGGCACGCAATCTCTGCCGCTCCACTTACCCCAGACTCAGTCGTCATGGTCCTCGGTGGCGGACCCATCGGCCTGGCAATTGTGCAATGCCTCGTTGCACTAAACACCAAGACCATCATTCTCTCCGAGGTATCAAGGGCGCGACAACGCTTCGCTCGCGAATTTGGCGCGCACCATGTTATTGACCCGAAGACATATGATACTGTTGCTATCAGCAGAGAATTGAGTGGACAAGATGGACCTGACATCGTGTTCGACTGCGCTGGCGTACCTGCAAGCCTGAAGACAGCATGTACCGCAGTGCGAGCACGCGGTACTGTTGTCAACGTAGCTATCTGGGAAAAGGAAGTGCCCTTCAACCCGAACATGTTGGTTTTCCGAGAAGCGAAGTACACCGCCGTGCTTGGTTATCAGAGGAAAGACGTACAAGCTGTTATTGATCACCTCGCTGCCGGTGAGTGTTGCCGTCAGACTCGCACGGAATATGTGAATGCTAATGCGGCGCTTCAGGAAAGTTGAACCCCAGTAAAATGATCACCAGCAAAATTCAACTCGAAGATCTCGTCGAAGGCGGCATCAAAGCCCTGATCAACGACAAAGAAAGCCATGTCAAGATATTGGTCGAAGTAGGTGGAATGGGACGTGTAGATTCGGCTATACATTAGACACGCTGTTCCTGTCCTATTTGAGATCCAGATATACTTAGAAATGTAGTTCGTCACGATGGTTTCTCCTTCTTTCATTTCGTTCGCTCCGCATCTGCCCATGTGCAATAATCGGTGACTCCAATCCCACCCGTATCGGCCTCGGCTTCTCCGTCGCGTCCAATTCCCACACATTCGCGCTCGTTTCCATCTCCACCTGCGCGGGCACTGGTAATGGTTTATTACCAGCCTTGTACGCGGCCTTCTCGTTCTGTACGTAGCCACCAATAGGTACCTCTTGCTGATAGTGTGGTGTTCGCGGTTCAACCATCGGGGTGCGCTCCACGAGCGTTTCGTCCAGACTGCGATGAGACGCGTTGTCGAGCATAGGAGAATGTTTGTAGGGGAGTGGCGCTTCCCGCTTCTTGCGCTTATGGCGGAGACATAGTGTTATTAGGATGGCGAGAAGGATTACGACGGCTATGCCACCGACTGCGGCGCCTGCGATGAGGCCCGTGGATGGTTTCGAGCTCTGGGAAGTCGACGCTGCAGCAGTTTGCGAGGCCACGGAATCCGAAGATACTTGTGAGACCGTAGGGCTCACGGAAGAAGCGAAGGTCGTTGGTGCTGGCGCACTGCTTTGTGCAGTTTGTGTTGCCGACGGGGCTCGTGATGTTTGCGCTGGTGTGGTTGTTTGTGCAGATGTAAGAGCTGGCGAACTTGGTATCGCAGTTGGTATTGGAAGCGCGATGCTTTCCCTGGAAAAGAAGGAGGCGGCTACGCCGCCAAGGCTGTTCAGGAAGCTTCCGAGCTGTCTGCGTTCTGGATTGCGGTTGCGCTGAATCGTAGGGAGGTCAATGATGCCGGCTGCGAGACAGCTTTTGCGCATTGCTGTGTCGGCATTGATGCGATTGGAGCGACTTGAGGCATGGTTGTCGTGGCATCTAATCCTTGATCAGTACGCGATTCTATGTGAGCTTAAATGTAACAAGGAGTCCTACGCAACATGCCATGCGTACTGCTCACACAAACAGGTGTGATTCAGCGGAGTACTTTCCTGACACGGGAAGTAAACCTGCACTACAGAAATGCATGTGTCGATCGCACTGTGTCGTCAGTTCCTTGTCACCCCGGGCGAGCAGAAAGGTAGTCCATTTACATTTGTTCCTGGTTCTTAATATCCATGGTGATTGAAGAAGATACAGTCTACCGCAACATGATGGCAATCAGCGCAAATACACCTTTGATCAAGCGCCCACGGGACGGGAAGCCCATATAGCCGGCACTCACGTCTTCCACTGAATGGTGACGGATGGTGCAGGAGTGGCTGTGCGCAATTTCAAGTTTATCTAATAGTGGCGACACGGTGCCATTCGCTAGTATTCACTAATATGCGGTACCACCGAGGTAAGCTTTACACGTGCTTGCGAAACAGGTTCTCAAGGTCGGCCACGGATGCGCATGCGATGATGTTGTGACGGGGAGATGGCAGGGGTCATTTGTTTCATGGGTCGTTCCAGGATCTGGGCGGCGCTAGAGGGCCCACAACGGCGATCTGGAGAAGCTCCCGCGTCGCTGTCCTTCGACACTTCATTCGCTTTCTCTTCACGATCAAGGAAATTAAGAGGTACTATGCAAGCGCGCGCCCACTTAGGTCCCTTGTCGCAAATCCATGATGATCTCCATCGCTGGGTCTTCATGCCTCTTGACGGCTTCATGATGATAATTAGGAGGCCCCCAGCCTTCGTAATTGTGACCGCCAAATAACTTGGGAAGACGCAGAATGCCGCGATCGACCTCATAATCCTTCGGGCCCGTATGATCCAGTACCCGGAAGAAGGTGTCACGGCGACAGGCGCGAATGTAGTCCTCTACCGGACCATAAGTGTATGTCGGCGAGGGATTGACCTGTGGTATTGGTGATCCATCGTCTTCATCGAAGTGATAGAGCGGGTCGGGTCCGTCTTGCTCGCGAATCCTCCTTGTGATCTCAGTTTCCATGACGAGGAAGTTGCGCAGCACGATTCGCCAGTCGAACGTGACTGTCAGCGCGTCCCTGTTGAAAGCGAAATATCCGGGTCTCCATGTGTGATCGTAATAATCCGTCGGGTCTTTGGTTGTAACACCACTATCCAGGTCGAGGGCAACACGGTCAAGCTCGACAAACCAGTCTGCAGACTCATCCGCCACTGCATGGTAATCTTCGTCGCTGAGCCATTTTAAAGAAGACGTGCCTCGCGTGTTCCAGTGCCTGTAATTTTCGTCATTCTCGATCCACTTCTCGTCAACCTGAAAGACGGCGTGCGAGCCCTCCCAAAGCGCATGAGGTCTCCCAGACTTTGGGAACTTCTCCATATGTAAGAAATTGAACTTGAGTAGTACGTGTTTGCTTGCACTATTGTTGGCTGATTGGTGGTCTGCGTTCGCAACAATGCGTGCCCGATAAAGGTAGGAGAGAAGGACGGCGTTGTCGATGTGATTCCTGATCGTGCGAGATACAGTTCGGAAAGAGAGTATATGGTCGATAGGAATGAAACTAATGATAAGAAGAAGTATCTCGTTTGGTAGACGTATCACAGTCCCGTTTTGGAATCTGAAAGACGCCATCGTCAAATAGTCATATAGCGACTTTGGACAGTGTCGCTACACCGAGCGGAGGAGCGTTTGCGAGCTCTTGTTTTAAATAGGAGGTGTGACTCAGACGGCGCTAGGTTGATCTGAGGTACGAAGATACAAGACGCCCGATGCTGGAGTCATATCGTTGATTAAGCTTAGCGCGAATCCCTCTAGATGCATGAACAGGCGAGTCTTCGAAAGTCAACACTCAAAAGCAAGAAAAATTCCTAAAGCTCTGATCCCAAAAAAGCAAAAAAGCACTATCGACCCCGATCGAACTGGTCTGGTAGTTAACCAACCCGCGAAGCTCAAGCGACATATAAACTAACTTAATAGTTTTTCTGTTCCGAGTATCGAACAGGCGACCACCCAAATCACATTTGTTAAGTGTAATATTGCTACTACACCAGCCAGCCGAAACCTGAATGGGAACCCGTTGATGGAAGGAAGGTGAGTTGGAGCAATATTGTAGACGAGGATGTAAGGACAGTAAAGCTGTATCCGTGCAGTGGGGATATTGAGGTTTGGGTGGGCATTTCATTGCTGTGTGGAGGGTCGGCGGCGGCTAGTGCGGGATGTGTGAGTGAAGCGAGAGATATGTGGTGAGAGTTAAGGTTGCTGGATCGCTGGGAATGAGAAATTGTGGGTATGCAAGAACTTCATGTACGTCTATCCTACGAAGTCGCAAAAGGTTATGGAAGAAGGACCGAGAATACAAGAGGATTTTGAAGACGGTGTCGTGCGAGTATGGTGTCGGACGAGAGCAGGTGAGAGATGACATATTCATCGTACAATGTAACTTGACGTAAGGTCGCACTTGCTTTTTCAATTAAGCTCAGTGTATATTGTATCTATAAACGAGGAAGCGAAACTTGTCTTCGTATTGCGACTGCAGGTGCAAGCAGCACCGGTATTCTTGACTCGCGTTTCACCATGCCCCTTCCAAGCGCTGTGTGAGCGTGAAGGCAAACAAGCAATCTCCATTCCCCAGCCTAGCTACAATTTCAAGTGTCCATGTTCCAGTTGACAGCCACTTAAATGGTATCCAATAGTCAGTCAAGACTTCGTTGTAACCTGGTTCGAGACGCTGCACGTAAGTGCCCGCTTCGTTGCGAATGGAGAGATGAGCGTTGTTAGCCAATGCTATCGGAGCAAAGGGAATAGTCGAATTCAGCGTCTGCTCGTGATAACCATCATCGGCGACGACAGAAACAATGATGTTGATTGTCGCTGTGCGGAGTTGCTTTTCGAGGTCTGGGATCTCCTTCTCTTTGTATGAGGGTATGCCGCCGCGGAGGAAAGTAAAGAAGATCTGGTCACTGGCAGAACTTAGCCATATCACTAGCATACTGATAGTCAAGCTTTAACATACACAGGAATGGGCGTTGGAGTGACCTCGAGGTATTCTAGCTTGAACAGTTGTTCCGCCTTAGGTACGGGTCCGTAAGTGACATTATTGTGACCTGGCACTTTGTTTGGATCTTCTGGCTCGGTAACTGGTGGTAGTGACGGTCCGATCAAGGCGGTTTGCTGGTTTGCTAGATGAAGACGGAATACGGTACTCGCCGCAACAGCCTTGCAGAGAGCCAGTGAGAGCAAAATGGCGGACTTTGTTAACATATCGATTTACGCGGATTCGACGGGAAGCGCGAGATGCAAGCGGAGATGTTGGGGACAGTGTTTCGCACTGATGAGCAATGAATAGGTCAAATGGCTTCTCTTTTGTAATTAAGGAGGTTGCCTGATGGACGCCTTGAGCAAAGGATTGCGCGAGTGATTCGCATCACATGTCCCCTGCAGGACAGTTCAAAATCTTGTCACATAGATTTTGGCTTAGAGTTTCTAAAATTCATGGGAAGTATTTCGATGGATAAATGGTGTGTCGATGTTCAATACGCTATTGATAGTGCGCGCCACAGTAACGCCACAGCAGAGCGCCACAGACCTCGGGACCCTGGAGAAAGTGAGCCGTGACTTCCGTCTATCCACTGGGGCTTGGTATAACTTGCATCCTTCACCACACAAGTGCGCGATGGCGACAGTGCTGTTTATGCCATACATTTGATCACTGCACTAACGAATGTACTGAAAGCTAATCTTGACTCGAATCCCCCTTGCCAAGACAATGCGGCTGAGGCTGTTGGGCGTCTTCAGGCTGCGGACCAGCGGGGTCCGAGTCGACTGTCTCAGCGACTAAAATCGCAAGCCAGCCAAAAGTCTCACGATGTCTAACTATGGTTCTACACCGCCGCCAGGGCCTTATACAGCACCAACTCAAGGGACTTCTACACCAGGCCAGAATGCGCAGCCCCAGCAGAACTATCAGCCGGGCGCGCCGAACCAAGCGCGTTCGGGCAAGTCTGGAGGCATGTATGGGCAGATGCTACAGGCTGTGACTACTGGTAAGCCCATGTTGGACAAGCTGGGCAAGAGCATAAGCTCGAAATTGGGGAGGGAAGACAGCAGCTAGCGGTCCACCTCAACACCTCCAGAGCTACCAGAATTACCAGCAGGCCCATGGTCAAGGTCAGAATCAAGGACAAGGGCAAGGGCAGGGGCAGTACAACCAGCCCCAAGGCTACCAGCAGCAACAGTACCAAGCGCAGACATACAGCCCTCAACCACAGCAGCAGCAATGGGCTCATCCTCAACAACCTCCTGGTCCGCCCCCTCCGCAAGCACCGAACCCATATCATGCGCAGCAATCACCATACCAAACCTCCAATTACGCCAGTCCAGCAACTGGCGTTTCGGGACAGAACAATTACTTCCCTACGCAACCAAATTCGAATGCACCACCCCCGGGTGCACCAGGTCACAACCACACGGCGTTCAATGCGACCGGAAACACTGGGTCGGACCAGCACTACGCACAGCAAGGGCAACATGAGCATCAAGGAGCAGCACAAGGACAATACCAGCCGAGTCAGCCGTACCAGACGGGTCAATATACAGGTGTCGTTGGTGGTACACAAAGCCCCGGAAATGTTCAGAATACCCAGAACCCGCACACGGGGGACGTATCGCCAATGATCCCTCCAAACAAGCCTACACAGTGGAACAACTCGAGCTCTTCACATTTGCCCCCCGGTCCTTCTCCTGGTCAACCATATCAGACTGTACCCTCACCCCCTTTACCGAACAGTCAACAACAAACGCAGTGGAATTCGCACTCGCCTATGACCCCTCAAGGCCAAGCTCCTCCACCGCCTGTCAGTCCACCTCCACATACCGTCAGCCCGCCTCCACAACAGACGCATGCGCAATCTGTCCCAGCACCGACCGCATCTCCGCAGCCCATTCAGCACCCAACAACTGTTGTACAATCCACAGGTCCGCCGCCTGCACCTACTGAGTTCATTGCAGAGCTGCCGGGCGATATGGGGCCGAGCACTCCAGGATCTCCACCATATCAAGCCTACCAACCCTCGGGTGGTGAACAAGCAGCTTCGCTTACGAAGCGATTTTCAGTTTCTCGCCGCGCTGTAAGCGCCAGTAATTTACCTCTGGCAGATCCATGGAGATTCGCAGATCCACTTACAGAACAACCAACTCGTGAGTTCTACATCCTCGCCGACTTGCTCTTCGAGGCGCTTGACAGAAAGTTCGAGCCGCAGAACACGGGCTTGTTAGAAGCACCTAAGGTTCTAAAAGTCTGGATCGAGCTCAATGACGAGGCACATGGTAAGCACTAGTGTAGCACAATATGAGTCGATAGCTAACGCAAATCAGAGTTGTTTTCCTTCAACAATTACCATGCATTGGCAAGAATGTGGGGTCTAGAGGGCGTGCCACATGTGATGGTGCCTGTGCAACCTTCGCTATCACCAGTCTGGAACTTCAACCAGCACTCGCACGCCCAAAGCCTTGCGGTGGTTTCAGAGCTCCAACCGTCTCCCGTGTCGTACATGCCCGCACTGAATCGTGCCGGCTGGTACAAGTACTTCTTTCTTGAGATGATGCATGGGCCTGACGAGATTGGCAAACTTGTATCTGCGATATGTGCAGATACCTACAAGCCAGGCATTTTGAACCAGCCCGACCTTGGTCGGCGTGATAGATGTCAGATACCTGCGCTCCAAGCGAGAGCTGCGCAAGTTCAGTCTGCAGCAATCAAGTGCGTGTGCGATGAGGCGAAAATCGCGATGCAACGAGAGCGAAATGGTGCAGCATGGGCGGCGAGAAGCCCACAAGCCGCGAGTGCCTCAGGAGGGGCCAACTCAGCACATCCGGGTTCTTCAACAGACATGGCTCAAATGACGCACGAGATTCAGATGGTGTCGAACGATATCGCCGTGAGTTCTGTGGCGGATGGCGATGTCAGGTACGAGAGTCGTCCAGCAGGTTACAGCAGGCTAGTGTAACAACTCGGCGCGATCTTGGACACGACGCGCGAATGCGGTCTTGGTAGTCTGTACAAAGCTAGGAGTACCTAGCTTGCGCAAGCACATGTGAACAACGACCAAACGTCCTCAATGCGTCTGACGTCAACAAGCTCGAGCACCAAACGTTATCGAACACATCCACCATCCGGTGTCTCGGCACCGTCGATATGGGGAATCGCAGTTAATGCGCACGGCGCTTGACGTGGTGTTTCGTTTCATGAGATCGCCAAGAGACAGGATCGAGATGCGCGGGATGACAACTGAGCGGCTGAGCCAACGTTTTGTGGCAGGACAAGTGGCGGGTACCTGCCTTAATGCCTGCGCCAAATGCGCTGCACGCAGGATTCAGAGCATAGCGAAAATGGCGAAAGGTAGAAGTCCATCAGATAGAGAAAAAAAGGCAGCCAACACCGCGCATCCCTATCTCTTGCATTGCTGCAATCTGCGCCCGTGGTTCGGCTCTTCATCCTGGTCAAAATGATATAATCATATCAGTGTTTCCTGCAAGACAGGGGGCAGTTGCTGTAGTTCTCGGCAACCAGGCCCCATTGAGCCTCGATCTGCAGGAACAACCCGATTCCAAGGCTGGCGCCGTCCTTGCTTGGGTGCGGCGGGCGCGAACGTTGCACCAACAATTTGAGGACGCGCATACCCAACCTCGCCTTGGTTTTTAGCTCTCTTCCATCCCATCTTCTTTACGACAGCGTTGTCTTTTCTTCCATTGAGCATTCTACCGCCTTATATCACGCGGGTATCAAATAGGCGTATTACCATCATCCCTTACTCAGACACACGGCAACGATGCGTACCTCCACGATCCTCGCTCCACTTTTCCTCGCGGCCACAAGCATCGCCCAAGGTGTCGAGGAGGGCATTGCTCCGTCTCAAGGACCACCATCTGGCTGCGAACCCAACGCCAACGGCAACTTCACGATAGGAACGCTCAAAGTCCACCATGCCACCGAGAAGCGCGAATCTGCTTCCGAGGTAAGACATGACAACACACCTCCCATTCCTCGTCCCCACCGCAACGTCCCCGCCCGAGACATCGCACCAAACAGTGTACTGACGCATACTCCACAGGCCGCTGACGGTGCCCTCGTCTGTAACCTAGAGGATGGCATTCTGCGCGACCGCGACGGCCGCACTGGCTCCGTCGTAGCAAACCGCCAGTTCCAGTTCGACGGCCCACCCCAGGCCGGCGCCATCTACACCGGCGGCTTCAGCATCTGCTCCAACGGGTCCCTCGCCATAGGTGGCTCAACACGCTGGTGGCAATGCAGCTCCGGCGGCTTCTACAACCTCTACGACGAGTGGATCGGCGACCAGTGCGAGGAGATCCGCATCCAAGTCACATTCCCACAGAAGCCTTCCCCGTCGGCATCGGCGAGCACGAGCTCTGTGACTAGCACAGCTGTCGTGTCGAGTCTGAGCGTCAGTGTCGCGACCGTGGAGAGCAGCTTGGCAACTATTTCTGGTGCTGTTAGCACCGTTAGCAAGAGTGCTGTCGGGCCCTCTGCGTCGTTTGCTAGCTCCAACGTCTCGATGACAGGATCAGTAACTGGTTCGCCGTCTTCGACCCGCTCCAGCAGCGCGGGTCAGACCGGTGCAGCTGACGCGCCGCCTGCAGGTGGTGCAGCTGCCGCTTCCTTTGGCATCGCAAAGGGCTCCATGCTCGGCGCCTTCATTGTCATTTTCGGTGCCGCGCTGGTCCTCTAGAAGACCTGAGTGACGTTCAGCATTTGGGCAAACTTTTGCCACTTTCTTCTTTCTTCATATTGGGCATACCAGCGTACACGACTATACGGCGCGGCGTCTGCTTGACTTACTTTTTGGAGGGATTGGGGGATTCATTGTTCATGGATTGGATTGGATTGGTACACGCGTTTATACACCTACATGCATGGAACGGCATAGTGCATAGGCAGTTTTGTGGATTGCCGGCATTAGATGAGAAAGTTTAATGATAATACTTATCGATTCAGGTTGACTGAAAGGTCTTTCCGAGGAGTTGATGTTGAGCTGCAGTGACTGCTTCAGGTTCTGACGATCGAAACACATCAGCTGACGAAGATGTAGACTGGACTCGTTTTAAATTCCCAAGAGATTCTGGTCCACCTCTCTATCTCCCTCCCATCTCAATCCCACCCCCATCGCCCAGGTGCCTCCTCCAAACCGTCCCAACCCCCTCCCTCCACCTCCCCCATCCATAAACAGCCACCGTCCCTACCCCTACACAAACCGTAACAACCCCCCAAACCCAAATCCTAAGCCCCTCCAACTCACACAAAATTCATCCCAAACAACCCCGTCACGAAACTCAGCGGCAGAAACACGCTCGCCAGCACTGTCAGCTTGGTAACCTGCGTCGCGAGCTGGATCTGCTTGCGCGACTCAGCGAGCGCGGTAGCGCTAGTCAGCATCGCGATGGCATTCTGATGGTGCTCTGCAGTTTCTTTGAAGCGCGCCGCGAGGAAGGCGAAGTCCGCTTCGACAGCGGACTTGGTCTGGTTTGCAACCCTGGCTTGTGCGAGTGTGAGATTGCGAGACCACTGTATTGTATGTGTCGATTGCAGGTAGCGCAGGACTTCTTCGTGGCGGCATGCGTGGTCGGACAAGAGGTGTTTGTGCGTGATGAGTTGGTTGAGGTGCGTGACGGCGCGGTCAATGTCCCACAGCGCCGAGCTGATGATTTCGTAGCGCCGCGTCATGGTGGATAGGACTTGGTTGGAGGTGGCGGCGGCGAAGCGGAAGATGGGGGAGAGGGCGTAGAGGGGGTCGAGGGCGGCGATAGCGTGGTCGAGGAGCAGGTGGAATTCGCGGGGGAGGTGGGATGCGGATTGGATCAGGGAGTTGGGGGTGATGATGTTGGGGTTGATGGGGCCCGGGGCGAGGGAGGGGAGGGGGTGTTGGAGTTCCGAGTCGATGCTGAGGAGCGCGCTGGGGACGAGGATGATCCATCGGGCGCCGGTTTTGGCGCAGGCTTTGAGGTGCGAGAGAAACCAGTGGAAGTCGGAGCTGTGGGAGAGGTCTCGGCTGCCGACGTCTGACCATAGTATCGCTGGACAAGTTTAGTCGGTAATGCAGCTTAGATGCAGAGAAAGACAGTGAAGTACTAACCCGTCCAGCCCTCTCCATCCGACTCAATAGTGATGGATATGTCCTGCTCGATCGAAAAGGTCGAGTCGCCAAGATAAGCATTTCCACGGATATAACTACTTCCCGGCGCCGGTGTCAGGACCTTTGGGGTATGGAAGAATTTATCAGGGAGCATTTGACGCCTGTCAGATAGGGAAATATCGCCTAGTGAACGTGTCGATTCACCACATGTGTTTATGCGAAGCGTGATGCCGACTTGGGAGCTCACTGATGGCATAGTGGGAACAGCATATAGCACAGCGCCGCGTCTTGATCTCCATAGATGGATGTGTCTCCTGAAGAATTCTGGGCCGATGCCGTACTTTGCTCCTATCGATGCTATCCAAGAACCAGATAGGTGCCCACCGAGAAAGAGCATTTGGCCCGATCGTTTGGATGGCAATGGTACATCCAGTAGACTTTGCAGTTGCGAATATGAATACTGGGATGACACATAATCGGAGCCTGACTCGAAAACAGAAAGGTGTGCCAAAACGTGCTCGTCTAGATCGGGGAACTGCTTATCAAGATCTGTCTCATCCTGCTTGAGCAACTCCTGTAGAAATCTATATATGAAGCCCTGGAAGATTGTCTTGGTGTACGAGCGTTCGCTGTACTGTATGATCGCGTTCCGGTATTCGTTCGCTTGCCTTGGAGATTTCATGGCGCCGGTAAAGACTAAGATCGATGGGTGTCAAGATGATACTGCTTACCGCACTCTAGTGACAGATTCGCCGATCATGCGCCCGTGACATATAGAACATGGAGGAAGCGGACGATTATCAGGGTGGCAATTGCATCACATGAGGGGCGGTGCAAGGCTGAAAGAAAGCTATCTGATGCGGGCGCTTATGATGCTGTACGCTGCACCCACTCAGAGATCATCGCAAGCGAACTTGCATGAGATACCGGTGTACCAAAACAGAGTAAGACCGCCGAAGTGAAAAAAACATGTTGCCGTTTGCAACCAAACAACAGTCTTTCATGAACTGGATTTTCTATTTACCAACGATAGTGCTCATGCAAATGAACCTACGACTTGCGCAACACCAAGAATGACTTGGACAAAAGTCAACATCACGACTACCGTGGCGAAACTGCACTTAATTAGCTAGTAGCACATGGACGGGATATGCGAAACTCACAAAAACGTCCAAAACTGCAAAGTGTCCCTACGATCACGAAACAAGATCCAAATGTTCCAAGGTTTCGCAGACTGAAGGTGTTCTTCGAGTATCATAATGCGCGGCCAGAGTGACGGGAAGAGGTCTGGCGTCCAGTCCGACGGCTCGTTTTTCATCAGCTCGACCAGGAGCGGATCGAATTCGCTCGCATGGGCGTTTTTGCTTCTCTTCGCTCCCGGTGTTCGCTTGTCGCTGAGCTTCTGATACGTTGATATGAGCTGATGGCGATACCGATGCGCGGAACACGACCAGCACCAGCAGAAGCGGCGAGCAACAAATGCGCTGCTTATTGTCGCGTGACGAGGGGTATCTGGCCAAGCATTGAATAGCATGCTGTATGACTCAGTAATCTCCTGCGCGTATTCGGCGCTGATGCCAACAGCACTCGAGGTCAAAGTTGTAGCACTGAGCGCACATGGTAGCGCAAATACTTCAAGCACATATTGTCCATTGCGCTTGCACAGTAGCATGTGGCGAGACAGATTGTGGGTCCAAACTATGTCGACTGCTCCGAAGACACGGAGAGTGTATGCATTCAGGCGGGTTGCTGCAACGTGTAGTGATTCTAGGGAGTCAAGGTCGTCCAAGAAGCGAAGGGAGATACTGGTATTGTTATGGCCAATCGTATCGAGATTTTGTAGCGAGTGAACAGAGCCTCCCGAGCTGGCTATGGATACTGAACTGGAGCCCTGTGTTCTTCTGAGAGCCGCTCTTAATGCGACTGCAGCCTGTACCATCGCAGAATTGTCATCACTACCCTGTGGAAGACCCCATTGCCCTGCCGAGGGCAACAGACCACTTCCAGTAACTAAGCTGGAGACACCCCCTTCATAAGGGCTGTTGCCTAACGTGCTGCCCTTCTCTTGCGCACGAATGGTGTATGCCAATGTGATCTTACGAGCACCGCCTGCTACAGGCAAGTGAACGAAAGAGCTCAGAAGCATGGTCCAAATGCCGATAATGTACATAACAGTGTCTTCCACATCATCCCGTCTCGATCGTGTCCTAGCCTGTGTGTCTGAGAAGTACTGGCTCGGGGAAGTGGCTAAGTCATCCAGTAGTCCCTGTATGCTGGGCGCGGAGATTGAGTCGTCATTTCCCTGGTTCAAGTACTCGACGACCTGGATGACTAGCTCCAAGAAGCCTTCCAATGTCCCTCTGCCAAGGTTGCGGTTCGCGATGTAATTTAAGTACGGCTCTGGATCGGAGGCTGCGGTAACAAGGTATTCGGGGAAGCCCAGTGCGTGAGCAAGCTCAATTCGAAGCTGGTCAGGCACGTAGTGTTTGCGAGACATTTTCGTATAGTAAAGAGAGCACCAGGCTACGAGTAGCCAGTTGGAGCTTCGTGCAAAGGTAATTTTGTCTACTTCTGGGGTTTCTGTACTCTGGTCGAGCTTCTGTGACCTTCACGGGAGTTGTTAGTCGTTCTACTGGTGAGCAAAGACGTTTTGAATGAGAGTTTGAAAGGCACATATGCGTGCATCAGGCTTCGAGAGGCTGCCATCTCGCCAACGCCAGCTCGAGGCTGGGGCGATGGTGCATGCTGCAGCTCCAAGGCGGCTGTGTCGAGAATGCTGGAGGTCAGCTCGTTAGGGGACATAAGCGTTATCATTATCGATAAGCGTCCCGCTCCGGAAGGCAGCCGTCCGTAGCCACCTATTCACCAGTCACATCATGAAAGATCGACTTGATATTTTATTGTCATATTTTTTTAAACGAACCCTGAGATACATTTTGGACAGATTGCCGAGTGAATAGGCGCCAAGTCATACAATTGTGTAGTCTCGCTTCAGCTCTTCAGGCACTTCGAACGCACCGTAAAACGCCACACGACCCAATTGCAGTCTCCTATCTAATGCCGGACCCTCCATATTGAAACTTTGTACATGGCCACTTCGCTGCACAAAGCTCTGAAAGCCAACAATGCCAGGTCCGATAGTACCGTCTTGTCGCGTGCCGTCGGTGTAGAGCGCGACGCCGCTGTATCCACTAGGCGGGTCAAAATCCGGATGTACGCGGTATAGAAGTGCGCGCGACACAAGACTATGCCATGTCGACCTATCACTGTCTTCAAGAGACTTTGAATTTCCAGCCGCGGCTGTTTGGTTAAGAAATATGCCCTCTCCAACAACCAAGATCTCCGATGGATGACTGCTTCTGATACTTTTTGCTGAACGATGTGCTTCAATTGGGCCTAGAAATTTTACTGCAGATGTCTGTTGTCGAAGTGCGTTCCATGAGTCCTTGTTGAGCCAGCCGATGTCTGGTATTGGAGATGTCATATCCTTGATCGAAGCAGGTGTAGAAGGTCTGATCAAAGTGACATCGTGACGAAAGCCGTTTGGGTAAGTCTCAGCTCCGTCGTCGAAACTTCTGTCAATGGTGCCAATTCTCTCGTTGTATGCCCAGATGCTGATGTGTCTATTCCAATCATCATCTAGCTTATCGAACCGACCACGACTACGAGGAAAAATTGACTTGCGGTGTGACTTGGCCAAAATCGCTTCGGTAATAACGTGTGTCGACATGACCAAGTATGGCTCTTCAGCTTTGGCCACTTTTAGTCCGATCCGAGCTGCATAATTTTCTTTGCGATGAGTGCCTTTCAGCCGTGCTTCAATGAAGTCGTTGAGTTTAAGTGGTCGCCCTGACAAATCCCTGGACGTGCGCGATGTCTTGAATATTTTGGACAGCCCCACGCCTTTCAATGTGATCATTGGCTTCGATTGTGATGTCGCGGTGACAGCGAGTGGCATCATAGTCGGCTTCAAGTTCTGATCAATGTAGCAGACTTTCAGGCCCCCATATTTGTGCGGGAGATGCGACGCAGCCCACACAACATCAAACTTTTCCGGAACGATGATTTGTAGTAAACCATTGATCAGCAGATAGAATCCTACACTTCCTTCAAAAGTCAAAAATACGTCGCGTGCCACATTTAATGATAAGGCAGATCTGCAGTCAATCGGTGCTGATGACCGCGGATCGGGTGGCGGGTTGATACCACCCACAGGTGGCCAATGATGTTCCACAGGCAAGACAACTGGACTTCCTGAAATTTCGAGGGGATAATTTTCTGGTGTGTGTAGATCGAGTGGCGTACACGTCCAGCACTGATTTTGGTATTCCACATCCCACTTCCAAGACTCTGGCAACAGGTCCCGCACTCGGGTCCAGTCAACGGAAAGAAGTTCGCTGTTATATCTGAATATTCTCGCTTCCCTGGTGTCTTCCCCAGCTTGCTCTTCCACTTTCTTTTGAATTTCAACAATATCTCCAGGATGAGATCCATGTCCCACTACCTCCTTCGCTGTGGTGATTGGTGTCGACATGCTACTCTCTTCTTCTGTTTCATGTATTCCTTCCATGTGCTCAGTGGTTTCCGCAAGCATGATTGCAGAGTTCGGCTCAACAGGTTCGATCCCGAGCTGGCCTGCCAGGGTAACAGGATTACTTTCGGTTACACTTTGCATGTCAAGAGATTGAGGACCAACGCTATCCACTGAAGATCTCCCATTAACGAACTCGCGCGTTGCACCCCGTCTCCGTGGCTTTGCACCAAGAGCGAAGTAATCTGGTTCGCCTGCTATGCCCATTCCTGGATTGTAAAGCTGAGAGGGACGACCATTGTGTCCTGTGAGCTCTGACACTTGACGGTGTTTATGATCGCCATCTATGCCAAATGGTTCGATATGGGAGGGTTTGTAATCGCTACCAACGACAGTTGTGGCGTCACTGGAAGGCCTATCTCCACCACGATGTGAAGGTCTATACCGTGGTGAATTTGGAACATCAAACCCTGTAAGTTCTGACACACGACGGTATTTAACCTCGCCACCAGCGGCTATTGTATCAACGCCAGAAGGTTTCCCTTTAGAATCGATAGCGTCTTCCGAACCCTTGGACCGGGTGAAGAGTCGTGAGAATAAGGAAGGTCTAGGCTCCCGCAACGCAAACCTTTGTCGTTTCATCGCCGACGTAGTAGCGAGAGTACTTTTAGTGCGCTTTTTGGATGCTAGTAAAGATGTAGGAACCGGATCGATAGCGTTGTGATTTATTGTAAGATAACTCGAAGATGGGACGTCGGGCGTGTTTGGGGGCGAGCCTTGTGCGGCAACCAATGATGTTTTCAGTGTTGCTTGCTAATATATCTGGCCCGATTTGGTTCGTGGATTAGGCGAATAAGCGCGGTACTGAAAGTGTAAGTGTTGGAACTGAATGAGACACGGTTAGGTGAGCCATCATGTAAACCTCTGTTCGTCGCACATACTGTTATTGGCAGTTAGCCAGTACGATCATATAGAGATGTGCGTACATTGATAACGGCTTATCTCAAAGAGCGCTGATACGCCCACATTGTGGCGTTTCTCGACGAAATAGTCCTGACAAGGCTGCAACTATAGGAAAATGTGTCAAGCTTTGGTTCGCAGAACGCAGCTTGAAAGGAGATTGATTTCGCAAACTTATACGACACGAAGACGATGATAGCAAAAGGGAGGTGGGTGGAACTGAAGCCTGCATGCATGCGAGGCTGAAGCATACGCCCCAAATCACGTGCGTGAGCGACAATTCACCATGAAGGAAGGCACGACCACCCCGAACAATAACGTCATCACCTTACACTACAATCAGAAAGTGATAAAAGCCGCGAAGCCAAGCAAGGCGATGCTAAAGGCACCGTAGATTCGAAAAGACTACCTGGTATCCTCCGTAAACGCCCCATCCCCAATGCATACTCACCACTAGACCTAGCGAACGACCAGAGTCTTCACCACTGTCATGTCGATGTCGTGTAGCTCAGGAGGGAACTTACACGCCTCGCCGAAAATACACGACTTTGTGCCCTTGCTGTGGTGTGTGCGAGAAGGAGGCGCTGGGCAGCGGTGGCCATAGATGCACTTAATATCCTGGCAGCCGCTCCCAGACATGCACGGAGCCATGCGCGCGACGAGGCGAAGGGTCTCAAGCTCTGTCGAGTTGGGCTTGGGAGAATGCTCGTGGCTGCAGGTGTCGCCAAAGGGGCAGCTGTTTCGCAGAAAGTGCACGTTGCAGAGCTTCATCTTCTTGACGCGGTCGACCTCGACCTTATCGTAGTTCTTAGTAGACGGGTCGATGCGCTGCCCTCCACGGTTACGGACAATGGCTTCTTCGCGAAACATGGGTTTGTATACCGGCGATTCGTCTGTCTTGGGTGGCGCTGGAGCTGCAGCCATGGAGGCCCAAGTGTTGGTCTGCTTGACTGCTGCTCCTCCGTCTGAAGCTAGTGTCGACGATGAGGGCGTGCGAGGCATTCCGGCGTTTGCCAATGCTGCCGTATTTGGGATAGGGCTGTCCATCAGACAGGGCGTGCGGGTTGGAGCTGGGAATCGGGAAGGCAGTCCTGAAAGCATGTTGTACGTCTGATGAATGGACGGCGGGGACCCATGAGCAGCCGTTGGCTGGGAGTAACTGTAGGCGCCTGGCAGGACGATCTTGGACTCGCGAAACAAATTCTTGAACTTCTTGGTGCTGTATGGCAGCGGCACTAGCTCTTTCTCGAATGGAACGCCCTCGAGAAGTACAGTCTTGCTTACGACATCGGGTCTATCAGAGCACTCCTCGAGAGAGCGAGCGTAGCCGTTGTCGTGCGAGCATCCGAACAACAGGCGGCGACAATGGTAGTCCTGCGAGAACATCTTGAAGGATTCTGCAGCTGTCAGCAGGGCTCCGAGTGACAAACATGCAGGCTAGCGATGGGCTCGAGGGGAAGACTCACCAATAATCTTTTCGTCTGCGCGATCTTTTCCGGTACCGACATCCACAAAGTCAAAAAGGGTCTTGCCACGTGTGAAACCGCGGACAAAATCCTCGAAGAGGCCGATGTGTTCGATGATGCCTTTGCGAACAAGCACATCGCCGAGGCCTCGAACGTTGGCATACATGCGGCAGACGATGCGTATGCCGAGCGGAACATCAGAAACCTCCGTCTCAATGTATTCCTGGACTGCCGCATAGAGCTGGGAGGCGGCTCGACGGCCTCCGGCCTCACCCTGTTGGAGGTACTGGTCTTCGAACTGGTGTTTGTCAGTAATCGTCAGCAGTGCAGCGCCTGTGCAACTCACTATCATGCCGTCGCCATCGACTAGAACCATGACAAATGGGTTATCCGCCTGTGAGAGTCAGTAAGTAAAGCCGATCTTGACCAGCGGCAGGAGTCAAGGGCGGGAGCGTAAGACGCACCATGGCCCGGTTCAACGTCTTGAAGTATTTCTCATATTGCACCTTCTCGGCTTTCCACGAGCCAACAAACTCAGTGTCGCGCTTGCGATCTGCTTCAAGGCTCTGGTTCTTCTGGATGGCATACTCAAGGCGCGTGAATAGGTCCTGTGAACGTCAGTGACTGCGCAAGCAGCAAGCATCGTGGCCTTTGTACAGTCATGAATTTGTTCTTGTCGGCATCGAACTGCTGGTAGTGCTCAAACTTTTGGTAGAGCGCGGCAAGCTCCGAATCACTCTCGACGACTGCGCTGTTGGTGCGAGTGGGTGTGACGGGGCTGGAGTGATAGTTGCCGTTGCTGTTGAAACCTTTGGCAGCATGGATACCACCTTTCAGGCCAGTGAGGCCGTTAAGACCGTTATGGAATGACATGCTGACGTTTTCCGCGGCTATCTGGTGGAGCGAGAGTAGTCTCTGGTCGAGCGGGTGGGAATATTTTTGTGGTGGTCAGGATTGCTTGGTGGAAATGTGGGTAGAGATGGGTTAGGTAGTGAGAGTGTGGGCACGCAAGATATTTAATGGTAGCCTACTGACGGCTCCGACACAGTGAACAGGAAACGGTGAACAGGAAACCGTTACCGGGAAACTCTAGGTGAAGATGAGCTATCGTCTGCGTTTGTTAGTGGATAGAACAGTCTCTGTGCCACCTGCACCTGCAAGTAGGCGCGATGCCTGCCGAATAGTCATGGGGAAGGCGCTTCAAGCAAGGCGGTGTAGTGTGCAACTTGGATCATACGAGCAGCAAACAGAGGCGCATATGTCGCTCTACGCTGCGAAATTGCGATTCTTTGTTGTCTCGTCTTTGCGGCGCGCAGGTGAAGGTCAAGACAGCGCGTATGCAGGTCGCGACGGCGCGCCGCTGATTGGCACGACGGCCTGCCGCGCCTGCCCAGGTGGTCCACCGTGGGCCTGCTGCCTCGCCAAGCTTAGCTGCGCCCGGACGTCACCCATTTCCAGAAGCCACGTTCGAGCAGCTCGTTTTCCGTTTTCTGTTTCCTGTATCCCGTGTCTCTCCCCATTCCCTCCCTCCTGCATCCCGTTTGCTGTCTTCTGCATCCATCATGGTCGCCTGGAAACTCTCATCCCTGTTGCTGCTGTCCTTGGGCGCACTCAATGCCTTTGCCGCCATTGATGTAAGCTCCCCGCGCATGCGCGAGACATGACATCAGAATACTGACCATCGCGTGCGCAGGTCGAAAAGGTCGCAGAGGAGCCAGTGACGCCTAACCTGAACGTCAAGGTCTCGGTCTCATTCCCGCAGTCTGAGATCTTTGGTATCAAGCTCGTCAATGGCCATGCCACTGAAGCCCGTCTATCCGTCTCCAACAACGAGCCGACGCCCATTGGCGTCTCCCTCGTCGGCGGATCGCTGTCGGTGGAGCAGGCCGGAGAGTCGCGCATCATCCGCAATCTCACCACGCAGAAGTACTCTATTGAGGTCCCCGCCGGCGCAGAGGAGACGATCCCGTACTCCTTCACCACGGACCAGCACCCCCAGGATCTGCGTCTGCTGCTCACGGCCGTGTTGAGGGACCAGAAGAACAGCTTCTACACCGTCCCCGTTTACAACGAGACCGTCACTATCGTGGAGGGAGCTACCAGCTTCTTTGACCCCCAAATGTATGTATCTATGCGCATGCCGTACAGCCTCAGCATAACCCTTGCTAATGCACACAACAGCATCTTCCTGTACCTCGTCGTTCTCAGCGTCTTCGGCGGCATCTCGTACTTTGTCTACAACACCTGGATCACCACTTTCTTTCCCCAGAAGAAGGGCCGCGGCAAGGGTGGTGAGCGCGCGAAGAAGTCTTCCCTCGGCTCCAAGAAGGTCGACCCCGCCGACCAGGTCGCTGTTGTTGGCGCCGATGGCCCCGCTGTTACCTCTGGCGCAAAGGCGTACGACGAGAGCTGGATTCCTGCATCCCACTTGCAGCGCCCGGAGGCCAAGCGCGTCCGCAGCGGAACCCCCAAGACTAAGCCTAAAGCTTAGACAAGCACGTTCTATACCCTGGGAGCCTCGGGTGGCATTCCGAGGCCATTTTGGACTATTTACCTGCTGAGGTTGGATATCTTCAATGCCATGTTGGCGATTTAGAGTCATGTAAGCCTATTTGGAATCATGTCTCACGCATTGGATACGCGTGAGCGCACGCTGTATGCTCCGATGGCACAATCGCGACGATCTGTTGATCATGTTGTACAATATAATCAAAAGCAAAAGTTGTCGATTGAACGACGTACATTATGCTCTGACGCACTCTTAATTCGTGCTATTCCTTCTTCCACTCCTCAAACTCGTCGTCCAGATGCTCTTTCAGCCGCGCAAACTTGTTCGCAAAGCCCTTGTCGCATCTCCAACACTTCATGCCCCAGGTGGGCCAGTCGCCCGGCGCAAACCGCTCACTCCCCTCCTCCAGCGGGAACTCATCCATCTGCACAAGAAAGCTAGAGTTGAAGCTCAAATAATGCTTCTTGTGCTTCATACAGGCCGAGTGCATATCCCGACTAAACACATGAATGTGCAAGTGATTCATCGACGGATGCGTATGCACGCCCGCCACAATCTCCTTGCTCCAATCGCGCCCCTGCGGTAGCGCAGCGATTTTTTCCTCCGTAGGCGAACCATCAGACGCACACATGAGCTCGTCGAGCGCGTTTTGATACGGCTTGTCCGCCACACTCACGTGCCCGAACTGCCTGCGAAGTTCCTGCGCCGCGAGCGCTTTCACACGCTCAACGCGTTTCCGACAATCTGCTAGGAACGCCGTATCTGAGGAGAGGAGGTGCAGTGGGTGTTTAAAGTATAGGTCTGGGTTTCGCGGGATCAACAGGAGATGTACACTGTACTGTATCGTTAGCTACGAAAGTGTCCGCTAATGAGTCGTGAGGAAGGAGAGACCCACGAAGCTTTTGGAAATTTATCCCGGATAACTACAAACTGCTCATCCCACTCGACTACCCTGCCCTCCGGATTCGTCTCTGGGTTTTCCAGGTATACGCCCAGGCCGTTTCTTGGGTCCCAGCCCTTTACGGCGTTTTTGGCGCGCGAGAGGGCGCTGGAGGGTTGCGGGTCTTCGGCAGTCGGCGCGGGTTTGGATTTCTTGGAGACGGACATGAGTTTTGTGACTAAGGAGTGAGGGCGGGTTTTAGGTCCGGTAGGGAGGCGACGTACAAGCGTTTGGACGTTTCTTTGGGTGCGGAGGGGGAGGAGAGGGCGCATCGCCAGTGAGGGTTTGCGGCGTCGTATTTAGGGGAGGCATGGTGATGGGTGGGAGGGATGCGCGCCTATGACGACAGGATTATTGGGGCTCAGGGAATCATGGTTGTGAGGGCGTGAACGTGCTTGTCGGATGGTAATGCTGCATACGATTTCGTGCGGGAATGCTCAGATTAGCTAAAGTGCACAACAGTTGTACCATGTCGAGAGATGACGCGCTTCGACATGCCCCGAGAAGTGGCCCATGCTCCATCCCACGCTTCGGCAGTGACACGGCGGGGCTGCAGCGATCGGAGCTTTGAATTATACGCCCGCGATTTGTTTCTCGGAAAGTCTATCAACATGGCGACACAACCGCGACAGAGTTATTTAGATTTCACTGCGCTGAGCGAAAGGTGGACAACTACGCAACCCGGTGGTTGAGCCCTTCTGCTAGCGACAGCGCCCTTCAACACCCACAAACGAATGCATTACTTCCCACAAAACTTTTGTAGATTTCTATCCACTACTGTTCATGGCTACACCAGGTTTTCTGCCATATCTGCGAAGTAAACACGATGCCGAAGAATGCTCATCCGCCGCGCGGTAAGCCCGCAAAGAAAACAGTGCCGCCGGAGGAAGATACAAGCTACATCGTCTTCGGCGACGGCAAGCCCAAGAAGAAGAAGCCCGACAACTCAAATACCGGCACTAGCTCAGAAGACACCAAGGGTAAAGGCAAGGCTGCGACAGGACCGGCTGAAGATGGCCCAAAGAAGCCTGACACCAGGACACTGATCGCGGGAGTTTCGTGGACTGGCAAATTGCCTGTAAATCTACTGGCAGAGCACTTCCAGAAACAACACTGGAGCAAGCCAGACTATCGGATAGTATGTACACAATGAGACATGAGTGAATCACGAGCTGACCTTCGTAGCGCAAAGATGGCGAGAAGCACTTTGCCTACGCCGTGGTCTTGTCCAAACTGAACCAGAAGACGCGAGAAGTGACGACTCTCCCACAGATCAAGATCCCTGCCGAACTCGAAGAAAAGGCACACCAGCCAAGTGCCGTCGAAGCCCGCAACTTCGCCGCCGCCTATACCCTCTTTCGCGTCGCCAGTGCGAAAAATCTACACATGATGCTGCCTCCAACATACAAGGATCTATGGAAGGGCGAATTCACGGAATTGAAGAAGCGGGATGAAGCAGAAGGCAAGGGTTGGATGTACGAGGCAGACCCGTTCTTTGGCTTCGCCGAGCGAGAAAAGGCGCGCGAACTTGCCGCAAAAGCACGCGAGAAGAAGCAGAAGGAAAGAGACGAGGCACAGAAAGCGCACAATCTCCAACCTGGAGCGGCTATGCCGAGTTCACGAAGTTCTTCTGCTGGCGGCAGGAACTTGCTCAAGGGGTGGGAGCGCGTACCTAAGATTGAACTTGGGAAAAGGACGAGGAAGGCTGCCGAGCACCTGATTCGCCGAGACGCTGTGTGGAATCCGAATGGTCTCGAATTGGATCCCACAACTAAATCACGCCTTGTGCACGAAATTGCTGAGCTTGGTTTCCGGGAGAGCCACGTAGAGGAAGCTGCTGCCATATGCAAAGATCGCGAAGAGATCATCGAGTGGTTGCTCATCCATGTCCCAGAAGACGATCTGCCGTCATGGAGTTTGCCCGAGGGCTATGTCGCTGGAGTCAGCATGGCGAGCGCCAATCTGAAGCGTGAAGGCGCTGTCAAACGTCTTGCAGCTGCAGGCTATGCGCTGGATCTATGCGAAGAAGCCTATGATGGCCAAGGGGGCGATGAACGCAAAGCAGCAGCACTCTTGCAGACTCGACTTCTTCGACCAAACGAGGACGACAAAGATATCGCGCAAGAAGTGGCAGACCTCTCAATCGCCGATGATACGGAGGAGTGGTCAGAGGAAGATGCCTGGGAAACCGAGATGTCGTCTCTGGAAGCAATTTACGACAAGCTATTCAGTCGACCGTCACCAGAAATGTGCCGGATTGAACTTGATATCAAGCAGCAAGGAAAGCGACTCATTTTACAAGCCAGGAAGCCCTTCGGACTATATCCTGCTGTGGTCCCCATCATTACCTTCGAAGCCGCTATTCCCGCTTATATTCGCCTCAGTATCATTCGACAGGCTCTACTACATGCGGAAACCAATTGCATAGGAATGCCCATGATTTATGATATCGTGGATTGGGTGCAGCAGAACTCTGGCGAGATCTTCAAGAACCCCGGCCGGTTGAGTGATGTCTCATCTGGTCTGGCGGCGGCCGACCATACCGAAGAGCAACAAGTTCGCAAGAACAACAGGAAAGCAAGAGGTCGGAGACCGATAGATTGGACGCCTGCGACACCCGTTAGTCAGAAGATACTGTCACAGTGGCAGGCTAAGCAAACGATGCCGAATCAGCAAAAGATGATGAATGTCCGACAAGCATTACCAGCCTGGAGGCTCCGAGAAGACATAATTCGGACTGTCAACGATTGCCAGGTGACCATTATCTCAGGGGAGACGGGCTCTGGAAAGTCGACTCAGTCAGTGCAATTCGTCCTGGATGACCTCATCCAGCGACAGCTTGGAGGTGTGGCAAACATCATCTGCACACAACCCCGAAGAATTTCTGCTCTTGGCCTTGCCGATCGTGTTGCTGATGAGCGATGCTCTCAAGTTGGCGACGAGATTGGATACACCATTCGCGGCGAGTCGAAGCAGAAACCAGGCGTCACTAAGATCACATTCGTCACCACTGGTGTTCTGCTCAGACGACTGCAGACGTCGGGTGGCGGTGCCGACGATGTTATTGCAGCACTGGCAGATGTCAGCCACGTTGTGGTTGATGAGGTCCACGAGCGCAGTCTGGACACTGATTTTCTTTTGGTCTTGCTCCGACAGATCCTACGCAAGCGCAAAGATCTGAAGGTGATCCTGATGAGCGCAACTCTGGATGCCGAAGTTTTCGAGGCGTACTTCAGAGAAGTTGGACCGGTGGGTCGCGTCGAGATCGAAGGCCGCACACACCCTGTGCATGACTTCTACATTGACGACGTGGTTCACTTCACAGGCTTCAACGGCGCTGCAATGGGTGATGATGGTGACGAGGACAAATCATTCTCCGCCAACATGCGAAGCATCGGCTTCGGTATCAACTACGATCTCATTGCTGAGACTGTCCGACACATCGATCGTCAACTCGGAGATAAAGACGGAGGCATCTTGATCTTCCTACCTGGTACCATGGAGATCGACCGTACGCTGCAGGCTCTTAGCCACTTCAATAACCTACACGCCCTTCCACTACATGCATCACTTCTGCCGGTTGAACAGAAGCGGGTGTTTCCTCTTCCACCTCCTGGAAAGCGGAAAGTCATCGCAGCTACCAATGTTGCGGAAACTTCCATCACCATCGAGGACATCGTGGCGGTCATCGATACCGGCCGCGTGAAGGAGACCAGCTATGATCCACAAAATAATATGGTGCGTCTCGCCGAGACCTGGGCTTCCAGAGCTGCATGCAAGCAGCGTCGTGGTCGTGCTGGTCGTGTCCGAGCTGGAGATTGCTACAAACTCTATACCCGAAATGCCGAAGCGAAGATGATGGAGCGACCTGACCCGGAAATCCGACGAGTACCACTAGAGCAGATGTGCCTTTCGATAAAGGCTATGGGTGTTCAGGACGTCTCGGGCTTCCTCGCCTCAGCTCTCACGCCACCTGAGAGTACAGCGGTCGAGGGTGCTATCAGGTTGCTCTCGCAGATGGGAGCCATTACAGACAATGAGCTTACCGCCCTTGGTCGGCACATGTCAATGATACCCGCAGATCTACGTCTGGGCAAATTGCTCGTCTACGGCGCGACGTTTGGATGTCTGGAGGCCGCACTGACGATTGCATCCGTGTTGACAGCGCGTAGTCCCTTCATGTCACCACGAGAGCGGGATCAAGAAACACGAAACGAGTTCAATCGGATCCGGTCATCATTTTCTAACAATCAAGGAGACCTGCTTGTCGACCTCCGTGCATACGAGCAATGGTCCGCGATGCGCAGTAAAGGCGCAACCACCCGCGACTTGCGCTTCTGGTGCCAAGACAACCGCCTATCAATCCAGACCATGTTTGACATCGCCTCCAATCGGACGCAGTACCTCTCTTCTCTCAAAGAAATCTCCTTCATACCAACCTCCTACTCCTCCACTAACCCCTCCACCCACGGTATGTACACCAAGCAAAACAACAACGACGCGCTCCTCCGCGCCCTAATCGCCGCCTCCTTCAGCCCCCAGATCGGCCGCATCCAACTCCCGGACAAGAAATTCGCAGCTGGCATAGCCGGCGCCGTCGAACTGGACCCAGAAGCACGCGAAATCAAGTACTTCAACCAAGAAAACGGGCGCGTCTTCGTGCACCCGTCCTCCACACTCTTCTCCTCACAAACATTCCCATCCAACGCCGCGTTCATCGCGTACTTTAATAAAATGGCCACAAGCAAGGTTTTTATTAGGGATATTACGCCGTTTAATGCGTTTGGATTGCTTATGTTTGCCGGAAGAATTCAGGTGGATACTCTGGGCAGGGGGCTGGTTGTTGATGAGTGGATACGATTGAGAGGGTGGGCAAGGATTGGTGTGTTGGTTAGTCGGTTGCGGGGCATGTTGGATCGAGTGCTCGAGGGGATGGTTAGGGAGCCGGGGAAGGGGATGAGTGTGAGGGAACAGGAGGTTGTGGCTGTTGTGAGGAATTTGGTGGAGAGGGATGGGTTGGATGCGTAGAGGAATGGAGGATGGGACGAGGTAAAAGGTGAGCACTGATATCGGCGAGTGGCAGGCACTGTTGCTAGCCTGGTAGGCGTTTGACCATCTTCATCTATCGTCTCATCTCATATTTTATCTCTACTTCGTCTCACTATCAATTGGCATCGTACACACCATCTTTCTTAACTACCCTTTATCTGTCTCACAACGCATATGAGTCTTGCTTCATTGCCCATCTTTTCTTTCTCTGCCTTCCGCGTGTTCTGGTGCAAGGCGGTTAATAGAAGGCATGTTCGAGAGGACTACCGATGATGTCCTCCAGACTTATGTCGTTCATGTCAAAGGACGTTACGAGTTGTGAGCGTTCTCACTTGATGGCCTCTGGGGCGTTCATTGAGAGTTGTCAATTCGTAGCATTTGTTCTCTTAGTATGTCCCTTCTTATTTCTTTGCCTGAGATTTCTTGCCCCGTCTGCCTTGGTCCCTCGCGTCCACTTTGCGCCGAGTATCTTTGGTGTTGGAATGGACGCTTTACGAGCTAACCATTGTATCCGCACTCACCTCTCTCACGTCATGTTTGTATCAATCTCACTATCGCTCGTATTGAAGTGTCGCTCGGGTATGTGAGTCCTCTCACCCACCACCATTCATTCCCTTACTTCTGCACATCCTCATCAAGTTTTCCGAGCTTTGTATACCCAATGTATATCTCCAATACTCCCTTCCTCATTGCTCCTTCGTCTCCGTGAACCCATATACAGCCAGGACTTCTCGCTGAATACCCGCATTCCGCCTCGTCCCTCCACACCCAACTCTCACCACCGCTCCCTCAACCATCTCTCTCGCTTCACCCACGGAACCTTCGCTCGCCGTCGCCGACCTTCCACACACAACAGCAAACGCGCCCGTCGATATAGGCCCACCTCCCACCCGCCCGCACTCTGCTCATATATCTACAGCACTTGCTGCCCTCCGGTATATAAGTACTGCAAACTGCCAACCCTCTATCAACGAGCCTCCTCCCAGCTCTCAGCCGCTTAGTCTAACAGTGTTATTGGCACGACCACTTCGTATCGGTCTAACGCACTGCCTTTATTCCTACCGGTTTTCTGGGACCTGGGGGGTCGCTCGTTCGATTCTCGGAAACGGAAAAATTATTCAATTAGTTTAGACGTCGCTTGAGCTTCGCGGATTGGCTAAATACCAAGTTCGATCGGGGTCGAAAGGTGCTTTTTTGGAGAGTTTGGGGTCATGTTTTTTTGCTCTTTTTGGCTCTGTTGGGGGGGGGCGGGGAGTGTTGTTGCGGTGTTTGATGGGCTTATTAGGGACTTCAGTGCAGATTAATGTATAGCTTTCGGTTGATTGAGGGGGCCTCGGTATTCAACGCTGCTTGGCTCTGGTTTCAGTGGCACGGCAATGTGCATGTCTCATGACGCCCTCCCGGGTTGGGTCAGCGGAGGAAAGCGCATGCTGTTCGTTGTCGTTACTTACAGCTGTTAAATGACTGGGCTTTCATCATCGCTAGCATCTTTACAAACATGAAGATGATTACCGGTCTCGAGAGCGAACAGGGCGCGACATCGCAAGGATGGCAGTGTGGTGCAGATAAAAGCCACGGACGTCACTCGGCACCTTGTGAACGATAACACAACCGAACGTTCACATTATAGGCCCACTGGACAGGAACCAAGTGTTAGGGTACCAGGCACGCTTCCCACCCTCATGTGAAACCAACGTGCGCGCATGTGGTTCGTCGTGAAGTAAGCTCGAAGTGAGGTCGCCTAATTTGACAGGGCGATTCCAACACATCACCACCCACCCTTCCTATTAACCCACCCAACTTCCATTATCGTCGCCACATCACCACATCTCACACCTGGCCTTCTTGAAACACTTCACAAAGCAGGCTCTTTATCTTGATAGGCCGCCCCATGTACTAGCCCAATCGCGTTCCTGCGCCGCGCCGGCTACGATGTGGCTGTACCTGCATAAGGCGCCCGACGCAGCCCCCGAATTAGACCGCGCCCAGTGTAATACTGACATACAACGTGGTCGTTCTCCGAACAGGCTTGTAGAACCTCTCCGGCGACCGAAACACTGCCAGCGAGAAAAAAAAAGCCTCTGAGCGCCCTAAGGCCTGCACCCAACCCGGGCGAGCAAGGCACATCAGTCATCTCATTCGTCAATGTCATCTATCTATAATTTCTACAACTTCGAAAAGTAGGCTAACAACGCTTCCAGATTCACACTGCCAACATGTTGAAGACTTGACTGCTGGCCTTGGGGCGTGAATGTTGGCCTGCGCCGGAATTTGGGGGTTGGAATGAGAGGCGCGGTATATCCTCGCCGTGATGTCGCCGTTTTCGTAACACGCACATTCCAACTTCTCACGCTGTCTATTCTATCTTTTCACTCTGTTTTTGTTTCTATCAAGGAAGTCATTCTGTTCCTCGGAAAACCACATCACCTGCGCAGTCATCGGGTCAATCTAGTCATTTCCATCTCGCCCCTTCACACACTCATTGCATATAAGTCAAAAGCCAAAGCGCGATCGTCGTTTGCTCGCTATACAACAATATGCATCTACTCAATACCATACTCCTATGTACTGCGGTCGCATCTGCGACCCCGCGCATCTTCGACTGGGCAAACTCGATCCACCAACTGGCCGCAAGAAAGATCCTTCTCGACTCGACCCTTGCACGTATGACTAACGCGCAAGCCCTCGCATCGGTTAAGAAAGAGACATGTTACAACGGCACGAGGATACCATGGCCTCAAAACGATCTACCTCCTCCGCTAGCAGATAAGCCCATTCAACAACTCCACATCTTCAAGAAGCCGGAAACAGCACCCAACACTCTCACCATCCACAACTACTGCAACTATCCCATCTACTACGTACACTGGAACGGACCTCAAAATATCGGCCAAGGTGTGATCAAGGCTCATGATGTTTTCACAAGTCCATTGAGAGGATCCGTAATCAAGGCCAGCAAGACTCCCGACCTGACCAAGGTCGTCCTGATCGAGTACTTCAACGACAAAGCCACCAAAAAGCTATGGTACAATCTCAGTCTTGTAAAGTGTCTCGGCGTCAATCCTCGGAATGGCATGTACACCACCGACACTAGTGCATGTGCAGGCCACGAGGGTGGTTTGCAGTTCGGCAACAAACAAGTCATGAGCTACCAGTGTGCGCCGGGCTGGTGGTGTGATGATCAAGCATATCTGTACGATGTAAGTTGTTTTTTCTATACAATGAGGACGGATGAGACGGTTTGCTAACATGAGCTCAGGAAAACCTGTGTAAGGTTCTGAACCCGGTGAGCACTTGTTCTCCAAAGGACGGTGTCACGATGGAGTTTTGCGCGAGCAAGCGTCGATGAAAATATCTCTATGAACTAGAAGTGCTTTCATTCCAGTGTCCTTTCATGAACATCTCCCTTCACATCTTTACCGCGTGCGCGTGCTCAGACTTCGGGTCAAGTCGTTTGTCCCTTCGACCTGGAATGGTCCCTTACACATTCTTGTCTATGGTTCATGCAGTAAACAGTTTAGTCTATACATACACGAGCGAGCGGGAATAAGAAAACATGTTTTTCATAAACACAATGGACTCAGGGCTGAGACTAACCTACTTCAACGTAGTGCAGCGGAAAGACCGGCATCCACCCGCCGCAAAGTCGGCCTTTGGCGCAAGATCTAGATCGAGATAAGATAACATTCACACGGCAAAAACCATCACCACGCGAGCAGCAAATTCTGTCAGCCACAACATCGAAATCACGCATATTGACATGGAGCTACAACCCGAGGCGTCGGATTTCTCACTTGTTCTGCGCAAGTAAGTGGAGACGGATCCATCTGATAAGATTGCTTGGAGCGGTACTATGCTATGAGAGGTTAGAATGAGAGGATGGCCCGCGTTCTAGTGCAGCTAGCTTCGTGTTAAGCTCAGCTTCAAGCTTTAGTCAAGACCTAGCCTGGGCTGCGTGCTCGAATGGTGCGGTGGGCCGACGGGGAGTGTGTTGAGATGTGGGCAGGTGGGTGGCCTTGTTGCGAGTACTTTATGTGAAGAAATGTGTACCGTCTGTAGAGAACTTGCTCATTGGATTTCCTATATTTCCTTTCCATCCTCTTGAGATTCCATAATAGAGTTATTGTGGAGATGGAGTCAGTCAGTCAAGCGCAGGCCAATTATGCGATTGGTGAAGAACCAAAGAGGGATATGAGCGCCGTCGACATCGACGAAGAAGAGGCGATTCGCAAAGTCGAGGCTGCGAATACTCCGGAGCTCGGTGCTCAAAGTGGTGTCAGGAATGTCGAAGCCGTGACTCTGACATGGACGAAGAAATCGCTGGCTTGCGCCTTCGTATGGTACGTTCGAATCCCTCATCAGAACTATCTTCCCCCACAGCTCGAAGCCTACTCCACTTCCTACCAGAACTAACAGTGTCCCAGCATGTGGTTCCTCTACCTCACCAACGCCTTCCAATCCTCCATAACCAACACCCTCACCCCCTACGTAACTTCCAACTTCTCGCAACACTCCCTCCTCACCGTCGTTACCATCGTCTCCAACTCTCTAGCTGCAGCAGTCTACATCCCCACCGCAAAACTGCTCGATCTCTGGGGCCGCGCTGAGGGCTTCGCAGTCATGGTGTGCTTCGCCACTCTCGGGTTGATTATCATGGCCGCCTCGACGTCTCTTGCCGCATACTGCGCCGCGCAGGTGTTTTATACCATTGGCTTTGGCGGCATGATTTACTGCATCGATGTTATCACCGCGGATTCGTCGAGTTTGAAACATCGGGGTTTAGCGTTTGCGTTTACGAGTTCGCCGTATATCATCACGGCGTTTGCGGGACCGAAGGCGGCGGAGGGATTTTATGAGAACATTAATTGGAGGTGGGGGTTTGGGACGTTTGCAATTATCGTGCCGGTTGTTGCGGCGCCGTTGTTCATCATTCTCAAGCTGAACTTGCGCAAGGCGAAGAGGGAGGGTGTGCTTGTCCGTGAAGCAAGTCAACGGACTCTGGTGCAGAGTGTTGTTTTCCACATACGTGAGTTCGATGGTGAGTACTCCATCCCATATCTGGTCGGAGCGATACTCATACCGCATAGTACCTGGCGCCTTTCTCCTCGCCTCTGGCCTCGTGATCTTTCTCCTTCCCTTCACGTTGGCCGACTCGGCACCCAGTGGCTGGTCAACGGGCTACATAATCGCCATGCTCGTTGTGGGCTTTGTCCTGCTTATCCTCTTCGGCCTACACGAACGCTACACCGCGTCCACGCCCTTCCTTCCCTTCAATCTCTTAACCAGCCGAACTGTCCTGGGCGCATGCATGCTCTCCTTCACATACCAGATCAGCTACTACGCATGGTACTCATACTGGACGTCCTTCTTGCAAGTCGTCACACACCTGAGCATCGCAGAAGCCGGTTACGTTGCGAGCACGTTCGATGTTCTTTCGGGCATTTTGTTACTGTCAATTGGGTTGGTCATCAGCAAGACGGGATACTTCAAGTGGCTGCTGTATATCGCTGTGCCAATATACATACTTGGCCAAGGACTGATGATTTACTTCCGCCACCCGGGCACGAGCGTGGGATATCTTGTCATGTGTCAGATATTCATCGCTATTGGTGGTAGTATCATCATTCTTTGCGAACAGATTGCTGTCATGGCTGCAGCGGATCATCAGCATATCGCTACTGTTCTCGCGCTACTGAACATCTTTGGGTGGCTGGGCGGCGCTGTAGGAAGCACGATTTGCGGCGCTATTTGGACCAATTCTTTCCCGCAGGCGCTGGCGAATCTGTTACCGGAGGATGCCTTGGAGATGCTGGACGATATTACAGGGAGTCTGGATACGCAGTTGAGCTATGAAGTCGGCAGCCCGACGAGGTTGGCAATCGAAGAAGCATATGGTGTTGCGCAGAAGAGAATGTTGATTGCTGGTACGGCGATAATGAGCTTGTGCGTCGTGTGGGTTCTGCTCATTCGGAACTACAACGTTAAGAAGATGCAGCAGACGAAGGGAAGACTGTTCTAGAAGTATATCGGAGGGGACGTGTTGCCGAGTAACAACGCACAACACGCACTGAAAAGTCCTGTGACAATCTGTGCAAAAACGAGTTCTAAAGTTGTACCTCTGTTACATATCGATAGGATCGAGTCTGTATGAGTACATGCACAAGAGGGTTCAAAACGTGATCCTCGGCTAACCGATCTTTACCCAAGACGGTTCATTCTGCTCGAACGATTTGTACGTTGCTTTCGGAATTTGATCGAACAACCCTCCCTTCAAGTACATCGTGCCTTTGCCATCAGTGGTCAAGGATGCGACAGGTCTGCTTCTAATCAGCCTCAACTCGAATCTCTCGCCGAGTGAACGTACGATCCACAGTCGCTACAGAATTGGCGAATAATTGTGTTGCCAGTAGTAGTATCGTTGTCCGTATAGCTCTTCAGGGTGCCCTTAGCGTCGCTTATTTTGGCATCGTCTTTGGTCATGGGGAATACAATGGAACCAAAGGTACCACCTCCACGACGGCAATTGGCGCTGCGAGGATTAGTTAGACCCCCAGAGCTGAACACATGTACATCAAACGCACCAGTAGCAAATCACCGATTCCTTGGGAAGCTCTGGGAGGGTAACTTTGATGCTCGCGCAGTTGCAGCGTCCCTCGACCATATTGATAGACTTGAGTATGTTCGGAGGCGTTTCGAGGTGGTGAGATCGATGACTTTAAACTGCTTGACTACGCGATTGTACCAGCAACTTGGTGGTCGAAGTTGAATTACAGAAGAACACGAGAGAGAGAGAGACTCAACAGCACTGGGACGTTGGATGGTAGAGGTCTGATGATGACGCACGACCAGCGAAGCTGCTTCTCCACCATGTTTACCTCGGCTCGCGAACGCGGGACTCGTCTAATGCCAAGTGGGTGGATGTGGTGTCGTCTGCACCAGACCATCTTTGCCCATATAGTCGTTTCATATCAAGAAGTTGCTGCTTCTCGGATCAACTTGTGGAGGCAAGTTTTTAGACTTCGGAGTGGAAGTTTCGCTCTGGCATAGTCAGGTGCCTCGGGAAAGCGTCCATGGCTGTCGCGCGTAGGGTTCACCATGGGCATATTTTCGATGCTTATACTGAGACAATACTCTGAATAAGCAGTTCAGCCTTGTGCTTACTTGGAAGGCTGTTCAGCCAGCGGCCGAGAGGCTGGTTGTGCTAAGTGCAGGTGCATGTCATGACGGGTAAGGGACAGAGCAAGAACATGGTGGCGAGAACGACGACCCATAGACTGAATTTTGAGGGAAGAAGAGAATGAGATGAGGGAGTCGAGTTTAGGTAGCGATGGGATATTGTCTTGCGTTCCGAAAGAGGATAGTGCGCCCATAGGGTGCTCGACTAGCACGTGGTTCCGCGATCCTATCGATAAGCGCGAGGTAAACACAACAATTGCTTGTAGACCGCCGCACCAACAGCGCTGCACGATACCAAACCTTCGCCACGATCTGAATCGCTCAGGCTACCCCCCAAGATGGTACTGAACCCGCTCGAAGTCTCCGATACACGCGGCTGACTAAGATAGACGCGCGACTCAGCAGCAACATACCTTCACATGCACCACTCGCACCACGCCGACCTCCTTGAGTCCTTCACCAACCCCACCTCGTCACAGCTCGCGCCGGAAGACATATACATTCCGCCGCACCTACAACCAGTCAATCCCGAGGACGAGGATGACGTCGTGCCTGACCAGCATGCGGCTTTCGGCATCCAGCGCGCAACACAGACAAGGAAGGAGCCTGCCTGGCGAGACTTGGGACTGGACGACCTGATGCGCCGAGGCCCCGGTGAAGGGTCTGCATCATCCTCGACGGCAAGGACCAGCGGTGGTGCGGCCGTGAGCGCAGGTGGTGTCGCGGCGGCAAGGCAAGACGAGCCTGTTCTCTTGGCGCTGAGGAGACAGCCGGGTGCCAGAGGTCCTGGAGTGAGGCCCAGTGGGGGAGAGGTTCAGTCAACTGCCGGTGGCGGTGCTGGAAACGGACTTCCTCGATGAACACGGTGGATGATTTTGAGGAACCCAATAGGAACTGCATCAGACCTACACACGTTCATCGGAACCCCAAGCAGGAGCGATGGGACTCAAAAGCTGACGACCGGACTTTCCATGGCACGAATGCAGAACTACAGGCCTGACTGGCGTGTAACAGTCTTAGGACTCTACGGATGGCATTCGGTGATTCGGCGATACACGTGTCCGAGGCAAAGAGGCAAAGAATGCCGAATGGTTTCATGGCATTATGGCGGCGCATCATGCAACATGCTCATCAGGGCATTCGAGCGCCTCGTCTCAATTCTCCGTGTGTCGCGAATCTGAAACTATCTCCATGCCAAGCCGCGTACGCAAAGCTTAGCACTTGATAATATGCGGCGATAAGTGAAACATTGACAGGCTTCATCACAACACAAAGTCGAGGTTACTGGACTTTACTAATCATCTCCCGCTCGGTCTACATGTTCGCGCAAGCACCGTGTCGTGTTCCAGCACGACCTGCGACACATGGGCGACAATGGAAATCCGGTAATCTGGTCGTGTAGTTATGTCGCCGCCCGACTCGTGAATTATTGGCGGCGCCTTCTCGAAACGCTGCACCGTCTCTGTCAGATGAACTGTCAAGTTTCCTTCGGGTTTCAGTATCAACGAGGCCGCGTGAGTGTCCACGACTATCCCCGTCGTCACGTTGTATTAGCTGCCGCGACGTTGGGTTTGCATAAACTGTCAACATCATTATTGATCTACATTAGCCATATCTAACTCTCTTTTCCCTTCTCTACTTTTAGCGTTTATCCGATCTACACATTCGTTCGGCCGGACCGCTTCGCTTCTCTTGACTATATTCATCCTTTACTACTTTGTTCGAGATTAATATAACTCGGTCCTCATCATGCATTCTTCCAACATCATCGTTGCCATGCTTTTGGCCTTTGCAACCACGTCGTACGCCTCGCCAGAGCCAACTTTCCACATCATCGAAGTCCGCAAAGAACGCAACGGCACCGAGTCGCGCGGTAGTAGAGAATCTGTTAGATCGCAATGCGCTCAAATTCGAAAACTCACAGCCCTTACCACCCTCGCATCCAACCAAACCAAACTCGACACCCTCGTCTCCAGTGGCGAAATGAGCGAAAAGAAAGCGGGACAGGTCAAAGCCAAAGCCTCAATCGCTACCACCAAACTACAAGCCCTGACGGCGAACTCGACTGTTGCGGCACAGTGTGCAACAATTAACGCGGAGCGCAAGATGAAGCAGAATTGTAGGCAGATGAAGCGCTGGGAGAAGCTGACCAACCTGGCGAGTAATGCAACCGCCCTCGATGCTTTCGCTGCACAGAAAAACATGAACGCGACAAAGCTGGCTGCACTCAAGGCGACGCTACAAAAGGTGGAGACAAGGTTGCAGGAGATGCAGGCGAATACCACGTTGATGGCATTCTGCGGACAGACGAAACAGGCGACTGGACGGCCTGAAAGTGCTAATGGTAAGTTATGCTATGTTTTTCTCGTGGATAGGTGCTAACGATGATGGGTAGGCACGGCGAGTTCTGGTGCTGCGAACGCAAGTGGTGCACCGCTACAGGCGAGTACGAACGATGCGGGCGCCTCAAACGCTGTGTCGTATGTTTTTGTGCCTATCATCGTGAGTTTGTTTGTGATGTTGCTCTAGGTGGACGCTTCGGCGTACAGACTTTTTAGAATGCTACAACATGTAGACTGTGAGTCAGGCGAGGAACGTAGACTAGTAGAACGACTGTACATAGATAAGGCTTCGGATATACCCAAATGTTTATTTTCAATACGCAGCTATATACTACTTGCAGCCGCTACACCTCCAGAACACAAGTGGAGAAGCAAGTCACGTGGAGTATAGCCCATTTCATGCTAGTGGGGAAGGTTGAACGCGTTGCACGCGACTGATCTTCCCGAACACCAAAACAGCATCCAGGTGTCGGCATGCCTGTCATGTCAGCATATATCGCGCCGGATTTTCCATTGACCAAGGGGAAGTACGGCTGCGTTGATCCTCGTAGCTTTGGTCTGCGCTCGGTGGCTGACTCAACCGGCTTATGCTGACTGCCGTCTTACTCCTACAATCGAAGATCAGGTCATGACACATCATGCAACAACACTCTGTTTGATGCGGCAATACACAGAGACACGATGCGCCATCCTGTAGCCACGAAATGAAGCCGGATGTTGACATCCAGGACCGAGCAACCCACGGGTGACGATACGCGAGAGCTGGTTCGAGACTTGCAGTTCGTCCACCGTTGGTAAGCCACCATATATCTCAACCAATAGAGCAACTACATGCTCAACAGCCTTCACAAGTGGAAAATCATAGCTTATCGCTGTTCCTTGTCACGAGCTTAGACAGGCTTGAGTAGGCTTACTACTCCTTCGCTGCTGTCTACCCCGCGCGTCTTCACATCGGACCTGCTGAACCTAGAACGTTCTCAATTCCAGTCCAGCGAGTCAATAAAAGGCCCTTTTGTTAAGAAAACTGGCAAGGGATACCTACAACACGACTGGGAGAACATATCGAGAACGTGGTCTGGGGCAAGTCTGGGTAAGCTTAAGCCTCTGCTTGTCTGCAGCCGTGTCGTCTGGATCTTGGGTATCTGAAAATCCGGGGTATCAGACTGTTCTGGGCCTACATCCTCTCGCTTAACACATTGTATAGCTCAACATAGCTTCGATCTGACAAGCAGATGAGGTGATATATGGTCCCCACTGTCCCCTTCTGTCGGGACCTTCAAACTCAAGGGGCAATATCTACCTTTGACAGACTTGTCTCCCTTTAGTATTGCTTTCTTTAGAGGACGGACTTGCTATACCATCGATGAGCCTCTCGGAGAAGATGGCGACAGAAAAGGTGGAGATTGCGAAGCACGTTGAAGCTGTCGAGACAGTACATACAGATGGTACTGTCGACCTCGTCGACACTCACGCCATCGGTGGAGAGCTGGAGGAGATGCCACCAGGCTACTTTCGCAGCGCGCAATTCATCGGCACAGTGGTCGCAGTATGTACTGGGAGCACATGCGCCTATCTCGGATGGGTGCTACCTGCGAACACTTTGTAAGTGTCTCACCCATGTGTCATACACAATACTGACCAAAGCTAGATTATTGATCAACCAAGACATCGGTCCTTCACCAAACCTAGGTTGGGTTGGCACAGTATGGATCCTCGGGTCGGCCATTGGCTTCCTACTCGTGGGCCGACTGTCGGATATCTTTGGTCGCAAATGGATGGTCATCGGTACTACCCTTCTCAGTATCGTTGGCAATATCGTAGGTAGCACTGCTCATAGCATCGAGACCCTCATCGCTGCCAACGCACTGAATGGCGTTGCAGCTGCTGGTCAGCTCTCATTCGGTATCGTCCTTGGCGAACTTGTACCGAACAAGCAAAGAGGGCCAATCGTCACGTTGGTGTTCATGTCATCTCTCCCGTTCGCCGTATTCGGACCTATCATCGCCCGCAAGTTCATCGACAGTACAGCTGCAGGCTGGAGGTGGAGCTACTATCTCGGCATCGTCTTCGGTGTTATCACCATCGTCCTGTACCAATTTCTATACCACCCACCGACATACTCGCAGCTCCACGTCAACGGCAAGACCAAGTGGCAAGCTTTTAAAGAGCTGGACTTTGTTGGTATCTTCTTGTTTATTGCTGGTTGCGTTCTATTCTTGATCGGCCTGTCATGGGGAGGGCAGGTGTACCCGTGGACAAGCGCTCATGTGCTATGCACCATCATCATTGGCATACTCACCCTAGTCGCATTTGGTCTCTATGGTAAGTCTTCCTGTACCATTAACACCAGCACGTCGCTAACACCATGATACAGAACAATACCTTTGCAAGACCATCCCGCTCATGCCACCACGCCTCTTCACCGACATTGGTTATGTAGCCATCGTTGTTGCCGCATGCATCGGTGCCATGGTTTACTACTCGATGACGATTGTTTGGCCCACTCTCATTGGCACAGTCTATACCCCAGATGTGATCGAGATCGGCTGGCAATCTAGCGTAGTAGGTGGCGGCGTCCTCCTCGGCCAGTTGGTTGGTGGCATTGCCTTGTCATACCTTCCCAAAGTCAAGTTGCAATGCATCATCCTAGCCGTCCTCACCACAGCCTTTGTTGGCAGTCTCGCAGCACTGGGTCCAGACACACATACCTTTGTCATCACGATGGGTACATTGGGCTGCTTCGTCATTGGTTGGATCGACAACATCACCTTCCCGGGTGTCACCCTCGTCATCGCACCTCAAGATATTGGCCTCGCAACAGGCGTACTCGGCTCCATCCGTGCTCTCGGCGGCGCAGTTGCGCAGGCCCTCTACGTCTCCATCCTCACCAACAAAGCCACGATTTACATTCCCAAATACGTCGTCCCCGCCGCGACTGGCGCCGGGCTACCAGTCTCATCACTCCCATCATTATTTCAAGGCATTACACTCGGTAACTTCTCTGCTGTTCCAGATATCACGCCTCAAGTCATCGCCGCGACGGGGATTGCGGTAAGAGATGCGTACGTGACGACGTTCCATTATGTATTCTACGCGACGATTCCGTTCTCGGTGTTGCTGATTGTGGCGTGCTATTATATCCCAGATATGGATAAGTATCTGCATAATAATGTGGCGAAGAGGCTGCAGCATATGGGCAAGTTGGATGGGCAGGCAAATGTTGAGGGGGCGGAGAAGGTTTAAGGATAGAGGTGCAGCCCGGCGTGCAAGAAACCAGTTGCTTGTGCACGAATTTCAGTCGGACGATATCACCAGCGAAGAACTGTGGAATATGAATAATGAACAAATTACATATCTGATCGGTTTTCCGTCGGTGAAAAAGCACGCTATCGTGTTTCCAGCTAGCGCATCCTGTTGAGGAACGAGGCCAGGCCTACATAAGTCTCAACACGAGTAGCCTGCATTGTACGCTGTTTCTAGTTCTTCATCTATCTTCAATACTACAGGGGTTTTTTGTTATGGCGTCTGCCAACATGGATCATCCGGCCGTCCATCTTCTGAAGACCCTCATGTCCATCGTCAGCACCAGCGAGCTCGAGTACGAGATTGGCATGTTCCTGGAACAACATCTTCTGAGCCTGGGATACACAGTTGAGCGCATTCCTATCAAGCCGGGCTCTACGCGCCACAACGTCTATGCCTACCTTGGCTCATCTCGCCAAACAAGAGTGCTCCTTACAGCTCACATGGACACAGTCCCACCGCATATACCCTTGACCATCGATGAAGACATCATTCGTGGAAGAGGATCTTCGGACGACCTTGGACCACTAGCAGCGCAGATACTAGCCACAGAAGAGCTGAGGAAAGAAGGAAAGTTCAGATCAGAAGGCGACATCGGACTGCTATTTGTCGTGGGCGAAGAAAACGGCGGACACGGCATGGTCGCTGCAAACGACATGGGCGTATCTTGGGAATCTGGCATCTTCGCCGAGCCAACAGAAAGCAAGCTTGCCAAAGGACACAAAGGACAGATTGCGTTCGAGGTGATAGCCAAGGGAAAAGCCTGCCACTCAGGCTATCCTCATCTCGGTAAAAGCGCAACGTCTGCCCTTCTTGCTGTTCTGAACGACTTGTCCGCAGCATCATGGCCGGAATCCGAATTGCTTGGCCCTTCGACGTTCAACATCGGAACTCTCTCAGGCGGCGAGAAACACAACATCGTTGCTCCGTCTGCCAAGGCACTGTGCGAAGTTCGCATGGTGGCTGATTTACCTGGTGTCAAAGCTAAGATCGCGGAGATAGTGTCGAAGCACGAAGATATCGACCTAAACTTTGTCTTTGAGTATCCTGAAGCTCTCCTGGAATGGGATATAGAGGGCTTTGAGGCTGCTCCAGTCGCGTTCGGGACGGACGTCCCGAGACTCAAGGCTGAATACTGTGGAAATAGAGTCTTGTATGGACCGGGTTCTATTCTGGTTGCTCATGGGCCGGATGAGCATATCAGTGCTACCGAGTTAGTTGAAAGCATTGCGGGGTACAAGAAATTGGTGCTTCATTTTCTTTCGTGAGCCGGCTCATACTGAGCTCTAAAAAGCTGTGTGATAAGCTATAGAAACATTGCTAGTTTTTAAATGATTTGTTTCGTTAGTTCAACTCGCCTAGGGTTCCCGGTGGCATTATGTAGCAGTCTCACTCACAGGGCGTGGACGACATGAATCAAGCTATTTCCGGTTAGCGCGCCTGACTCAGCCGACTTCGGCGTGAACCTCGTCATCTAGAACGTTGAAAGGAAGTCCATGATCTTTCATCCCAACTTAGACTGAATTGATGCACGCATATTATCTTCAAAATGGACAACACGATTAACCAATCGTCAGAGGACAGGGAGGATCCCTTCTCGTTCATGTTCGCTAGCGATCCAATAGCCACGGACACAGTCTTCCAGGATGGTGGATTAAGCGAGCTATCAGCTGCATTGACAGCTGCGCATGCGAATTCATTCCAGACTGAGAGCCCATGGATGTCAGGAGTAACGCCGGATGGGATCTCAAACAACTCCACTGCCTTCTCGTCACCGTTGACTCCAGGTACACCGATCACACGTCCAAAGCTAGGAAGCAGATTCTCCCGAGAAGTCATTCGGACACTAAAGACTTGGCTTGCTGCTCACCAGCAGCATCCATATCCACGAGATGACGACATGGAGCTTTTGCAGTTGCGCACTGGTCTGAACCAGGCACAACTCACTAATTGGTTCGCAAATGCTCGCCGCCGCGGCAAAGTGCAAGGTGCTCGTCCTGTTACACCACGAGCACCTGACAGCTCATCGAACCCTGTTGATATCATTCAAAGGCCAGGGACTCCTGCAATTCGACAGGATTCTCGTGCAAAGGATCCATTGCAGCGATGGGTGGACAGTCCGCCTGAACATGAGCCGGCGGACGTAGGAGACATTGCTCGTGCTATGGCGTCGAGTTCACGAAGTGAATCAGGTAAGTCCTTTTCTACAACGGGTACCAAGTATATTTGTATTCAATGTATACTCATATGTACAGGCATAAATGGCGTAAAAGGGTATGATTATGCAGACAACGACCAGTGGCGTTCTCCTTATATATCGTCTGCAAGCAGTGCTGGCACTTCTCAATCCAGCGAAGTTTCGACACATCGTTCTTCAGGATCACAAAGCTCTCTCAAGGCTCGCCGGGCAGCTCGGCGAAAGCGAACTCCCCGGCGGAGGCCACTGGAAACCGACCTTTCTGCTAACCCTAGTATGCCATACCAGTGTACCTTCTGCACTGACACATTCAAGGTAAGTTGGTGGGGCCGGACCGAGAACAGTGGATACTACTAACCTTGTGCGTTCGCAACCATAGACAAAGTACGACTGGCAGCGTCACGAAAAGTCTCTGCATTTACCACTCGAGAAGTGGGTGTGTGCTCTCCATGGACCTCGTGCGCCAAAGCCGCAATCTGCAGAAATGTGTTGTGTTTTCTGTGGTGAATCTGACCCCGCGGAAGCTCACATTGAGTCCCACCACTTCTCCTTGTGCCAGGATCGGACTCTAGAAGAACGGACGTTCCATCGTAAAGACCACCTCGTACAACACCTACGTCTTGTGCACCAGGCGAAATATGAAGCTTGGTCAATGAAAGATTGGATGGTGCCGATGCCCGACATAAAATCGCGATGCGGCTTTTGTGGTGCTGAAATGACCAAATGGGAAGAGCGAACCGACCATCTAGCGGAACACTTTAGGAATGGTTCGACTATGGAAGGGTGGAAGGGTGATTGGGGCTTCGAGGAAAGCACGCGACGACTCGTCGAGAGTGCTGTTCCGCCATGTCAGTCCTCCCATCGCATCTACGCTGGGTTCGATGCTGACACCAACGCAGACTTCATTCACTATGAGCGTAATACACTCGTTCCAATGCGGGCTACTGATACACCCTGGGGCTCTCCGCCCAACGGCTACGAGCTTGTCAAGATTGAGATCGAATTCTTTATCCAGAATTACATTGATATACATAGCAGACTACCATCAAACGATGACATTCAAGTCGAGGCATGTCGGATCATCTTCGCTGCAGAATCAGCACCTGACGCAAACTCTTCTGTTACTTCTACCTTATCTCGCGAGTCATGGTTGCGCGACGTTATTATGGCTTCTCCGGAGCTCACCAGGCGAGCTCGATTTGGTCCCCTTCGAACTTCGAGCGAAAGCCGGCATTCACCGATGAAGATAAACGGGAAGGAACATTTGTTTGAAGACTGTCCTTTTGAAGCACGACTCCGGGCTTTTGTCGTGGACCACCACATTTCAGGCACGTCACTTGTCGATGGCCAGCTGCAAACGCAGATGTGCACCATCGTGCGAGAAATGGAAAGAGTGTCGAACACACCGTCGGATATGTATGCGAATTGGATCATGAAGTGCATTTGCTCTGGAAATTGGTGGCTTCAAAGCTTCAAACAACGAGCAGGTGTGGTGTCCACAACGGACCCATCTATTGCCCTACCTGAAGTGCACTTGCAACGAGCGCACATCGATTGGATACAGAGTACTTTTCAGTCCCTCTCATACTTCGACGCTGCCCAGAACGTTACACAAACACAGCATAACTCGCTCCCGCTTGTTTCACCCGACCTGTTGCCTCCGAAAGAGCTGAACACCAACATGACTCAAAGTGTCTCCAGCGAGGCGCAGATCATACCACTGACTCAGACTACAATGTTCGATATGCGGGGAAAGCAGCAGGGCTTTTTGCCACCAGAGGACACCAACTATTTCCGTATCTTCGAGAGCGATATGAGGCGATGGGTCGCTGCAACTATGTCGCCAAAGAACCCGAACTGTCATGTGCCGTCTGACCAAGAGATCCAACATCAAGCTAGATGGATCATGTATGATGGGGACGATCCTTGGAACCAAACGCCAGCAGACTATTCGGAATGGCTGTGGAGATTCAAAGAAGCAATGGGTATCTCGCACGATGAAAATGCGGGCATGCCAACAGGATCCACTTAAGACGGGCATCGGAAGACTAAAAAGCATAGTACGTTGGGATCGTCGATATTCTACATGGCACTTCATTCCTCTCTCGATGCTACTCAACGGCAAGTCCGCTAAGTCATCTTGCTCCCGCTCTCGCTTGTGGGGCAGATATCGATTCGTAACCATCACCTCCTTGGCCAGCGGCGATCAAAGCCCCGGATAATCTTCGGATGTGATCGGCCCGCCACTACTCCTGCGATTGCTCCACTGGCTCTTCTTTCGCTTTGACTTCTGGCCGAGCCTTGAATCGGTCGACTTTTTCATCGGCCCAGTGGGGTCTCTTGTCGAACGCAAACTGCAAGATTTCCGGGCGTTGGTAATGTCCAGCTGCATCAATCCACACCTTGATGGCACCAAGCTGAGAGAAATCAATTTCGCCCTGCACGAGCTTTTCCTCAGCACCGGTGTGTGGACCCGCAATGAATGCACAGAACGGATGCAGAATCGATGACCAGCCTCCACCGAGTTTGACCAGATCTTGTTTTCCGAGGTTCTGTTCCATCCAGTCCAGACATCCTTGGTCGACGTAGTTGGAGGCCGTGATGACGAAGACCTGAGCAGTGAGTGCGTGCGCCTTCATGAGCGCTTCGATCTGCGCATCCGCAACCGCCTCGAAGCCCGCCATGGTAGAGAGCGCGGGCCATGCCCCAGCATGAATGTGTTGGTTCTGAGTAATGAGCGCTTGGCGGGCTCCATTCATTGTGTGCTCCCAGCACGCTAAGCCGCCGAGGTTATAGCCCAGCGACAAGGGCCAGTTGCGCAACGAGCTGCCATTGCCCTGAGCCCAGATATAACGCTCGACATAAGTTGGTTGAAGCTTGCGGTGCACACCAAGAATAGTACCATCGCTGTCGATGATAACCTGCGAATTGAACAACGTGTGTCCGTTTGCAATGCGCTCTGAAATTCCCAGGTTGATGGCAACGCCTGTGCGACGACATGCATCTTGGATGGCACTGACGTCCTCACCATTGGGTTCCACGACAACGCTCTCTTCAGCATACTGTGCGAGTGCCCCAACTTGTTTCAGAGGTGGGTAACATTCGGCCCAGTACTAAAGGGGGAATCAGCAATTAGGATCGGCGCGTTTTCGGAAGTGTCTATCCGCATTTGACTGTGGGAACACGTACGGGGTATCCGGGTATGAACGTCTCTGGAAAAACAAGGAGTTTGACATCGCTTGTGGCAGCTTGTTCGATGAGCTGCACGGTTTTCTTAATCGTGGCGGCCTTGTTCATGAACACAGGCGCAGCATGGGCTGCAGCCACTTTGAATTTGGTCTCCTTTGGTGGCGCCATTGTAAGATTCTCGAAAACTGAGTTGTACAATTGTCTGGAAGAGACGAGAAAGTGAGTAAGATTAACCAGAGTGTCGGGTGGGATGGAGCTGGTTGAAAACGAGGGGTCTGTTTATGCAGTGGCCGGTCCCGCATGCCCAAACTAAACATTTAGCTTGTCTTAGCATGCCCGTTCACACCCGCGAGTCGCGCCCACGCATTTTTCGGTAGTTTACCCGCCGCTTGGGAGCGAGCCGTCCCCTTAGGGTCTTGACCGTTGCAGGCCAAGATGACCGTTGGGCGGGTCGAGCGGTGGGCGAGCGCGTGGAAGCTGGTCGATTCGATGTCACACACGAAAAAGCATCCAAGGGTGTGTTGTGCAACACACAGCACAGAACACCCGATGCCCTCTCCATTACACAAATTGTCATCGAGTCTGTGAGGCGGCCTCTCATGCGACAAAGACTAACCGCAGAACGACCGAGCGTCGGTTGCTCACTCAGGCCTCCCCAGTTCGTCACACCAATGTCGGCGTATTTTCGTAAACGGATGCCACAAGCGGCATGATCTCCTGTATGATTCACCTAACATAGCAATGATGCGTTCAGATGTTACTCGCGTTGCATCCGCACATGCTTGCTGTTCATCCTTTGATACATCAAACAGCTCGATCGCTGGGATGCAATACTATGGGTCTTTAATTGCTTCTCGTTGTGCGACTACAGTACATCTACTCTGTGCATTCTCCACAGCCAGAGTCGCATCCCGCATCCGTTTCCTGATGCCCTTAAACTTTTGTGTTTAACTATCCTGCGTTTGGCGTTATGTCTTTCAATTTCACAGATGTGCCTCCGGGCATCGACTTGAGCGAGTCTCGAACTGCAAGCAACAATGCCATCGGTATCGTGCTATTTGTTCTGTCGTTCGTCTTCGTTGGATTGCGGCTTTATGTTCGTCTACACATGAAACGTGAGCCATTGGGGTTGGACGATTATTTGATGTTCTTGGGACTGGCGCTCAATGCAGGCAACTTGGCGTGTTGCATTGCTGGAGGCTTCTTCGGACTAGGAAAGCACATCTGGTCGTTGGATCCATATCAGATGCGGCAAATCACGATCGTAAGTCTACTACACTAGCTCGGTGACAGCGCTAACTTGGATAGATCACATTTGCATACGTTTTCATATATGCTTGGAGTGTGTGCATTATCAAGTTTTCGATCCTAGCGCTATATCGAAGAATTTTCGGCATCTCATGGCTTGGGTACTTCTGTGTAGCCCTTACGACTGGCTATCTCATCACGAATCATATCGTGCTTCCCCTCTATACTTCGCCTATATCCTATTACTGGAATCAATGGAATGTCGGATCGAAAGGTGTTATACAGGTCGATGAAGCAAAGGTTAGCAATGTCTACCCGCAATATTGGAAGCAAGCTGACAGTGAAGTAGTTCTACCTGGGTGTTGGCATTATCAACCTATTCGGCGACATTTGTATATTGGCAGTCCCAGTTTCGAGCGTGGTGAAGCTTCAGATGGGACGCAGCCAGAAGATTGCCATTAGCTTCATGTTCTTGCTCGGTAGCTTGTAGGTCTCTCCACACCAGCCCACAAACAGGGCTCTTACTAATGGCGCGTGCGCAGTGTATGCTTTGCATCTCTCTACCGCATCATCACTATCACCCGTCTTGTGCAAACAAGCGATATCAGCTGGGCCAAAAGCGACGTCTTCATCTGGAGTTCTGTCGAGCCCTCCATCGGCATCATCAGCGGCTGCCTCCCGACCCTCCGGCCTCTACTGATCAAGATACTCGATCCATGGCGCAAACTCATTCCCTCCGTCAAGAAGTCGTCCTCCGATGGGTCCAGCAAATCTTCGCGCCCTTACCCCTTGAACACGATCGAGACCATCTCCAAGAAGCGTACGCGCAAGATCAACAAGAAGGACGAACTAGACAGTTTACAGTTCACACAATTGGAGGATGAAGTCGAAGTCAAAGCAAACGGAACCGTTGTCCGAGAGTCTGTGAAGGCGACAGGCAAAAGAGATTGCGACAACTCAGGCAACTGGAGACCTGATGATGATGAGATGTGCTTGACTACAACCACGGTACACAGGAGTGAGAGTGAGGCTGGTTTAACAAAGGAAGAGAATAGGTCTCTAGACAGTCTGGAGAGGGATGGGATTACGATGACGAAGAGGTTCGAGTGGGATGAGGAAAGGCATCATTGAACCTTTATAGCTGTTCCCGAGGCCGACGGGTTGCGTTGCGAAAACTTTATGGTCTTATTACAAGAGATGAAATTGACACCCTCATTTCCACTGCATTGCCAATGAGCATCGTTATCGACAATCGTGAACACAGTTGCTTCTGTGACGGTTGCGCATTGCAACATTAATGATGACTGCCAGGCTCTCTAGTAGGTATGTTACTGTGTACTAGAGGATTGAATTACGCCCGGTGCATTTACGGATGGCCTCCGATATCGACCGTTGGGTTGTTGGTAGTGCGGATCAGTTACTGGAGCGGAAGCTGTGAGGGCCTCGCGAAGTTAGTCGCTGCCGCTGGCAATTTAGCAGCAGCACCCAAACCACCTACTTCCTCTTCTCTAATCATAAAAAACCACCGCAATAGCATCTTACCGCCTGGCTGTTCTGGTATTTTGGTCGCGCAATCATAGTGAAAGATTTGCTTTATCCTCCAGTGCCGTGTAGGACAGTCCCGGCCCTTGCCCCGCTTTTTGCACACATCGGCTGGATTTACGTCCGCAAAGTTGCACATCGACATGTTGCTCCGTTGACGACCGCTATGCCTCACGAAAAGGACCAGCACGTGATTAAAGTCCGAATGGAGTCCGTAAGGGCGCCTGCAGAGACGGCGAGCTGTTCGTCCGCCTTTCAGATATAATACATGCGGCAGCCAGCGCATTACTTAGAAGTGCATCCTCTATGACCACCATCCAGATCCTTTCTCTATTCACTTCAAGATCTGTTCCATCCTGGGACTTGACCAAGAGACTTATAGCCTCTGATCTCGATACATCTTGCGAAGACGTGACGCAATGGGCCAATCAAGCAAGGGTATCAGCAGCTTTGTACCTGCTACAGATATACCGTCCCTGGATGGCAAGATCATCTTTATTTCTGGAGGTATGCTTCACACCCCCATTCCATGTTCTTTGAATTCACGTAGTATGCAGGTACTGCCGGTCTCGGATCGGAGTCCATGAAGGCTCTAGCTGCCCACAACGCTGCCCACATATACTTCACGGGACGCAATGTTGCCGCTGCAGATACTCTAATCAGCACAATCAAAGCACTGCATCCATATTTTGGACTCACTTTCATACCCATGGATCTATCGTCCCTGCGCTCAGTAAAGGAAGCTATCGCAAAGAGCTTCAACCATGATCATCTCGACATCCTCCTGAATAATGCTGGCATCATGGCAAAGCCACCAGGTCTCAGTGTTGATGGCTACGAGATACAGTTCGCAACCAATCACTTGGGCCATGCTATGCTCACGAAACAACTGATGCCATTTCTACTCAAGGCCTCCGAGGCCCCGGACTCTGACGTACGCATCATCTGCAATACCAGCGACGGTTACGAGATATCTCGCATGATCAAGGGCGGGATATCATTCGCCGAGCTCGAGAGTGGTAGCACAATGAGCAGAACGCTGCTCGGTCAATGGCAACGCTACGGTCAATCAAAACTTGCCAATATACTTTTCGCAGCGGAACTGGCACGGCGCTATCCTCAGATCAAGAGTGTTGCGATTCACCCGGGCGTTGTCGAGACGCCATTACTGACCGACTTGGCCGGGTTTGACAAGTACTTTACCCTCTGGACGTGTAAGCTTCAGGGTGTTCCAATCATGAAACCACATGAGGGTGCATACAACCAGTTGTGGTGTGCCGCGGGCGCTAAGAAGGAAGTGCTGAGGAATGGTGGCTTCTACAGACCTGTTGGACGCGATGATACTGACACGTTGAAAGGAGAAGGATCGAATGCTGAACTGGCAGCGAAACTCTGGGACTGGACAGACGGTATTCTGGGAAAGTTCGATTGACCATGGTAAGCTTTTAGCTGTCTAGAGTGCAAAAGCTTGAGTTGTTTGCCGGACTGATCTTACACCAAACAGATTGCTCGACGGCATGAAAAGGATGGCAAGCATGAGATTAAGTACAAAGATGACGATGGTTCGGTGACATGCATTCACGGTACCTAGCACAAAGTGAAAGTGTCGCCTTACAGGATCCCGGCTCGATTTCCGAGTCTTTCATCACTCCATTACTTAGCGCATGAACTGCTCATCTGTATAAGTAAACTTTTCTCTAACACTACCTCCACTTCCTATCCCTCCTTGCCGATCTCTATCAACCACAATTTCTACCAACTGGGTACTACCAGAAATGTCCAACCAGCAAAGCAGACTGACTCGCAAACGCGTTGCACGTTCCCCTACAGGCGATGACCGAACATTGAACAAGCGGACACGGAGGAACAGCAACGACGTCGAGCGAACATCCAACTTCGAGTCATCTCCTCCGCGTGGCCGCCCTCTCTTACGAGATGACGACGAGAACATGTTAGCGAGTCTAACTCAGGGTTCAGAGTCGTCACTGGAGCCCTCAGTGCAACTCTCCGAGGACGGACACCCCGATGCATATGACGTGGACGGTGAAGATGATCCCATCGTCGAAAACAACCGAGATAGTCAAGTTTATCTCATCGCCAACAGCAACCAAGATGGTGGAGATGATTTCCTGCTCGTCCTTAGCAACGACGGAGATGGTGAGAATAATCCCCTTGACCTCGGCAGCGACCAGATTGGCGAGATTAATCTCGCAATCTACCAAGACGAGGAAACCCACGAGCACGGCGACGATAATCTCCCCAATGAAAAGAGTGAAGATGGTGGAAACAAAGCAGCCGAATTACTCTCACGAATTCACGAGGCCATCGAGTACACCCGCTCGCGAATGTCCCAAGGTCTGCCCTTAATGCAGACGACCCGCTTCGAAATGTGGCTCGAGACTGTCACCTACAAGCCATCAGACACCGAAGTCTATGCCTTTGAAGTCCTCGACGACAGCCCAGCCACAATTATATTTGTACACCCCGACTACATTGTCTACGAGCTCGGCATTCCCCCTCCAGACCTTGTGGTTGCAGCAGTGGGTGTTGTACCACGACACACTGCGCAATGGTGGGTCGGCAAGTCTGCAGCACAGGTTCGAGCTGGGCCATGGGCAGATGCGGTGGACTTGCGGAAAGCGGAAGCCAAGGTGAAAGGGATGGAGACGAAGAGAAGGAAACAGAAGTCCGGATATAAGACGCTCAGGCAGGAGGAGAACGATTCGAAGTTGAAAGAAGGGCTGAGGCGGCAAATTGCTGGACTGGCAATGTGTTCGGATGAGCAAGAAGAAGAGGAAGAGGAAGAGAACCCAGAGGAAAAAAGAAAAGAGTCAAGTGGTCAGGAAGATTGGGAAAATGAAGAACATGAAGAGGCGGAATATGATCCAAAGCGTGAAAAGAATCGTGAAGATGGTGACGATGAAGATTGAAACGAACATGGTGGTGCTGCTTAGAAAAAGGAGAATATTTGGGGCATCATTCGGAAAGGTACGAGGATAAAGTGCTGATCATTTATGCGTAGATAGTGTCGCAGGTTACAAGAACTCGTGACAAGCATTTTCGAAATAGAGGCTAGCATTAACAAGAAAGACCGAACACCAGATAAATGTGAGTAGCTAACAGATTCCATACTTCGTGAGGAATGCGGTACATTATGGCGATAGCGAATGAGTGGACATCAAAACATGGTAAAATTATTAACATGGAACAGTGTGTTTCTGTATAACTACCTCATGATGCTCCTCAAGCCTTGCGTTCATCTCGTCCACAAGCTACGCGCCGAATAGCTCTCGGTCGTTTCCGCCCATACCCTGGCGTGATAAGTAAGTTCAAAATCCGCGCAAGGACTGTGCCTCTTACTTTGGTAATGAATCAGTCCGGGATCAAGTGGACTACTGTGCTGCGCTGTATTGGATGGTGAAGGCGCTAAGTCACATGACCATTTCCGTGACAAGAGTCGGCCCGGGGTTCTAAAGCAGATTGGATCGTCGTAACACTCGGCGACATTTCAGTGCATTTGTGCGTGACTGCGATGCAACATAGCGCGCACGTATTGATGCTGCGAAACACGCCCAATTGTGATTGGCGTCGCTACCGCCGACGTCGACGCTTAATCACTTGTGTTTACTGCACTATATGCACGGACCAGGTACGCACTTTCCTTGTCTCAAGTTCTTGCACTCTTAAGCTGATGCACTACTTCTGACCCATAGAAACCTCGATAACAAGGGTGTATGGTAGGTACGGCCATTGTTCGGAAACGCGCACTCCCTCTTTGAGGCCATTTTTTGTTTCCGCTCTCGCGGCGCTTTTGTTCAACAAAATTTGCAGGGTCAAAATGGAAAACAATGACTTCTACTTCTCCACCAGCTACGCCCCCGACAGAGCTTCCTTCAGGCCCTGACCACTGGAGATTTGAAGATACTGGAGCAGTTTGCGAATGGGCTGAAGAATATTGTCCCGGAGGCTTCCATCCAGTGAAACTTGGAGACACATTCCACAATGAAAAGTATCGAGTGATACGAAAATTCGGAGACGGATCTTATTCCACTGTATGGCTAGCCGTAAACACAGGGTATGTTTCACTTAAATTGCTACTCAATGAGTCAATCTGGAATTTGTTTGACTAATTATATCAACTCTTATCAGGAAGCCACGCTATGTCGCACTCAAGATCATGATTGCAAAAGCAAAATCATCGGTAACTGAATTATCGATTCTCGAGAAGCTGTCTACAACAGCTTCGATAGATCCCGACTCACGATACATGACTGTCCTCTTAGATGAGTTCCAACACGAAGGGCCGAATGGGAAACACCAGTGTTTGGTGTTTGAAGTGATGGGTGCAACGGCTGCATCTCTAGTCGAGGAACTGCCAGAAAACAAACCAAAGATGTATGGAAAAGTGGAAAGATACCCCAAATGGATCGCCAAAAGATTGTTACTGCATGCGCTCCACGGTCTCGCATACCTACATCGCAATGGTGTCGCACACGGAGACCTTCAGCCAGGCAACATGCTTTTCTCCATTGACAATCTGGACTCTACTCCTGAGGATGAACTTAAGCAAGACGAAGAGCACACTGCGGTGCCCTTAAAGCGAGTGGATGGCAAACCTGACAAATGGGCACCTCCCCAGCTATATCTCAAGCAGTCACTGCACAACCGTGTGCGGCTGAATTCGCAGCTTCTGGTCAAATTGTCAGATCTTGGCTCAGGTGAGTGATGACATTCTAACAACCGGGATACTGCAACATCATCTGCTAATACTCCCATGTAGCATTCTGGATGAACAGCCCACCTAGTCGCACCGTGACGCCCGTGGCATTGCGAGCACCTGAATTAGTTTTACGGCAACAGTTTGGCGCTGAGATTGATATCTGGAGCTTCGGTTGTCTCATGTTCGAATTTTTGACCGGCAGATCGCTCTTCGCTCTCATGATGCTTGGACATGACCAGGACGAACAGGACGAAACGGATGACGACCATCTCCTACAGCTCAACGATATTCTCTGTCCTCTGCCTGAATCGATGATAAAGCTTTGGCCGCGGTTTAGTAAGTGGTACACCACAGATCGCAAGCGTCTCCAGCCATATGGCGATGAAGAGCCGTACATCTACGATTCCATCGAAATTCTGTTTGCGAAAAACAAGTCACCGGAGATTGGTGAAGAGGAGGCGGCCATCGTAGTTTCGTTGATGCGACGGATATTAGAATACGACCCGGAACAACGCCCTACAGCAGAAGAACTACTCAAGAATCCGTGGTTTTCGAGTGAGGAGTCAATGACCTAAACGGAGTTTGCGAGAGACGAGATGGATTACTGCGCTATCGTTTGCCCGAATACGAACTGGCAAACTGGAGTCTCTGTGATCTGCGCGATAGCCCGAGTTCTCTGATCTCAGGCCGATGTATTCTGTATCACCTCTTTTCCTGAATGTGGGCAAACACCGAACCATCATGTCGAGTCTTTCTTCGTATAGATCCATTGGTCGGTTTGTTTGACAATAGGCTCGTAGAGCACAAAGAGCACAGCCGGTCCCGGCACAAGCTGTTCTTTGAAGGCATAGGTAACAACAATAAAACAATTGTGAAAATATAGATGCATCGCGTGTCTTATACGCTATTGGAGGTCCTGTCATCGAAACATCATGCTACAGTCCCAAGCTCTTCTGTTTATACTCTGCTGATATTCATACCTCGTATTGTGTAGATTAGATCAACAGTCCCGAGTTCCTTATTCATAGCGTGCTGTTCAGTAAAGTGTTCAGTGTAGACGTGTTAGTCGCTTTGACAAAAGTAGAAAGAGAGAGCGGAATATCACTCACTCTTATCAGCCTTCCTCTCTCCTCGTCGTCCAAGCTTCCAAGATCTCCTTAGTCGTCAATGTACTGTACCTCTGTCCTTCCTGAGCTAGGCTTCTCTTGACGGGTGTCAAAGCAATTGACACGATTGCCTGACTTAGTAGGCCGTCCCGGTTGAGGCGCCGCCACTCTCTTGTGCGGCGTCCTTGGCTCCATCAGTGGGGCGTCGACGCGGTCACCCTTATTCGTGGATGGCCTTGGTGTTGGGATGGCATGGATGTCGAAGGTCCTGGCGGTTGTGGGGCGCTTTGGTGCACTCTGTGTTTGGCGACTGGCCGGTGCGAGCCTTCGCTTAGGTGCACTCATCAAAGGGATATCTACATTGCAGTTAATAAGACACTGTACATTGAAGGGTTGTGTGAAATGAGGGTGTGGGGTGGTTCTCGCCTTGCGTTTCCCGTGCCGCATCATGCTGCCTTCTGCTAACACCATATACACTGGCGGCTGTGATCCGAGACGGCGGGATTTGGCGTGCGGTATGTTCGTTGGCGCTGGCTTTCGCTCGCTTCCCGACAACAGCTACCGCCGAAGCTCCACTCGTTGCCGCTCCATGGGCGCTGGATTCTTTGGCTGTTGACCGAGTTGTCATCCTCGATGGGACCTCCTCACCTGGCGCTGGCGTTGCACGGCACGTCTTCCGCGACATGGTTTGGAGTGGCTGTTCGTTGTTCATCACCCCGAGACCCACTGGCTGTACCATAATAAGGCTATTCCCGGCTTGTCGTCGCTGGATGTGGGCGATAACTGGGGTGGCCGGTACTTGGACTACTTGGACGTGTGGTTTTGTTGCACTGAGTGCCATACCCGCGAACTTTCGGGCGCTTTGGTCTGTTGGGTCAGTATAAGAATAAAGCTACTAGGTGATAGAAGGTGGAGGGTTGAAGTGGAGGGTGCAGGGTTGGGGGTTGAGGGTTGAGGGTGGAAGATCAAGGGTATGCAGGCAATGAGAGAGGGTTGAGCATGGAGGGGTGAATGGGGTTTCGGACTATATGGACGAACTATGAGCTGTCGCATTAACGGGTCCAGGTCCTTCGTTGACTGGGTGAAGCTCATGGCCTCCGTTACTGTTCCTGATGGCAACTGTGGGGCGCTTGTAGAGTCGATAGGAGTTTCGTCGTCTCAGCATCGTTAAGAAGATAAAGGCAAACTCGCGAACCTTTCTATCTTTCGTGCTATTGCCACTGTAATGTGCAACTCCGACCCTGTTCTATGCAAACACCTCACCATTCTCATCACGTCGTCTTCGTTTTGCGACATAGTCTAGTTTCGCCACGATGTCTGCTTTGAGTGTCTTCAAGTCAACATATTTGTCTTCCGGGTGGAAGTGGGCCGCCATGTGCGAATTGAAGACGGCTAGTTTGTCTGGGCTGGTCGCTGTCTCTTTCCGCGGAGTGAGTGTCAGTGTGTGCTTCGAAAGTGTGGGGGGGTGGGAAACAATACTCTTCTTCCAGTTCGCCATGCTAGCGAACTCGGCCGCCGCGGCTAGAAACGCGATTTATGACGGGGATGTGTGGTTGTGTGATGTGTTGTATGGTGAGTGAGACGTGGTATGGTAAGTGGGACGTCGCTGCCCTTTCTGGAACCGCACGTGACAGCGTGACGACACTCACCCAAAAGAACAAACTGGCGCGTCTCAGGAATACAGAAACCTACTCATTTGTGCATATTCACCTCTTCCTCTTGATCTTTGGGTCGTACCAGCCATGGTCTTTCGACCATTGCACTCCACACTTGTGCACAATGCCTGCATGTGCCGGCATACTTCAAGCCCAGCGATTAGATGATATACATATATTGAGGAAAATATTTTAGACGATCTAAGTACGCAAGGGTCTACTTCTTATAGCCTCTACGTGGTCTCTCATGCTCTCTCTGCCTGCCTCTGGGCCCGACCTCTTTCTCAAGCTCATGTATCGCTTCCAAATGATTTATCCCTTTTCCGAATTCGATTACTCTTGGATCTCCTCCTGAAAAAAGCCGCGCAATGTATAAGCCCTCCTTTCTCTCACAAAAGATTTCGAAGCTTTTCACCTTCTGAACACCGTACTCGTCTGTGTTGCGAGCGCGCGCTATATTATTGTCAACGTACTTCTGAAACCATAGTTTAAAATACTGACCAGCTATTCCTTTTCCATAAAATGATAGGCAAGCCATTGCGCGTGCTTCTTTGTCGTTCGGTACCCGCTCACCTCGTTGCCGTGCTAGGTTCCGGATGTCCCTGGCGGCGTTTATGGTTTCATCTTCGTTCTCGGCTGCAGCCTCACTGAGCTTCAATAGTCGCACGCGGTATATGTAGTCACTGAACACAGTGTGAGGCAGCCGATGTTGGTGTGCAAGAAGATCCGGCATGGCTTGTTCGACTGCGCGGACGTTGCTGAAGTATGATTTATCATCGAGCGCCTTGACAGTGATATGATAAGACGGAGCGATTAAGGCTGCGCCAGCAACCTCACGGGGAATGGATACCATATCGAAATCGAGTGATGCTGTTCAGTTGCTTAGGCGGTGTCGTATCGTGTGCTGTAATAAACCAGTATCTTAGCAGAAAGAATATCGTCGTGTGCAGTATTGCAATTGGCGGCAGCTTTTGCTTTTAATGTATCAGTATGATTTTCAAACATGACAGGGCTCGCCGTGAATGTAGTTTCTTTATTGAATCTGCCTAATTGAATGTCATAATTGACAGAATCTTTGGACATGTCACGTTCAGCCGTTACAATGTTCGTTGCCACGCGGTTTTTGACTCGGGTAGCTATCAATATCCGCGTCAAACGCTAATAGCAGAAAGCTTTTGATTTGCAATCTAGGTTCTTATATGACCTCAAGCTACAATAACAATTATTCTCCGACTATTTCCCATCTCATTCTATCTCCCTTGCATCTTCTCTTGGTCCAACTTCCTCAAGCAGATCCTCGACCGCCATGAAATGAGTCTGACCTACCCCAGTCGCAACTACCTTTTCCTTCCCCTCAACGTAAAGTCTAGCTCCGTATTTGCCTGCTTCAGTAGTAGAGATGATCATGAATTGTGTCTCTTCAAGGACGTCATAAGAGTCAACGCGTCGAACATGGTCTACGAGGTGTTCAAAACTCGCCATGCAAGACATCAGGAGCTCACTTACGGACTGCACTCTCAGCGCTTTCAACCAGCCTGCCCATAGCACGCGCTTCTCTCTGACTTGGGACATGCTCCCCTTTCTGCTCTGCTAAGCTCTGTATTTTGCGCGCTTCCTCGTCAATCTCAATTTCTCTTTATTTTACTGTCTCGGGCTTCATTCATGGTCTCAAGTTGTATCCTCTATCAGGCTCTGTGTTCCAAGTGAAGTGCTTGTGCATGAAGTCGTTGACTGCTGTGCCTACTGAACGATGTGGTCGTACAGAAAGAGGTGTCTGGTCATCATCGATAGCGTAGATTTTGGCATAGAGGCTCTTGTCTTCAGATGCTTTGATAGTTATGTGGTAGGTCGGTGCGACAAGGGCTGCACAGGCAACGTCGGCTGTGTTGGAGACCATACCTAGGTATCGTGCTTTTCGGGAGTCTTTTTGGTTGCTTTGTAGTAGTGAAGATTTTACTGTCAAGTGTTTAACTTGCTCTGAGGAATGTTTTTATGCGCTGAGTCGTGAAGTGTTTGACGCAATGTGGATTGTGATCATAGCAGTCACTTTTGCAGTCACCATAGCAGTCACCACATCAGTCACGTATCGAAAAGCATGGGCGCAAAGTTTATCCAAAGACGTGCTTTGAAGAGAGGAACGAGACCAAATTTGGTGGACTTCAAGGAGCTACACATGTTAAGCTCGAACATTAATAACCCAATACAAAATCATCCGCGGCTTTACCCTTGCAGGGGTGTGCGGACAGGGAGGTGATTGTCAATAACAGTCCCGTTCGTTCCATCCATGCGTTCGGATAGAAATACACCCCAGTACCACGAAGATTTTATGGCCTCTATGGAGCGACGATTGATATACACATGTATGTATCCCAGGAGCTGGAAGTTCCACGAGAGCATCACCACTAATGTTCTCGGGTATGCAACCTCCCACCAAGGTATTCCGCAACCCGTTGAATAACAGCATCGAAGAGTAGCCTGATATTTCCCTGCATCCGGTTCTTCGTGAAACTCTGAATTGGTGCGTATGTGTAGCACGCGTGGTTATGATGTCATGGTCGTACCGGATTTAGGCGGCGATTGTCGCGCCCGGAGCTTGTGTCGATCCCTCGCCCCTATCAGTTGGTACCTTCCTTTTCTGTACGGATCGTGGGAAGGAATAAGCTTTACGCCGAGCCTGATCAAGCTTCAGGGGTACCTAATCTTGGTCTGCAAGGAAGCCCTGCCATCAGCACAATTCCAACCTGTGACATGTAACAACTTATGGTTCACTTTGATGGATCCGACAGCACCTTTCGCGCGCCAGAAGATACGCTGCAAAAATCAGCACATGACAGCTCACTCATTTCCGATGACTTTCTCACAGCGACAATGGTGTTTGCGCACTTCGGATCGATAGATCCACCAGCCCTAACGGTGGGCAAAAGCCGCGCAGGAACTGAAGGCCGGTCGCCTTCGCGTGGTCGTGAATCTACAGGGATCTGATTAATTGACAGGGTTTCCTAGGTTGGAAGGGTAGGAGATTTGACCGAAGCGTTGGTGTAAGCGACGCTGACAGCCGTCAAGCCGAGAATTGCACCATAAATGTAACTCAGCGAGGGTGAGGGGACAGGGCGAGAAAGAAATAAGCATGCCGCCACTGAGCGGGGAACAGGACATAAGAACCACTAATTCCTGACAGACGCTTCGTTACAAAGCCCCGAAAAGTACAACCTCTGCCACGTTCCCGCAATCATGCATTTTTTGAGATGGTTGTCATTAAGCCTCGTCGGCATGGTCACAGCTTCCCCCCGGAGCATGCACAGTGTTCACGAGAAGAGAAATGCTGTTCCGATGGCATGGACCAAGCAATCCCGAGCACTTGAGCACGAAGTACTCCCTGTTAGGATTGGACTGACCCAGCGCAACCTGGAGCACTCAGACGATTTTCTTGAAGACATTGCAGACCCGGACTCGCCGAACTTTGGTAGACAGCAAATTATTTGTTATTGACATCATTGTGCTAACGATCTTCTTCAGGGAAGTTTTGGACTGCAGAAAAGGTTGCCAACACCTTCGCGCCACATCCAGAAACTTCAGAGGCAGTTCTGGCCTGGCTCACAGAATCTGGTATAACTCTTGAGCGAATCAAGCACTCGAAAGGTATGCCCAAGAGGTATTCACGGGATCATGCGAATACTGACACGAACAAAGGACGCAATTGGATCGAATTCTCGGCCACAGTTGGAGAAGTCGAAGAGCTCCTTCAAACCGAATATCACTACTATCGTCACAAAGATTCAGGTGGATTTCGCATTGCATGCGATGAGTATGGCCTGCCACGACACGTCCGTGAACATGTGGATTTTATCATGCCTACAATTCAGCTCGATGGAATGCAACCAGTAGCTCAAAGAATGCCCGCAATCCAGCATCAGGTCGACATTGCTGCACGTCTGAATGGTACATCTCAATGTTCTAAATTAATTACCATCGACTGCCTGCGCGCAATCTACAACATTCCTGTCGGCAAGTATAACAATTCTGGCAATCAGCTTGGTGTAGCAGAGTGGGCCGATTATCTCTACCTTCCAGACCTGAAGATATACTTCGAAAACCTTACGTCGCCTCAGATCCCATCAGATGTGGTTCCAGAATTCATATCGATCGATGGCGGTAAACCTGCGAACCTTACTGTAGCCAACGAGCAGCTGGTAATAGAAAGCGCATTGGACATCCAGACCGCATACTCGATCATCTGGCCGCAGCAAGTACGTTTGTACCAGAATGGCGACTCTGTCAATGTGGATTCTGTCGGTACTTTTAACATCTTTCTCGATGCTCTAGTAAGTCGAAATCTCAGATCAAGGTGGCGCTCATTCTGATACAATCCAGGACGCCTCATACTGCACATATCAAGGAGGCAATGCTCCATATTTGGATCCTGCGTATCCAGATCCGAATCAAGGCGGTTACAAGGGCCCGCTTCAATGTGGGGGAGCGCCGTTGAGCAACGTGATATCAGTCTCGTACGGCCAAATTGAGGGTGCGCTTCCCCGATTTTACCAAGAGCGCCAATGCCGTGAATGGATGAAATTGGGCCTGCAAGGCGTTAGCGTCGTCTTCGCCTCAGGAGACTCAGGTGTTGCGAACAGATACAATGCTGGATACAACAACAGCTGTCTCAACTCTGAATCCGGCTACGTGGACACCGATGGTACACGATTCTCGCCCAGTTTCCCTGCGAATTGCCCATACGTTACTTCCGTTGGCGCAACCACGTTGCTCAACTCTTCCATTCATGGTGGAGAAAAAGCTGCGGGTAGTCCCGATGGAGCTCAATCTTTCTACTCGGGTGGTGGGTTTTCCAACATATTCCCACGCCCTTCGTGGCAGTCCGACGCCGTATCAAACTATCTTGAAAAATACGCGCCGAAGTATGGTGATGCAGTGTTCAATTCAAGTGGGAGAGGAATTCCCGACGTCTCAGCGATCGGTCTTAATGTTGCGACTGTATATCTCAACAAGCTTTATGGTTTTGGGGGCACATCAGCATCGGCGCCTATTTTCGCAAGCATCATCACTCTGCTCAACGAGGAGAGATTGGAACAGGGCAAGGGACCGATCGGTTTTCTGAATCCGACAATATACAAGCATCCCGAGATATTTAACGATGTAACCGTTGGTGACAACCCGGGTTGCGGTACAGACGGCTTCCCAGCAAGCCCTGGTTGGGATCCAGTCACTGGTCATGGTACGCCAAAATACGAGAAGATGCGTGAGGTGTTTCTAGCACTTCCATAAGCGGCTTTTTTATGGGCAAACACAAGAAGAAACAATTGAGATCGTATGAAACTACATATGGTACGAACAATTCTGAGTGCGATTCAAGCTAACCGTCTGTGGCACCTCATTTTGCTCATGCTTTCTTGGTAAGGTGGGGGCAAGGTGAGCATCTTCACGAACCTAGTTCAAGGATGACTAGTCTAGAGCGCATGCGCAACATCGTTTTTGTGGTCGTAGGGCTCAGAATTGGGGGCCAAAAGGGCGGAGCGAGTAGCGCACACAGCTACGTTAGCGCCTGCCCCCACCGCACGCAGGCTGCAAACCCGATCTCAAGTAGCACACTTCCATCAATATTCTCTGCAACGCTACTTTGCGAGCCGATTGACCCGGAAAGGATAACCTCAAGGGAAATGCTGAAGTGCTGAGCCTTTGCATCACTAAAATCGAGGGATTCCACAGTTCGACTACCGGTCATTGGCATATGCAGATGCAGAGCTTCTGATTCCATTCGCACACGAAACGCTACCGCATATGTGCATGGAGCGCACTGCAAAGTAATAGCAATGTTTTATCAAGACTACGTCTATCAGCCCATCCGCAGCGAGACCGGCATTCGTGTACTTCTTCTCGAGCCCGCTAGAGATTACAACGCGCAGTTGTTTGTCAGCTTGCAACATGTACAGATCAGCCCATACCGTCAAGATGGGTCTAGAGCAAATCAAGACATCCCCAGTGCAAGGAGTAGCACAGTTAGCTTGCTAGCGACTGCACCGGTACAATATGAGGCAATGTCATATGCGTGGGGCGATCAGCAGCCGACCGAAAGGTTGACGATCAAAGGATCGACACCGCACCAAAACATCATGATCAGACCTAATGTAGATACTATGTTGCGCCATCTTCGGTCTTCGACACAGCAGAGGCGTCTTTGGATAGATGCTCTTTGTATCAATCAGAACGACCTTGAGGAAAAAGGTTCGCAAGTGCGCTTTATGGAGGAAGTCTACCGCCAAGCGAAAGCCATAGTAATCTGGCTTGGAACTCCCGAAGATGAAGCTGGCACTAAAAATACCACTATGCGATTCTTTCAGCAACTCGTCAAGTACGGGCCAGCTGATGGCCGACATGAAGAAGAACAAGCTGCAACCTGGGCAAAACTGGAGGCTTTCCTAAGCAGGTCTTGGTTCACACGCCGCTGGACTATTCAAGAAGCACTTCTGGCCAAGCAAGCTACGATATTGTGCGGGAGTTACATCATCAATTTCATGGTGTTCGCCAAGAATGCCTTCTTGACCGCGCAACGTCAAGCTCATCTGACTCCATCGATATCTGGTGCACTGCGAAAACTGTGGATCATGTACCGCCTACGATCTGCTCCTATACCAGAAGTCCGGTCGGATCCGTTACGCCTGCTCGTTGATTTCTCCACGGCCGACTGTATGGATGCCCGCGATCGAATCTATGCTCTGAACGCCGTCAGTAACGTCAAGGTTCCAGTCTCGTACACAGAAACAGTAGAGAACGTTTACGTATCGTATGCTGAGATGCATATATCACTGGGAAGTTTCGCTGTTATGAATTGCGCCGGTGCGACACATCTATCTGCGTCAACTGTGCCCTCATGGGTTCCGGACTGGCGATGTCCTTTGGTGTTTACCCCTCTTACGACACGGCCAGTAGATAGTGCGCAAAATGATTCAGAGACCAAAGCGCTGGCTACACCAAGCATAGACACCGCTGATGGTTATGCAATTCTCGGGATCAGCGGCGTTAAGGTTGGTATAGTCTCGCACATTGGAACCAAAGCACCTTATCCAGTGTGGGGGCGAGAGATTCTCTCCATACTTTTGAACTGGTACAACGTGTTCGAGGCTGGCAAGATAAATCTTGTGAAGCATCCAGGAAATAAGGATGATAGTAGTAGTCAGTTCGTGTCAGCAATCACACTGGGGTGTGTCGTACAACGTACAACAGCGCTCAGTCCAGATCATCCATGGCTTCGAGACAAACACCCAGATTTCGAGACCGAAGTCTCGTGGCTCTTAGCTCATCTAATTGCCGAAGCTCGGGAAGAGACCTTGAATGCTACACTGCAACGAGGGGATGCTGAAGTGAGAGCGCAGGAGCTTGCGAACATCGAGGCAGCAGCTTCACAGGTTTCCGAGGGATTGAAGAGCATTTTAAAAAGTCTGATGCTCGATACCGCCGATCGAAATGCGGAACTTGACATACAGCATGACATAACGTTGATCTGGAGCTTCAAAGATCCGCTGATGAAAGAAGGCTGGTACGATCGCAATCTTGAGCCAGATGAGGTCGTCGAAATTCTGCGCAGAACAATTGCTGGTCGGACATGTTTCTGGAGTGGCGACGGATCTTTCGGCCTTGGCCCGGCGAGTATGGAGCTTGGAGATGTTGTTGTTGCTATTCCCTCGTGCCCGACACCCTACGTCCTGCGACCAAAACTAGCGGAGACAGCGAAGCCAGAGCAAAAATCGAACAAGTGGTCGCGAACATTCGGAAGAGCAACTGATGATGATAATGAAGATGAGTACACGTTGGTCGGCGATTGCTACATACACGACTACGCGCCTGAGGATTTGTTTCAAAGACCCAAACAGATCAGCCGATTCCATATTGTGTAAGCAGTTCAACTGATTTGAGTTATGACGATAGATCAGCTTGTCAGGATAGGAATAATGTCGATAAATGTTATATTACAAAGCTTCTTGAGTTCATTTGTGTCTATGTATGATCCGCACCTGGGCATTGACACTCACCAGGAGGTGCCCAGCACCAGAAGCCCATCCTATCCCTGTGTTTCCGATGTTTCGTCAAAACTATCCGGATTTGCTTGCCCGGGCCTTCTCTTTTCGCTAAGAAGCCTCCGAGGTTCTTCGCAGCTCGTTGCTGAAAAGCTTGCCTGTAACCAGATGTATGGGCAAACTTCAACACTTTCCTCTCGGCATGCACCTTAAATTCGACCAGTGTCCGCAGATCTTCCATCACGCCTTTTTCCTCGCCTAATTCGACGAGTTTTGCGTACGTCCATTGCACATCCTTTGACCATTGCGTCTGTTGCAGCCACGCCAATGGGTGACTTTCACTTCTCCTCCTGGCTTCGTTGACTTCCTCCTTGGTTACGATGTGGGCAACTGCCTGGTAAATTCCCTGAAAGCATGGCTCATCGCCCGTATAAAGTTTCCCGACATAGTCTAGTCCCAGGTTTGAGCGTCTATCTAGACATGCGAGAAACCACTCCGTCTTGGCGCTCAAGTTCCCCGTCAACTTGAGCTCAGCTCGACCTTGATAGTGTTTGTGTATCGCAGCAACAAGATCACCAACGTCGTCTGTGTGACATGCTAAGAAAGTTCCGATGCGCTTGTCGTACAGCATCGGTCGGATAACTAATCCCGTCCTTGCTTTCGGGCGGCTCGAATGGGGCGCGGGTGTGACGTCCACATAAACCTCATTGATCCCTTCGATAGGCAAGTACTTCACAACATCGGCCCAGTTTGAAACAAGTTCGTGATGCGAGTATTGTCTATCACCTGCCTCGCAATAGCATGTCCACAGTATCTTGTCCTCGAGAGCGTCGTGAAAGAGATCGATACATACGCGCTGGAGGCGTGGGCTGTAGGTACGGCCATCAATGAGTGCAGAAGGTGTTTTGGGCAGACAATATTGGTCTGGAGAGTCTATGTACGGTGATGGAAGGCGATGTAATTGCTTTGGGTGGGAAATGTAGTGTATTGGTGACCAGGTTTTGAGCACTTCAGCGGTATCGAGGCGCAAACTACGGCTAGTATGTAGTGGTGCGCGGATCTCGCGAGGGAAACGCATGCCAACGCCACAGGTATCGGGGAAGTTAAGCGATATAATTCGCTGACGGATTTCGGCAGGCAGGTCTGTGAAAGAAAGCATGTTGTAATGTGGGCGTACGCGATAAGTTTCCACGTCACCAAACGATGGCTGTTGGTTTAGCAGTTTGCTGAATCTAAACAGCTACAACCGGGACAACGTCGCCTTATAAATACGTTCACATTGAAAGGACCAGTCAGCTCAGCCTTGTTGCACCATACTGATTCTGGTAGATCGTCAGGTGCGGCTGAAAGCGGCTACGCTGAAATAGGCATACCGGAATTTAGTTCACGTCTGAGTCACCGCCGGTCCGATATCTCGTGTTGATTGTGGTCAGGTTCCTACCTAGATTTGCGAAAGGGCGGAGTATAAAGCTAACACTGAAAGGCCTCAAACTTATATGCCGCCAGTTGGATCATGATCTGCGCAAGGTAGTTCACATTGTCTTGACCTAAGATATGGTCTCTTACATACTATCGCTCGCTGAAAATAAACACTCGTCTTCCAAAGATTGTATACACCAAGAAGATCCTGGCCAACAGCCTTCTCCCTTGATCTGACTATCGAAGACATGTACTTCATATTGTAAGCCATGCATTTCCTCATTTGAACGAAAGCTTTGATATAATCCTCGCTCAGCCCACTAGAGCATCCACTCATCCTCACGTCTAGCACGAAGACCTGAAGTCCAGGCGTCACGGTCTTCCAACCCAGCTTTTCGCCAGGCACCGCCTTCAAGAAGTTTGTGTACAATGCCTTCAGTAAACGGTTCTCACGGAAACTAAAGCCAATTTTGAAATACTATAGATCGTCAGAAATTGTCAGGCGCTGAAGACATGGAAGCTAAACAGATGCTTGCGAAGGCGGCACTGGGTAAGATTCATGTCCAAAAAGGACCTCAATCGATATGCATAGATCTAATGGCGTAAAATCGTAAGATAGGTAGCGGTCGTAAAAGAGTGTATTGAGATTTTGAGATCTCTGAAGAAGAACTTCGAGTGTCTTTGGCGATGCCATCGAACGGGGCATTTCAAGCGTGCGGACAGCACTTGGTATACATTCTTCCATGATTTGTCGCGGCTCATGACCCGGGATTCCATCGATTTCTCGCTCTCAGCGCAACAGCGGTGCTGCAACACTGTCTCCAGTAAAGAGCCAATCTTGGGCGAAGATAAATCGCAAATGTGAAGTTCCGGATACTAAATATTGCGTATCCAAGCAGACCAAAGCTGCGGCACATTACATAAGCTACATAATCATGTAAAACTTTGCAGGTATGCAACAATTGGCCATATCCAAAGTTGTGAGATGCGTGGTCGTGCCATCTTTGAGGTCATTGGAAAGGACGAGAAAACTCATCCTTGGGTCGATTCGGTAAGTGTTACTCCTTGTTTAACCTTGAAAAAAACAAGCAAAGTGCGTTTACAGGGCAGAGGCTGCGTACAATGACAATTGTAAACTCCAGGTGCTCAATTTCGAACCGTGCCTCACCCACAAGTTCGCACCGTTAGCACCTCTCAATGTACATCCTGGACTGAAAGTGTTGCACGTGCAAACTCTGCTACCGACTAGAATTTCCGTATTGCCAAAAGACGATAAGCTTTCAAGTACCGACGATGAACATCCATCCAATGGATCGAACTAAGGTTGTCCAAGTTCTGCGATGCCCCAGTAACAGACCCTTCCATGAACGGGCCAACGCTTGCGGTAATAGCGGTTATCACGTGTGAGGTGAAATGTCTATAACTTGTGTAGAAAGACTTTCGAGGCTTAGGAACGCTTCTTGGCCCTCAATACAACCGAACAAGCTGCCAAATAATGAGCCATTGATGCTCTGCAATGTGCAGTCGTCAGTGCTTCCAAAGTCACCTGTTGGAAGGGGACTGCCAGTGAGACAGGCGTTGATGTCGCCTGTGTGATGATTGCGTTGAGAAATTTCTGGCTGCTGCAACCAGCCGTAATCCCATTGCATCGTTTGCGGCTGTTCAGGCCGTGTGCCAGTGGCCAGAGAGGCCACTTTGCGGAGGAGGGTTATAGTTCCAAAGTATGGTATATTGAGTTTGAGTGTGACATTGTCTTGCTCTAGACGTCCATAATACTCGGTTTGTCCGTCCTGATGTTTTGCGACTGCGTTGTAGCCAACTCCGCTGACTGCAGCTGCTTCGACGTCAAGGATATGCTGCATGATACTAGCGAGCTTTGAAGCAGTTGTGTCACTTCCCATACCCTTCAAGATGTCGAGAGTGCGTTCCATGATACCACGGTCACTGAGATGGCTTTGAGCGAGAATTTTGACAACATCGCTGTTCAGCAGATCATCTTGCACGGTAGAACTTGACGCATCGATATGCGCAAGACATAGTACAGCTAGGGCAATGAAGGCAAGATAGTCCACGCCGCGGCAGTAGAAATGTCCGGAGCTCCATCTGCGAAATATCATGTATCGGGAGAGCGTCTCACGTGCGGCGTTTGCGGCTGCTATCTTGCTTTGAGCATGTTGCGAGGCGCCCAACATGTATGGTAGATGCAGTCGTATCACAAGATGATAGTGCGAGAACTGGTAGTTGATGCGAGAAATGTCCTGTAGTGGATTACCAGTAGTGTCTTCATGGCCAGATAAGAGATCAGGTATCGTCCACCACTGAGGAGACATCTCGTGGGCTGCTTGTTGTAGTAACGCTTCCATCTCGGTTAAAAATTCTGGTGTCTTTCGCGGTCGTAAAAGGTGATCATATTTCATAATGCGACCAGCGATATTGCATTGCAGACGCGCCATCCGATCAATCGGATGGCATTGCGCCAAAGTGTCAGGCTCTAATGCGCGGGTCTCCAGTGATGATTGAGCAAGTCCTAGAGTCACTGATAGGTAGCGATCCATTTCGATAATGCGAAAGCAAAGTACATCCGGATCAAATTCAGCTCTCGTTTTAGGGTCCAAGATTATGTAGGCCGACGACTTGTGGCCTTTGTGTAGGCCGATTGTTTGTGCAACTCCGGATGCGCGTCGAACAGCCAACCATGCTCGATGAAGGTTGCCTATATAATTGTGAATCATGGCTTCGACCATGATGCACTCCACACCTTCTACAGATGCGGTTAATGCATCATCAGTAGTCACGAGCCTGATTGCCGCATCAATTGCGCCGCTCATGATCATCTTGAACCGATCTCGCAACGACATTGACACTTGAGGCGCTGAAATTGCGCCTTGCAGGAGGCTCCCTAAAAACAATAGTTTCCGTGCGATCAGGACTGGATTGCATCCTGGTGGCGGCAACTGCAATATTTGCGTTGTCGTTATTGTTTCGCGACTCGACATTGTTGCACTCGGGATGCAAAGATTTATGTGAGAGTGCGTCGAGAAGCTTATAGGGAGGGCGTATATGTTCAGCAGATCAGCTTGAGAAGGCCAAAACTCCACAAGTTTCCTTGCTAAGCCGGTGTAACTATTGAAGAGTGGTATCTCGGGAGACTGCAGCGTGCTTGCGGGTGTGAGCGCAGCTTCATCGCTGCCGAACCCCGGATCCTTCGCCACGTCAGTTCCATTTTTCAAAAGAAGGAATAGCAAATTCAAACTATACATACTGCAGGACTTTTTATTTGAGGTGTATCATTAGGCAGAAACGCCGGTGTGTGTCTCGCGTCGGCTTTCTGATTCTGAAGTAGTTGATGAAGCATCTTTTCCACTCGGCTCAAGCGAGCTTCAATCCCGGCGTCTTTTCGCTTCTTAGGGAAGTCCATCTCCTCAACATTGATGTATTCTTGACTGACGCATGATGTTCTGCGCCGAATGCAGTTGTCGCATGTTGTGTTGGTGTCTAAAGTAAAGAGACATCGGACCTTGCGTCGCTTACATTCCCAGCAGCTTTGCGTGCCTTTACGAACTTTTCTTCGTTTGACTGCTGGCCCGTCTCCTGTGAGAGTCAACTCAGGGTGGACATCATTGACACGATTGCGAATTCGTCCAGAATAGTGGCTCAAACATAGATAACAAAGATGTAGGGAATGGCAGAGTGTTGGGATGGACGCTTCCCCCGAGCTCGGTGACCGAAGCTGCGCTAGGCTCGAGGGGTTCACCGACACAGAGAAGCACACGAAGCAACTACCACGACGCTGGCCGCACGAATCTAAAATAAGGCATCGATAATGGCTCCGCAGCTGCGGAATGAGACTTGACTAGTGCTCACAAAGCACACCCAATTTGTCCTTCAATCACTCTCTACGCCACTCTCGTTCTACAAACGTCTTGGCACCCGTGAACTCGTAGTCCGGCAACAACCTGTTCCACTCATCACTGGTCTCAAACGCTCCCTCATTGACTGCCAACAAGATATTAGGAACCAGAGCCCTAGATACCACCTCGACTTGCTCATCCGGAATAGACGGGTGCGCAACCAACGGCGCCCACTCGCTCTTCCATGTCCCAGCCCCCAAGTCTTCTTCCTTGAGTCTGGTAACGTTGAATGTACCACCTAAAGCTAATTAGCAAAGACCAGACTGTCTCTCTTAGAGATTCAATACGTACCACGAATCTTTTCACCGAGCGCGATGAGTTCGCCAACACTCATTGTCGTGCCGGCCATCCCGCCTACTACCGGCCATTCGCCTTCGTAATCAACAGCTCTGGCAACAACATGCGCGAGATCCTGCACCGTCGTGAAAGTAATCCTACTGTTCTCGCCTCCATCAACCACGAGCATCCTGCGCCTTTCAAAGTCAAACGGCGTCTCGAAAGCGGTCAAGTGAGTAGCCGATTTGTATGGCGCGGTGAGGTAGTTAGTGAACAGACCTGGCTGGAAAAGGCAGTACTCCAGCACTTTCGTGTCTTTGTTGACTTCCTCGAGGCACGTGCGTGTTGCGGCTTTGTAGAGATATGGATCCAATGACTCGGAGCTAGGTCTTGTCAGCTGGTGGAAATGGTTGGTGGGTGTTACTTACGAGTCACGATTCTTGGTCGCAAACTGCTTCACTTCCCATTCACTGGGGGCGAAACGTTTCACACCAGCTTGGATGGATGCACTAATGAGGTTCTTCTGAACGGTGATGGCCACGTCTTGGTTGCGATGGGGCGCGATGAAAGAGAGCACTGTGTGTACACCTTGAAGAATTTGGGTCAATTGTTCGGTGTTGGCGTAGTCAGTCTTCACGAATTTGACATTCATCGTTGGATTAATGGTCGAGATGTCCTGCAGAGGCGCTTTTAGCTCGTGCAGATACGTGAGCAGAATGTACTTACACGTCGTGTCAGAATGACGATATCATGCTTCTCGGTAGCTACGAGGACATCGACGATTTCTGATGCGACATCTATGACACTTCAGCGATGGACTTATAACGCCAATTCAGGGTGAGCCGTACTTCCTGCACCGCCTGCGATTGCGATTTTGACCATGCTTAAGGTATGACGTTTCTTTATTCGTTAATGCTAGAGTCCGAAAACAAAGAAGATAACGAATGGAAAAAGACAAAAATGGAGGAGAAAATCTTTGAAGTTGCAAGGTAATTCAGAGCCCAGTGCAAGGCAAAACCGGATCTATATAGAGGCTTCAGCCGAATTTTCGGCCGAAAGCTGTAGCGACTGCAAGTCGCATTGGTATCTTTTATCACCGAGTCTCTGTACGTCCAGGTCAGGAACCCACTATTCCTGCACCAAAATGCCTTATCTCTTCATTGGCACCATAATCTGCTGTTGTAGTTACTGTACGAACACAACGGCGTGGAAGCCGGTCACATGGAACATCTCCTGCATAACTGTGAGAATTTCGTCGAGTTCGGCTAGGTGCCCGTACCTCATTTTAGGCCCATCAACTTCAGCACGTTCCAGTGGACAAGGTCCCTCGCCGCAATCGCATCTTCAAGACTGTCGTGGCCCGTCTTGCTCTTCATTTGGATATCCCTGCCAAGGTTGCGCTTCGCCAGGGTCTTGAGTGAGAGGTTACCAGGTTGGTTTGCTGGTCGGGCTTCTTCCGGTTTCTTGCCAGTCGTCGCCAGGTCTGAGGCCAAAGCTGCGACGCCTCCCTTGTTGTTGGCCACATCCGGCGATATGACTCTGTCTTCGATGCCTTCTTGCTTGAGTCTCGCTTTTTCTTCTTCTGCCTTCAATCTCGCTTCCTCCTCTTCCTTCAGCTTCACGCGACCAAACTCCGTTATGAATGAATCGACGATGACGTCGTGGAACCACCGCAAAGATCGCAAATCGTTGACGAGACCATGGCCGACAACAGCCGTGTGAGGTCCAACATATCTCCAAATAGCCTTACGCGCTGCAGCTTTACCTCTCAAAATGGTCTTATCCCTCCTCGCCTTCTTGATGTCTCCCCAAGTGACGCCAGAGTACCTAGTGTTGAGATGCGCCATTTCAACTTCCGGCTCGACAAGATTGTCGATTAGGACATCCTCGGAGAAGTAGTCGATCAGGGTGATGCGGATAAGTTCAGAATCACCATTTGCTGCTTGACCCATCTCGCAATCGATCGCGACAGCGTGCCGGAGATCGCGTCCTTGTGAAAGAGGTGTCGGGTAACACTGGTAGAGCCCAATGAGTTCAGGTAGAGCCTGGTCGAGTGGAACATGCTCCAGAGCGCCGCCGCAAGGTTTGGTTGTTTTGATCGCAGGTTGATCGCAACATGTCCAAACTCTATTGATACAGTCTCCTAAGTGAAACCTGCATCGGAATTGCGGTTCTTCCAGTGCGTCTACTGCTGGGGTGTCGCCTTGCGCAATCGCTTGACCGTCCATATGCGAGTGACTGGGCGATTCGAGCGCGGCTCTTATGTGTGAAGTCTCAACCTTTGGTTCATTCGTCCTCGCATGAGTCGGATGTCTGCGAAGCAGTCGCGACATTGCTTCAATGCGTTAGCATCATTGTGCATCTTGATGAAAAGGCAACTCACGTTTGCCACATCCACTACATCTCCTCTTCAGTAGTAGCTCTTCCGCGTTAAATGATTGGAAAGTGAAGCCACGCTTCTCCAGGACTTCTCGAGGCTCGGCAAGACTATGCAATAACGCGAGATAGTCCGCAGTGCACGTGATCGGCGCCATGAACGCTATCTAATGCGCAATTGAAAGACGCTGTCGTAAGAATGGTAAGCGAGATTGATTAATCGAGATCATTTATCTGTAATAGCTTACGATCGTGATTAATTGCGATTGTTATGTTACGGTGCAGGAATGAGCGAGTGTAAAGTTGTACCCGGGTAGACAAACAGCAAACGAGGCTAGGCAGGATCGAGCCGACCCACTTTAAAACGCACCCGGTTTTGCGGACACAACATTCGTGACGCAAACACCGATACGCGAAATTCTGCAATCCTTTGCAATCGCTATGGTAATTTTAGAAAGCTTCCGAGATGACGCCGCAGACAATCATGACGTACATTGTGTATGCTAACATAAGGGAAACTTCATCGGGACTTCTGGAAGTGCTTAGAGATGATACATTTTTGACCAAGTGTATCACGATAAGAGGAAATACGGAGAAGAAAAAGAGGTATAGATTTAAGTCTGTCAATATTTGTAGAAGATGTGTGACGGGAAAGAGAAACCCGGGTTGATTTACCAACTCGTGTGAGTTGTTCTTTTAATACAGTGATTGTATCATGCATTCATCCATCCGCCTACTTTACTCGCAGTCTTAGGTTGAATTTTTGATCATAGAGTCACAAGAAGGCTAGGCAATTTACCATCCTTAACCCATGCTAGCCAATTGCAGATATTCATCTGCATTGTTGGATATGTAGAACTGGTGACGATCCTTTCTCCCATCGACCCTGAATTTCATGGGCCAACGAGAAGGAGGAATAGTCGTATTGAAAGTCTCGTAGAGGGCTTCGAGAAACTCCATGTCTGGTCTCCGGATCTCCATGGCCTGGAGGTTTGGGGGCAATGGTGTGATCGAAGCGTCTCTCATACTCGTAGCAGGTTTGTACAAAGCTTGGCCAAAGACCCTGAGTGACTTCAGTTTAGTAAATTGAGCAAGTGTCTCTATTGTTCCTAGCTCTTTTAGGTAGCCATAGTGTATGGGCGTCGCATGCGCTGATTCCGTCAAGTCGAGATGCTGAAGTGTGGGAGCGACTGATGCAATCTTGCGGCACAGCTGGTCGACACTCCCTTTATCGGTAGCGCTTCGAAGGCGCCACATTGAGGAGTCGTTCTCGAAGAGATACAAACGAAGATCTATGAGCTTGGGACACTTCGATACCATGGTGCCCGTCCGATCACAGACAACTTTCAAAGCCGGGTCCGGGTCATTTAAGAGTAGTTCGATGTGGTGGAAGATGGTGAGTCGCGTGATGTCGAGATCAGGCCAATTTGAAAAGGCTGGAATAAATACTGGGCACCAATCTCAAGGATGCGTAGGTTTAGGAAAGCCATCCAGGTTGGTACAGGAAGGGTGTTGCAGAGCTTGAGCGTGTGTAACGAACAGAGAACACCGGGACGATACCTCGCTGTCCTCTCATGAAGTAAAACGAAGAGAAATTTCCTTTCCTGGGTCATCTGTTATGGAGCCAGGAGATGCGTCACTGCTAATTTCCAGTTGTTCGAGTTTGGGAGTGAGGAGCAGGAGAACGCCAGCGGCCCCACCAAGACCTGTCTTGACTAGACCATAGGGAAATTCATGCTGTTCATCGTGAATCAGTTCCTTGCGGATTTCATAACAATCATGGGGACGGCAAGCGGCCCTTGGAAGGTAGAGATCTAAGTGTCGGACCAAATGTCGAAGAGACGAATTGTTGACAAGTGTTTGTATGAGTAGGGTATTAAGCGTCCACAGATCATTGCACTTGAGCCAATGAGCTTTTGGAGCAGCGTGCAGGCGCTCTCGTGTAGCAGGTAGGAAGTATCGAGAAACTGAACAAAGATTTGAAAGTGTTCGCTGGCACTCTGGCAGGCCAGTGAAATAGCCAAGAATCTGTAGGAGGAGCTCGTGCGGAAGATCTAAGAAGCGCGCCATGGTTATGGTTGAGACCTGGGGTGGTGGTGGTGGTGGTTCGGTAGATGAGTTACCAGGAGCATTGGGTAGCGGCTAGAAATAGTCATCACGCTTCTCTTAATTACTCGCTAGGCACAACTAGTGTGCACCCTTCCACCTTCACCATAGTACCGGTCATACGTTCACTTTCTGCTATCTGGTCGAATCATTTATCCATTGACGTCATTACCGTCATCCATGGATGAAATAGAATAAGTCGAGAAAGGAATCGCTGAGTGAAAATTGGCGGAAAAAAATACAGGGCAATTCAAGTCATCACTTTGCCGTGAATGTTTTGTGTAAGTGTAAATCATTTGTGTGGGTATCATAACTTTTCCTTCTCCAACTCATCCCGAGTAGCGATCAACGCCCTGGACATGTTGCTTAACGCTTCCGCCACAGCGAGGTGTAAGCTTTCCTGAGCACTGCTTGTCTCTTTCTGATCATTGAATTCGTAAGCAACGTCCAGCGTCTTGAAACCATAAAGCTCCATCAAGCCATTTTTATGCCGCCCCGTGGTTCAGAAGTCCAGCTTCCACATCTGGCTCTCATGTGACAATTTGCGACTGTAATCGAACGTCGGCTCAGAGCTGTCGAACCAGGTAAAATAAAAGCATGGTCAAGCTCTCGCTTCTGATCTTCTTGACTCTGAAGATGACGTCGTGCCATTTGACTGCTGTGATGAGATCTGGTTCAGAGACGACGATGCGGTTGATGAAGCATTTGCGTAGCGCGGACTCAGCGGCGATGTCAGAGTCGACGCGCGAGCTGCGGATGACGACGATGATATGCTGAGGGACGGGTGCTTGAGGAAGACACGAGCGGGAGGGAATTGGGCGACAGATGGCATCTTGACGATTGAGATTGATCGACTGTTTGCTAGAGAGAGATGTATTTAGGAGCTCTGGCTTTATGATTTGCTGTAAATGGTGTTGATTGTTGATGTCCAACAAAGCCTAGGGCGTAGCTGACTTATATACACTAACCCGACACCCCCAAAGAGTCACAAGTGTGGAGTCACAGGTGTCAAGCCGTTTCGGGCACTCACGCGACGATCCCGTGAGGTCAGCGCACGTACTGAGCAACCGATATACCTAGGAACACGTGCAAATTGCCGGTCTCGCGGGTGAGGATCGCAACCGAATTCCGGGTAATATTCGTGATGTGTTCAATTGAACGCGCGATTTTCTCGTATACTTTCCATTGTCCCGGAATTGTTTTCCGCAGCTGCGAGCGCGCGTATGTGCGATTCGCGAGTGATGCCTGAATGTTCCCTGAATGAGATGCATTGGCTTGAGAGATGGCCAAGACGTCGTTTTGTGTGATCTTCGCGGAGCTGTGGAATTCTGGTGTTTGATGCATGTGACAAACCTCATGGCCCTTCCTCGGCGGCGACCAGTGCGGGGTGCAGCTGGAGCTAAACTTAGAAAGAATCACAGCTTCACAGGCTTCGAATGTTCTTCGCCGCTGGAAATCAATGGCGCCTGCATGCCGAAGATCGCAGCTGAATTTGAATACGATGATCTTCTCATGTATGACGATGCGCCGGGTAAAACAAGCAGGATCAACGCAAGGTCGCGCGAGAACACCTAACCACAACGACGTACGCGCAATTCCTCCCTCGCATTGCTTGGACCTGCTTCGCTGCCAAAGCCCAGGAGCCTCGCGACCAAATCTCAAAACTTCCAAGACGTTTCAATCTGCCTCGTCAACGGCATGAATCCGCAGAGCCGCGCAGCTTGGCTGCTACCCACACGGACCGTCCGAGCGTGGGGGTGCTACAGTTCATGTACCGCATGATTCCAGCTCTTCTATGCATCAACTAAGAAACGGTAGATTCCTCGTACTAATTCTTTACTTACTTAATAGTTATATGGGCTGTATCACGCAAACAGTAGCGCTATTCGACCTTGAACCTTTCCCGCTTCCAGATCTCTCATCACCTTGGGGAAGTCCTGAAGCTTTCCATCAGTTACCATGGGGTTCAATACGCCCTTTGCGATGAGATCTAGGGCTTCTCGGAGATCTTTTGTCTGGCCGCCATATGAGAATATTATGTCTAATCGTTTTCGGATCGCAAGCTTCATATGAACCGTGTTCTCGTGGTTCAAAGTTCCAACACACACTATTCGGCCAGCTTGTCGTACTAATGATGATTGATTTAGTATTGGTAGTGTGAACATGAGGCGAGCGTACTGACCAATATGCTGCGCATCATCGAACGTCTGCGCCATGCCCACAAAGTCCGCTACCACGCTTATCTTCCCCGCCCAACCATTCTCCTGCACCCACTCCCTTATACTTTTCCCCACAGGTACTATATCCTCCCTTTTGACACCAATTCTTGCCGCTTCATCTAGGTTTTGTTGCTTAACGTCACTGACCAGCACCTTCGCGCCAATCGCTTGGATGACCTGCAACGCATTGAATCCCAACCCGCCCAATCCGAACAGAAACACCACATCCCGTTCAGTAATTTGGCCTCTTCTATGTATCGCATGGTAGGCTGTAGTTACCGCATCTGTCGCCACAGCGGCCTGACTTGGCGTCACACCCGCAGGCACATGCGCAAGGGCACGTACATCTACCACGCAGTACTCTGAGAAGAATCCGTCGCTCCCAATTCCGCTGCGATGCCCCGTGAGGCACAACTGCGGCACGTCGTTACTGCACTCCTCGCATTCGAGAGAACCACACCCGGGCACCGGGCACATCGCGACGATGTCGTTGATAGCGAAACCGGACTCCTGAGGGAAGTCTGTTCCAAGGCCGACGACGACGCCACAACCTTCATGTCCAAGGGTGAACTTCTCTTTGAACCACGATGGTTGATTCTCGTTTGTCAGCAGGTTACGGTCGGAACGACAGACACCTGCTGCAATGAGTTTAATAAGGCAGCCTGTTGCGTGGGGAGTAGGAACGGGTATCTGCTGCCATACCTTTTTCCGCTGGGTGAGCTGGTGTTTCAAGTTCGACTAACATTGTATGTGTGACTCACGGGTTCCATGTTTCCGCGGTGCTTTCTCCATGCCCACATCATTTTGGGGACTGCCTTCATATTTGGCGTTGACATTTGGGATGCGGTAGCAACTTGCTTTACGGGTTTTCCTATCTGGTCTCAGATCACTTCGAATGAGTTCTATGTTATACGTGGCAGTTGACTTTAGGGCCATCTTCGTCATCTCGATTCACGATTCATGCGCAGCCAATATGTTACGCTAGCAGCTTCTTGCGCTTTACCGAAGATGGTTTGCCGGTATAGACATGCGGGGCATGCAGCTTGAACATAGAGTTGCGCGACTCATGGTACGGATATCCTGGGTATACAAGGCCACAAAGATTGCAGAAAGGCGACTAATATCACGGGAGAGCATCAGCAGATTCATGTTGATGGAAAAATAGGACTTTGTGAAAGGTGCTTCATACGATAGCTGGCTATGTGCCCTTGACTAACCGGAAGTCAGTGTAGCCCCGTACTTTAACATCGTCGCATCTACTTCTATAACCTGCCGCTGGTCCATTGTACCGAGCGATACTTCTCTGTTGCTTTCCCGCCACGTTCCTGTTGACGCCAGTCATCCAGCTATCTACCTCATTGGCCAAAAATCCGACCGCGCACTCGTGCACATGCTTTGTCCATGCTTGTTTGCCTGCTTCCGTAGCTTCGATAATAGTCACGTTGTTGTTCACGGCCCATTCGATGAGATCTGCTACCCAGCCAACCGCGAATTCGATCGACCGGGGGATGTTGCCAAACATTTGGTGCGGACCCATGATCACTGATGTAGAGTTAGCGAAATACTACTGGATCTACGTGGTTCAGCACTTACTGAACATGTTGGGGAATCCATGATTTGTGAGACCAAGAAATGTTTGAATACCATCTGCCCATTCATCCGTGAGCTTTTTGCCATCGATACCGCGGATGTCCACGTTAGCAAATGAGCCAGTTATCGCATCAAACCCCGTCGCGTAGATGATGACGTCGAATTCGAAATCTTCATCTTTCGTCTTAATACCTTTTTCGTGGATACGCTCGATCGGATTCTCATTGATATCGACAAGCTTGACATTTGGCTGGTTGTATGCCTCGTAATACCCGCCCTCTAGCGGTACTCTGCGCGTACCGAAGCCATGGTTCTTGGGAATGAGCTTTTCGGCAACATTGGGGTCGTTCACGCGCTTTCTGATTTTGTTTGCGATGAATTGCGAAAACAATTCGTTGGCTGCCCTGTCGGTGTTGATATCGTAGAAATTTGCTAGCCATTTGGAGAAGCCCGGTTCAGAGTACAGCTGTTCCCAACGCGCCTCGCGTTCTTCTGTAGTGACTTCGAAGACAGACCGCTTGTCGGCTTTATGGATGAAGCCGGAATAGGACTCGAGGCAGTTCTTGAATATGCTAGGGTAGTTCCGCCGGATATCTTGCATGTCTTCTGGTGTGATCTTTGTGTTGCGGAGAGGCGCTGTCCAGTTTGGTGTTCTTTGAAAGACTGTAAGCGAACCGACTGTTTTCTTAATCTCTTGTATTGTCTGAATACCGGTGGCGCCTGTTCCTATTATGCCCACGCGTTTTCCATTGATGGCGCTGTCGTTAGTAGGCCATCTCGAGGTATGGAATCCGGACCCTTTGAAATCGTTGACTCCCGGAATGTTGGGTAGAGTTGGTTGGTTCAAAATGCCCATCGCTGTGATCAAGAAACGACAGGCGGAAGTTCTACCAGAGTCCAGTGTGAGCAGCCACGACTTTGAGTTCTCACGCCACTGCGCAGAGGATACCCGTGTATTGAACTGCATGTCTTCGTGGAGGTTGAACTTCTTTGCGAAGTATTGGCAGTAGGCTAAAGTTTCCTTCTGCCCAGCAAAGTGCTCAGACCAATTCCATTCATCAAGTAGAGACTGATCGAATGAAAATATGTACGAATACGACTCTGAGTCGAAGCGTGCCCCAGGATAAGTATTCCTTTTGCGCTCAGTACAGTGCGAAGTGGATCACCATAGGCAAACTTACCAAAACCATGTTCCTCCCTCAGCTGAACCTGCCTCGAACAGCCTCGTCTTCAAGCCAAGTTGGCGCATACGGTGCAGTGAATACAGGCCCGACTGACCACCACCTACGATGATGACATCGTAGTCAAGAGATGCATCGAGCTTTGCTGGCTTTGCGGCAGGCGCAGTGTCCATTCGTGCAACCATGGTGGGTCTGGAACGCGACTGCGAAGGAATGAAGAATAACTTGCAATGCTGATTTTGTCAAATATCCGAGATGTGTTGTCAGTATATCTTCTGCTCGATCTCGAATTGCCCGCTCACGCCAACCTCGTCTCAATGGGTGCAGTCAGCGAGTGGGTACCTGGCAACGCGCTCTCGCATTTTGGTAAGGCCTCGGCCGCCGAAGAGGGCCGAATCTTGCAGAGGTGATACCGGCACTTTTCCCCTTTTCTGTATAGCCGAACTAGCGAGATTACGTGTACGAGGATGTGCTTGCGCGTACAGGCGAGAGCAATATATTCTATGGCATTTGCGACGAGAAAAGAGATGGCTGGAGATGGCGGTAGATAGCTGGAGTAGAATCGCACTAAGTCTCTCCAGCATTGGCCTACAGGATTCCTTGCTGCTTCCAATACACCTTGAGATCTCTAAAGAACGCCCACTTGAGCGACTGCCCCCACCCCTTGCTTTTCCAGTCATTCAATGACTTGGGAAAATGGTCGACTCCATCTCTGACAGTTGAATCATGTGCGATGATCACAAAAATCCGGTCATCCGCGTCTAATTCCTGTAGCCAAGTTGCAGTATGCTGCGCAAGCGGAATGTCATGACCAAAAGTCATGTCGTACAATGAGCTCTTCGAGTCTCTGCCTCGAGCCCTCTGTAGCTCCACAAATGCTGTGCCTGGACACAAGGGAAAATTTGCAGTTGGGAGGCAGGGGTGAGGCAAAATCGCATCGGGTACAGGTAGATGTACTGACGGCCTGAAGATCCCAGCGTAGTGGCAGACATCACCTCCAAGTAGAACAAATGTGCTGTCTTCTCCACCAGTTGTCCGAGCTAAACCACACAGGTGTCCAATGGTATGACCGGGACTGTCCAATAGGTAGAAGCTGCCATCGCCAAAGTAGTCATACGCAGGGAATTTTCCAATCTGCAGTCCTGTCTTGAAGGTGATCTCGCGCAGCGTTCTATCCGCATAATCGCTCTCGCGGATGGGAGAGTCGGGATCGGCAGGGTAACCCGGCAGCATCGCGTCTTTGAAGCCTGGCCCTACCACCAGTTCAACACAATTTGGAAATGAAGATGGGTCGCCTATATGACTGCGATGCTGTCAATGCGTGCGCCCGCAGGAGAATGATTAGGACATACTCCCAATGCCAGTGACTCCAAACCACTGCTTCTATCTCATTCAAGTCGATGCCACTCTCTTGCAGAATATCTGCAACATTGTGCGTGACGTTGATGGTGTAGTTTGTCGTTGGAAGATACTCAACAATCTTTTTAGCATAGTTTTGGTAGTCTTTTCGAATGCCCAAGTCGAACACTAGTTTTCGACCGGATGGATGTTCGATCAAGAACGAATGAGATGGTGATGTCTCGAGGGTCTCTAGTCCTGGCACGGCTGGCGACATGAATCGGTGTATCTCCGCTGGTCCAAAATTGACTGAGTTGATGAGCGAAGTCTTCACGGTGATGGCACCGCTCGGAAGATTAATTTGACTTCCTGTAGACATGTTTGAGGTACCTTAACGACAAATTTCGTTTACTAGCAAGGCAGCTCCAGTACGGATCATGTTGTTGCACATATGCAGCTGTTTGTGGAAGCAGAGTGCCGCAGCGGAGTGAAGGGCAACCGCGCTCGGTGTCGGAGCGTCGGAACCTCTCCCGCATGTCTCGATCCTGCCGTCAACAGCATCCGGTAGACCTCATCTGGTTCACCTAGCGCGCTTTTCATGGCTTTCGTCCGGCACGACAACTCTGCCGGTTCGTGCAGCGACGCCGAGCTGCTCCACAATCATGTTCCCCGTCCACTGACAGTCAGGAGAGGCCCCGCGATCGCGTGGAGAGTTCTGCGGCACCCTGCATGTTCCAAGAAATCGGTGCTTGGCTACCGTAGGCAGCCTAGTAAGCACGCAACCGTCTCCCTTATTGACCGAATGGAAGAACAGGGGTACTATGAACTGCTCTTGGGTTATTGTTGAGGTGTTGGTTAAGCTCGAGGAGAGGGTATTGAACCTATCACGTGATTGGCGAAACACTTGGAGGCCTTTGTTTCACCGTCTTTTGAGCTTTTGGTAGGACCACAGGTCTCCAAACGCCAAGGCGTATTGTGGATACTGTGTCGGACCGTGTCGGACCGTCCCTTATTTACCTTCTTAAAGAAAAGCGGCAATGAATCAGCACAAGAACGCATAGTTTACATGTGTGTCACTGTTTCGAGACTCTATATCTACAAGCTAAGGGAAATAAGAGGATGAATTGTGTTGGACATTTAGGAAGCTACTCTACCACGTGATAGAATAGCAAAAGGTTGCTCGTTCAATATCCTGTGATTGAACACAGCACCCCTGCAGCTTTCCGGTCGGTCCTTTCGACAGGCGGCACACACATAAGGCCGATGGCTAGAGTACATGTATGGACGATCGTCCACTTCCATCTTCAAACACACAGATATCCTCATTTGTTAGGACCAAGCATTGTGTATCATGGCCGCTGCCGAGAAGCCTGGGGAGATTCACCACGTGACAGCTGACCCTGCTGGCAGTGACGTGGAGACAGGGGGGCGGCTCAAGCACATCGACACTGTCCATGGAGACGAAGCAGTCAGGTAGTAGTCCAGTCCTTCAGTTCCCATGATCCACAACTGATATACTCCAGAGTGCTTGCTAGTTACTCCGGAGACGAGTCATGGACGGAGAAAGAAGAAGTCCACGTAACGCGCAAAATCGACTGGCGTCTCATGCCAGTCCTCTGCATCACCTACGGACTACAGTATGTTATGTTGAATAAAATATGGGTAAAGATGAAACAAAATGATTAACTATTCCATAGGTACTATGACAAAGCCATGCTTTCGCAAGCTGTGAGTATCCTCAGGCTCTGCATTTCATGCTACTGCTGACTGGTCCTCTTATAGGCGCTTTTCGGACTGCGCGACGATCTTAAGCTCCGTACTGGCAACCGTTACTCCATGAGCGCAGCCATCTTTTATCTGGGGTTCATCGTGGGATCTTATCCGGCGATGTACCTAGCCCAGCGTTGGCCCATCGAGCGAGTCGCCTCCGGCATCGTAACCACTTGGGGAATTTGTGTTATTCTCACTGTTGTATGTCGCGACTACAAAGACCTATATGCGCAGCGCTTTTTTCTGGGCTTTTTGGAGGCCGGTATTAGCCCCATGTTCATGGTCATTGTCGGTTCATTCTACAAAAAGAACGAGCAAGCATTTCGGATGGGGTAGGCGGCTCCCTAATCCTGCTCGATCCTGTCTGTTGCTGACTGATTCTAGTATCTGGTATTCTTGCACAGGATACGTATCTATATTTTCCCCGCTTATCAACTACGGTCTTGGGCAAGCCAAAGGTCCGCTTCGACCCTGGAAATACATGTAAAACCACCTATGTGTCTCGACTTCATGGTAAACTAAAACATTCAGGTACCTTTTTGCCGGAGCTCTGACAATCGTTTGGGGAATTGCACTTTGGTGGCTTCTCCCTCCCGACCCAGTCCGCGCTAGTGGCTTCAATGAGAGAGAACGATACATCTCCGTAGCCCGTCTACGGTCGAACAACTCCGGAGTTCGCAACACGCACTTCAAGATTGGTCAAGTCCTGGAGCTTCTCATGGATGAGAAATTTTGGATCGTCTTCGCCATCGCAACGCTGTGCATGATCAGCAATGGACCAATAAGCACGTTTGTGCCTATCATCATCAACTCGTTTGGATTTACGACATTGCGGTCTCTGCTTCTCACGGCCCCTGTCGGTGCGTATGCAGGCACACTGCAGCTTCTGGTTCCATGGCTTTGCTACAAGTACGCTGGCTGGCGCACGTGGTCTATCTTTGCATGCCAACTAGGAACTACTCTTGCTGCTCTTCTTCTCTGGCAACTGCCGTTGAAGCAGACTGGCGGTCTCCTATTCGCCTGCTACATATTACCGTCTGTCGGCGCTGGTTATGCTGTACTTATGGGACTTGCACTTGCGAACACAGCCGGCTACACGAAAAGAACTGTCACTTCTTCTGGAATCTACATCGGCTACTGCGTGGGCAACTTCGTCGGTCCTCTGGTTTTCGAACCCAAGGATGCTCCGCGCTATGCGCCCGGTTTCATTATTGTGTTCGTGACATCTATTGTTGCTGGACTGCTAGCGCTTGTTTACCGCTTTCGTTGTGTCGCTGTTAATAATAAGCGGGACAAGACTGGCGTGCTTGAAGGATTCGAGCATGCTTACGAGGATGATTTGACTGATCGCAAGAACCCTCAATTCAGGTACATACTATGATTCAAAAATCGCTCTAGGATTTTACATCCATATTGGACTGGCTGTTGAAAGTAGCCGAGCAATCACGCTAGTAAGGAGCGTTGTGTAATAGTATTATCGTATTCAGAATGTGAGCACCCCCCCTCTAGCTTAACCATACAACGAGCAGGAACCCTCCGTATGCTCCTATTGGCGGATTTCCTTATAGATATTAATAAGGGCCTAGATAGCCGTTGACAGATGTCACTTTTAGACTGAACCATATAATTCTAACCTCTAAAAAGGCTGCCCGCTTATGATATCATTAGGTACATCATCATTCTTCCCTAGTACATTATTGTTCGTCATAGATATTCTTAGAACAGCTAAATCAGGGGGGGTGCGCATTTTCTGAACAGCACCGATATAAATCGTGTCGCAACTTTACATCTGCTGTGCTCTTGTGAGATCTGATCAAAACTTGAAGGGCCGCAATGGCGTCGATAAGGACGAGACATCAAGTCTATTAATCAGACGTTCCTCCTTCATTTTATTGCTCACAGCCGGGCAATCCCGTTCTCATGTTATTGCCGCTATCGCTCAAATAGCCTAGCGTAAAGTGCCGCCACAAGCCGGCTCCGAGGTAAGAGGAGCCATCATTCCTCACCTTCACTAACTCCGTCAAACCGCGCTGGCCGTACAGGGACGACCTAGCGCTGCACCAACCAAGTCATCAATGGAGTCGATCCTAACCCCTGTTGCAGGCCAGCTGGCGTGATATTCATTGAGGTCGTGTCGAAACGCGCGTTCCAACGATGGCAGAGAATCTGGGATCCGAGAACTGGCAGCACTACTCAATAACAGCGACGAAAAGGAAACGCGCAGATCTTGTTTGTTTTGCTTGCCATGTAAAGAAGATAAAATGCGACCTCCAACAGCAGAAGAACCGTGGCTGCGAAGCTTGCAGCAACTGTGCCACCGTTGGGAAGAGCATGTCATATCCGTCCATCTAAACGTGAAAAGAGGCGCAAAATCAACAAGAGTGCAGAGGATGCCCAGAGCACCGAAGGGCCGAAAAGCTTTTCTCGTGGAGATGGTCCGCCTCCGATCTCCAATGCAGGTTCTCAAGCTTCTTTGGTAGAAGCATTGCCATGTGGATGTGGGCGTGACTGGCAGCCCACAACTTCCGAACTATGCACAGCGCGATAGCCATGTAGAGGGCCTCCACACCAGCGTATCTCTTCAAGATATGATTCCGGATGCGCCGGCTGTTGATGACTCGCCCATGCTCCAGCATAACGAGGCAATTACGGGCCTTACAGAGACCACCCTGACACAAAACGGCGATTTGGATGCTGGGTTTCTCAAAGTCTATGCGCAGGAGAACCAATTCGATGCAGATACCCAGGCCATTGTCGCTCAAATGAAACACCAATATTGCTCGGCTCTAGATCCGGACCTCGAACAAACATTTACGGACACCTATTTCGAATATTGCTACCCATGGTGTCCAGTGCTTGATCGCGCCACAATAGCATCTGATATTGCACGATCTCCACTACTCGCAAACGCCTTAGCTTTGGCAAGCAGTCATATTCGCCCTCCTTTGTTGCCTCATAGTGGACCTGAAATTTACTACAAACGCGCCAGAACCATGTTTTATGACGATCAAGAAGCGGATGAAATGATGGCGCTTAAGGCTCTCTGTTTGTTCTACTGGTGGGCACCACGGTCACCTAGTAGAGTCCATAGACATTCGTATGTATTCTTCAAGCTCCAGATCTTCGGAATGATCGCTAATTACATCATGGCATCGAACAGCTCCTGGTGGTGGACTTCTATAATCATAAGGCACGCTCAGCAAATGAACATCCACCGTGAACCAGGCCAGGGCGATCCAAGCAGGCAGCGACTGCAGATGGGGCTGCGGAGGAGGATTTGGTGGACAGCTTTTGTAAGTTTCCAAGTGCGTTATAGTATAGGCCAAGGGCACACATAGTGCATTCACGACTTGCCGTGGATATCGAACGGAGAATAGATGCCCATGAACTCAATCGCTAATATACAAATATGAATTGGCTAATTGGTGACAGGCAAGGGAGCGGCTGACCTCACTTTGCCAGAGCAAGCCTGCTATCATCGATCCAAGTGACTGCAGCATTCAGGAGCCTACTTTAGCCGACTTCCCTCTAGATCCGCAAAGCCAGCATCATGGAGAAATCTTCATCTACTGGGTACGCCTTTGCGCAATCATCGGACGCATCGCCAAGTTTCTCCTCAAATCGAACACTGATGGCGGGATGGTGCAAAGCGAGTTACGAGAAGAGCTTGTTGCATGGATACATTCCTTGCCATCTCGCCTCAAGTTGCCGATCAATACAACCAGTACGACGTCCTTCGATCGCGATGTTCATCAGCTGCATTTGTTCTATCTCACGACCATCATCATCCTACATTTGAAGCGTTCTGAAGGGCATCTACCCCAAGCACTACCACCAGCCATACTTGCGGCGTCATGTACGGCTCGAGTCCTTCGGGACATTCTGGCGAGAGGAGATTCGCGATTCCTAATGGCCATTACATGCTGGCATGTTGGTACTGCATTCATTGCGCTTTTGCAGGCTTGCCGAATCCCGCATCTTAGCAGACCAGCAAACGAGGATCTTGATGTGCTTTCTATCGCAGTCAAAGAGCTGCAAAAGATGTGGGCGTCCGCTAACGTTATCGCGCAAGGCTTTGATAGACTACGAAAGCCGCAAAACTTTGCGGAAGCAAACGAAGATCTATCCCCAAATGTAGCACTTTCGCAAACACGTATCGGCTACGAAAACCCTGACTCCATGAATCTGGAAAACGGGTTCGACTGGATGCGCTTCTTTCCGTTCATCTCCAAATCAACGGGGGGCATTGCAGATTGCCTCCTCTCGGGACGCGAGCTCGGCACAGCAACACGAGGTTTTCCGTCACCCAACAACGAACTGTTTCACGAAGCTTTACTGGCACAATTTCACGACCTTTTTCATCCATTCGACGATTACAACTCTGGCTTTTCAGACGTCAACTTCGATGCGCCTTAAGTCTCGGTCATGAGTAACTTGAACCGGCCATCTAAAGGGCCCAAATATATCTTTCCAACTCCTCGTATCAAATGCCAACTCAACGCTTTCCGTTCGCGACGCTGTTCTTCTCTGGTCCCTTGCCTTGTGCCTCTTCTGCAATCTCGACATACCATGAGAGATCAGAATCATCCTTCATCTCAAACTCCGTGAAGCCATTGCCCATGAACCGCCAGGGGTTAGAAGTTCTGTAGGTTACATCAAAATCCTCGCCGCGAATATCCCCTAGCATTCTGTTGAAAAGTTGGGCGGAGCCACCGAATAACGCTGTTACCCTTCCGTCCACGCGACCACGCTTGTACCACGAGGAGCAGCCGCCCGACCAGACCAAAGTCTTGTGTACTTGGTCTTGGTAGCGCATGAAGTCTCTCACTTTTTCCCGCTTTGGTGTGATACACTTGATATCTTCGCATGCAATCTTCTTAATCCACTTGATAAAATAATCTCCTGTCCAGTTCAGTGATTCGACAAGCGAGCCGTGTCCTCCGAGACAATTTGGACCCATCATCTGGGTTTCAAGTCAGCTTCCAAGTTACGACAAATAACTACAAAGCCACAACTCACCATGAAGTAGTTTGGCATGTCCGGTGTCATCACAGAGATGTATGACTCGGGGTCTTCAGCCCACTTCTCGCGAAGGTTGACTTCATTTTGTCCGATCAATGGGTAATGCGGACGATGAGAGACATCGAATCCAGTTGCGCACACCACTTGCTGTTCATTAGTACTCGGATGGAATACAGCTCCCTGTGGAATGTACTTACGGACATCGCATTCGAAAGTTTTGCCATCTCCGGTTCGAACGCCATTCTCAGTTATGCCAACAATCGGACTATTGCTGCAGTCACAGTTGTCTCTCAGGAAGGACTCAAGGTATCCTGGACCGGGTGTGATTCTTCTACACCCAAGCTCCCACTTAGGGATGAGCATGTCGCATAGTCGTTTGTCATGGCCCAGCTTTTCCGACATCTGCGCAGTTGCTGCTTCCATTCCCTTTTTGTTGTTCTCGCCGCGCATGAAAATATGGAAAGACTTGTTCGTCCGTGAGACTATGCCTTTGCGGTATTCTTGATGGCGTTTCGGGTCGCGAAATCCCTCCTTTTCGGCTTCTGTATACGCTGGATTCACATCGTCCACCTCACGACCCATATGCTTCGACGGTGGGGCGCGATAGTACACCCATGCTCCATTGCGGATGAAGTTCTGGACTTTTGTACCTGGGAGTTTGGCCATCTGCGGTACAATCTGGATGCCTGATGAACCGTTGCCAATTACTGCGATACGCTTGTTGGAGTAGTCGAAATCGTGGTCCCATCGCGCCGAATGTGTGATGTGGCCCTTGAACTTTTCGAATCCAGCAATCTTTGGCCAGTTCTCATGCACGAGCACACCCTGTCCAGAGATCAACACGTGGCACCACTCTTCTCGCACTTCTTGGGTCTTTGTGCTTTGTAGCTTTACAGCCCACATGCCCTCCGACTCATGCCACTTCGCACCAACAACTTTGGTATTTAGCTGCAAGTCGCGATCGAGATTCCACTTCCGCACCGTTGCTTTGAAGTACTCCAGAATCTCCGCACCACTTGCGTAGAATTTGGTCCAATTTGGATTAGGATCAAATGGGAACGCATAGATGTGGGCGGGCACATCGCATTGCACGCCAGGATAGTTGTTGACAAGCCATGTCCCGCCGACCTCATGATGAGCTTCAAATAGAGTGTGATCGACCAGGTCTTGCATTTCGGGGAAACGGTGCTGGAACTTGTGCGCCATCAGCAGACCAGAGAAGCCTGCGCCGATGGTGAACACTTTCAGCTTTCTTGGTGTGTATGCAAATTCTTTGGCGAGCGTAAAAGGATCAAATACTGTGTCTTGTTGGCCATTGTTGGACCCTGTGGAAGGGTGCAGCTTCACTCCATCGACTTGTGGAATCTCGCCTTCCGTTGTTGGAGCTTCCAAGTCTATGATCGGCTGGTTGGATTGCTCGTCCGGCGCAGAATCCGTTGAGGCATATTCCATGAATGATGACATCGTCAAAGAAACCTTGGAGTTGTCGAAAACCACAAAAAAAATGAAGGATGGGTGACAATTAAAAACGGGAAGCGAGGTCAGTAGTGGGCAAGGCTTTCAAGCTGATAAATATCTATGCGCTTTGAATGTCTAGCCTCTAGCTGCAGGGCAAAGAGGTGTGCACCATCATGTGCACCTAACGTCCATTCACATGGAAGCAAGAACCTGCCGATACCGCATCACCGCCGGCGCTTTCAAGGTATGTCTGATCGTCGGTAGGCACAATTAAATACCGGAGGCCCCGCATACTGTCTCAGTACAACGGTGTGTAGCTTACCCGTGTCTTCGGCACTGAGGAGCGCCACCGCGGTATGGCCGCATTTGGTTAACCGAGTCTCGCCTGCAAAGTCTCCGGGGTTGTGGGCGGTGCGGGGATTTGACTTTACTGGTCGTGAACAACTAGTCAGATGAGCGCAATGCGCAACAATAGGAACACGTGTACGTCGCAGCGAAGGATATGGCTTAGTACGGTGGATTGTGGGTCGAACAAACAATCGACAGCTCCATGAGCCAGATGGCTCATATTTGGATCCTCAATCACAACCTCGACCAAACTTGACCAGATCTCTTGCTTCAAGACCCTTTCAGGTACAATTCTTGCGCAAATATGCCAATTGCGAAATATGAGTACACTGGTCCAATTGACCACACCCTGCCCATCGATCATGCCAAGTTGAAAGGCAAGTCAGTGATCATCACGGGCGGCGCCAATGGCATGGGCGAAACATGTGTTCGACACTTTGCAGAACACGGCGCCAAAGTCACAATCGCGGACGTGAACAAGCGAGGTTACGATCTCTCCGCCGAACTAAACAAAACGTATGGTGAGGAAAGGACAATCTTTGTCGAAGTCGACATCCGGGACTGGGACCAGCAAAAGAACATGTTCGAGTATGCAATGAGCAAGTTTGGCGCCATTGACGTTGTCATTGCAAATGCTGGTATCAGCAGAAGCTCAGGTGATGGTCTCTGGAACCTCGACGATCCAAATGGCGAGCCAACGAAGCCGGATCTCAACATCGTGGACGTGAATCTGAAGGGCAGCTTGTACACCTGGAAATTGGCGGTGCATTACTGGCGCAAACAGAAAGAGAGTGATGAGCGCGACCGATGCTTTATCATAACTGGCAGTTTGATCGCTTGGATTGATTCACCGGTGCGTTCAGCAGCCTTGCGGTTGGTTTTGTGGAGATACTGATTATCCAGGGTAACTGGGAGTACACAGCGACTAAATATGGCCTTCACGGATTCATGCGCACGGTTCGCAGATCGTCGTGGGAGCAGGGAATCAGAATCAATTACGTCGCCCCTAGCTGGATCAAAAGCGCAATCAGGACCAAAGAGTACGAACAGTGGCTCACGGATCGCGGGATCGAGTTTGGTGAGCAAGAAGACGTTGCAGCATGCATGATGCGGATCGCAAGCGACAGGTCGATTAACGGTACGTTAGCAATATCATACCTGCTGTTCCTAGGTTGACTGACACGATTGCAGGGAGAAGCTTGGCTATAGTACCTAGAAACGTTGCTAAAGAAGGATACAAGGACATCGACAAGGATGATTATACCGAGGACGACGGCCATGATGGCTACTTCAAACGTACTCAAGACACGCAGCTTGTCATCATTGAAGACAGGTGGAGAGATGACTACAAAGTAAGGGTGTTCAAAGAGTAACAAAAAACGCTCGCCCAACTCCATGCTAAACGCTCTCTTCTCCGTACGAATCAGGCGAATAGTTTAGTCGAAGAACTCCCTCTCGCCGTGCACCCTGTGCAACTCAAATACTAAGACTTCTGGTTGCACATCCCCTAATTCACTAACGCTCTTTCTTACAATCTCCACAAGCTGCTCATCTGGTCTTTCTTCGAACTCATGTATAGCCAGATGTGTGCTTGGCTCTGTACTCGGCTCGTCGCCCGCAGGTAAACCCTTCAATTTCTTCGACTCAGCGTTCGACCTCGCAAACCGCAAGTCAAACGACAATGTCCGCAAATATCCCTGAGCTTTCCTCAGCTCTTCATGTTGTCGTTCAAAAAGCCCATCCACTGATTGCGAGGCACCCAGTCTGACACCACATGTCAGGATAAACTTCGCCGGCCCTATCACCCATCAGCCATAAGAATCTCTTGGCAAACTCTCAAACCCACCTTGTTCCTCCTTCTCCCCCATCTTCCCCACCAATCCCAAAAATCTAACATCCATATCCGCCAAATCGTAAATCACCCCGTTGCCCGGCAATATCTCGCTCGTAACATTAATCTCTTTGAACTCCTCCCCCAGCATGAACTCCAATTTCTTCATGGGATAGCACGCCAAAAATGGCGTTTTGTTGTCCTCATTCCCATTCGGCGATGTCTTATTGACGTCTACATATCGGAACCCGCTTTTAATGCCGGATGTGGCGACGACTTCGGCGATGTGGTCGTCGTCGTACCAGTGCAGGAATGTGGGTTCGGAGAGGAGGGGGGAGGAGATGCGGGAGCGCACGAAGAGGATGCCTGGGCCGGAGATGGAGGATGTCATTTTGGATGGGATTTCGATTTGGAGGTTGAGGGAGTGGTGATAGCGGCGGTTGAAGTTGATAAGGGTCCATGTCGGGTAAGCGTTACCGGTCCGAATTTAGATATTGGCCGAGAAGGTAGGGAAGTGGATGTGGCACAGCTAGCGTGGTCTAGAACGAGTGGTCTTTTGAAGAGTCGTGAAGGTATGCGGCGGAAGGTGAAGCGAGGCTCGTTCAGTCCTTGGTGGGGGAGCATGTGTCACGTGATGAGGCCACATTCACATATGCCGAGAGCTGTCAAGGAGCATTCAAAGTGGTGAGAGTGTATAGAAGGGTAAGAGGCTGTATAGCTCCGCGAAACTCGTAATTCAAAAGAACTCCCCTTGTTGCGCCGCCCATCATGCCCGTTGACTCCATGTCCAGAACCCAAACCGCAAGATTAATGACGACAAGCAAACATCGGCATAGCCCTCATCTCCCTCTTCGCATTTGTCGCCCTCGGCAACGCACCGGTGCAATCAATGAGACCCTTCCCATCCGTCGTCCCACTCCCAAATAGCGCCATCCTCCCCATGGCATCAGCGAACTTCCCATTCCACTTCCCTTGGTTGTTAACAAATCCCTTGAACTCCTTGCCCACAGTCGGATGCGCCGCCAACTTGATGTCAGACGGAAACACAACAACGCCCTTCGGCGCATTCAGTGTTTCGGCGTAGTACTTGACGTCCCAAACGCCAGGGGTGGAGTCTTGTGGCTGGCCCTTGGCTCCGTCGGTGGTGTTGAAGTTGAACTGGTTGGAGGTGGAGTGTGCACCTAGTAGGGCGGCAAGATCGACTTCGTTGAAGCCTTTGTCTTGGAAGAGTTTGAAGAGGTCGGCGGCAGGGGCGTTGACGTCAGGAAGGAGGCCGTCGGGAGCGGCGGTTGTGGAGTCTTTGCGGCCGACGAAGGTTTTGACGACGGGGCCGCCGGGACATGTGACGACTGCGTGATTGCCGGCGAAGACTGAGGCAGTGTGAGTATGAGATGAAAGGAGGAAAGGGAAACAGAGACGTACCAATCATGTCTGCGACGCTGGTTTGATAGAAGTTGGCTCGGTCTTTGATGTATCCTGCAATGCCTTCGAGGCCCTTGTTCTCAGAGCGTAACAACTCCTCTGATGAGAGTATTAGGCTCCCATCGCAGCCACCTTTCGCACCTTGTGCTTTGTTCCAGGAACCGCACTCGTGGAAAATCAGCCTGATGGCAGCGCGGGCATCTGGATTGCACTGTCCGTCTGACAAGAATTTGGAAGTGAGCTCCTTTGAGATATCATTCCACTTGGATGGACAGCTGCTGCCACCACTCTCACGAGAAAATAATGGGAGGATAGCGGACACATCTGGTAATGAGAACGCGGCGGCTGAAGAAGCCAAGAGAAGAAGGCTTGAGGGATACATGATGATAAGTTTGAAACCGAGTCTCCGGGTTGGTGGCACACTTGGAAAGGCTTATGGAGCTGAAGAACTGTGTAATGAACAACGCAATTAGCGGCCTGCTGTGTGATTCTTATACCTCTTGCTCTCATCAGCTTGGGATGTTGGCGTGGCAAGATCTTTGCAGTACATCATGGATAGCAATCCAGGCATGATCGTTACGCAAGCCATCCGGTACCGTTTCCAGTAGCTAGGACGAGGCGTTTTGACAAAGATGTAGCAGTGGATCGTCGAAGCTGAACCGCATCGGGATTCTTGAACGTTCGACAGGCTAGTCTGCATGGGATCCATAACTCAATGATGCAGGTGGTATATGGAGGCACCAATCGAGGCATGAAACTACTCTTTCGCTACCTGTACAAGGTGCAGGATCATGCACAGACGTGCTGGGCTGATCTCAGCCGTCCTTAGTCATGCAGTCACAGCTGGCATATACCCTGTGTACAGCCACTAGGGCTTGTGAAGCTAGTGGACGGGATGCTGAATGCCACTGTTGAGTCAATCCCAATTGTCCTTGTCCAGCCTTTCGTTCGTTTCAGCTGAGGAGATCAACACACGCTGCATTTGCAGTGCATCGCCTATTCGCTCCAGTGACAAGAGACAGTCCGAAAGGCCTTACACTCCGTATTGCAATCTTTCAATCGACAGGTCAACAGGTTGATCAGGTCTCGGCTCGACAAGTCACTTCCTTATTTCAATCGTCTTCAGGTGAGCGTGCTGTTAAGCGAACAATAAGCAGCGCTAAGTGATGGTGCGGAGTGATACGTGGGGAGAACGGAGACGCCACGATGCACGTCTAGCGTGCGGCTAACTGCCTAGAGTGAGATCGTAGCGTGAAAGTCCGGAGTTGGATAATGCATGCAACCTGATTGGATAGGCGGAGACAACACCGCTCAGAGCATGTACTTCGTACAAGCATTCGAGGATTGCTTGGCATGTAGCTTATGTAGGGTCCAGATGGTGCGCGAAGGTACCAGACTTTTTTTCCGGTGTGCGATGACCTGTCTTAGCCCATTCTGGCTCATGGGCGTGCCGATCATCCATTCTAGTGATTTGAACAGGCTGCCCCATACTAAGAGACATGGCGAACTTGAAGGTAGACTAGAGAGGAGCCTCGCTCTATGAGATCAGCAGGTCACTGCATCCAACCGGTGAAAGATCGAGGAATTCGAGCGTATTCTGAACAAGCCTGTGCTAACCGCAGTAGACCTCAGGCTTGCTAAAGGAAACATGGACATCTAGACACTGATGCCAAGTAGAGGGCTTTGGGGGCGTTCGCTTGGCAGCTCGTGGTGGCATTTCTGAGGCTGCCGTTGAGACAGGCTTATGCTGGCGAGAGACACTTTGTATCGCGGCTCGTATCCTACACCTATAGCTTTGCTTCAGCTGCAGAGAGTTTCTGCAGCCCTCGCTTCAGCTCTTCGGACATTCCGAAGGCGCCTGGTCGGCGACTCTCACGATCCACAAAAACGTGGACGAACTCTCCAACGGCTTTGACTTCCTCTTGCCCACGCTCGAACACACCAATCTCGTACGTGACAGAGCTTTTGCCAAGCTTGTTCACTCGTAGGGCGAGATCCACGACGGCTGGGAACTCCACAGGCGCGAAGTAGTTGCAGGCCGAGTGCACTACCAGACCAATCTGTGCTGAAGTAGGCGGATGCAGTGAGCAGTGCTTGATGAGGTAGGTGTTGACGACAGAATCAAAGCTAGAAACGGTTAGTCGTGTTTCTGCGATGCGTGCAGGGTACGCACAGGAAATAGTAGACACTGTTGTTCATGTGGAAATATTGGTCATTATCGCTCCTTCTTGCCGTTAGTACTCTTTGATGAGACGGGACAGAAGGAGCTACCATCGCGTCCTATACTCGAGCTCGAATTTGTAATCGCTCCGTCTGCGCTCTTTCAGGGCTTCTGAAGCCATATCGCGACGTCTGTTGTGTGGGGAAGCTCGTTGTCGTGGTGTTGACGCGTCCGCGCTTTCGAGATTGCGATGATGATGCTCCGGCTGACGTGAAGATGCCTCGGCTCGTGATAGCCAGGCCAGGATTTTCCTCACACAACTCGCCCCCACCACTTCACCCCGCAGTCGTCCGTCGCTGTCGCCGTCGCCGTCGCGTTGGCGCCCTCTCCCCGAATCCTCGCGTATCTGGCCTCCAAGGGTCGCCTGCCTGGACCGAAGACCTCGATGGCCCTGGTGCCCTCATCGCCGCGCGACAACTATATTCCGCTGCCAGACGACAAATTTCCATGGAAAGAGCCGCCAGCAGTAGTCACAACGCCCTGCGACCCATGGCCGCCGCCATACTACCTTGAAGATGGCCTGCGGAAAGTGAAGCCATACCACTACACATACAACACATACTGCAAGCAAAGATGGAGGGGCAGAGAAATCCTAGACATATTTTCGAGCGAGTTCCGTGACCGCCCTGCTGAATACTACGAGAAGGCCATTGTAGAAGGGCGCGTAGTGGTGAATGGCCAGCCCGTGCCCAGCACTAAGACGACCATAAAGAATGGCGACATCATCTCGCATACGCTACACCGACACGAGCCTCCGTGTACTGCGACGCCAATCGGCATAGTGCATGAGGATGACAACCTCATCGTCATCAACAAGCCTGCAGGAATGCCAGTCCACCCTGCTGGGCGCTACAACTTCAACTCCATCATCGAGATACTGAGAGCAGATCGAGGCTATGGCTGGAATCCGCTGCCCTGTAATCGGCTGGACCGGCTGACCAGTGGCATCATGTTCATTGGAAAGCACAGACAGGCTGCAGAAGACATGAGTGCTCAGATCCGGACGAGGACAGTCAAGAAGGAATACATCACACGCGTTGCTGGCGAGTTCCCGGAAGGAGAGGTGGTCTGCGAGAAGCCTATCCTGCAAATCAGCCCAAAGCTGGGCCTCAACCGTGTGCGCGCAAATGGCAAAGAAGCCTTGACAGTCTTCAAGCGCCTTGCGTATTATCCGCCGAAAGACGATGGCAAACCAGGTGAGGAGCAGGATGTCGAAGAAGGTCCAGATGGCCAGCCTTGGAAGAAGCTGCGTGGCTACTCCATCGTTCGCTGCTTCCCAGTAACAGGCCGCACCCATCAACTGCGCGTCCACCTCCAGTTTCTTGGTCATCCAATATCAAACGATCCCATCTATGCGAACCAGCGCGTCTTCGGCCCGTCGCTTGGCCGCGGCCATTCCGAAACCGAGAACGACGAAGACATAATGACGCGGCTTGCGCGTATGGGTAAGGAGGATATCGCTGATGCTGTTGCATATCACGATGAGATGGTGGAGGCATACAATAAGAGGAAGGCAGAGCGAATGACTGGTGAGACATGCGACATCTGCGATACACCCCTATACAGCGACCCTGGCACGCACGAGTTAGGCATTTACCTACATGCACGCAGATATAGGTGTGAGGAGGGTAAGTGGGATTATGAGACCGGTTTGCCTGATTGGGCGCTGCCGCCGCCAGGTCATCAAGGACCAACTGAGAGCACGGAAGAGAGCGATCCTTTGGCCATTGATCTGAAGAAGCTTGGGATCGATGATGAAGCTGGCTCGGGTGAGGCAGAAAAGGCAGACAAGGTCGTCTCAAAATCATGAGGTTACCGTATGAAACTTTTCGGCATGGATTCGCTATCTACATTCGTCGTATAGATTTTCAAGATACCCAATTTGACTCCGATGCGAACCTTGTCAGCCTTCATGTTCTACCGTGAAAGACGATCTACCCAATAACCTGGCTTACGGAAAAGGTGGGCCTGCGGGAGACGTGACGCTGGGTCGTACTTGCCGCATTTGGTATTGCGTCATCACAACGTGGTGGGGGCAGAAAGCGGGTTGAATACCATACACTATTGCACGCCATTGGACTTCACACGACGTCCTCTGGGTACAATCGCCATTTAGCCGCTGTCTAACCGCCCTAAAGACACTATAACAGTCGGAGACCTAGCACGGTAGCACTGCACGCAAACTTCAGGACTCTCCATCAGAAAAGCTGAACAGACACAATGGCTATCGGCATCGCGATCATCGGAAGCGGCATTTTCGTCAAGGAAGAGCATCTGCCAGCCGTCCAAGCTGTTCCTGAACTAGTCAGCGTAAAAGCGATCTACTCGCGATCGCTCAAGTCCGCCAAATCTGTCTCTGAAAACCTGTCCGATGTCGATCTCTACAGCGACGATTCAGATGGCAAAACCTTTGACGACTTGCTGAAGCGTGATGATATCAAAGGTGTCATAATAGCGTACGTTCACGTGATCCCTTCCCTTTCTTTACCACAAACTAACAAACAGCCAGTCTCCCCATTCCCAACCAACCAGAATACATCAAGAAAGCCCTCGCAGCCGGGAAACACGTACTCGCCGAAAAGCCCGTAGCCAAAGACATAGCCACGGCAAAGGACCTTCTCGCATGGACCAAATCCACATCCAACACAAAATCCGTCTACAGCGTCGCTGAAAACTTCCGCTTCCTCGACTCCTTCCTCTACGCCGCCAACGCCATCTCCTCCCTAGGCCGCGTGCTAACTTTCCGCGCCCGCGTCGCCGCATTCGTCGCGCCGGGAAGCAAGTACTACGAAACTTCGTGGCGCAAGGAACCCACGCATCAGGGTGGATTCCTGCTTGATGGCGGCGTGCACTTTGCTGCTACGATAAGGCTGATGTTGAGTGGGGCGGGCGAGAAGATTAAGACGTTGAGCGCGTTTACGACACAGTTGCAAGAGCATCTTCGTCCTGTGGATACCATGAACACAACTCTTTTGTTGACTGGTGGATCGTCGGGAACGTTTGCTGTTTCGTTTGGGACAACGGATAAGGGGTCTGAGTACCTCGTTGCGTGCGAGGAGGGGAGCGTGCATGTTAGTATGGGGAAGGTAACTGTTAAGAAGTGCGGGGAGGTTGTGGATGAGAAGCACTTCAAGGATGAGGGGGGCCGGTGTGAAACAGGAGGTTAGAGCGTGGGCGGAGAGTTTGAACAGTGGGAAGTGGAGAACGGAACAGAGTGGTGAGGCTGCATTGGGCGATTTGGAGATTATTGAGATTGCCTTGAAGAGCGGCGAGCAGGGCGGGAAGCCGATTGTGTTGCAGCATCAGTAGACGACGTACGGTTATGTACCTGACATGCAGATTCCGTCTTCTGTGCAAATATCCGTTCTTTCCACCAAGATACTAGTTGTATCATCCACACCTTTGCCTTTCTGCAACTCTCCAGCTTGATGCCAGATGCATTTTCCACACTCGACCTTTCAACCACCTCCCACACCCCCGACAACCCCATCAAGTCCTCGGAAACCACATCCCCAACAACATGCCCCTAACAATTGGATTCCCCGCAACAATCCTCGCCTTCTCCAGCCCGCCCGTCTCCACCGCCGCATCGCAAATTCCCTTGTACGCCTTCAATCGGTCGCTTACCTTTTTCTTCTCGAATCGGCCGTCCGCTGCCGCGACAGCCGCCTGGAGATCCAGCACGTACGCGTGGTAGAAAGCCAACGTGTCGGTATTCGCCGGCGCTGTGAGGAGCCTATGCTCGAAGGTGAGTACGCGCGCGAGCTCGAGGCCGAAGGCGAGAATGTAATCGTCGGTAGAGATGTTGGTCCAGGTGGTGTACTATGCGTTAAAGTATATCTATGAATGTGTGGTGCGGGGCGCGGCTTACGGTGAAATCCTTGGGGGAGGTTTGGATGGCTTCGAGAGTGAGGTCGCGGAGCTGCTTGACTGGTTCTTTTGCTTCGTTGGCGAAGAGGCCGGATTTATCGATGAAGGCTTGGTGGATGGGAGTTTGGCTGTCGCGAGCGTGATCTTTGCTGGTAGTTGGCGCCATGATGCTGGGAAAACGCCTGGGTTTGGTCGATTTGTGGTGCTTTGGTCGTGGTGTTTGTGGGTAAGATGAAAGATTAGGGAAGGGTGCAAAGGCGTTTGCAAACGGAGCGTCATGGTAGAATATGTTTTCCTCACTTTGAGTGCGCTGTTGTTAGGGCAACGAGGCGAGTGAAAGTAATTCCTCGATTATTTCTTCTTGAATAACAGGTTGCACTTCATTCACTCAATATAATGAAATACCCAGATATATTTCGTCTGCAAGTGTGGATAATTTGATGGCCTTGGCATTCATAGTCCGACATATAGGTAATGACAACGCAAGGTCTCATCAGTTGCCAGCAGCCAACCTCCAGCAAACATTGATCAATGCCGCAGTCGCACCAATATGAGCGAAAGTCCTCGGCACAGCAATGTTAGTGAGATAAGCCGGGTAATGTACCAGTAGTTTCGCAATGACGTGGAAGCCCAACAAGTTGACAATCTGCGGGTCCGTAGGCGCAATGACTTGGGACAGCGCCGCAGCGAGAGCAAACGCTACGTTTCGGTCAGCATGAAGGTTCGTCTAAAGCTTCTAGACTTTTGATTTACCTGGGAAGTTCTCCATCAAAGCATAATGCGCACTTCGCAGCCTCAGCGGCAACCCATCCAATTCGCCAACATGCTTCCTTGGATGCTCGTTGTCGAACCCGTCTTCGCGGCCCATGGCTTGTCCAGCGGCTGAAGCAGCACCGGATGCTCCGAAGGTCCAGAAGAGGTACAGAGCTGACAGAGCTGGAATGGCGCGACCAGAAGTTATAGCCGTGGTCTACACATCAAGTCAGCAACGGTGAAAAGGTATGGGAACATCTGCTAGAACATGATGTGAAAGTGCATGTTACGATTGTGGAGCGGTGGAGCACTTACGCCGACGCCTGGAAGGAGTTTGACTAAAGCATGTGTCAAAGACTGGACAATGCTGTCTGGCTTCGTGAGAAGCGATCTGTATCACGTGTCAGACAGAAATCATTCATGTTATGGGTTTTCTGGCACATACGTCACGGGAATGAGCGCCAGGTACATCGGCGCGGCGGCCAGGATGGCAACTCCGGAAGGGTTCACCCTTTATGAAAGCATCAGCACTACTATGAACGTGATTCGTCCTCGTTACAACTTACACGCCATTTTCGGCAGCTACGCGCTTCGCTTGTCTCTTCTTGTCGTCGGCCATGATGTTTTTGATGACTTATAGATGATGTTCGAGATACGGAGATGGATGAAGTCGCGCTGTTGTAGTTGAGATGTTCACATATAGCTGAGCACTAACTGATGACGTCTCCGGAACGTGCAGATGCGGACATGCAGGCATCTTGTGGATTGGTCCGGTGCTCTCGGCTACCAGCAATCCGGGCGGGTGAAGTGGCCGGACTAGTCTAATTCCAAATGGTGTGAGAGCGGGGTAGTGCCCAGTTGTTGACCACCACTACTGCAACTATCCCATACATGCTGGGAACGATGATAAGCCGCGACAGGGTAAGTGGTTTTTTGTTGGAGTTGGTGAATCTTCATGTTTATCGAACCTCTCAAGTTTGTTCACTGTTGGGTTTGATTAAACAACCGTCCAGTTTGCTACGCTACCAACATAGCTTCACGTTTGCTACATCACATCAGAGTGCTGTTGCATGTAATGATTATTTATGCTGAGGGTCATAAAAACTTCATACGAAAGTAAGCTCTACAACTCCACCAGGACATTGATCCCAGTCAATCTATGCAGACGTCTTGAGAGCCAGAATCTTCTGCGCAGCACGCTCTGCAGCTACCATGATCGCACCCGTTGGATTACCTGTCGTCATTCCAGGGAATATAGACGCATCCACGACGAACAAGTTGTCAGTCTATCAAAAGGTGTTAGCGTCAAGATCCGCATACATCTTCAACAAAATGCTTACCCCGTATACTTTGGTGTCGAGGTCCACGACAGCTTTACCTCCAGCGCGTCCGTCGTCTTCGCCAATTGTGCAAGAGCCCATCCAGTGGTTCGATCCTCGAGTACCGGTGGTGGCTGGCAACTGCGAGATAGTCAATATATGGGCGATGCCCTATCAAAGGTCAAGAATGAGTGACTTACCAAGTTCACGAATGACGATGTCGTCTGATTGACCCCCGGGACAACCCAAGTCAGATCTTGGACCTTGCTCAGGACACCTCGAATGTAATCGATAGATTGGACGACCGCAGCTTTGTCGTTGGCATCGCGTAGATACGGTGCCGTGAGTACTCGTGTGCTAAGGGTCGGGGTGATGCCCATGCGACCGCGAGAAACGGTGCCCGTACCGAGATACTGGGTAATGGTCATAGACGCTGCGGATATGTAAGCAAGAGATGGTTGTTGATGCATGAATGGATCTCACTATTCGTACGACCCTCAATACGTGCTTGGTATTGGATGTGCCGTACTCTGCCATCTGCTCCCTCGATCTGCTGCCAGAAGATCGGGCCAAGGTTTGGCGCTACCTGAGCAAGGATACCACTTCGATTCGCTGCGCAGTGTTACTAAGGGCTCATGAGAGAAGGGAAATAATGGTCTTACTCAGGTATGCCTGCTTGTCACTTTCGATTGGGTTGTTATATGCGCTATAGAAGTTGTAGAACACGATACTAGGATGCGCGATCTGGATATCGGTCTATGTGGGCATGTCAGTATTACTTCCGAGCATGAAGACTCAGGCATGTCGTTGCTTACACCAACGTGGTCATCGAGGTTGTAACCAACGGGAAGATTGATCCACTGGTCAGAGGAAATCATCGTGGCTCCATCGGTAGCCGAGTTCTGGACAATCTGCAGCTGATCTGTTGGGCCAATACCGCCTAGACAAATTAGCCCATAATTTTGAATCTCACGGAATAAAGCTTACTGCGGAAGAGAATCTTTGGGGTACCCATGGTGCCTGCTGACAACACCACGCGACCAGTCGTAGGCTTGACCTTGACAATGCCATAATATCCTTGACCCACAGCACCTCCTTGAGAGCATTCGACTTCGACACCTGTGACATGGCCGCCCTCTCTTACGACCCTCCTAACATTGGTGTTAGTCCAGAGATGGAACTTCTCACGCGCCATGGCCATGACCAGGTATGTTGCCAAAGGTCCGTGGCGCTCGGCGTTCTCGATAAAGAACGTGCTGTGTCCGAAGGTATGATTCTTCTGATCCGGATGGTCATTCGGAATCACATTCTTGAAGCCTGCAGCTTCCAGACCTTTGGCTACAGTTTCGAAGCCTTGTTGGAGATACAGCTTTCCATCTCGTGAAGGATTGATTGTCTATCGCACATGTCAGTATCGATGCTCTTTCTACGGTTGCATGAACTTACCCCAGGAATCAAATCCCACACTTTCGCGATGAGACTCTGCATGTCCGCGCTCTTCCAGCCAGTTGGGAAGTTGACATCGAAGTCGCTGGGGTGCGGCTTCCAGTAGAGCGCCGAGTTGACCGCTGTACCACCTCCGAGCACGCTGTAGAATTGACTTCAGTATGGTCCAGTTGATGATATTTGAGAACCCATCTTCTCTGAGAACTTACCAGCCTGCCATTACATCGTAGTCATCGCACGCTACGCCTTTTGGATCTCTCCAGATTTGATTGAACAGGCCCGGCACGTCGAAGCGAGTGAGATTGGTGCCTTCAAGCCATGCCGGCTTCATGGTGCCATTAAATCGTCCGCTGGAAAGGGGGCCTCTCTCAATCATGAGGACTGAGTTGCCAGCTTCAGCTAAACGCTCTGCGACAGGCATGCCGCCAGCGCCGGATCCTACCACAATGTAGTCATAGGTCTGATCGTCTACCGGAAGACAGTTTGGGTTAGATGAATTTTGACCGTAGGCTGATTGTAAGAGAGAGGCTACAAAAGCGAGGTTCGCAATAATGCGCGACATGATGTGGAGATAGACTTTGTTGACCTTGCAGATGATCTCAGGATAACACGACGGTTTATAGCACTATTCATGCTCGGTGTGATTCTCCTCGGTCATACAAGCCAAGATCCAAGTTACACACGTAGATTGACTACCCTAGCTTTTGTGGGGTAAGCCAGATTAAAAGTGACCAAGTGCCGGCCGCGTCGCGTGGCCGAGCACTATACCTCGGTGCTGGTGAAGGGTGCTGCAACCACTCAGAACTGTGGCTGAGATCGTACCAGGTTGCAGCTGCCTCATCTAGCGAGTAGTATACGGTGTACCCCTGCACGTCTAGAGGGCTATTGGAGTCCGTCCACTTGCTCGATTATTCCGTATCACGCCTCATGATATTTTTCTCGTGAAACGTACGGCAATCAAAAAATCGGGCCTTCGGTCGCTGCTCATACGTGGGGAGAACATGCGGAGGAATTAAAACCCATGGGCGCATCAATTCTTTCCGAGGCTGGCTGTAGGAGCTCGGGGCCGTTCCGATATTTCCTTCGTTGGCATAATTTTAGAAGATTGTGAGTTCGTGCGCCGCAGGTCTCGTCCGATAGCGTGTGACACAATATCTTCTGCTTGACGTGAATCATGTTTTGTACTGGTAATACGGGAATGCTGAGGAATGGTATGCTTTTTCTTTTTCTTAGTCACAAGAGAAGTAGTAACTTGGCGGCTTATTCTTAATCTACTGTTTCCTTTAATCGTAAAATGCGGTGGTTAGATACTTCTAATTATGATTGTCTACGCTCTTCTAGTCAAAATTGTGGCCTCGACAAATGAGTATAGTTACCTTACTCATTGTGAGAACTTACTCAACCCGGAGACGCCGCAGTGTGGGAAAAGGGCCGATGCAGAAACTCAATGTCCTCCAATTTCTGACATGCATGGCGCAGCGAATATCCATGAACATCCTCCTGCTCGTATTTGCAACAAATGCATGGGACATTTGTAAGTGTATCCGATAGGTTGTGTGATGGAGAGGGCAAAGGCACCACCGCGTCAATGCGGTTAGCCAGGGGCTGTCAGTGGCTTCCGTCTAGCGTCGAATCTCTTCGGTGACGCGAAATTCGCGCTGACGCAGTTCTCAGCCTCCAAAGATGCACAGGACGCGACGGGATTTACTCTGGTACTCATGCTGTAAAGACTTCGAGGCTGGATGACTAAATCAATCCATTGCCAGCGACCCATTACGTACAATTACGACCTCCAGTTCGATGAAATACACGACGAGTTCCAATGCTTGATGCAGCATGTTGTGCAGACCTTTGCGACATCCAACTGAGCGAGTCTGAGCTCTGCAATCAAAACGTATCGCTTTCTACTGCACAAGACGTACCTCGGCCATGAGCACAAGCGCGGCCAACGCCGAGCTCGTGGGGGCAGACAACACCCTTGTTGATAATTCACCGAGACCGACAAGAACCACCAGGGATGATGCCGAGTCATCTCAAACCATTCTTTTCGAAGACCATCGGGGCGAAAATTACGTCTGGCCCTTTGAGCTATGTCGCACATATGAGGTATGTATGACCAGAGAATGTTTCATGACAGCATTAAATGAAACCAGGCTATCAAACCACTCATTGAAGAGGTCTATGTCTCTCATGGCGATGCTTATCATCTCAGCGAAGTGAGAAATGGAAACTATGACATTGAAACCGATGGTGCAATCATCCTCCCATCAGTCTGGGGCTTCGTCGTCAAGCCCTCCAAAAACATCAAAATCTCCTTCCGGCGGGATGACATCCTGAGACGACAGTCTCTGCCGGAGAGCAACGAAGGAGAATGGGACCCCATACCACAAGATCAATTTGCAAATGTGCGTGGGCCCGAACTGAGGCGACGATCATCACCGGATCGCACCCAAGGTCAATGGCGCCACATCCATCGGACTCGGTTCGACAATGTGCGCACGTCCGAATTTTTGCGACCACGTGAATATGTTGAAGAGGTCACTATTGACGTGGACACCCAGCATGTTCGAGCATCCAAGCCTCACACTCCATCTCGATCCGAGGAACGCCTATCGATCGGCGAGGATAATCAGAGTAGCGAATCTGATTCTGACGCCGATTCTTTGATTTCCACGTCTGATCAGGGTAACGGCTTCGCCCAAGATGTTGACAATCTCGAGATCATCCGAGAAGTTCCTCCAATCGTTGATATCGACGGAAACAGAATTTCATTTGCTGTCGACACCTCCAAGCTCTCCCAGTCACTTGTAACTCACGGAAACATTGAACGAAACAGGTGCGATGAGAGACAGCTGCGGGAGAAAGAGCATACTGGGCAAGGGTCTCTCGAGAAATACAAGATCACAAAGGCAGTTATGGGTGAAATAGATGGCCGAACTGTCATCCAGATCTATACACTACCAGGACCGACCAACCCTAAACTACACAATGGTGTGCAAATAACATGGCATCATATGCATTCCCCGCAACTCAGCTGGGCCCGCTTCAAGGACCTCTGTCTGGAGTTGCCGGACCTATCTGGTCGCCTCAAACTACTCACTAGGGAGGCTTTCGCTCGAATTGAGAGACACAAAGTCAAGGCATTCCTCGACGGCTTCTTCATAGAACCGGGAACTGTCCTGAGGACCATTGAAAAGTGTCAGCCTGATCCGCAAGCCGTCATATTCAGCTGCATACCTTACCTTGAGCTTGAGCAACCGCATGTACCGCTTCTGCAGAAGTCGGGAGACCGGCTCTTTCCACCTCGAACGCTGATGCAAGCGATGTATCCATACGAGCCAGTTCGAGATAGAGACTCGGAACAAGCCTATCGTAAGTTAGGAAATGGTCGAGGCAGTGATCTTGTATATGTACCCAACCTTTGGATGGTGAATATAGGAACTGGCATAGTCGTCACGTGTGGGCACCGACCTCTCGCGGACGAAATGGTAAAGTCGATCGGAGTTGTGAAGGAAGACCTGAGTCAATTAGGAGCCGCTGATGTTGCGAAGAACTCTTTGACTACCGTAAGATTTATTGATCGAGAGGGTCTCGTATATCTCTACACTCTTGAGTCTTGTAGATCGTATATCCAAATGGAAACGAGATGGAGGTCCCATGGCACGCCGGAATCACGAATATCCGCAATCAAGTGGAACTCTCCGGCAGGTGGAAGACTAGTCACGGCCAGCAATTGGAGGACCATCATCAAACGAACGGATCTCCTTTCGATTGATCTGGAATCTGCCGAAGGGACTTTGACGGCATCTACGATCGAAGAACCCGGGATCAATCATTCGAACACCAGTGGCTCGGTACCGCCTTTCTTCATCTGGTCACCTGCTGATGGCTACAAGTCCATCCTGGCAACTTCGGACCCGCAGGGTGGAGTATCAATCGAAGCTAGGCATGAGAGTCTATGTCTTGAGTATGCGGAGAAGAGCATGATGAACGAAACTTTAAGCAAATATGACACTACCAATGTAGTGGACAAAACCTTTGCTTCGACGACGTACTATCAGTCTCTCCCTGAGGGCACGCATGAGCATGTCAGAGCACAACTTCAGTCGTTATGCTCCGAAAATGTGCGGGCAGAACAGGCTCCGGCCAGTCATGAAAGCTCTCATGCTGCCGTGATCGCAACCCAATGCACGGACATAGTGGACAAGGCGGACATGTTTTGCGGAATTGTTCAAGCGACCTTCTCACTCTTCGTGAGCGACACTGACAATAGCAGCATCTTGCGAAAAGTTTGGAGTGCAATGGAAAACATTCACAAGTGGGCGGTAAAAGTGCGAACGCGTGGTGCAGTGGGGGGAAGTACATCCGAGCCCGCGGACTCTGGGATCCGGCATCGTCGGATGGCCAATTCTGGTTGGTACATCAGAGGTGGTCAAGAAGGATCAGTCCTCTTACCGGAAGCTGATAAGAAGCTGAGACGTTCGATTGAGCGTTGTCGGCGATGCACGAGCACGGCTCCCTTCGAAAATGCTGAAACTGCAATCACACACTTGCGAAGCCATTCGAAATCAGCCTCGTCAGAAGCAAAAGGGTCGTCCGACGTAAAGGTATCCGTGCCAGCGAAGAGTGCTGACAAGGCCAACCTCAATGACTGGATCATCCACGCAACACAATTCGAACGCGAAAAGTCGAATGCTGGTGGACTTAAGATACTCACACAAGCCTGCGGAGATGCACTGGATCTACTCGAGCGAGGAAAGGGACTTACCGATGGTGTCAAGAATGAGGATGGCAGCAAGTCAGACTTGTACACCTTCCCGCGGGAACTACTCGAGGCTTTTCGAAAGCTCATCGTATTCTACCTGGCAGTTGAGCGAGCTCTGTACTACACCGAAAAATCATACCAGAATGTCGAAGATACCATGAACGTAGAACGCGAACTACCGTACTCCGAAGAGGGCCTGAGAGTACTGAAAAGATTTGCTCAGGGTGTCGATAATTCTCTCCTCCTTGCTCGATCAGAGCTATGCTCCATGGTAAGACCTGAGATTTCGACGGACCCTATGCACAACTTGGAGCTGGGGCCAGAGTATGTTTGCAGCTGGCTCATGAGAAGACTGATGGCCAAGCCGCTGGAGAAGCGTATGTCGATCGGTGACATATACCGGGAATACCTATCAACTATTGTGAGTACTGCGCTCGGGCGTTTGAGCACATTTGATCTAACTTGCCTCAGCAATTTCAAGTCAACCATCGTCCGGGTAAAAGGCTCATCCGCGATCTGAATCTACTCCAGGAAGAGCTACAAGTTCTCGCCATGATCAACAAATCGCAGATGAACGTTGTACACAACTATATGCGCGTCCTCGACGACACGACATATGAGATCGACGTGCCAACTCGTCGTGCCATGTTTCCTTTAGAGCGCATGCTTCTCCAGTCCTCTCTCGAGAACCTTGCTCTATCGCGCGAGGAATACGACGACCTGATAAGACGCAGCGGACCACTTTCGGATCAAACAAAACAGAGCTTGGAGATATACGAAGAAGACCATGGCAAAGCCATCACGGCATTTACCGTCGTGACCGTCATCTTCCTGCCCCTATCTTTCGTTACCTCATTTTTCGGCATGAACACCGTTGACATTCGAGACATGACTTCCGGGCAAAGTTTATTCTGGGCCATTGCTCTACCACTTACGTTCATCACTATCGGAGCAACCGTTCTCATCGGCTATAACGGCGACACATTGCGTGACATCATCGCTAGTGTGTACTATCGTATCATTGGAAAGCAGGACAGCAGCATATCGGCTCGCGGCATCAGCGTGGCTCAACGAAAGCGCGCAAAACAACTCCAGCAGGACGAGAATAACTCGCTCGACACGAGTCTCGCCGACGAAGCAGAATATGCAAGGCCTCAACCGGTAGCCATCTTGGACGAGCGATACGACACCGGATACGTTCCACACACAACATATACCGAGGCGATTGAGCCCATAGCTCACATCCGGAAATCGGATCCTTACGTTCCAACAACTGATGCCTGGTTCCGAACGCAGCGGCTCAATACCGCACCCATACCGCCACGGATAGCATCACACGAGCCAGCGCGACGGTACGGTGCGCGTCATGTGCAAAGATCTTTCAGTTACCACGATGACGGACATTATACGGGAAGGGCAGGACGTGCACCGGCGGTCCATTACTATGATGACATCGTTCGGCACGATGGTGGTGGTGTCTTGCAGGATGACTACAGTTGGCATAAGAAGGGTAGACATCGGCATGTTGGCGATGAGCCACACAGAAGGCGGTGAAGGGTGCACGGCGCGAGCGATTAAAAACTTCTACACTTTCTTTGGATCATCGCAATCAAAAGGCAAGACAGGGTAAATACAGAGCCATTACTCCGAAAATTGCCGTCTTATTCCATTCGCGTAGAACACTTCTCATCATTATAATCAGAAGTCGTTCTTCACGTAAGTGGCCCTTCCTTCAAGCTCTAATTTGACAATCAACTATGCAACACAATCTCGTGATACTGTACTCTTTCGCCATCCTGCATCCGGAAGACAGGCTCTCGCTCGACTTTGAACATTTTACCTCTCCTAGCGCCGAAGCGCGGCAATACATACCGAAAACAGAGCCAATAGAGCATGCCGCAACGAAGCTGTGTCGACGAAATTACTCCAGCAACATACCAGGAAAGCCAGTTATAAGGCCGTACACCCTGCCTGAAGAACTAGTGGATGGAATAAAGACCGCGACGAGAGGGAAGCCGTTGGCCAAAGTATATATGGTTGCGGCAAGAACGCTGAGCCAAGAAGGCATATGTGATTTGGTAGACCATTCCGTAAAGTATCACGATGGCCATAATGAAACTAGGCACAATGTCGCTGAGGTATACGTGGAGGTTGCTGAGTATCCTGTACGCGGATGCTGGTTTTTCCGACCACGTGAGGAGTATCAGCACAACAGCAGACATCCAGTGAAGGAATAGTTCCCCGAGTGGAGTAGGCTCAAGCTGACCGGAACTAATCTTGGAGCGCCATCGACCGAAAAGAGTTCTATTCTCCCGGAACAACTTGGCGAACGGTATGATGCCCTCTTTGGCAATCTCTTGTTTGAACTTGGCCACAGTAAACGTCATTCCAATTATGTTGCCGAGGCTGCTTATCGTCGTGAAGACAGTCAAGGCGGGTTTGGCGTTACTGGATCCTATCACATTGACTATAAACTGGAGAGCTATGTCGCTTGAGTAATTGCTGTTCTTTGCTGACCACAGCCATCTGCAATTCAAAGTCATCTACAATTCAAAGTCAGCTTCTGCAACGATCAGGCACCCCTTTGTTGGCCACTCGGTATTATGCCAGCAGCGGCTTGAACAGCTGGAATCTAGCAGCACTTGAACAGCATTGGTCAGCAATTGATGCTGACACGGTGAAAGTGCAAAATATGTACTAGCTGCGAATAAGCTTTGCCAATGAAGAAGAGCGCATCAGGTTCAACAGCAATGTTGCCGACCTTGTTCGTATACACATTGCGCGAATGGATGACTACTGCAAGAACTTGAAGTTTGTGAGAGGGACGCGAATTCTCACAACGGCGGCATAGCCACGAACAAACATTGGGATCAACACCTATGATAACGTTGGTAATTCGTATCGGTTTTATTGGTGGGTGCAGAGCTTGTGCGGTTCTATACATCGGGGCGCCAAACATATAACGGCTTCTTGCTAACCACCACGCATGCCACATCCTCCACACAGAGACTCGGCATCAGTGTTCCGGTGACCACAAGAGCATTTCCAGTCCGTCATGATCAATTCTTGCTGGTACCAATTCGGCTTGTGAGATAATCTTCATAACATCAGCACCACATCTTCCCATCAGTTCAAAGTGCTTACTTGTTCTGAACGCTGGGTGTATATCGGTCCGGATTTCGAGTATCAGGGTATGGCTTTCGGTTTATTGTACCGCTTTGACTCCGTACTACCTCAGCTACATATACACAAACGGGAGATAGAGTTTGGCCAAGACGTTCGTATCGCTATCGCCCACGTGTGGCGAGATAGCCAGTAGGATAAAAGGGAATAGAACTGAGGCGACCAATGGCGATGAAACATGTATGTGCCATCCTAAGGACCGAGCTGTATGCTCGTGTATTCAGCGTGACATCAGGAGAAGCTTCATTCCGATCGATTGGGTATGCTGCGCGTAGTGTGGTGCATACTGGAGTAGAAGTGATCGTTGTGTATACGGTTCTGCTCAGGCAGTACACGTCATTGTAGATTGAGTGAGATGGGTGAACACGATTCTGGTGGACGTAACACTGATCTATGCAGACAATTGATTGAAGAGGATGTACTCGAGATCAATTGCGGAATCGTAGATAATCATCCTCCCTTCCTGTACCTGGCGCTAAACCCTACCTCGGCGTGACGTAACCTCCCGCCCCGCGATGAGCCCCACCCGCACAAAAGTTCACCACCCCGACAACACGTCGCACACCCACTCCCACAATGGCCGCAGCTACAGCAACAAACCTCGACGCGCCGTCGCAAACCACGCCACAAGCTGCAGATGCATCCACAAGCACGCAATTCGCCCCCGTCAACATCGGCACGCGCAACTCCACCCTCGCGCAGATCCAAGCCCGCGCCGTCGCCGCCGCATTGAAAAGCGCGCATCCCGAGAGGACTTACAACATCTGCCCAGTCGTGGTGGAGGGCGATCGGGACAAGATCACGCCTCTGCAGCAGTTGAGCCAGGGCGAGAATGCGAAGAGCCTGTGGACCGGGGAACTGGAAACGATGTTGGAGAAGGGGGATTTGGATATAATTGTGCACTGCCTGAAAGGTATGTTTGGCATTTAGAGAGGAAGTGGGGAGGGCAGTGCTAATTGCTGGTGGTAGATATGCCCACCCAACTCCCCGACAATCTCGAACTCGGCGCGATTCTGGAACGTGAGGATCCGCGCGATGCGCTGCTGATTTCTCCGCGGCTGCCGGGGGATACGACGCTTGCGACGCTGCCTCAGGGCGCGACGATTGGGACGTCGTCGGTGAGGCGTGCGGCGCAGTTACGGCGGCTGTATCCGCATCTCCAGTTTGCTGATCTGCGCGGCAATGTCGGAACACGGTTGGGCAAGCTGGACAAGGAAGACTCGCCGTACTCAGCCATCATACTGGCTGCCGCTGGACTGCGACGTATGGGGCTAGAAAGCAGAATCACGCAGTACCTGGACAGTGCGACGGGAGGCATGTTGCATGCAGTTGGCCAAGGCGCGTTGGCAATTGAGATCAGGAAGGACGACGAGACGATGAAGGCATTGCTGAACAAGATTGCATGCGAACGTACGACACGCGCGTGCTCTGCTGAGCGAGCGCTACTACGAGCATTGGAGGGTGGATGCAGTGTACCCATTGGCATCGAGACATCATGGCGCGGCGGCAAGGGTCTAGCAGTTGGTGCACAACCAGCGAAAGACTACGACAAGCACGGCAACGCAGTCGAAGAAGCCGAACCCGATCTCGATGACCAAGAGCTGGTCATGAAGACGATGGTAGTCAGCGTAGACGGCAAAGACGCGGTTGAACACGACGCAGTGCGAAAAGTGCGGTCGAAAGAAGAAGCGGAAGAGATGGGCCGTGAAGTCGCTAAGATATTGATTGAGAAGGGCGCGGATCAGATCTTGAAGAAGATTAATGTGGAGAAGCAGTGGGCGGCGAAGAAGCAGCTGGAGGAGCTGAAGGCGAAGACTGCATCGTGAGTGACCAATGCATAGAGAGGGTATATATATCCATAGCATCTGTGGACATCCATGCATAGCGAATGTGTAAGACACCTGGCATCTCCCTCGTCCCAGTTGAAACGTGTGCGACTGCTGCCCTTGTAGCAACAACACTTGCTGCGGCAATATTAAACTCAATGAGCCACTACTGCATATGACGCACCCAAGGCAAGACCCTGGTTGTTCTGCCTTAGAGCTGATGAACTGCAGTGCTGGTTCTCTTCAGTTGGACCCGTCTCTCTTCAATCCGTGTGCAGCGTAGAGCGCCAGTCTCGCTGCGTACTATTTGAGGCACAGACTGATTGAAGTGATGTAGCTGGCAAATATGCCGTCTCCAACGGCCATCTAATCGGCATGCATGTCCGGGTCCAGGGTAATAATCTTGCTATGCGGATATGGTCGATGCGAGCTGTCCATCGCGAAGGGCATACCGCCCAGCCCAGAATTCTTCCACGATGTCTCAAACCAGGCTTCTCTATGTCTTCTCTTCACCAGCTGGCATTCAACATCTCCAAGAGCTGCTATTTCGACGCCACGGCTGTACCACGTTGAGGAATCGATCTCGTACACCCATAGCACAGCGACCCGCCAGACACAGCAGCCGCATCATCGGCTCCACCATGCTGGTCCCCACCCCAGCCATGAATGCCGAAGCGCCCGTCGGGAACAGGCATGCCACACAGACTGCAACGTGGGTTGGAAGTTGCACCCGTAGGCACCTCGAGCTTGCCGGTCGTACGGACGACGTTGGATACAATACTGGGAAAGTTTTCTTCGACGGATTCAAAATATTGCTTCATCAGGTCGTCGATAGTAGTGTTCTTGGAGCTCATTGATGCTTGCGTCGCGCCGGATTGTGGTTCGTAGACGAGTGCTGATAGTGCGGGCTCGGCTAGGTCGACGTAGGAGAATAGTTCCTTCTTTAGCACGTCGCGTAGGGGGTAGTGGAAGTTGATGTCGAAGGGCGATTTGCCATCGGATATCTGCCAGGGGAGGGAGAAGCCACGGCCTTTTGCGGTCTCGGCTAAGGTCTTCTCGGCCAGCCTGGTTGTACTGTCGCCCCAGAGGATGCTTTCGCATCCGGTCTGCTTAGCATGTTCCACGATGAGCCTGGTTCGTAGCGTAGTTAGGACGTCCGCGCGAGCTGTAGCTGAGGTGAGAGACGCTATCAGCGATGTGAGCTGTTCCTGTGTGCTGCACACTTCCTGAACTTGCGATTCTGGCAAAAAAGCTCTTAGAGATGCGTCGTCTGGCAATAAGCGGAACACGTCGTGGAGTGGCAAAGAAGCGTAGTCGTGGTTGGCATATCGCTCACGGACCTTGTCTAATCGTGCAGGATCTAGAGAGCCTTCATCGACGACCAGGACACTTATTGCAAAGCCTGTACGATTAGTTTTGCTTCTTTGTGTGTTCAGATGCAGATCAAGAATGTGGAGCAGAGTTGTTGATGAGACACCGTGCGAGAGGGGTAGCAAAATCTTGCGCTGCTGGTCTGGAGAAGCAGCAAAGTTCACACGAAAACTCTCCAACCGCTTGATGGCTTTGGTGTGCACGTATCGTGCAAAGCAGTCACTATCGAAATTTAGTATGATGAATCATGCTTCAAGAGTGCACTGACTGGCAAATTGGCTTCGCGCGTACCACCAAAATAGAAATGTTTTCCTTGCACTTCTCGCACAGCTCGCTCGTCGCACTGTCGCTATGTTTGCCAGGCATGGTGTCGTGATGTGTTACTTGTGCTGCCCGCGGCGGTCGTGGCCAAAAAAAGATGACTGGGGTGCAGTCGCCCTTCTCGGATCGTGGTGGCACAGCCACCGCTAAGGGCGGCGCTAATGTTAGCTGCCGCCTCATGCTTCAGGGCTGCGACCAACGTAAGTGACGCGCAACGGACATCCCAAATCGTCCTGACAACCTTGTACACATTCTAATGGGGGAGTGAAAGGAGCAATACTATCCTCCAGACCCTTCACCGACACCCGCCCGTCCGAGGTGACACGACACCACCACCGTCAGCACTGCAAACTGTCCTCAAGCCTCGGAGAAGCATGAAGTCCGCGCGGGCAATCGCGCTGCTGTTACTGTCTGCACTCACAGCAGTAACAGCGATAGATGTCGTACTAGTATGGTTGCGCGCTTTCCGCTGCGATTTCATAGCTAACATGCCAGTAGAATCAAGGTGATGGCCAGAAATGCTCGGGCATGTACAGCAAGAAGTCGTGGGGAGGCAAGGTTGACCCGTTCATACTGGTCAAGTTCCGGAAGAATGGCGACAAGAACGCAGGCATTCAGGATCCCACAGTTGGCGTGGTTATATGGGAGTGGAAAGACTCCATGCTGCTAGGGAAGCCCTCGAATATGCCCGTGGGCGAGGTATGTCAGAGTCGCAGCAGTCAAGGCTGAAGATACTGACACCAAGAAGCGCCAATACATTTGCAACGACGACACGATTGACTCGAAACTCTGCAATGCCACCCACAAAGGCGAGTGGATCCTGTCCGACGACGCCGACACCGTCTCCATGATGCACATCCGAACCGATGCGATAAACCTAAACGACCCCAAGCCCATCAACTACCCGGTTGGAGGCGGCGAGAGAAAGCTAGGGCTGAAAACGGGATACTACTGCGTCGCAACCGCAAGCTATGTCGACAACATCGAGTACGAGGCTATCGTAACGTTCCGCAACGCGTACGGCGAGCTACCGGCTGCACAGATCCCGAAGCTACCGTTCTACGGCGGTATCACCATTGTATACTTTGTTGTCTTGGTATTCTGGGGCTTTCTCTACTTTCAGAACAGGCACGACATACTCGCGGTCCAGAACTACATAACAGCTATTCTGGTCTTTTTGGTTGTCGAGATGCTGATGACATGGGGCTTCTACGATTACCAAAACCGCCACGGTAACAACTTGGGGGCCAAGGTGCTCATGGTTGTGGTCGCTGTTCTGAACGCCTTCCGCAACTCCTTTTCGTTCTTTTTGCTCTTGATTGTCTGTATGGGATATGGTGTCGTCAAGCCTTCACTAGGCAAGACCATGACCATTGTGCGATGGCTCGCTGTTGCACATTTTGTCTTTGGCGTCATCTACGCCGTAGCCTCGCTCACTGTGCGACCAGACGACGCAGGGCCGCTTGTTCTGCTTGTAATTCTGCCTCTATCTGCCACCCTCACAGCCTTCTACATCTGGACGCTGAACTCGCTGAACTTCACAATGAAGGACCTCATTGATAGGAAGCAACATGTCAAGGCAACCATGTACAAGCGGTTATGGTGGTGCATCCTGACCAGCATCGTCGTCATATTTGGCTTCTTTTTCATCAACAGCTTCACATTCGCTAGTACCTCCACACCCGACTTCCCAGCGACCCACTGGCAGACGAGGTGGTTTGTGCTGGACGGCTGGCTGAACATAGTATATCTGGCAGATGTGTGCTTCGTCGCATACATGTGGCGACCAACAGCCAATAACAGGAGGTTTGCCATGAGTGACGAGGTTAGTCATGAATACGTGGACTAGTTTCTACCTACTCACTAACCACACTCAGATTGCCCAAGATGATGAAGGTTTTGAGATCGCATCGCTGCGAGACTCCCTTGACGAGGAGGAGGGTGGTTCCGACCAGCCACCTTCATATGATCCTGCGCCAAGGCAAAACATCAACCGTGACGTGTCGCCGCTACCAGCGCCAAAGCCACAGAAGCCCATTGTGCCTCCAAGAGAGAGTCTCGATGGCGACACCATCTTCGCCGTGGGCGAGGACGACAAGTGGAGTAGTGATGAAGATGACGAAGACGAAGACGAAGACGACGACGACGACAATGAGCCGTCTAGTGCGAAGGGAGACAACGAGTACGCGAGGCTAACGGGGCGCAAGAACGATTAGATGTTAGTTCATGGTAGAGGGGCTGGTGCGGATACTATTTAGGATGGTCGCTTGAGTTCATGAGCGATGGCGTTATATTCCATATTTCGATCAAGGTTTTGCAGGATTACACGGTGCGCCTCTGGCGATATGAATCACACAAATCAATAGCACTTCATTCCTTCAGCGCTGCAGACTGAGATTCGTGAAATATGAATGTGTCGCTGGGTATCATATCTAATATATAGTTTAGAATGTCGGTCTCACCGCGCAGCGGTCCCGAAGGGCCAGTATCTATCCCGAAGAGAACGGCTAATTCGCCCCTACTAGAATATCCAGCTCCGGAGGAAAAATATGCTCTGTAGCCCTCGCCGTCGCCGTGCAAAGACGACGTTTGAAGCCCCTAGCCCGTTGAAGCCCCTAGCCCGTTGAAAACCTATCTCCTTATTGAAGCACGTATCCTCGTTGAAGCAAGTCTCCTCGTTGAAGCAAGTCTCCTCGTTGAAGTAATTCTCCTCGTTAATGGCCTAGCTCGTCAATGGCCTGGCTCGTTGAAGCAAGTCTCCTCGTTGAAGTCTCCTCGTTTATGGCCTAGCTCATCAATGGCCTGGCTGGCCTGGCTCCCTCGTTGATCATGTGCACGTCTGATTCTCTATTACTCCAGAGTCCTTAGTGATCAGCCCAACAAGCCTTTCCGCTCATTGGTCAATCACTAGGCATCCATTCAAATCATTCAATCTACCAACCCTTCGTCCCCACCCCCAATCAATGCAAACGAACATTTTCCAACTACTTATTCGAAACTCATCCCATAACTCCCACTCACCGTCTTTTCCTCTCCCCCTTCCCCCCTCTTCTCATCATCATTTACCACCGTCTTCTTCTTCTTCTGCTCCTCCACCTTCCCCTTCTTCCCCTCCTCCCCCCTACTCAACTCCCCAACAACCCCCTCAACCACCCTCTTCAACTCCCTCACATCCGCACCCCGAACCTCCCCGACCCTCTTCCCCCCCTTAAACAGCACAAACGTCGGCATCGCGCTCACGCCATGCGTGGCGGCTAATTCGCGCTGCTCGTCGACGTTGACCTTCACAAACGCGAAGCTCTTGGAGCCGTGCGTGGACGAGAGCTGTGCGTAAACGGGTGCGATTTGTTTGCACGGCGGACACCAGGTGGCGTAGAAGTCGGCGATGAGGTAGGGGGTGCTGGTGAGGAGGGTGTGGAAGTGCAGGGGGGAGAGGATTTCTGTTGGCATTTTATTTTAATTTTTGGAATTGTGAGCGAGGGGGTTTTTGATGTGGTGTGGTTGTTTGGGGTGTGTGAGGGTCGAAGTTATATTGTGGTTTTGGCTTTATATGTCGTGATGTTGTGGAATCTTCCATGAGCACCAGGCAGCGGCAAAATTCGTGCCCGCTCTGCACCTACACGACATAAGCTAATAGTCATTGGACGTATACTCATTATACCCTATTAGAAGCCTGATGTATACGCAGCTCTATAATACTCCACCTAACTCTATTGAAAATCTTTGAATATATGCAGGCTACCTCATCGCTTCTTTCTGTTTGGAAAGGGCAGGCAGGAATTTCGCCGGCGCCTGGTGTGGGCGATTTAGCGGCGGATCTCGGTGTTGATGCTCTGGGCCAGCCAGGATTTGTCATTGGCACGGGGTGGGCTTGCTGCATGTGGTAATGCACGATAGACGTGGTTCTATCGCTCTGTGGTTTTTGAAGATAATTCCAAGCGCATGTGAGTTTTGGTATGCAAACGACCGTAGCTGGTAGCTCGCTGCTCGCACATCCGTGCTGCATACTCGTGACTTCACTAATGCTAATGATGAGTCTACGCCGACCTACGTGCATCCGTTTACTAACCCCAAAGATGACCCCCGACGCCTCGCTATGCTTGGAATACTGCCCTGTTCATCCGCCAGCTTCGCAGGTGACGGAATCTGAACCTCTACAACCGACCTCACCTCGACTCGCTCTCGCAGTGACAGGTACTAGCCACCACCACGCCCCAAAATCTCCTCGCGCTCCAGCACCTCGGGCTTGAACTTGATCAAGAACACCGTTTTGCCCGGCCACATGCCCTTACCCTCCTTCCCATCCTCCTGCTCACCTACACTATGCGCCGTCACGCCTTCAGTCGGGAATCCCGCGCCGTCGCACACACCCTCTATCACGCCTGCGACAAAGGCCGCGCAGTTCAGACTCGAGAGTTCCTTGGGTAGTGATATGTACTGGTTGACGAGCGGCTCGTTGTCGAAGATCATGTACTGCCCCGGATCGCTGCCCGAGCGCTCCAGTGCATCTGCAGGCCGCCCGAAGAGGTGCCGGTAGACTTGTTGTGCGATGAACTGCAGCAGAGGGAGGATGCGCGTGGGCCGTATGGACGCGAGGGGATTGGAGGAGCGGGAGAGGAGGAGGTCGAGGAGGCGGAGGCCGATGGGATAGCCTTGCTGGTTGAGTCTGGTGGGGATGTCTTAGCTACGATTCAAAGCTGTGAAGTAGGACCTCGGGGTATGACATACCTCTGCTCCAAGTCCCCCACGTCCTTGGCACCCTTCTGCGCATACGCAATCATCTCGATGAACAGGTAGGCAAATGCCGCCCGGCTGAGTTCCGCATTCTTACTCCGGTTCAGGTTTCGGTCGTATATGGTCTTCTTGTTGGACGGATACCGCAGCCCGGGCCCTTGGCTTGAGTTCCCGCTCATGGCGATGCTCTGCCCTCGTGCTACTGTGTAATGCGACGGTGCTTGTGATTGCGGGAGGATGGTAGCTGTAGATGATGCCTGCGAGGTGCGTGAGGGCGGCGGTAGCGAGGTCTGGCGGCGTGGAAAGTGTAGAGGGAGAATGTTGGACATGTTGGAGCTCTGTTGCAATGCGGGTGGTGGAGTATGTGGGTCTCAGGGTTCGTGCGCACTGCGGGACTGCATGTTCCTGAGGCTGACGGCGCCAAGCACCGACGACAACTCCGTCTTCACCAACAACACGGCAGAGAATCATCATGTACATGCGATGCACTGTATAGCTTTGTTTGTCCATCAGCTCTAGACATGTAGTAGCAGATCTGGTATCTCGCATGACCATAACAATCCGGCGTATGCTAGATTTGCCAGCACGACACGCTCGCTATACACGACATCTGACCTAGCAGCACGGCTCAAATGTTGTATGCAGCCTCAGCGTTGCGACAGATCTGCTTTAGTCCCTTCATAGAGCGCCAGCCATCGTGCTCAGCTCCAGTCGCCATGAAGCCAGCCTCAATCATGTCACCGTACAGCTTGTCCTTCTTCTCATCGTTGAGGTAGTTTGCGCCTACTACCTGCCTGACTTCCTCTTCTTCTTGGCCAACCTTCCACTTTTCATACCATTCCTTTGCTCTGTCTACATAGCTGATGCGGTTGGATTCCAGCGTGTCTTGCGCGTGGACGTAGTCTTGACGCCGGATGAGGAACTCCATGGGGATCACGACGGTAGTGAGGTCGGAGTGCGTGCCCTCCGTTTCGCGCAGATGGATGATTCCGGATCGCTCGATTGCCAGTTCAGAGCGAAGGTCATCGACTGCCTTCAGCTGTTCCTGCAATGCGGCCTTTGCTTCGTTTCTCTGCTGTTTCATTTGCTTCTCTGCCTTAGCGCAACGCTGCTTGTCTTGTACTGCATCCTTTGCCTTTTCTCCCTCTTTTTCGGCCACTTGCTTGGCGTTCTTGGTCTTCTTGTTTGCGCCCTTCACCTTCTGCGATTTATCTTCGAGGCGGCTGCGCAGTGTCGCTGTTTCGCACTCGGCTGCTCGGAGATTGTCATTAAGCTTGTCCTTCTCCTTGCGCAAAACATCGTTTTCGTGTTCAAGACGGTAGAGTCGGTTCACTGTCTCTGTCTGCTCAAGCGCGTTCGAATGAGGCTTCGAGTGGAGGCGACGGGTCAGCTGCTCGATGGTTGCGGCTTGCTCTCGGACTTGCGCCTGAAGATCCTCACGCTCTCTCATCAACGCCTTGATCAGATCTTCTGCGCGGCCTGAATTGCTGCTTGCAACAGTAAGAGGGTCTGCAGGGAACACCTCAAGGCGCTCCTCGAACAGCGCCTCTAGTCCGAGGGTCATCTGGCGCGGAAGCTGGTCAGTAAGCTCAAGGATGCCTTCGATAATGCATACTTGCCTTGAGAACGCGTACAGATTTCGCGCAACAATGAAGTAAAGAGTTGCCGTAGGGCAGGTTGCGACACACTGTCGGGGTGGGAGGCCATGACTGAGACTCAGCGCGTGAGCACGTGATACCAACTCACGCGGCGGGGCATCATCCACGCGTCTTGCACATTAGAGACCAATTCCCGCAACAAGATCGATAGCATGAGCAGGTGAGTTTCTTGTGTCTATGCGTTGAATGTTTGTGATATCGCCCGAAATGTCACTTGTCTAAGTAGTACATCAACATGGTGTATATATAGTCTTGATGAGTCCAGAAGGCGCTCAGCATACTCAAGCCATCGTTTTCTTACATCATACATGTGCCAGGCGACTACATCGCAGGTTTTCTCAGTATTTTATCACCGCGATCTTCATCCCTGTTTACCTTTCCTCCGCATGCTACAGTAAAGGTGCGGCTTGACAACATATCCCGTCGGCCCGCATACTCACCTCTCATTCACCTCTCATTCACCTCTCATTCACCAAACTTTCAAGCGCGTCAGTATACAAACAGAGCACGCTAGTCAACAAAACATTCTCCACCGAGCGGGTATATATTCGAGTCTTCCACCACTTCCAACCTCTCCATACTCAACCACCTCTACAGCACCCAGTCAACCCAACAACACCACTATCAACCAGTCCCAAACCATCGAGTCTCTCCCCGCCACCACAATGGCCGACGAAGACATCTCCGAAGAAGTCTACTTCGAACCCTTCAACTCTCCCACCCTCCCCCCTTTCATCCCCACCCCCTCAGCATCCAAGAAACCCGCCGACGACTTCTCCACCCTCCCTCTCGGCGCCCACACCCTCTTCTACCTCGCCATCATCGCCCCGCACACCGACACCTACAAGATCCACGGCCCCGCCACGTCCTTCTCACACCTACTCCCCCGGCTCGAAGACGTCGTCAGCAACTCGCCGCGCGCCATCGACAAGCTGGAAGCGATCCGCAACATCGAGGACGTGTGGGGCGACAAAGAGAAGAATCTAGAATTTGCGGAGCGCGGGTTCGGCACGTTTGTCGTCGAGGGCCAGCGCGGGATCTACACGGTGCTCAAGATACTGCGGGAGGAGAACAGGCGCGTGCGCGAGGAGTTGCCGGCGCCGGTTTATGTGGTGAGTGCGCATGGCCCGCTGGTTAATGAGGTGGGTTATGTGGCGACGACCAGGTTGGTGGGCGCGTTTGTGGGGCAGCGGGATGCGAAGGGGGCGGCGGTAAGGGCGATGGATGAGATGGTGCAGGGCAGGAAGGTGAGTAAGAGGAGTGAGTATTGGGGGAAGGAGAGCAAGGGGGGTGGGATGTTGATGGCGATGGGTGCGGCGAGGAGGTGGGAGGTTAGGATTGCGTATGAGGATCAGGTGCATAAGCGGGCGAAGGAGGAGGCGGAGAGGGAAGGGGAGAGTGTGGGATGGAGGATTTGAGCGGGTAAGGGGTGGGGAGGGACTTCACGATGATGCATTGGAGATGATTTGAAAGACTAAACAATACTTGAAGATCTACAGCTCTATCCATGCTTTTTGTGTGTATCTACATAATCCCCTTCTCCGCATCTCCCTTGACACTAATCGCCGGAAACTTCGACTTGCCCTTACCCACATAACTCCCAGAGTCATTCGACGCCTCATCGCTCTCCTTTTCCTTCTTCTCCTTCTTCATCTTCTTCATCACGCGCGCCGTGACCCTCGCGAGCGGTCGATACGCCATCACAAACGGCTTCCCAAAGAATTTCGCGCCAACCTCAAACCACGCGTCGGGGAATAGACGAACACAGACTCCCCACGGAATACACAAAACCGCGACAACGACACTGATCCCCCACTGATTCCCATTGATGCGCACAATGCTGAACGCGGTCCCGCCAAACATGGCAATCAGCACCTGCGCCGCCACCATGATGACATTCATCGTAATGAAGTAGTAGTTCTTCGTGATGCCCACGAAGATGTTCAGCTTATTGTCGAGCCGGCGGTTGTTGTACTGGTTGAAGATCTGCAGCCACACGAACATGTTGAAGATCAGGGAGCGCATTTCGTTCTCCGGGTAGGGCAGGAAGTGCGGGCCGCCGAAGTGCAGGATGAAGGTTGCGCTGACTTGGAATATGGCTTGGCCGATGATCATCTTCCACATTGTGAGCGAGATGATAGAGGCGGTGCGCGGAGTGGGCGGGCGGTCAAGGATTTCTTCGGTCGGGGCGTCGGTGGAGAGGGAAAGGGCGGCGAGAGAGTCCCTGGGTTATAATTAGCATGTGGAAATGGGGTGGGTTTTGGGAGAGATAGAATGAGACGTACATGAACAGGTTAATCCAAAGCAGTTGCACGGCAGTGAGAACAGAGCGCATTTCCGGGTCCTGGATCGCACTGATGAACGCGACGAGCATGGCAGTGATGTTGACTGTGATCTGGAACTGGAGGAACTTTTGCACGGCGTCGTTGACGGCGCGACCCCACATGAGGGCAGTGAGGATGGAGGAGAAGTTGTCATCCATGAGGATAATAGCAGAAGCCTCCTTGGCTACTTCAGTGCCGGCGATGCCCATTGAGAAACCGATATCAGCAGCTTTAAGCGCAGGTCCGTCGTTGGTGCCATCGCCTGTTACAGCGACGATACCGCCGAGTTTACGAAGGCGGGTGACGAGTACGCGCTTGTCTTCTGGAGACGAGCGGGCGAGGACTTGCAGGCGGGGGACGGACGAGCGTCCATGTCGTCGTCGCTGAGCTGGCGGAATTCAGGACCTTCCATAACAACACCGTCGGTGTAAATACCGCATTCGACTGCGATGGCTTTGGCGGTGATGATGTTGTCTCCAGTAACCATGCGAGTGATGACGCCGGCGTTTCTAGCCTTTTCTACAGCCTCAGGGACACCGGGGCGGAGCGGGTCTTGGATACCGACGACCCCGATGAAGGTCATTTCAGCAAGGAGAGCACCTAGGTCTTTTGCGACTGAGATGTCGTCGGGGTCTTCGGTACCGCGGGGAGGCCATTGGGCGAAGTCCTTGTAGATGAGACCGATTGTGCGAAGAGACTGGCTGGCATAGTGGTCGATGGTGGTGGCGATGCGCTTAACATGGTCACCGTCCATGTGGGCGACACCAGCTGGAAGCGCGATGGTGTTGGAGTAGCTCAGCAAGATCTCAGAGGCGCCCTTGACGAGAAGACGGTAAGTTCCATCAGAGAGCTTGTGTACAGCACCCATACACTTGCGGCTCGAATCGAAAGGCAGAAGCTGGACAACCTGGGCGCTGGTGCGCTCTTGAGAGAGGGATGTCATTCCGAGGACATTCTTTGCGAAGCCCAAAAGAGCGGTCTCAGTCTTGGAGCCAACAAATCCAAACTCTCCACCCTCGCCCTCGAAGGCAGTTGAGTTGATGGCAATAGACTCAACTAGCAGACGGTTTTGCTGGCTTGTCAAGCGTTGCGCGAATTGCGAAGACCGGTTGTCGGCAGCTCCAGGGTTCTTGTCGTCGAAGGTGTCTTCACCGAATGTACCGGTAACCACCGTCATCTTGTTCTGTGTCAAAGTGCCAGTCTTATCCGAGCAGATAGTTGTAGCGTTGCCCATGACCTCACAAGACTTCAGGACACGGACGAGATTGTTCATCTTGACCATCTGGGTAGTTGCAAATGCCAGAGCCAGCGTGATCGCGAGAGGTAGTCCTTCAGGCACGGCTACAACGATGATTGTCACTGATACGATGAGAATATCCATGAACTTCGACGCCTTCTCAGCTGGGCTGAGTGGACTACCAGGGAACGTCGCAACCAGGCGGAAAGTAAGAATCAGAAGCAGGAGGAACGAGGCGGCACTGGCGAGCTTTGCAATCGCTTTAGCGAGTCCGTCAAGTTTGACTTGAAGTGGGGTAGGTTCCATGTCGTGTCGCATGGCCATGAGGATACGACCGTAGCTGGAGTTGACACCGACAGAGGTGATGAGGTCTATGATGGTCAGTGATTGGATGATACAGTCTGTTCGATCTATACTTACAAGTTCCAACACCCTCCAGGACTTTGCTTCCGGAGATAATGAACGGGTCCAGGTCCTTCAAATCATTGTGTCCACGTTCAAGCAGGCGCAGGACCTGCTCACCGCTGGTCTTCTTCATCTGATCCGACTCTCCCGTAGCAGAAGATTCATCGCACTTGACGTTGTGGCCCGAGATGAAAATTCCATCCGCTGGGATGAGGTCACCAGGCTCCATGTGAAGCACATCCCCGACCAGGATGTCGTACACAGAGATGTTGAAGGACTTGCCAGATCGGATAACTTTGACTTCGCGTGCCTCTTTCTTAGCATTGAGCTTTACGAAAGCTCGCTCTTTCTGCCAATCATTGATGGCGCCGACCAAGACGACGACGGCAATTGAGACACAAATGGCGCAACCTTCGATCCAATCGACACTGGGTGGCGCGCCCGGCCCGTGATCAACACCGAATGTTTCGTAAAGACCGAGAGCGAGCGAGATGACGGCTGCTACTGTAAGCAGAATTAAGACGCTCTCCTTGTAGTACGCTTCCCACATGAGCTTCAGGAACGTCTTCGACTTCTTTATTGGCAACACATTGGACTTGAAGACGCGCTTGCGATCCGAGAAAGATTCTCCAGTATGCGAAGCGGTTGCTCCAGATCCGCCAACATCCACATGGCGTGTTTCAACGGGCCTCGGGAGGGCGGAGGAGTTGGCACCGCGGAGCTTCTTGTACATCGTGGTCGCCTCCTCGAATGAAACAGAGCCAGCAAGGTCCGCCTCCTCCAGACTGAGACCCGCATCAACGTCAGTGCGGAGACCGGCTTCAAGACCAGGAAGACCTCCAAGAGCAATGAAAGCTGGGAGAGATTTGGGATTCAGCATCTTGTTCAGCTGACCCGGGCTGAATGCGAACTTGTTGTTGGCGACGGTGAAATCCTTCTCAGAACCCGGATCAGGACTGAGAGCGTCTTCGTTTCTTTGCGAGTCGAGCGTGTATTTGCTGACTCCGCTAACTCCACTGTGTATCGAGCCAGCGGCCGATGTGGTTGGTGGTAACAGTGTTGCCTCACTTGGTGCTCGACTCCGACCAGAGGCCTGGAAACCTTTGGAAGAAGAGCTCATGGCGCTGATAGATCGCTCATGAGGTCGTTGTGCTATCGATCGTTCCGGGACGAGAGTTGCTGGTGATGCATTTTCGAAGGTATCTGTAGTGTTTGATCGCGCAGGCGCTTTTGGAATGTCGACGGTAATTTCAGGGAGAGGAGGGAGGGAGGAGTTCTGGTCGCGACCAGCCGCATTACTTGATTGAGAAGATGCCATGTTCAACAGGCAATGGATGTGAGAGGTCAATGTTCAACAGACCTAAAATGGGCAAGGATGAGGTGCTACTTGAATGTGCATGCACTACTCGATGAGCTCGCTGGAAGTATTCAAACAAGGGCATCTTGATAGCTATATTATACAAAAGCAGTTCGGTGATGTTTGTAGAGTTGTGGGCCCAGAAAGGGCAAGCTTCAGACCTCATGCAAGTGCGGGCTTAGCCTCCGCACTCCGTGACTTGGCTAGCGCGACTCAAGAGAAATCACCAGCCTTGATAGTGCTTCATCCGGTGAACAAGACTACCGAGCATGCAAAATGACAATCAGCTCCGCTATTGAGGCTGTGCTGCACGAGACTGATGTGAAGACGGAGCGCAGCGGGATTGGACCGCAAGAGGAGGAACCTGAAACTGAGCCAAGCACGAAAAGTATAGGACAAGAAAAGAGAGGAGGCGGAAATCCTTGAGAGGAAAAGGCTTGGGAGTGCCACCGTTAAGTAAAGTGGTGAGTTGTGAGGGCCTTCGTGCCTGACGATCAGGACCCTCCGTGTCGCAGATCTTGCGTCCTGAGGCTCGCGTGTCTCAGGTTCGCGAAACGATCTCGCGAGGTTTCAAGGTGTCGCCACACGTGGGTGTTTCGATCGACCTCGCTGCTTCCAGCGCGACGAACTGCCGTTGTTGCGGTTCAATCAAATGATTTGTGTCCGTGTGACGTCGAAATGTCGTTCGATATGTGAAGTTGCCATATGTTTAGGGTAGTGTTATCCAAATGCAGTTAGGCGGCTAGGTCTTGACCTGTGAGCGCGGCCTCAGCACGGGTTTGCTCCGCGCATGGCAGCGATCTGGATCTGCCACAGACCCGAAGTCATCATTTGATAGACCGGTCACTGATGTTTATCAACCCAGACGAAAAAGTGGAAGTTTTCCCGATGTAGGTGCTGGTCGAATGAGATTTGTACCATTTGCCGCGTGGAGACGTGATCGACATACCTCCTTTTGTAAGGAGACTGTTCTTCCCAGGGTGCAGTAACTCCGGATAGTTCTGAGCAGGCTGTAAGTGTTTGGTTAGGTCTTCTCCTTTCTGGTAAGATTCCAAGGTCGACATATAGATGACTGAAGCCAACAGGGCATATCAAGCCTGAGAGCTGCGTGCTATACGATCATTAACGACGCATCAGAAAACCGGAACGACATTTCTTGTATTGTTGACTGATGGCTGATCGCTCGTTGATATATGGCCGAATAGCCATGCCCACCTGGGAGAGCAAGTGCGCACGTGATGCGGGGTAAAGCTCACTCCAAGGCTTCAAGTGCTGGTGCACTTCCGTGCTCTCACGCAAACTCTTACATCACTTGTACGCGGGTCGCGGAAGATTCGGCATTGGTACCATAGTCGTGGAGAGCTTACGAGGCGAATAGGCGCAGCTTACCTATGACGTTGATAGAGCTGTCAGCATAACGTCGAGTGGCTACCAGCCTCGTATGGTAGTTGCATGCCCCACCACAATACCTTTGGGGGCCTAATGAGGAATTGGCATATCTGGCAGCTGTCGAATACCAAAGTCGGTCTTCGAATTGCAACTTTGAAGGCCTTGCTTGATTAGTGCGGGGCTGCATGGTGGCTGGTTGGGACTATGGCGAAAGAAACACTGCGAATAACGAGGGACGGATAGACAGGCGATACATGATAAACTTTGGAGGTCGGCCAACGGCGCAATTGCCGCGACAGAAGCAACGTCTCTCAAGGCGGTTTCAGCCAATTCTCCAACACTGCGGCGGACTAAGGTGGAAGGTGACCGCGGAGTACATGAAGGTAGAGAAGATGCGGCTAGACGTCTTCGAGAAAGGCTCGGGTAGAGCTCTAGACTGAGATAACAATGGCGGTAATGCTCAATGCAGCAATGTCACCGCATCATGAAGGCCGCTGAGTAGTCGGGTGTCAGCCACGGATGTTTGGTGGACAAAGAGGATCGATCGGTGATGCGGCATTTTCAGCGAGGCAGGAAGGTTTGCACCGCCATGGGTCAGTGGAACCACTGTGAGCACTTGGGACCTGGGTATGCAATATGGGTAGCACAAGGCTATATTAGGGTTGGTTATGTTGCTTTTGTTGGGGTCGTGCTCGAGCAGACGGCTGCCAGGGCGATCAGTGCAGCAGCAGGTCGACAGATTTATGCATTGTGCCAGGTCGCGCCGCATGATTCTCGAAGCCGGCATGACAGAGGCTGTGGTGTACATATAAGACAGTTCGCAGCAGCAGCAAGCAGCGCAAGGCGGGCAAGACATGAAAATCCGTCGGTAGCTGTACGAAGTAGCTGCAGCTGTGCTATGTAGTGGTGGAATGCGCGTTGGGGTCGATCCAGTGGCTGCATGTGCGAATGCATTCATCGCAAAGGCCATCCGCACAAGCCAGCCGCAGCTTCCGACTCCTATCTGCGCGCCATCAATAGCCAGAGCGGGCCTCTAACTGTTCCTTGCTATTCAAGCTCGCGTGCGTGGGTCGTGGCGCCCAATTCACTTTCCGTCCGCAGCGCCAGGCCGCGCAACGTATCCCATCCCATAAACCTCTCGTTCCATCGTTCCAGGCGTGGAGCTCATGACAACATAGCCGACAGACAGCAAGCACGCATGCATCGTTGAAGCAGGCAAGACTGGCCATCGGCGGCGCGACACATTCAAGCAATCTTGGCCACGGCGGCTAAGCCAGCAGGTTCCGCATAGCCACGGCGGCGTATGCAATCGACGCAGGCAACATGCCGCGACCTCCGTTCACCAGCAAGCTCTCGCTGCCGACCCGCTTCAAGCACGCCAACAACAACGGCGGACCACCATCGACGCCCAACAGCATCCCCAACAGTCGCCAGGGCAGTCCCAAACGCACAATGGAGCAAGCAAAGCCTGGGTTGATGTTGCGAGCGAATGTGCTCAAGGTGCGCCCGCCCAGGCCGTGTTCGCCGCGGGGGAGACATGTGGGAGAGCTGGTGGGCTAACGAGCGATGCAGGGCAGGAACCTCGCTGCAAAGGACCGCAGCGGCACATCGGACCCGGTGAGTGCTCCACCAAGCAGACACGCAGACACGCAGACACTCGGATACTGTTATGCAGAGAGCCATTGTTTGTATGAGGGTCTGAGGCCGCGCTGACTGGCTGCTGCAGTACCTCGTTCTTTCCCTCGGCGATGCAAAGGAAGCCACGCCCACCATCAACAAGACGCTGAACCCGGAATGGAACACGATCCTCGACCTGCCCATTGTGGGCGAGCAGAGTCTCCTGCTCGAGGTGCAGTGCTGGGACAAGGACCGCTTTGGAAAGGACTACATGGGCGAGTTTGACGTCATCCTCGAGGACCAGTTCCTCAACGCCCACCCGCTGCAGGAGCCCCGGTGGTTCCCGCTCGAGTCGCGCCACAAGGGGAAGAAGAAGAAGTCGGTCGTGTCGGGCGAGATCCAGATCCAGTTCTCGCTCGTCGACACGAGCAACCCGAGTGCGCCCGCGGACCAGCTCATGCAGAAGTTCATGGCCATCGCAGGAAGCTCGCCGAGCCCCGACGAGGAGGAAGCCGAGATGCTGCTGCGCGCCGACAGCAACAACACTGACGCCGAGGACGACGACGACAGCTCCGACGAGGCCCACGACGAGTCGCACAAGGCCGAGAAGCGCGAGAAGCGGCGGAAGCGCCTCAGGCTGGCCCGCCTCAAGAAGAAGGCCAAGCAGATGAGCGGCTACGAGTACTCGAGCAACGGCGACGTGGCAGGCGTGCTGTTCCTCGAAATCCAGAGAATCACGGACCTGCCGCCAGAGCGCAATGGTATGTATCCCCCGCGCATTGTGCACCACTCCGTCTGACAGCCTCGCAGTCACCAGGACCTCGTTCGACATGGACCCCTTTGTCGTGACCTCGCTCGGCAAGAAGACGTACCGCACCAAGACGGTCAGCCACAACCTCAACCCCGTCTTCGAAGAAAAGCTCGTCTTCCAGGTCATGCGCCACGAGGTCAACTACTCCGTCAGCTTCACAGTCATCGACAAGGACAAGTTCTCGGGCAACGACTATGTAGGCACCGTGAGCTTTCCCCTCGAAAAGGCCGTGTCTGTCGCGCCTCAAGCAGACCCGGAAACCGGTCTTTACAAGCTTCCCGAGCCGTCAGACTCGCCTGGTCTGCAATCGAGCTCAGATGCACGGCGATCACGGTTCCGCCTGCCCATGTCTCGGTCTTCATCTGCCCACAGCCTGTCTCGTCTCGGTAAGCCGTCTCTGAAGAAAGAAAACTCGACGGCTTCGCTATCGGGCCAGAACGCCAATGGCTCTACGCCTCCTGCGCCGACTAGCCAGCCCTCAACAGACTCGAATGGCAACCTCACGCCTGGGCTAGCTGTTGTCGCGGACCCCATGGCGGTGGACGACCAGGACTTGAAGACGTTCACCCTGCCCATCGACATGAAGCACAAGGACCGCTGGGAAGACAAGCACAACCCAACGTTGTACGTCCGTGCGAAATACTTGCCATACACCGCCCTGCGGCAACAATTCTGGAGGGCGATGCTCAAGCAATACGACGCAGATGACAGTGGCCTGCTCGATAAGGTCGAGTTAACTACCATGCTGGATACTCTTGGTTCGACCCTGCACGAGTCTACCATCGACAGCTTCTTCAGCCGTTTTGCCGCCCAGCACAACGGTGAGCTTCTACTGACTTTCGACGAGGCTGTCATCTGTCTCGAAGACCAACTACAAGCGACTGAGTATAATGCGCATAAAGCAGCCAGTACAAGTGGCTTCTTCACACCGGGAGAACAAACACCTTCCCTGGCGTCCGGTGACTTGACTCCCATTAACAAAAATGGCTCCACTGCCTCCATCCCTGTGCTTGAGACCGACGTCCTCGGCAAGCCAGGTGAGGAAGGCGACACGATACAGATTGATGATCTGGCCGACGAAAAAGGCGAAGAGCACGTTATTGAGATTCGCGAGTGTCCCATTTGCCACCAGCCGAAGCTGAACAAGCGCTCGGATGCTAACATCATCACCCACATTGCTACCTGTGCCAGCCAAGACTGGAGGCAAGTCAATAACATCGTCATGGCTGGCTTTGTCACCTCTAGCCAGGCCCAGCGCAAGTGGTACTCCAAGGTCATCACCAAGATTTCTTATGGAGGCTACAAGCTGGGTGCCAACTCCGCCAACATCTTGGTTCAGGACCGCATTACTGGACAGATTAACGAAGAGCGCATGAGCGTCTATGTCCGCTTAGGTATCCGCCTGCTCTACAAGGGTCTCAAGTCGAGTAACATGGAGAAGAAGCGAAGTGAGTTTAAGGGAAAAAGGACTCTCTTCCAACATGACTAATGTGTTCACAGTCCGTAAATTGCTAAAATCTCTGAGTTTCAAGCAAGGAAAGAAGTACGATGACCCTGCATCAGCTGCGGAAATCGTACCGTTCATTGCTTTCCATCAGCTCGACATGTCGGAGGTGCTTCTGCCAACGTCCGAATTCAAGAGCTTCAACGAGTTCTTCTACCGGGCACTAAAGCCTACTGCACGCCCATGTTCGGCGCCCGACGACCCGCGCGTTATCGTTTCGCCCGCTGATTGTCGTTCTGTTGTATTCAATACCATCGACTCGGCACAAGCCATCTGGGTCAAGGGCCGAGAGTTCACGGTCGAGCGTCTTCTAGGCGATGCTTATCCCCAGGACGCCAAGCGCTACCACGGTGGCTCACTTGGCATCTTCCGACTTGCGCCGCAGGACTACCATCGATTCCACATCCCAGTGGACGGTGTCATGGATGAGCCTAAGCTCATCGAAGGAGAGTACTACACTGTGAACCCCATGGCTATCCGGTCAGCTCTGGATGTCTATGGCGAAAATGTGCGTGTGATTTGTCCCATCGATTCGGTCGCACACGGCCGCGTGATGGTGATCTGTATCGGTGCCATGATGGTCGGCAGCACTGTCATCACACGCAAGAAGGGCGAAAACGTGAAACGTGCGGAAGAACTAGGTTACTTCAAGTTCGGCGGCAGCACTCTCCTGTTGCTTTTCGAGCCTGGACAGATGAAATACGATGACGACTTGGTCGACAACTCCAATTCGGCATTGGAAACTCTTGTAAGTGACACTGACTTTAACGGCCTCCGCTTTCACTAACATGTATTAGGTCCGCGTTGGCATGTCTATCGGCCACAGCCCGAACAGGGCAGCCCATCTTCCCGATATGCGCAAGAACAATCCCACCATGGAAGAGAAGCAAGACGCGAAGCGTCGAATTGAAGGCAGCATGGCGCCAGAGGGTGTCAAAGGCCCCATGCCCGGGGCCGGAATGTAACGATAGGACTATTGGCATCTCAGAGACGTTTGTGGAACTATAAAAAGCGGTTTGGCTTGTATAAGCAACGTAGCCAGGTATGAATTGATGATGGCATGAGAGCATATGGATTGGCAGCTCAGGATAGTGCTGCTTCTTCTCTTGGGAGTTCATTCAGGAGTTTCGTTTGCAACAAGAGACCTGGTGGTGGCTGTCTATACATACATCTAGCTAAGCAGTCCATCGAACAATGGGAAAACCACGTAATGTGCAAGACATTGACCCGAGACCGTGCGTTACGTGATTGGATCAGCATTTGAGCGGTGGATCATGTGTCTCGCCCGATTCGTACTAGCGCTTTGGTTTGTTTACCTGCCCGCTCACCTTGGGCAAGAGCCACCGCGCACCCACCACTTCCCTGCTGCTCCCGTGCCACAATCCTCGCCGTCACCGCTTCACGACTATTCGCATCACCGATTGTTACGATACCTACGATTATATCCAGCATTGCCTACGCCGTTGCGCCGACTTGCACGTGCGCGAAGCCGATCCGCCATCCGAAGTTGTGTTGTTGCGCCAATGCACGCGCCTTGAACTCGCCCACGAACACCCAGCAACCGGACTCATGACCACCGTTTTTGCGCGCTCACCTCTCCAATCGCTCCCCATGGCCGCAAACCGACCTACGACGCGACGGAGAAGTGTCAAACAGGCCTTTGAAGATGATGACGCACCCGCGCCCGCGCCCAAGCGCTCGCGGACCGAAGTAAACGGCACCAGCAAGAAAACCGCAACCGCGAAGAAGAGCGCAAAGGCTGCGTATGACGAGGATGACGACGGCTTCCAGTTCTCGCGACGCACTTCGAAAAGGACCACCAAGGCGCAAGCGGCATCTGCGCCAGAACCCATGCCCGAGGAGCCTCCAGCGAAGAACGCGCAATCTCAGGATCCCCTACCTGCCAAACCTACCGCGCGTCGGAAGAAGACTACGACTACAGTAGTCGAACTGGAGGTTGCAGAAACACATAAGCGCCGGCGTTCGACGCGTCTTTCTGCCGACAAGGAGCAACTAGAAGTTCGCCCGAAAGCAGCAGAACCCGCCACCTCGAAGCGCCCGAGGAAAAGCGCGCCCGCCGAGAAAGAGAGAAGGAAACAAGTCACTCCAGTACCTGAGGCCAAGCCTGAGGGGAAAGGTGCCTTGGTAGGCACAAAGACGCCTACCCAGAATGAGCTCACAGTCGCGAAGAAGCGCGACCCGAACGCGCAAAGGATCATGCTACCGTTTGCGGATACTCCGGTCATCACCAGGAACAAGGAGATGCGAAAGGGCAGCAAGGAGGGGCATCGCAGGAGCAGCACAGGCTTGCGAGGCAGGAGGGCGAGCTCGTTGATTGACAGCGGGATGTCAAATGGTGAGACCCCACACCCGCTCAGCCCAGGCTGGTCTCTGCGCTCGGCTTAGACGCGGTGCACATATTTTGAATTTCTGCTAACCAATGTTAGCTTTACCGCACTCAGAAGTCGAAGTCCGAGACTTTTACAAGTACATCGAGCAAAGTCTACCCGAGCCAAGGCGGATGAAGCAACTGTTGACTTGGTGTGGATCGCGAGCGCTACCAGAGAAACCATCTGGCAATGTCAAGAATGCGAACGCAATAATGGCCGCAAGGGCGATACAGCAGGAGCTGATTGACGATTTCGCAAGCAAACCAGAGCTCTCGGACTGGTTCAGCAGGGTATGTATACCATGGGGATTGAGAGTCAGGCACAATTGCTAACAATTGTACAGGAAGAAACAGCGCCACCACCCGTAGTGAAAAAGCCAAACCCACAGAATGAGAAGAACAACGCTACACTGCAGGAGTTGGAAGACGAAGTCAAAAGGTATATGGAAGCATCTCACTCACAAGTCTAGTCATACTAACGCAAATGTAGACTCGAAGCAGAGAAATCCGCCTGGGAAGCATTAGCAGCAACATCCACATCCATGCCTCCCCCAGCCGCCCCTCCAAAGACTTTCCCGACACCGAAATTCTCCGAAATCGATACCTCGCTTCTCGACCCCGAACAAGCTGCCATCCTCGCCGCCCTTCAAACACCACAGACCCAAGACTCGGAGCAACGACCGCCGTCGTCCGCGTTCACATTCACAACTACCACCGCACTGCAATCACATCTCACACACCTCAGCCAATCTCTCGAACCGCACATCGATTTATTTGCGGACGGCGTGCACAAGATCGAACAATACCGCAACACGGCCGAGCGCGTAGCGGATCGCATCCTCGGCACAGCGAGCAAGAGGCTAGAAGAGCGAGATCGCGAAGTGAAGCAGCGTGTAGGCGCCGAGGGGATTGGCGTGGGCGATGTACTCCGTGGACTGGCAGGGGTGCTTGGTGAGCAATAAGACGCCGGTCTTTGTTTTTCTTTTTGTCATTTAAAGATTGCATGAGCATGATCAATGTGGCGTTTTGTTCTTCGATTCTGGACAAAGCATGGGCGGTGTTCTTTTTGTGTGGGGGGCGGAACTGCTTGGGCAGCGATATACCACCAATTCTGATCAGGGCCTTTTTTTTTTGGCGCCATGAATTCCTGCATTTATGTATCAATGTGCTGTTTATTCTTTGCTAGTTTTAAGTTTGTTGAAATGGTAAATGTCACAGCTTTTCAAATCACTTCTGAGGACATTTCACTCTTACACCTTCGAGGTCCCTGCCTTTCAGTTCTTGATACACCATACAGCAAGTCTGCCAATCTCATCTCCCAGCCTCAGTGCGAATCCCATCGTGACGCGCAGTAAGAGCAACCGCTGCTCCAGATAGCGCAGCACGTCCATCTCAGTAGAAACGAGCTGCTCCGCCGAACGACCGAGTAACTGCTCCCAAGCCTGGTCGGAGAGGATGAGTTTCCCGCTGCCGATCTGGCCAGTTTCGTCAAGTACAGGACCGAGCTATGCAGACATGAGTACTTAAAAACTCAAGAGAGAGAGGGACAGAGCAGACGTACGATTTTCGGATTAATCCTCAACGCCACGTCCCTCTGACACCCCCTACACTTCTCCCGCAGTGAGTTGCCATACACCTCCATCCCACAACACTCGTTGCACATGAGCATGTTGCGCTTATACGGCGCCACGATGTCTAGGGACGTTATGATGACGGATAAATACCCCGTCACACACCCGCGCGGATTCGCGCGCGCAAACTCATCCACGTCTGCGAGCGTGTACTTCGCCCGGACCTGCGCTGTCTCGCATGCGCCTATGTCTATCGCGGGAAATGGCGGGTTCACATGCTCGCGGCGCGTCAGGCGCTGTGCGAGGGCGCGAAGGCGGCGCGCGTCGCTGAGGTCGGGGTCGATGTCGAGGCGGGAGGTGGCGTTGAGGGTGAGTTTCGCCGTCTTGTCGATGCGCCAGCCGGGGTTCGAGATGAGCAGGATGGTTTTGGAGGGTGTGAAGGAGGAGGCGGAGGAGCAGAGTGGGGCGTAGAGAGTGAGGGAGGCGGAGGCAGTGGCGTCGAAGATGGCGAGGGAGACGAGGGTGGAGGTGGTGCCGTTTCTGTTGATATCTTTCTATGGTTAGGAGGGGAGGGATAGGGAGGGATAGAGAGGTAGAGTGATGGTTACATTTCTTATGCGCGCCGATACTCTTGATACACACGAGCAGTTTAGGGCCGTCGATGTCGTAGCCGCCGTCTGCGAAGGTCTTGAGCGTCATGAGGCCGGGGAGAGTGTTGGAATCTTTACAGTTGAAAGGGCGCTTGAATTGTGTGCCGTCGTCGCTTTTCTCGTGCACCATGAAGTAGCAGTTCCGCTCGCCTTCGGGGAAGATGCTGGTGAATAGCGGTGCGGTGCTGGGTGCGAGGCTGTTGTGCTCCGAGCTGTTGGAGACATGCACCGTCCACAGCGTGACCAACTGACCAAGTCGGATGTGGTAGATGGTGTTGTTATACCAGAGACGTACAGTCAGCACACCGGTGTTGTCGGCGAGCTGAATCTTAAGGTAGCCTTGAGCAGCTTTGCGCTGCTTGCTGGGTTTCGCGACGTTGTAGAAGTTGACCACACGGCCCATGAGAGTGAGGTTACGTGGACCAGGCTCAAGACTGCCTAGATCAGCTTCTTCGTACTCAAGATTTGGCTGCGGTGCGTTCTTGTTAGTGGCGACGTTGCAAAGAGGAGTGAACTCTGTCACTCACAGCCCATGATGCTGTTGCGGATGCTCCATCAGGCTGCGCTGCCGATCTCACTTCTTCAGCAGTGAAGCCATCGCCCTGTTTTGTCGGCGACGATGACGGTGTGAAGCAAGACTGTATCGAGTTCTCCGGCATGATTCTTTAAGTGTCATGGAGTTTGCAGTGTTAGGGAGATGCGGGTGAGCTGTTCGGGTGAGGTTTGTTGGGATGGAAGGAGCGTCCCTTCCCCAAGCACAGCTCGCAGCTTCCCGATTCCAGCAGTGACGGTCATACCGCCCAACAATAGCGTCTTTAAAAGGCAAAACAATCTAGTTCTTCGACCAACATTAAGAATTCACGCAATTGAGGAGAATCTTCGACCGAATCGGTTTTCATTGTTGTTGTTTGTAATGAGTGTATAGAGCTAGTCATAAGTGACAATCAAATTAATTAATCGTCTCCACCGCGAAAACCCATGTAGCCGAACACACCATCAGCATGTTGACAGCATGAGTGCACGTCCTCTAGAATAGCTTGTGCTCTAGAGTCATGTCGTTCTCAGGTTCAAGACCGACGCAGGCGCGGAAGATGTTGGTGAGGCAAGCGCGCTGCTTGGCAAGAGCGTTGACGACAGGAGTGCCGGTGGGAGTAAGAGGAGCCTGGTCGTAGTCAGTAAATGATAGTCAATATCCTGGCAGCTAACGTACCTTGAGCATGTAGCTAAGAACACTGAGAACGCTGTGGAAGCCAGAGTACTTGTCGTCGGAGGCCTCAGCACTGTGTGCCTTCCACTGGACACGGGTCATGATCTCAGCAACGAGGACCAAGTCAATGATCAATGGAGAAGCAAGGAGAGAGTCCTCGCAGACATTGAACAGACTGATAGTCTGGTGGCCATCCAAGAAGATCTCAGCATAGTACTCGTCGAGAGCGCGCTTGTCGTCTCCAACAGAGGGCATGTACTTGATGACGACGCAGTGGTCAGGGTGCTCGCCTTCTTTGTAAAGCACCGTGTTCGCAGCGACCATGTCGTCAACCACGTTAGACTTGGAGATCTCCTTGGAGCGGAACTGCTTCTGAGAGCTGAGGTTCATGCCGTCATTGTTGCCGAGATGGTTGTAGCTGGCAATGGAAGTGAGCTTGATACCGGCGTTGATCAGGAAGTCAACAAGCGCCGACTTCATCTTGGTCTGGCCAGACTTGAAGTCGTCACCACCAATGAAGGCGTTGTGCTTCTCGGCGAGCTCGATGGCACCCGGAACAAAAGTGTTCTGGGGAGAGCCGTTGATGAAAGGAGCGCCCTCAAGGATGGAGGCGACGGCGAAGACGGTAGAAGGAGAGACTTCCTCGTGGCCAGTCTCAATGGACTTCATCAGGTTGTCGGCAGTGTCGTTCACACCCTCAAGGATATCGGCGTAACGCTCTGTGTTGGCGGTCCACTGCACAATCACCTTGTCCAGACCATTGGCAGACTTGAAGTCACGGATATCCTTGCGGATCTGCTCAACATGGGCCATGGAAGCCTTGCTACCCGGAAGGATGTTATCAGCGCGCTCCTCCTGGTTGGCGGCAATGAAATCCGGGTAGTAGATGCTGGGCAGAGGCTTCATAGCACCCATCTCCTTGCGGACCAGGGACTTGAGAGAGGGCGAGAGCACCTTGGCGCGGTCCATGGCCTCAGAGAGGTTCATGCCGCTGATGTCCCAACCACCCACAACGAGGTCGTTTGGGTGAACCATGGGCAGAAGGTCATGGAAGGGGATATAGATCTCCTTGCCGGTCTTGCTATCCACTCCCAGTTTAGTGGTAGAGCTCATGATGACGGATCCGTAGTAGTTGGCGCCGCGCTGTCCCTGCTTGGTCTCCCAGACGAGGTTACGCTTGTTGGCAATGATACCGGCAGTTACAGTGGTACCATTGTTACCACCCCAACCGACCAGCATGACACCAGTCTTGGGGATCTTGCGGTCGACTTTGAAGTCATACAGGGTCTCCTTGGGAATGGCCACATACTTGCCCTCGGCGTTCTGGGTGACGTCGGTCGTGCGGTAAGTGTACTTGGACTTGATGGTATCCTCGGTGTATTCCACGTTGGAAGAGCTGACAGTAAAGAGATCCTTGGCAGGAGCGGTGCTGGTCCCGAACCCATTGGCCTGGCCGACTACTTCTTCTGCGTGCGGTGCCATTTCGATTACTTGATATTTGTTGTTGCTTGAAGGCACGAAGAATTTATCTGCGGAAGTCTAGATCCGACGCTGCCCCAGAAGGAGAAGTACGTCGGCCGGCGAATGGGTTGTGGACCCTGGAAAGAGTTAGATGGTTCATCGTCACTGTAGCCTGGCGAGCTCTGGAGAGAGTCGGAGGAATGAGGGGTACTCACGAGCTGAGGAGATTGGAAAACGTCTTGACGGCTGGGCAATGGCCCGAGTGGAATTGGTTGTGTTTGATGGAGAGGGAAGCTTTGTCAATTGCTGAGTAGCAGTTCACGATGATGTTGTAGAATTGGGGTGGGGTTCCGGTAAGGGTGAGAAGGTGCAATATATACAGAATGATGACTTATCGATAGGCACAAAGCTAAGGAACGCGCCTTTGCTCCGCCTGTTGCCGGACAGCGTGTACGACACCGCTTCTTCACCACTTTACCTTTGCACTCCACTTTTCGAGCCAGATTATCCCGCCTCAGCCCGTCGCAAGCACCACCGGGCCAATGGCAGTCTCTGAATGTCTCCCATGTGCTGGACGCCACGTCCGCTTTCGCTCTTTCAATCTCAGGATGCAGTGCTCCATACCATTGTAGGTTGGAGAACATGCAGGTGAAGACGCGGAGGCACTTGGAAGAACATCTGTGGGCCCTCAACGCGTAGACAGCTGTCACGACCGCAAGAGGGGTCCAATACGGACTGGCCACAGCAGTGTTGTTGTCCGTCACTACGCACATCACTTAATGCAACCGGTCCCCGCTATCACGTGGGCACGCCTTGATTTTATCCGCAGACGCGAGATACTGCTGGCCTCGGCACCACGGCAGGCCGCGCTTGGAAGACGAGTTGGGTGCGCACTTACTCGTACGGCATTGTTCTTCACAGCATGACGAATGGTATTTTCTCACTGCATTGCCGTGGTGCCGAGTCGGACAACCACATGTTGTTTCAGTGCACGTCAGAATACATGCAGTTGTTCTCGAGACAGATTCAGCATCAGACTTGTTTACAGAGGTGGGGAGCACGCGACAGAGGACGCAGCCGAACACACTCTCCACCATGCAGGTTCATGTCGTGTAATGCGAACTCGATGACCGCCTTGGCCCGTCGATGGGATGCGAATCCCCGTGGCACTGACTTATCAGGCGCAATAAGTCGCAAGACAGGCAGGTGTTATATTCCACCTTTCCTGCGATCTGCCACCAGCCGCACAGGAGTGTCGAGCTGCAGATTGCAGAGGAACACCGAACGAACGACCGGTAATCCGCCTGGGGTCCGTGCTGTTTGGACATCGCTCTCATGTGTCACGCGGCACAGTCAGAGCGTTCCAAGGTTGCAGGAAACGATTTGAAACCTGGAGAGGCTTTGCGCGTGCTGACAAGAGTTTGATGACACGACACGTGAAGGAGGAAACATCTGAAAGTATGTGCGAAAGAAACTTCTCTTGTGTCGTAGGAGGCGCCTAACCACCGCGATGCCCCTGCGCCGACAAGGAGACGGCGATGATGATCGAACACAGCAACGCTCCCACCCGATGTCCAACCAGAAGCTCATTTAATGTCCGAGGGCTCAATGGTTCCCTGCGCACTGACAGCATGCGAGCGGAGCCTCTTAGCCTTGCAAATCCCCTATGTTGGCCTTGGCTGCTCGGCTTAATTTTCTTCGACGTGCAGTCAAGATGTCCAATTGTCACAAAGGCGAGCTCCAAGCATTTGCACAGGTCACGATGGACTACAGATCTCGTCATCGGCGCTTGGGACATTCGCCCAGACGACGCGACGGACCAGTTTCATGTCAACTCTGGCTTTGGCATGTTTGGTGCTTCGACTCGCGGCGGCAGGGACCATGTGGCCTTGCCGCTTATTTGGAAGCCAGCCAACCAAGAGCCGCCGCCGAGCACACCAGAAGCGCCACCATTCAGGGACAGCGCAGGCTACTCGCAGCACCGTGTTGACGCCTTCAGACTGCTCACCTGTCTTTGGCTCGCGAAAGCCATGCTTTTGATTGCCTCGAGCCTTGTAGCACGTCGCGGCTCTTGAATGGCTGCTTTGATGGCTATATCATGATCGTTACCCTGGTCGCTTTCTGATTAGTTGCAAATTATCCAACATAACGGAGTATCGCCTGTGGGGCAAAACATTCTCTCAAACGGGATGGTGTGGGTGCAACGACGCTAATTATCACCCGCATCCGTCTTCAGATCACCGCCCAATTCCACACCATTCCCGCATCCCTCCCCCTGATCCAGCAAGACCCACAAGGTCCGCCCGCTGTTGGGCGTTCGAGGCGGTCTTTCGGCCGCACGCATTCGTCTTCCGAGCACCAACGCTTTCCGTCACTATCGCATTGCACACCTACAACACCTACTCGTCAAAACACAACATTGCTGGATCCTTGTGGCACCACGCTCAGAGATATCAAACATTAAGACCAGACGTCGGGCTGCGGGAGAAAGAAGTAAACATGACTCGGACCAGCGCGAGCGGTCTACCTATGATCAAATGCTCATCCTGTGGTATTGATATCGACATTCTTCAATTAGCAGACCATGTGTGTGCTCCGGCTGCCTCGTCCAGTAAGTCATTGTTTACTTGTAAACAAACTCCCACTGACCCAAGTCTAGCAACGGCAGCTCCAGCCGTAACGCCCCCAGAATCGCCGAAGGTCAATCGTGCTGGAAGTCTTGGTTCCTTCAGCAAACGATCTGAGGGCCAGCCGCCGATGGGTCGTATGCGCCCTCCACCTCGCATCGACTCAAATGCTGCCAGTAAGCCAATGCGCAAGCAACTCTCAATTGACTGTGCTAATGCTAATGCACTCAGACAAACCATTTCGGCCCCTGGAGCCGTCACCAATGAGCAACTACAGTGACCCCAGAAGTCGGTCGCCAATGCTCTCACCAACACCACCTAAATCTCCATATAAGATGAATCGAAGCGCGACAGCCCCAGTACCACGACCGAAGATGGGTCCCCCGTCGCCCAAGATTTCCTCAAATTTAGACTGCGCTTTTCCCCCTTTCCCGTCCAAGAGGAGTGCGACATTCCAAACCGCAAGACCGCAGCAGCGCGAAAGACGAGAGCCCTCGCCACAGCATTTGTATGCTGAACCAAGTCCTCTCTTCGCGCCTCTCAGCCCTAGATTTGATGGTGGAGATAACATCGCGAAGCGCATGGATTCCATTGCGCCAGGTCCGTTCGATGGACGTGCAGACCGCCGGCCAAGTACTTCCAGTTCTTCCAAACCTCCCTCGCCTTTGCCGGAGGCCGCATCCTTTGGCCACAGAAGAACAGGTACTCAAGGTAGTGCCAGGAGTGTCGGAAGCACATCGCGACAGCGTTCTTCTGTATCATCGACAATGTCGCGCGCTTCAGCATATTCGAATAGAAGTGTAGGCTTGCCTGCTCATCCAAAAATGAGCAACAACATCAACAGCATGCCGCCGCCACCTTTACCTGCGTCTACTGAATCGAATGAAGGCATCGACGCTTTCCTTGACCGTCTGCAGAAAGAGAGCATGGGGCCAGCGCACGCGCGCAAGACGAGCGACCCAAAGACTGATCTGAAACGAGATGGAAGCAAAGAGAGGAAGCAGCCACCTCCACGACCAAAGAGGCCTTCTGAGAGCCATTTACCGATATCCGACATGTCTGAGCTCCAACCTTCAGCATTTGTTCCTACACCGATCAACGCGTTCCCTCCTCGAAACGCCAGCATTCGTACTCTTGGAAACGCGAATCAACAGAATGCCGTCCCATCTCGAACAGCGCAACTGCCGCCATTACTGCCGCCTGGTTTTAGCCATGACACTCCGATGAACCCCCTCCATACGCCATCGGATTCCGGACTCTCTGACGACTCCTACGCAAGCTCCGGCTTTAGAAGTGCAGCAAGCTCTCGATCAAGTCCGCCAGCATCTGAAGCCAGTCATTCCCGCCAAGCATCCAAGCTGGGTCGCTCAGAATACCTCGGTGATAGCTTCGAAAGGACCGCCAGCCCAGATTCTTACGCGGGCTCTCCAAAGTATTCTACTGTGAAGGCACCCCTTCGTAGCGCACCAAGCCAGCCGAGATTCAATGCACCAGAACCTATTCCCCCACCATCTCCATCACCCTATGCAGATCTCCCGGAATCACCCATGGACCCCGCCATCCAGCTAGGTATCGCATTCGACCGCCGGCCAAAGCAATCAGCCTCGCGACAAGACTCAGCTCAAAAGGTTGGACATAGCCCTCTAGGAAAATCACCAGACACAGCACCCCGTCGACAAGAAAGCCGACCCGCGTCGAAGGGCAAATGCCGAGGTTGCTCAGAGCCAATTGTGGGGAAATCCGTCAAGGATTCTTCAGGCCGCCTGACAGGACGTTACCACAAGCACTGCTTTGTTTGCAAAACCTGCAGCGATCCATTCCCAACAGCAGAGTTCTATGTTTATGAGAACTCTCCCTACTGCGAACGCCATTACCATGAGCTCAATGGATCTGTATGCGCTTCATGTAACCGTGGCATTGAGGGCCAGTATCTGGAGACAGATGCACGCACAAAGTTCCACCCCAAATGCTTCAACTGTTCAACATGTCGCGTTGTTCTGCGAGACGATTATTACGAGGTCAACGGACAACGCTACTGCGATCGACATGCACACAGCGCCGCAAACCCACCGCAGAGCTTCCTCGGACCTGGTGGCTTCCGACCACGCCTGGAGAAGCGAAGCACTAGACTCATGATGATGGCTTGAGCAGCCCTTCTTACGCCGTCCGGACCCTCGTTACTCACTTTCATCGCACTTGTTTTTCTCCTCTCGTTTCACGTCTTTTTAGCGCCTTTGTTCTTTGTATATGCACGAACGTCTCTCTGCTTCATTCACTTTTATACCCGGCCAGCCCGGCCTTTATTCACCTGATTACGTTCTATATACCCTACATTATCCCATTCGCTATAGAGTGTGTAATAGGCTGCATGGTCGATCTTCTCAAGGACGCCGCCCTGTTTGTCTGGTCAATCTTTTTCAATACCCACAAATACCCCTTTCGTTCACAACTGTATACTATTGTTGGCTCTGTGAGCACTCGTCATCTTGCTGTACATATGAGCTCCGACTTGATATCTGCGTCACTGTAATATTCTAATGTCTACTGTTGGGCCACGATGGTGGTACTGACGACAACCGAACACGTCAATAAATCGCAGAACTCATGCATCAATTACCTTGACCCACCACTGCGACCACTGTTATGCCCAACATTTTTCGAGCAATCGCGACGTGAATTGATTGCAAATTGCTACATCGTAAGAGGGCGAGCTTCGATGTGGCGAGGTAATGATTGTCGCTTCACACATACATGTTCTCTTTGACAACGTGTCAGTCAGATAATAGACTGGAGTAGGGCTATGTTCAAACACCATGATATAAATTTGCTATGCCACTGTATACGCAATCCCGAATTACCAGTTCGACACAGTCGATATTCTTTTTATTCCTTTTCGCTGTCTCCCCAATAGCGGCATATCGCCAGCACTGCATACAGGTGTCAGGTCAGAAATTCTTCATTGAAGACGGAGAAATGGTATATAACGCTCGACCTCTACGCCTTCTAGGACTTCTTTACAACACAAGCACATCAACATCTCCTGCAAAACACAACAAAACAATCAACAGTTTCAACACATTGCATATCAGATCAACAACCATTATCAACAAACACGACAGCATTCAGAATATGAGCACACAAGTCCTCAGCATGATCATGACCGACCTGGGTCTTTCGCCTGTAAGGTCGAGATCGTCGAGGAGTCGAATGCTATACTAACATTGCATGCAGACACCTTCTCCTCCTCCGTCGCCGCCTCCGAACTCTCCTCACAAGCGCGCTCTGCCGCCTTACTCCCCTGTACGTCGATCACTCTTCCCATATTGAAAACTTACTAACTCACTGCTCAGCCCCCTACACCTCCTCCGTCGCCGCCTCGACCAAATGATGGTCATAGCCTGCTGTCTCCACCAACTCCCCCTTGCAAAGATAGCATTGGCGCCAGTTCACCATCCCCGTCCCCACCTCCTTCGCCGCCTCCTTCATCTCCCTCTACTCACAGTCTCGGTGGTTCGCCTTCGCCTTCGCCTCCCCCGGGTCCGCCGCCAAGTTCGCCATCAACTCATAGTCTTGGTGGGTCGCCTTCGCCATCACCGCCCCCTGGGCCTCCCCCCTCCTCTCCGTCATCGCATAGCCTTGGGGGTTCTCCCTCCCCGTCTCCTCCCCCTGGGCCCCCGCCATCGTCTCCGTCTACCCACAGTCTTGCATGCCTACTGATGGCTGGCCTTGTATCTCAATCCCCGCGCCCTCAGGCATGTAGCAACACAGAGGGAAATGTACTGAACATGCTAACTCGTGTGAAGCCGAGTCCCACCCTGCCACCTGTCACTCCACTCAGACATTCTATGGATAGCAGCTTGATCGCATGCTACTAGGGAAGGGGCTTGGGTGAGGATCAAAGTGTATGGTAGAGAGGGGAAAGATGAAGCATGGGCACGAGTATGAGTTGTGAGACCGTTTGGGGTAGGAGATTGATGGGTGGTGATTGGCAGCTACACAATTTCGAATTCTGTAGTACCCAATCATGAATCTATATTAAGTTACGAGGATGATATGTATCAACTTGAGTTGATTTATTGTATGTATGAAGTTGGAGTGCAAGGGAGAGATGGGTCGTCATCTGATGTCAAGATCGGCAAGTTTAGGCGAGTGCAGCTCTCCTCCGAAGGCCATCACGAACTTTTTGCGACCATGACGCCAGTCAGTGCCTCCACCCCGCAATGATGTCGCATACGGAGGAAGACAAAGAGCCTACACCGCAGAGTCATAATGCGCCGGCGCAACGGTCCTCGCGCAGCCTCCTCGCGGTCCCCACGCCAATTAAGCAGCTCTTCGATATATTCCCACTCCTCACATACCCGGTCAACGACCTGCCCCAACGAGCACCCCAGGACCGCAACAAGCATGTCTTGTACATATTTACATCAGAAGACGGTGCGCTGAAGGGACTGCCTTCGTACAACCCTGCGTGCTTGAAGTGGCAGGTAAGAGCTCCGAGTGACGCAATACAACCTCATACTTAGACTGTTGCAGGCCTATCTCAAGTTCTCCAAGATCGACTTTCGAATAGCCTCGGCAAACAACCATGCATCACCGAGTGGTGCTCTTCCCTTCATATTACCCGCTTCGCCTGAACCATACAAACACATCCAGCCGGTGCCATCGGGGAAGTTGCAGAGATGGGCAATGAACAACAGCAAGAAAGCGGTCGAGGAGCCCGGAGACTTGCGGTATGAGGCATATCTGTCGCTTCTGGACCATCGGATACGGCGGGCATGGGTATGTAGAGCCAATGCGGGGCTTGAAGAGCATATACTGACGAGAAGCTAGCTCTACTGCATCTACCTCTCGCACAACTCGACTTCCATCGCAGAGCCCCTCTACATCCTGCCAAGTTCAGGCAATCCCTTCGTCCGCCTCACAATAGCCCGAGAGCTACGCACAGCAGCCGAGAAGGAACTGCTCAAATTCTCGCCTGTCATAAACGCCTCCACCCTCTACAGCCAGGCAGAAGAGGCCTTTGCAGCGCTAGAAACGCTGCTCGACAAGGACGATTGGTTCTTTGGTGCACCGGGACCAGGGCTGTTCGATGCCAGTGTCTTTGCGTACACGCACCTCTTATTGGACGAGGGTCTCGGAAAGGGCTGGCTAGACACGCGTCTGCGTGACGCGCTAATGTCGCGAAAACGCCTGACCTCGCACCGGAACCGCATTCTGAGCACTTACTTTCCGGGACAGTCCTAGTTTGTACATCTTGCTGCTGTATTATATGACGCATATTCGGTGCCATGATGAGGAAAGGGCGCATGTGTACGAGATCACATGGGCTCAAGGCACAGCTCGAGCGTTGGGACCATGCAAAGAACCTAGTGAATGACTTTTCAAAACTTTCAGGGCTTCTGAGTACAATGCGCGCCGTCATGCACGTAGCGCAAACCAGAGAATGGTAGATGCACTTGTGAGTCATTCAACGGGAAGCTGCACGACATGTTGCCAAAAGCGGAAGAGTGGCATTTTAGGCAGGGCGCGCAAAAGAGTCAGCGGCATATATATAATCCGCTTCAGGCACCCGTTGAAAAGGCTATCAAGCCTCAGGTTCTCGACTCCAGCTTTTGCCACAAGCTCGCAGCTAAGTGGGGTATATATAAACTTCCCGATTCGTCGATCATCTTTGAGTACACCACCAATTAAGCTCTACACCAACATACCATATTTCCTTTGATCACTGCATCAGGGAAAAAATCTAGCATACCTTCGAACACCACCGCTGCGATGACGCAGCCAAACAACGTCCACATGACTTTCGATACGTCCCTTGTCGACCTCAACCCCAATGCATCCTTCTCGACCACCGAATCGGACCCGTCAGATTTTGGTACTGCGAACTTCACTGCCAAGACTCCTACGATTCAGCAGCCATCTCTTTTTGAAGATCAGAGCCAGGAAACACCAAAGCAGTCACAGACTCTCTCGCCCAATCTCCCCTCACCAGCATCCAAGTCCTCAACACCAGTCCAGCACATCGGAACACAACAAGCATACGACCAATGGGCAACAGTATATGATTCCGATGGTAACATGCTTCAAGCCATCGACGACCTCGAGCTCGCGATCCTCCTCCCGCAATTCCTGGCGCAAGTCCAAGACAGCGTCACCACACCCACCATCTCTCTACTAGATCTAGGCTGCGGAACAGGACGCAACACGCAGAAACTGCTCGACTTCGCCCTCGCACCCAACCGACGAAGTACCGTTGTCGGCCTCGACTTCTCAAAGGGCATGCTAGATCTCGCCGCTGAAAAACTCTGCACGTATAACGACGGTCGACTCAGACTCGAGCAGTGCGATTGCTTCCCCACAGCCACCAACACGTCTGCGCCCCCGTTTCCATCGGTTGTTGGCCTTACGCCCGTCAACGCAGTCCTCAGCACCCTCGTCCTCGAACACGTTCCGCTACCATCCTTCTTCTCCACGTTGTCTACACTACTTCTGCCTGGTGGGCTTGCACTAGTGACAAACATGCACGCTGAAATGGGCGCCAAGTCGCAGGCGGGGTTTGTGAATAAGGACGGTGTTAAGGTTAGGGGGGAGAGCTTCGCGCATACGGTAAGGGATACGGTTGATGAAGCGACAAGGGCGGAATTTGAGGTCTTGGGGGTGAAGGAGAGGGAGGTGGGGAGAGAGGATGTGGAGGGTGGGATGGTGGGGGAGAGGGGGTGGAAGTGGGTTGGTGTTAGGGTTTGGTACGGGGTTGTGCTTAGGAAGATTGTGTGATAGGTGATGTCTGCTGGAAAAGTAAGTTCTGTCGATTTAATGATGTTATGAGCAGTAGTTCTAGGCTGAGAGGTGGGATATGCAAGGCTGGATATGAGGTGCGATAAACAAGGAGCCTTAATCATGAAATCTCTTGTTGAAATATACAACCTAACCTGCTCTCCGTCATGCGAACTCATAAACCCTTCACTACTTAGTCAATACGGAGTTACGATCTTCCCGGTGTTGTAAGGTGCGTTGCCAATGCCGACCAGCATGTTCGGCGTTCGAATTCCGTGGCTCACTAGTGCCCTCACTTCATCCATGCATGTAAGACCGCACCTCCAACTACAAAAGCTCAAATCAGGTTCATTGTGTTAACTTCCTTGCTCACAACACGAACTTTTATGATTGCTGATCCAACCGGAATATGGGTTCCAAGACTCCAGAAGGTCATGGGCAGGGCCCAGATGGTATGTACGCGATCGACTGTCTTGTCGATTCATATTGACGCATCGAACAGGATCTTCCTCTAACACTGCGATCAACTGCTCAAACCCGCCTAAGTCAGCCGCAGCTAGTGGGCTCGTTCATGTTGCGCTCGAAGGGCAGGGCGAGGATAGTGATGACGACGATGAACAAATTCGACTTCACTTGAATGGCAGTGGTGCGAACGGTACCAAGAAAAAGCGAAAGCGTACCAAGAAGAAGAGCAAAAAAGCTTCCGAAACGAAGCAGTCTATTCCTCCTAGAATCGCCCTCGACGACATCTTCAACGGTCGACCGTACCCCGAGGGTGAGATCACTGAGTACACCACTAAGGACGACAATCTCCAGCGCACCACAGCAGAGGAGATCCGCCACCTATCCGCAGTCGCTAACATGGACGACGACTTCCTCCACGACTACCGCAAAGCCGCCGAAGTCCACCGCCAGGTCCGCCAACACATCCAAATCATCGCCAAACCCGGCATATCCCTTTCCACCCTCGCCCTCGAAATCGACAACGCAGTGCGCTCCCTAACCGGCCACCCCGGCCTCGAGAAAGGCGACGCTCTCAAAGCCGGGATCGCGTTTCCCACAGGCCTATGTCTGAATAACATCGGTGCGCACTGGACGCCCAACGCGGGCGGCAAGGAAGTATACTTCCAGGAGAATGATGTGCTCAAGATAGACTTCGGCGTACACGTCTCCGGCCGCATCGTCGACAGCGCATTTACCATCGCCCCCAACCCTATCTACGACCCGCTCCTCGCCGCTGTGCGCGCAGCTACTAACACGGGGCTGCGCCTCGCGGGCCCCGACGCGCGCATTTCGCACATCAGCGCGGAAATGGAGGAGGTCATGGAGTCATATGAAGTCGATATACATGGCAAGACTGTCCCGGTCAAAGCAGTGCGCAACATCACGGGACATAATATCCTGCGCTACAAGATCCACGGAGATAAACACGTGCCGTTTATCGCGAGTAAGACGTCCCAGCGTATGGAGGAAGGCGACATCTTCGCTATCGAGACGTTTGGATCGACGGGGAAGGCTGTATTGAGGGATGGTAGTGGAGTTTATGGATATGGAAGGAAGGAAGGGGGAAGTGTCGCGGGGGTACACCATGCGTCAGCGAAATCCCTGCTGCGAACCATTGATGAGAACTTCGGGACGTTGGTGTTTGCGAGACGCCAGCTTGAGAGACTGCCGGGTGTGGAGAAGTGGCATTTGGGCATGAAGACGCTGGTGCAGGCCGGGGTGGTGGAGTCTTATGCGCCGCTGGTGGATGTGGAAGGGAGTTATGTTGCGCAGTTTGAACATGTGAGTTTTGAGATAGGGATGATGAGATGATGAGAGGCTAATGAGGGGTAGACTGTGCTGCTGAGGCCGAATTGTAAGGAGGTTGTTTCTAGAGGGGATGATTACTAGGAAGATGGAGATGGAGGGAAGAATGGGGGCGACTTCAACACTTGTTCGCTATGTGTTGAGTCTATGGGGTGCAATTCAACTTGCGCAATGGAGCTTGGAAGAATGCATGGATGATACATAGCTATCATGCTTGGGCTTAAGAGTCTAGTATTCTGGCCTCTCAAGCCCAGCTATCCGAGCAACAACTAGGCCGTTTTCTTTTCTACCTGTCCTTCATTGCGGGCCGAAGCCTACTTCCTATATATGAGGATGTACCGATGCAATGTTGTTGGCAAGATAGCGTAGTTGTTTTGAGTTCCTTGAGCATATTTTATAGTATTTACTTTTAGTTCTATGAGAATAGTCGTGATAAGTGTACGCCCCAACATTTCCTGTATTTGAAAGTTCATGGAAAGCTCGAGGGAAGGTCTCGGCTAGCGCCGACACGGCATATGCTGTCCAAAAGCCATGTCTAGCGTATTTATATGTGTCGTCCCAAAGGCTGAACCAGTAGGTATGGTTAGATTCGTGCTCTTGACTTTCATGCAGATACTCCCTTGAATTATTCCACAAAGGACCTAGGTAGTAACATTGAATGTGATGTCAGACGCAGGTCTGCACCCACCACGCCAGCATGCCAAAAATGTTACATTGATCAATACACGTTCAGAATAGTACATATCGTACAAGCTTCCTGTCTTGCCTTGCATGTGGTCGAAAAATGCAGGCGCAAGCGGGTCGGGTGGTGTTCTGTCATACATGCAGTGGGGCTGAGCTTATTTAGCCAAGCCGCTGCTGCCTAAGGTAATTCTTTCGGAAGTGACCAAACAGTAACATCGTGCCGCATTGCTCTGTCATGCAATTAGCGGACAGTTGATTATGAACCATTGTCCACACAGAAGCAGCGTGGCCTTCATGCACTCGGAGATATGTCTAGACAACCCTCGGAAGACGTCCCACAATATCTTCGTTACAAGCCTGGATTCGAACGGAGCAAAGATGAAGGGAATCGTCCAGACAGCCGGACAAATGCACCGCATATGCGCATCCTTGCATCTTTGCACGATGCCAATACATCCCTGCATCGTCAAATATTCCGGAGTAGGGCCAACAACCTCTGTGCGAACTGTTCAAAGATGGTTCCATTCGACCATACCGCTCAGCTTGATACAGATGCGATGATGGGGCGGTATGGCTTCGAACTCCTTCCAAGATATGTTGACGAAGCTGGGCCGTTTATGCGGAATACCACTTACCCGTGGTACCTGAGTACCAAGAACGCGAATTCTTGTAAGCTATGCCATATACTGCAGAGATATGCATCGGAGCTTGGAAGAGGAGAACATCATGTGCAAGGTCACGACACTCAGAAGACGAGTTCGCCAGTCAAGATCCGAGGGTATTTTCATCCGACACAGGTACACCACTCTACGAGACGAGCTACTATCATGACTGATAGCTTGTAATAGAACGTACTGAGGATAGAGCTTCAGCGCGATGTGCAAAAAATCCGTCTGTTCATGTATGCTGCGACCCGATGGCCGTCCCCCGAAGACTACAGAGACGATCGACTAGTACGAGATATTCCTACTCGGAGCATCGACTTCGGAAAGATTTCGCGCTGGGTCCATGATTGCGATGAGGCGCATAATCACCCTCCCATGAAGTCCCGATGGTCATTCAAGTGGTTCGGTCTTCCAGAGAGCTTTCGGCTAATTGACGTCGCTGCACAAAAAGTTACTCGCGCCGTGCGGGCACCTCGCTATGCAGCTTTGAGTTATGTCTGGGGCAGCTGCGAGCAGTATGTGCTTTCGCGCAATGATCTTCAGGCGCTAGAGCAAGACGGCGCACTTGAAAAGCTCACACTCGCCCGTGTCGTCAGAGACGCTATGGTTGTGTGTAGACGCCTCAGTATTCCATACCTGTGGGTAGACAGCATTTGTATCTGTCAGGATGATCCCCAAAGCAAACATAACCAACTAGCTATGATGGATGTCATCTACTCAGCTGCACATGTAACACTCGTCGACGGAAGAGGCATCGATGCGAACGACGTGGGCTTAGCAAGAGTCTCTACGCCCGCGCTTAGAACAAACGACGATATTATCATCGATCATGTCAAATACGTCATACTAGAGGATCCCATATCGGCAGTTGAAAGGTCGCAATGGCGCTCACGTGGCTGGACATTACAGGAGACAATGTTGTCGAAGCGCTTACTTGTGTTTCTTGAGACAGACTGTCTCCTCATATGCTCAAGTGGCGTGCAGGCGGACTCCTTCCATGACCAAAACCACTTTCCAATCTCCCTACAGTTTTACAAAATGGATATTGCAGATCTCGGTGGCTCTATCGCCAAGTGGTATGATGAAACTCGCAAAGACACGAAAGATTTTCGATCTGCACAAAAGGCATACCATGAGGGTGTTTTAACGGCACTCAACGACTATCTCCCGCGAAACCTCTCATTCGAGCAAGATATCGAGAACGCGTTCCTGGGGATTGAGTGTACATTTGAACAATCTCTTGGGGTTTTCCATCACGGCTTGCCGACGAAATTGTTTGCAAGAGCTCTTATGTGGACAAGCCGTGATTACCTACACCTTACAAATTCGGAGCGAGATCACTTCCGTCTTGAACGACGTCCTGGCTTTCCCAGTTGGTCCTGGTCAGGGTGGAGTTTTGGGAAGTTTTGGGGACGAGCTACCATTGGAAATGACGTCGGACTTGTGTTGCACTGGTGTCCGTTGATATATATCTGGGGTTTCAATGACTCAATGGACATGATTCAACTCTCCAACGATTATAACGAAGCCGAAGGCGCGGAAGGCTATACGGAGTTATTAGACGGTTTTGCTTCTCTAGTTTACCGCATCCGTCCCGTCCCAGACGATCGGTATCCTCCAACCTTGCCGACCTTGGATCATGGAGCAGCTTTATCACAACACGATATCATTTTCTGGGCAAGCTGTGCAGTCTTTGAGATATCGCACGAGCCAAAATATCCACTCAATAGGCAGGGGTTTGGCACTTACGTGATACGCTTTAGTACGAACAAGGCTGGACATGAAAACCTTATTGTTTTGAAAGGGGATTTCCGACTGGGAATGCATGGTGGACTCGAATTCGTTGCTGTTGCAACATGTCTCAATGGAGACTTGGATTGTATCGCTATTCAGTGGTTACGTGGCAAAGCTTACCGCATTGGGGTTCCGTATTCACGCATCCCTGTGAGACAGTGGATCGATGCCAAACCGACACGCAAGTTGGTTGTAATGGGATGAAATCAGTATAGCTGGCTTCTCAAATTCCAAAGTATACATTCATTAAAACTCAAGAAAGCTCCAGGCGCTGCTAAGCGCCCATCTCCGGGCTGTGCACTTTGTGGCAACGCCTGTGCCGCAACTTATACCTATAAGACCCAACTGTTCGCCGATGAGGTACGAAACAGTATCTCAATACCCGGACACTGCGAGAATAATGAAAATATCTTGGACCGCCCCCCTGCTGCTCTACGGTGAGCCGGCAACCATATCATCGTCACTCGAGACCCGATTTGGCCTATCGTTCAGCCCAACCACGATCATCGCGTCTCGATTCAATGCAACAGGCTCGATCGAGCTTCAATCATTTCCTGTGAGTGCTTCATACCAGGAATACTACCAAGAAGCAGTGGAGAAAGATCACGCATTAAGCGACGATTTTGACGAGGCTAGAGTCAAAAGCATTTTCGAAAGCAACATAATCCCAATCAATACTAGTCTCACCGAGCAACTGGACCACACACCTGAATTCGCAACCCTATTTACGCCGTCCATTTTCGACTGGAAAACGATTTTGGCAGCTGGCGAGGCAGTTTTCAAAGACGCACAGTACATGACAAGAGCAGCACCATCTCGGCAAGCAGCATGCTACGGATTTGGATTCTTGCAATGCAGAAACCTCGGGCGCTCCCTGTCTGAATGTAACGACCATGATCCAGAGAGTTTAGTGCTTCTCTTCGAATACGAAAAAGAGTATCTTTACGTCTGGCTAGTGTGGGTGTCATTTGAACTCGAGGTTCATTCTGCGGAACATGAGAAGATTTGTAAAGATTGTGGAGAAGAATTTCGTGAAGTGAGTTGCTGGATCCACTTGTTCCAAGATCAAGTATACTGACACAATTGCAGGCAATCGGCGAAGCAGCATACCAGGAACGCATCAACAAATTTGTGCAAGACTTCCTTGTTCAACATGTACTGCCGGAACATAAGCGCGAACACATACGAGCCATCATTATTGCAGGCGAGGCATCAGCGGCAGCTGTGAAAGAGCTTGGTGATGCGGCCCTTGAAGTAGTAGGAACTGAAGAAGTTAAGCTACTGACAGACTTCGAACCGTCAGAAGTTGTCGCTCACGGAGCTGCTGTCTTCTCTCGTTTGACACAAGAGCACCCGGAACATTTTGGTACAACGACTGGGAATATAATACCAGATGACAAAGAATGGGCCGAAATGCAGGCGCGCATAGAACGGGAGAATGAAGGGCACAGTGAGCTATGATGAGGTGAAAACTGGCTAGCTGCTCTTGAAAGACTTACTTGTCTTAGCAAAGATGTACCCTGGTATAACTCTGAATCAAAATATTTACCTTCTCTGCCTCTGACCTCAGCAAGTCTGACCGTGTGCTTAGCGCGATGATGACTAATAACTTAACGTTATGATGAATTTGCAAATCTCCCGATCAACTTTTCACTCAACGCTATCGCTTCAACAACACCACTACTGCACCTTACTTTTGCCTTCGTCTGATGAGAGCACGTTGAAGTAAATAACGTCTATGGTAAGATGCCTCATGATAGGAACAGGACTAGCATCGGCGCCCCCGTTCGCTGTCAGGGGCAGAGGCTGAAATTAGCGCGCCACCAATGGGCCGATTGATCGCTTCGAGGATACCACGCGAGCGGCCCGTCTTCGCGAACCCTCCTTGAGGGCTAGCAAGGCTGCCCAAATGGTCTGGATTCATTGTTGGCGGAAATTCTGACCTGGATTGAGCAAGTGGCTGATATTGAGGCGCGTTTTCCGAGGCTCCTGGCGAGGCTGCTCAAAGCTACAACTTACTCGCGAGAAGGGATCACTATAGCAAGATGCGTTAAATAAGAGCCATACTCATCATATTTTTTCTCGTCACGGTTTCGTTTCACTGCTATTCACTCAGAGTTCTAGTCACTCATTTCGTGTGCTCGTCTTTTATCATTTAATCCCACGATCTTTACTCATAATGCGAAGCACACTCCTTCTACTGGCAGTTTCTTGCCTTTCTGTCTTTACCAGCGCTCAAAAAATTAGTAAGACCGGACGCTGTGGAGCACAGTCCGGGCTCACGTGTCAGGGTAGTTCATTCGGCAACTGCTGCAGCCAGTACGTGGTCTATGGAATCTACAGCTAGCTTTCTTTGCTAACTCTCGTAGGTACAACTACTGCGGTTCGAACCCAGCCTATTGTTCAACTGGCTGCCAGCCGAAGTTCGGAACGTGCAAAGCTTTACCTGCGTCCGCGCCCTCCGCTGCCTCCAAGCCGAAGAGCAAGGTATCCACCGACGGTACCTGTGGCGGACGCAACGGCTTCACGTGTTCGGGCTCGCGATTCGGCTCTTGTTGCAGTCAGCATGGCTATTGTGGAAAATCGAGCGCGTACTGTGGCGTAGGATGTAACCAGAAGTTTGGCACATGCTCCAATGCCGGGGCCTCATCCAGCACACCATCTAGCTCATCTACCACGTGCTCCACGCTCGCGACTTCTACACGGTCTTCTTCAGCTACAGCTTCGCCTGCCTCCTCGTTAAAGGTTTCTTCGAACGGCCGATGTGGAAACGCATACAAAGCCAATCCTGCTGGCATGACGTGTCAGGGTTCGGTATATGGAGATTGTTGCTCTCAATACTCGTATTGCGGAAGCACATCTGCCTACTGCGGAGGAGGTTGCCAGGGAGGCTTTGGCAAATGCAACATCGGGTCATCCTCCTCTGGTCCATTGACTATATCGTCCGCCTCTATGACTGCTCATTCACAAGTGTCGTCCGTAGGGCCGTCAGTCTCGAGTAGTGCAAGCCAGAGCATGGACTTCTCTTCAAGCTCTCTTGTCACACCCGAGGTTTTGGAGACCTCGTCATCCATCATGCTCAGTTCTTCTAGCACGTCCACAGCTGAGCCTATCACATCGAGTATTACCATCACATCGAGTTCAACAACAGACACACCTACTGTCGTTTCCCAGCTCGACCATTGACATTATCACTAGCTCAGCCATCGTGCCCGCTTCCGAGACCGCCTCTTCGTCTTCTGGTTCCAGCCCTGCATCTTCAATGAGCTTGTCATCCTCATCCGAGGCCACTACATCATCGTCAATGGTTACATCGGTCGTCAGCTCATCAGAAGTACCAACACCCACATTGCACCCCTCTTCTGTTGAGACTGCATCGAACGCAGCAGAGACCCCAACACTGACACCAGAAGTCTCTTCGCCGGTTGAAACACCAATGCCTTCTTTGAGCACCTCCACTGTCGAGCCTACCTCCATTGTCGAGCCTACCTCAAGCGCACCCGCTAGCCCCACACCGACACCCGAGCCCTCGACTTCAGTTGAACCATCACCAACCTCTTCCACGTCCAGCTGTATCCCCACTCCCACGAACTATCTTGCAAACGGCAATTTCGAATCTGGTTCTGTTCAACCATTCGTGTTTGGCTCTAGTGCACCGGGCACTACCAACCAGATCAACGCTGCTGCAGCCCACTCTGGCAACTTTGGCTTCCATGTGCAGCAAGTTTCGCGCGTCTCTATTACTAACGCAATTTGGCAATTTGCTCAACAAACCGTCAAGATCCCTTCCGGTACTACAGTCAGCTGCTCTTCATGGGTCAACGCGCTACGTACTCCGGTCGTACAAGTATTGACCTACATTTACATCGATAACACGCTGTGCCATTTTGAGGCTGTCACGAAGAATGACTGGACGAAGCCTACGGGTAGTGTCACTGTTTCTGGTGACACTCATACTGTGTTGTATAGGGTCATTCTACCTGTTAACAACTTCAACTACGTTGGCCCGCTGTTTGATGTGGATGAAATCTCCATCACGCCGATGACTGGTCCGGATGCTGTCGCGTCTTGTTAAGAGGCTTCAGGCTGCAGAAACATACTGCGGTCGAGGAAGCAGGGCAACAGCGTAACCGAGAAAACGCTCGGGCACGGTACTGAAAAGTAGACGTCCTCTGTTTACTAAAATTACTACATACACAAAGCATATAGACCTAATATTATGAACACACGTTCCATTGGAAGGGACAAAAGCTCCACTACCGTTTGTGATTGCTTATGAGCTACACTCTCGTGCTGGCTAACAGTCACATCTTAACTCTAGATTGAAGGATCCGTCATTAAACTTGCTGCACAATTTTCTAAGACAACACCACTGTATATCGTCAAACTTGTTACACTAATACCAAAAATTGGCAAAAATTATGATCACACTTGCGTAATCTGCACTCATTAATTTACTCGTTAAAAGTCTAGCAGCTACTGTTGTCTTTCTGTTGACTTTGTACGCATAGCGTGTTACGTATGTTCCATATCAAGAACTACAGTCAATTCTTATGTTCCCAGTCTTCAACGGTAAGATTTAGTTCTGGTCCGATTAAGCAATTTGACAAGTACCTGGAAGTCGCTCAAGACGTGTCGTGATGCGCGCCAGTCGCCAAGATCGTTTTCGCTGTGCCAGTAAAACGAGGCAAAATTGAAGACTAATGTCGTCCAAATCACCGTCATTGCATTGTTGCCATCTCAACATTCTCCATGAACTGGGGCAAGAAGCTCACAACAATAATTAACCCAATATGCTGCAGCCTATACATTCTTTCTGTGTATTGTCTATCATGGATGTTGAATTTCACACCCCACGAGCTAGAACAAAGCTATCCCAGTAGTTGTAGCAGTCGTGGCGATCCACGAAAAGAGGCAGATATGTCGCCTCCCATTCTTTCCCAATATGCGAGGTCCAACGAGCCTTGCAGTACTCCCAGTAAGCAGGGTACCATCCAGATTGGTGCCAGTCTATGATAGAAATAACTTGAGGATGTATTCCTGGTGAAATGATGATATTGCTGGGGTGTAAATCAGCGTGTGTGAAAACAATTGGCACTTCATCTGGGAGGAATTGCCGATTCGGGTGTGGTGGCTGGTTTCGATCGTGTTTTCGCGGCCCGTATGAAAAAGTGAACCAGTCGTGAAACTCAGAGACGCTTGAAAACGGCCCAGCGGTTGGGGAGCAGCTGCTTTCGAAGATAACATCGAGCAGTGGTTGCCGACCGACGTGACCTTATGGACTTAGCAGAAGGTCGAGTGGACGTATGGGAAGTGACAAGCAATTGCGTCCGCTTAGCAAAAAGTTCTAAGGATTGCGGGAGCAAATATCAACTTACCAATAAAAGCGACGTTAGAATCACACTCGAGACTGCGCAATGCATTTATCATGCGCCGTAACTGTTCGCATATAGCCAGCCTGTCTTCCTCTTCTAAGCCTTCCCAGCTCTTCTCAAGAGTAACGCCGTCTATCAGCTCCATATAGATGAATACCTGCCCGTCGTCCTTACACCATTTATATACCTCAGGGACAGGTATGTCTTGGAGAAATCTGCTGCGTATAAATAAGAGACATTGGCCTTCCGCGATCGTCACCTCCGTCCCGTATTTTACACATAAACTTAGACTTGGGAAATACACAGGTAGGGGGCGATTTCGACGTTTTGCCCTGGGATCCTTGGAGCGACTCGCAACCTCTCTTACTGCGCTTGGTGAAGGGAGAGAAGTCAAATCATATTTCTTCAAAAAGGATGAGTCGAGGAACACGACCTCGTCATCGTATGGAAAACTGGCCATCTCCAGGTGGGGCGAATTTCCAACGTTTCGTTTATTTGCGCGATCGGCACTATTGTCATCCACTTGTAGAGAAATCGTTCTTTGAATTTGAATTATTTGCAGGCTTGGGAAAGGCTGATGGGCTGCATGAGGTGGGGACGGTCGAAGTCTGTGTAACCGAGGTGTAGAAGATCGATCGCTGTTGAACTTCAGGGTTCGATTTTATTTGTCAAGCATCTCAAATCCATAAGCCCTGATTAGCCATCTCTCTATGAATTGAAAAACATGCGCTCTGTAAAACCTGAATCATTATTTGTATTGCGGGTGGGAATAACTTGGCATTCTCGCTGCTCCATCTGCTGACGCGCAATCTGCTAGACTAACCAGGCGAAGACGCATCTCGTCATGATCATTGACATACCGTTTACAGGTGACTGTAGACAGAACACAGGACGAGAGACATTAAAACGTACAGCAGGATAAGATGTAAAGTTAAGGGAAGTACCATGATGGTTTATAGCTACATCGGAGTCATCAATATCCTGAGTCTCGTCCTCCCGGGCCACTCATAGGCAACCAAGAGCGCCTTAAGATTTTGCCTGGTCTCATAACTTCGAGTAAGACCGTATCAGTCAAATAGTATACATCTCGTTACACTCATCTGCCCCTTCAAGACCAGGGATGGCCATCCTTTCCGAGCTTGGCGTTCAAGAAAGCGCGGCTGAGCAAGTTGTCACGAACAATTTCATCCTTGTGGGCCTCCATCTCCTCGACATCCCCTGTTGATAGAACCTCATGTCAGAATTGTAGGAAGTTTTAAGCAATTGGGGGCAGACTCACAGTTGACGCTGACTATGCCGCCACGCAACCATTCGGCGCGAGGGGTAGACAGGAAGAGTGTCCAGCTGGCACTGAGCTCGGGAGTGTCCTTCGCAAACGGCTTCAACGCATCGACCGTCATTCCCGTTAGAACAATTCCCGGAATGAGCTGGAAAACACGAATGTTTGGCTGCTCGGCGTGCAGATTTTCCATGATGCGGGTAAGGGCCGTCTTGGACGCCGTGTAGGCTCCCATACCTGGGAAAACATTGGCGATGGCGCCTGTTGTGAAGCTGATGACAGTACCAGATCCGTCTGCCTGGGCGAGGAATTGGTGCGTCACTATGTACGTGCCCAGAACGTTTACCTGGAAGTCCGCGAAGAAGTCCTTAGGTTCGGTGCTACCCACCATGCCCCCTCCTAGACTGCCTGCGTTGTTGATCAGCACATCGATCTTGCCGACCGCCTCTTTGGCAGCGGCGAAGAGCGCCGCGACCGATGCTTCGTCAGTGATGTCGGCTGCCTTGGCGAGGACTTTGGTGTCGGATGGGGCAAGACTCTTGAGTGACTTGGCGACGCTCTCAAGCACATCGGCTTTCCGTCCAGTAATCACGATTCCAGAAGCTCCCGCGGTGGCCCATGATTCGGCGATGGCCTGCATGCGTTAGTCACGGAAAAGGACAATCGAGTCTCGAAAATCGTGCTTACCTTGCCTATGCCTCCGGAAACGCCTGTGATGAGTACTGTCTTTCCTTTTGCTGAAAGCTCTGGCTGCGTTGGCTCCAGCAGTGGATAGACATCACGGCGGATTTGCTTGGTCAACTGGTAGGGTAGGGTGAATGCGTTGGGGTCGGAGTAATCCATTGTAGCTGCGGAGTCGTGATCTTTTGTTTGGGGAAACGAGAGATTAATGCTTGAATCAGAGTTTGAAGAGTGTAAAGAACTTAGTGTTGGCAGGCGCATACACATATGTAGGACGTTTAAGGAACCACGCACGGACCTCTGCACCACTGGAGAGGCGCAATCAACCGATTGGGTCAAGCGTCCTTGCACATGCTGTGGGGTCCTTTCCTTCCCGCGCGCCCCTTCCGCAGGGGCTGTGCGCTAGGTTGGGGACTCGGCTCGCGCAGGCGCACTAGCTTATTTCAATCTTAGTGCTCAGCTCAGCTCCGCCGTTGGACAAGAGACTACCCGCTCACACCCAAGCTGACGTGAGGTCTAGATCATGTTGGCCCCCAATCCTGCGTTGTAGGGATATAGACGCCAGGATCCCCAGGTCGGAGTGTCCATATCCAGGATGGCTGCGAACGCGACATTTAGGCTGAGCTTCTGTCCTACCCACTGCAAGGCTGACTGCACTAGCTGAATGTCGCCTGTGCATTTCGGACTCCGATTCCACTGGACCAAGGCGTAGATACGCAAACAGTCCCGTTTATATTAATTCAGATATCAGTGTTTTCAGCTCTGATTGGCAGAACGAGACAGTATCGTGCGATGCTGTGCCACTTGACAGGCTTGTAACCCGCAAATACCTTGTTGTAATGTGCATTACGCATCATCAACTAATGTGGCGCTGCATATTGTGGATGCGATGTAAGACCTAGGCTGCACGCCCTGGAGCAGCCAATACGATGACAAAGTCATCTCACGATAACACTATTACATCAGCCAGAGGCATTTTGGCCGCACGTTGACAGTTCCCGATCCCAGTACACCCAGGATGTTCGGGTGCCTAGCGCGCCTGGAGGAACTAGATCTCCGATTGGTCTTGCACAGGAGAAATCGAAAGCTGCTAGCGCGCTATGTACCCGAACGCCCTGCAAGGCTGTGAATGTGTAGCTGTGGCGGTGAACACTACATTCTAGTAGTCTACGGCGTCGTTCAGATAAGTTCCTATCATTAAATCGAGAAGGATTCGAATTCCAAGACCTTTTTAACCGAACTCCTTTCACACGTGAGATCGATATCGTGGCGTACACATAAACCTGAATCCAATAAACCATCCAAAGTGAAAAAGGTTTGTTCTTTATAGGTACATCACGCTCTCCCACTATTCGGTTTGGCCATAAGTTTTACTTCTTTCACTGCAACTTTCCGATGGCGTCCATCTCCCAACCATCTAGCAGACCCATCAGCCAGTTCTCCCGGGTCGAATCATTTTCGCAGATCTTCCGACAGTCCATCTGGCAGCAGTACCGTGATCTAGAAGCCTCGTCTGTGGAGGCCAGAACTAAGCTTGCATACGAGCGAGCGCGAAGTCTCGTAAAGGCACTCGGTAAGAGAAAACAACAACAACCCGGAAGGTACGGTCAACTCTGATATCGACGTCTAGGAGTAACGATTGAGGACATACAGTCACTGAAGCCAAAATTCTGGGACTTTCATCGTCATGGTAAGAGCTGATCCCTCACTCTCATGACAATTTGGACGTTTCAGCGCTCATCTTCTACTAGCATTTACACCCGACTCTGGTGCGTGGACTATCCTAACCATCCACTGGAACCTCTGCATGGGCACAATCGGTTCATTTCTTCCTGAGAGACCGGACCTGCTTCCTTTGCTCAAGGCTTTGGAGCGTTTCGATGTATGTGGCGAGTTTCTATTGACCGAGTTGGGCCATGGGCTGGATGCGAGAAATCTTGAAACCACAGCGACCCTACAAAGCGATGGCTCCTTCGTGCTTCACACTCCCCATCCTGGTGCAGCCAAGACAATGCCCCCAAGTTCTCCGCACTCTGGTATGGGTCGCACGGCTGTTGTCTTTGCCCGGCTCATGATAGCTGGTAAGGACCATGGCGTACGCCCATTTATCACACCTCTGAACGATGCGTCGGGTGTGATGGCCCGCGGTGTTTCATGTACCTTGTTCCCCGCTCGTCCAGGAGCGAAAGCAATCGACCATTCTTCGACGACCTTTAATCATGTACCACTACCCGCTGGAGCCCTACTCGGGAACGTTCATGGCTCGCTCGAGGACGAACGGTGGGCCTTCCTGCACGCCATCCACCGCGTGACTGTCGGCACACTTTGCCTCTCTACAAGCAATGCCACCGTACTTCGCGTGGCCGGCTGCATCGCTGGTAGGTATAGCGCGCAACGGCGGGTCGGTGCGCCCAAGTCCGTCCCTATTCTCTCTTTCAGCACTCAGTACGGCCCGATCGCACGAATCCTTGCACACGCCGTGGTCTTTGACAACTGGGCCTTAGAATCTGCGAATATGTTCATGGCAAATGTCGGAAAGCTAGACATGCAGAACGTAATCGGTGGCGTGTTCAAAACCACTGTTCTCAGCTACACGCAGAAGGCAATGAGCGACCTAGTGGACCGTTGTGGCTGGCAAGGTCTTTACGCTCACAACCAAGTCAGTCAACTCATCGCCCAAATAACTGATTTGTTTGGCAATGATCGACTGTTACTAATCTCTTTCAGATTGCCGAACTATGGCTCGCCGAAAAGGGCAACAGCATCGCCGAAGGAGACTTTGTAGTCCTTTGCATCCGACTTGCAAGTGAGGTCCTCCTCGGGCGGTACGAACCGCCCAAAGCGCGCGACCCGCTGTGCCTCCTTGCGCTCCACGAAGCTGGAGTCTGGGACGAGGCTCGGCAGATATTTGCGTCCCTTAAAGGCGGACACCGCGGCCCAGAATTCAACGCCCGCATCTTGCCACTGTCACTGCCATTGGTTCAAGCTACAGGCCATCGTATGGCATATGAGGCTGCTAAGGATGCTTTGCTACACGGTAGCGCTCATGGTCTTGCTGTGACGCCGGAAGTATTGAACTTGTACGAGTCCACCTGTATGATGGAAGATCAGAGCTGGTATGTGGAAAACGGTGTTATGTCACGGCAGGAGCTGCTGGATCGCAATGTCGACGCGGTGAGTTCCATGTTACCGTTGTTGGGAGACATGATCAACGATCGGGAAGTGGATGCCTTAATCAATGCGCCCATGGTTGAAAAAGATAGGCTGTCAGCCTTTTTCTCCAGCTTGTCATCATATCATGGGCCAGGAACAACCGTTCGTGCCAAGTTGTAAGAGTCGATCAATTCGTTAGTCGACATTTAAAAGGGAGCCGAGAAGCGGCAATGTATAATTAATATTATTATCTGAAGTACGTCGTTCATTATCCTCAAGACGAATGGCCAAATTGAGTCGAAATATGCTCGTCCTCTTCCATCACGCCGACCCCAAGTTTCCGACATCTTTACTGACATCCAGCTCTTGCGATCCATTTACATTCGCATCAGCTTCGAACCGGAAACAAAACTCACCTTAACGTTGTGATGCACGTCATGCTCACGCGAAATGATTTCCAGCCAGCGCTTAATGACCTTCTGGCGTATACATATAGCCTAAATGCTAACCATTCCATTAGGCGAAGTGGAGCGGAGGTTCGAGGATCAACAATTTCTTCTACAAGGACAATTAGCTCTCGGTGTCCGAGAACTTGCGTGGCATCACTGATAAAAATAACGGCGTGACTTGGATGGATTTGTAAAGCCACACTATCTGGGTATGGTGTTAAGTATCATGTCTCGTACAATCATTTGTGCAGGGTTTCTCGAGAGATACAAGCTCCACCAAACGACGTCCTGGATGCGCTTCAGCCCCACGATGTTGCAGGGGCTCTCGGTGTCCGAAGGCTTGTGGTGTGACGTTAATATGAACGCTGTGCAACATGTCTAGGAGGTAAGCGACCTGCAAAAGCCCCGCTTATGATGCTAGGCATCAGTCCGCGTTCCATTATCAGGTTTTCTGGAGAAATGCAAGCTCAACAGAACGATGTCTAGATTGCGCTTCAGCGTCGCGATGCATGCTTACCGGAAAGTTGTTGCGCAAGATTGTCCGGGTCGCACTTAGTTCTGGTTTTGACACAAACGGCGACATGCTGCAACTGGGCTTATGGGCGAGTCAGGAGCGCGACGATTCGATCGTAGATACATCTCAGCTTGGTGATACCTCAGCACCTTCCGCCATCCCCACTGTAGTTTCCGCGCTCTCCGTCCTTACCAGAAGATCATCTCGTGATTCCGACGCAAATCAACACAACCCACCCTCAGAATGTCACATTAGATGATTTTCAAATTCTTTCCCCCAGTAGTACACTTCCAGATTCTCAGCTCTTAACCTTGCACCTTGTTTGGCGCGCGCGCCACAAGCTTAGTTTAGATTTCCTACGAAGTACACGACCGATATTATTTAACCTGGAGACGTGGAACGATGAACTCGGCAGTGCAATTCGGATCTTGCCGAACAGACTCTCGTATGCGAACATTCAGGCATGATTCGTTATTCACGGTGAACAAAGCTGGCGGGCGAGTGCGAATGTGCGACCTCATCTCGGTGCAGGTCGCAAAGTTGGCGGAAAGAGCTGGTTTGAGCGCGACCCGAGCTGATCTGCCTGGTAAAGCGCCTTGGCTTGGCCTGCGTAGACACGTCGCCAAGGCGAACACAGACTTCGGGATATTACAGTAAGCTGAATGGGCGTATCGCCATTGTGATAATACCTACCCAATTGTGGTTGCATGTCTGCGCCTCGCCAACTGGGATGTAACTCACACATGCAGTCAGCCATCCTACACAACTTAGTGCATTCCCGAGCCCCAGTCATGCCTTACCTCTGTGGGTCTATGCGACCATGTTCCGACCCACTTCTAAGCATGCGGTATTCTATACCCATTTTCCTGCCTTACAAGGGTGGGGTTGGCGAGCTGATCAAAACCACACTTCTATCCTCACTGCTGATTCACACCCCACCCGTTCCGAGCAGAGAGGCTTCGTCACCACCTCATCGCAGCAATGAGCAACCTTACCACCACTCCCGTCATCCCTCCGCCGCCTGGAACACAGTCAAATTTTGTTAATCCAGTCGACCAGTTAACAGCTGTTTATGTCACGTCGGGTATCGTGCTTGCCCTCTCGACAATAGGGATAGCTGCACGGCTGTTCGTAAAGTTGATTGTTGTACCTGGTAGCCACCGAATCGAGGACTACCTGAGTTACTTTGCCTTCGCTTCCTTCATTTCCTATGTCGCCGTCATCCTTCATCTGTCTGGCATGGGCCTCACCCACCACATGTACGACATTCCTGTTACACAGATATCCGATCTTTTGTACTGGATAAACATCGTGTACTGCATGTACTCCATCCCTACAGCCGCCGCAAAGCTTTCTGTACTATTCCAGCTTAGGTCGATATTCACCACTGGCACCAAAAATGCCGTCTATTGGGTTATCAGTGAGTATACACGGTGCCGGCTACGATCGAATGCGCTGACTGAATATAGTGGCGTCAATTATCATCAACTCTTTCTTCTATACCGGCCTCTTCTTCTCCTACGTCTTTCAGTGCTGGCCGCGAGAGAAGATATGGCTTGGAGACGCGGTCGCAGGCAAATGTACCGATGCCATCCAAGTGAACCTCAGTTCGGGAGTACTCAACATCATATCTGATGTCGAGGCTTTGCTTATTCCGACCTGGGCTATCTGGCACCTCTCACTGTCATTGAAACGCAAGCTCGCTGCCTTGTCCGTCTTCGGCGTCAGTTCGATGTATGTTTCAAAAGTCAAGAAATTTGCTTTCCTTTTGCTAATAGCAGACGAACAGTGCGATTGCAATCGGCATTGGAGGCATGTACATCCGTGTCATACTCCTTACCAACATTGATCAGACTTGGTGGCTCACAAAGCTTGCGTTGCTTGTGTAAGTTCTCCCCTAACAACTTGACCTGTGCGATTACGGCAATGCTGACATCTACACTTAGGACTGCCGAGATCTCCATCGTAATATTTGTTGGTTGTATGCCTTCTTTCTCACGACTCTATCACCATTACCACGGCACTGGACCTTCCGCAAAGGCCTCGCCCAAATCTTCCAAAGCTGAGATTGTGACGTTCGGATCATCTGAGAACAAAAGAAAATCTGGCAAGGGTGGCAAAGTATTAGATACCATGGCCAGATACATGGGCACGGGTGGTACTGGCATGACCACACTGGGCACTGAAGGCGGCTTCGATAACGAGGATACGGTCGAACTGCGCATAAATGCCACCTCAACAGCTAATGCTGGTGGTGTGACAACACCTGAGACATACACTCAAATGAGTGAAATGGAGAACGGTGGTCAACATCCAGTCTCAACCCCGAATGACGCCCAAAAACACATCTGGAAGACTAGTCAAGTCCTGCAGACTTATTCCAAGTTGCCGGACGACGAATGGAAGAATAAGAGAAGTGTATGAGATAGTAGCGGCGCTGGGTTACGGCGTTTATCTTTGTTAGCACAAGTTCCTGTACATTTTCCCGTAATGTTTCATACCCTTGAATACTTTCCGACTATGCAATGTGTGATGCAGTTTTCAACACATCATTTTTTTTTGTAAGATGCACAACCCGTGTGTGATTCGATTCATCCCCTCTACATGGATAATCCTAGTTTCCGTTGATGTACAGCCAAACCTAGGCATAGCCCGTCTCAGATCACCTACTTCTGCCTACTATCCTGAGATACCTCATGGCGAGGCTAAATCGTTAGTGTGTCTAAAATTGGTGACGAAGGGCGGGTCAATGTGGATTATCGAGTTTTATTCCAAGAAACTGCTGATGTTCAAGTCTTACGCCCGGGCGGTAATCAATTATCCATCCACCCGCCGAGGCTGACAACACTAGTCCCTTTTCGAAACTCCCCGAGGCGGTGGATACCCCCATTTGTAGAACCCCGGGTAACCAGCTGGTCGGTAAGGGCGCCTAGCCATCGACTATTTCCAGCCCCCAAAACAGTCCATGGATCGGATCTAAAAAGAACAATCGTATTGGGGCTATGCGTGCGTACTAGGCAGACTCTGTGGATCCACTCAAAGCCGTCATTCAAAGCCGTTGTCCCTGGCCAAGAGACCACGGGACTCATATATCAAGCGTGCATTGATTGATTCCATCCTCTCGCTATTTGCAACGCTATGATGGCTCCAGTGGTTCCCATGGCCATCGTGCCATTCTGTCTCGGTGTGATCATGCATTTGGGCATTTTCATCCGTGGTGAATGGCACCTTCAGGCCCCGCACATCGTCCTAGGCCATGTACTTGTCTTCACTCTCTTGTTAGTCAAGCAGCTAGTCTCTGGAATCTCAACTTGGTATGGAGTCGCGCTACCTTTCGTGGTCTATCTTTGCGGCCTTCTTGGCAGCATGGCCGTATACAGACTCTTTTTCCATCGCCTGAGGTCTTTCCCAGGCCCTCGTCTAGCCGTATTGTCAAAGTTATGGCACGTTTGGCTTTGCAGAGACTCTAAAAACCACCTTGTGCTGGAGTCATGGCGTCAGAAGTATGGGACTTTTGTCAGGACTGGTTAGTAATTACTAGCCACCAGCTCCACCTGATCGCATTCACTGACTTGTTTCTAAGGTCCGAGCGAGATTACTATCTTCCATCCAGCCGGCCTCGAATGGCTAGATGGGCCCCAGAATCGCAATGCCAGATCTGACTGGTATGATCTCTTACATCCAAGCGTCCAGGTATTCAGCAGAGACCCTGCTATCCAAGTTGCTCGTCGAAAAGTTTGGGATAAGGCAATGTCGTTATCTGGTAGGTGCTTTTCGAGTTTCAGTCCAATATCATTGGCTATCTCTAAGCTGACATGACCGCGCAGCCGTTAAGCAGTATTATCAAAGGATCAAAAACCATGTCCTAGAGCTCGAGAGCATAATCAGCGCGCAGAATTCCAAGCCCATAATCATGAACGACTTGCTATACCGCATGACATTCAACGTGCTGAAAGACATTGGCTTTGGCCAGGCAAATGAGGAGGTCGAAGACGGAGCCTCCAAACTCGGAGGATCCCTGACCATCATTGGGCCTACCAATCCCGCGCCCTGGATTCTTAGAATGGCATTTGCTCTCTTTCCAGGAGTTTGGAACATTCCGCACTGGTTCAAATTTCTTGAGATGACTCAAGGCATCGTAATGAAGAGGTTAAGTGTAAGAGCTCACAGTCTGGAATGCCATGAACATGAAATCAGCTAACAGACTTGCATTAGAGCCAGCCAGAGTCGGTAGATATAGCTTCGTTTTTCCTCGAGGATGCCCAACGCAAAGAAGCAGATATGATTAGCCGTGAAGCAGTCGGCGGCGACTGCGGTGTTATACTCCTCGCAGGAAGGTTAGCTCTTCTCTGAACTCTGAAATAATACTCAGACAGCGATCTGACACGCGACAGTACCTCCGGTCCGAGTCTGATCCTTCTCTTTTACTGCCTTGCCCGATGGCCCGAGCATGCAGAGAAGATTCGCCAAGAGCTACGAAATGTGGACTACAACGACATGGCGGCTTTATCTGCGCTGCCACATCTCACGGCCACGATAAACGAGTCACTACGACTCTACCCTGCGGGACCAACTTTTGGATCACGCGTGACTGGCCCTGAGGGTCTCAATTGCGATGGTGTTTTCATACCCGGTGGCACGAAAGTCGTTGCACCACGCTGGAGTACTGGACGACGTAAGTCATTGCTAGAGTCTCTTACTTTGGGTGTTTCTGGCCACTGCTGACACGATCTCTCTCGACTTAAGTTGAAGAAGCCTATGAAGCTGCGCATGAGTTCATCCCTGAGCGCTGGTACAGCAAGCCCGAACTTGTCAAGGACAAGAGAGCGTTCGCTCCTTTTTCCATGGGTACGTCAATCTCCACACTAGGGTTCCATAACATCCCGAAAACTGTGTCAAGACTAACTTTCCGTAGGTCGTAACAGCTGCGGTGGCAAGAAGGTGGCCATGTCTCAGATGAGACTTGCCGTTGCTGTACTCGTCTCCAAGTATTCCATTCGTTTTGCACCGGGGACAACTGATGAGATGAGTGTGGAAAACGACATGAGAGATCAATTGACGCCACTTCCAGGTGATTTGAAGTTGGTTTTTGAGAAATTAGAATAGCCCTTTTGTAGACAGGTTATGCAAAGACATGCTTCTCCGCAGTGTTGGTCATGTTGGTGGCATATTCCTGAGTCATGAGGGTCCGGCTTTTCGTATCTCCTGACTATCTACGATGTTGTTCGAGAAGAAAATCCGAAAAAGACGCCGAGGTGTTATTGTATCCACAATTGTTAGGAAGGTGCTGGCATGTGCGCTCATGTATTATATTGCATCCAGTTCGAAAAGTAGAGCGGCCACCACAACTGCTGCAGTCATCACGACCGGTCAAAGCCTTCGCATGCATGTTTTGTGGATCAAATCTACGGAATGCCTCTGGTTGTTTACGACTTTCCCGAATGGTGCTTTTCATCCCTGTCTCCGGACTTTCATACGCCCCTTCAATAGCGTTGTTTGGATTTGTGGCTTCAAGTTGCTTGTCCGGGGCGTGCCTCAAATTTGCTTTTGTTTTCTGAGATCGCGGATTCCGAAGAAATGAACAAAAACGATGACGGCCTATCGGTATTTTGGTGGATATGTGTGCGTGTATGAGATCTGTTATCGACGACTATTGAAGCGGTAGGGCCGACAAGGCGAGATTCAGTGTACGGGAAGTAACATTCTTTGGGTTTATGCACTCCTCTCGTATTCATGCAGACCTACCCTGAGATCGCGTGCGCCAAGATCAGCACTAGCAAGGGCTGTGCCAAACGTGATGACGCCTTGCTAAATACTGCTTATGTGCAGGACCGAGGTAGGCCTTTGTTTGGTGGTATTCGCGAATGGCGCTGTTCTCGTCTCTATTCGAAGGATCCCTGAAAGCCACGCGACCGAATGTCAGGTCCTGCGCGTCGGGATTGTAACCAGGCTTGCGGAGAGCGGGATCCTTCATGTTATGGTGTACATATATTAGGCTGTTAGTTTTCTGTAACACGATCGTACATCAGGCTTCGAGAAAACAACTCGAAGCGGACAGCGAAATTCGTCTTTGCATATGCCTGCATAAGGAGTTCTGAATCGTAAACTTATCTACCAACCGTCCACCGCCACCATGTTGAACGCTCGGTACTTGTTTTTGTTACTCTCACAGAGCGCTGCATTCAGCATCGACTTGTCCGCTCTTTCCATCAGGCAGACGGCTGCTCCCAACCAACTTCCTGATGGAGTTCTGCCCGCGCTTGCTTTTGAGCGATCGACGTGGGCCACAGGATCGGTATACCAAGATCCATTCTACCAAGTTGCTCCAGAATGGGCAGAGGCCGATTTCGGCACAGTCTTTAGGGTTGAAGACATGGATCCAACGGTCTACACTATTCCCCCTGCGACATCGATTTCCCGGATACTTTACCAAAGCAAAAGCTACACCGGAAAGAAGACTCCTACATCGGGATACGTCTTATTTCCTTACAGCCCTCGCAAAATTAAAGGTGGCAGTGTCCCAGTAGTGCTATGGGGACATGGTACATCTGGTTTACACCCAGAGAGTGGCCCATCTCATCTGAGAGACCTCTGGCAGAACGCACAAGGACCCACACCTCTTGTCCAACAAGGTTACGTCGTTGTGGCTCCTGATTATGCCGGACTTGGCGTGGGCAAGAATGCTGCTGGAAAGAATATCACGCACGAATATCTAGCCAGTCCTGCTCACGCAAACGATATGGAGTACGCTCTGAAAGCGGCGCGCTCGGCATTCCCCATCCTTGGTAAAAAGTTCGCGACTATCGGCCATTCGCAAGGAGGCGGCGCAGTTTGGAGCTTCGCAGAGCGCATGCGAACAAATCCCATCGACGGCTATTTGGGAGGAGTTGCAATATCTCCAGTGACACGCCTACTTGACTTGCCACAGGACAGCCCGATCAAAGCATTATTGGTTGCAGCGGCGCTTCCCGCAATCGCCAACATTTTCCCAGGCTTCAACATAGCAAGTGTTCTCACTCCCGAAGGAGCACAACGTTTCGCCCTTGAACAGAAGACAGGGGGAAATGTACAAGCGACAATTGCACTGCTTCTTACTATGGCTGGTTTTCCAATATTGAAAGATGGATGGGAGAAAAATGAGTATGTTTTGCGCTACCAAAACGCCACCGGAAACGGGGGAAAACCAATTAAAGGACCGCTGCTAGTGATACAAGGAGACAACGACGCAAACATAGATGTGCGCACTACGACTGCTGCTGTGGAGAAGACAGCCACTGTGAATCCCAAAGAGAGCATTTCTTATGCGATATACAGCAATATCGCGCACGCCCCGGCCGTCTGGGTTGGCCAACAACGATATCTGGACTGGCTCGCGAAAAGGTTCGATGGCGAAGCACCCTCTTCGGGCCTAGCCAGAGACCAAGTGAGCTCATTCCGACCATGGGCTAAATACCTGCCTGAGCAAAACTTCTACGCGATGCGGGCTACTGAGTCCTATCAAGTTCCGGCATAGAAGATTGAACTAAGCTATTTTATTTGGTGCAAGACTCCCGGACTGGTTCATGTGTTCAATCCGGAACGGAATACTAGGTTATAAGTAACAGGCTTAAAAAGCTGGTGCGCATAGCACGGGAGACTGAAGAGCGCAGTGAGCTATTGATAAACTCCACAACGGAGATCTCATGGGGTAGAATAATGCAGAGGAAAGCGAAGTAAGAAATTTCACCAATCAGACGACTTTTCATGCCAAAACATGTGCAAAAAGAATTGCGAAAACATATAACAGAAGGTATTTGCTGATGATCACGGATACCTAGGACTTTGACATGACTGGCTCATAGTGTGCAAGCTGACGACCTAGCTATTCGTGACCGGGTTGGAGAGGAGAGGCTTGCCAAAGGCTGTTCAGACAGGCAATTGCGAGTGGGTAACAGGGATCTGAGGGATCAACGCTACTAGCTAAGCTATCCCATCCTTCCCTGTACTCTAGTGTCGGAAGATTTTGAAGGACCAATCCCTCCGAGTTGACCGAGGAGATGTGTCTGACCAATTTGGATGACTACCAACCATATGCCAAGCCCAGTTAGGAAAGCACCAACAGCATCTCGTCGAGAAGCTCCAAATGCTACCGTGAGCCAAATTGAGCAATGCACTCGAGATTACAGACCAGAATATCAAAATCCAAAAGAAGTACTTAAGAAAAGTCGGGCTGAAGGAAGGAAGTGTTGGTCGCTATGACGCCTACTCCATAGAAGCATACAAGTGCTACCCCAGCAAGCACAATGATGGCATTCCATGCGATGATCGCCTTGGAACGGTAGTGGACAGAGCCATCAGAGTTGTATTTAAGGGTCCATAGGATTACATAGTCAGCGCGGAGCTACTCCTCGTTGTGTTTGCTTGTTATTTCCCAGGATACGGGCTTTGGCGAAGCATAAACGATCAGCGGGTAAGCAGAGAAGATATGGGGTGAAGAGTGCTGGTTGGCTGATGGGAATAGAATGACGAACAGTTTGCGGCTCATATGGGTTGCAAGCCAGCCCGCAAGTGGGCAGCAGGTTGGCCACAAGGCCTGCATCTACTTATCACAGCCTTCTACCACGCGAAAGAGGGCACCATTCTTCATTTCTTCTTGGAGATGATTGAGTCTTCTGGGACGACACATGAGCAACAACTGTGTAAGACCCTTTGGATCCTTGACACCCTTGAAGCCAATCACTGAGACATGAGCGGTGGGCAGCCGTGGCATTAACACAATTGAGCCGCGGAACATCGAAGAGATACTGTCCAATCACTTTGAAGGTCTTAGACGCCACTCTGGCCAACCATGTCGATCACAGGGCTAGCGGGTGTCATAGACTTCAGCCTTGGACTTCGTGCTCTTCACTTCAAACCCTTATTGGGAAGTGGCAATTTTACACAAGATGGTGCAGCATGGAAGCACTCCCGTGCGCTATTGCGACCTCAGTTCACTTCTAATCGCTACCAGAATTTTGAAGAGATCAAGCAGTGTGTTGAAAACCTCCTCTAGCAGTTGCCAACAAATGGAGTTGTCGACTTTCAGCCACTCTCCTTTAGATTGACCTTTGGCACCACCACGTTTCTCCTCTTTGGCGAAACACAGTCGTCATTGGCATCGAGTGAGATCGCGGGGCAGGAATCGGAGTTTGCCAAAGCCTTCAACCTTAGCCAGCAATATTTGAGAGTTTGTTTAGGACAGGATTTTGCCCTACTAGAAGCGTGCTATACTGTTGTGAGGATCATACAGCTGTTTCCATATCCAAAAGAGCAAAAAGATGGCAAAAACATACAACAGAGGGGATTCGCTAATGGTCACCCACTTAACTACTAATCCTCCGGTATACTGCTTAAATATGGCTGAGCGGACGGGAAGCCTTGCTGTTCAGTATCCTATGGTCGTATGTGAAAGAACGGTGGAAATGTTAAATTCTAAATCTGAAAGACTACGCTCCACCCTGAGACGCCATGAGCATCAACGCAACGCACTTACCCAAGAATCCACTGAGCCGGGTATATAAATGGTGCCTAGAGCGAATAGGATGTCTTGCTCACATCGTGCTATGGTCGTATGTGAAAAGGATGTGGCGGTATGAGATGGATATTCGTACTATACGTATCGAGCATGCATCAATCCATAGATGACGATACGCTCATGAACCTCAAAGTCACGAGCCCTGTTAACCGACAAGTCTTAGACTAGGAAGACTGTTCGTTCGTACGTTTTGAAAAGCCTTGCACTAAGCGCATGAATGGACTGTTACATATCCTTGAGCAGATGGGAGTTCAGTACCAGGTGCGAGGTGTCCTTCAACTAGGATAATGAATGCACCGATTCAAACGGTATCGTACCCCGAGATTTCGCATCTATCAATCAGCTACATATAATGTGACAACCAGAAAAACGGGAAGAAAAACGAGACTTGTGAACTTGGTGAAGCTCTAGGATAGCCGACTGAAGCACTTCCTACCCCGCAACCCCACCAATTCTCCACAGCATCCAAACTCTAGCATCTCCCAAACCTGCAAACACCGATCAATCGTCAAAAATGGCGAACCAAGACATCAACAACTCGCGCTTCACTAAAGAAGCCGCGGAATGGGATAACAACAAGAAGCACGTTGAAAGCACGCAAAACGCATTCGAAGCTATTCAGCGCTACGTACCTGCATTTAAAAATGGAAGCAATAAATGTATGAAACTGTCTTCGGTTTATTGTATTGATATTCTGATAAAGATTTCCAGCTCTCAACGTACTGGAAATCGGCTCCGGGACCGGCCTCCTCTCCTTCACACTATCGCCGCACATCAACACGCTCGTCGGCGTCGACACCGCAGAGGGCATGATATCCGCCTTTAGAACCAAACTCGCGGACGTGGCAAAGCCGAATCTATGTACTATCAATCACTTTCTAACGGACCCGGATAGTCCAGAATTACAGGATGCGTGCGCCGCTTTACAGCCAGACGCTCGGCGGCCGTTTCGCTTCGATCTTGTTGTGTCGCATTTGACGCTGCACCATATCCCGTCGATGCGCGAGATCTTTGCATTGATGTATCGCTGTTTGAAACCGGGGGGTGTAGTGGCGTTGACGGATTATGAGGATTTTGGGAAGGAAGCGATTAGGTTCCATCCCGAGATTAAGAGGCCAGGTGTTGAGCGGCATGGGATTGTCCGAGCTGAAGCACAGGAATTGTTGGTTGAGACTGGGTTCGGCGAAGTCAGGGTTGAGGAGGCGTTTGTGTTGAAGAAAGAGGTTGATGATGAGGAAGGGATGGATAAATTGGATGGCGAGATGGCGTTCCCTTTCTTGATGCTGTATGGTGTAAAGCGATGAGGACAAGCAGACGTGATCGGACACGCTCAGAGATCTTTGAGAATGTCGTTAACGGCTTTTGCGGCGAAACGCTTCCGTTCAGCCTCTTCCATGCCCTCACCCATTTCTGGTGTCGTTAGTATCCTGTGATGACACTCGTGCAGTATGTCGTACCTTTGACGGCGATCATTTTGCGCATCATGACCTCCAATTCCTCAACCTCTTTCGCTTCTGCTTCAGCGGAGGGCTCTCCCGCTTCTTCATCATCGAAGCCGTGTAATGCTCCTTTCATGTCAAACAACTCCATGTTCATCTCTGCCTCTTCAGCCGCGAAGCCACCGAAGCCTTCCTCGCCATCCTCATCGGCCCCAAAGTCAATCCCCTCTGCGCTCTCCCATTCACATGCTTCCAACGACTCTCTGACTCTGTGCACGCCAACCTTTTCGCCAAACTCATTTTTTCCAGTCTTCTCAAAATCAACGTACTCAAAGCCAGTATCTGTACATATATCTTCCCAATCCTCACTCGGCATATCGAGATGTGGAGTTGTTGATTGTGGCATAGCAACAGCCAGACAAACCTGGTCGCCACTGAAGCCGCATGCCCGCTCGATAGCATCCGCAACCGCCTGCATTGTATCCTTGATTGTGGAGAGATCGGCCTGGTTGACAGGTTTACGAAAGCAGTATATCCATGCGCCGAGGGCAGTGATGACTTCGCGAGCTTCGGGGGCGGTAAAGGCAGTACGCCACTCTGATACGTCGGCAATCTCGTCGACCCATATCGGGAGGGTGGTGGTGTAGTACTTCGTTTCGAGAAGCCATTCGTGAGTGAGGCCGGCGGCGGAGCCTGAGGTGGGTTCTGGCGCGGAACCAGTGAGTTCTGCAAGTGAATTAGTTGTGCGCTGAGATAATTGCAGCGTGTATAGCTACCGCTCAGAAGCTTCAATACACCCGAGTCTGGGGCCCCTAGCGCAAGTATGCGCCTAGGGTTCTTGATTTCCATGTTGTGCTGGGGTTGACTCAAGGTGCAGTTGCGGAGTTCTCGGAGGTGAGTCCTGGCCTTTCATTGTGGGGTAGCGTCACTTCATTCCAAGGTTCGAGCACAGGTAGAAGTCCACCATATCCAATTACTATACTTGTCTGTCTTCGCGCACAATGTTAGGATAGCGGAACATCACCATTATGAGGAATGAGTAGCGCGCCGCATTATCGTGTTCGCTCTGTATATTTTGGTTCATGGATTCAGGCATCATCAATTTTGGACGCCGTGCTATCGTTCTTCAGCGCGTTTTCCAAGTGAGCAAAGCGGACAGCGTACCTAAGCACCCTCATGGCATAGCTCTTGGCAAGCCGCAGTTTCTGAGACCTCAGGTGCATTCAGTAGTTGCTTTGATTTAGTCCACACAAGCTCAACCACGGCCTCCACCCCTGGTGCTTGCGCGCGCCCTGTTCACAGTTGCACGACCACGCGCAAGACCAACGCCGCGACCACGTGTACCTCTCGACCTAAACATAGGCGCGTTCCTGCTGGGTTAGCATTTGAGGAAGGATTTTGGTGATACAAGCGCTTCTTACCTCAACATGTCCGGTACAATGAAGTACCGTACGTGGCTGCCCCGGATGTAGACCTGCTCTAAATGCGACACACGTCCATCGCGAGCTGTGACCGTGATGTCTTTGAGCTGCACATTCATGTTGTCCTCCGCTGTTCTCAAGTCAGTCGCCTGATTTCATTTTGGCTTGCCTGATCTCAGGATGCGCACCTTCGAGGAGCTTGCCGCGGTAGACCTCGCCAGATGTAATTTCAAGTGTGATTATGTGTCCCTGCTCGTGTCAGCGCTGTTCAGAGCTGTTGCGAAGCGGCTATTGACGTACAGCAGCCTCATTGAGGAGCTTGATCGGGATGCCGATGGTGCTGGTCATTTTCGCTCGAACGGGTAGGTTGAAGTTGCGTAGTCGAGGGGTCCGGGGCTTTGGGCGTGGGCTTGCGGCCTTGGAGAGGTTGGTCGGAAAAGTTCGTTCGAGCCTGGCGCGCGCGATCGTAACAAGGGCAAAGGTCGTGATTTATCTGAGAACGCGACTCTGGAATTATGCGTCCGGCTTCGAATGAGTGAGTGAGGTCGCTACTCCGGTCCGTGTCAGTATCGATTCTTCTTGTGATATTGAAGTTATTCGCGCCGGAGCTTGGGCCATCCACTAGCGTGCTTCCATCGCCTTAGTCAGCCCATATCACTCCAACGCATCTTTTACACAGCATCGCGTCATATCGTTCCTCTTGCGATGAACATTTCGGGGACGCTGAACGTGTTCCGCCTGCTCAGAGATCCAACACTATGTCTCCCGCAACACACTGTCTCCACCTTTAACCACCTCCCAATCCCTCTATCTAAAGCATTCCCAAGGAAGGATGGGGCAAAGATTGGCAAGGAGGTAGACATCCAGGCTGTTGTACTTGACAAAGACAACTGTTTTGCGGTGCCGCACACGAATGAGCTGCATCCACCTTATCATGTATACCATCTTGGTCATGGAACTTGAGTCACGCCCTGACAGTCACAGGACCACTTCACAAGCGCCTGCGTCAAGCCTACCCGGGCTCAAAGCTTCTGATAGTTTCCAACACTGCAGGTACAGACTCCGACAAGCAGCAAGAGGAGGCCACTGCTTTGGAAGAGAACACTGGCATCAAGGTGTTGAGACACTCTACCAAGAAACCTGGCTGTAAGGAAGAGGTCATGACTTACTTCAGGGCACATCCTGATGCTGGCGTAACAAGGCCCGACCAGATTGCCATTGTTGGCGATCGTTTGTCCACTGATATCATGATGGCAAACATGATGGGTAGCTACGGGGTCTGGGTGAGAGATGGTGTAACCGGAAGAGGCTTCGTAAGTGCAAACTCTTATGCCGACCTATTGATAAATTTTTCATCAGAGCTTCGCTGACTTCCAGCAAGTTTGCCAGGATGGAAGATAGATTGCAAGGCTTCTTGTTTAGGAGAGGCTATAGTGCGCCTGATCCGGCTAGCCACAACCAATTCGAATAATAAAGGCAACAAGCTCAATTTTGGACATCGCGAACACTGTATAGCTTTGCTATACTGTAACACTTCATGGCCATTTCATGACCATGGCCCTCGAGTCTAGGTTACCGGTGACTGGAACGCATCTGCATAGTTGGCAAAGCGCCAGGATCCTCGCTCCCTACCCAATTTACCAACCCCCTGATTACCGTGCATGATGTAAACAGCGCAAGGATTGACTCGATTGGAGCCACACACCACATCTTGAGAGTCACCACTCTGTTGGCAGCTAAACGTTGCTCCCTGGTGTATTATGCATATGCCCCGCCCGTTCATACCACCAACGTGGCGCTCTCACCCAAAGGTGGCTGCACAGCCTCGTATTGCATGATACAACAAACACACGATGCCCAAAGCAGTGGTACCACGATGTCTAGCCAATGATGTCACCCGGTGGACACCAGCCGGAGCAGGCGCAGTTCTCCACTTGGGGCTGTGCTTGCCGACCAGGGTAGCTCTGTCAGCTTCAGCTCTGCATGCCACCATTGAGTAAGGCACTCTGCACCTAGTAGGTATATCTACCGCCACTTCTTCCCTCAGCATACCACCACAAATCTGCCTTGAGAGCTTCCACGATCCTGCAGTACCTACAACCTTAAGAACCAACTCAAAACATGGGTTGTAAGTTCTCGCTGGTCATCTTGGCTGCCCCTCCATGCCCCGCGCTTTCGTCATCATTTGGGCTGACATGTCGCGCATCTGTAGCTCGCTTCAAAGATGGCCGCAGCAAATGCTGCAGGCGGATATCCTCCACCAGGTGGTCAACCGGGCGGCCAGCCTGGCTACGTGAGTCTGCACATGTGAAGTATCTCATGGCAAACAGTCACTAACGTGACGTTAGCCTGGGCAACAACAGTATCAAGCCTACCCCGGCGGAGCCCAAGGTGCCGGTGCACCCGGTGTAAGTAGTCAAGCGCTTTCTTTGCTATTTTCGTTTTCCCTTGCTTGCTCTGCACTCGTCATCGCCCTCATCACCTGCGCCACCTCCGACTAGGCATTCGCAAGCCTTTCCGTGACTCCACCTTGCTTTGGCCTCCAATAAAGCGACCCGCTTGGTCAATACCGACTCAACCTCGACCTACTTCTGTAGCCACACCTTTATCACAGCCACAAATGCCTCTCTCAGGTAAGATTGCAGGCGCGGGCTACAGCGCCTACCAGCCCTCTCCGGCAGGCCAGGCTACCAGTCCATATCCCGGCCAACAACCCGCACCGCCGGTGCCACTTCGCCCCGGTTCTCAAGCACCACCACAGTCACCTTATCCTCAGCCTGGCAGCCAACAACCATATTCGCCATCTTCGCCATATCCTCAAGGGCAAACAGGATACAACAGACCTCCTCCACCTCCACCACCGGGCCAAATGTCTTCGCCGTATCCCCAGGCGCCCTACCCAGGACAGCAACAACCTCAATATGGCCAGCCTCAAATTCCGCAGCCCTATGGACAGCCACCGCAGCAACAAGGTCAATATGGCCAACAACCGCAAGCGCCATATGGCCATCCTCCTCCATCCCCGTACGGTCAACAACAACAATATGGACAACCCTACGGCCAACAACCCCCACAATCGCCATATGTTCGTCTATCTCCCTCGTCATTATCATTTCATCACGTATCACCAGTGCAGAGCAAGCAAGACGTGGAATTTTATTAACAAAGCAACTTGTGCTAACTTGAGTTTGCAGGGCGCACCACCAGGTCAGCCTCCACAGGGTGGCCAGCAGTACGGAGCTCCACCGCCCCAGGGCGGGTACGGAGGTCCTCCCGCACCTCAGCAGGTTCAAGGCAGTCCCGCCGAGGTCCAAGGCTACAAGCAGCTTCTCCAGGCTTGTATCCAGGAGAAGGGTCTCCAGACATTCTACCCTCCCAACTCACCTGTTCCTTGACCAGATCGCGCAGCAGGCTGCTGGAAAAGTCAACCAAGTAATCCAGCGATGGCGCGTGCAAAAAGAGATTGCCAACGATATCGTCAAGCTTGCCCTCTACGACATTGTTCTGTACATTGATGACAGTGGATCCATGCAGTTCGAAGAGGAGGGTAGCCGTATCAAGGACTTGCGCCTTATTCTGGAGCGAGTCTCTTTTGCTGCGACTTTGTTCGACCAGGACGGTATCTCTCTCCGCTTCATGAACACCGATCTCTCCGGCGTCCGCGACCAGGGAGGCAGGCCTCTTCAGGATGGCTGCGCAAATGAGGCCCAAATTGAACAGATTATGCGTGGAGTCCAGTTCAAGGGCCTCACCCCCATGGGTACCTCGCTCCGCAAGAAAGTCATTGATGAGATCCTTCTCGCCAAGGCTGCTCAAGGTCAGCTGAGGAAGCCTATCTTGGTCATTGCCATCACCGACGGTCAACCCGCTGGTGAGCCGCAGAACGCCGTCTTTGACACAATCCGCTACGCATTCGACACCCTTCAGCAGCGCTTCCCTCAATACGGTCGCGGCGGTGTTGCGTTCGAATTCGCCCAGGTTGGCAACGACGAGATGGCCACCAAGTTCCTCAGCAAGCTCGACGAGGACCCGCAGATCGGCCCCATGGTGGACTGCACTTCCAGTAAGCTTTGAATTTATCAAGCTCAGAAGCTTGGACTAACGATAGACTAGACTACGAAAACGAACAGGTCGAAATGTCTCGCGCTAACCCACCCATCGACCTCACTCCCGATCTCTGGATCATCAAGCTCCTTCTCGGTGCTATTGACCGCAGCTACGACTCCAAGGATGAGAAGACTAACCCTCCTCCTGCTGGTGGCTATGGCGCGCCTCCTGGCCAGTACGGTGGTGCTCCTCAGCAAGGTTACGGCCAGCCACCTCAGGGCCAGTACGGCGCACCCCCGCCAGGTGGTCAGTATGGCCAGCCGCCCCAGGGCCAGCAGTACGGTGCTCCTCCGCCAGGCGGTCAGTATGGTGCTCCTCCTCCTGGCCAGTACCCTCCCCAGGGAGGCCAGTATGGCCAGCCACCACAGGGCGGTCCGGGCCAGTACGGCGCACCGCCTCCAGGAGGTGGTTACCCTGGTCAGCAGCAGTATGGTGGCCCACCTCCTGGTAGGCACTAGGATGTCTAATGTCTAAACTTGGCGGGATCATTGGTGGAACCGGAGCATATCACTAGAGTGATATGTCCTTGTTATCCTGTGCTTTGCTTCCTCTGGACCACGATTGAACTTGTTTGACACACTGGATGTTCTTGTCGAACCTTGGTAGTTAATGAATACTGAATTCCTAAATCACGTGTTGAAAAGCGGTGGACGCGTGAGATTTATTACACCTTGGTGTTTGATGCATACTAAACCTTCGAATGAATTCATCAACGAAACAATTTATATGCAGCAATCAACGAATGGGGAGGCATTGAGTGCAAGTTAGTTGTGATGAATTCCATTCCCCCACTCCCCCTAATACCTCTCATCACCACTCTCAACATATCCTCCCGCACGCTTCCCATACAACGCCTCAATCGCCGCAGCAACAGCATACTGCCCATTAAGCTCGCGCTTCCTATCATTCTCCTTCCCCCTGCTCCTCACCTTCTCCTGCTCTCTTTCAAGCTCCCTGATTTTCAGCCGCTGAATATTCTTGAGCTGCTCGAGTTCAAACGCGCTGGAGAAGTCTGCATTAGTGGTGTTGAGGAGGCTGGCAAGGTTTGGGTGTGTTTAGCGATGAGCCCAGAGATGGGGAAAGTGATGGGAGAGAAGGCGTGTTCATCCCACCGAGAAGGAGTTGTTGTTGTTGATGCTGTTGCTGGAATGGAAACCCCCCTCCCCCCAATCGAAAGCACCGAGCCACATCCATATCCCAACGACGCACCCCCTTGCCCACCCACACCCCAGCCCCTCCCCTCCCCTCCTCCAAAATCTTCCGAACCTCATTCTCCAACCCGCCACACCCCTCCAACAAATTCAAAAACCCGCGTCGCCACGGCCACATCTCGCTCTCCAGCTTGACCAAATTACACTGCGCTGGCGCATTCTCCGGCGCATCGAGCAAGAACGCGCGCACCCAGGCTTTCAGTTTCTTGGGCGGTTCGCCGTTGGTGTATTTTTCGCGGAGTGCGGCGAGGGGATCCTCGGTCATTTCGGGATAGCTGTGCAGGCGCTTCATCGCGTAAGATGCGACCTCGTCAATATCGAAGGTGCTGGCGAAGTTGAAGAGTGCGATGTCAGCGAGTACAGGCGACGCTGCACATGTGCTTGGTTTGATAATCGGCGCGCTGGTACGTGTCGAAGACAACGAATACGGGATTTCCGGCCGATAGCAGCCGGTGTGTATGAACTCGAGGAAGCGGTGGAACGTCGATTCAGACAAGTCTTTAGCGTCGAGTTTGAGGAAGCGCGAGGATGTGACGAGGAAGGCGCGTTGGATGCTGAGGAGGTTGTCGAGGTGTTTTGTTTCGACGAGGTAGGACTTGTCTTTGAAGATGAGCTCGACGGTTTTGTTGGCGGGTGGAGGTGGGCGTGGGGTTTGGAGTCGATCTCGTGGCGACGGTCGTTGTAGATGTATACGGTGGCGAGGCGGATGGATTTGGTTGTTTGGGCAAGCATGGGGGCGATGTACTTGTCGTAGTATTTGTCGATGTCGGAGCGGGGGATGGGAGGGACGTTGGAGTAGCAGTGCGTGCAGTACCATTTGTCTCTGTCTTCTTGCTCGTCCGGATTGCGTCGGCGCGGGCGGTAGTATCCATCAGAGAAGTATGGATACTCGCCGATATCGTGGCCGAACTCGAGAGTCGTGTGTTCTTTACCATGCGCGGCGGAGAGTTCCTTGATAGCGGTCATGAGCTTGCCGAAGTGGAAGCCATGTGCGAGACGGCCGTAGTCGAGTTCATCTTCTTTCTGCGGACCACAGGCGACGAGAAAGTAGGCGTGTATCATGTGGTGGATTAGGATCGCGACGATGTCTCCGGCTGTTACAAAGTCTAATACGTCTTGATTCAGGATGATGGACATGCGCTTAACTTCAGTCACTCGACCCCAGCTCTGTGTGTACGTTGCGCCAGAGACATCACAACCGAGGTTGTCGCTCTCGAGATAGACGGCGTTCTTGAGATGGCCAGCGAAAAGAACCTCATCGAGCTTGTTAAAGATGCGGTAGGGCGTATCTGTGCTGAGGCCATCTCTCTCGAGCTGGGCGGCCTTGATACGTATGCTTCGGAGAGACTCAGCAGCATCTGTCTTCTTATCTAGATGGTCGACGATGAAAGCAACAGCCCAGTCGATGTTCCATCCAAGATTTCTGTCGCATTTGAGATGAGGGTCTTGCAAAAGTGAGGTGGCAGCAGATACAGGTTTGAAGAGGCCACTTCGTCGCCGCACGTATGGATCTGCCTCTGAGTCAGAGTAGTAGTGCTGAAGTGCATCATATGAGAGACCGCTGGAGAACCGGTCTTCATACGAACCCAGGCTGCTTGGTGGACCGAAGGTCATGTGGCAGACTCTCTACAATGCGGCCACGAACTTGGCAGTTGTTATCATAGGTATGCTACGCGTGGAAAGTGCGCACGTTTGCTGTCAAACCGTTCAATTGGGCCCAGGGAGCGCATCGAGGGCCCTGATTCTGTGTTGGGTCGAAGGTTGATGCTGAAGTGCGTGCAAGTCGAATATACTAGAGTTTCACGAGTACAAGGTGTGCAACGCGCGCCCGGTCGCACTGGGTGTCGATGCCGTGCCACGAATGCGATCCCTGACAAACAACTGTTGGTCCGCCAGTGTTGTCGCGTGTTGCGTGAAAATTTACGCCGGGGCTCGCTACAAGATCTGACCCGTTAGCATGGTCAAACGCTGGACGCACAGTACCGGGACCTGAGAGTTATGAAGATGAGGTATTGGTAAAGTTATGTATTTAGTCGCGCCGAAATGAACACCAACTAAATATGTCAATCATCGCACATGAAAACAAGGGATATACAAAGTCGTCGTCGGATGCGCTCCTACTCTAGATTGCGGAAGATGTGGTGATGCCCGATGGCAAAGCAGTGGGTGCTTAGAAGCCGTTTCCATTCCTACGTGTTCCGTCGCTGTGACCCACGACCAACACGGCGTCATCACGGGGACAAATTTGGGATGCTACCGATCAAAGTTGTGAGGAATGGATATCGAGTGTCCATTATTACGTCTTGCCGCTGTCTAGTAACGCGGTCGATCATCGGGACGGCGGTCGTCGAGACGGCGGTCATCGGGACGGCCGTACTCGTCTCCGGGTCGTCCGCCGACTTGGCTCCTGCCACTGCTGCCACCGTCTCCGTAGTGCTTGCGCCTCAGGGCAGCGAGCCTCTTCTTCTTGGTGTGTGCGTTGATGTAGGTTCCGATAATGAACCCGATAATGTTGAAGAAGGGCACCCAGGTGGTCTCGGGGAGGAATTGCTGGGCGAAGGCCAACGAAATGGGAGAAACCACCCAGCTGACCTTCATCACAGGCCAGAAGCCAGCCTTGACGGTCGCGCGGACCTGGTGGAAGGTGCGAGCGCCTGCGATCAGCGCCATTGAAACGAGGTACACGCTGTTCTGGATGGGGGAGATCTGGTGTGGTCAGCTCTACGCCTCCTTGAGAATTCATCTTGCACTCACAACCAGGTTGCTGACGAGGATCTGCATAATCTTCGCCTTCAAGCTCTTGCGCCCTTGGAAGATCTTCTGGAGCATGCTGATGAGGACGTGGCCGAGGGGCGCGCTGATCATGGCGCCGTAGAGGGCCATCTTGGGAACACGCGAGGTGAAGTAGTGGCCGCTCTTGCTCCTGTCATGCGCAATCCACGAGGCAAGGAATTCTTGCAGACCGGACAGAGTGCCGGATGTGAGCATCTTGGTGCGCAGAGGGTTGCTCTGGAGCTGCCTCAGGTATGCCTACGAAGCCGTTAGCACAACACATGCAAACTTGACTTTCGCGCTGTATTGGTCTTCACCTGGAGATAGCCATTGGGACCGCCGCCTTTGGTCAGCGCCTGGCCGACCTCGTGCATGAAGTCGTCCTTTCCCTTGGAGGCCGCATCGGCCACGGCGCCCGTCGTCGACTTGACCGTCTCCTTTTCGAACTTGACCGACATGGCGCGTTCAATCGTATGCGACGGCGATTATTCGGGAATTGGGCGCGTCCAGCGAGGTGTTGCAGCGGCGTGGAGTGGGGAGGGATTAGATGGGGGCGGATGCGCTGTTGTTGACGGTACGGATGGCTGGGACAACAAGCTGGACCGCTTCCTCGGCCCAATCTGCCTTAGCGCGCTAACCGTCTGGTGCGGGATTAGGTAGGTGTCGTGATCTGACACGCAACACCTCGGCTCCGCTCTTCTCTTCGCCCCGGGTCTGCTATCAGAGATGACTGAACTCGTCTTCACTTTGGCCTCTCAAGCAGTCCCAATCTGTGTCACCATGACCGCCTGCCCTCGGCCCTGCATACCTCGGAAAGCTGCTTGAGCGATAACGGATAGTGCTTCGGCATCCGCCGACACCCTGCCTACGACGGGGGACGGCGACAAATGCTTTGAACAAGACATCAGGCTCTAACACACGACCTTCATTGAGAGCAAGAAAACACCTATATTTGCCGCACTATCACCAATCGATTGTGCTGCGCGAGCCACGCTAGCCTGTCATAATCGCGTGCGACTCGCGTTCGTGACATGTCACATATCAGCGCAGACTTCTTCGAGGGATTACCCTGGGAATTTGATAATGGCACCCAACATGACCGCAACACAACTTCGAAAGTAGGGCAGCTACTTCTTTGCAAAACATAAGATGTTCGGTCTGGTAGGCACCCTCGTTGTTTTGTGTGACCCCAACTTCCCCACGCCAACACGTTCCTCAGCTTCTCCATAAATGTCCCCAGCTCCTACATCACAAGAATATGACGTATCTCATTCCTCTACACAGTCAATCTTCATTTTACTTATCTGGCGTGGCCCCTCAAATTAAAGGTGAAAGCCCATTGTGTTCGCTATGTGTATTTGTGAGGACCGTTTGTATGAGGTGGGGCGTGACTGCACAACAACCGCGCATTCTCGCATTCACAAACCCTGCCGTTTGCTTCCATCCCAACATTTAAGAAGACTGGCTTCGTGGAGGTAGGTGCTCTCGATTATCATAGTCGCAGGCTCCGACTCGGTGACACAGCGCAAAGCTGGCAGCCGTGAGGCAATAGGCGGTGCCATGTTTTTCTGACCCTTCTGTTTGTCTGGTTGAGCGATTTAAGCTGTCTGAGTATCTGGCTCCTACCTGACCTTGCTGAGATCTTTCCCGGTTTGTGAACTTGCGCCTTCACGCGTTGTTCCGCTCAGGTCGCGGCTACCCTCTCCATCGCAACGACAACATCGCCTTTCTCACCCTCCACTTTTTGGGACCTCCGCCTACACCACGCCTCAACCCCCACCTCGCGTGGCACATGATGCGAGTAGGTAACGTTGACATCAACCTCCGCCACCTTGTTGACCAGATCAAGGCCCGCAAGATGCCGAGGCGCAGTCGTGCTCCGAATTGTACACATCTGGACATGGACCGCGTGTACGGACGCAATCAGCATTGCGATGTCTGCGGTCGCTCGCCCCCGATTGGATTCCTGTACGAGTGTCGCCAAGACTGGGTTACGCAGTCGCTACGTGACCTACTCACGAAAGACGTCGAGAAGGGTGTGCTCGAGGTTGTCAAGTCTGATATGCGGCTAGAACTTGAATGCCTTGGGCTCAGTGAGAGTGTCATCCTTACGGCAGAGCAAGGGCACTACACGAGATCACAGTTGGAGAAGATCAAGACACAGAAGAAGGAGCTTCGCCAGATCATTTCGGACTCACTACAGGCCAGCCAGATAAATGATGCAGCAGCTACACTGGCAGTTTTAGCCCAGGCACCTTCGAACCACGATGGTGCACAGAACAGCACACCCGAGAAGGAAGCGGTAAGCCAGGTTCCGAATATCTCTCTCTCAGGCTTCCGTACTCCAAAAAGCCAGGGCAGACTTGAAAGCATCCAACTAACACATCATCAGACTCCAGCGTGCGCCATACGCGCCTGCCATACCTGTCGTCCATACTACCGCGACCGCGTACACATCTCTTTCCAATCTGTTCTAGCGGCGGACTTCACACCTATGACTCGAGAGGATGCCGACTGTCTTCCCACCAAGTCTGCAAAGATCATGGCAACCATTGGAAATACACGCCGGAGCTTACATTCGTTTTCAACTTCTGACACGGCGCCTCTTAGCTTGCCAACTGCAACCTCACTGGGCGAATCTACTGACGCTCCACCTACCGCCTCTACCTCCACGTCGACGGCTAGTGGCGTTACGTTCAAGACCACCCAGACAGACCTCGACGAGATCTCTGCACAGCGTCACCCACGCCGTCGCTTCTACATGATGGGGCACCGCAACTCCAAGGACATCGCTCGCGACCTGTCCCGACAGTCCTACCGCCTCAGCCGCCAGGGCCTCAAGTCAGCTCTCCAAGGAATCTTCCGCCCGAATCGAGATAGTAGCTCTGAGGGCTCCAACATCACCCTACCTGTTCCTCACACCGGTACAGTCCGCAACTCGAGCGAGGCTCATGATATCGGCGATTTCGACCTTCCGGCTCTGCGTAAGGTGCGAAAAGAGAAGGAGCGAATTGATGTCATGGCGGGTACGGATATTCTGACTTACGAGAACGCTCCTATGATTTCACCGATTGGCGCCTCGAACAACGTGCGAAACGAGCATAGCTCTAACGAGACGACAACCTCGGACAACGTCACGATGTACTCTTGCGTATCTCGCGGTAGCGAAGTCGAGGTCGAAGGTGGTGTGGCACTCACAGAAGAAGCCGTCGAGACGCATACACCAGACATTCTCGCGATCGACGTCTCGCATATTAAGAATGCGATGATGATCCATGATCTGGAAATGGACGACGACGAGGACTTTGCAGCAGACATTGGACTCCAGAGCATCATGACTCAGGTCTGAATGGGTGGATGAGGGCACGGCAGCATAACGACAAGCAGATACCACTACTTGATCTCAGAGAAAAGTGTTTACGATTGCGGATACCATGGCGATACTAGGGTCTTTCTTCAGCATGAGCTTCGGATTGGTGGAATGTCTTAACTTTGATACCCAGCTTCAAGAGTAGACTTTCAAGCAGTAGCAGTACTCAAACAGCAAGCAATTCCTAGTCACTCTCTCCTAATGTTATGTTTACATCGCCGCTGATATCGTACACTTCATCTATTGTTGATCCTATCTACCTCCTCCCCAACTTCCACCGCGCAATCCTGGTCTGTATATCATCCCACGTGAAATCCCTGCGCTTAAGTCCCTCCATCTCACCTTCCTGCAACACCACCGTCGGCGCCCCACTCCCCTCTCCAACATTCCTCACCTCCCCGCCAAACACATGTCTCGCAACCCTGCGCAGATCCTCAACCGTTACAGCCTCGATCTTCCTACACATCTCCCTGACCCCAACCTTCCTGCCGTGAACCTGCACCTGCCTGCCCAAATCCTCCAGCTCCACCATGCGACTCTCAAGATTCATCAGCAACGAACTGCGGAGCTGATTTTTCGCGCGCTGGACCTCGCCAGCCTTGAGCATCGCATACCCGGTCTCGTCGCCGAGCGATTTCAGCTCACGACACATGACCTCGAGCATCTGCGCGACGTGGCTGGGCGCGCAGCTCGCGGCGATGCCGAAGAGCCCAGAGTCCGTGTAGCTGTGGTTGAAGGCCATGCAGGACTCGACCCAGCCGTGTTGGTTGAGCACGTTGGTGTAGAGGCGCGAGTACATGCCTTTGCCTGGCCCGCCGGCGGAGAAGGAGCCGCCGCCGCCGAGGAGGGTTTGGAGGGTCGCGAGCGCGTAGATGTCGGGCGAGGAGATGGGGAGGGCTTCGAAGGCGAGGTGGATGTGGGAGAGGCGTGGGTGCGTGGGGTTTAGCGGGGGTGGGATTGGTGGGAGAGTGAGGAAGCCGCCGGTGTAGTGGGATGCGCGCGGTAGGTGTCGATTGGGGGGAAGTTGAGGTCGAAGGAGGAGTTTACGGAGGCGTTGGATGTGGCGGATGTGGAGAGGTTTTTGAAAAAGGGGATCTTGGAGAGGAGTTTGGAGGTTTGGGGTGGTGCGCCAGTGGGCGTAGGGTGGTCTGCTGTGAAGATTTGTTGGGGGGCGGAGCGCGATGCTGAGGTGTCTTCTCCGAGTGCTGGTCCTTGGCCCTTTGCCATGTCGCCAAAGTATTGCTCTGACAGGCGGACTGCTTCGTTGTGGTCCACGCCGGCAAAGGCGACGACTATCCGGTCGGGCTTGTAGAATTCCTTGCGGTATGCTTCGACGACGTTACGATCGATGTAGGGTAATCGCTCTTTGGGGCAGAGCAATGGGTTGCCCAGTGTGTTGTCCTTGTATGCTGCCATGTGTACGAGTTCAGGCAATATCAGCTCTGGCTTGCTCCATATCTCGCCAATCTCGTAGTCGGCCGTCTCCAATTGCTGCTGCACTTCTTCTTCAGTTATGAGCGGATCGCGGATCGTCTCAGCGAGGAGGGCGACGGTGGTGGCTACGGAGGAATTGAATGTTGCGGACTGGTACATCAGAGACTCTCTGGAAGAGGCGCATTGTATGTTTCCTCCTAATGATTCCATCTTCTCCACCATCTGGTCACCGGTTGTATTCCGCGTTGACTTGAACGCCAACCGGTCGATGATGTGACTAACTCCACGCAACGCATCGTTTTCGTATCTTGAACCGGCATCGACATACACTCCTATGCCAGAGAAGTGCCCTGGCAGAGCTTCGGTCGCAACACGGATTCCATTTGGTAGTGTGGTGATTTGGTCGAGTTCGACGGGATCTTTCTCCTCCGCAACGGCCGTTGCCAGTCCTCTCCTACCGCTGCATCTTGTTGATTTTGTGAGTCCTGATGAGGCCTGCGATATTCCGCGCGATAGCGGTCGAACAGTGCGAGGCCGAAGCATTTCTTATGCGCGTGGGTGTGGACTCAAACCACCGTCGGGCTCAATCGCGAAGTTCCGACATCCAAAATTTCGGGATGACATAGCATGTCACGTGCCGGGCAGCGGCGGAACTCAGTTCAACTCTCTTGCCCCCACATACCAGCTTCCCGTGTCCTGGATAACGCATGAACTGGCGGTTCGTCGTATCAGCCCTACGCGACGCTTGATGTTCATGTGCGGAAGCGGAGAGTGTCACCGCATTGCGCAGCAGAAAAGGATGCGGCGGCTGCGTGCTCAAACATCAGCTCCGTCAGCGCAGTTTGGCACGTACTGGCCAACCATCTTGATACCTCGCGAGGTACCGCCACAATCTGGGTGCGCTCCGTTTGGATCCAAGCACCGGCAGACAAGAACTATGATGTTATATGCGAAGCTTAATTGATTCATGTGCTTATTAGCATATCGTAGGGAGAGCTAACAAGGCCTCGAACTATCCCAACCTTCGCTACAGCCTTGCGGTTGTGGTACGCTCTCCATCTCGAATTCGCGGACTCAACGCGCCTGCATCCACAGCATTGCTGCGGCAACTTTGCCCCACTCTCCCAGCGTCGGTAGCGTTCCCGTGACCGAAGAACTCTTTCACCGGAATCTCGACCTTTTGATCGTCCTCTTACACTGCCTGTGCTACCGGGCACTGCGTTGATCTAGGGCTGGCCATCGCCATCGCCTCTTCGCTAGGCCAGTACTGTCTAACGGCGGCTGATTACTCCTCACCCGCTTGCTTGGCAGCATCGCCATCTCCTGCAGTCCTAATCGCTCTCGCAGCTCCACTCCTCGTCCTCCGTGTATATACTGTAGCGCATATGGTTGTGTAAACAGACTGTCCGTGCTCCGTTGCCTGTCAAACGTCCTCGAAACCCAATTCACACAGTCGCCTAAGGCTCCCAACTCCCAGGTTGACCCTCGTCTGTGCCGCTCCTGGTTATGTTCACAGCTCCTGCACCAGTTGCGCCCACTGTTACTGCGACTACTATATCCCCGAACTCGCCCGTGTCCCGCCCGTCAGGACGTCGAGGGTTGAGTTTCCTGAGGAATCTACACCTGCACTCGGGTGGCACTGCGGACGACCCACGTGAGGAATCCCCCAGGCATTCCAAGACACGGCCACGCGCCTCCACGCACACCCCGCCCGCGTCCCCATTTCTCGCGACTTCCTCCCAAAGCGCAGCCAGTCGCCCTCCCCCTCCTTCGCGTAGACAAACAGACACCGACGCCCAACAGCCCTCGAGCGACTCCCCACCCGAAACGCCTCCCAGCATGACTAGGAATCGTGCCGACACGGCCCAGCCGCCTCTCACTGTACGCAACAACTCGGGGCCTGTACCAACAGTACCAAACGGGCCGTCAAATGGCGACGCTCTCGAAAGCGGGGTGGACGGTGCGTCCGCGGTGAAGCATCTCCCGTCCATTCGCTTCATCCCACACCAGGACCCCAGAGCGGGCCGACCCTCGCTGCAGTTTCCCACGATCCAGCGTACGCTACCAGACGAGTCGGCTATAATCCGAGTAGGACGGTACTCGGAACGCGATAACATGCCCGAAAATACACCGAGCGGGCCCTCAGCTGCTGCAGTAGGCTTCAAGTCCAAAGTTGTGAGCAGGAAACACTGTGAACTATGGTGCAAAGATGGCAGTTGGTACATCAAGGATGTGAAGAGTTCCTCAGGGACGTTCCTCAACCACATCAGGTTAAGCCAGCCCAATGTGGAGTCGAAGCCTTTTAGGATAAAGGACGGTGATATCATCCAGCTCGGAATAGACTTCCGTGGTGGAGAGGAGATGATTTTCCGATGCGTCAAGATTAGGGTCGAGTGTAACCGCGGATGGCAACAAGGCCTCAACAAGTTCAAGTATGCTTGCCTTTACTGTACTAAGGGGCATTGGCTAACAGGCACAGTAAACAAACACATCAGAGACTACGGAATCTTGCCAAGGGTAAACCAGATGGCGACAGCGCATCGACACACACATCAGAATGCGCCATCTGCTTGATGTCGATAGCAGTAAGATGAACCACGAAACATCCAACATACCTCACGCTAACTTCAGCCGTAGCCTTGCCAATCTTTGTTCGTCGCACCCTGCTCGCATGTATGGCACTACAAATGTATCCGTCCAATTTTGAACGGTCCAACATGGCCAAACTTCCTCTGTCCGAATTGCCGAGCTGTTGCCGACCTAGAAGAGGACGTCGAAGATCCCCCCGACTTCGACGACTGGGAAGAAGACGCCGAGCAAACGAATGGTGACTCGACTGCCACCGCTGAGAACGGCGTAGGAGACCGCCACATCACACCGCGCGCCTCGCTGGTCCCCATGAATGCCCAAGCCCCTGTCAACAACACAGGCGACGAGGACGGCGGCGTCAGTCTCGGAGATCTGCAGCAAGCAATTTCAAATATCAGCATGTCAGACTCAAACGGCCATGCAAGTCAACCAGGATCACACCCGCAGACCCCCGAACGCCGTCTCGAACCACCCACGTCGTCGATCACGCAACCAGTGCAGATCAACGTCACGAGTGCAAACGAGTTCTCCGGCCTGTCGCCTTTATATCAACACCACCATGATGGACTGACGCCTGATCGCGTACACGACGGGCCGATGACGCCGAGGAACGACGCGGGTCCGTTCGTGCTCGACGGCAGCGCAGGCAGAGCAGCGGGAAGTCGCTTGAGGGACATTTCCCCCGCAGGCTCGGATTCTGGCAGCACCACGAGTGGGAACGGGCCGCCGAGCCTGCCACCAGTCCGTTTGAGCTAGGCGTTTGATTTTCTTTCGTTAGTCTGTGCATTTCTGGCGCTAGGGAGCTCACGAGGGTCAACGGTCGATGGGGTGTTCGTTTTTTGTATCGCGCATCTCTGGGAAGGAGTATATTGGTATGGGGAAGATGAAGAGAGAGAGGTAGATGGATAATGAAATGTGTCATTCTTGTCAGTTGATTTAGCATATTCATCTCATCTTCTCTTCTAGCTTCGTTCATCTCTTTTTCTCTCATAGATCCGTTCATTGATGGCAATCAATGCATCGCAGCTCATTCAAATCTCCAAACGCGCTCCAGGGTATCTTCACAATCATTTCAATCGAACATGCCACCCATAGCCCTGCCCTCATGGCTCATCTTCCATTCCTCAAGGAGGACCATGACTTCCTGTCGCGTGTCCTCGATGATGCCGTCCATTTTGATGTCGTTCTTATCGTACCCGAAGGGATCTTCAAGTTGCACGCCGATGCCCTCAATGCCGTAGAGTGTGAAAGCGACGATAGCGACGATGGGGATGCTCCACCATCCGTAGTCGTCGACGATGGCGAAGGGTAGGATACATGTGAACAACGCGAGGACTTGTTTTTGGTGGATCTATAAATTATGGTCAGCGTTGGAATGAGATGAAAGTATGTCATATGTGCGTACCAAATGCGCCACCGGAATCGGCGTCGACCTTATCGTCTCCATCTTGCCGTATGCATCGACAAACGTGTTAATCTGCACCGTCATCTGCGACGCAAGTGGGGCATGGAACCAGCCACGATCAAAGCCCCGGCGTATATAGCTTTCTAGCAGCACGCTAAGTTGGAGCGGGAGACCGAGCCCTTGGTCCTCGTAGCCCATCAAGCCCTGTGGTAGAAGCGAGACGTAATCATCCTTCTTGGTGGGGACAGAGCCAGCGCCGGTTTCCAGCGTGGCAGTCGAGGCGGAGAGAAGTGGTGTGGAAGCGACGGGTGTGCCTGGCGTGGAGTAGCTGCGGTCGACGTAGCTGGGGCGGCGGGAGACGGGTGTGGAGCGCGGGTAGTGAGAAGTTTGAGGGGGGAGGGTAGCGAGACTGGCTGGTGGGATGTTGAATTCAGCCCGGAGGTTGTGCTTAATCGCATACAGCACAGCAACCAAACATCTCACGACTCTTTCGGTGTCCCTCTTCTCCGCCTCGCTTGCATGGCCCTCTTTATCTTTGCTGTTGACCAGACATATTCTCGCCAGATTCCTCACGCTCGTGCCGATTGTAGTCAAGCAATTCCGCCCCCGTCCAGAAGCGATCGTAGCTCGTGCTGTTGCGGAAGACAAGCATCAACCCCACCACTATGCTGAGTGATGGGATGATGGTCGAGGGAATGTTGATTGAGTCCCATACGTTGGTATCGAGATAGACGATAAGGACAGTGAAGAGCGAATGTAGGAGGACGGGCAGGGCGATAATATCGTGTACGGCGCCTTTAGCGAAGCGCAGTACTAGAGGCAGGCGCCGCGGCTTCTTGCGGAAGGCATGGGCGAGGGGGTAGGTGGGTTGTCGTTGTGGTGGAGGCAGTGTTGCGGTGCTCGAACGAGTGAAAGACACCATCGTCACAGGATTGAGGTGTAGATGTCGAGAAAATGAGCGCGCAAAAGACGTGCTCTACTGAGGTATCAAGCGTATTATATGGACTCCAGTATGTACTCGAGAACCTGCTCGTAGACCGCCGAGTCGGTCGTTTTGCGGGGACAGACGCTTGTTTACATACAGGGTCCAGGGGTCTAGTGACATCACGGCCGGTGCTTCACTAGCACGAAGTAGCATCGCCGGACTGCTTTCAATTCCTCGTCTTGACGCCTTTCCGATGTTATCCAGTCCTGACATGGTATTATGACCGCAGAAGGACAAAGAGTATGATGGGTTCCTTGGAGGCTGAAGGGAAGAGGGCGAATGTAGGGCGGTCGAGCCTACCCGATTGAGCCCCCGCGCTTGCATCGCGCAGCTGCCTTGTCTACCAAGTCATCCTCAGCACTCTTGGTCAAACTCAGCCTCTCACTATATCCATGGTCCCCGGCGAGTTTTCGTCATAATGCAGCATCTTTCCTTATTGTCTTCAGTATCTGTCCTCCTCACTCTGTCATTGCGTTCGGCTTCCAGTGATCGCGGGACCGACTACTCCCATCGGCGCGATCGTCGCACCTCAGATCGCAGGGCAAACTACCCAGATCGCAGCGTGTCTGCCGCCTCGTGATTAACAGCCTTGTTGCAATGGCACGAACCACCGGGAAAAGCTTCAAGGATGTTCGGAGGTCGCTGTACACCGCTCTCATAACCCATGCATACATCCCCATGGTGGACATAGACGGTCTTGTCACCGAAGATGTCGAAAGGCGCTTCTTCCCTGAAGGCACTGCCGAAAAGGTCTTGACATCCGAAGCTCTCACGCGACTGTTCACTACGATTTCTTCTACTGAACACACATCAAATTTACGTCTTCAACCTTCGGAGCTAGCCAAATTGGTAGAGAGTCGAAAGCTTCACGTCTTCTTGGCTATTCTCATTACCTCGAACTGTGACCTCGATGGATTTTCTGCCTTCACAACCAACCTGCTAGCACCAGATCCATGGAACAACCTGACTGGCGAGCTTCAGCTTCCGACTGAGGATGGCAATCGCTTGCAGGATATCTTAGAGGATGATGTGGCTGCTGACAACTTCTTGCAAAAGCAGCATGAGTTCTTCGCGGCTGTTATAGAAAAGAACAAGGAAATCAAGGGTCGCTTTCGTCGCTTGCCATACGTGAGGGAGAAGCTCATAGGCCAAGGATCTTTTGGAAAGATATATGATGTCTCTGTGAGTTCACTGTCCCTCTCACATCCTGCACGGGTGTTGTAATGCAGGCGAAAGTTTCATCGACATCAATCACTGACTTCCTGCGCTTGCAGATATCCCCGCATCACTTCAAGAGTGGGCCGATGCTGAACGAGGGAGAATACCGAATCGCCCGGAAAGACTTTGAACTCAATGCAGAGGAGAAGTCACACGAAAAGGAGCGCGATGTCTTGCGCGACATTGTCCGTAATGCAAAAAGCCATAACAACATCATGAAGAGCTTGGGAAGCCTGGAAAACGGCTCGATCTACTCACTTTTCATGCCTCTGGCCGCTTGCGACTTGAAACAGTACATGCAGCGTAATCCTGCTGCTCCGAGTCTGCCACAACAGAAGGCCAGCTTGGTGCATTGTGCTGTCGGACTTGCCGGAGCTATCGCTTACCTTCATGAAGAACTGGAATCGCCGATGTATGAAAAGCTCTCGTGCTTCCACATGGACCTCAAGCCACAAAACATACTGATTGTCATTGATCCTGAATCTCAGGAGCCCTCTTGGAAACTGTCGGATTTCAACATGTCACGCGTTAAAATGAAACGGAAACCATTCGTCGATCAGTTGTCGCTGAGGAGAAGCTCAACTTTTAGCGACAACGTCTACGAGATCAACAAGCTTTTCAAGCGTAGGATTCCAGATGTCGCATCCGCATCTTCGGCTGACTATACTATTGGTCGACGCGGTACCGGGACATATCTAGCGCCTGAAGCCTGTGTCGATGGCCACCCTGTCCAGGCGGAGAGCGATACTTGGTCATTAGGGTGTGTGATCAGTGTTGTCTTTTCATATCTTCACGGAGGTCAAGCAGCAGTGGAGGAGTACTCAGAGCTCCGCGGCAAGAAGGATGGCGTCGATCGATTCTTTTCGTTCTCTGGCGGTAATGGTCAGCACAAGCTGAGCGATGTGCATGTTAGCGAGGCGGTGAAGAACTGGCACAAGCATCTCCGGATGAAGACTCGCCAGGAGCGCCCGAACGAGAGTGAGGCATTTGAAGCACTTCTCAGCTTTCTTGATCGTCGCGTGCTAGTCATTGATCCAAAGGCCCGTCGTGAGACAACAGCCAACGACATCCGATCCAAACTTATCGAAGCTTTTGATGTCTTCCATAACTTGGAAGAGCGTGGGCCTACGTCTCCAGTTTCACCAGGAAGCCGATTCAATGTCCCCATCCTCAAGAGATGGTCAAAGCGGCGACAATCAGAGGCCGAAGCACAGTCGCAAGATTGGAAGATACCGCTCTCGACCGCTGTGAAAACATGCGCGTTCGGACCTAACGCCGAACCGCTTGTTTGCATGACGGACATCACATTGACAGTATATTCTTTAGAGCATGTACTACTTCCGAATGGATCATCCAGTTTCAATAAAGACCTCATTGTCTATGGCGAGGTCAGTCCGCAAGATAAACGGCGGCACTGGATCCCCAACATCGGCGTCTCGTCACGATACATTGTCGCAGCCACGGACTACAAGGAATTCGATGTGAGCTTTTTGCCCGCGCTTGGTAATTACCCTACTTACATTCTACAGTGCTACTTCTACCAGATAACGCAACCAGGTAACCACAACAGCGAGGTGGAGCTTGTCGCTCACTGGGAGTTGAAGATGCCGCGCATACAAAAGCTTGCTATATCTCCCGATGCTCGTTACGTTGCCTTTGTGCTCTTTGGCGGATTTACACAGAAAGAGAAATGCTCGTTATACATAACAAAACTGGACTTGCATTATGACGCGGATCAGGAAAGGTACATCTTCGCGGCTTGAGTGGAAGTGTCTTTACTAACCAAACATTCAGCAAATACATATCAATCGCATCATCATCATCTGGCTCCAGCACAAGCCCAAACTCTCCTCTAGGTCGTCCTATAGATCTGCCCTGTGCAGCAGAAGACGTCTGCGAGCTCACGTTCTCCGACGTCAACGGACTCTACGTCGTCACAAAGCCTAAGCAGCATGACGAAATGACCGAGAACACCATGCACGTCTATGCATGGTCTGTGCAAAATAGTGGAAGGACACCGTTAGCACCAAGTCCTATCAAACACGACGTACGTACGTGATATAACGAGGATCTGCTTTATACTAACTTGACGCAGGGCAAGGATGATATCCTTCAAGGCTTGTACACCTGTTTCGCTCCCTACAATCACGACATGGCATTCATCGTCGTCTCTCAAGAGAAGAGGGTTGTAATACGCGCATGGGAATTTGAACGGTATACCCAGAGTAACGCGCGAGGCTTTCGGCTCCTGAAGATCCTCATGAACAAGGACGATCACGAGACTCTGGCGTTCGGGACCCGGGAAGCACACAACGAACTCCAACTGCTCACATTTCTTACTGCCGAGACCAGAGATGAGCTCAAAATCAAGTCCGGAAAAAAGCTCCCAGGCATGACACATCAAAGCAAATTCGTACCGTGCATCAACACCAGCTTGACAGGCACTCTCGCCCAGCGCCATCTCCTGATCGCAGTCATGGAAGGATTTGCAGTACGTATCGTTCGTGTTGATTTCGATACCTGATATACCACTATATTGAGTTACGAAGCTAGTAGCCGTGGACTTTTCTCAACATCGGTGGAGCTTCTCCTAATGCTCTGGGGCAAATCTTCGTCTTCTGACTTACCGTAAAAACCAGCCCCGAGCTTGCGAAGATTCGGAAGACCTGCCATGCCGTAGTACAGGACTACTGTAAACATAGTTGTTACCATGGCCGTCACGAAGTAGATCCATATCTGCGGCGATGTGATCAAACGATTCGTCTTTAGATCCAGCTCGAAGAACTCCATGCCAAATATGCCCTGCATTGGTCAGTCGCAGACATCAATGCCGACACTATCGACTTACCGTAACAAGTGTCCACGGGAGATAGATGAGCGTGATCACCGTAATAAAAACGGCTGATCTCGTCAGTACTACCATACTTCCGTTCTGCTCTTGCGCGACACCCTGGTTTCGAAAAGCAAGAGTGTCAGCAAGAAGCGTGGCAGTATTGTTGCTTCGTTCTTGGAGAAAAAGTGCGGTTCTGATGAACGTCCGTGTATAACGTCGCGCATTATCCAGACGGGATTCCATCTGCAACTGGGTTGCTTCAGTCACACAAGCTCCTGACACCAAGGACCTGCCCAAGACTTGAAGTCCATCCGCGACCTCTTCGAAACTCGTCAAGATCGGACGCAGTGGAAGGAAACGGCTTTCCAGAAACCTCACTGTTCCAAGCATATCGTGACTCACTCGCAACGGCTCACTAATCATTGTCGAAGTCGTCATGTCGGCCTGTTCATGGTTATCACTGATCAATCTCGACTCGTTCACCTAAAACTCACGATTGGAAGTAAGCGCTTCTCGTACTCTGCGATATACTCCCGCCAGTACATGAAGTATGATGCATGAATGACACCGTGGAGCCAGAGAGGATCAAGCTGCATCTGGTGTTCATACTTCGAGAAACATTCCAACGCCCTGCAGTATGCTGCAGATTGTGGAGACGCATTCACCAGGACGTACAAGGACGATTTCTTGTGTATGTCAAACCTTTGATATACGCCGGCTTGACGAATGACCCACGGTTCGTTCGGATGGCCTTTGTATTCGGCATATCGAAAAGTGTAGAACACCTCTGCAGGATATCAGCGAAAGCCCTTCGAATACCTCATTTGTGTACGCACGGATAGAATTCTCGTCTTCTCTCACGGTCCAAGGTACACAGAAACTTTGTTCTTCGTCGGTATCACGGTATGAAAAGCTCAGCGGTACTTCAAGAAAAGTCGGATGCACTTCATGATGCTCCATAAGCTCTCTCAGCATCGGCTTGGTTATTTGCAATCTCGACCAGGAGTTCTTTTGACTTATCGATCTGGCTTCATTTAATCCTCGAGCATTAGTGTTCATACTCTGCAACTTACATTAATCGGGAAGAGTAATTCAAGTTGCTGCCGTTGCTTAGATAGCTCTTCAACTCTCCGAAGTTGGCGCACTCCTGGGTTTTTGAGATCGCGGTTGTCGACTGTGGTCTTTGAGCGGCAATTGTGTCAATAATATGCACAGATTCGGTCAAGCTTGAATCCAGCTCAAAACACTTTGTCGAGTTCTCAAAACGCGTCCAAAATGACAGCGAGTTTGTCGCTAAGAAGTCCATTGGGTCCATCACGATAAGCGAATCTGCAAATTTGACAAATGGAACAATGACGGCTGATTGATAAGTCTGCCGAAGCAATATTTACAAACTGAAAGTGGATAACACGAGTTGAAGAAGATAAGCGGGTGCGCCGTGACGCGGCTGAGCGCTCTAGCACATCAGGGCGCATGTTATGCGCAGCCACCCCAAACTCTGTGCAATGTCTGCCTACACTCTCTGTGACCAATCACTATCTCGCAAGTCTAGGTTCGGTCAGCCTGACAGGTTTCGAAGACCGGGCATGCTCCATACTCTAGTTCAGCCTTGTTGTTTTTAGTCAGTGGATATTCTCAAGGTTTAGTTTAGGGAAATATACTTCTGTTAACCTACGGGGTACATATAGTATCCACTGATCCTCCTTCATCTGAGTTGCTGTTAGAGGGTACGAGATTTCGCACCGTCTGGAATGCTTCCTCACTTTCACTTTAAAATTGCCATCTGGGAAAAGGCCGGACAGAAAGCTGCGCAGTCTTTGCTCATCGCGATATCGTATGCGGGAGTTTTGAACTATCAGAGGAGCCTTCTCATTTCTTCTTTTACGGGACAGCTGCAGACTTCGCGTAAGCTGCGCATGTACGAGGAAACTTGCAGTCACGAGGCTTACTTTTCTTGAAAATCCTAAACACATCGCGACGAAACGTAGCTTCAAGGTTGATGCTGTCACCCCACTGCTGAATGATAAAGTGCGTTTTGAGAGCCTACGAGCTTCCACTACGTTTATGTGTTGACCGGTACGCGTCCGCAGTCACCAAAAGCAATCTTGTCATACATCAACCAGGGCGGCACGCGACAGGTACTGATTGGTCAGTACTGCTTCACCGACGCCCAGAATGGTAAGGCGCCACTGCACCAATGTGCCTCGCTTGCCTTCCTAGCCGGATACAGCTGGAGGACGAAGGCGCAGGACGCTGAGCCCCAGTCTTGGGAACACGGTAGATGCATGAAGGACTACGTCAAAGCTGACTCTCTAGGGCAAATCCCATAAACAGGCATCGCAAACCACTTCCCTGCAAATCTCACTAGCGAATGTCCATTGATTCCTGCCTCTGAAATTTAGCCCAGGATGCAACCAGTGCACGAAGAAGGAAATTCGCAGACGGAACGGTTCCCTGATTTGCTGCCAGGGCATGCTGATCCAGGTACAACCACGAGCACGAAGGGTCCATTCATCACTCTGCGACCGCAAAGTCTGGCCTCCGCGTTTGACAGCAACAGGCCGTCCGATGTGAGCCATGGGGCTTCTACATCTGGGAGTAGGTTGGAGACTGCTGAGCGAGTTGAAGATCCAGAAAAGGTTCCTACAGCCTTGCCCGGCGATGAACTACTTATCGAGCGCAATCGGGATAGAGCAGTCAAGTAAGTATCACCCAAGTTCATGGGACATGAAGCAGGGAACTGATAACATTCAAGTCGTCGTCTAGGAGGTATCCACATCTTCGTAAGTAAACACCGACCTTCTCTAGAGAGAGGTCAGGAGACTCACATGTGGCAGATGATCACCATCAGCAGTGTACTTGGAGTAGGCCTCTATGTTAGAGGAGGATATATTCTTAGACTCGGTGGACCTCTTGCAGTTCTCATGTCATTTGCGCTGCTTGGGACTCTTGCCTGGGGTGTCATGCAGTGCATTGCGGAAATGCTTTGCATCTGGCCGATCTCTGGAGCTCTGAGCGCTTATGTCACCGAGTTTGTCGATGTTGAACTAGGTATAGCAGTCGGCGTCGCATATTGGTACGTCTTGGGTTGCTTATACGGTTGTTCACGAGTGTTGACTTTGTGCAGGTTCACGTACGCGATTTCATTCGCAGCTCTTGTCGCTGCAACTGCAGGCATCGCAGACTTCTGGGACACGCCTAAGGGTATACAAGGAGGTGTTTTGTTCTTCCTCGTTCCCGCTGTCCTGGTAGTTATCAATGCTTTCGGCATCGAGGTATGACATTCCTCAGAGTATGGCGGATTCACAATGCTGACAGATCGTTGGTAGTTGTACGGTCTGATAGAGGTCATCGCCGGCTCCCTCAAACTCTCCTTCCTGGCTGTCATCATCATCGTCATGATCGCGATCAACCAAGGCGCTGGACCAGGATCAAAGATCGGCACGTCAAAATATCCCGATACTGTTCTCGTACGGGACGAGGACGTCACCAACAGCTGGGCCCAGGCATTGTTCATGAGTCTCTCTATCGCCGCTTTCGCCTTCGTTGGTGTTGAGACCACCGCTGCTTCTGCGCTAGAAGCTCGTGTCACAGAGGAACGAAGCCCAACTCAATCGCGAGCCATCGGAAAAACAGTCAAGTTCTCCGCTGTCTACATCTCCTTCCTCGCGGGGATCATGTATGTGGTTGCCGGCGTACTCGTGACGTTGAACATCAATTGGGAAGATCCTAAACTTCCACGCATGAGTTGGGTCAGGCCCAAGTCTTCGGACGGCGGCCCCGAAACAATTGGGACAACGAGTTCTGCCTTTGTGCTCGTAGCCGAAGCCAGTCGCATTCCTGGGCTAGCTGGCACTTTGAACGTTTTTCTGATGTTCACGGCATTATCATGCGCCAACACGAATCTGTATGTCGCCTCACGCACACTATTTAGTCTGACGAGAGGTCTGGACGGAGGCCGTGGGCGCCCCTGGTATACGCGGATCCTCGCGTACTTTGGCAAAACAAACAACCGCAAAGTACCGCTGCGAGCTCTCGTGGCGTCATGCATCTTCGCATGGATTCCCTTCCTCTACCTTGCAAGCGCCCATGGACCGGACACAAGTATCGGTACTATTCTCGACGTGCTTTCCGAGATGGGATCGGTCGGTGTGATCATCGTATGGGCATGCGAGTGTTGGGCATACATCCGATTTTACGACTGGTATATTCGCACCGTATATGATGATATGCCGTATGATGCTAACTCATCGTAGCATCGAGAACAACCGCGAGGTACTCGAAAACGTCCCACTGATTCGACGCTGGAATCGCGGCACAAATACCGTACCCGACGATTTTCCTTATCGCAGTCACGGCCAGCCCATCACAGCTTACGCATCGCTTTTCGCCTGTCTTTTCATTCTTGTCGTCGCGAACGGAGCAGGCTTGTGGAAAGAATTTCACATCCAACCCTTCTTGTCCGCTTATCTTGCTGTGAGTTCTCCGCACCAGCTTGAAACTTCTTGTGCTGATATAAGCAATAGCCCATATGTTTCATCGTGCTCTGGATCTCTTTGAAAGTCTTGCGCAAAGGCCAATGGCATCTAGTTGATCTGAACGGCGAAGAGTTGGTGCAGAAGATGCGCAGACTGCATGAGATTCGATGGCGGAGCGCGGAGAATTCGGATGGAGGGAAGAGGGGAGTGAAGAATCTTTGGGGAATTTTGTAGAGTAGATAGAACACGTTTGCCATGTTGTCGATTCACACTTACTTGCCATGTTCCTCAGCCTCCTTCATGTTCATATCTTACATGTACTCGGAGACTGCAGCCATATGAAGCCACCCAATCCGAATTAGACGAACACCGGCCGTTATTCACGAATCTAGATGTTCTTTTCAAGAACAGTTCGCATGCCTGTCGTTCGGTGCATACGCTGTGTTGGACATGGTCAGCCCGCGACCGGGCCGAATAGAACGTCTTAGTGCTTTGAAGAACATCTCACATATCATTTCCCTGATGTTATCTGACGCATTTCTAACTTCACTCCGTTACGTGTAACACACACATGTGTACACCACAGTAACGCGCTGTCACAACTACAGAGTGCCCAAGTTCCTAAATAACCCCAGTGGAAGCATGGAAATAGCGTTAGCATTAAGTCTTAGTGTATTTCCCCTCTTTACACCAGGAATCCTATATACCTTCCCGATCCCGGCTAGCTCCCGGCGCCCACCTGTCGATCCGCAACACCACACAGCCTATCGCGAGCGCACATGTGCCGACATGGCCTTATCCGGCGATAAGAGGGCGTGAAACACATCGTTTTAGCGGCCGGCGAATCATTCACTGTACCTGCCTGATCGGCCACAAGTGCCATGGTCTTGGTAGTACTGCAATGGATGTGGAGCCAATGGTACGCTGCAACGTGAGAGTGTGTAAGTGCCAGACGAATGCGGTGGGATGGGTGTGCTTAGTCGAGGAGGGATCTGCAGGTGTTTTGGACGGAGATGGGGATGCTTTGGGTCAGAGCTGGCGAGCATCTAATCTATTCGGTGTATGATCGGCTGTGTATGCTTCGGCGACGTCCGTCCTAGTATCGTCGAGTATAAAGACTCTCGTAGTACGCACGACTTGTAGCTTCAGGTCAGCCCAGCCCCAAGCCAAACCCTCGTTACATCCAACCCATCCCGTCCCTCGCTCAATCACCATGAAGTTCATCGCCAGCCTCCTTCTCCTTCTGACTCCGGTCGCTCTCGCCCTCCCTACTGCTGTCGTCACTGAAGTCGAGGCGGAGATCGAGACCAGGCAGTGCTTCGTCACATGCGGCTCGACATGCTACTCCAGCTCCCAGGTGTCTGCAGCACGCAGCAAGGGCTACTCGTACTACCAGTCGAACAGCCAGGCCGGTAGCTCCAGCTACCCGCACACGTATAACAACTACGAGGGCTTCGACTTCCTCGTTTCTGGACCGTACCAGGAGTTCCCGCTGAGGACTTCCGGCGCTTACACTGGTGGTAAGTTGATGGCATGTAGAGGATGGTGGATTGTGCTAATTGTGTGTTGCAGGATCACCGGGTGCCGACCGTGTTATCTTCAACACGAAGGGCCAGAGGGCGGGAGAGATCACGCACACTGGCGCTTCGGGCAACAACTTCGTTGCTTGCTCAGGATGGTAGAGCGTGGTTTGGCTTAGAGAGGCTGCCACTGCGGAGAAAATTTGTTTCTTGGGGGACGGAGGCTTGCTGTATTCGATGAGTCTGTGTTTGATGTGACGACGGGTTGGCGGCTGCCAGCCTGCTCCGGCGAGAGGGATGGGCTACGACTTGACGTAGTATGATACCAATTGATACTTCCACTGCGCCATTTGATACTGAGTTCTATATTGGGTATCTAACTCTATTGCAAGAGATCGCTTCCGTTTCATCTCCCCCTCTTTACTTCGAATTTTTCTACGCTCATGCCGTCTTTCTCCAAGCATCAGCCAGTAATGCTCCACCAGCAACCATACCACACGCCCCGACACCCCAATCGCTCAGCAAGCCCTTCTCCATAGACCAATGCACCGTCATCGGCGCATACGCCATATTCGAAGCCAAGTCCTTCCACCACAACCAATTCTCCAACTTCTTCTCTCTACTCCTCTCCTCCCGCTTAATTTTATCCTCCTTCTCCCCATCACCACTTCCCTCCCTAGGCTCATCCTCCTTGTAATACCGCACGACACCCAACCTCACCAACTCGACTCCCACATAGACAGCCCAAAACCTTGAGCTCCACAACCACCACTGATTCTCCCTCGCCTTGCCCACATCGCCCGTCCAACTCGCCGTCGTCAGCGCGCCTTTACTCGACAGATATGCGCCGTTCTCGAGGACTTGGAAGCCAACACACGACGCGATCGCCGCCCACGTCAGCTTCCTCAGCACCTTCTCCTTCCCGCTCGCATCTCCAGACAAGGGGGTGCAATACGTGCCCCGCGCCCACGTATACAGTCCCACAACACCCCACAATCTGACGAATATGCGATAGTCGCTTATCGTTTCGGCCAGCGCTTTCGAGCTGCCAACGACTTGCGCCATAACTTTTGTGCTCGTGGGCGCGGGCAGACTGGCAATCAGCGTCTCGCCAGGAAGAAGTACGCCATCTGCTTTCTGCGCAATGTCGGTCGCTATGTAGGCGAGGCGGCGTTCGAGGAGGCGGGAGAGGAGGGCGCGTGTGAGGGTGAGGGTGTAGGAGATTGTGCAGAGAAGGACATCGGTGCCGCTAGGGGTGGAGAGGAGTTTGGAGAGGCGGATTAGCTTGCGGTCGGTGGAGTGGGCGGTTTTGGTGAGGTATCGAATAAGTAGGATGCGGAGTTTTTGTATGTTTGATAGGCGTTGGCGTGGGTGCGATGGTTTCTCTGGCGCCGCGGGTGGTGGTATGGTGGGATCAGAGGGTATTGTAGTGCTCTCTGGGTGTTGTTCGTCCATCGTGGCTTCTCTCGCAACTTTCTACTCAGGTGTAATTGGCAGTGCAGAGTTGTGTTATCGGGAAATCATTACTGGTCAGAAGTGTGAATGTTGTCGCAGAAGCTTGACGCGAACTGTTTGGCCGAGGTTTTCGGAATCGGCTCGGAACTTCTGGAACGTGGCCGCGTGCGTCATGGCACGTGGACGCGACGTTCTCTCGCACGTGAAAGTGAACCCTTCAACATCGACTAAGTATCTTTATTTGCTCGCAGTAGTCACTTTTCATTTCATCGAGTAATTTGGTGCGTGTAATTGATATGGCATCGTGTAGGCTTCAGCACACCTGGGCAGCATACAGCCAAACCCACAGGTACTTTAACGACCTCCTGCAAGCTTGATCATATGGTAAAATTGTACGTGTCAAACACCAAAGCAAAATTGCAGTCAAAGTACATTGCAATAAAGCCGCATTCGAGAGAACTCCATAAAACTCTCAATTGAATCAGATATTACAAGTTATTTTCAAACGTAAATTCATCTTCATAATCAGCATTCATTTTCTCTACCCAGAAAGCTTCTGTCCGAAACTGCTCCTCGCCACCAAGCTTCTGAACTTCTTTCCAAACACATAAGCCGGTATCGTCAGTCCGCAAATGGCCAGATTCACTCCAGTAATTGTACCGAAAACAGTCTGAGGTCCCACGTGTGCCATCCATCCATTCGCATATGTAGTCGCCACAAACGTGAACACTGCTTTTGTAAAGTTGATGGTGACGAAAGCCTGGTTCGCGTCCTTGGGATGGCAGTCGATAACATATGTCAATGACGCAGTGGACGCAAACGGGACGGAAAGAGAGTGAATCGACATGAATACGACAGGCCATACAATCGGCACTCCCTGTTGCGCGGACATGCCAAAACCAACGAAGCCAATGGTTGCGAATATGGTGGCTGGAATCATGAGCACGAGGCGGAATTCTGGCTCGAACACGCCGTTGTTGCGACGTGCCATGAACTTTGCGATAGCGTCTGATGCCCAGCCTGAAAGTGGTGAACCTAGTAAGCCGACGACCAGGAGGGGCAAATTGGTGAGCCCGATTTGTGCGGGACCGAGGGCGTAAGGGGGAGCGCTGAAGACAGAGACGGACAAGACAGAGATGACAAGGAGCCACGTGAAGTAAGAGCCGTACACGATTGTCGAGAAAAGTACAGCTGGGTACGCGATGAGCGGGACGGGCTTCCATGCATTCTTCCAAAATGACTCGTCGTTAAGGCGCCCGCGGAAGAGACGAAGTTGCGAAGCGTATGTCTCCTTGGGCTCATCGCTGCCGAGGTAGGAAATAGTTTCCGACGTGGCATCACTCTTCTCTTCGGGGTATACATCTTTGGTCACGGTGGCCGAAGGGCGGGGCTTGGTGTAGGTTGTCTCAACGACGAAGAAGTAAATTCCCATGAGCAGTGGGATGAAGATCAACGCAGAGATACCAAACGTTGCTTCGAAGGAGATGTTCTCGATGATGGCACCGGCGATTGTCTGACCGAGAAGAACACCGCTGGCGAGCATGCAGCCCCAGATACTGATGCGCGTGCCACGCTGGTGGACGAAGTACATGTCCGACACAGTCGAAGTCACTAGCGTCTCGAGCGGCGCGGAAGCCATACCTTGAACAACTCGCATGACGGCCAGTGACACGAAGGAAGTGGTGTAGTAACCCCAAACGTTTGTAGCCAGCAAGATAACGCCAGAGATGACGAAAAACGGGCGCTTGCCCCAGATATTCGCCCCGGCGGCAGTGAAGAACGTCGTGAAACCGATCCAGAACGCGAGGAGACCGATGATAAGCGAAGCTGCCATATCTGGGCTGACCTTGTACTTCATAGCTAGAAGTGGGAGGCCAGGAGTTACCATAGGTCCTAGAGCAGTTGTGACTCCCGAGGCGAATGCTAGAAGGACCATGATACACTCCTTCCGCATCTTTGACCAGTTTAAGGGATCATTGGGGCTGTCGGATGGTTGTGGCTGCAAAACGATGTCGCCATCTCGCTTCAGGTGGCTCGTATCGATGGAACTGTCTGATCATATGTCTTAGTGATACTTCTTCCACACAATGTGAGGCAATTACCAGCGTTAGAGTCGGCGCCGAGTGTGGCAGTCCCCGGAGGAGCTGCCATATGAGCGTCGTCTAGTACGCCCCAACCCATGATGGTCGATTCAAGATTTCAAGAAGAGATTAAATGATAAACAATAGAGGACTGCCAGCAGACCAAAAAAATTGAGAAAAAAAGTCGCTAGCAAAAGATAGTAACCCAGACACTCCAATGTCAAGAATAAAAGGCAAGAGACCAGCTACAGCCCCTCTAAAGGCCTTGCGATGTCCTTATCAGGCATGATCCAAGGCGTGGTGGTATACCTGGGCATCCAGGCCATCCTCACTGCCGCGAAACATCGATGAAGCGTTGCGTCTGACACTGTCTTGAAGATCAGATGATCTGCGCCAACCGATGTCTTCTATACAGCATGTATCGACAGGGCTGAGGCGTCGCTGCATAAGGGCCGCCAAGACGTCCATCAGCGCCACACGTTGGAAGTTTCATGTATCCTTGCTGCACCCACGACGTCGGAACGAGCCGCGCAGCTTGATCGCCCATGAGGTTTTGATCGACAACATGTTCGAGAAGGTCGGTCGTACACATGTGAGAGAGATCCTGACACCAGACATTTGTGGCATGGAGTTCACTGCCTTGCGTCGTCAGCCGCCAGATGTGCTATGGAACGGAGACATGCGTGGCAGATATGCCCGCAAATGGTATGATGCGAACATGCTGTCACGCTATCGGCATGTATAGCTAAGCACAAGTGCCGAATGGGAAGGCAAGACGAAACGCATGACATCCCGCACTGTGTTCCACAATGCAGATCCTCCAAGAATGGATCATGGATTTCTCTATGCTTACTGATGTGGCATATGTGAATGAATCATATGGTAGTCTAGACAAAAGATTATACTAATGAGGAATTTGAGACTGCACTAATTAGGCGCGATGCAGGTTATGCAAAGAAAAAGACACAAGACTTCGAAAGCACTTTTATTGCTGCCATGCACTTATCTGACGTCTCCATCGCGTGAGGAATTGCTAAAGCGTGAGTTTTTGAGCTGATTGCCTGAATGTACAACATTCTACGCGACACTTGAAACACGTATTGTCACCCGTGCTCTTCTCAGCTAATCTACCTACTACATACCATCTAGAATCTCCTTCTTGGGCTTAGGCTCGCAAACCTCGTGGTTTCCGTCAGCATGTGTGAAGCCGTAGCTCTTTGTGGCGTTGATGACGAGCTCGTTCTCATTCACGTACTGGCCGACATTGGTTGCATACCAGGATGGCCAGTGTGCGGAATACAAGCTACAGTGCTGTGCGAACGGCACATAATCATCGCGCAAGAAGTAGGTGTTGACGAAGTGGCAGTCCTTGGTAGCCGTGCAGACATCAGTGCAACGCCTGGCATCAAACCTGCCATCCATCCACGATCTGAAACCAAGGTAGGTGTTGTTGCCATGGCAGTCCAGAGGAGCCTGGATGGCGCCGCCGTTGCTGTAAGTATCGGTATTGTAGCCGGGAACGCTTGGAACGGTGTCAAACTTGACTTGCTTGACGTAGGCGTTTGAACCGGCCATGACAACATGGAATTCCTGCTGGTATTGGCCGTGGTTCAAATCATGCGTGCTTGAAGTGATGGTTCCCTGCCACAGCCCGCACTTGATAAGGGCAGTGCTCGCGGGGTTAGGGCAGTTGACTCCGGGGACTAGGACAGGGTTTCGCTCTGCATAGATTGTGAAGGCATTACAAGCAGAGCTGGAGTCGCAAGCTTCTGCACCTGTCACCAGCACGTCAGTATGCAATACGGTCGGTGAAGAACGCAACCCGAAAAAGGTAGAATTCATTTCACTTACACTCCTGAACATTGTAGCTAGTCAGCTCGCGATAGCCAGCAAACAGCGTGGGGTCATTGTAGGTCGATTTCATGTTCGTGTAGGATTGGACGTAGCCACCGGGAGTTGTGGCAGCCAGGGCAGCTCTACTGAATCCTTCATACTTCTGGAAATTTTCAGGAGTATCTTCGACAACGGTGGGGTAGGCAACTGGGCCGAGACCAATAGGTAGTGGAGAGCAGTCGGCCGCGATAGAAGCGCGAGGTGCAGCATATACTGATGAAGCCAGCGCTGCGATAGTGGCAGCTTGAAGGAGAATTGCCATTCTGACTTTGATGGTCTGAAATAGAAGAGGTGCAGGATAATGAGTGCGTGAACGAAGATCTTTATGAAGACTTTGAACAAAACTGTCAGGGAACTATTTTTGCCGCACCGGACCAAGCTACGGGTAAGCTCTGTTGATCTGGTAGAGGCATAGAAAGACTCGCAAAGTGATTCCCACTAATGGTCCGGCTCGGGGATTGGATGGAGAAGCTTATCGCTAAACGTCTCCGCCTTGGTATCATGACCGTTGGGGACGGAAGGAGTTCAGGTATCCTAAATGAACTTGTACAAAGTTCAGATAATGCAAGTATATTGGAAGGCTACCAGTAGAGACACCTCGGGTCCGATGGTGAAGACCGAAATTCACGGACCACCTGCAAGATCCATCTTGGTTCAAGTCTCAATCTTTTACCTAGCAATAGCGATAGTAGCGATATCACTCGAAGTCTTCGCTAAGAACTATCCTGAGTTACGAGGCAGAGACATGGCATCAGCAGCGCAGATACAAAGTAATTATACGAAGTGTGTCGCGCTAGTGGTCCTTGATTCAATGGCTCGGCTAATCTTGCCGCTTCCATAGCTCAACACCATCATTCCGACCATCATGGTGCCGCCACCATGACACCAAGTTAAGGATTGAGTTCACCACACCGCAATCCATCCACTCGTTCCACGGTCACTGTTCATCCGTCTTCCATCTGCCGTACAACGCTACGATGGGCCGAACAGAGAGATCTCAAGGTCTAGCGCCACCCGCTATCCGCAAGGATATCCGGGCGAAGCAAGCCAAACACGTTATCAACAAAGTTATCCCTGCGTTACTCGCGTCTAACTCAAGAGCAAGCAAAGGTGTAGAGAGCAGCGAGCTCATTGTAGACCCTGCATCGTCAAACACAAATGCTTCAAGCAAACTGGAGACTGAGACCAAAGACGATGCAGCGTACATCAAGCGCAAAGGTCAAGGCCGGCGGAAAGCCAAGAACGAAATAGGAGCACACACCAGCAGGGAAATCACCAAAGGAAAAGGTCGCAAAAGACAAGACTCGGTAGACTTAAACCTCGCGAGCCTTTCTATCAGCGAACCTCCACCACCGGCTCCAGCAAAATCCCGCAAGATCCGCATCCTAACAACCGACACCCTTACCGCCGCCCATATCCTTGCCCATCCCTCCAAACCCTCCAAAAAGCAACCCAACATATGTGTCCTCAATATGGCTTCCCCACTCCGCCCGGGTGGCGGCGTCCTAACTGGCGCCACATCTCAAGAAGAATTTCTCTGCGCACGCACCACGCTTCTCCCGTCGCTGCAGGAATCCTACTACCGTCTGCCGGAGCTAGGCGGTATATGGAGTCCCGAAGTTCTGGTGTTTTTTAACAGGCTACCGTTGGGCGATGCTAGGGGCGAACTTGGGCCCGCTGATAGGTACTTCGTTGATGTGATTTCGGCGGGTATGTTGCGCTTTCCAGAGTTGGAAGGTGAGGAAGATGAGGTTAAAAGATTGGGAAAGAAAGATCGGGTGCTTGTGGAGAACAAGATGCGTGCTGTATTGCGTATTGCTACAAGGAAGGGGGTTAGGAAGATGGTGCTTGGCGCTTGGGGATGTGGGGCGTATGGAAATCCGGTGGTTGATATCGCGGAGGCTTGGAGGAAGGTACTTGATGGTACCACGGGCTCGAGTGGGAAAAAGAAGAATAAGTCCGAGCCGGAGACCTGGCCGGGTATCGAGGAGGTTATTTTCGCGATTAGCAATCGCGGCATGGCTGCGAACTTCGCGCAGGCGTTTGAGAATATGGAAGTCGAGCCAGGGCCGACCGATAGCACTGAAGATGACGATGATGACGAAGAAGACAGGGTCGCAGAAGAACTGCGCACTAAAATCGGAGAGATGGAAGGCCAACTTAGTAAAGTCTGGAATCCAGATCTCAAGGCTCGCATGGGCACTATTGTTGATGGGTTGAAGTTGCAGCTCAAGCAGAGAACTGAGGGAAATCCGTTATCAGATGAGGACGACGAGTCGAGCACTACTGCAGCACAGATGACACCCGAGGATAGCGACGAAGAACACAGTGGCGTAGAGGAAGAAGATGACGACGATGATGATGACAATAGCGACTAGAAAGCAGCTATATTGAAAAGCTCCTAAGATGCTACATCCTTAACAAATGAAAATTTCATGCCTAAATGACAGAAATTCGCCGTGGGTATCGTGAAAAAGACCGTAAAAGGCAGAGAGCCATGATATACACTTGGGACCAATTTCCTGTCCATTCTTCCCAATCCTTCCTGCTGCACTGCCACATCTACTGCTGCGGCTTATACACCATCCCCCCAGTCCTCGTATAAACATCCGTACTTGCCGGCCCCGCCCACCTCCTACTCGCCTCTTCCCTCAACCTGACCTCGCGCTCATTCTGCACCGCAACACAGCAACAGCAACAACAACCCTTGAGTAAGTCGCCACCCAGACTGCCCGCAAGTTTATACGCATGTCGGACTCTCGTGCGCTGCAGCATGGGGAATAACGACCATAGTCCGCACGAGATGGACATGAGCATGCAGTGACCATTCGTGGCGCTGTGGCCCAGCATATCTGTGGGGTCTTTCTTGGCGGACTTTTGCGAGAGACGGTAGGATGTGCGGCCATAGAGGATACAGGGGCAGAAGAGGCCTGTGAGACAGGTTGAGGGGTCGGGGCTGCAGCTGCAGAGAGATGTGTTCCATTCTTTGCTGGATACCGAGTCCATGTTGGGATGTGCGATTTGGCCTGGTTGATGGAGCGCAAAGTCCAGCCCATTCGGGCCATGTGTAGCATCGGGCGAAAAGACGGCATGCATATTGTTTGTTTGTGTCGAGTCGAAGCCATGAGGCGAATACGGCTCGTTGGCATACGACTGGCGATTGTCACGGCTCGGATCCTTCGTCGTCGAATTTGGAGATAGAGGTGTCATTGGCGTCTTCTGTGGTAGCGGTGAGGCCGGATTGCCCGATGGTGGGGTTGGAGGTATTGGAGGCATCTGGTACTTCGTGAGGTTGGTATTGATGGGACTCAAATTGCTCATCTTCCGTGCATGGCTAGTTGGTGGAATCGTCACCGGCGCGGGCTGCACTGGTTGCGCAAAGTTCTGTGGAGGTGGGAGAGGTGAGACTGGAGAGAAGGGTACTGAGCGAGTAGCTTCGTGCGGTGATACGGGCGACACTGGAGGTTGCTCGGCATACGCGTAAGATGACGGTGGTGCGTAGCCTTGCTGAAATTGCGGATGTGGCTGCGCCGCGGATGTAAGCGGATTGAAGATCGACTGTGGTCGCGAATCGATTGGCGTGTGGGGGGAATGTATCTGCTGTACGGTCCTGTGCGATTGTGGAATAGGCGGGTCATTCGCAGAGGACATGTAGATATATGCTTCGTGTTCGACTGGAGTTTGCGCATAACTAAAGTGTCTATTGTGCGACTCTACACTTGTGCTGACCTGGGGCCGCTGAGGCGCATGCGGCGCGGGCTGCTGGGATCGTTGTTGTTGTACTTCCTCATAGGCTGGAGCATCTTCATGTGCATGTAGTTGCCACGAAAACCGTTGATGTTGCCGCTCGGCCGTCTCTGGCTGAGGTTGCAGCGCATGACCATGTTGTCGATAGTCCATAGTGTATTGTGAATATGGTCGGATGCCGTGTTCGTTCAGGACGCAACGAAGTACCTATAGTTTGTGGCACTGCTTTTGGTAAATACAGTTGCGATTCCGATCGTGGAAAGCTTTTGAAACCGGATGGCACAGTAATGAAGTTATGGTCAGTGAAGTCAGTAACGTGGGAACAAGTCATCGAGCTCAGAAGGGGGCGCGAAGGCCTGATATCAGGTCAATTATCGGGTTATGCACGACCTCGAAGTCGAGCACTGGAACAAGGCGTCCCTGCATCTTGCGGCGCCAGCTCTCGTTCCGAGTGGCTCTCGGCAGTAATCCACTGTGCGGACCAGGGCTTCCTTGGGATCAGATTCGCAGAGTTCCCGCCAGAGGATGACTTCTCTTTTTAGTAGTGCAGTGAGGCGCAGGCCTGGCCAATTGGTGTTGGAGTTGAAGTGTGACGGGGATGTGGAGCGAAGATGGGCGCTTAGGACGTGGACCAATTAGGAGCGAGTATATGCCTCATTCCAGCATCAGCGCCCGTAGATAGTCCACGACGACGGGGTTTTCTGGGGATCTGACGAGGCTCAAACGAGGAGCAAAGTTTCAAATTAATCGAGCAATATCTCTGTAGCTAGATCCATGAATGGATGTCTTGGCAAAAGGTGACGTCAGTGCAACCCAAGTAGAAGGTGGAAAACTCCGCGATTTTTGGAGCTAGCCGAAAAGGGATGTAACGCGATCGGTGTTGACGGTTGACTCAGACCCTCTATCAGAATTTCTAGACAGCCAAAAAGCTGCGCCCAGGAGACCGAAACTACAGTCGAGCCGCATCCCAAGCGACCAGGGTATTCTATACCAAATTTACGTCCAGCATTCGAGTAACAGGGACATACAGTCACTCGTGCCCCGCAATTTCGGCACACAAACCACGTACCTAACTAGACTGTGCCCAAGCCATAGGCGCATAAGGGACATCTATATTCACAAATCATGTCTGAATCACCAGCTGCCGAAGTAGTGCAACCGCCTGCTCCCGCGCCACAAGAATCAACAGACAGCAAGCCAGCGGACAGCACACTTGCAGCCACAAATGGAGACAGCACAAGCGCCCCACCCAAACTGTCCCCTGCAGAGCTCAAGAAACAAGCGAAGGCAGAGAAGGCAGCACGAAGAGCACAAGCCAAAGTCGCTGATCCAGCACCAAAATCGCAAACAGGGCCATCGAAAGAAGGACAGAAACAGCAAGGCTCGAAACAAGCACCAAAGGATGACAAGTCAAGACCGCTACCGAACCGGAGGCGGCCCTCACAGTCAAACGTCCCCGTCGTGAAAGAGCCTGAGAAGAAGCCCAAGAAAGAGAAGGAGCCAAAGCAGACTGGTTTGTTCTTTGGACATTTGTACAGCCAGCCGAAGCAGCAGTCCATGCACGGGGCTTCGAAGGATGTCCATCCGGCCATCCTCGCCCTAGGTCTCCAGTACAGCAGCTATGCCATCTGCGGAAGTACAGCACGCATGGTCGCCATGATGTTGGCTTTCAAAGCAGTCATTGCGGACTACCATACACCCCCAGGCAACAGCTTAGCGCGACATCTCACCAACCACCATCTCAGCCCGCAAATCGAGTTTCTAAAGAGTTGTCGACCGCTCAGTGTTAGCATGGGAAATGCTATCCGGCATCTGAAAGACAGTAAGTTTTGATTACAACCCCTCTCATCAAAGACATCCACGACATCACGTGGACTTTGTAGCACTACAAACTAACCCATCCCCCAGTAATAATCAAAATCGACCCCTCCCAGCCGGAATCCCTCTCCAAACGCGACCTCCTAGAGGAAATCGACATCTTCCTCCGCGAACGCATCACCGCCGCCGACAAACTGATCCGCGACCTAGCCGCCACCAAAATCGAGCCCGGCGACGTCGTCCTCACCTACGCGGCGTCCTCCATCGTCGAGCAGGCAATCATCCAGGCGCACGCCAACGGCATCCCGTTTTCGGTCATCGTCGTGGACTCGAAACCGCTGTTCGAGGGGCGCCAGTTGGCGAGGAAGCTTGCGAATGCGGGTGTTAGTGTGCGGTATTATCTGATTACGGGTGCGAGCCATGCAGTCAAGGACGCGTCGAAGGTACTCCTCGGCGCGCATGCGATGATGTCCAATGGCCGATTGTACTCGCGCGTGGGTACGGCGCTGGTGTCGATGCTCGCGGCCGCACACTCCCTGCCCGTCATCGTTTTGTGCCAATCCGTGAAATTCACGGAGAAAGTCGCGCTGGACTCGATCGTCGGGAACGAAGTGGCTCCATCCGAGGAGATCCTTTCTGAATCTGAGCGCAGGGAGTTGCTGCCCTTGAAATCGCTGGTGCCGGGGGCGAAAGTGGATGATGCCGGGGAGGAGAAGAGCGACACGACGGATGTGCTCAAGTGGATTGAGGACTCGAAGAACTTGCATCATTTGCAGGTGCTGTATGATGTTACGCCGGCGCAGTACATCAATATGGTGATCACGGAGTATGGCAGCTTGCCGCCGAGTTCGGTGCCGGTTGTGCATCGGCTGAGCACGAACGTTTGAGCGAGGGAGGGGAGTGTGGCTTTAGTACTCAAGAAATATTGCTTGCTTGATTCATTACCATTACCATTACCACGTCCTTCTACAAACTCCACTGCCCAACTGCACCCCAATCAATCCCGCCATCACCACTCCCCGCATTATTTACCCCCATATTCCCACTCAAACCCAAGGGCCCCAGCCCCGAGAACTCCAAACTCTCAAATCCATCCAGTCCCGGCCCCGAGAAGTCAAAGTCCCACTCCAACCCGCTCGGCGTGACTTCACTCCCATTGCGTGGCTCGAGCACCGCATCGATGACCTTTGTGAAGATCTTGCTGGCTTTGCGGCACAAGTTGTAGTTCGCTTCGCCCTGACGAGCGCCGGAGTTTTCTACGTGCGCAGCGGCGTCGAGATGGGATATCAGCACGCTGAGCATGCGGACGATTTCGCTGCGCGAGACGTCAGGTGGGAAAGGCGCGGATGTGGCTTGTTGCTCGCGGAGGGCGGTAGCTAAGACGGATGCAGCGGGGACGCCAAAGAGAAGAACGCAGTGGAGCATGTCTCGGTGGACGTCATAAGAGCGGTCACGTACGGTGCCGAGGGTGAGGACGTTGGAGAGCAAGTCGATGCTCACGCGGAGTAAGGGTTGATTGGATGTAAGAGGAGTGTAGTCGAGGAGTTTCTGGATCATGAATTCTGTGTACCAGTGTGTTAGGTGTACGATGATTAGCATGAGGCAGACTGTTGGCGGGGTATCTTCGTCCCAGCAGGATTTCCAGTAGCGCAGGTGAGGAGGAAGGGAGTCCCAGCATGCCCGGAGGCGTCCAGAGATGTCTCTGATTGGGGTGTTAGTATGTATACGATGAGAGTTGAAGGTGAAGAAGTACAATAGTTGGCTTCTTGCTGTGTCGTCAAGCTTGGTCATGGAGAACTCGAGAACTTCTTCGCGAAACTGAAGTGACTTGTAACGCAAGCGCTAACTTCTGTCAGTAAAGTGGTGTATGATAGCAATGGCCGCTTACAATCCATGAAGCCCTTCGCCATCTGCCATCCGTGTTCCAACCATCCTGGTCAAGACTTTCGATTACCTTGCTCAGACCCGCTCGATCGCCGACAGTCTCCTCATCCGAAATATCGAGTGGCAGGCTGATGTCTGTATGTCTCTTGCTTATGCGAATCGGCCGGCCCAGGAACGTGGATATGGCTTTGTCTTGATTGTAGGAGGAGGTAAAGAGCCTCTTCCGTGTTTCACGGAGCCACAATGGAACATTGGCGCTCGTCGATTCCTTATGGATGCCGAGCGCATAGATTTGTGTGGAAAGCTCACCAAGTCGTCTCCAAGAAGGCGGTCCTGTGACTTGTTAGTACTGTACAAGCGTACTGAGAGTATGACCAACCCGCATATCCACACATCATTGTGGTGAAGAGGTAGTTTTCATAGTACATCCAAACCGTGATGTCGTTCACCGTAGCAAGCATAGTGCATAGGAAAAGGCATGTGGTGCTCGCGCGAAGCAGTTCGTCCGTGAATTGCGATTTCAGAGCGCGGTTCGCGGGGTCATTGAGCAGATCTGGAACGAAGCCAAAGGTAAGCGATCGTCCTGCAGTAGCGAGGAGGAAGCCGATAGTCTCAAAGCGGAGGTTCTCTCCTGAGCACAATATGTGGAAGTCACGTGGCTCCAGGTTTTGCGCCAGTGTGAATGGTCGACTCGTACATTCCAACACCTGAGAGATCAATTGAGGACTTGGAGGAGCATGGCCGAGATTGTGCTTGTCCACGATCGACTCGATAGCGAGAATTGCATCGACCTGTAGTGGCGCAGGTACAACACCGGCTTCATTGCTCGCGTTGTACCACAAGAGCAACTCCTTGATGGCTGGAAAGTAACGAAACGTATTTAATACATCACTGGCCATCTGATAGCGCATAGACTTGGTGAGCGGGTGCTGGTGGGTCAGCTCCCAGTCTGATCTTTCTGAGGCGACTGAGACTTCCCTTTCTCTTGGGGCATCTGGTTCTTCATCCTGGGGCAATAGTACGGCGTAAGAGCCTGGCCCAAGGAATCCAGGATGGTAGACATCGGCAGCAACAGCATCCGCAAGCTTATCATTAGGGGAAGTAGATGTGATGGGGAACACGGACTCTGAGGCACTTGGCCTTGATGGTCGTCTGATATGGTCAACGATGCTCGATTAATCGAGGAAGCATTCACGTACTTTCGTTTTAGCGGTCGAGACTCTCCCGTGCCTACGTCGTCGGCGGGTCGGGGTTTGGTCAGCGGCGCTGGGTGGTAAAAGCAGCGTTCTTCAATGCCTCTCTGCTTGCAGCGGTCGCACTTTGGCCTTCCGTGGTCGCAACGCGTCTTGTTGATTCTACATGGCTCACCTGTAGAGGGTAAGATTGGTTGACAACAACCGAACGGCCAAATCTTGAATTGCTTACATGATGCTGGCTTGCCGTTGCGCCTACTTGCATTCCTGCGACTGTCCGTCAGTTATGAAGTGAAACTTGGACCCTCTTTCCTACATCTTGAGTTGTTGTACAAACTCTGTACGCTTCGCATGACGATATAGCCATATGTTCAGCCAGAGACATGTCGACAGGAAGTATGACTGGCGGCCTCGAGAACTTGGCAAAAGACGGGCAGTAGCCGATAGTTAAGCTAGTGTGGTATCGATAGCCCCACCAATGGTACGCGCCTGCCGAACGCTCGTGAACGCGCGCCAGTCGGGCACTCTTAGCCTTCACAACACGGCGCGTTAGTTCTGGCACCTTTTCCTTGCGCTCTGAACGATGCAAAATACTTCAAATAGGCCATATAGGATACTACGATGCCAACTCCCGAGGGCGACGTCCTGAAACCCATCGATCCCTCGGCCGCGAGCTCGGATGATTGGGAAATCTTCATTCTGAACAATGCGCAAGTGGTGCACGAGAAGAATGGCAAGCCCGTGAGCTTGTTGGCGGCATACGCAGATACTCCGCTCAAAGTGACGGGAACTTTCACCCCAGGTCGGGGGCAGTCAAAGTACCGTACGTCATGTGCCTGGGCTTCGATGGAGTTGCAGCATACTTCGCCCTGATCGATTCGCTGACGCGATGGCAGTGCTGAGCAAGTCGAAAAAGCCGATAGACCTCGAGATACGCAATGTGACGCGCTTTTCATACGGCGAACTGACCGACGGCGAGTTTGCGATATGGGCTGAAGGCAATGCAGGCTGGTTTGAAATCCGGCCAGCGCCACACTACAACAGCATATACGAGGACATGATAGAGGCGGTGCAATTACTGTACTTTGTCACCGATATATATGGTGAGCCGCGAAAGAAGGGCGGAGGCCCAAGCACACAGCTCATATTCCAAGAGGTGAGTACCATTGGGCACTGCCTGTGCCTTTTGAGACATGACCGCTGTCTACATTTGCATGGAGACATGTGTTGACACACAGTAGTATGCAGAGGACGAGCGGTTCGCATGCACCGACCCCGCAGTCGCGGCGGAGATATTCCACAAACACCACATCTTCCTCATGATGTGCTTCCTGAACCGTGCACAGGGCATTGGATGGAGTAGCACTCCGATATATCAGTCTTTCAGACGACAATTCCCTGTACGTTCAACCTTCTCCAGTCCCCACACCAAGCTGACATGTCAAAGAAGGACTTTGAGACCTGCAAAGCGCGGGTTGAAGGCCGCTATACCCAGGTCCTTCCCGAGAGACCCACGCGAACTTCCAAGTCGACAACTCCATCCGCTCCACAAGCCGCGCCCGCAGCGGCACAGGCGAAACCAGGGCGAGGGAAGGCCGCCGTAGAGAAGACAGATGAAGCACCCAAGAAGGATAACAATTGGTGGGAGGCAGCTGCCTTGTTCGAGTTCATGCAGAAAGCCGTCAACCAACGGGCTCTACGTGCCGGTCGCAACCAGATCACAGTTGAGCGACTTGCCCAGCTTGTTGTTAAACGCTACCAGATTGAAGATGTGGAGACGGCGCAGAGTGTGCTTCTAGTGCACGCCCGGAATCTATGTTACATGATAGGCCACCCTCGGCGGAAAAGTATACGGTACTTTGCGGACGAGCCAATATACCAGGAGTTGATGGCAGGACACAGTCTATCTGCTGCTGAACAAAGACGAGCGGAAGGTGTAGAACTGAAACCACGGAGGGACCGTGCAACACTGAAAGATGAGGAAACGCAATCGTCGGACACATCGAGCGAGGAAGAGGACGTAATAACAACGCCAGTGCGCAGACCACCTGGCAGGCGAAAGAAGGGTCGATTGTCTATCTTGCGTCCAACAAGCAGCAGGCTTTCCGGAAAAAGCAAAAGCATCAAACACAAACAAGACAAGGCTGGGAAAGGCAAAGCCCCAGTTCCTACTTCAGACGAGTCCGGCGCGGAGGAAGCAGAGGAAGACAGTGACGAGGCGACCAACAGCGACGACGAAATGGGCGTCGACACACCAACACAGGCACTATCTCCAAGTCGCGAGAAGCGCAAACTTGGCGAAACAGACGCAGATGAACAAGCGGAGAAGACTCGTCGGAAACGCGCAGCTAGCACTCCCGAATCACCACCCACAACCGTCGCATCAGAAGACGAAGACGCAGACATCCCAGACGGCACCGCCGTTCCTCCCCTCCCTCTCCGCCACCGCCCCAATTCCAACAACAAATCAGACGTAGCTCCCTCGCTCGTATCTACCCCCCTCCCAACCTACGAACCCAACGGGCCCCGCGACTCTTGGATATGCAGCTTCGACGGGTGTTCGCAGCGCATCTACGGATGCAGCAAGGAGATTGGGAGACAGTTGATCACGGAGCATCTTGAGGATCATGCCAAGGGGAGGGAAAAGGTTGTGGGGATTTTGTGGCGCGAGCAGGATAAGCTGCATTTGCCGGTCAGGTATGTGATGTGATTGATGTTTGATGTTGGGCGCGGGAGAGAAGCTGACGCTGGACAGTAACTTGATCAAGAAGATCCGCGAGATGAGCGAGGCGAGTACGCCGTTGTTCCCCGTGGCTCAGACGGAGCGTGTGCAGCCACGGCCTATTCAACGGCCTGTATGATGTCACGTTGTTATGCTTTGCGAATGGATTGGATACAGTACCGCCCATGGAGGACACTGTTGCCTACGGACGACACACTATTCTTACACGGCACACAAAGCACTAGTCATTGACATGATCATAACATTTCCTCAACCATCCACAATGCTTTCAACGCCCCCCTTCTAGATCCCGGTTTTTGTCTGCCGAGCGTGCTGCTAAAGTTACATGATTGGGGGAGGAAGCGGAGAGATGGGGCCAGTTCATGTCCAACACGAACAAATATAGTACAAAGAAAGATCGTTACACATGTGCATCTGCGAGCTTACTCCAAGACACGCGTGACCAGACCCGTGGCGACTGTTCGTCCGCCCTCACGCATGTTGAAGCGCTGGCCCGTCTCCAGCACGTGCGGCTGGTGCAGCTGGCACACCATCTCGACGTTGTCGCCGGGCATGACCTGCTTCTCGTGGGCATCCTCTGTGCCCTCGGGCCAGTGCAGCGCGCACGACTCGTCCGCAGTGCGGATGAACATTTGCGGGCGGTAGTTCTCGCCGAAGCCTGTGTGACGGCCGCCCTCGTCCTTGCTCAGCACGTACATGGAGACGAGGAACTTGCTGTGCGCCTTGACCTTGCCTGGCACAGAGACGACCATGCCGCGACGTACATCCTCGCGCTTGACGCCGCGCAGGAGAAGGCCGGAGTTGTCGCCTGCGCGCGACTCGTCGCAGGATTTCTTGAAGGTCTCGATGTCGGTGACCTTGCTCTTGATGCTGGTGCTGCCTTTGCCGACGAGCTCAACTTCGCTGTCCTTCTTGAGCACGCCGCGCTCGACACGACCCGAGACGACGGTTCCACGGCCGGCGATGGAGAAGACGTCCTCGACGGCCATGAGGAAGGGCTTGTCGGTGTCACGAGCCGGGGTCGGGATCCAAGAGTCAACAGCCTCGAGGAGGTTGTCAATCTGCTGCTCGCCAATCTCCTTCTCGCGGCCCTCGAGCGCACAGAGCGCAGAGCCCATGATGATGGGCGTCTCGTCGCCCTCGAAGCCGTAGCTGCTGAGCAACTCGCGCATCTCCATCTCGACGAGCTCCAACATCTCCTTGTCCTCGATCGCATCAACCTTGTTGACGAAGACGACAATCTTCTGCACGCCGACCTGGCGGGCCAGCAGCAAGTGCTCACGGGTCTGGGGCATTTGGCCGTCCGAGGCGGCGACGACGATAATGGCGCCGTCCATGTTGGCAGCTCCGGTAATCATGTTCTTGATGTAATCGGCGTGACCGGGGCAGTCGACGTGGGCATAGTGGCGGTTGTCGGTCGAGTACTCGATGTGGGCGGTTGCGATGGTGATACCACGCTTGCGCTCCTCAGGCGCCTTGTCGATGGAGCCATATTCGAGGAACTTTGCGTAGCCCTTCTCGGCTTGTCGCTTGGTGATGGCGGCTGTGAGGGTAGTCTATGACCATTAGTTTCGTGCTCTGTTGTATGGCGGAGGCAAGTGGCGGTGTTGTACCTTTCCGTGATCGACGTGACCAATGGTTCCTGTATGCAATGAGCTGAAGTTCCTCCAAATGGTATAAACGATGCTCACCAATGTTGACATGCGGCTTGTCACGGGTGAAAGCAGCATAGTTCCGTATGCCGTTCATGTATCTGCTGGTGCCCTGCATTCCCAGCGCATTTTGAACCGGGTTGACGCCACGCTGGTAGCGGGCCGCGCGCATAAACACTCTGGAGAAGCTCGACATGCTGTATTAGACAATAACGAGAGAAAAGAAGAGCGATCAATGGGGCAATTGGCCGCGATGGAGGTGTTGCTTGGTGTCGTCTGAGGGCCGCCGCTTCCCACAAATTCTCTTAGCGCGAAATGCACTGACACAGACGATTGCCCGCGCTGCCCAATCATGTGATTCACACTTCCGCGCGAATGTGGGACGCGGTGCGGGAAAGCATTGCCGACTGACTTCAGACGTCAATTGAGCTCCTCTGAAGCTTCAGTCACTCTCTGCAGTTGTCTACAAAGCTTTCCAAGACTGTGCCACGAGCAAAGCTTACACTGCGGATACCCGAGGTATCTGTCGGCGGAGCATCGAAAAGTTGCATCATTCTCGGACCTTGGTCCTACACACCTCACATGTCGCTCTGCACATCTATAAGACGCACAGCGCCGCTGAGCTGCGTGTCTCGCATATCCACCGCGCGAACCATGCCATTGCGCGCCAAAATCACAAACCCCGCCTGGGTGACAGGCACTAGAAGAGTATGTCGGAGCTGTTCCACTAAGCCGATGTCAATGGTCTAACAAATGCAGTACGCAACACCCGCGGCAGACCTGCTCAAGGCGCAACAAGACGACGACCCCGACGATGTCACCTTCACCAACAACTATGGCGTGCGGAGCATCGAGCTCAACCGGCCGAAGAAGCTCAATTCCCTCGACGGGTCCATGGTGCGCAAGATCATACCAAGACTGCAAGAGTGGGCAAAGTCGGATATGGCTGGTGTCGTAATTATCAAGGGCAACGGACGCGCCTTTTGTGCCGGTGGAGATGTTGCGAAGCTGGCCAAGTGGAATGCAGAGGGCGAAGCGGGCCAGCAGGCAAGCGCAGACTACTTTGGCCTCGAATACAAGCTCGACCACCTGATTGCAACCTACACGAAGCCGTACATTGCATTCATGGACGGCATCACAATGGGCGGAGGCGTTGGGCTGTCGATACACGCACCGTTGCGCATCGCAACCGAGAACACCCTCTTCGCCATGCCCGAGACCACGATTGGCTTCTTTCCAGACGTCGGCGCATTCCTTCTTCCTCCCACGCATGGAAGGTGCGCTCGGTACCTACCTCGCGCTTACGTCCGAGCAGCTGAAGGGCGTGGACGCTTTCTACCACGGCATTGCGACACACTACATCCACTCCTCCACTCTCCAGCAACTCGAGTCTCGACTGGCTGAGCTCCAGTTTCCCGACTACATGCCTCTCGAGGACCGCTTCAAGATCATCAACGCGACCATCGAGGAATACAGCACCGGCCTGCCCGCAGACCGACCCCACATCTCCGGCGAGCTGCGCAAGACCATCGACAAAGTCTTCAACTCCGACCAGCCAAGCATTCAAGCCATCCTGACATCTCTCGAAGAGATCCGCGACGGGGCCCCCTCATCTGACCTCAGCAAGTGGGCCAAGAAGACCATCGAAACCATCAACACCCGCTCCCCCATCTCCGTTGCCGTCACCCTCCAGCAAATGCACATCGGCCGCCAATGGTCCATCGCCCAGACCTTCCAGAAAGAATACGAAATCGCTTCTCACTTCATGGCGCACCCGGATTTCGTCGAGGGCGTGACTGCCCGCCTCATTGAGCGCAGGAAAGAGCGCCCGAATTGGAAACCCAACACCCTCGCTGATGTTAAGAGGCGCGAGGTCGACGCTTTCTTCGCGGCCCCCCGTGATGGGTCAAAGTTGCCCCTGATCAGCGAGGTGGACTACAAGGAGTACCCGCATGCATGGATTGGGCTTCCGAGGGAGGAGGAGATTCTGCGAGAGGCGGGAGGGAAGACGGCGGAGGATGTGGTGCAGATTTTGCTGGAGAGGTATGAGGGCAAGCAGGGTGTGCGGGAGAAGATTGCTGAGGTGTTGGCGAGGTATAAATGATGTAGTACGAAAAGAGCAGGGTGAAATGTATGAGTACGAAATCGAATGCGTTGGGTGTGCATGTATGTGCGTCCTGAGAAACTCTGACCGCCTCCGAGGTATAAAAACACCCGCCTTTACTCCCCCTGCCTCCTTCCTACATCACAAAAGCGACTTGTGTATTGATCATAAACTGTGTACATGCATCTGGATGTGTCTTTCTCCAGCTGTCTCCAAAAATGAAACAAGGAACGTCGAATGTCTCCGCCACCTCTTCTCGGTTCTCAAACGATATCGAAAATGCATCAAGCTTTCCTCATGGCCTGAGAAGCACCGCCAAAATAAACAACTACGAACATGATGTCTGCCGCTCCTCTTCTTCAATCTCCAAACTCACCGCAGGAACCTAACATATCTGTTCTTCTCTTCTTCTGTCTCGCATCGACCTGCTATAAAGCACCATCAAATCCTCTCTCGATTACACGCATATCTGACACTGCTCTTCTTTGACTTCTAAAATCAACGAAACTTTCGCGTCATGGCTTTTCTCTGTGCTTGACTCCACCTTTTCAAAAACTCACAAAATCAATGGACAACATGGAATACGGTGCGTTGGCTGGCCTAGCGGAACTCAACAAGAAGAAGACTATCTGGTTGCGTTCCGAGAGACGAGGCTATTTTGCTGGTCTGATGGGTATAAATACCTCCCCAACAAGTCGTGCTTTCTGTCTTCTCAAATCACCACGCCATGATAGATTGACACCAAAGTTCCCCGCCCTGCCTTACATGTGCCGCTGAGTCTTTTTTTCGTCTCAAAACTTGTCCAATGCGGATGTATGATCTTTTTTCTCTGCTCGGGTCGAAAAACCTACCAGTTAGCAGGTTATGTGGCACTTCCAAACGTTCGATTTGGAGATGCGATGTCTTGCCAAAAATAAAGCTTAGGACGCGTATGGCTGAGAAGTGGTTGGTGTGTCGTTTCGTCAAAAATGAGGAAGCTTCTGCTTATGTTGTTTTGTGCGGCTCTGTCGTTGAGTTTCTGCAATCGAGCGCAAAATATGGGTTGACATTCTATGGTCTCTGCACCGCCTGCTAGAACAGAGATCTGCATACACCATGTAAAGACGAAGCTCGTGGCATGGTATAAATTGCATCCGCGCTTCCACAGACTTTCTTCCTCATTACACACACTGAAAACGGTTATTACCAAAAAGCGATAGGCAAGGATCAGATGTTTCCTTTTCTCCTGGCTGGTTATCAACAAAAAGATTAACTCCCATGCCTTCCATGTTCCGTGAGACTTACCTCTGGCCAGGTTTCGCCCGGAACTACGGGGACATGAATTCAAAATTCACAAAAGTCGACAAGACGCGCGCGCAAATTTCATGAGTGGAGAGCTCCAGCCGGCTGTATGTTGTACCAAAAAATTGGAGATTTGAGACAATGTCCATGTCTGTGGTGTCTACAATTTCACTCAAAACAACCTCTCCAAGCTCGCATACATCTTCCTGAGCTGATGTTGATCATATATAAACTTAGCTCAATCCAACTCTTCTCTTCCTTCTTTATACCACACTTGCTCTGCAGTGTCCAAAAATCCTAAGGGAAGACATCCATGTCTTTCTTTTCTCCACTTTCTTCCAACGCATGCTAGAAGGACCTATATGTTCTTTTCCCGTGTCGAGCAACACGATTCAAAATATCCAGCCGGATTTAACATGTTTTTTAAGTCAAAAGCAACAAGAGCAAGTAACATATCTTGCCCTTTCTGAAGTGTGACTACCATGCCGCGTGTGTTTGTGCGCGCGTTGTTTGAAACTGTAGAACGTAAGCTGTCTATCTTCAAAGTTGTTTAGGCTTTTCGCAACGTACTAATCAGCTGTTGAGTCTATTCAAGCTCATATATAAGATATCGGCTGCTCTGTAATAGTAAGTCAAGTTCACATGACACCGCGCTGCCAAACAACCTAAGCTTTCTTCACCTCTCCACCATCCCGCCTCAAGCAAAACATCATCTTCCCCAACCAGTACTCCCAGCTCTTCTTCCCACCACACAAGTCCTTTCTCAGCTCCTCATCTACCCCAACAAACTCCGTCGGCCATAGCGTATACCCACCCATCAGGAACTTCGCAACACCCGGCTGATCCCGATTGCGAAAGCACCACTTTGTCCTCCCACCAGGATTTACAATCCTATCACCCAGAATCATCGCCGGTCCCTTTTCAGGTTCGCCGGCGAAGAGATCAGCGAGAATCTGCATCAGCGGGACGGTATGTGGCAGGAAAGCCGTGATGACAAGCGTGTTGGCATCAATAGACAAAAGTGTTTCCGGATCGCTGAGACTGAAGTCAATCGACGTTTTTGTAAGCTCTTGAAGCAAAATCCGATCGCACGCCTTGTAGCACGGATCCTGGGCGATAATTTTCACAGGCGGACACTCAGGATGCGCCGTTCGATTGAAAGCGTCGAGGGCTTCGGCGAAGGAAAATGCAGTCATGTGCTGTATGGCAGACTGGTAGAAAGCGGGGCTCGAGTCGAGTTCTCCGAGTCCGATACATACTATTTTTGTTATCGGGGCTCGGAGTCGAGCTGCACCTTGTCGGACGATACGGCAGGGCTGAATGCAGGAAGAGCTGTTTTCCCATAAATTCTGTGTGTGGCAGAGTCTGTCGCGCCACCAGTTCATTTTTTCGGCATCGAGATGAGTGTTGTCAGCGGCGCGGCGGAAAGACTCGAGATAGTAAGGTGCCGCAAGCTCGTTGAGCTGGTGCTGTGACAAGTTAGTATTGAGGGCGCGGAGAGGCTTGCTCCGTTTCCAGTCGTTTCCAAATAGTGTCTGGAATTGGGATGACATCTCAACCCGGGTCATGTAGTTGACAGTGACATCGTTCGCCCCATCGACTTCTTTCCATATCCTGGCTGAGGGTCCGTTGCTACCCTTCCAGTAGAGGGAATTTTCTCGCTCGCGATTGAGCCCCTTTTGAATAGTCGAGATGGATCGAATATCTGATGCGACTTTTTGCAACAAACCACGGGTGAATGTTGGCTGTCCAGCGTGTCCTCCGAGAGCTTCAAGGTCGAACAGCGCGTGTATAATGTCGTCTTCCTCGTCATATTCTGCTTCCTCATCCTCATGGATAGCGTGAGTATCATTTACCGACACCCTATCGGATGTAGATGTTACCGTCTTATGATCCTCTTCATCGTCGATATTGAGGTCTGCTAGCAAAGCATATAAATTGTGCGAATACATATATGAATTCATCTTCGAGTCCAAAGTTGAGAATGGTAGTTGTGGTTGTTGTGTACAGTCTGACGGAGAATGGGAATAAAATGCTCAAGTGGGACTTATAATAAGTTCTTGTGGGAACTGCAATGGTTTCTTGCGAACACCTTTAGGCGGTAACGTAATGTGAATCTTTTCTGTGCTAGCCTACGATGTATTGAGTGATTCCAGCGACTTCGAGTGAAGGGTATATAATAGTTTAGAAAATCCTTTGATCTAAACAGAAAAAAGGCATGCACGTACGTTCCATGGTACACTGTCAGATGCCCATGAAACTAGATATAAGTTCTATATTGCGAGCATAGTTATTTAGGGCTTCGGGAATATATGAACCAAACCACAAGAGCAGAAATCAGATGGACCACATGGAGACGACGCATTCTGGTGGAATGCTGCTTGGAATCTTGCAGTGGACCGGAGGCCATGTCAATGAAGATCGTAACTTGGCCTAAATTTGACAACGTCTGCGTCCGGCTATTTCGCGGTACGCCTTTGGATCAGAATCCAGTAATTACGGATAACTCCCAAGTCTTGCGAGTGGAAGAAGAACCATGGTAGAAGTGGTGCCGAGGCCGATAGCTCCCACATTGTACATGCTTCAGTACACTGTATATACGACAACTTGAGAAAGGGGCGATAGCATTCGACCAACATTCTCTTGTTTCTCTGCACAATGTTAACGAGGGGTTTTGTTGCAAAACTGCACTTATTGTACAGCGTGCTGCAGAGTTTGGTTCACGGCTCAATAGCTTTTTTTAGTGTCGTCATCGCTGGTAATTACACAATCGCTATTTCGACAGACAGTATCCACTCGGGGTAGAGATCTTGCTGATAATCTAGAGCATACGGGCCTTTCCATAAACGCACTCGTGAATACAAGCCCATGAGTATCTGGGGTTGGTCGCGTCGTTTTTGAAAGGCAAGCACAATGTTGACGTGCTAGTCGATTTGGGCAATCCCGCATGGTCTTCCACAGTTGCTCGGCCTATTATTCCGGTTTGAGAAGAAGCCTTGTGTAGCCGCTGAATTGGGTGCTGCCTAAACCACAACTAGTCGTACTCTGCGGGCTCGTTAGACCCATCAAGGTATATAAAAAGCTCACTGTACTGTACTATCCTGCTTCCCATCAGCTGTTCATGATTTCCTGGAGAGTTTCAGACAATTGCATTCAAATGACAAATACTGGTGGGATCACGAATTGTAACCTGGACTAGTGCCAATTCGAGCTCGGATCAGTCTCATAGACTTTACTGTGTAGGGCGATTGGGAAGTTCTTTCGAAGTTTGTCCGCCATTCGCACTTGTAAGCTTCCTGTGCTGTGATGCTGGTTCCACATGTAAGGAAAATCGTTGTTGATGTTCCGAGGTGCTGTCAGGCGCACCTGCATGCCATCGATATTAGACGGTGGTGTTTTGCGCTGCGCTACAACACTTCGGCTGTAGCTTCCAAAGCCACAGTATTGACGAGTCCAGGCGATGTGCTCGGGAACAAAGACATTGGTAGGCTATTTCGATCCAGCGATCACGTTAGAAACCTGGAATTTGCTTGTTTGGTGGTTTTGCGTTCGCTGGCGCCTGCGGAGGCTCTGTGCTTCCGGGTTCCGAAGAACTCCGTCAACCACACCTGTGGACGTGCAAGTTGGGGCATACACGCATTCCCCTTTCGCGCAACCTTACTGTTTTGTCTGAATGCGAAAGCGAGCTCCCAGCTCCACCAATGCTGGCCTTGCATCCTACATATGCATCCCTCGAGAACAGTATAGCGCAATTTGATCCATGCGCGAAGAGATTGTCGGCCCACAGATGACCAACTGCCTCACCTCCCACGCTCGCGTTCGCTTTTTCCGACACTTTGTTAGGCAACTACGGCACCGCCAGCGTCGTACGAAACGAGGGTGACCCAGCTAATCGGCTGCGTATTCTCAGCCTTACCACCCGATCGTGAACCCGTAGAGCCTCGATGCCGCGTCTTGGCCACAAAAAGTACGTTGCTTCGGGACTTTGACCCGTGCTCATCAGCCAATCTTTATCCGAGAGGACATCGGATCTCGTCTCGTTAATCTCACGAACGAATCCTAACGTCGATCTGGAAAGCCCTAACAGCTGTGACAGGTCTAGGTTGGGTTGTAGGCAGTGTAAAGCCCGCCATGTAAAAGTACGTTGCCCTCCGAAACGTGCGCTTGGCTTAGCGTCCTCCGACCGAACCATGTCAATAACACTTCGTAGTGTGACGAGCTTAAACCATGCTCGAACTGCGCTCGTCATGGGGTGCAATGTTCACTTGTCACGTGGGAGAATACTGCACCGCATCCACACTCGGCATCTTCCGCAAGCGGTATTAGCAATCAGTCATGGGCCACCAAAGAAGAATACGAAAATACGTCGAAGCCTGTCAGTACCACTACAAGTTTTGCAAGATCTTACTCATAACTGTTAGGAAACTACCTTAACTCCACCTCAATCCTCGCACCATGACTTTTCTCTGAAACCCCCAAAGGCAGTTAGGGACGAGTCAGCCCCCGCACTTTCGGAGGGTAGCTCTCCCAGCTCACAGTCTGACCAGTTCCCATTCTTGACACAATTTATACATCGCGCTGAACAAAGTCAAGCAGACCTTTGGACACGCGATCTGGAGCTCATGTAAGAATGCTCTGGATGCTGGTTCTCGTCCCTTATGACTAAGACACGAATAGGCATCACTGGACCACCGAAGCCTTCGAGGCCCTATCACAACGGGACGACATGCGACAACTATGGAGAGTAGACGCGCCTGAGCATGCCTTTCAGCACACGTTCTTCGTGCATGAGCTACTGGCTTTTGCAGCACTACATAAAGCGTACAAGTTGCCCGAGCAGAGGGCCCAATACTATGCATATGGAATCCACCACCAGGATATGAGTATTCGAGGCGTAAGAGAAAAGCTCTTGAATGTCACATCACACGAAGCGGCCGCACTCGTTGCAACATCAACGCTTTTGACGCTGAGTGTATTCGCTTCCACAGGATTTGAGCTCAACCATCCAGAAATCCCGAGTTCCCAAGGCCCCATCGAAGGCATCTTGAACATATTCAGTTTGATGCAGGGCATGGGCAACGTGCTTGCAATGGCACGGGCCCAGGTTGTGAATTCTTGGCTTGCACCCATGTTACAAGAGCCTCGGGAAGCCATTGCTTCTCAACCTATGTTACAAGAGCTCGTCCATCACATCCCTCAGCTGATCTCATTTGTCAAAAACAAGCACGATCTTCCCAATGTGGAAAGAGAACTATACCTTGGGGTCATTGGGAACCTGGAACCTGTACTGCAGATGGCCATGTCACCACGTATGGACAATCGCGAGATGCGCTTCCTGTTCTTTTGGCCACTGAGTCTGCAAGGAGACTTTCTTGGCTACTTTCGACAACGGCATGCTGGAGCACTTGCAGTAGTTATGTATTATTCGACAATACTATTCGCATCCCAAACCCGCTACTGGTTCATGGAGGGTTGGGGAGAGCAGCTGATGCGAGCGTGCTACGAGGAGATGGACCCAGAATGGTTTCCGGCTGTCCAGTGGCCGGCCGGTTTTCTGAGCCGCGCCCCTTCATGGAACATCTTTAGTAGCTTCGTACAAGCACGAAATGGTGGCCAGATTACCCCATTACCAACACATAACCCTAGCCCTGGGCCGTATGGACAGCGGACACAACTCGAAGTACCTATCAGGCAGTATGCTACAGGCCCGAGTTCGCATGAGATGCACGCATCGTCGCAGTATCGTACCGTACCTGAAGCACAACTTGGCCAAAGGGATAGTGTCGCAACACATGGGCGGCACGGACCTGATGAAGGCACGCAATGAAGCGTTTGCTCGACTATTGCACGCAGACCACGGATGCAAGACGTGCTTCGTAATTATTGGCGCAGCCGATTTGATGCTCTCTACCACCTCGAACTACCGTTGACTGATCACTAGGCTGTGACATACAGAGAGGGTTCATGATGCAAATGGGGAATAGAGTTCTACGAGGGCGACATCGAGTGGTTTTTTAGAGGTCTTACAGACCTTGAGCGACGGCTGGCCTTCACGCAAACTCAGGAGGCAGTCATAACGGAGATATTGTCGATGGGCCACGGAGAGTCGCGAGCATACCACTTTTGAGGCAGAGGACTCGCATTATTTGACGGCTGCAGTCCTCGTATGTGTTGGAAGGATCCACAAGACTAACAGATGCGTACATGCGGCCCGGACATGCATGCGTAGCCGCCGTCAAAGCCCCGAGTGTGTGTGGTGGATCGCGCCAAACTCAATGGCATGTTCGCGGCATATCACACTTCAGAATTTTAATATACACGAGAGCCTCGAGCGATCTTCGATAATCCAAACCAGGCATGATCGTTGTTGTTGCTGCCAAAATCTCACTCGACTGCGCCGCAAAGTCGCTTAACCAGCGGGTCAAATGCCTCACGAAGATGGACAATGCGTCGTCCCTCACATTTAAGGCAATATGCCTGCACTCTATCGACGCCCCGTTCCTTCATGACTTATCTGGGTGCATATTAAGGTACCCCAACATGCGTGTTTCCTACCTGTCGGTACGCAATCGCTCCCGTCAGCTGCACATCGTTGCAGTGCAAAGTGGGATTATTGCCCAGGGTGAATTGGCCAACAAGGCCTTCCATGGTCTCGGCACCAGTCGTTTACATACTTACCGATGTCCTCACATCACATATCGCCCGACTCGTGACGTGATGCCCACCTTGTCATGGTGCCTCCCAATTCCAGCCGCACGTATGTAAGGCCCATTGGCACGGCGCTATTGCTTGATTTGGTGCCTGTTTCCTATAACCAAGCGAACACGGGCGTCGCGCTGCTTATAGGCGCTCGCGGTGGCTGGAACAGAATAAGACTCACCCATATCATAGAGTAAGTGGCGCAAATAAACGAAGCAAAACACTTCGACATGTTTCCCTGTCAGGCACCACCCAGGCAGCGCTACGGTAGGAAGCCAGGCTGACTTGATGCTGGACATGCCGTCCTAGTGTTAACATTGTGATGGAGCAGTAATTTCTCCGTGACAGTGCACAGCGCCTTTGTGAATGTGTATTTCTGCGTACAACAACTGTATTGTGTTTGCCAATGGAAAAACCTGTTCGCGTGCAGTGCAGCATAAAGTGTTGCGCGGCAGGGTTCGATCCACGAACATGATCGACATGCTGTACAACTGATTCGGAGGCTAGAAAACGATTGCTCGACCAGCGGCTTCCACAATATAGCTGCATACGTTGTGCATTATCGAAAATGGGCTTTGGGATCGCGACTGGTTCTACGACTTCGGAGGCTTAGCGACCAGCACAGCATCAGGCTGTACGCGATACCGCAGACATGTGTTACTATTGCACCTGCATTCTTAACACACACACTGTCCGCAGCATCGTTCGCAGCATAAATCTTGGAATAGTAATACATTAGAAACTTAGTGAGCGTACTAGTGGGTATCAAAACATCGGCCTTGTGATACAACCCTGGAAACACCTTAGAAAAAGGCACGCAAGGAAAGAGAATTCCTTAGCCAAGGAAACACCCGAAAATAATGTACTTGAGAAGTGAACAGTCTGTGCCGAAGCAAAATGGAAGAGCCATATTGCCTTCCGCTGCGGTGCTCGCATCAAGATCGCTTTGGCGCGTCATCGCTCTTAGCCCAGTTCTCTAGCTCTTCTGGTGTGGGTTGGGACACCACCGTATTATCGCTTGCCACGGTCGAATCGCTCAGGCCTCTTGTGTGAGAGGGGCGGCGCTCAGCAGAACGTTCTGCAACACCGCCAGTCTCATCGAGCCGCGTGTTTTCTACCGGGCTAACGACCATTTCGGCTCTTGGAGGCACATCATTGTCGCCGGTATGTTCCACGAATCTGCTCGAATGTTTCCGCTGGACTTTCCCCGAGTCCTGTTCTTTTCCAGCAAGCACTTCGTCGATGTTGGTGGATAGCGAATTATCACTAGGGCCTCGACTATGCTTGGGACGGCTCGTTGCGGTCATACCTTCGTCTCCTGCCAGTTCTGCGACTGTTGCATTGGGCGTCCCGGTGATAGAGGAGTCGCGTGTTGCACCGCGTCTCCGTGGTTTGGGACCAGTGAAGTAATCCGGTTCGTTCGTGCCATCTAGTGGTGGGCTGTAAAGCTCGGCAGGAGGACTGTCAGGAGGCAACTCGGGTATCGACTTATGATCACCGCCATAAAAACCAGCAACCTTGAATTGTGGCGGGCTCTGAGCCTCGGAGCCTGTGAGTTCTGACACACGGCGGTGCTTCATTTCGCCACTAGCACCGATCGTGTCGATGCCGGTAGGTTTCCCTTCCTGATCGTTGGAAGTAACCTTCGAATTGCGACGTTTCTTGAAGTAGAGAAATGCAGCACCTCCCAGAATGAGAAACGCAGCGACGATGCCAATGACAATACCAGCTATAGCTCCTGCCGCAAGTCCATCGCCCCCAGAGTCTGACGCTCGCTGTGGCGGGACGTAAGATGTGTTGTAGATTGCGACGAGGTTTTCGCGAGGCAGAGGATTAGAAAAGACGGTTGGTGCGACAGTAAAATTGCCTCGTTCGTAGTCGACAATGATGTATGCCTCTTGCAGGAAAGTACGTCCAAGTATGTAACGACCGTTGTCGGATTTCCTGATTGGAAAATAGTCCGTCGTGTTTGCGTAGATAGGATCGCTGGCTTGAAGATGGAACGCATCGTACGGAAATACGATTGTGGATGTACTGGCGGAATTTTTCGCCTGCGCGCTGACTACAAAGGTAACAGTAGCATTTTGTTGTTTGTTGCGTTCGTGGGCTGCACTGTCGATGGTATATAACCCAGTGGTACTGTCGAAACCGAGGTCGAAGCTCTTCACAAACCTGTCGCAGATTTCGTCGGGAAGCACCAGATATGGCAGAGTAGAATCGATAGCGGCTAGGAAGCCGTCTCCTGTGGTGCTCGTGAACGATTCAGGGCGTGGTTCTACATTTTGCTGCGGTGTGTAGATGATGGAATTCACACCAACCAGCAGTGTGTTGTTCTGCTTGTTGGGCATAGGAATGGACACACCCTTGGTCATTACTAGCCGCGATTGGTCGTATCCGCCAAAAACCATGTTTCCAGTAGCTCCATTACCACCATTTCGATAAGAGGCTCCGGCAGTGAAGCCGTACGATGAGCTTGGGACTTTGTCCATGGCAGCAGCCAAGCCACTGAGGAACGTTTTCCTCGTGGCTCCGACGGGACTAATCGCGCCGACGGCTAGACCAATGGATCCCAAAAAGAAGTCCTTGAAAACATAGGTGGCCACATATTGCCCTTGGATAGTGAGGCTCTGTTTCGAGGCTGTTCCGAGTCCAACAGTGGTCGTGCCCCAACTCGCATTGGTAGTCTCATTCCATTTCGGCGATAAAAGGGATTCCGACCATCCATACGTGTCCTTAAGCGGAAGAGTGTATAGTCCTACTGTGCTATACGGTGATGATGACGAGGTGTCAAGACCACGCGATCCTACGTCGAGTATACCACGACGCTTTGCACAATCATCCGTGGAACACCAATCAGTTCTTGACGGAATCAAGGTGATGGGTGAGGACGTAGAGATCAGGACCTTGAAATTTTGCCCTTTGCCCTCCCCATCTCCAGCGATATTGACAGTGAAGGTAGACCATTTCCCATCATCTCCATCGTAGGTACCACTGGGACCGAGAACTACTGGTTTCGGTGGCACTGGTATAGTCCTCGAATCTGCTCTTCTACGCACAGTCATTCTTGTGTCAGATAAGTGATCTTCCTGCGTTGCGCTGCGCCCAAGAAGTTACGCTCCGTTCGCGAAAATGAAAGTGCCCTAAGAACGATGATGGGCTCGGTGACGAGGTTAAAATTACGTTGGTATGTCTAGGGTAGACGATTTATCAGCGGGCTTTGCTAAAAGCTTGGTGGCGACGTGGAAAGAACAAGTCAGAGAGAATGCCAGCCGTGAAAAGGCACGAGAACAAATGGGACTGCCTCGAACGACAAACGCCACAGCCTCAAGGGTAATAAGCGTAAGCTGATAGATTGCCGTCACAGAGCCGCGATCGCGAAGGGTCAAGCGCGTGAGCTCTCGGTAAGGAGAGCGCACTACACTCCATTACCCATGTTCAATACCAAGAGCGGATAAAGAAAAGAAACACCAGGCGTACAAGATGGCCTGAGCTCTACTGCTTTGTCGATGAAAGTCCGTGCCGTAAGCGGGGTATCAGTCTGGCAAAGGGCACCCCGGGCAGCGCACCCCATGCGGACATCATAGTAGGCCAAAGGATAGTGTTTGACCGGTGAAGGGCTGCGGTATTGTTGGCAGTGAATCCATTCCCCATTGGAGGATTTGCGCCTCCGAGAGAAATGTCAGAACATTGCATGCGGTGTCTGGATGCGAGCCGCCCGCTTGTTGAGCGATGGGCTGCAGGAAGGTTGCAGGAAGGTTGCAGCATGTCCCAGTGGCTACGGAAGGAAATCGAGTGATTCACCGCTGTGCCCGCGGATGGCTTTTCGGCCTTACTGAAAGTGGTGGAGGGCCTCATTCCGATCTTACTCAGCCAGAGTCGATGAGCGAGGTGTCGTGGTGTCGTTGTTCCTCTCCGGCAAACCTGGCCCCGTGCCACGATCCTGAACGTGTCATGGCGCAAAGGCTCTCACGGTCTTTGTAGGTCGCGATTCGAAATGCTTCGACGTGGCGAGGGACAAAGGGCATGGCCAGGGAGTGAGATGGTTTGTGTGGGCAGGGGTGTAAAGAACGCCAGCGATCACAAAGGCCAATGGCGCCCGAAGGGTGCCCCACTTGCGCACGGATCCACAGTAAGCTCGTTCTCACGTGGGCTACCCTAGATTACACAGGACCTGCGCGTTCCTACACACAACGACGACCTCATCGTGCTTTGTGTGACCACACCCATTTACGGACGCTTCCGTGGACGGCACTCGCGTCTGCACTACGATGAGCCGACAACTGTAGCTGGTTTCCCTAGAGTGCTCACACAATGTGCCCATGGCATGTTGAACCGCATCATTGCCATGTCTTTCTGGCCCCCAAGTTCTATGGCGGCTTCTTGAGAGACTCGTAGAGACATTCGGATCTCACCCTGCCACCACGGGCTGCAGCCACTTGCCCATATGTAGCATGTGTACTAGCCAGATGCGGCTCTCACGTTGTCCATGTCAGCAGTCGCGGTAGATGGGCTTCGTGAACGGTGCCTAGACTCATGTGCTAGGATAGCGACATGGTGTTACGCCTGCCGACTGTGCCTGCCTAGACGAGCCGAATGCTACGCCGTATCTCGCACACATCCCGGGCAAATCAATGTCTATCCACGCTTCTCGCGCCACCCGAGCGCAGTCGTCGTAATTCGCGTTCACAACATCTTTCTGCCGGCCATGCTCCTGGCGTCCAATGCAGTCTAGGACCGTCGCGCTATCTTGCGTAGCCGCTGCGACCATGACGGAATACCGAGCAGACAGAGAGGCCAAGTCGGCTGGTGTAAACTCCACCCTGGCCACCATGTCTACCGTCCTTGGTAAACAGGATCGACGGAAAAGCTTGGATCGAGCCCAGCCCCGCCAGCTCAATACATGCTGCCGTCATCTGTGAGTCGCTCGCTGGCATAGTCGCTGCTTTATATCCGCAAGGCACCCTCTGCATTTCCTTCAAGCAAACGTCAGCCTTCAGTACGTCGTTCCTCCAAAGGTATGTGGCAGTCTAATGAGACCCCCTCGTGATGTTTTGGTCTGTTGCGCATTGCCAATTGCCCGTGGTACTTTCGTTGTGCAACACTACGCCTGGCTTTCTTTACCCTAACCGAACCTAAGCAGAGGTCCAGGTACCTGCATATGGAAGTCAATGGACATCAGCAGCCTCAAATCACGTGCAATACTGACTTGACATACACAGCTTCTCGCCGTGTGCCACTCCTCAGGCCGGCACGCAGTCACTCGCTTGAGTCGCTTCCACCATGCGTAGCTTCTGGCCTTTACTGGCTATTGCAACATTGGCAATCGCTCAAGGGAATGACACTGTACCAGTTCAGGACATCAACGCGAAGTTGAGACCAAAGACGACGTCGCAAACATCCACTTGGGTAAGTTGATGTATTAAGCATGTATAAGTGAGACACTGACTTCTAACTTCGGGTCTGTAGGGAAAATCTACCGACGATACTTATGGTACCCCGTCCTCTGTCGACGATGGCTATGGTACCCCGTCATCTGCCGGCTATGGTTATGGTAGCACACCATCTGTCAGCTATGGCTATGATACAACATCATCTATCAGCTATGGCTATGATACAACATCATCTGTCAGCTGGGGTTATGGTACATCATCATCTAGCAGCGATGATTATGGTTCATCATCATGCACGAAAGAAGTGATCAGCTTCACGACAACTTGCACCGTTACATCTAGTTTCACTACGACTTGTACCGTGACTAGCGTGTCGACTTCAACCTCTACCTGCACGGAATATATCACGATCACTCAGGTATGTTCTTCGAATGGTTATGGTTTTCAGACATGCCTGTTGTAGAAACATGGAGCTAATATTGAGCAGTCCGATATTGTAACCATTACCGAACCAGGGAAGAACATGACTGTGCCCGGGCCAACAACGACGACGACTGTAGAAGCTACAATTTCATCGCCACCCCAGACAATAACAGTAAACAACACGATCACGGAGCGCACAACTTCTACTTGCACAGTCACCGTAATATCTCTAGTTCCTACTACTGCCATCAGCTTTGTTCCTACGACCGCGATCAGCCTAGTACCAACCACAAAGATCGAAACCAGTCTGGTGCCGACCACAGAAATTGTAACGAGCGTCTCTACCTCGACAACAACAAGTGTGATTACCTCGACCACAACCTTTACAGAATACATTACGATCTCGCGTGAGTAGGATGCGCACATTGTCTCCTCGCAAAACTGACCCTGCAAAGTTCCCGGCACGACCAGCATCTCCACCACGACATTTATCTCAACGATCTTGGAGACAACGACTTACACGACCCTTGTGCCTGTCACTCAGACTGTAATAGGCCCTACTCAGACGATTGAGAAAACGCTGCCAGGCTCAACGGTCACCTTGGAGCGAACGGCGACAGCGACGCTAGAACGTACTTCGGTTGAGACTCTGGAGAAGACGGCTACATTAGAACGAACCACTACGTTAGAGAAGACGGCTACACTAGATCGGACTTTGACACGTGATATTACGGAGACCTTGGAAAGGACGCTTACATTTGCCACTACCGAAGTCTTGACCTACAACCAGACAATCACAGAGATATCGGTATCTATCAGTACGCAATTATCGACTATTACTATCCCGGTACGTATTTCTTGCATTTGCAGAGTTCAAATGTGGAGGATTCAAGGACTTTCCTTTGTTGCCTTCCGGAAATGTGTGCAAATCGAGGATTCGCCTTTGACACTTTCCGAAAACATGCCAGATTCTCCCACGACCCGATGCGGCTTCTTTGTGCATTAATGAAGAGTCTTTGCTAATGTCCACTAGGCCTCGACGGTTGTCACTACAACTACTGCGCCGGGCCCCACGCAAGTCGTCACGACACAGCTCCCACCTCAGACTGTGGTGCAAACTATTACTTCTACATCGACGCTCCCTGCGGTGACTGTCACGACTGTTAGCACGCAACCAGGAAGCACTATTGTAAATACCATAACGCTTCCGCCTGTAACGGTCACTAGCGTGAGCATATCTCCACCAGTCACCAGTGTGATTACTTTGACGATCGTAAGTCATTACAGACTCACAATACGAGGATCATGCTAACCTTATCAGACCACACAACTACCAGCCAGTACAGTCTTGTCCACCATCACTATTCCAGCCGTAACGCAAACCATCACATCTCAATTGCCTGCGTCTACAGTACTTTCGACCATCACTCTTCCCGGCTTCACTTCAACATTTACAACGCAGTTGCCCGCAAGTACAGCAACGAGCTTGATCCTATCCACTGTCACGTTGCCAGGTCAAATTGTAGTCACCACGCTTCCAGGATCGACTTCTGTGATCACGTCCCAGCTGCCAGCTTCCACGTTTGTATCGACTATCTTAATCACTCAATCACTGACCGTCACTCAAATCGTCCCAATAATGACGACTGTATATGAGACAGATTATTATCCGGCGTCGAGTTCGATTGAGCCCTTCTATCCGCCACCAAGCTCATCTGCTGTTCCGTCCGTCTCTTGCGACAGCGGATGCCAGATTGACGTAACAGCGACAAGACTGGCATACCCTGGCACTGTTGTCGTCTCAACTGTGCTTGTCCCGACAGTCACGCTAGAGATTACCACTGACGCCTCTGGAAACGTCCGCAGTACCGGCCTCTACACTCGGCCGCTACCAACGACAACGAGCTCTGCTATTACTTGGGAGTTTTCGGGAGTGCCGCTAACTTATCCTACCGTCTATGCAGCCTACGCGACATTCAACCGTGTATCTATATTTGCTGCCGACAATGTATGCCAAACTTCGGTACTCTCACTGGCGTTGCCAACTCCAACGGACTGGCCGCCACTGATCATCGTGGAGTCTCTGATACCGACGCCTACTTTGGTGGCCCCAAGAGTAGTCAGCTACTTGAACACGCTCCCCACGGTAACGGCTCAACTTGGCGGACCAATTGGTGCTAACGCTTGCGATCCCATCGTCGGACCGCCCAACGAGGAAGCAACTACTACGCTGGGTATGACGACCTCCGTTAGCAGCGTAGCAGATCTTGGTCGTACCGCAACAAGCTTTGTAGCGCAACTCGATTCCCTGCCGTCCGAGCCTGCTGCGCCATTGCCGCCATTGCCGCCATCGGCAACACTACAGCCACCTGCATCGAGCGCTGCACCCTCTCGGCCGCCACCACCACCACCTAGTGAGACCCCCCTTCCTCCACCTCCCAGTGCATCTCCACAGCCTAGCAGTGAAATTCCGCTACAATCTAGTGCCGTTGTCCCCTCATCCGTGGCGCCACCTCCTCCGCCATCCCCCAGTAGTGCGCTCCCAGAAAGCAGTCGTGCTGACTCCGCTTCTCAAGTTCCATCGGCTCCTGCTTCCTCTCTGGCCCCTCCGGAGTCTTCTGCAGCTCCGGTGCCCCCGCCATCTGAAGTGCCATCGTCTATTGTGCCATCTTCTGCCGCGCCACCGCCTCCAGTCACCCCTAGCCGCTCTACCACTTCTTCGAGGACAAGCTTGGATGGAACCGCGTCTGGACCAGCAGCAAGCTCCAGCTTCTCGTTCTTTACTGGTGCCGCTGCACTGCCCACGGGCAATGTTGTGGGCTGGTTGGTCGGAGCTGCTGGTGTTGGCTTAGGCCTTATCTAGTGTATCTGCATTTTCTTTGTTTTCGAAAGCTCAATGCAATAATGTATGTTAGTGGCCCAAGGTCTTGGCGCAATGCGTCAGATGTAATGGAATGAATACGACTAAACATTTGTTTGACGAAATACGTTGCAGTGATAATCGGACCTCAAGTTCCCAGCATTTCCTCCATGTTCCTCGTCGCTTTGGTGCTCGATCAGATTTTGATATGCGCAACTGCTACACTCTCCAGCCTTGTGCAAACAATCAATAACGAGACAAGACAGGCATACTCAACGCAAACCCACGACTATCCACAGAATGTAGATTAAGCAAGGTTGCCCTGCACACGCATCCGCGCCTGCCACGTCCAGAAGCACATGCCGTCCCAGCCCACCGTCACCGAGCCCGCTCCGTGCCGCGCCCCACTTAGGTTCCGCGCAACCTACCACGCAACTCTAATCCAACCCTCTACCCCTCTTTCCCACCTACCTCGTGCTCGCTCCATCTTACCCAAGCCGGCGAATCCTCACGAGCCTCATCGACGTCAAAGCAAGCTCTTTTCGCTACCAAGCTGCAGGGCGTGTTCAGCTGAAATATCGAGCGCCACACGGGCTGCGGATGCGACCGCGGAAATGCTGCGGGCCGTGGTGGCTACACGCATTAGGGTGGAATTGCGATGCGTAGCGCCATTGGTGAGGCGCTTGCATGAGGTGTGCGTGGTGAAGGACTAATGCGTGTATGTGCACACCTTGGGCGTGCATGATGTAGCGAAAGAGGGGTAGAAGACCTTCAAGGAGTGATAGGGCCGACAGGAAGGGATTTATCGAATCCAAGAGCGGTTGTTTACTGGCTGCATGTGGTGCGGCTGGAGGACGATTTGCCGCTTGAGTGTATGTCGAGACTTCGGAAGTGGCCATTCTAGCCAGGGTCAACTCAGCTTTGGGCCTTGACATGTTTGATCCTGGTAATGGCGATCCGCGATGCCTTTCGCTACACTGACGAAGAAGGCTGGCGCTACCATGCTCTCTGCGTCTCAACATATTCCGAAAGTCCTTGGCCCGGAGAGCAGCTCAGCTGAACGGTGCGAGGACTGACACGTCTAATCTCTGCCGCTCGAAGCGCGGACATGCTACTACATGCATTGATTTTGGGAGTTATCCGTTTAGCTAGCGGGATGTGAGGCTGCACATCATCGATTAACTTCTCTTACCTGACCTTCCTTCACCCATCTCAAAAATGAACCTAGCGCTAGTGCCTCTCTCACTCAGGCCAAATATTTCCCATCAGCACAGCCTAGCCAGCTTCTTGTCTAGTAGCTACACATACTCGGAGTTCGCCCTCACCTCTTACCGCTTCACCACTAACCCACATTGTGTGTCTCCCGCACCCGCACCCTTCCCACCCACAACCAAAAAAAGAGCGCAAACAAAACGCAAAAAGACAAAAAATTCCGGACACCATGTGTTTCGAACTGTGGGTCGTTTCGAACCGAAACACAGTTTGGAACACAAGGAATCGTGAACTCCAAGAGCCTAGTACCTAAGCATCAACTTCCGACCGGAGCCAGTTGTCCCACCATGATCGGTATTTCAGCGCATTGCAGTCCGGCGCCCGCCAGTTAGGCCAGTTACCCGGAAGCTGATGGAGGGATGGCGGATTAGGCGTTATATGACGTGCGGTGTGGCCCTGAGGTGAGAGTATAAAAGAGCGGGAGAAATGCTTGGGGTGAAGCGAGACTCGCCGCCGTACTGATATCAAGGCTTAGTATCTATAGAGGCAGTTGCGCGACGTATCCTACGTTCCGTCCCCTGGCGTAACATAGGAAGAAAGCGTCGCTTGTGAATGGGGCGAGCTGGTCGTTTGATAGCTTGCGAGATGGCAAGGCAAAAGAGAGTAGAAGGTCGAAGAGAAGTGGGATGCTTGGTAAAGCAGATCTTCCCCAGGTATACCAGCGCCTGAATATTATGCTATGTAAATGCGATCCCGACCTAGCCTTGTGCTTTTTATTCCCAAATGCCATGCTGAAAAGCGCCGATATATGCTTATACCCAACCATGTCTTTCATGAAAACCATATTCAAACCCTCACAATACCGACCCAACATCCCAATCCCACTATTCTAACTCAACAGCTCCTTGATATCCTCGATCCGCTGCACCCTCTTCTCCTCATCCGACATCATCCCCAACGAACTCGCACTACCATCTGTTAGCTTTCACTCTCTCACAACCACACCATCCACCAAACAGAGACTTACATAAACTTCTTCCTGTCCTGAATCCTCAACATCTTCTCCTCAATGCTGCCCTCCACCACAAACCTAATCACCCTGACATCCCTCTCCTGCCCCATGCGATGCACGCGGTCAATCGCCTGCGCCTCGACGGCAAAACTCCACCATGGGTCCATCATGAACACATTCTGCGCGCAGGTGAGGTTGAGCCCGACACCGCCGGCGCGCAGGGACAGCAGCAAAACGTACGGCTTGGGGCTGGATGTGAATTCGGTGAGGATGTGGGCGCGCGCCTTTTGTGAGAGCGAGCCGTCGAAGCGCAGGAAGGGGATGTGGTCGCGGGCTAGGGCGGGCTCAATTAGGTCGAGGAAGGAGGTGAACTGCGAGAAGACGACGGATTTGGCGGTTTTATCGTCTTTTCTGATGTGCTTGAGGTGTGTGAGTAATGCTTGAGTCTTCGCGGAGCCGGAGAGGCCGATGCGGCGGAGACTGATGCGTGGGGGATTGCGTGGCGGAGTCTTCGGGTTTGAAGGCGTGGGTTTCGGGCTCGATGTGCTCGTGCCGGACGACTTCGAAGACGTCACGGGCGTTGATAGGTTCGCGGCAGTTGAAGCAGCGGGGGACTTCGTTCTTGTCGCGCTGGTGGTTGATGTAGTTTAGCAGGCATTCTTTGCATGCGGAATGCCAGCAACCTGTGACTGCTTGGTCGATCATGGGCTCTTCTGAGCATATTGGACACTCGGATTCGGCTTCGTCTTGGATCTGCTTGAGCACGTGAGCGCCAAACTTATTGACATCTTGGTCACCTTCAGCAGTGAATCGCTCGATAAGGCTTCCAAGATCCATGTCGTCGGCAAGACCGTTTGCGAGATCTGATGCTAACGATGCATCCTCCTCATCTGCGACAATGTTGGCTTTGCGGGTGAGGATGGGATGGCAACATGATTGGCGAAGTCGCAGGATCTGTGCAAAGATAGTTGTGTATGACTTCAGCAGTGTTCCAGCTTCAGCATTGGCGGCAAAAACACTCTTCGCACGCGTATAAATGTGGTCGTAGACGTCTCGCTCATCCTGTGACAGAACGATCCGTTCAACATCGATCGTGCGTGGCGGCAGCGGCACGAGCATTTCTCCATCCGGTGTCTTCATGTCCTTTGTTCGACGCAGAACGAGCGGCTCGAGTACTGTTTGAACGACATCTAGCGCGCGGATGAAGTCACCAGATTCGAATGGCACTGTGATGAAGGTCTTCCAGAATGAGAAGTTGCTCCAAGGCTCGACCTTAAGGAAGCGCACCAAGCTGAAAAGGTCCTCGAGACGATTGACAATGGGCGTGCCGGTCAGCACCCAGCGATGCTTAGCGTAGAGCTCATAACACGCCTTCGCGGTTTTGGACTGTCTGTTCTTGATGTAGTGCGCCTCATCGAGAATGATCCGAAAGTAGTCGAGCGAGAATATGCCACCATGCGAGCCACGATTGCCATCCTGGGACGCTACCTGATTGAACTCAGACAAAACGGTGCCGTAACTCGTGATGATTACGTTTGGTGCATTAGCCGCATTAGAGGCGCAGCACAGCTTCTGGAGGTTAACGGCCTTCTCTGAGCCATAGTAGACCATGACCTTGAGCGTGCCGTCTTTCGAAGCCTTCTCTGCTTCGCTTTGCCATTGAGCCAGCAAAGACATTGGCGCAACGACGAGTGTGGTGTATGGAGCAAGCTCCACATTAGCACTGCTCTTCTGTAGCCTTGGCAGAGCTTTCATCAGTGCCGACGTCTCGTTTTGAGGAACTTCAGTCCGATGAGTGTGGATCAAGCTGAGCATTTCGATGGTCTTTCCGAGACCCATCTCGTCTGCCAACACACCACCGAGACAGTTCTGCTCTTGTCTGGGGAACTCTAGAGACAGCTCGCCTGAGTAAGGGTTGACGTAGAACATAGTTTGGTCCTCGATAGCGGGTAGTTGTTTGTTGTCGGCATCTTGTGTTGGCCATTGATACTCTTCCCATAACGGATGCATGGAATCTTCTTTGCCATCGAGCGATTCATCCTTCTCTTTGCTAACCATCCAGAAAAGCGCTTGTTTCTGGTACTTCCGCAAATCCATCCTGAAGGTGTCTGCTGGCTCGAGCGTAGGGGTATTGAAGTCGAAAGATTGCGCCTTCTTGTACAAGGAGTCGAGCTGGTCTTGTTCCAGCTCCTCGCCCTCCTCCGCTTCTTCCGAAGGTGGTGACGAGGTAGGGTCAACCTGTGTTCCGTTTTCGGTCTTTGGTTTCTTCTCCTTCTTTTCCGCGCCCTCAGCTGCTCGCAACAATCCTTGGCGCTTGTGCTTTTCTGTCGTCTCGTTCTCGCGCGTAGGATGAAGATTGATCTGCTCAAACAATTGGACCATTCCGATCTGCCGCATACGAAGGTCGCGTTCATCCGAAGTCTCCTTTTCTTCGAAGAGACTGACCTCGCGGTTGTCTTCGGGCTTTGTGAACTTCCGTTTGTCGAACGCGCTGCGGAGTAGGTATGCGCGTAGTTGCAGATAGACGGTGTCGCCGGTCCGTATTCGATCCGGTGTGTATACAACAGTGCCTTCAAACGTGCACACCTTTTGGTCCATCAACGGCGCAATCCACGCGGCCGAGTCGTTCTCTAGCCTTCCAACCTCTTCGCCCTTCTCGTTGGTGAACCGGACGAGTACATCCTGGTTCTTGAGGTTGACGACCTTTTTGGCCTTGTTCAGCTTGGGCTGCTTCTTCACGCGCTCGATGCCAATCTTCTCGTCGTGCCGGAGCATGCCAGAGCCGCTCTTTGTTGCCCACCCAATCGCACCGAAAGATCCGATGTATCTTTTCGCGGGCATGTCCCGTAGTGTAGTCGGGGTCGAGGCACCGGAGCCTGGCGTAGATGCGATTGACGCTTCTGATTCTGTGCGCTTGAGTGTGTTCAGAATGGAGGGTTGTGCTTGCGGGCGAGGCTGGAAAATGGAGGCGGTTACTTGCACGGGCGCAGAGTTCCATGATCCGTCGAGATATAAATTGATTGCTATGCATAATCAGCGCATGTCCTTTCTCCTCATGCTCGTTGCGCCTACCTCTCTCTACATTGTTGCCACTGACATCCTTCAACTTCTGCAAAGTTGGCATAGACAGCTCTCCTACTACAGCCTGAAGCATGCCAACATCAAAGCCACCCATGTCTCCTGTATCGTCCTGTCCATTGGCTCCAGACTGTGGGGGTACATTGTCCTCCACGGCTGGTGGCGGGGTCTGAGGGCGCGGAGATGGCTGCTTGGTACGAACTTGGATTGGCGAAGAATCTTCAGTAAAGAAACGGCGCTTCTTGTGCGGTCTCTCATCGGGATGTGGCGACTCCATGGTGTTGTGGCGGGTGTGTTGGCGGTGCAGCAAATGCGTGGCTACATTTTAGTACAAAGTAGGCGACGCGTCGAACGCCAGAACGCGCTTTCACGTTGATAGCGTCATGCACCAGCCAGTCGCACTCGAGCTAAAGTGGCGTACTCAGCCCTACCATGTCAATCTTCACATAAGTCAAGAACTACCCTTCTTTGCGCATTTGTGTATAATTGCTTTGATCTGAACTTGCGATGGCTGACTGCTTTGTGCAATAAACCTGTCGTCCCGAAAATTTCAATGCGCCTCTCCACATCCTTCACAGCTTCAAGTCGGCGACTGCATGTCTGTTCCGGACTTCAACGGCGGCAATTCCACGCTTCGCGATGCCTCAGGAACGCAGCGCAACCCTCGGAAGCTGAAGTAGACAGGGCGAGGGCATACTGCGCAAATCTTGTCAGGTATTGGAATCACCACCAAGGATTGCGCAAAGCTAACACAGACCCAGAACATATGATGCGCCTTCACATGTGCTCCAAACCTTCATACCGCAATCGTCTCGCGATGCATACCTCGCTATCCGCGCCTTCAACGTCGACGTCGCCCGTGTGGCAGACACGACAAGCACACCCACCATTGGCATGATGCGCATGCAGTTCTGGCGGGACACAGTCACCAAAGCCCTAGCAGGCACACCCCCCAAAGAGCCCGTGGCAATTCTCCTTGCTCGAGCAGCCGAAGACCTCGACTCGCGCTCCAGCGGAAAGTCACGCTTCAGCAAGAGCTGGCTCCACCGCATCATCCGCACCCGCGAAGAGCATCTCACCAACCCGCCCTACCCAACCCTCGGCGCCCTCGAAACCTACGCAGAAAACACTTACTCTACCATGCTGTACCTCACGCTCTCCGCCCTGCCCCAAGCTTCCCTCACGACCGACCATATCGCCTCCCACATCGGCAAGGCAATGGGCATCGCCGCCGTCCTGCGCGGCATCCCCCTTGTCGCCTTTCCACCACCACAACCACTCGGCACAAGCAACTCCATGACCGGCCAATCCGGTCCAACTCAAGGCGCCGTCCTGCTCCCCCTCGACGTCATGGCCGAGTCCAACCTCCGCGAAGAAGACGTCTTCCGCCAGGGCTCCTCCGCGCCCGGCCTGCGCGACGCCGTCTTCACCGTCGCCACGCGCGCAAACGACCACCTGATCACCGCGCGCGAGATGCTCGCCAAGCTACGGTCCGACGGCACGCTGGGCCATGATTTTGAGCACCAGCACGAGGAGGAACATCAGTATGCGCCGCAGGTGGATGCGAGCAAAGAGGGAAAACTGGCTGAGGTGGAGCAGGCGTTTGGCGTGTTCATGCCGAGTGTGGCGACGCAGAGTTGGTTGGACAGGCTGCAGAAGGCGGATTTTGATGTTTTTGATGAAGGGCTGAGGAAGGTCGATTGGAAGCTGCCGGTGAAGGCGTATTGGGCGTACAGTAGGCGGAAGATATAAGGAACCGGAAATGAAAGATATACAAAGAAGATGTGCAATTGGGGACTGTGTGCGTCTTGAGGTTGGAGATGTTGGTGATGATCATCACCATCACTACCAGCTTTTGCAAGTATGTGACCGTCCACAACCTCTCAAAGGAAAAACATTCCAACGAGTTCCGCTCATTTTTGGTACAGACGCTGAAGCCTCTGTCCTTGGACATCAACCATCCAACACCACTGGGAAGTTTATACACCCCCTGGTTTCTCCACGTGACCAGCGCCCCAGCCAAAACTGCCTCATAGAGGCCATAGAGGTCTTTTTGGTACGACAAATTCTACGATCTTTCTTCGAGCACACCAGAGAACATAGCCTGCTATCGGTGATGTTTTGAAAAACGACATGTTTCTTGATCGGAGAAGCTTTTGGAGAAAAACATATACGCACGATGCGGATGGATTTTGGGAAGAGAACGGGTACAGGTGTTTCGCAACAGACATGAGTTTTGTTGTACTAGATTTTAGGGAATACATACGCGGTAAGACTTTCGGTTTTGGCAGGGAACATACTCTGCAATCTCTGTTTTTTGGGATAAAAACGCTTACATGATCTTTGTAGATGGGAACATCGGAACAAGTCACATGGAATGCGGCTTTGTCTGCTTTGGACAGAGAACGCAGTTCGAATTTACGGTCGTTTTAGAAAAAGACACATGTTTGTCTTGTGGAAGAGGGTTTTAGAAACAGTCGCATGGAACGCGGCTTTGTCTGTCTTGGACAGAGAGGACTGGACATGATACCCTCCACGTCGGTTTTTAGTGGGATACACTTTTGTGCATGAAGATGAGGAGACTGTGAGACCGTGGAGGTGGAGGGTCTATCCCACGCCATACGCATGTGCTTGGCTTGAACGAGCTGCTCGTCAATGAAGTCCATCCGCCTCCCCAAGTTCTCAACCTCAGTAATAAGTGCGATATTTTGAAGTCTCAAGTGCGGTAGAAAACATGAAGTGCTATGTTATCTTTCTTTCGGACAGCGGCACATAGGGGAGCAACCTCATCCTCTGTAACGCACGATTCGTATGCTTATATAAGCTAGGCTGTTTGTTTAACAATGTTGCGTACTATTTTTTTTTCCTAGCTATCTCATCTTGTTGTTTGCTGTTTTATCGCTACATAAGCCCTTAGATTATCAGGGTTCGGTCACCGTATTGCAAATGTACCTGGAATTGGTATTTCAGAAAAGAGGGGTACAACATCATGCGTCTCGGCTAACACCGCGGGCGCTTCAATAGTGGGCGCTTACTCTCGACTTCAGCTGTAACTTAGTAGCTCATCACGCGCACGGGCACTCTACAATTTGAGCCCCCGCTACAACACCGGCCCTCCCGTTCAGCGCTCTTGTGCACAGATCATCACAACCATTGAGCATACCACTGTATGCTGTATGCTTCACAAGCTCTCCAGACATAACTTTCTTCTCTTAGTCGTCTCGCGCCTTCGCACATATGCATCTATTGGAGATTCACGACGACAACACACTCAGCCTTGCCCGGTTCTCGGGCAATCGAATTCCCCCATATGCCATTCTCTCGCATACATGGGGGATGGAGAACGAAGAAGTAACATTTCAAGACATCATGTGCGGCTCGGGCTCAACCAAAGCTGGCTATGCAAAGATATTGTTCTGCAGAGATCAAGCGAAGCAAGATAATTTAGAATATTTCTGGGTGGACTCCTGTTGCATTGACAGGTCCAGCAGCCAGGAGCTTTCAGAAGCTATCAACTCCATGTTCAACTGGTACAAGAGTGCGGAAAGATGTTACGTGTTCCTATCGGATGTATCAAATAGCGCTGGCGCGGAAGACGACACTCATGCTAGGAGGTGGAAGTCATTCTTCAAAACTAGTAGATGGTTTACTCGAGGTTGGACACTCCAAGAGCTGATCGCGCCTCGTTCAGTGGAGTTCTTCTCTAAAGAGGGCATACGTCTCGGCGACAAACAATCCCTCGCGCAGACTATCCATGAGATCACGAAGATTGCAATAGACGCGCTTTGGGGGCGAGACCTGTCACAATTCAGCAATATCGAGCGCTTCTCGTGGGCGGAAGGACGGGAGACCACTCGGGAGGAGGATGCAGCTTACTGTTTGCTAGGCATATTCGATGTCCAGATGCCCTTATTATACAGCGAAGGGAAGGTGAAAGCAATGAAACGGCTAATTGGGAAGACCAAAAAGTCTTCGACTCGCAGCACTTCACCTATCTTTCCCGGTGAGAGGCAAAAACTTCTCGAGAAGAGGCAGGAACTACTGGCCTCTTTGCGCTTCGACCAGATCTACGCACGACAAACAACAATCCAAGATGCTCATTCTACCACATGTCAGTGGCTTTTAAGCAAGCCAGAGTACAAGAAGTGGCTGGACCCAACTAAGTCGGGTGAGCACCATGGCTTTTTCTGGATCAAAGGACATCCCGGGACCGGCAAGTCCACGCTGATGAAGTTTGCAGTCGAACATGTCGGAAATAGCTTAACAGACAAAATCACAATCTCCTTCTTCTTCAATGCGCGAGGAGCGCAACTGGAAAAGTCCACTACAGGGGCATATCGATCGATACTCCTGCAACTACTCGAGAGACTTCCTAGGCTGCAGAACGTGTTCGATTCGATTCCGCACTCAACTGTCCTGACGAAGTATCCATGGGACCTCGTAACCCTCCAAAGATTGTTAAGAGAATGCATACGACGACTTGATGGGACCTCGGTAATTTGTTTCATCGATGCCCTGGACGAATGTGAAGAACAGCAAGTTCGCGACATGATATCATTCTTTGAATCAGTTGGAGAGATTGCATCAAAAGCCTCACTCGGCCATAACTTCCATATATGCTTCTCAAGCAGACATTATCCACATATTACGATCAAGAAGAGCTTGGAGCTAATCCTCAGTGTGCAAGCAGAACACAATCTGGACATCTCAAACTATATAGAATGCGAGTTGAAGATTGGCAGCGGCAGGATTGCTCAGCAGATCCAAAGCATTCTTCAAGAGAAAGCATCAGGAATATTCATGTGGGTTGTGCTCGTTGTGAGGATCCTGAACAAAGAGCACGATTCCGGCCGGCCGTACGCACTGAAGCGGAGACTGCGTGAGATACCAGCCAGCTTGCATGATTTGTTTCGCGACATCATCATGCGCGACTCTAATGACAGGAAAGAACTCGCTCTCTGCGTCCAATGGATTCTTTTTGCAGCACGCCCATTACGTCCTGAGGAGCTTTTCTTCGCAGTGCTTTCTGAACTGGAACCTGAGATTTTGTCAACGCTGGATCCGGCGGATTATGCCTTGAACGTCACCCAGAAGTTCATAACAAACGCATCAAAAGGTCTTGCTGAGGTCACGACATCTAACTTCAAAGTGGTCCAATTCATCCACGAGTCAGTCAAGGATTTCCTTTTGAAAGAAGGTCTTGAAAATATTTGGCCCGAACTTGGTAGCAATATACAGGGCCAAAGTCATGAGCGGCTGAAGCAATGCTGTCTTGGCTACATGGGCATTGAGGACATCACTCATGGATTGCTTCCCAAATGCGATATGTTGTCCAACTTGAGCCTGGTACCAGGTCTCCGCAACGAAGTTACTGATGGGTTTCCATTCCTTGAGTATGCTGCTGGTCATTTCTTGTATCACGCAGATGCGGCGGAACTTTTCGGCGTCTCTCAGAAAAGTTTCATCCGGAATCGACAAATAACTTCGTGGATCAGGCTTCACGACATTTACCCCTCCAATTTTGCAATCGGACACACACCAGAAGTAACATTGCTTTATTTACTAGCGGAGCACAACCTTTCGAACCTCATAAAGCTCCTCGCGATCGATCTCGCCTCGGAGTGTCTGGATGTGGGTAAAGAACGCTACGGACCGCCGCTGTTCGCGGCTGTGGTGACATCGAGTAACGATGTTGTCGATCTTTTCCTGGAAAGCCTCGCAGTCAGTCAACATTGTAGTATCACCCCGCATAACACTGAACGGGGATACCATAAAGAGGAATGGGCGCTGCAGGCTATGGGTCATGATTTCCAATTTCCTCATCCAAAGACCGTACTTTGTTATTTGTCCGAGCTTGGAGATAGTGCAATGCTAAGTCTACTCCTGGAACGAACAAATTTGGAGCCTGACGAAAAAGACCAAGGCGGGCAAACGCCTTTATTGTGGGCGGTCGAGAAAGGGCACGAGGAAATAGTCAAGCTGTTGCTCTCAACGAAGAAAGTCGATGTCGACTGGCCAGATGCGAACGGGCAGACCCCTCTATCGTGGGCGGCCGAAAAAGGGCATGAAGAGATAGCCAGACTCTTGCTCAAGACGAGTGCGGTTCGTATCAACTCGAACGACCAGTTTGGCTGGACGCCACTGTCATGGGCGGCACGCAATGGGCATGAAGGTGTGGTGAAGCTGCTGCTCGAGACGCACAAATGCTGTCATGACCTAAAGCTCAAAGACGAACATACTCCGTTGTGGTGGGCTGAAAGAAACGGACAACACAACGTGGCAAAGCTTCTGAAATCGCATTCTCATGGGCCCTGTGTGATTTCGATTTGATAGCATTTCCCGGACCTCAGAAAGCAGCCCAAAAAGCAACGGAAAGATCAGAGTGGCCTCGGTAATTTGTTCTATTCATCGAAGAAAACAAAGAAACGGTCTTTTCTTACCTCCTAACTCACTGATAATAACAACAAAACTCAAACTATATAAACAACCTTATCGCTATATATTACACCCCTTCTCCACCTTCATGACTGATGAAGCTTTACATAAAAGTATGGATCCACAGTGTACCATTTCTCCTTTGATTCGATGGGAGCTATCTCGCAAGACTTTGCCCACTCGTGAGTCATACTAGAGTGAAGCTTGCAAGATTGTGCATCGTCGTGTCTCCGAGCACCTTGTTTGTGAGCTCTCTTTTATGGTCCAACTCTACATTGATCCTCGGGCCAAGAAATTCTGCTAGTCCTTTTTACCAGCGACTTCCAGAGCAATGCCCGCGACGTTGTGGGTTACCGAGGGATACTGGATGTTGTGAAACAATACAGTATGGCCGACCATTTCCAGATAGCCAAGTGGACCTCGTACGATTTTGGTATCGCAGTCGTGTTCCCTGGATAAATAGCGTCACGGCTCTAATTAGAGGCTTACAAGCTGGATCTTGTACGAAGACTTCGATTTTAAAATTGCCTTGGGCCTTCTTGAGTACTTGCGCGAAGTGGACTAGGGTGCGGAATTTGAAGTAGGATGTCTCAGGAACCTTGGGGCGGAGCCGAAGAAGCAAATTCTTTCATAGGTTTCCAAGGCTAATGCCCACAACTTTAGTGACCGTGTTCATAAATTTCCCGCGAAGACCGAGAAACTCGGAGAACTCTTCGACAGGGCCTGTATCATCAGTCTCATGTTTTGCTTGAGTGTTAAGAAAATTCGCGATGTCTTCCGCAGCTGCACTGTTTTTTCACTTTTTTTCCAGTTTTTATAGATCAGACTCGAATTTCTGAACATGAGCAGGCTCCTTAGGCACAGCGGGGCCTACGTCCTGCTCCGCAAAATTGGCAGTGCCAATACAAGCAATACTTCGAATCTATGGACCCCTCGAGTAAGAATATTCTTGAAAGATACTGTGTCCGAAGGGTAGGCTTCTCTGAAATACAGGTTTGAAGACAATGCTGTATTAGGTGCCACTAGGAACTGATGACAGCTTATGTTCACGCTTTATACCACCGGATTCCAAGATATTGTAACCTTTCCCGTCATTTTTTTCATCTACAAGATCCAGGAATTGAGACAATATGTGTTCAAGCTGCTGTTTCTTCCGCTCCGCATGACCTTTCCGCAGGAGATAGCCAGTGCAAAAAAGCTCCTTGCACGTTGATCGTTTGTTTAGCTTCCATTGGATTGGGATTGGCGGTTCTCTTTCGAAGTTGGAGGTATTGCATAGGAGCAGAACTAAATCACGAAGTGCTGGCTTTATCAACATAGCCTAGTCATCAGGAGTTCTGATGCATAGTCATTGATGAGAGGTTGACTGGTTCTTAGTAGATTCAGTAAGCAGTCAGAACTTGTGACCAGCTTTGACCATTAGTCTCATGTGGACATACAAAAATTGCTCGTGGATAAATCCCGAGTTTGTAAGTAGTCCACGCTGTGTTTGTTACGAGAAAGATGGGTTCAGAAAATTGCAATAATGGATCCCGAAGAGCATAGAAAACTTTCTGTAAAATTGGCCCACTTGGCACCGTCAAGCAAACTTACACGCGCAGGCAAGCGCGCCAGTGGATTTGATACAGAGTCATCTTGCAGTGACGTTGTGGGGTTGTTATCTTTCTGACTCGTATGCATGTACTAGACCGAGCTCAAAAGCTCCGCGACATTGTGTGCAAGCACTATTATGCTGTCGCTTTGGAGCCGCACAGGCTTGAATCACTCACATTTCTGGATTGAAGCAGACCCAAGCACCCAAGGATATATGGAGCCCTTAGTCTACCTTGATGTAGGACTTGCTCTGCATTATTTTCGCAGAATTTCCAATGGCGTGCGCCAACTATCGTGACTTTGCTGCGTTGGTGTTGAAGACTCCCACTCCGCGTACAAACCAATCACCACCGATCCGCCCCACCAGAACTCTTGGCGCCATCATACCCCATACCGCCTAGCCCGACCACCTCGCACCACGCTCGCAAAATTAGCTGTCGTCGCGAACTTGGACATCCTCACACACACACACCCTTTGACGCAGGATATCCACTTCTTTGCGCTCCCACACACACATCCCATACAATGGCTCCCGCAACCGTATGTACACCACCGCTTTGCTGTCCGCTGGGCTGAGCAAACTGCGCTCCCTCATGCATAGAACAGTAGGCTAAGGTTATTCGCAATGTAGAAGAAGTCCGGCGCTGCTGCCAAGAAGGGTCAGAAGGTGACCAAGAAGGTACGTCTCCAACAAAACCACTCCTGCGCACCATTCCAGGGAGATGAGTTATGAGGAGTGGGAGGCTAACGATGTAATTCGTTACAGTTCATCATCAACTGCTCGCAGCCCGTCAACGACAAGATCTTCGACATCCAGGCATTCGAGAAGTTCCTGCACGACCGCATCAAGGTTGAGGGCCGCACCGGTAACCTTGGCGACACCGTTGCCATCTCCCAGCAGGGCGATGGAAAGATCGAGGTCATTGCGCACCAGGAGTTCTCCGGCCGCTACTTGAAGTACCTGTACGTCTACGCCACACGAAAATGCGCATTTGAAAAAGACGCCATTCTGACAATTGGAAATAGCACAAAGAAGTTCCTCAAGAAGCAGCAGCTCCGTGACTGGCTCCGCGTCGTCTCCACCTCCAAGGGCGTCTACGAGCTCCGCTTCTTCAACGTCGTCAACGACGAGGCTGAGGATGATGACGAGTAAACGATTCGCTACGACACGAGCATGGAACATGATGGCCCGGACACTGAAAAGGGAAGGGGTGGTGTACCACATGGCATATAGCACGATCTGAATGAATTGTTGCACATGCCTAATTCTACGTTCCAGCATGCATACCGATCGTGAGATTTAGCAACCGAACGTCATACTGACATTTGCGGCCAGGAGCTGAAACAAGCTCAGCAATTGCGAGTTCCAACCCAACCCAGAAATTTCTGGAGCAATTTTGAGCAGAGATTAGTCGGGCCTAATTTGACAGTGGAGATGCTGTACCCAACCCACTAAAGTACTGTAACTCGACCTGATCATCATGATTTGCAAACGGTCCGTGGCGTGATCGAGCTAGTTGTGAAACTTACATACACATACTAGTACTGTACCTGTTGCTAGCTGTCCGGTGAGGATGCCTGCCAACATAGTGCTATCGTGAGATATACATGGTTGAGTAGTAGCGTCGTGAAACATGCCTGCTGAATCTAATCCGGTGTGCTGTACCTGTAGTGTGGATTCGTTGACAGATGAATACTTGGTCTGTACCTAGTTGTCATGCGAGAATTCGTTCAACATTGCGTGTTCGACACAGTTGAAGAGTGGATCAAAGTACTGATATGTCCCCACGGTGTCTCATGATACCTTTTACCAGCCATTGTGGCCTTCTTCGGTACTGCTGTAATGAGCAAACAGTCAGCACCGCACCGCACAAACAGGGAACTGTACGGATCTGTTCTGCGGCAATGGAGTGCTTGAGGTGAGTCAAAGGTCTATCGTCAGCACCGTCAGCAAATCCCTCTGTCTTGGTCGCCGGGTATAGTGGCCGGCAGTAATAAGTGAGGTGCTCAGTCCAGAGCTCGGCCGACGCCGCACCATGTTGGTCAGATTCAGAAGGAGAAGGTCCAGACGGAGTTCGGAATGCGAGGAGAGCGAGGATGCGAGTCCGAACACCGACCTTGAATTGCCGCAACACCAAGGGGTCTGGCTTGTTCCAGTGCGCAGGGAGTTCAGCCTCTTCACCGTGGAACGAGCTCGCCCGTGACCAAGCCAGTCCCAAGCTCCGTTGGTGTTCGACATCGGCCCGTTAGGAACCTCATCCGAGAGGCAGTCGAGACTTCAGACCCTGAGCCCCTGCACTACGGGAGAAGAGCCGCGCGAGTTTCTCGAAGCTTGTGCGAACATTCCACCTGGCGTGCGCGAGAATGGATGCAAGGTCAAGGGGCGGTGAGATGTGCTGTAATTGCGAAAGTATGGTGACATGGCACGTTCTGCAGGCGATTGGATGGCGACAGTTGCATGGTGAATTTCGACATCATATTTCACATGCCACGCGTGGCATACTGATGCGACAGGTTTGACCGACGGAATCTGAGGCTGATGGCCGGAAAGGCAAAACTAGGAACGTGTCGCATAGAACAACGCGATTTGTTCGTCAGATCCCACAACATTATGCGACCGTTGTCAAACATTTTCCCGATCTGGCTAGGCATGCTGCGCAGGCAGGGCAGAGCCTTGCTTGTGGGTGGCTAAGCGAGATATCGTGAGATTTCTGCCTTGGTGTTTTGGGAACCTGTCGAGCTTGGGGCATCAGATCCAGCGTCCGCCGCGTTCAGTTGCCATGTCGGGCCAGTCCGACGGTGAAGCTGCTTGCGTCTAGCCGCACGCGACGAAACTGGCACGAATGCTGGTTGCGATCGAGTAATTGCTAGGCAAAAGACCAGTCTGGTCCCTCAACATGTGGATGCCCTGACACGAAGTGCTCGCCAGGTACAGAAAAAGCGGGCCGGGTAAGACGCTGTAAAGGATCTTGGGAGCATGTGGAGCGCAGTCCTACCACGGGCACCAGTGCTTGGTGGACGGAAGCTGGAAAATTTTCGCAGCATTACCTAACGCCGGCGCCTTGGCATGTAAATCACGATGCTGCGAAAGCACGACTGAGGGCTGAAGACGTTGCACAATTAGCAACGTGCTCAGGATGTCATTGCAGGCGGGTAATTATATGGTCAGGTGGTTGCAGCCGCGACGATGCGCGCCTCGGTGATGAGTGGCAGAGGGTCCGGCATCGTGTTCTTCCACGGAGATGCTCAATTGCGCATCCATGATGTCGCCCTTTCGAGACAGGCACAACGCCAGCCAACGCCAGACTGCGGGGAACCGCGCATCACAACCGCGTGGACGAATGGTCATGGGCAGTGGGTCTGTGTACCGTAGTGCGTCGGTGAGCACCCCAGAGTTTTCAGTTTCGGTGGGGATGTTGGTAGGGTGGTAGAATGGTAGGATGATGCGATCTGGGATCCAAGGCCGTCGGCGAGCCACAGCGTGTTGCCCGGGCTCAAGCCACGACGTCGCATTGGCACAGGCTGGGTCAGAGAAAACTGTGATGAAACGAAAGTGGATTAGTGCGGTCATCAAATGGTCGGTCAGGGCGAGCGTCGTGGCCGACCGAGGGTACTGCGCGCGCGCTGCTGGTGATGCGTGTGCAGCTGAGCGTGCTGCTGTTCTCATCTCACGGTGATGCTGGCGTGGTGTTATTTCTCCCGAGGTCTACTCGGCGTCGCTACTGGGCGATCACGAGAGAAGCGGCAGGCCGTGCGCGCTTGCCTCCTGACCCGAAAATCGCGACATGCGCAGGGATCTGAGGCCGCTCCTGGCTAGCGCCGTGTGAGAAAAGCTTGGGTCTGAGTTAACCATGATGGCATGCTCGAGGCGCCCAGTCATCGATTTCTCTCATGTAAAACTTCGTGTATAGCCCTTTAAATAAAGTCCTGTGCTGCCCCAGATCTGCTCCTGCTCAGAGATCGTTCTTTGGAATATGTTCCTGCCGCAAAACCTTACTCACCACCTTAACTCTCACAAGATCAATTCTTGAACGCCGCATTCAGCGCCTCCACCCGTGCATATCGCCTCCCCGGAGATACACACTTTGCTTTAAAGTTGCTCTTATCTCGCAGCTTTTCCACCCACACCACCCACTCACATCAGCGAATCTCAGCCCTACCCCAGATTCTCTTATCATGCCCGGCCGTTTACTGTCCTCCCTCGCCAGGGTGGCACCTTCACCGTTGCCTAAATTGGACAAACCGTCAAAGACCCACACCGCACCTCTCTTCCCCCCAGTCTATTCCTACGAAGCTCCTGCGGTAAAGGGAACCAGCAAATCGCAAGAGTCGCTCGTCATGGACATCTTCAAGCGCCACGACAAGCACAATGCCGACAAGAAAAGCCCCAAGGCGAGTCCCAAAGTGGAAGCCCAGGCGGCCGCAACGCTCAACATGAGCGTCGAGTCTCCACCAATCGTCTTCTACAACAGCGCCCAATCGTCCACTGGCGCCATTTTCTCTGGCCAGCTGATGATGAGCATCCACGAGCCATACGTCACCATCAACAAGTTTGAGATGCGCCTACTGGCCATCGTATCCACCAAGAAGCCTGTTGCACCCCACTGTCCAGACTGCAGCGCTCAGACGACCGAAATCCACACCTGGGAGTTTCTGACGCACCCCGCGTCTCTTCGTCACGGGTCACACAGCTACCCCTTCAGCCATTTGCTGCCAGGTCACCTGCCCGCAACCACGCATGGAAACCTTGCCACTTTGGACTACTACCTTTCGGCGGTCGCTACCTTGGCCAATGGCGACAAGATCACCTACAGGCGCAGCATTGACGTCAAGCGCGCCATCTTCCCCGGACCCGAGAAGCACTCCATCCGCATTTTCCCACCCACCAATCTGACAGCTTCCGTGAAGCTGCCCCCGGTGATCCATCCGATTGGCGACTTCCCTATCGAGATGCGCTTGTCTGGTATTGTGCAGAACAAGGCCGATTCTCAGACTCGCTGGAGGCTGAGAAAGCTCAACTGGCGCATCGAGGAGACCCAGAAGTTCATTGCCCCAGCCTGCACCAAGCACATCCAGAAAGTTGGCGGTGAAGGTAAGGGCGTTCTCCACGAGGATGTCCGTGCCATCGCCAACGAGGAGGTCAAGACTGGCTGGAAGACAGATTTTGAGCGCGGCGAGATTGACGTCGAGTTCAACGCTGCCTGCAACGTGGCTTTAAAGCCGCTTTGCGACATGGACAGCCAGAACGGCATGAGCGTCAAGCACAACCTCATCATCGAAATGGTTGTTGCTGAGGAGTGGGCGCCCCTCAAGAAGCTCAGCCAAAGCCACCCCCACTGGTGCTGCACGCGTCCTCCGCACCCAGTTCCACCTCACTCTCACCGAGCGCTCTGGAATGGGCATTGCTTGGGATGAGGAGCAGCCTCCCGTCTATGAGGATGTACCTTGCAGCCCTCCCACCTACATGGACGAGTGCGAGGATCCAATGTCCGCCATCAGCTCGCGATCTGGTAGCTTCAGTATCTGAGTTTTTCTCTGCCCTTTCTTTCAAGTTCACATTATACCCCCGCGATGTCTCTCCACTCGCATTTCACGAATCTCCTTCACATGTTCTCAATTGCTTCGACTGCGGATCAACGGCACTATGTGTAGGATATACCCCATTTGCAACATTTCTGGCATTCTCATTGTTCATCACTACTCATCGATGCGGCGTTCCTGGGTTTGCGCTGGACATGCTTGAGTTGAGCCCATTGTGTGCCCCTCTTGCATTGTATGATCTTCCAGCTGGCGTTCCGTTTGTTTGGGAGGAAAAGTCTTGAAATAGTCGCATCACGAAATGGATACCTGATACATAATAATTAGTTTTAGTAGTAGAATCAAGACATGTCTACGCTTTCACATGATTCATTCAAATCCCATACTGTGAATCACTGCCAATCCCCACGTCGAGTACTGTTCACATCTGTATGTCCAACATCAAAACCCAGGATATCCTCTCAACAACGATATTCCCACTACCATCATCGCACTCCCACATACCACCAACCCTCACCGCCACCCAAACCCCATACAACTCAATCCTCACCACACCACCCGCCAAGCTCTCTTCAGCCGCACTAACCGTCCACCCCAGCGCTCCCAAACGCAGGGCCAGCAAACCAATGACACACAAAGTGGGTCCCTGCCTCGCCCTCCCAGGACCAGGGTGCGACGGCCCAACGCGCTGCCATGGGAAAGTGCACAATCTCGTGTTTCTGGTGTGATGCGATTGTTGCGGGATGGAATTGCCGGATTGGGAAGGGGGAGGCGGAGGCTCTGCGAAGGCTCGGATGGAGATGGAAGGGCGGTCTGGATTCTAGAGTGTTCTGTATGATGTGCGTGTGAGGTCAGCCGAGTGTTTGATGTGCATGGATAGGAGCAGGGTTTTGGGGGGGGGAAAGATCGTGATCGCGATGGGGGGCTTGGCGGGGACGACATGTCGTTGGGGTGGGTTGGAGGGAAATTCCTTGCGTCGGGTGGTCCTCCATTAACTCCATTGTAGGCACCTAGCTGGTCAATCCTGTGAACAACGACGTATCTGGCTTCGCTGATATCCTCACCATCTCTTTCTGCACCTTGGTCGTGAGTGTGTTTGGCTACAAGATTGTGCACGCATACGAATTCTGGTCCTGGATTCCGACAACAATCGTCTTCAGTACGTTGGATGTGCTGGTGAAGCGGGCAGTTCTTGAGCGCTGGGATGTTTGTAATGGCATGTGTTATTGCTTGCTCGGAAGTGTCTTGTTTCTGGACTTGGTTCGAGTGGGTTGACTGGTGAGGTTGTGAGGTGGGTGGTAGGTACATCAGTGACTTGCAGTGTTACTCGATTTCTTCTCTTTTCAAAATCGTCACCGTAAACTTTCTTTTTTTTAATAGCAAGGCTCGAAAGACTCGAACAGACGTGACCTCTAAAGCAGAGTGCTCGTTGTGTGAGTACCATGGAAGAGCAGGATCACTCACTTCACAATGCATGTTCAAGAAAGAGTCATTGTTGTCGTTTGTTACATTTGTCTCATCTACTGTGTCATTCTCCTATGAAGATCTCTAACTGAAGTTGAGGTCGCTTAACATGTTGCTGAGATTCGAGCCATGTTGTAGCTCAGTTTTTCTTCTCCGCCAATGGCCTAAAGACCGGTCCGCGTAGTCGAAGTAGATATGAATCTACTTGTTGCGGCAGTCGCAGCCGCAAGAGCCGGCACCGACGCAGCAGTTGCCGCCACGGTTGTAGTCGCAGTCGCGCATCTGGCGGCAACGCATCCACGGGCCCGATCCATTGCCTCCAGCCAACCAGCACCACGGGCCGTTCTTCCAGCCACACTCGCGCCAGCAGTATCCTCCATGGCTGCAGTTGAACGGAGACTTGTCGCTGTTGCAGACCAAGGTGTCGCGGCCGAAGAGCTCCTCGGCGGAAGAAGAGCCGGACTCGGACACGGCCTCGGGGGCGCGAACCACGACGTTGAGCTTGTGGGGCTCCTCGGGATCAGTCGAGGTGTCGATGGAAGGGTAGCGATTGCGGCCCTCGGGGTGCTCAGCGCAGTGACGGACGTCCTTGGGGTCGGTGCCCTCAGGGACAGCCATGACGCCAAGATCACCGCACTCGGCCTCCAGAGCGGCGTAGTTCGCGGCAACATCGCGGGCCCTGTTTTGTTTGTGAGTGATTGAAGTGAGGCGGATCAAGACGAAACTTACAAGCCGGCGTTGACGTTGGCCTCGAGAGCGGCGGAAAGCACACCAGTGACCTTGAGGCCGAGGAGGCAAAGGCCCATGAGGGAGCCAGAAGTGAACTTCATTGTCAATGGACTCGAAGTTGGTGAAGTGTTGGTAGTTGAGAGGATTGTTCCAGAAGAGATGGTAGAGGAGAGGTTGGAGTGGAGCGTAGAGAAGATAGAGGAGGGCACTGAGGAGGGATTATATATCTGTCGGCGAAGGGTATTTGGCGCTAGTAAGGCGCTCGGCCCTGTGATTCGTTTGCACGCGCGGTAGTGAAGGTTCTAACCTAGAAACGCGGGAAGTGTTTGCAGTGCGGCCTGGCGGGGCTCTTTGACGATGAGCAGAAGCGGGCTGAAAGGAAGAAACGCTCTGATAGGGAGCGATATCGGTCCAGTATGGACATTCACCTGAGGGCACTGCTGTATGGCACGCTACAATTGAGTCACGATCAGTCAGACTCTATCACAGATAGTAGCAGTCTGCACACATTCACCAGAGCAACGGATACAAAGTCAGAAACAGTTTGATGGGACACTTGTTTCGATCCGGATTCATTGCTAAGGTACATTAGGCAATTTCTTCAACAAGATCAGCAAGATGTGAATTACTCAACAAATATGACATTACTTCGACAAACGCGACCTCACTACAATGATATGTAGCTATGTGTAATACACTCAGCGCTGCCAACAGGGCGTACTACGACTGTTTTAGGCCTCAGTTAGCTACGCTACTGCCTATAATAGAGTGAATTACTTACGAAGGTGACGCTCTAGGTAAGGGCTACGAGCTGTACATCGTAGTACTGCCAAGATCACGTGTTCTCATCGTAGGAGGCCTCTAGTTAGCTAGAGGGGCTGGTAGAGGAGCTAGTTTTAAGCCTTTAGGAAGACGCTAAATAGATAACAGTAGGGCTCCTAGAGAAGGTAGCAATTAATTGCAAACGAGCGTTTTAAGATATAGTATTAAGAGCAAGAAGAAGGTAAGAAAAATAAGCTTATAGTAACGATTTAGGTGCGTACAGTTGCTCTTATATACCTAGGACGTTTACCTAGGCAACGCGCCTAGCTACCCCTTTAGGAGCGTTTGAGGCTCTTAGGCGCGACGACGCGTTACACTGTCCTAATTTTAGAGCAAATTACTAACAAAACTAGACTCCTTATAGCTGCCTAACGCCTCTAAGCTCTGCCTCTAGCCTCTATTGCAATTTCTAACAATAGGCCTGTAATACGACCTCCTAGACGATTACTATTACGCTTATAAGACCTACCTATTCACTCTCAGCTACTTGCTGCTTATATAAGCTGTAGCCCGTAGAGGACTACCACGGTAGTGCGCCCCGTTGGCAGCGTTGAATACACCCAGTCCAGCGGTGGCGTGTCAGCTGGTATGCGCGGTCGAGCCACGCACATGACTGCTCGACACGAAGGGCAAGTATGAGACTTCGACATTGCAGAGTCGTTGACCCAGCTATCTAGACACTGTTCATGAAAATAGTGGCCGCAGGTGGTGACCACTGGCTTCTGGCCCGCGTCATTAGTATCAGCTGTCACATCAGCGATGCAAATGGGGCACGGTGTGTTTGTAGGTACGCTCGGCGTAGACTGGCAGAACATTGGAATGTCAATCGGTGGGCCGACATTACGATACATGTCCTCTGGCACTTCAGGCAGCGGAGGTTCTCGCATTTCCACAAGCCATAGTGGAACCGCGACTGGACAGCCCAGCACGCTTGCACGCTCACAGCCGGATGTCACATGCCAGTGCTGGGAAAACGTCAGCTCTTTGAGAAAGGTAGAGCGCATACTGAGCAGTATTGCGCGAAACATGTTGCCTTTCACACTGAGATCGTCGCAGCTGAAAACTCGGCCGGCATCGGAAAGCAACCAAGCAAGCAGCTCTTCAAAATCGAGGTCCTCTGCGTCAAGTCCTGGAGACAGCATCCTGAGAGCATAGTGGAGCAAGGCGCAGTACCTAGATGTCTGGAAGGGGGTTCGCTCCACCCCATTCTTGAAGGCATCCAGGTCCCAACACCGCGCTATAATGTTGAAGAGGAGCGCACCAACTTCGTTATGGCGGCCGGTTCTGAGGGCATTTGCCATCACCCTGGAAAAGCTTGGTGCGCTTTCCCGCATCGCATCACCGAAAGCTTGCTCTTGCGTAGTAAGCACCAAGCGATGTGCTATAAGTTCGATTCGCCAACGTGGGCTTCGGTAGATTCCGGGTGGGGAGATCGTTCGGAACATGCTGGTGAGTGTCATTGAGTTATCTTGAATTTGTGAGATGAGATAACAACAGTGGTCGGGGAGCACTTTATAGACTGAGACACGGAAGAAGAAGGCTTGGAAGGGTCGATCGAACAATGTAATGTACAGAGAAACAGTGTAGCCGTACTACTTTTTCCTAACACAACGCTGGCACACAATGTACAGTGCTGGCCATTTTATGCACAATGACTCTCTCCAACAGTGAAAAAGCGACATTGTGGCCACCCACGACATATATTCGGAAACAGGTTGAGCAAAAAGTCCTTGGACGGACATGCAAAAGGTCAGTTTCGTAGACGTGGCTCATTAAAACGCATAATGTCAAGTTCTACAAAAAGCTACAAGTAACTCCAACAAGCTTGATACACCAACACTTCACTGAAATCAACGACTTTACTTAAGGCAAAAATTTCATCCAATCTGTCTCCGTCGTAAGTTCCCTACAGCTGCCGTACTTTGTGCATTCTCCCTCATCCCTCGCAGAGAACTTCCCGGTCGAGCGGGCACGTATTCGCGTTGGGCATTGCACTGTGGTTCACCCACTCATTCAGGCAGTCTTCATGGAAAGGATGTCTTGCCTGACATATAGCGCGTACCAATTCGCAGTTTACTGGGCCAATTAGTCGTTCATTGCATATTCCGCAATGGTCGTCTGGCGCGAACAAGTCCTCACAAGGCATGCTGAACTCTTCCAGTGGGATGTGTGGCCCAAGGGGCGTGTATTCGACGTTCGTCTCATCTGTTTCGTACTGCACCGGTGAAGGATGTAAAGTGGTGGCAACCTCCGTATGTATCATGACCATTCCCTGAGCCGAAGTGATGTGTGGTCGTGTTGCCGTGGTGTTATTCAGATCGTCGCGTTTTAGGTCCCGAGCTGTCATATTGGTCAGTACTGTATATGCTGCTCGACTCAACAACAACTTACCGTCGTCCCATCCCCACTGAAGCACTAGCATCTCGGCACATTGGTAATCGCCGTTGTGCGAGTTCTCAGCCACTACCTTGTACACAATATCGACAAACATACGTTCGATGTTGTCGACCATTGTTCGGTACTCATACTGACTGCACTCGATGATGGTGATTGGATCGGCGATGCTGTCAGCACATAAAAGTCGTGAATGATGCGTACGACATTCGCAAGTTCGTCTATGTCGACAACGGGCCATGCTTCGTTCTCCCTACAGGCAGTGGAAGTCATCAAGTATGCAGCCGCATGACCGCGGATGTGTGTAAGGTGAGTGTCAAGATCAGCGAAAAGAACGCGTGGTATGATGAGAACTTATGCGATATGGCTCACGAGACCTAAAAGCCATCCTACTTCGTACTGGTCTTCTTTGAGGTGATCGAGAGCGAGGAACAGACTGGGGAAGGCCACTTTGAGGTTGATTGTATTAAGTGGACTCATTATCGACAATGTGATTGTTGGGAAAGGAAGAGATATGAGCACAAGTTTTGAAGTAGCCATACCGGCAACGAGAGACATCCTGTGAAGTGAGACAATGTTTCGAAAGCTACTCCAGCAAGTGCTAGAAAATTAAAAAGTTAAACCAGAATGTCTGAAAATCGGCAGCCTCTCTCTGGATGAGACAATCTTAATTCCTATCCCCGTTAACCATGCTCTCACGCTCTTTCTACACGCCTGGCAAAAGATCGCTTCCAGAGAGACGAGGAAGGTTCGGACGCAGTATAAGTGCAGATGCAACGAACCGTCATGTAGCCAAGGTCTTCATCCTGATTGTTTGCCACCTTTAGGTGGGCTTTTCACCCTTTTTCTCTTGACCAAATTTCTTCCCACGCGGTCTTCCCTCGTATGCTCTTGCGTCCGCAGTCCGACTTGGGTTATCGAAGTCCGGCGTTACTGCTAGGGGCGCTGACTTGGCCGACATAAGCCACCCAAGTAGTTGTGGTAAATCGGGAATTATGATTCCACAAGTGTAGGAGACGTTAATGGGGTCCATGCCCGTGCAATCTGGTCCAAAAACCCATCCATGATGTCGACTGAATGCCGCAATTCGCTCGACTCGAAAGTCTCCAGGCCAAGTCAAAGATCATTTCAAACTCTTCACAACCCGGAAAGCCTCCGCGAACTCCGAAAAATCCCAATCGTCTTCCTCAACAGCATCCGCAAACCAGGCATCCTTGAAGTCTTCTTTACTCAGCGCCTCCCAAGGAGGCGTATGCATCTCCACCCTCAGACACTCTCTCAGTCGTTCATTTTGCAAAGGACATCTTGGCTGCAGCCATCTGACGGCATAGGCAATTCTCTGTGCCCTCGTCTTGTTGTACACTGCGAAGAATGCTGGTCGCCATGGCCGATGGTGTACATACCTCGGCGACGTCAGCGTGATGGTCACTGTTTCGACATTTGGATAGCGCTCTAGGGTGGCTGTTCCGCCGGAGATTATGCTAGGCCAGAGACGGCGCGTCCAGCCGTAGTTGACTTCATCGAGGTTGGTTTGGTAAATGCGCAAATCGGCATCGGCGATGTAGACGACGTGACGGACAAGTTGACGATACACAAGTGATGTGTCTATATCGTTGAGGGGACCAAGACGATAGATGTTTTCTCCATAGAAGACGAGACTACATTCCGCATGTAGCTGTTTACATGTTTGCAACATGGATAGAGCGATGCATCTTCCCAGGCGTTGTGGTTCGATAGGGCCTTGATTCCCATGACGAACGATGCGGGCTTTGTAGATTGGGCGTCGGTTGCTGTAGAGGTTGGGAGAGTACATGAATATGGCCCCTTCGACACGCAATGCGTAGCTGTAGATGTAGTCTCTGATCTCAAGAGGGAGGTCTAGGAATCCTGTCCTGTGTGGATCGGCCTTGTAGGATTGATGCCATTCTATGGAAGGATCCCGCTCTGAAATCAGCCGGGAACTGGAGACGCTGCACTTAAGACGGAAGGAACACTCACTTGCGACGTCATCTTGACTGCCATATCGTCCTAGAAAGAAGCTTGTTACTCGACAGAAACAACGGGCACAGTGGCTTTTGTGGGCAGGCTGAGAAGTGTCAGCTGAGAATGCGCCTAGGCCATTCTTGTGATGCCGGCAATACTGTACTCCGTTCCTGAGCGACTTCACATCGTCTTTGGAGCCCCACCAAAATCGTTAAAAGAAGGACCCTGTCCACTAGCTACATTGCTTGGTAGCGTACGTCACCCCCATTTGGTGCACTGGCCTTTTTAACATCAGTGGATCCAGTGAGGTCTGTTGCTTGACAAGGGCGAGCGGAAAATAATCATGGTTTATTTTCAGAAACCAAATATTGGCGGGGCCTCGGTTAGGCCACCCGCTCCGCGTCCTTACCCCGTCTCTCTTTCCTCCACGTTCCGTCTTATGATTTGCTCAATTTATGAACAGCGATCAACTCCCAAGGACCAGCTTTTTGACAGATATGCTAAGATCGCGTCTTAGACTTCTTCGAGTTGATTATCGGCTTATGAGCATCCATTTGACACCCTTCCTCGTTCGCTTTTGCATCACAACAGCTATACACAAAGCCCTCGGGATACTCTTTCCTCGCCCATTCCGAGTCGATTTCGCCATGACAATCTTCATCATGGTCTGCCCAGAAGTCACCTTCGAAGTCTGGCTCCGTTTCACCTAGTTTCACGTGTCAACTCAGCAATCGAAGACGGCAGTTACAAGCATAGTTCTTACCTGGATGCCACACGCACGCGTCGTCCGGGTTGTCCAGGACGTCGTATTCTTCTTGGCATTGCTCGCAGATTTCAAATCTTTGCAATCGCTCGTCTCGTTTCCTCTTCGTGTCGGTATCACCATCCGCACCCTGAACGACAAGCAAATGGTCGCACGCTAGCTTGAACGCAGCTGTGTTCTCCGTACATATCGCGCGCAGTACTGTCCGTAAGCGGTCTATGGTCGCGGAGTCGATGGCATCGTGCAGGACGGACGCATCCACGCTAATGTTGTTGGGCCTGCTATTTTCTGACGGCCGCGAGGTGTCGTTCATAATGGAGGAGATATCCATCTTGAATGATTAATCCACAAAATATGTCTTGTGGAAAAGTAGTGGGCTCGGAGTCGAAGCCGAAGTGACGTACCATGTTCACGTCGCGTAACCCCTGCCGTTCACGCTCGCGTATCGTGCTATGCCGAATACAGTAAAGTAAAGCGAAATAGGTCCGAAAGTTCAACGTCTTAGCCGGACGAGACATCGAGACGAAGACTTCTGCTCCGAATTTGTGAAATCCCAAGTCAGTTTCTTGAACATTCTGGAATCGATCGTGGAACTCGTCTTGTGCTGCTAGGCATCGATGAATTCACGACGCACGCGCGTGGTTAGGATAACGACTGAGCTTCGCACCTCCTTTTACGTCGAACAGATACCCCTGGTCAAAGCCCCTCCATCACCTTCCTCAACCTGAGTTGACCGAGCCGCTCCTGGTACTTCTTAAAATACCATTAATCAGGCCACCACCGGAGTCTCAAACCTATAACATTCACTACTGCTGATGAAGAACGGACCGGAGTACTGAGGCACTGACACTCTACATGCGGGTTCACGGTTTGAACCAAACGCTGCTCAGGACATATGCCAACCCATAACGACCCTATCCTTCGCCAACAGCATCACGTCTCTCGCGATCCCCACATACCTCCGGTAATGCTACCGACTGGCCGAAATCGGATCGTCCTCGCTAAGAATAAACCCTGGCCGTCGACCAGGATGACACAGCTATAAAAGAACCTCTTTAAAGACGTGGATATGCTAACAAGACGTCACCGGCACTTTTGATGACAAGATTAAAAGTGACAAGTCGTTTATTTGCAACCCCTAATTAATGACTGGCGTTAAAAATTATGTCCTATGACACGCAGCGTACCACCCCAACAGCATAACTACTCGAGCAATAATTTTTCCTGTATATTTGCAGCTCTGGTGGGACACTTGGCACACGCTAACACATGCTAATAGCCTAATCATTCGATCAATCCACACAGAAACAAAGCTATGCACTGCTCTCAGCATTTGAGTTATTTACAACTCTTCCCTACATGAATACTACTTCTGCCAGGTGACTAAAATGTCTGCAAATAGCTCCCAGCCAGCTCCCCACCAAGACTGTTTTATCCTACCGGAACTGCAAACAAAAGTGCACGACGACAGAGGATAAGCATGGAGTCGCTCCTCAAATATGTCCAGTGTTACAAGAGAACAGTCCTAGACACGTAAAGAGAAGTCACCGTTACCTTTGACAACGATAATGCAGCCGTGTGTCTTATCCAAAGTAGCCAATCTCACCTTATTTCACGTCAGGAAATTCATGTCTGACGAGACAATGTAACAAAAAAGTTGCACGTGCTCGCCCAAACGTGTTTTTGCAAATATTTGGCATAGCGAGTGACAATCACGCTTTCGAGATTAAAAGTCAACTGGTGTCGTATTCACTTTTTGCATTTGACCTCTATTCGTCTCCAATATCGCACGCCCAATCGCTAGCTATGCTAACACTACTCTGTGCTAACGCCATGCAAGTCTTTGCAAAAGCTCCCTCTCGAGCTTTGCTTCACCTCGTTGAGTCATTCGACACCAAGATCACGCAACATGTGACATGTATGATCGTAAGAGGCTGTCAAGGCTTAGGGTTAGTCGTCTTGTCTCTGCACCTTCAGAAAGACTCGGAACGTGACTAGCGATCACGCTCTTTCAGATCGTCTGTGACCGACTTGAGTCCCGCAGCATGCTCCTTGGACACCCAGTCCCAGTAGTTGGTCCAGACGCGGAGTTGTGGGTCGTCCTGAGTGGTGCTAACGACGCCTTCGGTGCCCATCTGCTTGTTCAGAGTCACGCTGGTCTTCAGAACGCCCTTTGCGCCTTCTTGGATCTTCTCGACTTCTTGCTTGACAGCATTCTCCTTGGGCTTGATGGTCAAGACGGCGCGGAAGTTGTCCGCGATAGAGTCGAGGCGCGCATGCACCTGGTCTGGTGCAACGACCATGAGCTTGGTGAGCATGAGGTTGCACAGGATGCGGATATCATGCTCGTCCGTAATACCGGCAACGATGCGGTCGAAGAATTCGGACACTTCGATGGGTGATAGCCGAGAGAAGGAGGTCTCAAGCAGAGCGTACAAGGTCTCGTAAGCACTCTTGCGGATCTCGAGACCGTCGTCGACCTTGTGCTTGAAGGGACCCATTTGCACTTCGCGAATGAGCTCCGGCTTGATGACAGTCTCCTTCATGGCTAGTGGAAGCAGCTGGTCCAGGGCCGGTAGGATGATGTCAGGCTTGTTGTGCATTGCAGAGTTGAAAGTCATGAGAGCTAAGCGGCGGTTCTCTAGGTCAGGCTCATTGAGCATTTGGACCAACATAGGCACAACGAGTGGTCGTAGATACTCGTCATACGCTTCGTCGGTGTCAGAGAATGTGTAGCGAAGCGCTGAGATGACCATGCCGCGCACGCTTCCTTTTCGATCGTTCAAGAACGCCTGTAGTTATTAGTCAGTAATTGTGCTGTTGAATCGCGACGAGTTGAGACTTACTTGAAGTTGAGGAAGGTACGTCTTGGGATCAATGATGGTCAATCTGCCGATGCACTCTGCGCCGATCGCCTTGTTGTCCTCCAGCTGAGAAGCAGCGATGAGGTTCTGCCACAGTGTGGACGCATATGGAATGATCTCAGACTCTGTGTCCTCCTGTTGGAGGATCTCCTTGATGGAGTGGAGCAGAAGATACTGGGGAGCAGAGGCCTGTCCCATTGTGGAGAGGATGATGGGGAGGTACTTGCTGACATTGCCAGCACCCGCTCGTCCAAGAGCGACGGCAGCAGCTAGAGGCACCTGTTCAGAGCGCGCATTGAAGAACTTGATGAACAGCTTGGGGTCGATGGGGGACTCTGCGCCGAGACGAAGAGCGGACTCTCCAAGCACAACCAGGGCAAGGCATTTGCGCTTGTCGTCTGGTGCTGTTTCGAGCTCTTGGACAAACTGTTCAAGCTTTACACCAACACTGCTGCCGCCATAGACGAGGAGGTTTCCAATCACCTTGCCGACAACTTCAGGATAACCTCCGACGCCGACTTCTTGAAGCAGTGACCGCATCAACTCTTGACCAGCGTGCTGCTCGCCAATCGTGCGTACGAGTTTGAGCAATGCATCTAAGGAAGTGCCACTGATTGAGCCCTGCACCACTTGACAAAGGGCAGCATTTAGTTGTGGTGTCATGATGCCTCGCGCGTCGTCCTTGACGAATGTAGCCAAAACTATCAGTGCGGGTCCCAGCAAGTGTAAGTCGACAGCAGCGAGTAGTGGTAACAACGCATCAACAATTTGTGCTTTACTCTGGCCATCCAGCTGACTCCGAGAGTGTGGGTTCAATGAAAGAGTCCGCAGCGCACTCAGACTTGCACCACGTAACGCTCGACTGGCCTTGCGCAGTTGTGCTGCAAGCTCAAGAGCAACACTGCGCACCCACTTGGCAGATAGCTCACCGTCGGCTTTAGTATGCGCAGCAATCGAGTCAATGGCACGAACGGAAGCAAGACGTGTAAGCTCATTCTTCAGGCGATCTCCCAGGAGGTCCAGTCCAGAGGTCCGCTTTTGGGACGAAAGTAAACCTTCGGTACCTGAGCTTCTACCCAGGAGTAGGCCTAAGACATGGAGAGCGCTCTTGCGCACTTCCAGGTCAGCATCGTTAGCAGATATCCGGTTTATCAATGCCTCGTATAGCTGCTCCACGTGCTCTTGATTGTGCGATCCAGACGATGCTGAGCGAGGCGGTGTCAGAGCCTTCAATACCTGCTCTGTTGCTGCAAGTGCCTCGATAGACAGCTTGCTGTACTTGTCCTTCACACTCTTGAGTAAAGCATCAACAATGGCCGGCAGGTATGGTTGGATCGCCTTGGAGGAATGTGTGTCAGCGATCGCGCCAATGAGCTGCAGGGCCTGCGTTCGAAGGCTGTTTGCTGTCGCAGAAGCGCTGCTTGTAGATCCACTCGTAGTTTTTGCGGCCTCGATGACGGGCTCGATGAGTTGGTGCAGGTACGACTCGAGACCTCCTCGCTGAGTAATAACGATATCCTTGATCAGAACCACAGAAGCCTGCTTTGTGCTGGGTGGACACGATGCCTGTTTGAGAAGCTGCGAAATGCCCTTGACAATATCAGGGCTGAGCTTTGAAAGGCTAGCCTGCGGGCCCACGGATGGTGTTGATGATCGTGCGGGTGAGTCGAAGCCCATGGATAAGGAAGAGTTCGCATGCAAATCGAACATGCTTGCATCGCTTCCGCCCCTGCGGCGCTTGCAACTAGGCGGAGGACCCATTGCGCCGCCTTGAGCATGCTCGTCTGCAAACTTGACGGGAGCTGGCCCATCGCCGGACTTTTTGACCAAGTTCGACAACGTTGCCAGGACCTCTAGTCGCACGGAGTCCTCCCGCTCTTTGAAACGGGTTATGAGTGCTGGAGCCACCTTGCTGTACAAAGTCCCATCTTCCAGAAGGTCGCCATTACTCCGAGTGGATATGAGAGTGTAGAGGACCTTGGTAGCGCATCTTCGGACCTTCCAGCTGGCGTCCTCATCGTCGTCAAAGCCAGCCTCTTCCTCGAAGTCGTCGCCCTCAAGCGGATCCTCGTCATCACTACCCATGTCGTCCTCTTCATCGTCGTCTTCGTTGAGCGCGTTGGGGTCGTATTTGAGGTAGCGTGTGGCAGCGTCGATGGTCTCGTCCGTGTACATGCGCATGTCCTGGGAACACGAGGCCAGGAAGCCTTCCAGCGCGATCAAAGCAGCCTCGAGGACTTCGTCGATCTCCGGGTCTCGCTCGCCCTCATCGTCTGATGTGTCCATCTCTTCATCTTGTTCTTGTGAGCTGAGCGCGCTCAGGACGAAGGGTGCTAGCGTTTGGAGGTACGGTCCGAATTTGCGAGGTATGGAGCTGTCACAGTCAGTTGTTGGCTTCACATCGCTCATGGAATTTACTTACCGAGCCATGGAGCCGAGGATAGTGATGTAGAGCTTTCGCTTGGTGCGCGTCAAATGAGGGTCACGGAGGAGCTCAATAACACGCGACAGGAAGCTGCTCAACAGCTGGTCGGAGAAATAGCCTGCCAGCGTGGAGATGGCGGTAACAGACTTCTTCTTCATCATGGAGCTGGCACGCTCGTTCTCGAGGATCTCGAATGTGATCTTTTGCAGCGCATTGATCTCAGCATCCTGCAGCATAGGACCAAAGCATCGTGCGACCTCGGTCAAGACGTCAATGGCATTGCTGTCAGTACCCTTCTCCAAGTCTACCTGTAGCATGCCCTTGGGAACCTTGGGCAGGCCTTGTTGTGATGGCTGAATGACCTGGTAGCCCACGAGGCGTGGGATCAACACTTTGCTGATCGCGTTGTATGCATCGAGGACGGGCCGGCTACGCGATACGCCGCTGGTAGCATGTGGGAGGGAGACGACGACCTCTCGGAGTGCCAGTGAAGGTATTGACTGGTCCACAGTGTTGTCTGTCTGCAGGTTGGAGAGCTTCTCGATCATCGGACACAGGATCTTATCCGGAATCTTGTTCACGAAGGGACCCAAGCACTTGACTGCCTGATTCTGCACCTCTCCATTCGTGTCTACCAATGTATGAAGCAGCCCCTCCACTGTCTTCGCACACGTGACATCATCGTGCTGGAGAAAGCCCGAGTGAGCTACCACGAGAATGTCGTGTAAATCGCTGAGGGCCATGAAGCGGAAGTCGGGATCTTCATCGTTGAGCTTCGGCAGCAGCTGGGCGACATTGTGCGCGGTCGGATTCGGCGGTACGGACGACGGTGCCATGGTGGCGGCGTGTCTCTATGCGGGAGAGCTCGATGCGTGTGAGGTGTTTGGGTGTTTGTGCACCTGCGGCGTGGCGGGGTATATCGCGGGGTCGTGGCACGCAATGTCGCAGAGACGGGATCGATTGAGGTGGGTGGGGAGTCGAGAAGAAGTTGGCGTGTCAGGTTTATATGCTGAGGCGGAGCGCGCTGCAGGCCGCCGTGAGAGTGAACAAAAATGGTCGCGGAAATGTCCCGAAGCGTGGTGGTTGCCTGCGCTGGCACTCGAAGCTCTAACCCTGCCCCTACAAACACTCCAATTGAAGCGCGACAGTTGCCTTGATGATCGTCCAGAGCTTCACTCAATTACGCGACAGGAAGGTTTCGCCTATTTTAATGCTGGGGAAATGCCAGATGCGTACCTGCCCAGGTAAGTACCCGTTCGCAATGCGTGCACGTGATGTAAAGAAGCTCGAGCCGCACAGTGGCCGACCCCCGGCTGTGACGTCGTCTTGGTGAAATAGCCAGACCTTCGGAGTGACCTGATCATCCATCGCGCGTCTCCATCAGCATCCATCGCCATCAATTGCTGTTCGCCCGTGTCAATTGGCCTTCCTACAGCTTCACCATGTCTTTCCTCCGATCCAGCGCTCTACGAGCGTCATCACTTGCGCGTGCTGCACGTCCTGTGCGCTCCATCCGCTCTGCCGAGCTCCAGCCATGGCAACGAGCTGTCCAGCGCAGGACATACGCCAGTGAACATGGCGCCCACGGTGCGACTCAAAGCAGTGAAGTCCCATGGTATGCCATACATTTTCTTTGATTAATTTGCGTACACTAGAGAAAAGCTGTCATGTAGTTCCGCCAGGATGAAGAGCACACGTTGACGGTGTCATAGGATGGTTGCTGCGGCTGCCGGTACTGCTACTGGTCTGTACTTAGTCTTTACCCAGGACTTAGGTCACGGTTCTGGACACGATGAGGACCACCATGCTGAGGCACACGAGACCCACGGCAAGAATGAGGGTCAGGATGGGGACGAGGAGTCCGGAAAAGAAGAGTCCAGTGATGAGGGCGAGGACAAGTCTCAGGGTGGACCGAAGGATGAGGCTAAGAGCAAAACGAAGAACCCTCCTCCAGAGGAACGCAACACTGAGCAGCCCGAGGATCCGAGCAAGCCCGGCTCTGGCAAGCCCGACAAGAAGAAGTCCGATGACTCTTCTGGGGATGCCCCGAAGAACGATGAGGACTCGCCTTCTCCCGATAAGCACGACAAGGTTCGTAATATTCAAGTATGCATGTTTTGACGGTTACTGACTGTCGTAGGCCGACCCTCGCGGCAAGCCCAAGAGCACCAATCACACATCAGGCAAGCAAGAGGGCCTCTCCAACTCCGACACCCACCACAGCTCGCAAATCTCCAAACAGGATGACAAGAGCAAAAAGGGCGAAGGTGTTGCTGAGACTGCCAAGCTCAAGGGCACCGTCTCGACAAACCGTCCTGGAGCGGAGAACAAGGAAGAGCGCGGCAAGGCCCAGATCGACAAGGACGCATAGAGTAGAAACTTACCCTGCCTCTCAACCATCTTGTATTCTATAGTACCCAATCGGCGACCATCGACTTCGTCGAATCGTGTATAATAATATGCGAATCTGAGATGCTCATATTTGAACGACATGCTTTGGAATAGCTAACTTCTTTTCGATACACCTCCTGGACAATAAAGTGCAAACAGCTTTCAGCTGGCTTTTGAACAACATTGAACATAAATTGAGCTGACCGGATTGTGGCGACGTCATCGCTAGTCTATGTTTCCAGTCCGAGATTTAACTACAGAGACATTCCACTAATGATTCGAAACTTCCGTGCGTTCGAGCCTCGTCAGATCCTACTGTGTAAGGGTCCAGATGTACTAGCCCCGCCCCACGTCATTGCTTCACGTCGCCCCACCACTCGCGCCCGCGAGCGCGTTTCCACTCTACACAAACACATCTCGAGCCTAATTCCAGCTTCTTATCAAGCATGTCAGAAAAGCTCGTGTCCATTACGGACCTGCCTCTCGACATCCTTGTCCTCGTCTTTCCCTACCTCCCTGCCAACAGCTTCCTTGCGCTGTGTAGCACGTGTAAAGCCTTCCAACAGCCCTCGATACGTCTTGATCCGGCATACTGGAGCTTTGCGGTTCGAAGTACCTTTAGGATTCCTAATCAGCCGGTTGTGCAGCATGATGGGGTTAGGTGGCAGAAGATGTATCGGCGGTTGCTGACGCAGAGTCGGGTTTTTACTTGGGTATGCGAAGTCTACTGCGACTTTAATGCAGAAATTAAGTGTGGTTTAGGGCAACAACTCGCACAGTCGGCTTGGGCACAGCTACGATGAGCGAGTGCTCGACTCACCTATGATGCCAAGAATCATTAGACCTGGTAGAGGAAGAATGAGAATCAGTACTCATTGCGCGTTCCCTACAGAGATGGACAACACGCGAGACCTGGGAGTCATTGCCGACATGCAATGCGGGTAAGACGAGTCCGCCCATCTATTTGAGGCTCTACTAACGTAATTAGTGGATGGTCGACCACCCTCCTCACAGCCCGGGGCACATTACACACCGTAGGCGTCCTCGATGGGGGCAGAGTCTTCGCTGCTATCGAGCGATTACGACCGCTGGGTTTTCCCCCAGGATTTCCATCTTCCTCAACCGATGCTCAGTACGATGAGCCCGCAATCACGATCCGCCAGTTCTCGGCCGGTCGTTCACACGTGCTCGCCCTTTCCGACAGTGGTCGGATATGGTCATGGTACCATGCAAAGAACCCGGCGTTACATATCAAGTTTGCGAATGTGGACTTGAAAGACATGACTCTGTCCGAGAATTCGTCGAACAAATCATCGTCATACGGAAAGGTGAGACAAGTTGTGGCTGGCTGGAGCCGCAGCTCGGCTTATGTCCATGGTTACGGCATCGTGGTATGGGACCCGGTTGAACGGGACCACGACGACGAGACGACAGACACAATGCTGGTCCTGGAGAACGCAGAAGTACCGAGAACGGGGTATCAGCGTGTCAAGGGAACTCGTGCCCAATCCGACGAAGAGAAAGCACTTGGTGAAGAGGTTGGAGTTGTGTTGAACTACATCATCCTTGAGCATTTTGTTTTATTTGTTACGGATTTGGGCAAAGTCTTCTGTGGCAGATTCGAAGAAAAGCATAAAGTGGACAACATACTGGAGCTCCGAGCGTTGAGCAACGACACGGGAGAGGGTGTTGATGTACAAGGATCGTTCCGCCGGTTCGCGATCTTCAAGAACAACGAAGTTATCACAAGCGACCAAGGCTACCTCGAGGCTTGCTGGAACAACCAGCGCAGCAATCCGCAAGAGAGTTTTGCGGATGGCCTGAAGAAGATTCCTGCGCTCCAGAATAGTGGTGTCATCTCCGTCGCTTTCGGTGATTACCATTATCTGGCTCTCCACTCGAATGGTGCAATCACTTCTTACGGAACCGAGCTTCAAGCCTGCGGTGCTCTAGGCTTGGGAAGTGAGCAAGATGACGAAGGGAAAGCCAGAGGTATTGTGTATGAGAGGTTCAATCACGACGGCCGCCTCCTTCCACATGCATACACTCGTGGTCGCCAAGTCTGGTTTGACAGCACCAAGAAAGAATGGATCAACTATCTAACGAAGGGTGGCAAAGATCCCGAAGAATCACAGGAGCGCTTGGATCTGTTCAGGAATTCGCACAATGTTCAAGGAGAAGTCTCCGAGTGGATCGAACAAGAGGGTAGAGCATTGGATCAGACGAATAAAGGAGATGATGAACTGGGAGCTCATTTCGCACTTCGAGTCAGTGCCGCAGGCTGGCACTCTGGTGCACTGGTATTGGTCAACGATGAGCTAGCAGATCAGGCATCTTCACGATCGTTTGAGGATCAGGCTTTCCCGCGACTGAGGCTTGCAGATGGTACCGAAATGCCGGGTACGAAGGAATTTGACGAGTGGAAAGAGGGAAGACCAGAGTGGAACTTGAACATATCGGCTTGAAAACATTTTCCAGCGTTGCCGACAACTGGTAGTACTGCCGGCTGCAGTTACTGCATACTGCTTGCTCAGCAGTAAGTCGCGGAGGGCGAACAGGTGGGTGTAGTGACAGTAGCAACGACTGGTCGGGAGCAGCAATACTGCTGCAAATTACATGGTTCTTTTAGAGGCTGGGAGAGAAGGCTTATATATATTGGAATGCTACCCCTAACGATTTCAGTAATCATGCACGATTTGACTGTACATGAACAAAATTAGAGAACTACTACACTAAAACATGATCTTAGTAGTAGTATGGCTTACCACAGTAAGTCATTCAATCCAAGGGCAATAGTAACTGTGCTGATCGAGCCAACAGTGGCAGCGCTGACATTGTCTTTCATCTTGCGGCCTATGGATTTCCTCAGGAGATTATTGATTGCACCATCCAGGATGTACGGGCATCCGAAAATAACACCTCGTCTTCTCAAAATCCCTCAATTGAACGTGTTATGATTACCTGGCAGATCAGTCAGCAAGTATGTTAACAACGGTCGTATGTATGACTTACCGTAATGATAGGTACCTCCACTATTTCCCTTCGCAGTCGGACTCCCATAAAAGGCTAAAGCGCCACGGTCATTGTCGCCAATGTGTGTCGTTCGAGACCATTCTTTACCATCTTCGGTGCCAGCATCTTTCCTCTCCTTCGCAAGCTTAATCATCCGTCTCAACTCCGCAAGCACATTCTTGTAAGTCTGATCCTCAGCACCCGAGAACTTAGTCATGCCAACATGATTTGCATCCACAGCAATTGAGTTCTCATACGCCGGTGGCGCAGCTGAATGAGGGGGCACAACGACACCAATCCTGCTGTCCACCGGCACCGTCTCATAGAAGCATCGTACTTCTATCGCCGCATCCGTGCCACGGCGCTTCGCAAGTAGCTGCTGGAAAGTGTGTTCCAGTTCTTGTAGCGTCGCATCCTGGCTCTTTAATGCGTTCACAAGATTCGCATTGTCGGAGTGCACCAGACTGACAATCTTCAATAGACATGCAGCAAAGTCCGCATGCTTCGATCCACAATGCGGCGTTCCCATGAAGATCACACCACGCGTGTCCGACGCAATGGGCGCAATATCGACTTGGTTCGAATCTTTCGACTGCAGAAGCGCTTTCTTGATAACAATACCGCCCATACTATGCGCGACGAACAGTAGCGGACGATCTTCGACCCCTTCGCGCAGGCTCGCCAGCTCGTTGCATAGCTTTTGTGCATGTTGAGTTGGATTCGCGACGGAGACGACGTCGAATGCTTTGATGGATTGTGCGGCGTAGCCCCACGTGATGATCCGGGCCGTGGGTATGTCCGTGGGAAGGAGCTGTCCGGGCCAGAAACATGACGTTTGGGTACTTCCAGTTGCTGATTTTGTCCAAGTGAGTTTGCGGTCGCCACCGAGGCCGTGGATGAAGACGATGCTATCATGGTTAGTATTGCGTTTTTTTGAACTGGGGGAGATGCTTACTCTGCTTCAGGTACGTCCGGGCCATGCAGCACCAGAGGTCCGAACGCGGTCGGGTTATTTGTTGACATGCTGCAAATCGTTAATCTTTTTTCTGGAAGCACGCAAATACTATCCACCTTAACGCAACTGCCAATTGGAAGGCTGGACTAGATGACTGTTGTGTCTCAGCTAGGCTTTCCTGATAGACCTCGCTTTTGCCTTTAACAACAGATGGGTTTCTAGTGAAGAACTTCTTCATCTCATCTTCATCCATCGAAACGGTGGTTACTACGGTATCTATACCGGAGAAATGTGCGCAAACTTTGTCGTCGACACGTATTTGCATTCGCAAACAGCATGTCATGAGTATCGCATACTCATTGCCGAAAGCACAGACGGACCTTGTTTAGCAGGGCTGCGGTTTGCGCCAATTTGCGAACTATTGTGTGACGAGACGGGTAGCTACCTTTGGCAATCTAAAAGCGGCAAGATGCAGAACCTGACCCATGTCCGAGACACTGGCTCTGGAGGGACAAACATTATGATCTCAGAGCAAGCACTGCAACACTATATCAGATGTATCGTTACAAGATGAAGAGAGCGGCTGTCACGCACACAGATCTGGCTACTTCTTTTCGTTCTCGATCACATGGACAATATGTCTACCAACTTCCATGGAGACAATACAAATGGATCAACATTGAATCAGGGGAACATCTTTGCTAATGGAAACGTACATTTCGGTAAGCATAGAATGACGCACGCGGATTGTTCTGCGCTTACTTCTCAGGCAATATCAACAACTCTCGCACGGAGAAGGATAGCGATGCAGAAGTCTATCAAAGATGCGTCAGGCGTCTTCTTCGTGCTCTACCAGATGATCCAAGCGACTATATGGACAGTCTGATCACGCGAAATGGTCGCTGGCTGAAAGGTACATGCGAATGGATCTTGAAAACCAAGCAATATATGGACTGGTTAGACGCAGACAGGCCATCGCAGCTCCTATGGATTACTGGTGATCCGGGTAAGGGCAAGACAATGCTTTCGCTTTTTCTCATCAGCCACCGCCACATGGTCGTCAGGAAGCAACCTGATCAACGCAAGCTCATACACTTCTTTTTGTGGAGCTCAAGATGGGCGAAACACGGGTATCTCCATTCTGAGGAGTCTCATTTATCAGCTACTCACAGATTCCACACCAATGTTCAAGCACATTCGCGTCGCATACTCCAAGCATGGACGCAGTCTCTTCAGCGACGATCGATTCGAGACGCTATGGAAGATCTTCGAAGCCATGGTCTCTGAAGAGAGCCTTGATACTGTGACCTGTGTTCTGGATGGCCTGGATGAGTGTATCGAGGAATCGCTCAGCCCTTTGTGGATCAAGATCCGAGGCCTCACCCTCTCGCAAAGTCAGAACTCAACCCCAAAACCAAAGGCACGCCTGAAAATCATCATCACTAGCAGGAACTATCCAGATTCGTTCGAGCACTATCTTCACTGCTTTCCGCGCGTCAAACTGGAGTCCGAATTGAACGAAGAGATCAAGAAAGACGTTGCGAAATATATCGACCACCGAATGGAGGAGCTCGCATGCGCAGAAAGGAGAAAACCAAGCTTGCATTTGCTGCGGGCAAACGTTAAGCGTAAGCTCGTGGAGGGATCTAACGGGACTTACCTCTGGGTCAATTTCGCAATCAGCTCACTCAAGAAGGAAGCCTGCCCAGAGCTTGAGGCCGCCCTTGACAAGTTCCCCCACGGGCTTGATGGCATGTATCGTCGCATGTTCCTGTCTATATTGCGCTCCAAAAGAGCTGTCGTCATCTCAATTCTTCGATGGGTCGCCACCGCATTCCGTCCTCTCACCTTAGAGGCCCTAGGCGTTGCGCTGGACTTACCCACAGCTATAGGACAAGAGCTCGATGACGCGGTTAATGATTTCGTCAATTATGCAGGCGATCTCCTACTAGTGACACCTCGAGACCCAAAATCGGCGACAAGCACAAAGATTGTTCTTCCTGTTCATGCTTCCATGACGGACTTCTTGTGGCAAATTGATAACACCTATGGCGAGCTTGCAGAATTCCGACTGGATCATTCGAATTGCCATAAAACTCTCGGAAGGAAGGCCCTTGACTATGCTATGATCGTATTCAAAGACTGCCCGGAAGTTGAGATTAGCAACCCTGATGACGCTAGCTACCATGAACCATACCGCCGATATCCTTTGTTTGAATACGCTCTGACTGCAGGGCTTCGACATCTCACAACAGCATCGAAAGATTACCCTGATCTCTCTCATCCGTTATTCGATGAAGAAAACGGTTTTCATCAACCATGGATGCGTGCGCAGTGTCTCGCAGCATCGAACCTATGGGTCTCTGGGAATATCAGCATACTGCACGTTGCAGCCCTGCTTGGACACGTCAATTTGGTGGCATACTACCTCAAAGTATTCCCTGATCGCATCGACACGCGAGACGAAAGACAGCGCACACCACTATTCTTCGCCGTGCTCAGGGAGCATGCCGAAATGGTGGCGGACTTGCTACGGCGCGGCGCTGATCCTAACAGCAAAGACTTTGTCAGCCAAACACCACTTCACATTGCATGCGCAACGGATTGTCAATCTGTAGTCGTCAGTTTGCTGGAAAGAGGCGCCGACACCAACGCATACAGCATGGCTAAAGACTCTGTCTGGGGCAGCCTGGAAGCAGGAAGCTTACTCGACGATGACCGCACCCAAGGTGAGGATGACTCTCTTCGTAACAATAAAGCCCATACTACAGGAACCGCAATCCATTTCGCAGCAGAGTACAACCAGTACCAATACATCAATCTTTTGATCAAGTATGGATCTAAAGTCAGCGCTGTTGATGGTCGCGGTCAGACTGCCCTGCATCGAGTGGTAAGGATTGAGCCGCATCACACGGAGTCTACCAAAGCCCTTCTTGATGCGGGAATAGATATTCTGGCGAAAGACGACCGAGGACGAACGGCATTTCACATAGCCGCGACTTCATGTGACAACGATGATACTGATCACGACGACTCAATGGCACTTATGCTCGATGCCAAGTTCCCTGTTGATGAACCAACGTCTTCCAAAGAACTGTCCTTGGATGGAATCACCGCTCTGCAGATCGCGTGCGGAGCAGGTTTGCATGCATCTGTCAAGAATCTGTTAAAGCGTGGAGCCAACGCAAATCATCAAGACAAACAAGGTCGGACGCCACTCCATCATTTAGCTGGGCTGGTACAAGACATCAGCGGCATATTCGCCCCATCGATCGCTTCAACGCTGTTGAGAAGTATGAGCACTTCAGGCATACTTGCCACCGACTCAAAGCGACAAACTGCCCTTGACGTAGCACGGGCAACATGGGCAAAGTTCGAGACCGAATACAATGAGTCAGAAGGAGGAGATAAGCTTAGAAGAAAGTTTCGTCAGTCGTGGCTCGCAGGATCGCCAAGTCAGAAACAATCAGTTCACAGCGTGATCAAGAGTTATGTCGCTCTGATCACGTCGGTTCTGCCGGAGGCAGCTGAGGACAACCTCCCTTCGTTTATAGGAATCGCCAGCCCTTCGGAGGAAGATACACGATTCTGCGAACTTTTGCGCAAGCAAAGGCAGGAATATCGCGCGATGCAAGCGCAAGGACTTTAACGCTGATGGGGACCACATGGCCTATGCAACATCATGTCAAGCACACTCATATCTTTATGCAAATGAGATCAATACACAGAATATGTGATCAGATAGTTTGGTGATGGAGTCCATTGTAGCAATACCATTATCCAATCTAGATCATTGAGAAGCTTGTGTACGCTAACTCTTCGATCACAGATAGCTCACGCAAGTGCTCAAGGCGTTTTGCGTATACAAACTTTCACAGCGCAGCACCCGAAGGGTATGAATTCACAGCAGTCTTGATGAAGTATGATATTTCCATCTTGCGATTCAAGACATCATACCACAGTATCTAAATCCAAACTCATCTCAAAACCGTACAACAAGTGATCCACCACACTACCTCTAACCAGAGTCAATCGGAGTGTTGGACCCAACATTGACTAGCTACAGGCTTCCAAAAACCCACTGTCTCCCCTCCCATCGCCTCCTAATTCAACCCTAAGATCTAAGCACAAGTCCCCACCGCCCTCGCACTATGAATCAACAACCCCGGCCCGAAAGTTCCACACCTCCCCGTAGCATCATAGTTGATGAAATTCACACTCGTGCAATCAAAGTCCGAGTACACCAGCACTGTCCCCGTTTAATCAGCGTCTATAATCCCCATTTCAATCAATCAAACACTTACGAGTACAACCCTTGGGCAGCGTCTTCAGAATCGTGTCATCAATCAGCCCCGAATCAGTGTTTCCGCTGAGAATCGGCGCGATGCCGAAGCACGAGCCGTCGGCGGGCACGAAGGCGGTGGTGATGGGACGGCCTTGGTTGCAGCCGGTGCCGGTGTAGATGTTGAGGGGGATGGAGTCTACGCGCTTGGAGAGGGCGGCGGCGTTGATGCCAGTGGCGGCGAGGAGGATGGAGGTGAGGGTAGAGAAGTGCATGTTGATAGTTGAGGTGGGAAGAAGATGGAAGATGGAAGGTTGTTGTTTTGTTTGGAGAGATGGCAGGGGATGCTTGAGAATGGATAAGGTTTGAGATGGGGGATTGGCGGGGACTTTATACTTTGAGGACTTCTGCGGGAAGAGCTAGACTTTCAGTACATCTGTGTTGGTCTGGTGATGGATGTTGGGAAACTTGGTTGCTGACACGAAGGACGCACACTCACACGGACGTCTGGGTGGTGATGCTAGTATGGAATACCTTCCGCCTGGATCCTCAACGTCAGCGATACGAAAAGCTGACGCCTGATGGTGTTGGTGATGGCCCTAAGTGTGGGATATGGAAGCGTTTAGCCATGTCGTGCCGTAGTTTGAGGCTGGGCGCGCTTGTTCAATGCATTGCTGGTAATGAATGGCTTGATCACTGCTCTTCACCCAGTTCAGATTCTGTTCTCAGCATCAGTCCAGACTTGAGATACATGCAACCGAGACGATTGTTCTCCGCAGGAAAGGTATAGTACAACTCGTGTCCTCGTCCCAGACTGCACATCTGGCCATGCGGTGTGGTAGATACGTCCTGCCAGCCTCTCGCACACGCTAGGGAGCTCGTACAAGTTGGTGGTACAAGAACATTCATGCAATACTTCATCGACATATAGGCATAGTTCAGCGTATTAGAAGCCTTGATCCAACTTTTGTACTCCATAAGCATGTGTGTGCAAGGGCGTGGCCAAAAATATCATCGTCCTGGTGTCGATCGTAGAAGACGTGGAATTCCTTGGAACTTCCATATTACATGCAAGGCACAGATTTATCGAGCATATGTATGTACTGGCTATATACACATGCAGTGTCGCACAATGGTTCTGGTCCTGCATGAGAATATTCGGGGGAAGTTCCCAGTTGCATCCTCGACTATTCTGCTGTGTCTAATCGTGATGTCCATTTCCAATCAAATATCAGCTATCGATACAAACTGCGTGATTAGTTGGCGATGCTGATGTGAGGGCGGGAAGAGTAAAAGTGGCGTCCTTTAGTGGGCGCATTCAGACTGCCCAGTTCTCTCCCGAACAACCACAAAGCCAGCTAATCGTCGTGCGCAGATGGTGAAGGTACATTAGTCTTGCTCAAATCCGAGGTACAGGGTTCTCTCGCATCTTGCATGGTATCGGGAAACCCTTGTGTGTCGTGTAGTTGAAGGATTGCAAGGCAGGGTTGTCGGTGTTCGTATCCCGGTCCAAACGTAGTTCGCCAACCTTCCAGATGCTGCAGGCTCGACGTCCCGTGCCGCTGACTGGGCCGTCCATGCAGCTTTAGAGCCAGCGGAAGCGGCAAGCTTCCATAGGTGCATACGTTTGTGGTGTTGGTGTGAGTAAGCTGAGCTTGGCGGTCTTTTCCGGTGAATCACTGTTGACCAGGTATCAGCAGCAACTTCGTCCGAACACGCTTTTACATTGTGTTTTATGAGGTCACCTTCGTAGTGTCACCATCCTCCAGAGGTGTACTCAGCAAAACAGAGCAGCGCTTTCTGGTGTCACCTGGAGTTTGGGTAGAGTGACATGCAGGTTCTGGAGTCCTGAAAACCCTAGCGCAATGCGGCCATGTGGACCCTAGTATTCAGCGTTGTGCACGCGGCTCAGTGGCAGGCGGATTACCTCCCTCAACATCATATTTTCCAGGCTAAATGTACCATACGGTGATTGGCTGGATGGACCCGGCATGCCGACCTGAAGCCTAATTTCGTAGTCATGCAGTTGCTCATTATGTTGAGATGTTTTCACGCGTCGACCTGAGTCTGCACAGTCCATATACGGAGCAGGCCGCTCACTGCTAGGCTGTGTTGTACACGATTTGAAGGATCCTGGCCGACGTCCTCCGTGATGGTGGGCTGACTGCGAGATGGCGAGGTACGAGCTACGAGTTAGCGTGCATGCATGTGCGTAAGCAGTCGAAGAGAAGAAGGTAGGTCGCGTAGCTTGTCATCGTAGGAAAGGAAAGCAAGACCGCGTGCCAACGCTCGGACTGTAAACATGTATCGAACAGGTCGAAAGGGACCCATGATGTCATTTTTCGAGCGCGGTGCTCAGTACTAAGAAATTGAAATAGAAAGTTGGACGAAAGCAAGGGTATCATGTACAAAAGCATAGGATATCGCAAGGGGGCCACAGCCATCGCGAAAGACGCGCGAAATGGAAAGGAGCCAGTCCTCGCCAAGCCGATAATGAATAGAATTGGGAAGACCCAGGGGTCTAGATCTCGCCCATGATCTTTGTCTGCGCAAGTTTGTGCATGCGCTGATACCCGGACGGGTTTTTTTCCGTGACTCGCACTTCCAGGCCATACTCCTCGATGCAGGCATCGAACGACTTGTTTTGGAGCCTGTTATCGCCAGGAGGTAATGGCATGTCACTTCCTCGATCTCTCAGCTCTGTCTTCAGTTCGAGTAGATTACCCCAAAGGATGAAAAGCTTCTCTTCGAGCTTGTTGCGTAGCTGCTTGTTACTTTTGAGGCTGGAGAAATGTTAGCTGATTGATTGTAACCATTTCGGGAAAGAGACGCACTCTTGGGCGTTCATATTTAGCAGGTACTGGGCAGAATCATTCCCCACAACAACGCGCAGCTTTTCTGAGACCGTGTTCGGGGGTATCTTGGCGTCCTCGAGAAGCAAGACGAAACCCCATTCCCACTTGCTCCTGCTACTGGGGTCTTGATTTCTGGCTCGCTTGTCCCAGGCAGGGTTGCTTGTGCAATGCGCGAACATCTCAAGCTCTGGCGGGAAGAAATCGACAACTCGTACGCGACTTCGATGTCTACTGTTAAGGAATGGGAATTCGAAGTCATTGTATTTGGGCGTCTGCGAGTGGAGATGAGGGTTGTGAATGATTTCGGATATTGTCGAGAGCTGCGCTTCTGGAAAGGCAGCTCGGACTGTATCAATCAGTGTGAGTTCAAAAGAACGACCAAGGTACTGACTATTCACATTGACGCCGCTGCGTTGCGCCTCCCATTCTTCGGCCTTTTCTGCCAATTCCTTCTGCTCTTGTTCCTTCTGTTGACGCTGCTTAGCTCTCTTCGCCGCTTTCTTGTTGATAGGTGCTTTGCCTGAAGGGTTCGTAGGCTCATTCTGTAGTTGTTCAAAAGCCGTTTTCTTTGTACGGGTCTTCTCATATGCGTCCCTGCGTTGCTTGATCTCTGCAATGTCTAATGGGCTGATAAGCTTGCGTATGTCAACCTGTTCTGGGCGTATCCTGTCCTCATGCAGCGCACCCTCCAATTTGTTGGCCGGCGACATTTTCGTCCGCAGGTTTTTGAGGAAAACATAGTCGCCAACTGCCAAGTGCTCACGCGCAAAGACCGCATTATTACCGTACAAAATGACGTTGAGAGTATATTGTCCGTACGGCCCTTTCCAATCCTGCTTTTGAAAACGGTAGTCTTCGTCATCAGGATCTACGTATAGATAGAGATCCTTGTTCTCGGTGTAGTCTGTCACTTTCAATTCCACAGTCTCAGAGTTGGTGTAGTAAATGTTGACAACCTGCGCCCGGACGTCCTTGAACTTGCCAAATTCTAGATCTTTCACGAGTGATAGCCTGTCTTCGGCAGTGGGTTTGAGAGTGCTCTTCACTGCGAATTGCTTGACTTGCTGTGCAGATCCTGAGGCCTGATGTTTCAGCTGTATGACGGTCATCTGCTCGTGCGGGGAGGGGCTTTTAGCGCCAAAGGTCCCAGAATCTGAATATGGCAGACTCAACGTGCCGGCCTGGTATGGCTGGCTAAGCTCCAGTCTGGGTATGGTGGCAGACGGGAAGATGAAGTATGAAGAGGCTTGTCTATTCCAGACTGCATCGACATGGCCGTTCCATGAGTTCAACTTGAAGCCGCGTAGAAGCGCAACGTCGCCGGTGCCCGTGATTTTTGGTAGTTTTTCGACTGTTGGTCTGAAGATGCGGATGGTGATGCTGGACTGGGCCTCCCATGACGTCTGAGCCGAAATCATCTTGTATAGTGAACTCTCGAACCCAGTCGGTGCCTCTTGATCTGCGTGCTTCTTTCATGCTGACTATGACCCCCAGCAGGCTGACAACGGCGCCAGGCTCCGTCGCAGCACTGATGGCCGTGATGCCGTTGGGCATCGTGACGGCCCGAAGCGGCTAGCGTGGTCTGGAGCTATGAAATGGTGCAGCCCGTGAGAGTAGGCTGGCGAGCTGCCGATTACCTAGAAAGCTGGAATTGACTCCTTGCCGTGTGATCACGACTGGTTATTCAGGGAGTATAACAAAAGACAAGCTGCTGACCGACGTGGTTGCGTGTTGCTTGGTTGCTCAGGTCGACGCGTGCGGCAGCGAGCTAAGAGAAACTAGCGCCAGACGCCTTGCCGCTTCCCTCCCTGCACCCCACGACCTAGAAAGATAAATCCCCTCTGTGCAAACAAACACCGCTGCACCTCCTCATCTGACTCTCTCCACCCGCCTGTCAACCAGAGTCGCCGCAAGCATGGCTGACAAGTACATCCCCGAGCATCGCCGCACCGCCTTCAAGGCCAAGAGCGCCTTTAAGCCGGACGAACTCCGCCGCCGCCGCGAGGAGCAGCAAGTCGAGATCCGCCGGGCAAAGCGAGAGGAAAACCTCGCAAAGCGCCGCGGTATCTCTGGTAGAGACCAGCCGGGCGCCTCGCTCGGAGCCGCGCCCGACAGCGACGATGAGGGCGGAAACATCGAGAGCCAGGTTCGCATACCCCACCATCTCGTGCCCCGTGCATGGCATTTGTTTGAGCGCCTCCAGGCTGACACGGCGTGCTAGTTGAACGAAGAGCTCCTCCCAGATGGTCAAGGGCGTCTTTTCCGAGCAGATTGATGAGCAGATCCAGGCGACGACAAAATTCCGCAAGCTCCTGTCCAAGGAGCGCAACCCGCCCATTGAGCGCGTTATCGAGACGGGCGTCGTGAGCCGGTTTGTCGAGTTCCTCCGCTCCCCGCACACGCTCGTGCAGTTTGAGGCCGCATGGGCGCTCACCAACATTGCCTCGGGCTCCGCACAACAGACACAGGTCGTCATCGAGGCCGGTGCCGTCCCTATTTTCGTCGAGTTGCTCAGCAGCCACGAGCCAGATGTCCGGGAGCAGGCCGTGTGGGCCCTGGGTAACATTGCCGGTGACAGCCCCGCATGTCGCGACTTCGTGCTGCAAGCTGGCGCACTCCGCCCGCTGCTGGCTCTCTTGGGCGACAGCCGCAAGCTGAGCATGCTCCGAAATGCCACTTGGACCCTGAGCAACTTCTGCCGTGGCAAGACCCCGCAGCCCGACTGGCAAACTGTACGTACCCAAGTCCCTCTGACGGCTTGACAGCTGCTAACATCTTGCCAGATCCAACCCGCCCTCCCCGTCCTTGCTAAGCTCGTATACTCCCTCGACGACGAGGTGCTCATCGACGCCTGCTGGGCCATCTCCTACCTCTCGGATGGCTCCAACGACAAGATCCAGGCCGTTATCGAGGCCGGCATTCCCCGCCGTCTCGTGGAGCTGCTGATGCACGCCTCCACATCCGTCCAGACTCCTGCCCTTCGATCCGTCGGCAACATTGTCACCGGTGACGATGTCCAGACCCAGGTCATCATCAACTGCGGATCGCTCCCCGCTCTGCTTTCGCTGCTGAGCTCCACTAAGGATGGTATCCGCAAGGAGGCGTGCTGGACCATCTCCAACGTGACTGCTGGCAACTCCACACAGATCCAGGCCGTCATCGACGCCAACATTATCCCGCCCCTGATCCACCTTCTCCAGAACGGCGACTTCAAGACTAGGAAAGAGGCCTGCTGGGCCATCTCAAACGCCACATCAGGTGGTCTCCAGAAGCCTGCTCAGATCCGCTACCTTGTACAGAGCGGCTGCATCAAGCCCCTTTGCGACCTGCTGGTCTGCCCCGACAACAAGATTATCCAGGTTGCTCTTGACGGTCTTGAGAACATTCTCAAGGTCGGTGATATGGACAAGGAGGCTGGTCAGGACGGAGCTGGCGGCGAGCCCATCAACCGCTACGCTCTGTTCATCGAGGAGGTTGGCGGCATGGAGAAGATCCACGAGTGCCAGAACAACGCCAACGAGGAGATCTACATGAAGGCATACAACATCATCGAGAAGTACTTCTCCGACGAGGAGGGTGATGCCGAGAACATGGGCGAGACCGGACCTCAGGTCAACCAGGAAGGTCACTTCGGCTTCGGCGCAGGCAACACCCAGCAACAGCAACAGAACTTCAACTTTGCCAACGGTGGAGACTCGATGGATATGTAAAAATCTTGCGCCAAAAAAAAAGTCCTTCCCCGCCGATTCCTCGTTGCAATGCTGCAACGGCCCCCTCCCCGCGACACAGACGCATCCGCCAAGCCTCCTGATCCGAGGAGGCAGTGTTCATTGTTTGGCTCGACATCGATTTCTGGACATACTTCCCCCATCCTGCGCAGCAAGACCCAAGCTTTCCTTCGCAATACCCCCATCAATTCCCCTTGGCTACTTTGTTTCGGCCGCCCCATTTCCACGACTCTACGCAGCATGAAAGATACACCGTCTTGTAATCCCCCAATGTTATTAACCGCATCATATCCCTGGCGTTGAGTGGTTGGCCTACTGCTTTGTGTTCTCTTTGAACAGCGGAAGTGTAGGACTGGGTCAGGTTGGGCAGGCAGTCTGCTCTGGGCGGATTAGGAGCTCAAACAGCTGGGTGCACGAGCGTCAAGAACGCGCCAAACAAACCATCTGTATCAGCCATGCCATATAGCTGAATGTATAGCCGTGCAATCGGCACATTAGAACATGCACCTGCTTATCCAATTGCTGTGACCATGATGGTGCTTCGTCAGACCAGCCATGGCGCTAGTCATGCGCGAACGTCATCCCCGAACCACCCCGCGCGACCCTGGACCATGGCGTGGGGGTATCCAATGCTTTTGTCTCCAATTTGACCACGACTTGTGCATGTAGATTGAGTCGTACCCAGCAGCGCCAAGTTGTGTTTGTTTGCTTGTTCACCTTCAAAGACATGTCTGCATTTCAGTGACACCCGTCATCATGTCTTGGACCGATGGCGCAATCCTCGCAATCACACCGCCGCCCTGACTGCAGCCAACGCACTTCTACCGTTGCCATCTTCCATAGCACCGCCTACCCGACTCTCGAATCTGCTTCCATTGCACATATAACTTGGCACGGGCGAAACCGTTGAAGAGCTTGCATAGCTTGCATATCACCAAAATGTGCAGGTTCATGGTATGCCATGCCTCGGAGCCGCACTTTACTTCGTGCTCCAGAACTAACAACCACAGGTATACAAAGGCAAGGATGAAATACTCCTTTCCGAATTGATCTTGAATCCCTCGCACTCTATTCTCACACAGTCCTTCGACTCGCGCCTCCGTCTCGTAAGCTCCAACCCACACCCCACACGCGCACGCGACTCACCAGTTACAGGACCGCCGCCGCCCACACAACGGCGATGGCTTCGGAATCGGATACTACACCTCGCCCTCCCTCGGCCCCGAGCCCTGCGTCTTCACCTCCACGATTCCAGCATGGAACTGCATCAACCTATCCCGCATCGCGTCGAAAACCACCTCATCCCTCATCTTCGCACACGTGCGCGCCACGACAGAAGGCAATCTGTCCGACTCCAACTGCCACCCGTTCTCGTTCAAGAGCCTGATGTTCATGCACAATGGCGGCATCGGCTGTTTCCGGCAGATCAAGCGGCGGCTCGCCATGAGTCTGAACGAGCAATGGTTCACGCTCGTCCAGGGCTCGACAGACAGCGAATGGGCGTTCGCTACCTTTCTCGATTGTCTGGACAAAGCGGGTATCTCCCCCAATTCCGAACCGGGAAAGGGCGGGTTCGGACATACTGTGTTGCGCAAGGCGATTCTCAAGACGATTGAGCGGATCAATGGGTTCATCAAGGAGGTGGTAGGGGATGAGGGCATGGGCAATGAGGACAGTCGGAGTCTGCTGAATTTTGCGGTTACCGATGGGGAGAGCGTGGTGTGCACGCGGTATGTCAGTTCGAAGACGGATGAGGCGGCGAGTTTGTTTTTCAGTAGTGGGACGAGTTGGAAGGAGTTGAGGTCAGACACGGCGTCGCAGTCGGGCAAGCAGAGTGAAGACGCGGATAGGGGTTACGTCATGGAGAGACGGGATAAGGGGTCCGATATCGTCCTTGTGGCTTCGGAGCCGTTGACGTTCGAGAGAGGTATGTTGCGGTGTCCATTCTTTTCACCCTTCATCACTAACTTCATGTCTTCAGACAATTGGGTCACCGTACCCACCAACAGCACTCTCACCATCTCTAAGCAAACCGTCATGATACACCCCATTGTAGATGAATTCTATAGCCCCAACCCCGCGCACGAACGCTCAGCGGGCTTCGCCCAAGCCAAAGGCCAGACGGTCACGGGGCCGGATAAAAGGGTTTTGACTGGAAAGGACGATGTGGCAGGAAGTGAGGATGAGGGCCCAATCAGGGCGGCAGACGCGGTGGACGGGGCGATTCGAAGATTGAGAGTCGAGTAGCCATATGTTGAAGAGAATGAGCACATATGATGAACAAACACGATCGAAATCCGACACGTCAATGAGACCAAATGCCACTTCTCACCGCCTTTACGATATATAACCCCTCTTATGTTCAGTTCCTCACCTGCTTCCTCACAGCACAAATCATCTTCTGTCTCGAACCCAAAACCCTCGACGATTTTAACCTATGTGAAGGTTTCTGTGCTCCGCGAAAAAGACGAGGGCCTTGGTTGTGTGACTTTTCGCCGCTTTTGCGGTATATGACCTCTCATACTTCTTTTGTTCACTCCCTTGCTCGCAATCTAAATCACTATCTGTCTTGACTCCAAAAACCACTGTGCAAAGAGACGATGTGAGATTTCCTACGCCTCTCAAAAGATCCGAGACGGTCTGCATGCATGTCTTTCTGGCTAGCAGTTTCCAACACACTTCCTATATCAAATGCTATCAAAGTACATACGACGCGTCGATATCTTCCTCCAGGCCTCCCGAGGCACCGTTGGAATCATTTTTGTAATGTGGCGAAGTCAAATCGCCGCGCTGCTCGCGAAATGCGGAGCTTCCTGGCGGCAGTGAAACCACCGGGGCTATCAAAAGAAACTTAACAGCACGCTGATGTTGGGACGAGCAATTGGTAAAGGCAATAAAGCCTAGGTCTATCCTCTTTTCTTGTGCTTGCAAGCTCACTCACCGCCTTCACGATATATAAACCCTTCCACATTCCCTTCTCTGTGCTTTCTCACAACACAAATCTTTTCCTGCTTTATAACAAAAGCCTATGACTCCGTTGCGATGTGAGGTTTCCTGTCTTTCTCAAGAAACGAACAGGGTCTTGGGCATGTTCTGCTGTGCTGCAATGCTTCAAAACAAATCGTTCTCCGATGTCCAAAAAATCAAGATGTCGAGTGGATATTCTCTGCGAGAGGCCGTGGAAAGGCTTACACACAGACATCATGGATTTATCCTGTCCAAAACGCAACTACAATTACGCCTACGTTTTCCCCCCTTCTGGCTCAATATCAAGGTCGGCTTCTAAAAAAGACCGAGGACATGTTCATGTTCGACTGAGAGATTGCGGCGCATACAAAAATACAAAATAGCAACGAACTATGTCTGAAGAATCTTGCACTGTCCTAGGGATCAGGCTATATAAAAATAACTTCCTGTCCCTTGCCAGCTGTATTTCATAAATGCACTCGTTAAGTTGTGGACTTTACAAAAACCCACTGCTTTCGATACTATGAGTCGGAGAGTTGTTGTGCGGTCTAAAACAATCAGTACCCCTATGCTGATGTCTTGTTCCTGGGATCTTGTCGAAAAGTTCGGAAACTTGTCAACGATGTGCGTCCTTCCTGGAATCTGCGTATTACAAACCTTTTCCCAAGGAGCGTGGCGCGAGACACATGCTTACCTGCTCGTTTGGAATCGATAGGTGTACTGGTTCATGGCTGAGGTTTTGTCTCCATCAAGCTTGCCCGAATGGGCTCCCGTTTTGGTTTGTTGCTAGACGCTTGACAGTCACAAGTCATGTGCGGTTTGGAAAGACTAGTATGATCAGTTGGTATATAACTATTTGGGAGCGGCTTGAAAGTTTGGCTGTTTCGATCAGTATAAATATCCCCGCTTACACTCGGCCACTTCTGTTTCTTTAATCATCTTCCATATACCTTAATCTTCAAAAGCCAGAAACCGAAATAAGAATGTGCGCTTCTTTTCGTCGGCCAGGAAATACGAACTAAAAAGCACAGCTACAGCTCCGCACGTTTCCAGCCACCAATCGATCATCTTCTCCCCAAACAAGGTTTCGCACCAAAAGCAAAATTCTGCGCAATGCAAGGTCTCTCGATTACTCCCTGAGCGATACAGTGTAATGAGAGCAGCTGAAAACGTTGCTCTTCTCGAGCAGTATAAATCTCCTCCTCCACTGCTTGTCACTCTCCTTCCCCACTCAATTTCTCACTCCTTTGATCTCCAAAGAAATAGATTCGAGCACCATATATGTGCTTCTTCTGGAAAGCCCGAAAACAAGATTTAAAACGTACCTGACAGAGCTCCATGTTTCGAACGGCCACCTGAGAGAAGAGTCTCCATATGCTTCTTCCGAGAAACCATAGACCGAACCAAAAAGCACGACAAAAGCCCCTCATGTTTCGAGTGGCCAATTCATCGCACCTCGCCTGGTACATGCATCTGCGCAGACTCAAGTCCTTTGGTCATTCCTCAATGTCCGACTAAAATCTATCTCAGACAATTGTCATGATGCTTTCTGCCAGCTTTGATCAAATATGGACCTGGGACAGACATGTTCTTTCGCTGTGTTCGCGATCGTGCTGTTTGCGCACACCACCAGTACTTCCCTGGTGCCAGAAACGCAACCACTACTGCGGCATGGCAGTCTGTGTGCTTGTGTGAAGATGGGTATATAAATCTGCTTTTTCCTGAGCTTGTTTACTCTTCAATATACAGGCTTTTGGGGCGCTACAAAAAAAAAAGACACTGTTGATCTCCTAATGTTGTATCTCTGCTCCGCCTCGAAAAAGAACAATGAACCAGCTTCGCATGCTTTTCGTTCTGCCAAACCCACTTTCCAAAAACCAATCTGCCGCTTCTATACGAGACCGCGATCTTTTCCCTGTCCAAATTTGCCGTGGTAGCGGCCCATGTCTCGCCTTTCTGGAAACACAAAAACGAACCCAAATTACATGCATGTTTGATAGACTCGGCTGCTCCACTTGCATGACCCAAAATCAGATTCTCCAATCCGATGGCTTCCAACCCCTCCACTCCTCGTGCCGTTGATTTAAATATCTCTCATGATCTCATACACTTTCTTTTCTTCAACACACATTACGAACAGTCTTTTACCAAAAGACCACACAGGATCCATGATGAACTGAGCAGCTCCTGCGTCTTCAATCACTCAAAAGAGCCCGCCTCGACCTACATGACCCTGCGGTTTCTTCTCTACACAACTGCCATCACATCACCTAAGAAGACAATGACAAGGCGCAATGCACAAAAATGAACATCCAGTCGGAGCTATGTGCTGTGTTCCTTGCAAAAGCGTGTGCAGCTCGCCCACGGGGAGAACTTTGTGTGGAGTATAAAACATATCAAAACGAAAGGGACTTGCAATCGATGGTGTCTGCTCCCTTTTGATCTCCGTGGGTTTTGGAAACTGTCGAAATTGTGGCATATCCCTTGTGATGTGGAAAGCATGCCTCGTTCATTTAAAAAAAAAAAAATTACCACACAAGAAGCTGCATGTGCGTGTTGCTGGGTCAGTCATCTGCTATGTCGCATGCGATCAGCTCCAAATGACCAGAGCTAAATGTCAGTCTTGAAGTAGTACACACAGCCAACACAAATGTTGAAGTAACGAGCAGAAAAATGCTTTTTGACCAAACTATCCCCACGTCATGAAAACGCCGTGTGATGCAAATCATCACTATCGCACTACTCCTCATCATTCTCCTTCTCCCTCGCCTCCCTCCACTGCTGCTCCAGCGCCTTCACACGCTCAACCCCCTTCCTATTCCCCTTGCTCTCTTCCCACTCGGCCCACTTCTTGAAAACGCCCATCGCCCTCTTCTTCTTGCCCACCTTACTCATCCGCTCAAACAGGTCCCTAACATTCTCCTCGGTGCCGTGGCTCAATTCCAGGCTGAGGTACACGTCCCAAACATCGCCCTTGTTGGGCCATGTAGAGACGAGGCCTTCGAAGATGGTGCGGCCGCGCTCGGCGTCGCCGTTGGCGGATTTGAATTCCAGCGCGGCGAATTTTTGGGTCAGGTGCCGGTGTTGGGTGGATGGGACGGATTGCGTGGCGCGTTGGAGGAGGGCGCGGGCGCGGGTGGGTGAGGGGGGCGAGAGGACGTCCATGAGGAATGTGGCGTAGCCGAGCCAGAAGTTGGGGTCGGGGGTGAAGGATTTGTTCTTCATCATTGACTGGTAGAGATTGTCTGCTTTCTATTGGGTTGTTAGTGTTGAGCTCAATATTGATGCTAATAAGTGAACTTACCTCGAACTTGCTTGCCGAGATGTAGATCTTGATCATACGCTCGTGAATCTCGCGCGAGTCGTTGTGCTGGCAAGCTTCTTTGAATGTGGCTTCTATCGCATCATCACTGACGAAATCATTCTCGAGATGCAGCAGCGCGGTCCAAACATCGAGCTTCTCTTTCTCCTCACGAGGGTTGATGGTCGACAGTGCACGACGAGCAATCTGGCGGGCCTTCTCGATCTCGTTCAGCTCACGCTGGAAGATCATGTAGCGCACCCACATCTCAGCGCTGTTGGGCTGTCCGAGGAGAAGTCGCTCGAAGTCGGCTACAGACTGAGGTCCGAATGCATCAAGGTCGCCTGTGCGGTCTTCCTTGATGGTCGCTTTCTTGCTCTTGCGCTTCTTCTTGGTCGCTGCACCGTCCGAGTCAGAATCATGCCCACGTTCAACCTGATCGAAATCCAGAGTCGCGCCTGTCCAGTCGAAGCCGGATGTGCTAAGGCCAGGTACTGCGGCTTTGGTGGCGTTGGTTTCTGACTCGGCCTCCGACTCCACTTCATCTGCGCCATCCTCGTCGCTTTCGGCACTCTTCACACTCCTCATGTCGACGTCTTCGTCGTCAAGTTCAATGCCGCCGTCATCTGAATCTACATCATCCGCCATGTCAACGTCAACATCCGAATCATCCTCCATATCCTCATCTTCCTCTTCTGAGCCCTTGACCTGCGAGTACTTCAAGCTGAAGTTGATCCTCCTTGCTGTTGGGTTGACGCTGACGACTTTCGCCTTGACGATGTCACCTTCTTTGTACATGTCCTTGATCTTGTCTTTGGCGACTGGTTTATCGGCCAGTTTCGAAACATGGCACAGTCCACTGACGTTGTTTGAGTTGTCAACTACCAAGAAGACGCCGAACTCTGCGACCTTTCGCACCTTGGCAGTCACGATCTGACCAGCCTTCATGTCACCGAACTCTAAGATCTCGACATAGTTGCCTTGGATGGTAGAGGTCTTCAACGTCATTTGCGCATTGCGCTGATCTTCCTTGTTCGAGATGATCTTTCCGGTGACAAGCTGGTCAACGTGAAAGGCCGATTTCCAGTCCTTGATATAGGAATCTGACAGGTTTGACACACGAACATATGTCTCCACGTGTGGGCCCAGGCGAACATAAACGCCGTTATCTGCGATCTTCTTGATGAAGCCACGTACAACCTGATGAACCTTGAGCTGCGCCTTGTCCTCAATTATGGGATCCTTGACAGGCAGAGTGGAGCTCAGAACCTTCGATGGCCTGGCAGAGAGACCAAGCTTCTTGTTTGGAATATCCACTTCGATGACGCAGACTCTGAGGACGTCGCCCTGTTTGTACTCCGACGGTTTGGCTTTGTCGTAATCATCAGCAAGACGCTCCAGGAAGATTGGCGCGGCAATGTTCTCGTTGACTTGAACAACAATCGACGCGTCATGGATCTTGGTGACGCGAGCAGGCAGCACGTAGCCTACTTTGAGGTCGGCCAGGGAGAGTGTCTTTCCAGTTACGGTTGATGCAGCAGTCAAATCCAGGCGCCCAGCGGCAATGTCCACTGCCTTGACGCGAACCTTGAGAGCAGATCCCACCGGGAAGTTCTCTTCGACAGCGGATAGTTGCTCGAGATCATCTGTAAGATCAAGGAAATCAACACGCCCGCGGACATTGGCAGACAAATTGACCCACACGTAGCGGTCAGCAATGTTATTCACAAAGGCCACATAAGACGACCCCTCCGTGACTTTGTCGAGTGACAGGACATCGCCCTCGGATTTAAGCTTCTCATTCTTTGCTGTGAGGTCGAATGTTGGGGTCTTGTTGCTCGAACGATGGGTGATTGGGAGGAAGCGATGGTTGCGAGCGTCGTGTCGGCCCAATACCTTCGCCTTGATGGTCTGGTTCATTTGGAAATGTGCTGTAGGGCGTTTCTTATCCGGGATATCGTCCCAAGAGTCAAACAGCTCGGAAACAGATATGCGACCCTGAACATTCTCAGCCAGCTCGACATTGATCTGCGTGCTTTTGATTGAACGAATGCGAACTTTGAGCTCAGTGCCAAAGTTGATTTCGTCGGTGTTCGTGATTTTCGAGTCGACAGGTGCTGTCATGGCTGTGCCGGTGGGTGCTGTTGGCGTTGGTGCAGCGGATTCATTTGTCTCGGGCTCGAGCTTCATTGAGAGCCAGAACATACCATTGGTAGGATCAACGTACGTGATCCGACAGGTCATAGACTGGTCCTTGCGCAGGCCGAAATTGGGTGCAGTGAGTATCTCTTCCGTCATCTGCGACTTGAAGACGGCGCCACTAACGCCGTTCCCAAATTCTACAAAGACCTTGTCCGGTAGTATACCACGCACAAAACCATGCACAATCTCGCCAGATGTTAATTCTTCGACATTGGTAATGAGTTTGGAGGCTTGGGCATCTTTGCGCAGACTGGGCTTGTTGGATACAGTGACGACCTTCGATCTCAAAAGCTTGTTGAGAACCACAAGATCCTCGAGAGTTCCACCGACGCGAATTTTCTTCATGGTGGAAATGTCCTTCTTTTCTGAACCATCAGTCAAATGTCCAATTCGCAGTACGCCCTTGACACCGTGACCAAGATCAAGTGTAGCTACATCGTCGGATTTTTCGAGAACGGTTCCCTTTGTAACATTGCCAGGGTTAAGGGCATTGAAAGCAGCCTCCTTGTTGGGATCTACCGCAGCTGGATCTTTGCATGACACAAGCATTTGGCGGTCTTTGGCGTTGACCGAAATGACACGCACGTTGACCACCTGTCCTTTCGTAAAGTGTCTTGTAGCGTCGTCCATGAAAGCTTCGCTCATCTCAGCTACTGGCAGCCACGCTGTAACATCGCCGTAAAAGCGGACCTTGGCGCCATTCTTTAGCACATTGACGAGTATACCGGGACCCTTTGAGCCTTCCGAAATCATCGAGTAGTCCGTCCATGGCTTCACGTCAGAATTGACCAAAGACTTCTTCAGGGTAAGCTGAATCTGGTGCCGTGCGGGCTCAGTATACAGCACGCGGGCTGTCACCGCAACTCCCTCTCGAAACTTGCGCTCAGGATGTTGTAGTTTGACATCAGCCAGGTGCATCTCAGTTACAAGACCAGTGATGCCGTCAGAAAGATGTACCAGGACTGCACTCGCGCCCTTCTTGTCGGCAATAAGCTTGTGGACCTTGCCTTTGACCACCTCTCCAGGTTTGATATCTTCAATGCGGAGGAAGGCTTGATCCAGGACCTTTTGCTCCAAAGACAGTTGGAACAATCCGTCGATGGAGTTGTAGCCAACAATTCGTGCTCGATGTGTTGAGCCGAGTTTGTACGCGCCGGCATCTTCAGACAACACGTCCACTCTGTCGTCAGACAACCGGGATATATGCGCAAAACCAAGCACGTCTCGGACACCAAGTTCGAAGAAAGCACCAAGAGCTGGCGCGACCTTCACAACCTTTGCGTTGTCGATGATGGTAGAAATGGGCATGAGGTCGAGTGCTGGCTTTCGCTCCTTTGGCTTTCCGGACATGCGGGTGGACAGTGCCACTACGTGGTCCAGTAGAGAAACACCAACTCTAGCAGGATCCGAGTCTGGGCAAGTGAACAGTATCCTGGCCTTAACCTTGGATCCGATCTTGTACTTTTGGGCCACGTCGCCACCCTTCTCCGTGGCTCCAGAATGGTAAGCGTCGGCAGTCGCGTCAGCAAGCCCGAGGATCTTTCCAGTCAACGTGCTGGCAGTGGTATCGGCAACAAGCACATCAACAGCGGTTCCCGGCAGGAACACATCGATGGTCGGGGCTTCTGTGAGGGTGTTGCCCTTGGCCAGGTTTCCTGCTTTGCTGTGGTCGGCCGAGAGCTTTACGATCCGACCATCCGAGTTCAGGCCCGTGACTAGACACATGAAGACTGCGCCTTCCTGTACCTTTGAATGTTGGATCTTTGGACCCAATTCGCCCTTGGGTAGGAAGCCCTTGATTTTTGAGTCGTCCAGTCCCAGGTCCATGACCAGACCATGGTCCTCGTTGCTTACAACAGACGCCTGTACCATGCTGTTGATAGGCATCTTTCGCTTGGACAGTCCCTTGTTTACCAGCTTCGGCTCGATTGAAAGCTCTAGCCTTTTCCTCGCCCTTGCGCTGTCGTCGGTGGTCGCGGTGACACAGGCGCGCATATATTGGCCAATTGTGAACATGTCTTCCAGGTGTACATCCTCGAAGCTCTCGTCCTCGTCTTCCGCAATATCTGCGCCATCTTCCTCCTCCTTCAAGAGCTTCTCGAGTCGCTCATTCAGCTTGTCCGAGACCGCCGTGAGGGGCACGTAGCCGACGAGGTTGTTCGGGAGGGCGAGTACGATGTCTTGGTGTGAAACGTCCGTCACTTGTCCGAGAATGATGGTACCTGGGGTAAGTTTCTTGTAGTTGAGACCCTCGACGCGCACGATTTTTTCGTCTTCGCCGTCATCCTGTCCCTTCTTGCTCTTTTTGGCGGGCCGCTTCTTCGCCTTTGGAGCAGCCGCCTCGCCGTCGTCGGAGCCCATATCGCTGAAGCCATCGTCGCCGCCGGTGCGCTTCACTCCCGACTGTTCGAAGAGGACGTCCTGGTTCGCCTTGATCTGAATTTGTTTGTGCTCGAGGGGTGTCAAGACACTTGCGCCACCCCGCGGGAAAGATTTCTCCTCATCCTTGAACACGCTCTTTGGCGCAGGAGCAATGTCAGGTTTCGACTTTGCAGGCGCAGGCTGTTCTGTCACATCGGATTTGCGTCGCTTCGCATGGCGGTCGGTCGATGCAGTCTTGTCCTTCTTGGACGGCGTGCTGCCCTGCTCGGCCTTTCGTTTTATGGCGCCCATGGTGACCTCTGGAACAGTTGTATCGAGATACTGGCGGAGAGTCGAATCTTTCTGGAGCCAAGACTTCAGAAAATAAAAGCGGGCCGGGAAGTTCCGCCCATTTAAGTGCTTAGCCGTAACGCGCTTTCCTCGACCGCGCCCGCGCGAATCTACGCGTGGCGGCCAGTGCGGCATCACCAACCTCGCCCAGCACCTTTATATGCTCATCATCCATTGCATGTTCTACTCATCCTATCCTCATTTGCGGCTCGCTTTGACCCTCTGTTCCCAGTCTTTTGTATACACTTTGAGCTAGCAAAGTCATGTCGTCCCCCTGTGCCACCCGCAGCACTGGCAGACTTCAAGAGCCCACGCCCGACATCTTTTCATCATCGCCGCCCGCCGCATCCACAGGTAGCCGCAAGCAAAGGCGCCCGCCCCCCATCACTCCAAAACGATTCAGGCGCTTCTTCACCCCGCGCAACACTCGAGAGGCATCTTCACGAGACGCGCCATCCCGATCCAGCCGCAAATTGCAAGACATCACGCGATCTGCCAACAACCAGACCAGTGCTGCACCAAGAACAACTCCTCGGAAGACCGTAAACTTCGCAGACGTAGAGAATGAAGTACGCACCCCGCAATCCGGTTCTCGCAAGCGGAAGACGGCCTACTTGTCACCCGAGACATCTCCTGCCCAGTCGTCGCCCTCGAAACGCTCGCGTTATGTCACTCCACCCCCGTTCGAGATCTTCGAGGAAGGTCCCATCCCCGTTGCATCGCCCATCTTCCCAGCCCCTGTGCGTCGGATACGAAGCTTAGGAGGTGCTTCCAGAACATTGCAACGGTCATTCGGTGGCATATTGAGTGTTGGAAGGGGCTTCAAACAGGACCACTGCACATCATGGCAGGACCAGACCGCCGACTTCTACAGTAATGCGGAAGACGTACATGAGCTTTCACAGCATGCGACTCCCTTCTGCACTGCTAGCTGCAACACCAACTCGTTGCTTGCCATTGGCGACGAGGACGGATACATTCACCTGCTGGATTCCGAGGGCGACTTCTCTGATGCTCACGTATCCTGGCGTGCCCACTCGAATGCAGTAATGGATCTGCAATTCTCGCCCGACGACAGCTACTTGGCTGCAGGCTCTGGTGATCAGACTGCTCAGATTATCGACGTTCGCACGCAACAGACACTCAGTGTCCTGGCCAGGCATAGGTCCTCGGTTAAGCAAGTGCGCTTCCAGCCCGGCGATGACAAAATTGTCGCAACCTCGAGTCGTGATGGCGCAGTACAGATATGGGACCTTCGATGCAAGGGCCAGGTATCGAGGCATTCGGCCTGGGGTGCAGATGCCCCGTACGCAGACGTCATCCACACATTGGCCTCAGCACACGCGGATAGCCGTAATGAAGCTTCCATCACCTCCTTGTCGTTCCTCCCTGAAGGCCGACAACATCTCCTCATGACTGCCTCTGATGCATCAACATGTGTCAAGCTATGGGATATTCGCGGTCGCTACACTTTGCGAGGACCTGCCGTGCCCATCTCCACCACCCGCCACACTGAAGCTCATTTGCACCACCGACACTTCGCCATCAGTTCACTTACCTTGAACGGCAACGCCTCTAGACTGTATGCGCTGTGCAAAGACAACACCATCTATGCCTACTCTACCAGCAACCTTATCCTGGGTGCCGCACCCGAGTTGGCACCAGACTCATTCTCCAAGCAAAAGTACTGCCGAGCCAACCAGGAAGGTTTGGGACCAATGTATGGTTTCCGTCACCCGAAGCTTCACGCGGGCTCGTTCTACGTCAAGGCTGCCCTGCGAAAAGCCCGTGATGACAAGCCAGAACTACTGGCTGTTGGAAGCACGGACGGCGGTCCCGTACTGTTCCCCACAGATGAGACCTTCCTGAAGCGCGAGTCAAGACATCCCGAGGACGACGCGGACTTGCCGAGTATCTCGTCGAAGCCATCTTTTCAAGGCTCGAACCACGGTCGCTCCATAGACAGCATTCCCATCTACGAGCAGGGCACGCCACTTGTCCGTGGGCACACTGCTGAAGTCACAAGCGTGTGCTGGGCTACCAATGGTAGCTTGGTCAGTGTGAGCGACGACTTGTGCGTTCGCCGCTGGCAGGAGGGTCGTGAAGCTCGCGAGCTGCGAATCGGCGGAGAGAGCGAGGGGAAGAGGTGGCAGTGTGGTTGGGCCGATGTCCACGAGGGCTATGATGACGACGAGTAGCTGAGTAGTTTTGACTGCTCTTATTCCTTCTTGATGTACCACGATATACCCCATTGCTTCTCTTGGATACGAAGAAAAGATGAAATGAAAAATTATTATTCCTGTATGATTACAATCACCCGATGCTGTTTACTCTCATTGTGTCATCATAATCTTATCCTTCGTGAATGTTTGTCGTCGCAGCATGGCCTGACTCCCTTAAACACCGCCGCGATCATCGAAGCAAAGGTAATAAAGCAGGCCGGAGCCTACGTTCCATCCCAGCGATCATCCCGCGACGCAATGAAGTAGCCGGAAGCTTACACATCCTCAACGCTTGAGCCAAGGCTTGCCCTTGAACAAGTCCGGCTTCTTGCCGTCCGTGACGATCTCCTTGGGGCTCTCCTTCTCCTTGAAGTTCTCCTTGACATTCTCCTCCCCATCCTCATCCTCACCCTCCTCACTGACCGTCTCCAACTTCTCCCTACCCTTCTTCTGTCCCAACCGATACTTCCGCTCATCAAACCTCCCCACACCCCCCTCAAAGCTCCCAAAACTTCCGCTCACAACCCTCCGCGTCCTAGTTTCCAAAGCTCCCTCCCGTGGTGCTCGGAAGACTGGTAAAGCTCGCCGCCGAAGCGACGGACTCGAAGCTGGCACTGGCGGGCTCTCGCCATCCCGAACCTGCGGCTGCGTACCTGTTAATGGATCAGCGTGCGGGACAGGGACAGAGCCGGACGTACCTGTCACGCCGACGGAGACGAGACGCTCGCCCATGCGCGGCAGGTTAGAGCGGCGCGGGAGGGGCTTGATAGGCCGGGCGTGTGCGCCGAGGGGGTCGATGCCGGCGCTGGAGAAGTGGAAGCGCGTGGCGGAGGGGTCACGGTCTGGGTAGGCTTCTGTAGGGGGAAGGATAGGGGCGGGAGGCATGGAGATGGGCTGTGGTATGTAAGTATGGTATATGTGAAATGAGGGAGGAAAAGGGGGGGGGCTTACATCAGGTGGAATCGGCTTCCCATCGGTCTTCTTCTCAAGCATCCAGTTCTTGATCTTCGCATCGGCTTCCTCGCCCATCTTGCGCTTCAGCCCGCCAGCAACGGTGGCCATGGCTTCGGCGTTCCACGTCTCCTCCTCGCGCATCTTGCGCTTGACTTGGTCGGTGAGATCGGCGTAGATGGTGCCGCCGTACGACTTCCACACTTCGACGCCCTCGCCGAAGACGGTTTGCTTGGGCCGGTCGGTGTCGTCGCGCATTTTGTTGAGGTAGTATTGGGCGGTTTGTTCGTCTTCTTCGTCTTCGGTGTCGGAGCCGCCGTCCTCGACTATTTCGAGGGGCGTGTTGAAGGGCGTGACAAGGTCATCGTCGGAGCCGCCGTTGAGCACGCGAATGGTGTTGAACAGGGAGAGTTTGCGGCGCTTGCCTGTGTTTGAGGGAGGATCCATGGCTGGTGGTCTGGTGCTGGATTGGTTGCGACCGAGTATGCGACTTGATGTTGAGCGGGCGTGGTAGAGTTGCTGGAGTAAGTGGCAGCTTGAGTTTATATTAGGTCAAGTTTATTGCATTGGGAGGCGGGGAGGGGAGTTTGATGGATTGAGCCAAGCTCAGGCAGCCGGGGTTTACTTGTGATAGGAAGCGCGGTCAGGAGCAAGTTTGACGCAATCAGTGCGTTCTGGCGACGCAATTCACAACGCCCAGGTCAGGACATACTCGGGTTAGTTGAAGTGAAAAGTACAGATGAAACTGGCTGGACGGGAGAATCAGAGACCCAACGTGCAGAACAGTCATAATGCCTGGATGCCATTCACTCACTCTGCTAAATCTAGTACCTGGCTTTGCAGAGATTAGGCTGACTGATGGCACTGCCGCCAGTGTGTGCACTTACGGAAGACATGGATGCGCCATTTTGCACATCGATGACCCTCCTAGGCATTGTCCTTCATCGATCGCAGTGCGCCCATGACATCAATTGGGTCTGTCTTTCCAGTGAGCTTCTGGAGCTCTGGATCATCGGTTCGCATGAAGACATTGTGTTTCTATGTCACTTTAGTCAGATATATTTTGAATGACATTAGCAAGTCAAACATACCTTTTCATCTCCAATTGTGAACTTTCCCTGTGTCTCCTTGTTGGCTTGTGAGTACTCATCCAATTTCTTGATTGCGTCGTTGTTCAACACCGTCTTGGCAAACTTGACGTTGCCCTTAGTGTACTCGTGACCTGGGAAGACTTTGGTATCATCTGGGAGCGCTCCCAGGGTCTTGAAAGCTGCATGCATTTCCTTTGGCGTACCCTCGAAAAAGCGGCCGCAGCCACCTATGAACATGGTATCGCCAGTAAACACAGCCCGGTCAGAGCCATCCTCGAAGAAGAAGCAGATGCTGTCTTGGGTATGGCAGGGTGTGTGTAGTGCGGTTACGTTGATGGACCCAACCTTGAACTTGGAGTTGTGGCTAGGTGTTTCCGCAACGAGGTTGCAGTCTGCTCCACCCATCACAGGCAAATTGAATGCTTTTTGCTAGACAAAAGGTCAGGTATCAATATACAGAGGTGGCACGAGGATCTTACTATTTCCTTGTTACCTCCGGCATGGTCGTGATGGCTTTGAATGTTGTTAGAGGAGGTCCATACTCACTGGCCAGCAGGCTTACTGATGCGTGTTGATGATCTTTGACAGCTTAAAGCCAGCACTGGTCTTTTTCTTGAGATGCTCAATCACCCTGAAGCATTTTGGTCAATGCTATTCGTAAACGCCTCGCGTCTAAACTCACTCTGGCGGGTTAGCTGGGTCGATGATGACAGCTTCTTTTGTCTTGTCGTCCGATACCAAATAGGCATAGTTGTTGCCTGAACCCTCCCCTAGTACGGTATTAGTACTTCCATAAACTTGCCATTGAGGTACTCTTACACATGGGAATCGATTGGATATGCATGGCTCGTGTGGCTATTGGCTGCTTGGCGTTAGCACTCGGGTGTCGTCTCGCCTACACGACCTTTACCTTAACAATTGGCCTTGTGAGTATTGTCGGTGAGTATCTCTTGATTGCAGCAGCGAATAAGCTCATAAGGAATATGGTGACGATGATTGAACGAGAAGACGTTGTTGATGTCATGGAGCTTCGTCATATGGGTCGGCGGGGAGGACGGGCCCGATCGGGATATTGTCGGCAGTTTCTCTGAAGACTGCCGATTTCGACGCGTCGCGACAGCTTTCCATCATGACACTCACAACCACATCACAGAATCCTCGATTTTCACACAAGGACATTGTGAGGACTATAGGGGTGGTTTTGATATATTGTATAGTTCTAAAGAGCTACCTAGAGCCAGGGCGGCCCTCCATAGGATGGGACCCCCGCACAGGCCATCCTTGGCAGTCATGTGACAGACATCGGCGTTGAGGCTATCCTATTCGATTCACTGCTATGCTAGTAAAACTATATACACACTGCGCGCCATCCTGGCAATGCAAGTAAAAGTTCCAACGCCAAACTCCTCCGTGCTGAACTTGTTCATGATGCTCATTTCACATTATTACGCCTCATCTCCTTCCATTACAATAATGACTTCAGGCGCTTCTGTAGCTCTGGCTCTCTGGAAGGACCATCGCTACGCAGACGACGGTCTTGCGGATCGTACAGAGGGTCAGGCGTCACCGTCGCCTTGATCTTCTTTCCGAAGTATTCGATCTCAACAGCTTCGCCTTCTCGGACGTTGCCCGGTAGCCAAGCGTATGCCACGGGCTTGCGCACTGTGTATCCAAATGCTGCGGTCGTAACATAACCAGCCGCCTTGCCGTTATAGAACACAGGCTCCTTGCCAAGACACATGGAGCGGCCATCATCGACCGTCAGGCATCGTAATCGACGGGCGGACGTCTTCCTCGACAGGGGCTCCAACGCGGCTTTCCCAGCAAAGTCCGCCTTTTTGTCCATTTGGATGGCATATGTCACGCCCGCCTCCCATGGATTGTGTTCCGAGGTCATATCCGACCCTGACGCTCGGATTCCCTTCTCTATGCGGAGACCGTTGAAAGCAGCACGACCAGCAGCGACTAATCCCTGTGGCTTGCCGGACTGCCACAAGAGATCCCATAGGCGTTGTCCGTACTCAGGTGTTGTCTGAATTTCCCAGCCATGTTCGCCGACGAAAGACTTTCGGAACATGGTGACTGGGATGCCAGCAAGACTAGTCTTCTTCACACCCATGTAGGGTAGGCTCTTGTTCGAAAAGTCTTCGGGGCTGATGGCGCGGATCACATCACGAGCCCTTGGACCCCACAGACCAAGGCAACAAGTACTTCCAGTAATATCCCGAACCTGTGCCCATTGTCCTGGTGTATGTTTGGTCTGTTTGCGAGCTTCGCGTGCGAGATAAGCTAAGTCAGTTGCGGTGTTTGCACCAACTTGGAACAGGTCGCCGTCGAGCCTTGAGATGAATATATCACTCAAGATTCCGCCGTGACTATTGAGGAGCAGTGTATGTGTGATGGAGCCTGCTTGCTTAGTGACATCGCTCGTGGCCAGGCGTTGTAGCAGGTGCACGGCACCAGGGCCGGCAACCTCAAATCTGTGGAAGGTTGTCATATCATACATCGCAACGGCGTTCCGTGTCTTCCAAGCCTCAGCTGCAGCAATCGGCGAGTAAAATTTCGATGACCAGGCGTCGCGATCCACGTGCTGCCACTCCGGCGGCAATGTCTTGACTAGGTCTGCATTCGACTCGTACCAGTGTGGTCGCTCCCAGCCGCCAACTTCGAGAAAGAATGCACCTTGTTCTCGCTGTCGAGCATGGAATGGACTGACGCGAAGGTTTCGGGGGTTCTCCTTCGGTGCAAGTGGGTGGATGATGTCGTAGATCTCGACGAAGTTCTGTTGGGATGTCTCGCTGACATATTCGGTGCTGAGCTGAACCTCTTCGAATCGTGTCAGTTCAAGTTCAGCGATATCGATTCTCGATCGTCCTTCGGTCAGCACTTCAGCAACAGCTCGCGCAACACCAGCTGAATGCGTTACCCATACAGCCTCAGCCACATAGAAGCCGTCCAGGTTTGGTGCCTGTCCAACTACGGATCCGCCATCTGGTGTGAAGGAGAAGACGCCGTTGAAGCCGTCAGCAATCTCTGTCTCCCGTAAGGCGGGAAGCAACTCCTTTGTGGCTTGCCAAGCGGGCTCAAAGTCTTCGGGGGTGAAGTCGAGACGGGATGGCATGTTCTTGTCATCTACCTCCTTGGGTGTGACGCCCAAAGATCCAGCATCAACGGGCATTGGGCGATGGCCATAGTAGCCAATACCAAATTGCTCTCCGTGTTCCCTGTAGTACAAGTCCTGGTCCTGGTGTCGCAGAATGGGCAGCTCGGCGTTCATAGCATTGATGTTCTTATTCACCTCCCTTCCAACCAGGCTAGGTACAGCTGTGGTCTTCACGTACTGGTGGCCCAGCGGAAGCAAAGGAACCTTCAAGTCAATCATTTTGCCGATCTCAACGCCCCAGAACCCGGCACAAGATACAACGATATCTGCCGGAATAGAGCCGTTGTTGGTCGTCACACCCGTGACATGGCCATCTGCTTGTTCGATGCCAGTGACAAGTGTGTGTTCTCGATAGCTCACACCGGCAATGCGTGTGCTTTCGATGAGGATTTGTGTGGCACGGGCTGCGAGCGCTAGGCCATCACTGGGAATGTGCAAACCTCCAAGTACCATATCCTTGTTCAACAAAGGATACTTCTGGAGACACTCCTCCGCGCTTATCAGATGTGCTTCGATGCCCCAGGATTGTGCGTATCCGTGCTTGCGCTTAAGCTCCTCGAGTCTTTCTGGGATTGTCGCGATCTCCAGGCCTCCCAATTGGTTGAAGCAATTCTGACCATCCTTGTAGAGCGACTGAAGCTTTTCGACCGTGTACTTTGCAAAGAGTGTCATCGTCTTGGAGGGGTTCGTTTGGAAAACTAAGCCAGGAGCGTGCGATGTTGAGCCTCCCGGGAGACTCAGCGGTCCTTGTTCAACGACAGTGATGTTTTTCCATCCTCGCGAGACGAGCTCGTCAGCAAGGTTGGTGCCGACGATGCCAGCGCCGATAATAACAACGCGTTGAGAGGTATCCATAGCGGCGAAATAATGGAATAACTATCTGGCCTCTAGGATGTGTAGGAGGGCGCCTCTTAAAGCCCTTATGCTCGCGATACCGGACTATCTCGCCACATCTTCCTGGAACTCCTGCCGCGGGTAAGCGAGGACTACAGCATCAAAAAGGCGAAAGCTTTCCGGTAAAAGGTGATTGACGACAGATTCGACAAGTAGACAACGCGCCCCGCATGCCATCTTTACGACATTGGTGGGGACGTATGATTCCAGGTCCTGTTTGCCAAATCGAGTTTAGGGTAATCTGATCGACGGGAATAGGCAAGCCTACATAAAGTGCATCAACCCCGCTTCGCGCGTGCGGACTACAACCACGCCTCTGTCCCTGCACTATCCTATTTCACTTCACAACAGAAAGTACTCGTATGCGGTTTGTGAATATACAAAACATCATTCAACCAAACAGTTGATCCTATCTCTGAAGCCCAGCGACATCATCCATCACGAAAAGTGAAAGTGAAACTTGGGAATGATTCGAACACGAATGCGACAACTTGACAGACACTCCTATCGCGACAAAACTGACGAATCTGTCGTATCGAATAGTATGACAAGGACTTCTCGAGAGCGCCAGTCCTCACCTGTCATGCCCAGCCACCAGTCAATCGCTTCTCTAGTGCTATGCACACTGACTGACAATGCTGCCAGCACCAAGAGTTTCGAAATGAGTCTCTCAATGAAGAATTTATTCTAGTGCTTGCTATGAGCAAGACCGAATGTTACATCGATTGTGGACCTTTATGCTGCAAGGTCAGTGTCCTCCCGGAAAACTTTTCATCCGGTAGTTTCTCCTGAACAGACGCTGTCTACCAAATTTGCCGAGCGCACCCAAAGCAGCACAAAAGTCCATCACCTGGACATCGTACTCGACCTTTCCATGAGGGGTAGCTGTACCATGCGCATTCTCCATGCGACAATTCAGCGTCACGATGAACCAGTAATGCTTCATCTGGCGAGCTATTATCCGATAGACGCAGCCTCTCTACAGTAGGCTTTGCGTACTGTCTGCAATCAACCGAACGTCTCACCGAAGGCCACGTCTTGTGGAGGCCACTCCATCGTCCTTACGCTGCCGTCCGCTGCTTCAATTCCGAGATCACCCTTGAGATTGCACAGCGATAAGTTCGTTTACCTATCTACTATCGGCGTGAAGATCTATCGCTTTGCGATGATCCCGGGTAGCAATGATAAGAGTTGATAGTGAAGCTATCCTGGTGGTTTTGACGTGGCTGTGGTCGAAATTGTTCCAGGCTTGGCTGGCGTTGGATGTCCAATTTTGGACATCAGATCCACGCCAGCCCACGCCAGCGCGAGGGGCTTTGACAAGAACGGTCTACGCATTCTGTCACGATGACATTTTTATTGAACCGCTGCACTGCCAGAAGAACCATTGGGTCATTGCCCAGTAATTGCTCCGCATAGAGCTTCTAGCTCGCTGTCTAGAACTTGCGACGCCTGATGCAAGTGATCACGATGGCAAGTGGAGCGTCTTCGGAGGCCAAAAATTGTGTGTAGCGCTTGCAACGTCCCCCCGACTTGATTACGTTCGCGCTTGTCACTGGTTATCAGTCGCTAGTGGTGAATGGAAGCCATTTCCCCATGGGGCCTTAGGTATTCGTTTACTCGATAAGGGTGAGGAGGCACTACCGCCAGTACACGGGTATATTAACGCCTCACCACTGTGAAGACCCAGTCATCACATCATTGCTCTTCTATCGACGCTTCCCTGGTAACAAACTAGGTCATTACTTCGATACACTCATCACATCTCACATACACAGCCCACAATGGCATCACTACTGAGCTACATTGGCCTGGGTGGCTCGACCACCCCCACTACTCCTCCAGAGAAGTCCGCTGTTCGCGCACTGCCTGCCAACTGGTACACATCAGAAGAGATGTACCAACTGGAGAGGCGTGCGATCTTCTCACGACGCTGGCTGCTCCTCACCCATAAGTCAAGATTTACCACTCCCGGTGACTACCTTCGCTACAGCGTAGCCAACTACGATATTGTTGTCGCAAAGGACCGACAAGGCGAGATTCACGCATTCCACAACGTCTGCCGACACCGGGCCTACCCTGTAGTCGAACAAGACAATGGTAACGCTAAGATATTCTCTTGTAAATACCACGGGTGGTCATATGGTCTCAACGGGAACCTCGCGAAGGCTCCAGGATACCAAGACCTTCCTGCCTTCGACAAAGCCGAGAACGGCCTGTTCCCGATCCATGTTCGCCTCGACAAAAATGGTTTCGTATGGATCAACATGGACTCAAAAGAAGTACCTGAGGTTTCCTGGGAGGAGCAATTCGACACAGTTGACGAGCAAGAGCGACTGACCGACTTCAACTTTGACGACTACGTGTTTGACCACACATACAACATGGAGAGCAACTTCAACTGGAAAATTCTCGCGGACAACTTCAACGAATGCTACCACTGCAAGACGACACATCCCGATCTTCCTGCCATCGCCAATCTGGAAACATATGATGTCAACTGTTCAGCGGACCATATTCAGCATGACCCGAAGACTACAGATGAGCAACGCGCAGCTGGTTTCGGCATCTGCTCAACGTACATGTTCCCTAATGTCTCATTCACAGTCACGTAAGTTCCCAACATCAGATTTGTCTAAGACAATCCACTAACAACGACATCAGCTCCACATTTATGATGATGCAGAAGTTCATGCCGAAGGCTCCTGGGGTATCGGTCATGTACTACGAACTCTGGCGCAACAAGAACGCCACCGAAGAAGCGTTCCATGCCATCGCCGACCTGTACGCGCGCGTCATGAAGGAAGATAAGGTGCTTTGCGAGCGCGCACAAGCCAACATCAACGCCGGCCTGTTCATCAACGGCGAGCTACACCCCCACATGGAGAAGGGACCTCTCTTTTTCCAGAAGCGCTGCCGAGAAGTTGTCATGGAGCACAGTGCTCGCGAAAAGCGCGAGGGCCGGCAAATCTGGCCCGCGAAGCAACAGCTCAAGAAGACTGGCAACAGCGCCATCAGCAACGAAGATGTGGCTTTCTGCGAGGGCCTTGCATGTGGTAACGACAACGATAAGAGCGATTTGGCTTGGTAAAGGGTTGATGACATATCATGATTGTGCAGCATTGTTAGGTGTTAGGGAGTGTTGATAGAGGCCTCGTCCTCTCGCCAAATTTGGTAACGATTGTATTTCCTTTCGACGAGTTGTAGTCCTGCTATCCTTTGCATAACGCAAACGACAGCTTCAGAGAGTAGCACATGTAATGGATTCCATTCACATTTCACACACTGGTCTCAATTCAACTCGCGCACTGTGTACATGCTGTACCGCAATATAACACCTCCCGACGTCGCTCTCCCCTCCACCACTGCTCGCCAGCGTCTACACCACAAAGCATCATGCGTTACGCCTCATTTCCAGACCTCCGCACATGGAAGTCAGCTGCGCATGGTACAGCCGACGTTTTCCTATCGTCATCGCATAAGTGCGGAGGTTGGTTTTGTTCGGGTCGCCGCCGAATGCAATCTCGATCCGGATCGGGAAAGCTGATCCACCGGCCAATCGCGTTTAGCTAGTCAGGGAACAGCCTTCGAAAATTGTGGGTGCGATACGAGACGGGGCATGTTGGGAGGCCTGGATAAGCAGTGCCATCGCGATGGAGATGTTGATCTTGTCGCAAACGTCTGATCCAGGTGCGTCAAACGCATGTTCGGTCAGTCCCATGTATGATGTCAACCCAGTCCTAACTGTCGCCGACGTCCTCCGTCTCCGTGTCCTGCTCCTTCTCAACTGCAGCGTTGTTTCTCAGCCACATTTGCAATCGGTACAGCCAGTTCGAATCATCTAGGTTTGCCCCCTCTTGGTCTCGCAGCCGGTATGGACCGCCCAGCTCTTGGAAACACTCGTAATTCTCTAGCATCCGCGCAACCCGAGGCGAATCTCGATCTCGCCACGAGTACTTTGACTTCTTTGTGTCTTCTTTGACTCTGTCCGTGATGATAGCTACAGGCCGTGCTATGTCGGCACAGATCTGCAAGAGTGGGAAGTACATGGGAAGGTACATGTCAATGACCATGGTGTATTCGTCAATCTTCATAAGGCCATCGGGGTCGCAGACAAACTCCAACTAGCCCCCAGTATATCCTTCTGCGAGAAGCAGCTTGTCCAGTAGTGTATATCCTAGGTCTTGAAGTAGTACACGAACGTTACCGTCATGTTCATTGCGCACAGCGTTGAATCTAGAAGCAATGTGGAACGCGAAGAAGTGCTGGTTGATACAGGATGTAAGATCTTCCTTAAACCTTAAGCTCCCCAGTCCGAAGCATACAATCTTGCGCACCTGAACAAGATCCTCGATTGCATTATTTATGCTCTTGTTAAAGCCTTGAACTGCGGACTCGCGGACCAAGCTGGTCGCATAGTCGGTATAGTTTCGCGCTATTCTGTCACACTTTCCGCACATTCGTGATCTAGTAGCCCTCTTTCGCACATTACTTCCCCTGATCTATTGCTGCGCCAGCTGTTGGTCTGGCTTGCCTGTGATTCTGGTATGCTTCATGGAATCTCCGTCGATGGCGTATAGCAGCTTCCGTCCGTCAGATCTGCTTTTCCTAACATGCATTTTGGTATGCAATTCTACCGCTGTCATGAACTTGATATCAACTATGTCGTCTTCAGCGGTTCTGTGCTTCCATACAATTCTTCCTTTTCCAAGGAGATCCGGTTCGCGATGTTTGAGGAAGACCTTATTGTTTAAGATCTAGTCTCGGACAAAGACGACAACTTTGAAGGCTTTCGCGAGTGAATATGCCGATACTCGTATCATACTCTAATCCTAGTCTCTTCAAGTTCACGGTATGCCTGCCCCAGGTCGCAATCTAGTCCTTCTTCTTCTTCTTCTTCTTCTTCTTCGACTTTGTCTTGATCTTGTACTGAATGTGACGTGGAAATGGAAGATGCATATTAAATTGCGGCCAGGTGCTCAAGATAGTCAATGTTACAAGCAGAATAGCGATGGGAGTTTAATGCAAGAGCTTTCAGAGTTTATTTGTGCTCTGTTTAGAGATTGCCTGCTTAGCCGCAAACGTTAATGTCTAGACCACCTGGCATAATTTATCATTGCATCACCTGATCATACAAATTATTCCGCTAAAAATTGAATCCCATCATACAAATACAGGGAAGTACTGTCTCGTGAAGCTACTCGGTGAAAGGACCGATCAAAATCGGTTGGACACCACACAAGTTTTACAAGTAGATGGGGTGTAAAGGAATTAGTGCAGGTTTTCGGATATGTTGACACTAACATTCATTATCCCAGGCGGAAGTCTGGAATTGGGGCATATCTTATCACAGCCAGACGGCAATGGCTCAAGTTCCAAGCCGCACATCAAACTCCCTTACATTGTGTACAATTCAGTAGTTCCAAGCTCCTCATAAAAATCACCATCACAGAACCGCCTCCAGTCGCAAGGTACGGACGGGATAAACATCAAACTATCGCAGCTTCTGTGACTTATCTTCGAAGATTTGTGAGTGTGTTTGGAATAGTTGCCAGAAAATGCCGCTCTCAGAAGTTACGAAATTTTTGATTTCGAGATTGTGTAAAGACATGAACGAGAAAGATGCATCCTAGGCTCCTCGCAAGAGATTCGAATCATTCGTATATCATCTCTCCGTACGTTGCTCGACCCCACAGATCAAGGTTCGCAAGATCGGGGTCCAGTGCCTCAGCCAACACCGCGAATGGATAACGACCAAAGCTATGGCAGGCACAATGCGCTTTCAACAAATTCCGCGCAGCGTAGCCAACCATAAGATCTTCGCCTCTACTCAGCTGCACTTGGAGAGTCTCCATCGAAAAGTTCTGGGAAGTCCAGTCAGACCGATCGTCCAGTCGCCGATATGACAGTAGTTCCGCTTGAACTGAAGACCACAATGCACCGAGATTCTTCTGTTTCTCGAGACAGAAGTCTGCCCTACCATCGCTGTGCATGTCTAAAAGCACGTGATTTGGCCCAGTGCATCCCATGAAATCGTCGTCGTCGTCATCATCACTCCACTCAGGCTTATCATTTCTATTCCCGCTCTTCTCGACGGCTGCTATCTCACAGCGACGTAATACTCCAGCCAATACAATCCAGCCTGTCCTAATCATTGCACTCCAAGATCCGATTGTGGGCTCAGCCATGATCTTCTCCGCAAGCTCAGCAGCCGTAAGCTCTTCATGGTCACACTCGATAATTGAGGAGGAGGACAATAACGCCCGAATGGAAACATCGGCTTTCATGGAAGGGTCGAAGCCCTCAAATATCAAGCACATGGCACATGCTAGAATTCCAAAGAGGTCCTCGCCGTCCCGTCCTTGGGAAGCAAGATGGTATGCTGTGATCACCAGGCTGTGCAAAGGCGATAACTGTAGCTTTTTTCCACACTCCGGATCGAAGCAGCGTCGGATGTACAGTCCGCTCGGTGTCTTGAGGATGAAGGGTCTTGGTATGAACTCGAACATGCGGGCGATGCAGTGACATATGGCCTGGATTGAAGTGTTGCAAAACTTGTGTTTCCAGCTGGATGGTATCGATAGTCCGCCATTGACATGCATCTGGCGCACACAAGGGGAATCTGCATCCCAACGGCCACAAATGTCGATTTCTTCTCCAACGAATCGTGCAACACCCTTGAAAGCATCGTCCACAATCTCAGGCTTTGCACTTGAATGAGACTTGATGATTGCAATCATTAAGTTATCCAGTACAGTATGGCCGTGCTCGTTGAAATAGATTTCGTTATCTCGAGATCCGGTATCGAACATTGCGACTGTTGCTAGCACGTCGCAGCAGGACTTAGACCCATCGAGGTAACTCGTTGCTAGATGAAACGGACGCAGTGGTGTTGTATCGATTTTTTTTTCCTCCAATTCATATAAGACTCTCCTGACTTGTTCGATATTGCGACTCATGATACTGAAACCAAGAGACTCGATGAGGAGCTCGTCAGAGCGTCTCTCATCCGCAGCTTGTGCGATCCGAGGGATATCAACCGGGAGCTCTGTGGCAGAAGTAAGGCTAAAATCATTGTGCTCGAGGGCGTCTCGCAAATGTGCCTGTAATGAAGATTGTTGCTCACCAGGAGGCCATGGCGTCCAACTGGGGTCATCATCAATGCCATCCTGAACGAAAGCCGAAGAGGCAACTTGACCTTCTGGTATTGGCACATATGACTGCCTTGGAACATGAATGTACCATCGGCAAAGATCGGACGGCCTTGGTTCATTGTCATCTGGCGTCGCTGGACTCATTAAATCCTGGGGTGTGCCTGGAAGACCACGGTGAGCTGTTGGTTGGTAACCATCGAATTCCAAAAGCTCTGCAGTCCATGTCTTTGGTCCTTTTCCCCAGTGTTTTGCAGTTTTGAAGCAAAAGAACCAGTACTCGTGCAGCCAGTCTGACAAGGTCCTACTCCGTGATCAGTCAATACCTAGAGATGCGTCTTACGTCTTACCTTCTCTCCTCTCCATTCAAGAGTGTCAGAAGCTTCTCATGGTGGCCTTGTGCAAACATACTGGCCCGTTCGACCATCATGAGCTTTTTCATGACCTGATTGGTCGGCGAGGGTAGATCATTCGGTGACGCAACCGATGAGGGAGTCGTAACTTCAATGTTACTATAGGGCGTTGCTTGATCGAAGGGCGAGGAGTGATCAAATGGTTTGACGTATGAACGACGCATAGCAGCGTAAGGGAGATTCCATTTCAGGAAGCTTCGATGTTAGCACGTCGGTCATCAGGGCTGAGTAAACGTACAAATTATTGGTGAATGGCAGAACATGTCCATCAACAGTCGTGATCTGTCTTCGAAGTAGAGCCAATGATCCAGTAATTTCCCGTGTTTGCTCCTTCATAACCCTTCTGATCTTCTGATTGTCGATCTTCTTTCCTTTGATGGAAACTTGGGTAGAGAATTTGCCTGCTACAGCACGGCCTTTAACGTGCTTTAGTGCCTTGGTAATATCACTTTTGCGAACGTTCTTGGACCACCCCCAGATCGCGAATTGGGACTTGTATTGGCGTTCACTACATCCGAGGCTTGTTAGCTGTAAGGTATCCTGCTAATACTATTAAGGACTGCCGCTGACGCACACTCGATAGAAACTATGGGAAGCCTTCATCTCTTGAACGATGCGATCGAGCTTCCAGTCCTCTTTCAGCCACAGGGATTCCAGGACTGGTTTTACGACCTCCCAGGGATCCCTGGATCCTGACGCAATTTGGGCCATCGTAAACAGTTCAGCGTGTATGCAATAGTCAAAATAGATGTAAATTATACAACGATAGAAATTCGAGAGTGGCAGTGCTTAGGAAAGCTGTAAAACTGCTGCATCGTGACAGCCTGGCGCACTCAGGTCTTAATGCATTTTGGTGCTCTGTCCGGCCTTTCCGGAGGATTAGGCTGTTTCAGCCCAAGGCATAGTCAAGGTAAAGCCAGGTTCTGTAACCAATAGGACGTCGTCCCAAGGCGCAAATCCGGTTCTGATGTTGCACCAGGTTCCGTCGCGCGGTTGCCTTGTTGCCTTTCTTGCCTGCAGGTCCTTCCGCCTAGAAGCGAACACCGATCCGCCGTGCCAAGTCGACCAAAAGTACACTGGCCAATCCAGTAATGGACGGAGAAGAGTAGCGTCATCGGTGACCACGCGTCGAGGATTACAATGCCAGGCGAGGTGCATATGGCTCCAATCACTGCGCCGTGATGCGCTGAACCTTTGTACTGCTTCCAAAACCCGCGCTTCCATCTCCCAGGTCTCCTGTCACTAAGTTCCCTGAAACCAAGGGAACTGTACGGAAAATGTAACTCCTGATGCTTTTCTGATGAGTGAGGAGTACCGCCATAGGCCTGCATCGCACTGACTGACTGTTCTTGGAGAGGCATAGAAGGCTCGGTGCAACATCTGGGTACTTCACTAGCTGCCGCAGACCGCCGCTCAGGCGCGCAGCTTGGAAAAGCTTAATTATTTTGTGCTCCCGTTTAACGTTATCTAAGATCTGGCTGCCAAGCTGAACGAAAGTCGTCCGTCCAATGACTGATGTTTCAACGGGGCGGCTTCCACATTAGTGCGGCATACCAAGGCGACCAAAAGTCGACTATCCAATGTGATTCCAGGTGCAGCGAGTTCATGCCGCATTTACAGAGCATGAGGGTAATATGGTTGACGTCGACCCCTGCATGCTCGGGATGCATGGTGGTTTCTTTGCCTAACAGTACAACTGACATCTACGCGAAGGGACTGACCTCGTTTCGATGCGCAGAGCTCTTCTAGACGGATATTGTATAAAGAGAACAACAATCTCCGCTTCTCCTGTCCAGACATCTCATTATCTGGCATATTTGACCAAAACAAGCTCGTACTTCATTCCCTTAGTGAGCTTGACCCAGAATCTCCCATCCATCATGCCCCAGCAAGATGCATCGCCGTCAGTTTACCTGTGCCTGAAGTCTCTTGATCCGCCATATTTCTGACACTGAATAGGACTTCTCACTACTCGCTTCATCAAAGTTCAACCACTACCGTCACGCTATGTTCGTACCATATGCTCACCTCCTCCTCCGCATCCACCGGATACACAAGCAACATGAATCCGATGGACCGTTTCCTGTCCGAGGGCTCTGCGGAGCAGAGCGCTATGTTCATTCGTGGAGATAACGGCGAGCCATCGACAAAGAGGAAGTGCGAGTGCAAACGGACGAGCAAGGAGAAGCTATAGCACCGCTCGGGTGCATCAGCCCATGAAAAACTTGGAAGCATGCGCTCTACCACACATGTCGCTGTGATAGTGTTGTCGGTCGATAAGGCGCATGAATCTATTTTGGATTCACCAAGCTGAAGGAGCCCGCTTTATAAAGACGATACTGTTGCTTCCTTTTCCCCAAAGAAGCTTGCTCTAGTTAGATCCTGGGTCCATGAAAATCAGTAGTAGAACAATTCAATGACTAACATCGCGGAACCAACTTCTCGTCGCTACCTCTTCATGCTTTGATACATTTTACATTGCAACTACATCAAGTTCATGGATTCTAATTAGTGATGACTCTTAAGAATGTGAAATATAATCTTGCTCAATTATCCTGTCCTACAAAATTGCTGGCACACCTTGTAACTGGATGACTATCGAACAAAGAAAGATATGGCATAATCTGTAGTATGACTTGACGGCCAAAATTTCAACAGAATGAGAAACACCCTTGGAAATGGCAGAATAATTTGCAAACAGAGGCGGATGCGCACAGTACACTCCTATGGACTAGAGGTGTGCTATTGGCCAAGCTAGCACATTTCTACCAAATTTGACGCACAAACGAAGATGCAAGCGTGGTGACAGCAACCTTCGTCGCTGATGCAATGCTTTTAGTAGAAGTCGTGGGCGCGGCAAAGCTCCATGTTAGAGGCTCGCTAATGAGCGATGGCGTGAACATAGCCGATCGAGTGCTCTTGGACGAAGAGCTTGTGCCGACAACAGCACTCGTTACGGAAGCAGAATGGGTAGTTGAAGTCGTGCTAGCGGAGGAAGACTTGGGGAAGGCAACAGGTCCGGGCGTCAAGAAGGGCACAAGAGGATTGGTGAATGCGTCGACCATGGAACTTGCAGTGCATGGAGCAGTGACAGTTACAGTGACAGTCTCCTTGGCTGGGGACGAAGCTAGTTTTGCGACACGATTGTAGACTGGTTGGAACGTATCAGTAAAGCATATGATTATGAAATGAAGATAGAGAACTAACCATTCGAGCCGCGAATGACGACCTCGAACGCCTGGCCGTTGGCATCGATAGGGCCGCGTCCCTGACCTTCGTTTGTGATGTCGGCCTCGTTGATGGCCTGACTATAAAGACCGCATACTACCAGAGTGTTTGCTGAAGGGTTGGGGCATGCGGCAGCGGGATCAACGGATGGATTGCGTTGGAAGTAGGTATTGACTGCGAACGACATCTGTTAGCTTGAAACATAGGGTGGTTTGATAAATAACTCACAAGCTTCGCATCCACCAGTTGCATCGCAGTGCTGAGCGCATGCAGAAACGTCATAAGAGTCGAGGTTGATGATGTGCATATAACTAGCCGAATTGACGGCAGCCGAAGCAGCTTTGGCAATGGGCTCAAAGCCTGCAGGTGAAACGACGACCTTTGCGATTTCGCTGTAGAAGGGGTAATTTCCAAAGCTTTCAACAGTGTTTGGAACGGGTCCTGGAGCCACACTGTGCTTGAGAGGCAAGCAAGCCTGGCGTGGGAGGACGGATGCTGACGCACTGCCAATAATGGCTGAGAAGATTGTAGAGTACTTCATTGTGTTGAGTATGATCTATAGGGTAAATTCAAATTCTTAAGCGAGTCTGATATTGATGGAGAAAGGAGCGGGCAAGTCAGGCTTTATACCCATCAGAAGTGCAAAAAGACTGGTAACAAATTTCGATAGTGAGCATAAACCTGAAGCCATGTATCGAAGTGCCACGGTTGCAATTTGCACTCGATTCACAATACGACATGGTTAGTCAGTGTACATTCAGACTTCGTCACTAACAAATACGGTCCTATGACTTGCATCCTTTAAGGTTCCGAAACAAGATAAAAAATTCACAAGAATCTCGGACCCGGCCTGGGCAAGTGTCTACCGCATCGCATGTCCCGACGCTATACGTATGTACAAGAATATTCAAAAGCCATGAATTATATCGGTGAACATAGTCAGGAATCTCGTCCAATCAGTCACACCAGTAACGGCGGCACTCTGACTCGAGATCAGAGATATCTTTCTTTAATGTAGCTGTCGGCCTGGAGATGACCGTCACCTCAGCGCGCATGGCGGCATTCTGATTTCTGAATTTCATGTCCACGGACCTCGATATTTGTGTGCGCAGAAGATATGAGGTTCTGCTACCGTCTAGCAGCTGTGGGTCACGACGTGGACCCGCTAGCGCTAATGCGCCATGGCTTCAGTGTTCACCCCACCTCAACAAACAGCACCGACATCTACCCTCATCTTCACCATCCACGCTGGCTTTCTCATCCGAAAGATGGACCAAGGGCCATTTCCGCCGGAACTGCCACTGCCCCAAGGAAATGGGCGGGGAACGTGTCGACACTGCGTGCAGTTCGATCACAGCTTTTGTAGGCACGCTCCGGACCTCCCGCAGATCAACCTCGAATTCTTGTGCGACGATGAAGGTCTATCAGATGTACCCCAGATCTATCGTCGACTTTTCCAGCGAACAAAAGTGTTCACTGCCACCGTACAGGATCTAGTAAACATAACCATAAAATGCAACCCTGCCGGGTGGGGCGAAGCCGCTCGTTCGATTGTGGACTACAGTGTCTTCATTCTGAGATCCGAGAGGCTTGGATTTGAGCGATTCTTGCACAGCCAACGTGGCAGTATTTACTGGATGTTGGACGATGCGCTGCTACGCATCTGCCTTGACCGTTGGGAAAATCGCCAAGCTGGCTCTCCATGGGATCAGGCTATCGCACCTATTCTGCTTACTCTCGCCGATGCTAAGAGCCGTTTGCCCTCTTGGGTCGAACTGGATGTACAAAACATGGCGAAACACCAGATCGACAACCGTGCGGCCGCCAAAAGCCTGACGAAGAGTTATTTTGATCAGACACAAGGTTTTCTACAACATAGTTCCAGACTTTACGAAATATGGAGAACTGTACGCATGTCAGGAATAGGAAAATTACCCGCTGAGTTAGCTGATGCTATCATCGGAGACGTTCTGAGTGCAGAAAACCTTCCTAGGGGAGATCTAAGGCCATTGTATCTGCCAAAGGGCTGAAGACACAGCAAAGGTCACCGAGTAAAACAGACTTGAAAGAGAACATCTAGGGAAGCTGGCTGCACATTCTTAGCTTTAGAGCTGAGAAACCAGCTCATGGCGAATTGGCCCACCGCAAATCGATGTGGTCAAAACACTTTTGAGATACAGAGATCTATCTGTCTCGAATTTCTATCTGGAGAATGAAATGCGACTAATGATGCGAAGAAATGGGCAGACCGCTAGCATGGAAATAGAATGTTATGCGGGTCCCCTCTCGGCAATCGACCTCAAATGTGCTCACACCTTCATCGGATAAGAAGGAGCGGCCCGTTGGTGGATACATAAACTGCTTGTTGCGCAACTACAACTTTGATTGGAATTATTGCAACCACTGCATGTTCTTCTCATCATTTTACCTCGCCATGGGAGCAATTTGAGTGCGTTCATAAGCCGACAATCTTCGGACGATGACGCACGGAACTCAAAACAACATATGAAAATATACAAGAAAGGATAGCCAGGGTGTGTTGAAGAGTTTGATGGCAAGGCTTCATGAGCTGATCATGGGCTGGACAATGGCGCGAAAGTCGGGGCTTGGAATGCGGACGACAACTTGTCCTTGAGAACCTACGAGCCTGTAATGACCCGGAATCTTTCTTCTACCTGGTCATACTTCAAAGACAGACTGTGGTCTCGCACGCAATGTATAGACTGCTTCCGAACGCCGCTGACATCAAAACTCCACCAATATTCCATGTCAACGACCTTTGCATCACAAACAAGACGCATTCAAAGATGATTCGAGGGAACGCTTGCACCGCTCGGCTACGTTACTTATGGTCATGACAAATTGGCGAAAATGGCGGAACGATGTTGCTATGCAATGGCATCAAGTCATTGCCACATTCAGGCTGACGGATACCGGCACGCAACAAAACATGGACATCACTCTGAGGCACAAGCCATGAGCCCAGTCGACGCCACAACTACCATTCGATTACAATTCCCCTAATCGAGCCATTCGACGTGTCAAGCTCTCGCGCTGCCGTGTCCGCGGACGCTATTCCTCGCTTAGCACCCCGCAACGATGAAGTCTTGTCGTCACGTCCGCATCCACCAACTTCTCTGAATGGCTACTACCCCTGTCTCTGATGTAAGAATCTGTAAGGCACGGAGTACCCCATACTAGAATATACCCGGACCCATCTCGCTAATCGCGCGTTGCCGTCGACGTGGTTTTGCTAACGGTATGTCTCATCCGCGCCCAGTGACATACGCGCCAACTTTGTGGGCGTGATTGGAACGGGCGGTTTGGCCTTGCCATGGGCTGAGATACCGGGGCTGTGTCGTTAGAACAAGCGATATTGAAAGCCTCTCGGGAACAAATGCTGATGTCACTGTAAAAGGAGGCAGGACTATTGGATGAAAGACACAGAAGGATGTAAGCGATACAATCGTACGCTGGTACATAAAGAACGTCTACCCTCGCTAGACAAACTCGCTCAACGGAGGGCACTTTCAAATTGTCCAACATACACAAATTCTCAAGATGCACTCTTCAATGCTCCTCGGGCTCCTGCCCCTCGCCGCCGCCCAAGTCGCCCAAGTCCACGAAGCACCTCCTCCACCCCCCGTCCTTCTCAACGCCACCAAATCCGGCGTAGCACCCACCCTCCCCACGCCCTTCAACGGCACTCAAACCCTCCAAGGCGCAATCATAATGCCCCTACCCCCACAGCCCGGCTACATCGGCCTGAACGGCACCGCGACCGCACAAACCTCCATGCCAGCATCCACCTACCGCGCCACCATGCCTCCCTCCATGTTCAACGACCTCGTCGGCACCACTGTGAGCGGATACATCGAGGGCGTAGGTTCCCCGTCAGGCGTGCGCTTTACCGTCAAGCTGCAGAATCTTCCCGAGCAAGCCAAGTACGGCCCGTTCAACTGGCACATCCACGCGTTGCCCGTGCCCGCGGACGGTAACTGCACAGCGACACTGGGCCACCTGGACCCGACGAATCGCGGCGAATTAATCATGTGCGACGCTGCGGCGCCTGAGACGTGTCAGGCGGGCGATCTGGCGGGCAAGCATGGCGGGAAGATCATGGCCGCGGGAAGCTTTGAGACGGCGTTTGTGGAGAAGTACTTGACGACGGAGACTGGGTCGCCGTTTTCTTTCGCAGGGTTGGGGTTCGTTCTGCATTCGATGAATACTACGAGGCTTACTTGTGCGAATTTTGTACAGGTTAATGGGACAGTGGGAGGGAATGGGACGATGCCGAGTGCGACGGGCCCGCCAGCGGGAGAGTTTACTGGTGGAGCAGGAAAGGTCGGGGCTGCGTTGGGTGCGCTGGGTGTAGCGGTAGTTGCTGCGCTGTTGTAGAATGCTGTAGTATAGTAGAGTTTAATGATAATCACCAGTCCAGGTATTAAATACTTTGGAGGTCATCATCGTGACTTTGTGTCAGTGCATTCTGCCATCGTGAACTACTGTCACGCTAAACAACATCTTCACTAACAGTCCTCTCACTCTCTTTCGCCCTCCCCCACCCCTTATGCACCACACTCCTACACTCCTTCCCACAGGCCGGTGTCCCACAAACCCACCATCTCGGCCCTGTGCCCAACTCATCCTTACACCGCCCGCACTTCGTCCACTTCTCTCCACAGTGATGCACGCCACGCTTCAACTCCAGCTTCGTACTCTTTTCCCTGATCGCCAGCAATTCCTCCACGCTGTGTACATTGCAGTCTCGACACACAGCACGCTCGACCTTGGGGATCTTGTCCTGCGACGATTTGTAGAACTTGGAGGTGTGTATGAGGCGGAGGAAGGGGTTCGGATGCGCGGTTATAGGGGCGCATCTACAGTGTGGGGGGCGTTGGCGGTGCGGTTGGTAGCGGCTGACGACGAGGGCTTGGAAGCACTTGGTGCAGGATGGCAGGCAGTTTTGGGAGTGGTGGAGGAGGGTGGTTTGTGGGATTTGGGGTCGATGTTGACAGTCCTGGTTGGTGATTGAGCGATCAAAACCTTGATAGGTTGCTTTGGGGGAATAGACTTACGGTGCAGATTTGCTTGTCGCATATCCAGCATTCCATCTTCTCTTTTCCTGGACATGTGTATCTTCGGAACGTCCTGATACGTCGATCGAAGTCGTGCGCAGGCAGGACTACCTCTCGAACGCTTTTTGAAACGCGACTGAGTGTCATGACATCGAGGTAGTGCATGTCCTCGGTGACGGCCATCAGCATGTCGTATACACCTAGAAAGTCTGACAGCGGGCACGCTTCTCCAGGTCCACCCTTGTAACGTGGCAGTTGCTTTCTCTGGTTCTGCTTGTACATGTCCTTGAGCTCAGTCACTTCTAATTCGGCTTTTTGTTCAAGGCCCCATACGGACTTCAGCGCATACCGTCGGCCAAATCGGACTTTTGCCTTGAGAGAGATTGGCAGGCATCTGAAAATACATTGCGGAAAGAACCACAGCAACAGGAGCAAGAGAGTTGCGATACCTCTTGGTATTGCCGTAAGACAATTCAGAGCAGACTTGCATAGTGCCATCAACATATCGATTGTTGTCTTGCCTTGTCGTCTTGTGTCCCTCAAAGCGCCAAAGAAAGCCATAAGACCGAAGAGAACAATCAGCGCGTAGAAGAATCTAAACAGCATTCGTCAGCTGGGACTGGCTTGTGTTCACGTTACGATAACACTCACGAGATGGCGACACCGTACTGCCACTCTTGCACGAAGCTCTTGCACATATTGCCTCCCGTAGTCGCTGTGCCATTGAGCCTGCCAGCAGCCTCAAAGAAGCTTTCATTTGCACCTGCTGGTCGAATGTAAGCAGCTTTAGCGCAAGATGTCTCGATGTGTGGAACATATTGCGTCTGATAGCTTGTGGCCCACGAGACATAGATGGTTATGACAAGATCGACAGCCGTAAAAGGCAGATTCAGTGGTGGAGGAAACCAGAAAGATGGGAGCCACACTGCAATATTCCAGAAAAAGGCAAAAGTGCTCCATTCTGAGGCAAGATGTGCCCCGCTTGCAATCTTCGGATCATAAGTCTGGAGTTGGTCATGAGCGTGAACGAGGTTCCAGTGGTTCGTACTGGAAGCCCAGTAGATTCCCAGAGGCGCAAAGAGAGCGAATCTTATGATGCCAACTGGGACGAGAACTGATATTGTATATTTGATAAGTAAGGATCGCTGGTACTCGGGTTGAGACCCACGTACGATGGTACCAGTCACCCCCTGCTGGGTGTCTTGGAGCTGTTTGGGTCATTGTTGACCGTATGCCAGGCTAGTTGAGGTAGTCTCGATGTGCGACCTATGAGTTGAGATGGTGAACGCATTCAGTGCGTTGGCCAAATTGCGAGCAGGGGTATCAGAAATAGAGATACACAACATGACAAGCTCAAAAGGCGACTGGACCACGATTTGTAGGGACGCGTGAATTGGCCTCAGGTATGCAGGTATGGCGCCAGGCTGAAGGACTTCGGTAGCGTACCATGTACCAGAGCGAAGACTTTCACCGGGGGGACATAGTCACTCGAAGCCGATGCTGAGCCACACTCGGGACAGTTTTGGCGATAATCTGGAAGCCTAAGGTCGGGAAGCGCATCGTGAGGTGAACGACTGTGGTGGTGCCAAGTTCCGGTGAGGATACTCTTCCAAACGACCTATCATTGGCGATTCGCGACTTCTTCTGCGCCCTACCCCTCCTTCCGCCGACCCTGGCTTTTGCGCATTCTTGCTCGGAGTCGTGACATCACTTTGCTGACAGCCTGCAGGCGTTCAAAGCGAGCGTAGCGTCTCATCTCCGTATCGATAGGAATGCGGTGGAACCATTCTTGCGTTGCCCGTCACGATGCAGGCGACTTTGCTACAGGCAGCCTGGCGCCTTACAGAGGCACGTTAAGGGTCCGAGCAGACATGGGGACGATGTCTAGAGCGATGAGTTGTTCTTGTACCATTGGAAGTCCCTTGCCAAGCGCATCGCGCACGGGTCCGGAACGACGCCGTTTCCACAGCAACAGCGGCCTGTTTGGCGATGTCATGGCACCAGCGCGCGCACCCAATTCCACAAGGCATAACGCGTAATTTCACGGCCCACAACGCCCAAAATACTCCGCACTCGAGATATTAGCTGCATGCCCTCCCGTTTCCCGTTTCCCCTTGCCTGCTTCTGCATCGTCCCAAGACAGCCCGTCTCCACTGCATCTTGATAGCCGTCGCATCTATCGGGAGTGACAGTTGGACGTCCGCCATCTCTCTGCGACACGTCCACGGCCAATTCGCAATGGAGGCGCTACTGTCTCTCGCGTTCGACAACATTGCGTCCAAGGACACGCAGAAGATCCGGAAGGGGCTCCGGCAGATCGAGGGCATGCTCGCACAGATATGTCTCTCCGGCAGCAAGTCGAAGCAGTCCACGCCAGGCCACCGACGGAACGCCTCGGCCATCAACCTGGGCGAGCAGCAAGAGTCGACACCAAAGAAGCTGGGACAGTTGTCCGAGGACCCTGCTTTTAGGGAGTTCTTTCGGTTGCAGGAGGGGTTCGAGTGGAATGGTAAGGTTGCACGGATGCAATCGCCAAACTCTAGCTAATTGAGTTTGTAGTCGCAACACGAGTGGCAGACTGCCTCGAGCGTTTACTAGGCATGGGGAGCAGCAAAGGTGAGACTTTCACAGATGTCTACCACGAATTGGCACTAACACATGACATAGATGGCCAGAACGACATCCTCATCCTCTCATCGCTCTCGAACCTGCAGGGCCTCTTACTCCTGCACTCGCCATCGCGAATCATCTTCGGCCGCGAGGTGTACATGAACCTCATCCTCGATCTCCTCGACCCGTACAACTGCCCGGCAATCCAGTCGCAAGCGCTCCTCGTTCTCGTCACCGCACTCCTCGCCACACCACAGAATACTCGAACATTCGAGCACATGGATGGATTGCTGACCGTAACGAGCCTGTTCAAGGACGAAGAGACAACACAAAACGTCAAAGTCAAGCTCCTCGAATTCTTGTACTTCTACCTCATGCCCGAGACACCTGCCCCGAGTCTGCAGAGGAGTCCAAGCAAACTTGCCGCTGCGTTCGACCGGCGGACTAGCAGCGCAAACGGTGACGATGGCGGCGGCGCATCGAAGAAGAACACCCGGTCACAAGAGGAGAAGCAACATCTTCTAGGCAAATACCTGAGCAACGTCGACGCCCTAGTCGAAGACCTGCAGGAGAGCGCGCCCTTCACAGGCGTTGCCTGCCGATGAAACCACAGCCCCCGCACCACTACTCTCTCATTCCAGCGAACAGCACCATCATCATTTCCTACATCAATCTGCTTTGAATTCTTCTTGTCCATATACTCCTCTGGGCTCAGTCCTAGTCTCACACTTTCCTTGAAACATCCTTCAGCAAGGCGTTGGCGGCGTTTGTACAAAATTTTCTGGACGTCGATAATATGTCTCTGGGCTTTCAATGCTGGCGCTGGTTCCCTGCATTACATTACAGTTTGAGTTTGGTGTCTTTGGCATAGCGGGGTTGCTCTCACTGTAATATCGGATTTTACGTAGTATCAGACAGATCAGACTACCACATGTTGGCAGTATGGTGAGATTGCTAGTAATGCAAAAACTCATCAATCCATTCTTATCGAACACAACTTTGCTTCGGACATGGGCCATAGTTGAAAGCGCTATTGTATGCTTCGATGTCAGCTTACCGCCGCCGCCACGAGATAACGTGGCGTTACAAACTCGTCTCTACACAAGCCAGTCCAACGCATCCAGCACGATCTATGTAAGCCTGTGCCAAGCACAAAGCCAACTGGCAAGCGATAGCGGAGGTGCTCTCATTGGCGTTCCCTCTGCATCTGAACTGCAGGAGCTGTCACACAAGCCTTCCAGCCAGAGCCGAGTGTAGATACCGACCGCTTCATATAAGCAGCAACCACTTTTGGCAAGTAAGACATTGATAAGCGGGCAGCATTTATAAGCTTATCCAGCCACCGTTGTGTCATTTGTAACATCTTGCTGAAGTGCAGGCAAAGAAGCTCACTAGCCAGGCTGTAGCAGTAATTATACAGTAGGTCTCAATTCGGAGACGGTGTCTCAAGCGTAGTACAAAGTCGACAGGACGCCGAAGAGGCGCATCGTACATCGGCATCGGGGCAAGAAGCTACCGAATCCTGCGTCAGATGCCAGTTGGCGATCATCCCATTTAGGGTATGACATCTTGATACGGCAGCCGGCGGAAGCTAGTAAGGAAGCTAGTAACAATCAGCCTTCCTACCTCATCCACCCAACGTTTTGACGAGGAATGTACAGGGCACGCGAGCAGCTGGAATTTTGCGATTCACAGCATGAGGATGTTGGTCGCGAAGAGGATGTTCTCCACGAGGTTGATCTAGGCAATTTTGCGACACCGAGAAGCGCCTACAAGACGCCAGAGTATGACTTGTGCCTGTCTTGATGTCAGAATAATGACGCAGGGCGCGTTAGACAACAAGCACGCGACCAGGATAGGTAGACGGAATGCCGGCATCTTCACACCCAGCACATGGCATTCGCTCGCCGCTTCGTCCGAGACGCGATGCCTAGCCTGTTTCTTCTTTTAGTCGTTGACATCGTCCGCTATGTCCGCCGATTTTGAGGTCATCTATGCGGCGCTACCTGACGCCTTGGTTATTAGGCAGGTGATGCAGAGAGGCTGACTGCTTCAGCTGGCTTTGTTCTCTTCTGTTCTTGTTCCTCCAGAGCTCTTATACTCTACTCTGAGTGTCTTGATCTGTGAAGAAGCAGCCACACGTGCGCTGGCAGTAACTTTGTCAACTACAACGTACACTACGTCCGAACGGATCGCATCGGCAGCCACACGGGTTCCACCTTACCCTGACCTAATAGACCTCAGGCAACTTGATCTCCGTCTATCATCCGGGTACATAATATTCTTCGTCCTCCTGTATCCGCAGTCGCTGAATCTCACGCGTCCCTTCTTGCCAAACAAGTTTTGGTATCTCTCTGCGTGACACTCGACTACCATGGGCGCAGGAGCATTCATAGAACCACTGGTAGTGATCACCCTGCTGTTTGGAGGCACATGGGTCAACCGGAATACCGAGTATCGCCTCTTCAACCGCAGAAGAGTGTATACACATTCGCCTCGATCTGCCTCGCCGTCGTCTAGCGGTTCCGGTCGCTCAAGCCCTGCCTCGAGCGTAACGCTGCTCTCGCAAATCGACGAGGAGCCAGTATGGCGGGTCCGGAATATAAACATTATGGGTTTGCAGAAGGAGGTCGTGTCGCCCAACACAAGGCGGTTCCAAGACTACTTCCTTAGTAGATTACTCAAGAAGTTCCCATTCTTGGTAGAGGCATGGTATTGGGCCTTGATATACTGGGTAAGCTCAAGCTCAACCTCACTGTGAAAATTCCATACTAACATCTCCCCAGGTCTACCAACTCGGTCGAGCCTTCAGCGCCGTGACCATGGTCGAAGGCACCGTCACTGTCGCCCGCCGACACGCCCTCCAAATCATCGCCCTCGAGCAACGCCTGCACATCTTCCTCGAACTCGACGTCCAGCGCTGGTTCCTCCAACACCCCTTCCTGATGCACTGGACAAACCGCATCTACTCCTTCGTCCACATTCCCGGCACCATCCTCTTCCTCGTCTGGCTCTTCTTCTACACCACCACGCAATCCCGCATCGATCTGCCCACCCACACCCGACCCAAGAACGACGATATTTCCTCCGCCGGCCCAAAACTCTACGCCGCCAGACGCAGAACTATGGCTACGTGCAATCTTATTGCGTTTATTGTCTTCACCCTCTGGCCCTGCATGCCCCCGCGCCTCCTCTCCGACGCCGCCGTCCCCGGCGCAATCGGCGCACAAGCGCGCTCATACGGCTTCGTGGATACCGTGCACGGCGCCGAGGACGAGAGCAGCGTGTGGACGCAGAACAAGTTCTGCAACCAGTACGCCGCGATGCCCAGCCTGCACTTTGGCTACTCGCTGCTCATCGGGCTAACCATCATGACCATCCCGCTCGCGCCGCAGCACCGACGGAGTCGCACTGTACACTTGACAAGAAGCTTGCGCGTGCGTTTGCCGGCGCCGCGAAGGCTGATGTGTTTGGCACTGGGGGTCGCATATCCGGCGATTATCCTGGTCGCGATTGTGGCGACGGCGAATCATTTTGTGCTGGATGCCGTGGCGGGCGCGATTGTGTGTGGGTGCGCGTGGACGGGGAATCGTGTGTTGTTGAATTTGCTGCCGTTGGAGGACTATTTCCTCGCGGTTGTGAGGATACACAAGCCCGAGCGCAGGGTGGTGTGGCTTGATGGCGCCGAGAGGGTAGGTGGGGAGAAGGGGAGTGGGAAGGGGGTGGTTGTTGATTGAGTGGAGATTCGACAGAGATTGGGTGGGTCATGATGTGTAATGATTGCGTGCTTTGCTTTTGGAGGGGACTAGGTGGGATTGGATAAGATAGATACCCTATATGCTTTCTCTGCGCGGTCTGTCGTTACGATTATGGCTTCGAGAATGACAGCAGTTTCACGACATTGCCTGTGTATCACACGGATATATTTGAAAGTTGAGACTGTGCCAAGTTTGGAAGGTACTTCATGGTCGTACGAACTCACTACACATTGTTCTGACGGAAACGCCACACGGGTTCTTACCAGTGCACTTCCGTCAAGTCACTATTCAAGATGACTGAAAATCCGCCAGATGTGTCCATGTTGAAACGTCTGGCCGTACGACATAAGGTCTAGGCGACTCACTACAATTGGGCCTTGAAGTAACACTTCAAGCTGTGTGTCTACGCTAGGTTAGCGATGTCTCTACATTCAGTAGGTGGAGGTAGCATACCCGACCGGCAGCAGCATTTGAAGCGCAGTCAAGTTCAGGAGCCGACCACTCCTTAGAGTGACAAAGGCCACACTCTCCAACACCAATGATGTCCTGGTTCCAGTTGCATCCGTTGTAGTGGAATCCAAGCTGATGCTTCGTGAAGTCGTCTTCGGTAAGGTGCAACATTAGCAGGGTTTTTGAAAGGTGTGGAGGAGAACTTACAGGAACCAACGGTCAGGTAAAAACCGCCTATAGCAATGAGCATGACGGTGGCCTCGTCGTCGAAGCTGATATTGACACCACCCTCGGGGCCAATGCTAGGTTGCCAGTATGCGCGGGCCTTGAGAGGAGTGCCCTCGGAGGCTTCGCAGAACTCGGTGATGCTTATATCGAATGCGTAGTTGTAGCGCTGGCTTTCGGCGGCAGCATTGGAGCTGATATCACGAGTGATGACTCCCTTCTCGCCTGGAAGGCCATGCTGAGTACCTATGGTTTCACCTTCTACAAGCCTGATCCAGCAAGCCGAAGTGATACTCTACGGCAAGTCAGTCAGTACTCGATTATCAGAAGACCGATAAACTATACCCTAGACTCTGTGGCGCCCTCATAAATGACATCTCTTGACCAGTTGCTCTTAACTTCGCAGCCGGCCCTTCTACCCGAGGCGCTATCCTTATCCAGCGCCCACTTAGCCTCACGGAATTTGAACCATGCCCCTGCCTAGGTGAGCATTCAATGACCGATAGTAGACTCAAAGACTTACTGTGCTCATTCCAGTCCCAGAAGATATGCATGTCGTAATCATTCAGCTTCACCCAGATGAACTTACCCTCACCCTCGTAGTCCATGACGAAGTCTCCGCTGCGGGTGCTTATGTTTCCCTGGCAGTGGAGCATTTTGCCGTTGAAGTGCTCGGTGAAAGTGACCTGGTAGTCCCAAATGCCGTCCGTGGCAGGAGCGTCCATACCAAGGCTGGGCATCGAAATGAGATCCCTAGGGTGGACGGTGATTTTGAAGGCGTAGGGAGTATCTGGGCCTGGGGCGTCATCGACATCCCTGGCGTAAACAGCCATGGCGGTATTGGAAGCAACCAACGGCGCTGGAACAGCGACCGCGAGCGCCGTGGCGCCGAGTAGCAAGAGAGAGATGAGCTTCATGATGAGCCTACAGCAGGTAAGCAATTGAGCTCTGGGAGACAATCGAGAGTGTGGCGTACTGGTGCTGGAAGCCGACTGTGGTAATTGAGGAGCGAGGGGTCTGTGGAATAGCAGAGGTCAAGTAGACGGCGGAGCTTAGCGCCTATATACTAGCGGGACGAAAGTAAGTGAAGGGCAGAGCAGAGCAAGGCGGCGCACTAACACTGAGCTTGGATGAACACAGGCAACAAACGACAGAGGGGATAGGGTCGCGTGCGTGCTAAGTGCTTGATCGCAGCGCTCGGGTTTGAGATCGCTTCAATCTCTTCGAATACTGGAGATTCTGTGAAGGATTGAGACGATTCTACTAGAAGTCACAACAGAATCGCTGCGGTGGGCGGATAGCGAAGTGAGAGCAAGAGCTCTAGTAGGTCGCACGGACATCGCAGCAAACGGGCAGGACCGAGTAACCAGCTCATCACGTGGCAATCGGAGATAAGAAAATTGTGACTTAAAATGTGTGTGAATATACCTACATGAAATCCTACACCCTAGTCACACACCCAGACATGTCTCCAACGCCAAGCAATGCTTCCCAATCCCTAACGCCCACGCCTCGCTACGTCCTCCAAGAATCCTAGCAAAAACGTCTTGTCGACTGGGCTCTTGGCATCATTACCAGACCTGCTTACGCTGCTTGTACTGCCGTGACCCGATGTGTTCTCGATTGGATGTGAAGTAGGCGGGATGACGATACTTGGCGCCGCTCCAGACTCGCCGATACTCGAGATCCTACTGCGAGAGGCAAAGTCTGCGGGGCTGACGGTCTGGCTACCTTTCTCTGGGAGTGGGCTGACAGGGCTGATGATCCCGGACGTGGTCGTCTTCGGGGTCGGTGGCAGAGGGCTTCGTCCTCTTGGGACAGCGCTGTGAGTCTGTTGCAATGGCGTAGGAATACGAGGGCTCTGGGGCTTCGTTGAGGATTGGCCGAAGAGGGAGAGCAGAGCGTTCTTCTGGTCGGTGGGGAAGGACTCTCGACGGTCAAAGGGCTGTTGTGCTGCTAATGGGGCTGGTGACTGTCTAACAGGCATGGAAGGCTGTGGCGACGGGCCCTTGAACATGTTCAGTAGACCTTGCGCGTGTGCTGTAGGTGCTGGCGACTGCCTTAGCGGCATTGCAGGTTGAGCAGCTGGAGGTTGGGGTGAAGGGCTTTTGAACATGTTCAACAGGCCCTGTGCCTGCGCGGTAGGTGCTGGCGATTGCCTGACCGGCATTACAGGCTGAGCTGCCGGTGGTTGCGGTGATGCTTCTTTGAACATGCTCAGCAGACCTTGCGCATGTGCAGTCGGTGCAGCTGATGCAGGTGATTGCGAAGCAGGCTGAACGGCGGGCGGCTGTGGTGATGGTCCTTTTAACATGTTGAGAAGGCCCTGTGCATGCGCTGTTGGTGCATTTACCATCCCTGTGGTGCCCTGCTGAGGTCGCTTCAGAATCTGTGGCTTGAAAGCCGTCTGCGGCTGGTCTGAGATCTCGATCGCATTCGGTGGTGCTCCGTTTCGGGCGCCGTTCTGGATGTTTGAAGGACTTTGGGTTACCGACTGCTCACGCTTCAAAATCTGTTGAGGCATGAACGTAGCCGGCGATGGCCCACGGGAACTGACACTGGCAGGTAGGGTGTTCTTCTTCATCGTGTCGAAATCTGGGGCATTGACAGGCCCGCGTACAGTAGCTGAGGTGATGCCCCCGGGTTTCGGCTGGTTGCCAAACATGTCAAGCAAAGTCATATTTTGCGGTCTTCCTGACTTCTGGGAGAGTTGTGCAGATACATATGCTGGCGTGGTAGGCAGCGCAGACAGCTCAGCAGGCTCCGGCGTAGGCGACGAGATTGGCGGAGTGCCTCTAAACATTGACAATAACGCATCCTGTTGTGCGGATCTTGGCTTCGGCTGCACTGGCTGTATGTTAATAGGCGGCGACTGAAATTGCGGGGATGCCAGCTCGTTTGGCTGATACTGCGAGACATGGCGCGATTGTGCTCGAGGTGCCATCTGGGGGGTCTGAGCTTGGACTGTAGCCCGGGGAGGCTCTGAAGGTGGTCCTTGTTGGTCGCTGATCTTGAACGAGTTCAACAAACCCATCGTATGTGCGGTGAGCTTCGGTGCAGGTAGTTTTGAAGCAGGCGGAACGGCCGGGCCGGCTCCGTGTGAACCAAACGTTTGGGACTGTGAAGCTTGGAAAGACTGAGACTGTACTGCGTGTCCACCATTGCTTTGTTGGAAGGGCATTTGTGGGGGTGATTGATACATGTGGTTGTTCTGATGGTGTTGTGGCGGCATAAAGTGTTGCTGTTGTTGAGGGTGTGGGTGCATGCCATTGTCGAAATGTGGATGAGGACCATGGAACTGCATGCCCTGATGGGGTGGGAACGGGAATGGTGGTGGCGGCATGTTGTGCATTTGAGGTGGTCGAGGACCATGTTGTCCATGAGGACTGTTCGGCTGGACTGGGGCGGACATGACCTGGTCGAAAGGTGTTCTCGGCAAAGAATGGTGAGGACTGGATGGATTGTTGTTGCCTTGTTGGAACAGGGCCAGCAGAGGATTGGCCTGTGGCTGTTGAGCTGTCATGCCAGGAGCCTCTACAGGCGGTGACTGCATTCCCATGCCTACACTGAGCAGGCGTTTGAGTTCTGCTGCAGGATCCACAGATTGTGCTGCCTGAGATTGCATAGAGACTTCGGGCAGAGCATCGCTTCCTTGATGGCCCAGTCGAGCGACGAGGTTCGCAAAGCTATCATCTTGCTGCGGCGGTAAAGAAGCGATCATATCCGCTGTTGTCGCGTGCACTTCAGCCTGTAGCTCCTCGTCGTCTGTAATAGGCGGGGCAAGATGAGCGCCGCTGCGTGCCCTCTGCCTGTCGAGTTTTTGTTGTTGCTTGATCCACGCCCTGAGCGGTCCGAGAAACGGCGCTACCATGTAGAAGCTGCTCTCCTTGATCATATCTGGTCCAGCACCTTGCGGTTGCGCCTGGTTCTTCCTCCGAAGGGTGGGCAGGTCCGTCAACTTGTACCAATCTATCTTGGAGATTTCCTTTCGCGTCCGTGGTTCGAAGTACGTATCCATGGGCACACCGCGAAACACGTACAGCATCATACTCTGCTCGCGCATAACGATGGAGATCTTCTTCATGTCTTCGTCCGGCAGTACCAAATTGGCTTCTTGCAGGTCGTATCCAGTCTCTTCCCAGACCTCTCGCACGGCGCAGTCCAAGTCGGTCTCTTCCTTGTTGATCTTCCCCCTAGGAAAACTCCATTTCGCGCCCTTCTTCCATCCTTTCACCAGCACTGCATGTGTCATATCCTGGTTGAGCATGATTGCGCCGCGCACAGGCACTCTGGTCTTGTACGCGAGAAAGTTCTCGTAGGCCTGCTGGTGCAGCTCTTCCGAGTATGCCGAGAACAGCGGGCAGTGCTGGAACATGAGCTGCGAGAACTTGCGCAGGTGCATCGAGGGCAGGTTGTTGGGGTCCAGCGGGCGGATGAAGTCTTCGTAGAACCATTGCGCTTCTTCGATCTGGAAGCATATTCGCTCGACTGACTGCAGCTCTTCATTCGGCAGATTGACGATGAAGCGCACGCATAGGTCGTCCAGCCAGTCAACTAGCGACATCTTTGTATTCGTCATGGTGGATGTGCGTCTGGCCCGTGTCGAGCATGCCTCGGGCACGAGAAGCGAGCGTGGTGGGGAGGTTGTCGGACAACTGGCGCGTCGCAGTACCGGCAGTGGGCTGTCGTGTAGCGAGTGTTCTGGAAGGCGATGATCAGTGAGGTGTAACGTGCACAGCCACGCGAAAAATGGGGAACAATATCAAAGCACGTGAAGTAAAGGTGGTCGTGTTGGCGTAGTGCATGTGGTGGTGGACAGCTTCGCGCATACCACCTAGGTTTGGCGGGTGGTGGCTGTGGCTGTGCAGGTGTGGCGAGTGCAGCCCAATCGAGCCACCAGGCCATGACGTCTCCTGTCGCGCCAGCGCTGGGGTAGGCACTGTGAATCAGGGCATGACGACCCAGTCACTCACCGCCAGCACAATGCCATAAGAGTCGCCGAAGCCTTCAATTCTGCTTGATTTCTCGTTCACCCCATTGCACATCTTGCACTGCACATTGTCGCCATCGGACTTGTCTGCTATACATAGAGCAGCGACGCGCCCGTTTCACATTTTCTGAAGACAGGAGCCGCCGACCAATCGCACCACCACTGCTCTCTTTGTAGCAGCGCACCACCGCCAGCTCTTTGTGGCCCTTGTTTTGAGGAATTCCATATAAGGTCTTCTTTGAGGTCACTTCACATAATATATCCAAACCTATTCTTACGCCGTCCACATCACATACCGGCTACCAGCAACCACCGCAACCATGACGCAGCTCGTCGCTAAGTACGCGATGAAGAAGGTGATGGGAAAGGAAATGGAGAAGTACAGATCCAAAGGCGTAGGAGGTCCATATGTACGTACCACATTCACTGCACTCGTGTGACTGCCACTGACTCTTCCAGGACCCATACTACGACGAGATCCCGCATCCTACCAAGAAGGGCAAGACCAAGAAAGTCAAGAAGGAAATCGCATCCTACATCCCGCCCCAAGAAGCCAATGTCCTGGCAAAAGCCCGCAAGACAGCCTACCGCCTCGACTATGCGCTCTTCACCTTCTTCGGCATGCGCTTCGGCTGGTCCTCCGTCATTGGCCTCGTCCCAGCCATTGGTGACGCAGCCGATGCCCTACTCGCACTCAACCTGATTCTGCACATGCGCAAGATTGAATGCGGCCTGCCCAACTCCGTCCTGCTCATGATGTTGGTCAACCTCGCTATCGATTTCATCGTCGGCCTCGTTCCTTTCATTGGCGATCTCGCCGACGCTGCTGTCAAGTGCAATGGCAAGAATGTGCGTCTGCTGGAAGAACATCTCGACAAGGTCTTCAAGCCTCAAGAGCAGAAGGCTCGCGATTCACAGTTGCCCCGCGAGCGCCGTCCCCGTCCTGCGTCGGTGTATGTCGACTTTGATGATGAGCTGGACGAGCGCCGCAATAACTTTGCAGATGAGCGCGAGGATGTGCGCCCGCCGCAGCAAGCATACTCTGGACGACGACCGCAGGACGAGGAGATGGGTATCCCGCGTCAGGATACGCGACCCAGCCGTAACGGAACTAAGAGCAGTAGGAGGTGATAGTCTTGTATTGCGACTTGCCCGTCGCTTTCTTGTAGTCGTTGGCGTTAGCGTTGCATTGAATGCAATTTTCTCTTGTTCAAAAGTATGGCATGTCAGGATGCAATCAATACCCTTTTCATTGCTTTATCGTACCTAGCTCTTGTAATCCAATAATCTTGCTTCACACTTGTGGGATCGCCATGCCGTGCTTGATGCAAGTGTCACTCATGATTACGACAAACGGGGCGCACCGATATGAAAGTGAAGTGGATGAGGATGTGAACATTTTATCAGGATCGATTCTCAGGGTACAGAATGCATGTAGACCCTCATATAGAAAACAAGTTAAACCCAGCGCATCATTGCATGTCACGGTGCGCAACGCCAGACTCCTCATCCCTTTTGACACAATACAAGATCCCTCAAGATGCCACAACATCCATCCTCACATGGTATGCGCAATCCTCTACTTCCTCACAGTCTTACTCGCCTTGCCGACCAGCTTCTTCAGCTCGCCAAACGCCTCCACAAACTCCTCGTCCACTTCGCCTCCCTTCCCGCTCTTGTCCTTGCTCACCATGACGACGCTGGTCGGGCGCTTGGTCGCGCTCGCCTCGCCCAGCTGCGCGCGGCTCTTGATGTAGATGTACGGCACGCCGTGGTCCTCGCACAGCACGGGGATGTGGGAGATGACGTCCATGGGCGAGATATCAGCGGCGATGACGACGATGGCGGAGGGGTCTGTGGAGTGCGCGGTGCTTGATTTGCGCAGCGCTTTGACGACTTCTTTTACGCCGCGGCGGAGGGTTTTGGATTTGGCGGCTGAGAGGGTTTGCGTTAGCAAGAGTATCTTTTCATACTGAAGTAGAGAAAAGCGGAGTAGGGGTAGGTAGTATGGGCAGGGCTAGGTATGCTTAAGGACCTACATTTCTTGACCGTCTTCAGAATCTTCTTCACTTCCTTCGCGTCGTCGCTCAGCGGGAACGCAAACGGCACCAGCGCGCCCTCGACCTCCTCGCCGTCTACAATGGTAACTTGCGAGACCTCAGGCGCTTTCTCGAGCTCCGCTTCGAGCATTTCGGTATCGACGTCGGCCGACTTTTTTTCCTTCTTGTCCTTCTTCGACTTCTTTACGCCGTCGACCTCGGAGCGCTTCTCCTTCTTCTCCTTCTTCTCTTTGATGTCTTTCGCCATTTTGTGTGTGGAGAGAGGGGGATTGAGTGGTGGTTGGTGTTCGAGGTGCGAGATGCTGGGAGCTGTTGCGCGAGAGCTCCAGTGTTCAACTTTTCCCGAGCCCAAAATTTCGCGAGCACGGACCCGAACTTTTAGCGTCCTCTTTAAGCTCATCCACTCATGTCCGCATCACTAGTAGCATACATAACGAAATCGTCACGAATATTCGGGCACTCTGCATTTTCAAGTGATTATACACATTCATTTTAAGACTGAGGCAGCCTTTTACACCCTCTTCATCAATCTAACTACCAACTGCCGTCCAAAAGTAAAAGCAGAAACTATGGTATATGCAGTCCCATCCCATCCCATACAATACATAGGAAAGAAGAAACAGACATGGGGAAGGTATTAGCAGTCCGGCAGGACCGAGATGCGCGCGAGGGGCCAGCCATCCAGGAAAAGCAGCGAGCGGGTATGAAGAGGAAAAGAGGTATTAAGCTGCAAGCAACAAAACAGAAAAGGAGCCCGAGCTCGGTGGATGTACTGGACCAGACTGAACCCCGAAATGCGCCGTTTCACCCCGATCTTGGAGATGCATGATAGAAACAGGGAAGAGATTGAGAAAATACCGCCGGATGCGCCGTAATGCAGAGACCAGACACCAAGTCATACACCCTTGACTAGTAGGCAGACAGATATAATCCACAAACTGAGAAGGAGATCAAGAAAAGACATTGTAGGAGATGGGTAGCAGCGGTTACTCCTAGTAAACCATCTGCATTTCCAGTGCTTGCACACCACCAGTGGCCATTGATGGTGAAGCAGATCCGGATCGAGACGACATGGCGTCTTCGTAGCCAACGAGGGCTTGCGAGTGTAGCTTGAAGGCTTCGCCCATGAGCTTAGTGATACTGGCTGAGGTTAGTATTAAGTTCATTAGGTTGACAATAGAATGGTGAACATACCCCCAAACAACAACCTCGTCGATCATGCTGCCCCAAAGTCGGGCAACAGTGGAGCTCAATTTTGCGCCATAGACGTCAACAGAGTCATCGTCAAACAGGTTACGGAGCTTGTTGTACATAGCCAGCTCTTCCTCGGTAGCAGGTTCTTCGTCGTGCTCGAGGCGGTAGAGCCATAAGGTAAGAATGACCATAAGATCCATGCCAGTGAGCGGGTGCTCGATGCTCCAATTTGTAGCTGAAGTGCGGGCGACCCAGCGGATACCTTGTACTGCTGCAACCTCGATGCAGTCGAAGCACTCCTGGATGACCTTGATCATCTCTTGCGATCGCTGGACCTTATCGCGGGCGTTCGTCATAGCCGCAGCAACTTCGTACGAATCGTGGTAGCGGAGTGCTTCCTGGATGGACTTCAAGTCGACTACAAGGCGGGCGCGAGTGTTGCGGTAGAGCGCCATGGCGTTGAAGATCAGAGGGTGACCCTTATGTGGGGCGCTCAACTGAACGACCACAGTCTCGGGCTCGCATAGCTCGAGCGACTTCTCCCAGGTCTCCAGAGCCAGACGAAGCTTGTACTCGGTGACCACATCTTGCAGAGCTTCTGGGCTGCGCTTGTGATACCAGACCTCGAGGAAGAGCGCGTTGATCATTACGCGCGTTGCAAAGGCGCTGTAACGAGCAGTCTCGCCTTGGAACAAGTTGTCATGGGCTTGGCGGAAGGGTAATAATCTTCGACTGCTCAACGCTCTCGCGCCAGGCCTCGTCGTCGGAAACTTCCATAGTCCAGAGCGATTCGGATGATGGCAATTCCAATGTATCAAACTCGTTGAAACCCATGGCCGGGGTGTGGTTGTAGGTCAAAGTCAAGAGTCCGAAGAAGATGTACACTGCATAGTATGTTCGTCGGCACTGCTCGTCGACGACCCATTCCTGATGGGTTGGTTGCGCGCCCTCGCGAGCTTCTGTACGGATCTTGAGCTCGTAGCGGTTTCCAGCAACCATATTGGCAAGTAAACTCTTGATCGAGCAGGCCCACTCGAGACCCTTGGGGTCGCCGCTCCAGCTGGAGAATATCATGTTGAGCAGGGTGCTCTGCATGGTCCACAGCGGGCACTTGCGCGAGCTAAAGTTCTCCTTGTTCTGCAGAAACTGGTTGACAAGAACCTTGGATCCAATGTGCAGCATGTAAGGCCTGGTCTTGGTCGAAGATGTACAGGGCACCAATCGAAAGCACTGCGAGAAGAAGGGGCGCAGACACCTCGGTCGGGTTGAACGTCGCTGGGTGCAGGAAGGGCAGATGGTGGTGGAACAGGTCGAAGTACGTCTTGAGCAGGCGGTTCAGCGTGTTCAGGCTGGGCAGGTGGAAGGTCTCGAGGAGCGCATTCTCGCTATCATACTGCTTGATGTTCTCGTAGATCCTTGCGCATTGGTCTTCCGACTCCAGCTGGGGAGCGCGCGTCATGGTCAGAGCCTGGCTGGGACCAGGCGACTTGCGGTAGTCGACGGGCGAGACAGGACCCAGCATTGATGGGTACGGCGAGAGTGCGCCAGGGGTTCCTAGGCCGTTGCCACCATCCATAGAGGGGAATGTAGGAGCCAGGGTGTCGTTGCCCGACATTGTGCGCTCCATCAGTGGGGGGAGCTGGTGCGGGTGCGAGTTCAGTGCGCTTCCGCGAGTGAAGGCTGAGGGCGACTTGCTCTCAGCGTCTGCGGCACCATCGAGTCTCTCCAGGGCATCTGCGGCAGCATGTTCTGCCCCGGCGCAGTGTAAGGCACGACGGGCTCCATCATTGATGGGCCTGTGGGCGAGATGATGGATTCGGAGTGGTTTGGTACCATCTCGGGCTCCTGGCTCGCCATGGCGCGGTTGTGGAAGTCGGTCATTAGCATGGCGGCGGCCTCGATGTCAGCATCGACCATGTCTTCTTCATGTTCTTCGAGGTGGGCTGGTGCGTCGAGGATTGCAGCTGGCTTCGAAGGGCCTGGGTCAGCGGCCTGCTTGTTGTTCGTCCGGCGCTTTTGCTCGCTGGAAAGAGGCGACACCCACCGTCCTTTGCGTGAACGGTGCGGTCATGTCGCAGCAGCAAATCACGGCGTACAAATGTACTGCGACATTTGGTGCAACAAAATGGTCTCTCCTTTGTATCTGATGATGTGTCAGCGCGTCCAAGATGTCGAGGCTCGTCGCGAAATTGCAAGTGTTGAGGGGCATTTCGCAACAGCGTGGCTGTGAGATCCCCGCAGCGCGACCACCACGCGGTGTCCCGCAGCAGTAAACAGCTACCCCACCTCAAAACATGTCCCGCGACAGAACAGTGCACTTACGGGAACGTTCATGACGGCTGCGATGCTCACTCCTACTGAAAGCTCGGCTGCAATACTGGCATCTACAGTTGTCAGTCATGCCTCGCATACGCAATGTGTTCATTCCTTACTTGTACTTCTTCTCTGGGACTCGAGCACTAGCAGGCGTCGAGTTGCCAGCCATTTCGGCGCTTGTAGAGGCAGTGTGCGGTCGTGCGTGTGTTGGCGATTTCGAGAGTAGGTAGTCCGCTCGTGAGATGCTTGTGTTAAAGTGTGTAGGCGGTGGTCGCAGTAGGGATGTGATGATGCACGAGATCTCTCATTCCGCAGAAAGTTACTGAACTATAGTGACTGGTGAATCGAAGATACAAATAAGCGATTGTGCTATTGTGGTCACTGCCATCGATGGACAGCTCATGAGGTCGGTGAGAGCTGCCGGTCCTAAGGAGTAGCGCTAACGCTCGATTAGCATAAGAGTGGGTGATTAGATAAGCCAGCACCATCAAGAGACATCACACAGACATAGGATCTCACATCTGGGTATCACGGTATTGAGCTCTGCTACACAGTTTCTCACCACGACAGAGCGACTTACACTCTGCTCGGTGCCATTTGCAATCTACCATTGTTCGACACACGTGGCGTTCGCAAAATCCCTTCCATTCCATCCTATACACAGAGTCCAAGCAACGAACTTTCAAGTTCATCTCCAAGATAGCTGATAACACCCTTACTCAGCCTTTACGCCGCCACGATGGCTCAGACATTATGTCCTTGTTCTTGCCAGTATTGGGGTTGCGCTTGTGGGGAGGGCGGTAGGGTAGAACCTGTCGTGATGTTAGTTCGAGTCCAACAGCAGCGGTAGTTGCCAGACATACCTTCTCATCTTTTACCGCTTCACCAGTTTCATTTGACTCTCGACCCTCCATTCCCTCCTTTTTGATGTTGGGTTCTTCGCTCTCTTCCGCATCGCTCATCTCGTCTTCATCACCCAACTCATCCTCGTCGCTCATCTCCTCGTCGCTCATCTCCTCGTCTGACCACGTCTCTCCTTCTGCCTCCGCAATTGCTCGATCTTCCTCTACGCCAGCGTCGTGTGCTGCTAGCGTATTAAGTACGTCTGCCTCAGCATCCCCGTCTTGCATGCTCTCGTGGCATCCGTCTTTGTCGTCCACTAAAGCTCGCCTTGACATATTCAATTAGTGTATGTCTTTTGTACAACAAAATGAACCTACCTCAGCTCATTCAAGCCATCTTGAAGGTCATCTAGCGCCTCCTTCACCTCAGTATCTTCATCGTCGCAATGCCATCGTTTTGTGATACGCCAAATGGTCTCGGCTTTTACCCAGCAGCTGTATGATTCCTTCCAGTCGCCCAAAGTACCGCCAAGCAAAGTAAGGCATCTGATGTGGTGGTAACGAGGCATGGCCGGGTCCGCAAGCAACTCGCGTAATGCTTCAATGCATTGCTCGTATTTGTCCTGTCGGTAGAGTTCCGCAGCAGCGTTGAAAGCTCTGTCGAACTGACGATCAACCTCGTCCATTTTTTCTGTTGAGAATGTATCCGGGTTAGATGTTGGTGTGTGAGTGTGTGTTGTTGTTCGG